CGACCCAAGGAGGGAAGCTGTGCATGTTGGGAAGTAGACGTTGAACCGGAAGGGAGTTGGAGTTGGCCAGTGTTGAAGATGTGTTGGAGAAGGAGTTCCGCACTGTCTCCGATGAAAGGCGGGAACAGTTTGGCGAAGGAAATGAAGGTTGGAATAATGAAGACAGAAGAGGAAAGAAGGTTGGAATGGTAGAGATGGCAAAGAAGAAAGGAGGACTCATTGTTTGGCGGATTTTTTGGTAGATCGCTTGTTGGATTGTTTGGCAGACTTTTGTCCATTGCTTTCCTGAATTCCTTGATGAGATTCGGCGCGTGCATGTCTTCTTCGGCGAAGCATTGGTTGTATTCGGAGGGCCAATCTTTCCATTTGAGCAAGAAGTAGGTTGTTCCATGAATTGTCTTCTCTTAACTTCCCATTCATCCTCATCCTCAAGTTCTGGCATAGTCACCGGTTCGTTGTCAACTTCACCTTCTCTCTGAGACCAAGGCTCCAGGAGAGAAACATGAAACACATTGTGAATTCGTTCGTATTGCTGAGGGAGAGCGAGGCGATAGGCTTGGGAGCCGATCTTCTGGAGTACCCGAAATGGACCGATGAATTTTGGGGAGAGCTTGCGCGAAGGTAACTTCAGTTTCAAGTTTCGTGCAGACAATAAGACCAAGTCTCCTTCTGTGAATTCTCTTGGCTTGTGCTTGTGATCATAGTACTTAGCTTGCGATTTGATAGCGTTTTCCCAATGTTTCGCTAGCTGTTCACGAAGCTGCTGCAACTTCTTGACGCGGCTTAGAGCTGCTGGGACCCCGTCCGAAGGCGATTCTGTGAAGAGGTGGTGCCAAATAAATATTGTGATCCTTGAAAGTAGTCATTGAAAGGAGGACAGGACTCCCTTCCAAACGCCAGTCACGATCGATTGCAACACAGGGACGAGAGATCGTTTTGGTTTGACCCCGGAGGTCAGTTAAGGTGATGGGAATGCGCCAGACTTCGTAAGTGGGCACTTGAAGCTTGCCAACTGCCTCAAGTATCGGTGGAGTAAGAGGTGCTTGCTGAGATTTGTATTTTTGAACGAATTCCTTGCTGACAAGATCACATCCAGATCCGCTGTCCAAATCGACATGTGTTTTTATGGAGTTTTTGATAAGTACAGGAACGTGCAAAACACAAGTAGTCCCTACTTGGGGCCACGGAGTTGAAGGTGTTGGGGTACTCCAACTCGTCTTCTTTTCCCGCTGACTTGGCCCCTTGTACAGGAGTGTCCTTCTTGCCTTTCTCCTTCCCCCTGCATCATTGGCGGTCGAACCATTGGAACACTGATAAGAAGAGGAAACGTTCCGACGGGGATGACGACGAAGACAAACCTCGTCGGTTCAAGGGAAAAGGTCGCTCTTTCGCGAATCGAAACAAGGAGGAGCGAGAGAAATCGCCAAAGAAAACCCCTGTGGGACAGAATGGCAAGGTGAACACCTGTAACTTTTGCCATAGTGAGTTCCACTATGCTTCGAGGTGTCCCGACAAAAAGAAGAGCAAGGGGAAGGAGAAAGGCAAGAAGGACACTCCTGTACAAGGGGCCAAGTCAGCGGGAAAAGAAGACGAGTTGGAGTACCCCTACACCTTCAACTCCGTGGCCCCAAGTAGGGACTACTTGTGTTTTGCACGTTCCTGTACTTATCAAAAACTCCATAAAAACACATGTCGATTTGGACAGCGGATCTGGATGTGATCTTGTCAGCAAGGAATTCGTTCAAAAATACAAATTTCAGCAAGCACCTCTTACTCCACCGATACTTGAGGCAGTTGGCAAGCTTCAAGTGCCCACTTACGAAGTCTGGCGCATTCCCATCACCTTAACTGACCTCCGGGGTCAAACCAAAACGATCTCTCGTCCCTGTGTTGCAATCGATCGTGACTGGCGTTTGGAAGGGAGTCCTGTCCTCCTTTCAATGACTACTTTCAAGGATCACAATATTTATTTGGCACCACCTCTTCACAGATTCGTCCTCGGATCGGACGTGGAAGTCGGGTGAGTATCCCATGAAGACTTCAAAGGGTGAAAGACCAGTTGTCTGATTGGGAGCGCTGTTGGAAGCGAACTCCGCAGTGGCCAGTAACTTCGGCCAGTGTTGTTGTGCATCGTCGATAAACCGTCGGAGGTATTGTTCCAGAACTTGGTTGGTGCGTTCAGTCTGGCCGTCGGTTTGTGGGTGGAATGCAGTGAAAAGCCGAAGTTTGACATGGTAGTAATAACAAAGTTCGCTCCATAGCTCACTGGTGAAAACTGATCCTCGGTCGGAGACAATCCCATCAGGCGGCCCGTATTTCAGTTCAATCTCGTTGTGCAAAAGCTCGGTGAGCTCTGGTGTGTTGATTTCCATGGTGACCGGGAAGAAGCGGGTCATCTTGGTGAAACGATCAACAATAACGGGGATGGCGTTGACATAACGGCCATTGAACATGACATCGGGTAAGCCTGTGATGAAGTCCGTGGTAATTTCGCTCCAAGGTCTTTTGGGGATGGATAAAGAGGTCAACTCGCCATAAGGTTTGTGTCGGGGCGTAGCAGTACGCTGACAGACACCACAGGAGGAAACGTTAATCCTTGATATCCTCGTGCATGCGTATCCAGTGAAATTTGCGTTTCAAAAGAGCCTCAGTGCGGTTTTTGCCAAAGTGGCCAACCAGAGGGTCTTCATGGTGGAGAGAAAGAAGTTTGCGACGAAGATTTTCGCCAGCAGGGATAAACAAACGTTTTTTGTAACAAAGGGTACCATTGTGGTCAAGAGACCAATGTTTAGGCAACGACTCGGCATGCTTTAGTCGAATACACTCCTCGTCGTTGTCCTGAACATGCAGGATGAGACGACGCAGGTCGACATTGACATCAGGAGCATAAACTTGTTCCTGGCAGCATAGAGACTGCACCAGAGCGCCAGGGATTTGTTGGTCGCGAAATAACGATTCCAAAGCAAGACGAGAAGAAACCTCGTCATCGGTATCAGAATTGGAAGGCCCAAATTCATCACCATCGGTATCAGAGTCAGAAGATTTGGACTCATCTCCGTCGGTATCAGAGTCGGATTGACCGAGCTCAGCACCGTCATTCACCCTAGGGAATTTTGAATTAGAAGAAGATAATTGAGTACCCTGCACCAACGCAGGTTCACGAGCAAGACGTTCGCGGAGAGAAAGCAAAAGATCACTGCCTCGAGCATCCTCGAGAGCAGGATTTGTTTGACGGGAAAGACCATCGGCCGGATTGGTTTTCCCTGGACGGTGCTTTATCACAAAATCATAGGGCATCAGGAAAAGGCACCATCTCGCCTGCCTTCCGTTGAGGCGTTGTTGTCTCATGAAGGTTTGGAGATTCCAGTGATCCGATAGCACCTCGATTGGATATCGCGAACCTTCCAAATAGTGTCGCCAATGTTTGAACGACTCAACGATGGCGAAAAGCTCCTGGTCTGGAGTAGCGTAATGCAGTTCAGCTCCTGAGAATTTTCTCGACCAGAAAGCAATTGGATGCCAACGCCCTTGCTCGTCAGGTTGTGACAAAATGCCCGCCATCCCATGATCTGATGCATCAGTCTCAATGCGAATTGGCAGTGAAGGGTCAAAATGACGAAGCAAGGTTGCAGCTTGAAAGGCCGCAATCAGTCGTTCGAACGCTATTCTCTCGGTTAGATTCGGTTTGACAGAGCCTGGCTTCCTTCCTTTGACACTGCCCTTGAGCAGGTTAGTAAGGGGGCAGGCAATCAAAGAGTACCGAGGAATGAAACGTCGGTAAAAATTGCAGAATCCTAGAAAGACTTGGATCTCATGGTAGGTCTCAGGAAGCTTCCATTTTCGGATTGCCTCAATTCTTTGAGGATCCATGGAGATTCCGTCGACACCAATGATGAATCCCAGGAAACTGACTTGTGACTGGTAAAACGCGCATTTTGAGAGTTTAGCATAAAGTTTGGCCTCTCTCAAGCGCTGCAGAACAATGCGGAGGTGCTGCGTATGCTCGGTCCTTCTCTTGGAAAAGATAAGGATGTCATCGAGGTACACAACACAAAATATATCAAGGCATTCACGCAAAGCTGGAAGGTAGCCGGAGCATTGGTTAAGCCAAAGGGCATTACCAAATACTCAAAATGGCCATAACGAGTGCGAAAGGCAGTTTTCCACTCGTCTCCGTCTCCTTCCCTGATGCGAATGCGATAATACGCATCCTTGATGTCAAGTTTGGAGAGATACCTAGCCCCTTGAATGCGATCAAGGATCTCAGAGATGAGGGGCAAAGGGTAACGATTCTTTGTGGTTATGCGATTAAGTCCGCGGTAATCCACACAAAGGCGTAGACCTCCATCGGACTTAGGAGCAAAAAGAATCGGAGCCCCCGCAGAGCTCTTCGATGGTCGAATTCGACCGGCTTGGGGATTCTCTTCCAGATATTCCTTCAAGACCTTCAACTCGTGCACGGAAAGAGGATAAATGGGACCAAATGGTGGTTCCTTTCCTGGTTCTGTGTCGATTGCGTGGTCTGAGGGTCCATGAGGAAGGAGAATCTTTGCTCGTTCGGTTCGAAAAACGTCAGCCATGTCCTTGAGTTCAGGTGGAAGATCGGGATCTGGGGGTTCAGCTTCTCTTGGTTCAGCTCCGTCATCTCCTGGAATGGATAGTGCTTGTACAATCGCGTACACCGTCGCGCGATTCCGACTCGTCTTGGCGAATTTGTGAGCCGAGACAACCTCCAAATGGCGTGGCGTCAGACCGAACCAGAAACTGTTGACTGGCGGTGCCAAATAGATCGAAAGGTCGGTGAAGGTTGTCATGGAAAGTAAAATTGGACTTCCGCTTTCTCGTGGGTCGCGGTCAATCGCGACACAGGGTCGAACAAGAGTCTTCGTGATCCCTCGGTAGTCAGTCATGGTGATGGGTATGGACCAAACGTCATAAGTTGGCACATTGAACTGGCCGACTGCCTGGAGGATCGGTGGTGATTTCTTCGCGGAGTTGAAATGATTTCGTTTCACAAATTCGATACTGACCAAGTCACAACGGATATCAGGCGTCAATTCAACAGACCCACGCAGAAGGAAGACCAGCATCCTGAGGCCTTCGCAAGACAACTTGAGGTCTTGGAACGTAACTGGGACAGAGGACCTGAGAAGTTGAGAGCTGAGGATTATTTGACCAAGCTGACCGACCCCCTTCCGCGGAAGATCACTGAGAACAACCGCTTTATCCCACCAAATCGCAGGGAAATCATCGACCTTGCAACACATTATTGGGAGAATGACCAAGACGCCAAGAAACGGAAATTCTCGCAAATGAAGGACGGCGACAAGCCTTCACGGTCCACACAAAAGAAGAAATCCTCTCATCCTACGTCCGACAAACCTCGCCAAAACCCCATGGGCTCGGATGGAAAGAGAACTACATGCAAATCCCTCTGTCCCGACAACCCCTGTTCCGGTCTCTCCAGAGAGAGCAGGTACCGAATCCCCTACCCAGGAGCCAACTGTCAAAATGCTCCTGGAAACAATCCGCAAGTTGCAGAAGGAGCAAACCGAGCCCAGGAAGGACCTCAACAAACCCTCTAGTCCAAAAAGGGAAATCAAAGATTCGGACTACGGACACCAAATTGCGAAATTTGCCTCGCTTGAAACGGTCGTCCAGTGTACAAGAACGGGACACTTGGCTAAACGGACTCGAACTCATTTTCGAGGGATGCCCGAACAGATTTTCCAAGGATGAAAATAAGATTATAACCGCGGTAATGCAAACATCTGATTCCTGCAGAAAAAGCTGGTATCAGCATTTGGCGGATTTGTCTTCGTCGTCATCCCCGTCGGAACGTTTCCTCTTCTTATCAGTGTTCCAATGGTTCGACCGCCAATGATGCAAAGCAGTTTGCACTATTTTAACCCGGGTGTTGGGAAGCTCAATTGCGTGGGAGGAGATTTCCTGTCGGAGGTCTTTGCTGAGTTTGCTATAGAAAAACAAAGCCTTCTCTTTCTCAGACCTCTTCTCAAAGTATCCCTCCAAAACTGACAACTCTTGGTCGAAATCCACAGGGTCCTGATTTTTATCCTGGACCTTGTTTTCCAACTCAATCTGGAGGTCTCCCAGCCTTTGCTCGGAATTTGAAATTAATAACAACGTCCAATCCACAAAGGCACCCCAGTTATGCTTGATGTGGTGTTTTTCCTCCTCAGACAAATCCGCCAAATGCTGATACCAGCTTTTTCTGCAGGAATCAGATGTTTGCATTACAGCGGTTATAATCTTATTCTCATCCTTGGAGAATCTGTTAGGACATCCCTCGAAAATGAGTTCGAGTCCGTTTAGCCAAGTGTCCCTTTCTTGTACACTGGACGACCGTTTCAAGCGAGGCAAATTTCGCAATTTGGTGTCCGTAGTCCGAATCTTTGATTTCCCTTTTTGGACTAGAGGGTTTGTTGAGGTCCTTCCTGGGCTCGGTTTGCTCCTTCTGCAACTTGCGGATTGTTTCCAGGAGCATTTTGACAGTTGGCTCCTGGGTAGGGGATTCGGTACCTGCTCTCTCTGGAGAGACCGGAACAGGGGTTGTCGGGACAGAGGGATTTGCATGTAGTTCTCTTTCCATCCGAGCCCATGGGGTTTTGGCGAGGTTTGTCGGACGTAGGATGAGAGGATTTCTTCTTTTGTGTGGACCGTGAAGGCTTGTCGCCGTCCTTCATTTGCGAGAATTTCCGTTTCTTGGCGTCTTGGTCATTCTCCCAATAATGTGTTGCAAGGTCGATGATTTCCCTGCGATTTGGTGGGATAAAGCGGTTGTTCTCAGTGATCTTCCGCGGAAGGGGGTCGGTCAGCTTGGTCAAATAATCCTCAGCTCTCAACTTCTCAGGTCCTCTGTCCCAGTTACGTTCCAAGACCTCAAGTTGTCTTGCGAAGGCCTCATGATGCTGGTCTTCCTTCTGCGTGAGTCTGTTTTGAATTGACGCCTGATATCCGTTGTGACTTGATCAGTGTGGGTGATCAGGGTGAGAGTAAACTTTTCGAAGGTTTCCCAGGTCTCGGCTGCCTTTTGCTTTCATCGGGGGGCATATCGTCGAGATGACGCCTCCAAGTTTGTCGACAGTCGTTGTCCATTCTGTAAATTGCAAACAGAATCCGTTTCTTTTCAGAGTTGTAACGTTCGGGTGATCCTTCGAATGCGAATTCCAGATTACTGAGCCAGTCGCCTCGGTTCTGTAGAGTAAATTGCCGAGTGAAGTTTGTGAAGTTACTCATGGTCTTCGTGTCAAGACCTTTTTCGTGGGAGGAGTGATCCTCATAAGATTTGGTGACAAGGTCATGAGTGATCTTCTCCATGGTTTCCATCTTGACAGTTAAGTCCCTGTTGTCTCTTCGGAGCTTCTCTGTCTGTTCGGAGAAATCACGACGAATGTCGGAAACAAGTTGGGAGAGCTCATGGGTTGAGGTTCGCTCCTCAACGGAGGTTGATTGGTGGGGTGATTCAGACATCTTTGTAGGTGACCCGTAGGAGAAGAATCAAAAGTTGTAAGGAGGGAGTCCCAAGATACTGGATGGGGTAGTGGACGACCCAATAGCAAAGGGCTAAGGTCAGGTAGAAAATGGTGAATCGATAAGATAAGAGGATGAGTGGTAATACTGGGAGTTTGTAGCCGAAGGCAATAGAGTAGACGATACGAATCAAGATATCTTTGTGTGGGTAGAAACATCAATTGATTCTTGAGGATCTAACAAGAACCCGAAGTGTCCGGGTCTTTTATCCTCAAGCCTCTCTCACTATCTAACGTAGTACACCAGTCAAGCGGAGACGATCCAGATCGGCCCGCCCGGATAGTCCGGGGAGGCGAACCAAACACTAATACAGATAAGGTTCACATGAGATAAGTCATGACACGCGTCATGACACGCTTGACAATGGGTGGAAAGCAACGTCGGAGTACCGGAGACCTGTCAGGGTCTCCCGCATGCCCCAGCCAAAGCCAGTGGGCCTGGTGACAGAGTCGAAATACTCAAAGACAATTTCGCATCACACTACTCCTCGATCGCTGCCACAACTCTCTATCTCAAGCGATCCGGGTTGAAGCGGATGCGACTATACGACCTAGGGCAACGCGACTGACCCGTCTACCGACTTTACCCCAAGTGCATTGTCTATTCGGAAGCGTCTCTTCGGGATCTTGGGCGAGATACGGTGGATAACTTTGTCGAAAAGGTGATTGAGGCTTTGCGTGATGATGAACTCCTTCGGCATGACTTTAATCCAGGACTAAGTCACCTTCTATGACCGCGCAAACCCATCGGAAACTTCGCTGGAGAACAGCTTGGAGCAAATGAATCTTCAGGACGCACGCGGCACAGACGGCCCCAACGACCCACGGAAACAAGGCATTGGAGAGGCAGAGGAAGGGGGAGAGGAGCGGCACAGACACAGAAGAGGGCTGGCACTGCACGAAGCCGCAATCGCCGCGCGGACCAGTTCTGTGTGCATCTTAATATACCAGTGTATGCAGTGGAGTTCAACGAGCCGCACAAGGTGACAATCCCCGAATTGGTGGCGGGTCTACACCAGATGGATCTGGCTCGCGATGTTAATAACAGGCAGGCGACACGTTTGGGTTTTATGCCACCTACCTCATCGCCGCTATGGTCACTCATGATTGACAGTGGGGTTCAATACGGCTACATCTGTGCGGGTGAGACTTGTGTTTTTTCTCCATATCCCAAAGGATGATCCCATTGTTGTTCAATGTTTCAGATGTATTCTGAGTCAGGATGTGCAGGCGGGCGATGAATGGCCCCTGCACCTGATCGCCATCGTTCAGGTCACCGGGTGCTTGCATTCCCCTTTCAAGCGCTAGCCGCCGAAGCTCTGTCTCAAGAGTGGCATTATGCGGCACACGACAAGCTAACGAACTGGGAGGTCGAATACCTGAATGTGTTGGCAAACATCCCCGTGACTCTCCACAGGACCCGCCAGCCTCCAGTTACCGACCCTCGCACTGGAAAGTAGAGCCGAAGACACACAGCACACGATCCCATGCTCGCTGCAAATCAGGCATGTCTACTCCGAAGCATTCGTCGACCGAAGGCAGCGGCAGTGATGAAGATTGAAGAATCGCATCCGCCATCCCTCGCAGCAGGTCGAGCTGCGGCCGAGGCAACAACCGTCAATCGACCAAGGAAAACGAAAGCGCACGAGGCGGTCGGGATAACAAACAGATCTATCGAAAAGGCGGGCAGTCTACAAGATCCTGCCGCACAGTTGCCTGCATCCGCGGCATGGCCGCACGGTCAACCAGGACCCTCTGGATAAAGAATACCCTAACTGGAAACTCCACGGTGGACAGAAATATCCCATGGGTCTGCAGGAGTTCACACGCCGGCTTCACTGTCGAATTGCCCGAAACCGAACCCATGGGTTTGAACAACTCCACGTCTGTGGTCAAACGGGTTACCTCGTTAAAGCTACTCTAACTCTTCTGTCACACGGATACCACCGTGATCATTAAAACTACCACGGTGGAGAAGCAGCATCGCCTTCAGGCGAAGGCGAACAATTATCGTCACCTCAGGAGCTTGCAAGGAGGTCGGATCCCCGTCTGTCTTGGATCCTTTCAGCCACCGGTGGCGTATTGGTACCACGATGAGTTAATGGCCGAGATGATGGTATTGAGCTGGTCAGGAACGTGACTTCGGCATATGATTAATGACGAGCATATCAGTTTCTTCAATCAGCAGCGCAAGAAAGCTCTGACCGTGTTCCGGTCCCACGGGGTTGTCGATAACGACAGTGACTGGCGCAATATGTTGTGGGACGACCTCAATGGCCAGTGTGACAAGTGGCAATTACTGCAGGAAACAGAGTCCGATTTAACGGGATAACTAAGATGGGGAGAAAAGAGAAAAGAAAAACAAGAAGAGACGCAAGACAGAAGAATAAATACATCAACCCCAAGTCACGCGATCCGTATCCTTGTCCTGACTCCCGAAGACCTGAACTCCTGGAGACCTGAACTCCTGAAGACCTGAACTCCTGATCCTGCCATGTGACCCTCACTCACAGCCAGTTAGTTGTCATTTACTTGGAGGAGGTGAAATTGTTGAATCACCGCCGTGTTCTTGAATCAACCTTTGGCAATAACTGGCGTGGTCATCCCGTCGGCGCGGGGAAAGCAAGCAAAAATTCTTGTCTAGCTCGACAGTTGCCTGCATGTGACGACCGTCAGACTGTATACAGACCACAGACCACAGACCACCGCTTTGGTCGACTCAGTTGACGTCGGGAATGTGGAAAAAGGTCTCTCACAGAGCGCAGGTATACCAAACTCTGCGGAATGCCCAACTCCAAGGGTCTACTGTGCCTGTTTTCATAGGCAAGATCAACTTGGTGAAAAACTATTTCCTTCATAATGCCGTGACTCCACCGGGGAATTCGTAGATCAATCAAAGCCTTGTGGATAATTCACGAAGATTTGCGCCGTGTCAATGTTCTTTCTAAGTCAACCAGGGACAGGATATCTAAAATTTCTTCATGTGAATCAACCTCCCCACTTTTCCACTACACCTGCATTGCTTCGAGACATATACGCTTGTAGGCGCGTTGGCAGTGGCTACCTGATCATCCAAATATAGCTCTCGGACTTGGATGTATTGAATCATATGAGCCGTTGGTGCAACTATGAAGCTTCAGGAACAAAGTAATCAACTGTCGTGTAGTTAACCGAACATATTGCATCGAGAGCCCGGTCGCTGGACAGCCTTGAGAAGGGAGATTATCCACAGGATGTTCCAGGGCATTATGCTGCTAGGAAAAGAAAAAGAGAAGATAAGAAAACTGCAACCACCAATTCCTACCGTCACCTGATGTGTCCTCTCATCCTCCACGGTCTCAGGTTGCCACAAACTCACAAGCTTTGAACCCCGGAGGTTTGCCAAGGCGCATGATGACTCGAACTTGAAGAGACTCAACTCACTCAAGGCCATCTTACGTCGTATCTTCAACCCTTTTTCTCGCTCTACATCCCCATAGGTCAATATTGTCGACCTAGTACTAGTACTATAATACCAATATCTCCAGGATGTGTCTAGCATTTGAACAGAAACTTCCGGTAGCCTCGATTCACAACCGGTAATTATGCTTGCTTTATACCATGTACTTTCACTTGTCTTCTCTCCATCGCGGCCAGAGGCGAAAAAGACGGGAGTATATATAATTGATGAATCATTTACATTGCATCGTATAGGACGGTGAAATGAGCTACACCAATCCGGGGACTCAGCGATCAATATTGCCTCTACGGAGTAATACATCAACCTGGTATTGGGCCCGGACAGCTATCTATAGCTTCGTAGATAAAACATATCCCCATGTCTCACTTCTTCTCATCCTGCTCCGACAACACGTTATCACGCTACGTTCACTGCACATGCTGCGATACTATCAAGGTTTAGATTCCCATGATTCCTTTGCCAACATAATCTCGAGAAGTAGAGGGGTATTGGTCAGAATCACTCTAGCTGCCTCGTCACCAGCAGCTGCTTTGCTCAAACCTTGACCAGAACCCAGATATCTTTTTACCCATCCCCATCCAGTGAGATATAAGGCAACGAAGAAAGTCTGTGTCCCACCCTTCTGCTGGACTGATGGACGCTCCTCGATGTATTCTAGCTTCACGTTTTTCCCCATAATCTTCTTAGCAAGAGCCTCCTTGCAGCGTAACTCCGCCTTTTGGTGCCCCAGGTCTCTAAGCAACGGCATCCACAGCCCCGTCAGCCAATTCCGGGCTATTTCATAGCCACAAACAGGATCGGATAGTATGACTGCAGCGACATACGCTTCGAAAACATCGCCCTTTATTTTGGTCCATCGCTTGGATGGGGTGTTGTAGTTTGCCGGCACCAAAACCTTACGATCAAAGCCAAAGCTTTCTGCAAAGCCTGATAGTGTCTCATTCTTGACAAGAAGTTCTCGAATCTGTGATATTCGGCCTGCTGGTAAGTCTGGAAATCTCTCCCAGACGAGTTTGGTTGCAATCAGTTCAATGTATGCATCGCCTAGAATCTCAAGTCGGTCGTAGGTCATGCTGTTATTGTTGCCAAGTGCCGGATGGGTGAAAACAGCAAGTTCTAGCTTATCATCCAGGATTGGGGGTAGCACAGGGCTGGGCGGTCCACTGGGCTCATTTGACGTGCGTTCTGAGTCGTGTGATTTTGGGACATCACCACCCGGAGAGGGACCGCTTGAAGGCGGCAAGTCCTTTGGCTTACAAAATGTGCCATTTAACCTCAGAACTGCCTCCTTAATCTCGGGGTCGGCACCAGCGAGGGCGCTATTGGTTGAGATCTCCCGGACAAGGCGTTGTAGGAGAGAAAGGCGAAAGTCGTTGCTAGGCTTGACCACACTGCGACTAGTGCCGATAGATGACCCAGCATCAGGTGAATCACGTAGGTGCCGAATCTTCTCGCGAATATGTGTCAGCAATTCGATCAACCAAGCGCAACAGCAACTGTCTGACAAGAACAGAATACCCACCTTTGGCCGTTTTTCGGAGTTTTGCGCGGCAGCCGACTCTAAGACGGATGCTGGTCTTTTGGGATCTGTCACCTGCCTCCTGGCACTTGAATCGAAAATATTCCTGCCTTGAGGCATTTCTGAGATAGCCTAAAGCCCAAACCCGGCCTATTTATCCGTTTCACTGGTAGTCGCTGCGTCTGTCTTCGTCTGTTTCGGCAGGGGATTGTAAAATGTAAAATGATAAGCGATAAGCGATAAGTAGGCGGTATCGCAAGGGTCATGTGACATACCGGACAAACTTCATCTAACGCTTTCCTTGACTTCCATTCACCAAGCTGTGCTGTGAACAGCTGTCTCATCATATCCCTTTGCACATGGTTCCTTTGGAGCCCGAGAACGGAAAATGTCGTCAAGTCGAATCCTGGACTTAGTAAAGGTTCGATACCCCCTTCATTGCATTATACCATTTGGCATCCACTAATTCATAAACCTCTAGACCCAATGCCGCATATTTTCCCTTAATTTCAATCCGCAGCGTCTTCGACTGGGTAACAAGATTCTGAGACAGCGTCTACGGGGCCCGGCACTTGCAGCCTGGTATCCTAAGAAGACTGTCTCTTTCCGCGATTTACAAAACACCTATAAACCTCTTGGATTGACGACATTTGACGAAGCCGAAGATGATAGAGAAGAGGCTATTCAGATGTAAGGCCGCTGGTGTTTCTCAATCAAACTGTCGCTAACTCTCTTGTTCAAAGTGCCAAATTGCGAGGGAAGGGCCGACCCAAGAAGAAACGAACAGCTGCAGGTAAGCTTCCCCTACGCCCAATTGTCTCATGTTGGGTCCCTTCTAAGTTCTGCATAGAATCGAGGTCCGCAAAGAAGAAGAAATAGACTACCCGACCAGCGAAGCTTCATGCACCACTGACATTATATCGGTACATACCACTCGTCTGATCAACCTGCTGATGATCTGTCTGGACCGGTGGAATGGTACATCTCATGCTGTATACAGTTTCTGCTTGAGTCGGGGCCATCTCGGTCACCAGTTCACCCACCCGTCTCTTATTTGCGCTGATAGTCTACATGTAATGATCGCACACTGCGTGTCCAGTTCCAAATTTTGTACAATACTACTTCTTCCTGGCGTTTCACAATTTTATGTGACAAAAATATGGAGTTCAATGTAGCATTTTATCCTAAAAGATGAGCCAAACTGCGTTAAATATTAGACTGACAATTGCCCATGGCTTCGTCAGGTCTTTATGGCATTGTACAGACATGGCTGTGGGAGACGTAAAGGATAGGGCGGTAAGACAGGTCAACTTGATGCACGTGACGGCAATTGAACTAGGATGCATTTTGGTTTTACCGCGTAGCCCTGTTCCACCCAAGCTCTCACTCTCGTCATCAGCGACCTATTCTTCTTCCTATACGTGTTTGACGACCCCAGTTGCCATTGACACGTCACCTATCCCAATCAGTATTACAACGTCTACTTCTTGGCACTGCACTGATTGAGCAGCTGCCTTTCCTCAGCGACCCTGAAAATGGGCAAAAACCAGCTCAGAAGAGCTAGGAAAAAGGCCCAAAAAGCCGAGGTAAGCCGGACACCTCCTTCAACCCATTTATCAACTATAGTCAACGTAAACCTGACACTATCGCATAGAATACTAGCCTTCCTATTGTCAAAGAGGCAAAACCGGACCATTCTCCTCCCCTGCCAGTTGCTACGTCTCAGGATGTACCTGCTGAGACCAACACCGACTTGTTTCTCGAGCCAAACGATCCATTATGGGAAATGTACAAGGATGTTGCTGGAAAGTTCACAGAGACAGCAATCGAAGATCTGTCTTCCAAAGAGTCAGATAAACCTGAAGTCTTTTTTGATGACGGCGACGAAATTCCCGACGAGGAACAAGAGAGCGAGCCCAAGATATCAAAAAAGAAGCGAAAAGAGATGAACAAGTTATCGGTGGCTGAGCTGAAAACAATGGTTCGAAAGCCCGAAATCGTTGAATGGACAGATACATCGGCCCCTGATCCTCGACTTCTCATTCACATCAAAGCTCATCGCAACGTGGTACCAGTTCCATCCCACTGGTCACTCAAACGAGAATATCTCTCATCCAAACGAGGTGTAGAGAAGGCGCCGTTTGCTCTACCGAAATTCATACAGGAGACGGGTATATCTGAAATGCGCGACGCCGCTTTGGAAAAGCAGGAACAGGCGAGTCTCAAACAGAAGCAAAGGGAGAGAGTACAACCAAAGATGGGAAAATTGGACATCGACTACCAGAAGCTCTATGAAGCGTTTTTCCGCTTCCAAACCAAGCCAGAGCTGACTCGCTACGGTGAGATCTATTACGAGGGCAAGGAATATGAGACCAATCTCAAGCATCTCCGCCCCGGCGAACTGAGTGATGAATTAAAGGAAGCTCTTGGCATGTCTCCGGGAGGCCCCCCTCCTTGGCTCGTTAACCAGCAACGATTCGGTCCCCCGCCTTCCTATCCCGCGCTGAAAATACCCGGCTTGACTGCGCCGCTTCCGCCCGGTGCGGGATGGGGCTACCATCCTGGAGGCTACGGCAAACCACCAGTGGATGAAAATAGTCGCCCATTGTTTGGTGGTGATATTTTCGGCTTCATTGAATCTCAGAAACACGCTCCACAGGGAGAGCCCATAGAAAAAGACCTATGGGGAGAATTGCAGGGATCAGAGGAGTCTGAGGCGGAAAGTGAGGCTGAAGACGAAGATGACAACGAAGAAGAAGAAATGGACGAAGAAGATGTGGCACAATCTCCCAGTGGGAGGGAAGCCCAAAGTGGAATGAGTTCAACAGTACCATCTGAATTTGTTCGGGCTGAGAATGTCTCTGGGGAATTTGATGTGCGCAAACATCATCGCGGTATCGACACAGAGGAGTCCGTTCACCCGCGCAGCGCTTACCAAGTGATCCCCGAGAGGCAAACGAATGTGGAAGGCTTTTTCGGAGGTGACAGGGCATACGACCTCAGCGGATCTTCGGCTAAGCCTCCTATCCTCGGTGTGGATGACCAAACCCGGAAACGCAAGAAGCCTGGGGATGTTGAAGTGTCTGTCGACCTGGATGCAATTCAATCTGGCGATGGCCTCAGCAAAGATAATCTCCAGAATCTGTATGAGTCTCAGAGGCAGCAGCAGAACCCACCAAATTGGGGGTTCCAGGAGGACCTCAGTGACATGATTGCACAGGAGAATCGCAAGCGATTGCGAAAGGAAGAAGAAAAACGAGCAAAGCACTGAATTTCTCTAAGTCCTTTTCTTCCATTTCACTTCTCCTGGGCGATTTTCAACGTCCAAATGAGCAATGGATTTTGGGTGCTTTCAGTCTACCCCATGGGCCACAAGTCGAATGATCTTCAACCTATTAATGTGTACAATTATTCTCAATCAAGGTCTTATTGAATAATGGATGAATCACCGAGGTGTATTGCAAAGTTGACTCCTGATGTAGATCATCTATACCTGTATGGTCTATTCATCTCGATATTAGGTTGATGTAGGTGCTTCAATAACTAACTACACAGTACTGTGTACTCCAATATAGAACCTACGTCCATTGACATCTGTAGGCATGTGATTTAGTACGGGTCCTTACCTCAGTTCCCTCAGCCGCCCCCCAAAAAGGCGGTGGCCTCTTCGTTCCACCGCCTGCCTTTCAAGTATGCTGAATCATCTTTGAGGCCTCCCAATCGGGTTAGCGTGGCGGAATTTCATAAAATCGGCAGAATCAAAGGCGGTAGTCTGAGGGGACTGAGGTAACGGGTCCCGGGCGGAGTCTAGCTTAGTCATTTTATTCTGCCGCAGCGTGCATTGGAAGGTTCTCAACCCTTTGGCACCTGTTGTACATAAAATTCATTCCAGGAGAGACACAGAGACACGGAGACGCAACAGCAGCATTAGGCACTGGGTAAAACGTGTGTTTCTCACCCAATCTCTTATTCACACTCCAACCTTGAAGAATCAACCCTCGTGCTGTTTCAATATTGGCCAAGCCAGCATGGATTGGGACCGCAGAAGGTATGTTGGCGCAACCAGAACCAGATCGTTTGAAACATGTTTCTAAGCATATTGCCAGATTTGACGACCGAAGAGGTGAAAGTTATCGTCCAGCGGAGAGAAATAACCGTTCTCCTTCTCGTGGATATGATGTCCGTCACCGGCGTTCACCACCACGAACTCGGAGCCCTCCTCGACAACGAGCCGACACATGGGTACCGTCATCGAGCAGAGGGTATGGGCGTCCACGAAGTCGGTCCCCATTACCATATCGGCGCCGCTCACGTACTCCTCCCGCGACAAGGAATTTTGGTCCCACACCCTATGAAAGAAGGCGATCTCCACCAAGAAGGTTCTCGCCCAGAAGAGATGATAGGATCAGATCACCGCCACCGTCCCAAAACTGGCGCTCTAAGTCGCCATACAGTGATAATAGGTCACGGGATGCGTCCGGTGCTCGCAACAGCGACAGGCGGGCACCTGACACGACTTCTGGGAACCAAGTCTTCCGACCCATAAGACGAGAGGGCCCTACAGGTCTGACTATTGACAACCCTCCCAGAGCTCCTTCGTCAGGCATACAGTCAGAGATCTCACTCGCAAAAAGTCCGGTTCACGCGCCTCAACGAGACTACCCGCCTGAAGTGACGAAACGGGACACGACTTTATCGCCACCGAGACATGCTTCATCCACGCAAGCTTCATCATCACAGCCTTCTGCGATACCTGGACCTTCAACCCCAGCAGTAGAAAAGCCCGGTGTGGTTGCTCAAAGAGCCCGTAGTCGGTCTCCAGTTCAATCTCCGTTACCGTCCCAACGTCCCTCGAAACCTCCCGGCCGATCTCCGTACCGGAATCAGATGGAGCCTTCTCATTCACAAAAGCGAATAGAGCCTGAAGACCGATCATCGGCCGCTAACCATCCATCTGTTTCGCCTTCAGACAACACGCGTGTGAGCTCCCCACAGACGAGTGGGACCAGGATCGGTGGAAACATCCCAACTCAGCCGAAAAATCACGGGGCTTTCCCACAGCCACCATCAGGACCTTATCAGGGATCGAGGTCGTCATCTCAACATCACCACGGTTCTCCGCATGTCTCTCTACTATCAGCACCGACGCGTCCTCGACGTGGACTGGGTCCCCGGGAGACTTGGATGGGGACTCCTCCTGCACGCCGCGGAGGGGCTGCAAATTCACAGGTTCCGCCAGCAGGTCCTCGTGCTTCTTTTTCATCCCCAACACCAGGTGGTGGCTATCGATATCCAACTTTCCGGCAATCCAGTACGTCGTCTGCAGCCCAACAACAATCTACTTCGAAGGGAGCAAACCACCTCGCGGCTCTGTGTACTATTATACCGGAAGGCCGGAGCTTGCCATCACTTCTGGATCCTGCTGTTGAAAAGCGGCTCGTGCAACTTGAGCTAGACAAAGAAAAGCTCCTTGAGCAAGTCACGGAGACACAGAGATCTAAGCGAGCACAGCTTCGCGAATGGGACAGACTTGATCGCGAAAGTTCCATCTGTGCTCTCAAGAGTGAGCTCGCCGAGGGTCATCTCCAGCGGATGACCGATGAGAGTATTGGGAGTGGGACTTTGTTTTAACGATACCATGGAGACAGCAGCATTTGCTTTTCTCCCTCAGAAGCGGTTGGTGTGGGCGTTATCTGGTCAATTTTGATTTCCCCGGGTTGTATTTTTACTAAGTTTCAAAATATCATGACTTGACGACATTGTTTAGGTATGCGCCTGCCTCCTCACCTCTTGTTATTTGTTAGTCTGCGATATAGGACATGTAGGTTTAAACAGGGACTGTCTTTCCAGGTTCAATTACTCCTACCTGGAAAGTACATGTAGATCTGATGCAGGTACATGACCTTAGGTGGAGTTTGCATAATTCTTGATCAAAATACAACATACATGAGGCCAGGTCTTAGGGAGTAAGTACGTTGTAGTGTATTGATGTCTTTTGGCTGAGAACCCTATATTCATGACAGATACACAATGTTCTTCTAATCACATACCTCTGGTACATTCATAGGCCATTCCACGTGTGTACTGTGATAAGTAAAGTACAGTGTACCCTTGATATGTATGTAACATATGAAACTGTAAATACGTCTATATACGGACAATACACATTGTGTACTTGATACATACAATACACAGTACCTGATCTGCATGTAATTTACCTTTCCCCTTCCATTTGCCTTCGTGTCAACAACTTCCGACCTTCTGTTATTCGGTCTGATCTCGGAATCTTCCTCTCTTTCTCTCCTAGCTTATGAGATTTTCCTGATATCTTTCTCTTCTCTCCATCTCCCTATATTTCCGCGACCTCTTGCCACAATGAATATCTTCAGGCTATTAGGTACAACCTCAAAAAGATCGGAAAACCAATGCGCTTTGCTAACACATTGTAGCCGACTTCTCCCATCTGGCATCGATCTTCATGCTTCTGCAGAAGATGAAGACTTCGAGCGTATGTTTCCCCTGTTAATGGGAGTCTGCAATTCAACTGATGGGGAACGCAGAGTTGTTCCGGATTATCATTCAAGTCGCAGGTGCTATATCTTCTCGTCTTTGTCACTCGATACCTTGGTAGGGTTGGATGAAACTGTTCGCTCTCTGTCCCAATGGCTCACGATTCCTTTAGATCTCTTCTGGACATTCACCGAGTCCTTGTACCTCACCACCTTCAAGCTTCTGTTTATCGGTTCCTCGGCCTACGTCATTTACCTCATGCTCAATGACTACAAACCCACGCATGATCCCAACATCGACACTTTCAAGGTCCAATACCTCCTAGGAATCAGCGCCGTGCTTGCTATTCTTTTCCCACATGATTATCGCATCTCCGAGGTGTGTCGCTCGCCGACGATGAAATTACCAAGGGACTGAACTGACACACCGTCTAGATTCTCTGGACCTTTTCTATCTGGTTGGAGTCGGTTGCCATTTTACCACAATTGTTCATGTTGCAACGAACCGGAGAGGCAGACACTATCACTACCCACTATTTGTTTGCCCTGGGTCTCTACAGGGGTCTCTATATCCCAAACTGGATCTTCCGCTACTTTACCGAAGCCTCCTTCCAGCGATCCTTCCAACCGGTGCCTATTCTCGCCGGCATCATTCAAACATTGCTCTATTCTGATTTCTTCTACATCTACTACAACAGGTAATTCCAATCCTGCGAGGGCCGAAACAAAGACATATCGATGCTGACTTGCATGCTTCTCTTCCTAGGGTTATGAAGGGCAAGAAGTTCTCGCTTCCAGTCTAGACGGAGGAACTGAACATATGTTGGGTCTGTCTTCCAGAACTCGTGCGACATGAAATATTATGATTCACTTCCTTAAATTCGCCTGGGCGTCATGATCGTCCAAACATCCCAAGGTATCTTCCACCTTGGACCCACGCAACGCCCAATGAACCTGAAGCTTCTATGGCAGTTGCTGGCTAGTTATGACTTAATGTTCTCATGTCATTACTACATATGCATTTGGAAATCTGGCAACACAAAGCTCTATCTGACCTGCTGCAATTGACTTTCCAATAGGAGGATCTCGCTGGTTGATGTTAGAGCTATGGGTGTTGTGACATTCTGCAGGGCAACCTGACAATGTCGTTTTGGGGTTGGTTGGTTGTATTTGTATTCTACTGTGCCAATGAAGGCTCACACATGGAGAAGATTTCCTAATAGCTTGCCCGAGATAGAAATGCCTATATGATCTTTGATTTCCTTTCCGTTGCTGTAGTCTCAAGTCTATTTGTTCATAATTACTGATCCGCCCCTACATAGAAATAGTTCAGTCAAAATGTCAAGACTTCTTTTTCCATTGGGGCCTTGTTTGTCTTGTCAATTTTCCCATGTTATTCTCCATATTTCTGGTGGCAATTCCAAGGGAAAATAATATTGCTATTGTAAAACTTGTGTCTCCGTACATGCACGGCACCTTGCAGGCCATTTTTCTCAATATTTGTATATGTCCCGGTTTGAAACCTGAATCTGACAAGCATGCATGAGAGTGATCTAGAGGTCCCCCGGACATCGTAAACTTTTTGAGGAGCACACAATGGATGCATCCCGGTGAATACAATCAAAAAGAATAATAAGATCACAGACCAGAATGGACAATCAATATTCTCGAGACGTCGACCCATGTGTCGGTACGTAACCCGTGGTATAACTCAACTGGGAGGGAGGAATCGACAAGTCGGCAGAGAAAGGATCCAGGGTGCCAGTAATCGAATGTGAGAGATTTCCCATGGGCCCCTGGAATGACCGAACCCCGTTACTCAGGGTTGAACGACTCTGCACGTTTTGTTGACTATCCAGCCAGCCATTGTGGCCCAGATGACTAAAGTAGTCTGGCTGGTTTCTGTCAATGGGCACCTGACCAAAGGTAGATTCTCGTCGTGAGTTTGGTGGGGATGGGAGCTTTGGGGATCGAGGGATCATCTCCAGTCTGGGTGAACTTTTTCGTGAATTGGGGGGCGTCAAGCGTGATCCTCCACGACGCACTTGGCAGGTTGGACAGATCTTGACGAACCGCGAGATTAGCTCCTTAGGAACCCTGACAGAAATAGTTAGTGACTGCAAACCAAAACATGTACTGTCGTCGAATGACGCGGGATCTGGCCCACCATGAATAGATTCGCCGGACCTGAGCAGATGTCTTGTCTCGACCACCGTGCTGGCATTGCTGATGAGCCTTGATGAGGATTTTGAACAACTTTTCCCGAATGGCAACCGGCTTTCCCTCATGACAGATCATCTTCCGGTGCTGCACGTTGCGATAGAACACTTCATCAGCATTGATTTGATGGGCAATAAGAATATTGGAACCAAGAGACTTACATCTGATCCAACAGCCTGTAGCTTGAACATCTTCTTGACCCAGAATCTGTTTTGTTTTAGCAAAGCAGGAGTTAAATAGACCGAAGGGCTTCATACCGAAATTGGGCGGACTCCACTGCAGTGTCTTTGGGGTCAACCAGCACAGATCGAATGTTACGAGCCCTTTTCGCGTATATCAATGCTTTATCTTGTTTCTTGGTGGACAAATCCTTGACGTAGCTAGAAAGTTGATGTCTCAGTCTCAAATGGGCTGTATGCTTGTATCGAAGGGCTGGCATAAGCACTCACCTCTGCATCAGCTGATCAAACTCTTTCACATCGGGGAAACCGCTGGGTGCAGGCACTAGAGCCTCTGACAGCAATGTGGCCTCGTTGAGAGATTCTTGGCTCTCGATCTCTATTTCAACCAGCGGGTCGCGCGGGTGATACCTCGGCCCTTGAAGATAACGAGACTGCGACATGAACTGCGGTGGATGATGTAGCCTGGGGTCATCCGGAGTTGTCATTGATGGGATGGAATGCTCTGGTGTATATTGCAAATGCTGCAACCCCGGAGACAGGCTCGACTGTGTGCCATATGGCTGCCCGAATTGAGACCCATATGGATTGAAGGAATGATGAGGGAACTGATATGAGCCAGATCCATGTGTATTAAAATCATGATTCTCCTGCTTGAAATCATGACTCTCTGGTTGACCATATGAGCTAGGTACTGCCATGTGGTGATTCATGAGGTAGGCATCATTCCCTTCATTGCGCCTTGCAAAGCTGCTCATAATTGAAATATAGAGTCGAAATGCCGGTTGTTCGGTCCACGTTGGATCTGCTTCCCTTCAATGAAGGAAGGAATGAGAAGCAGGACGGTGACAGTATACGCAGAACTTCCGATGACGATTGCTCAGATTCGATGACCGATGACAACAGTGAAACAGAGACAGCCACGAGGAAACCAAGGAGATTAACCGGTTCGCATGTAGTCGAGGAAGGATTGCCACAGTATTCTCCGGTACGACGCAACAAGTAGACCAAGTACAGCAAGGGTAGCAGATACCACAAGGTTGAACAGTTCCCAAAGATGCTCAGGAGGTAGAATGGAAGAAGAATAGTTCACAGAAAGCTCATATAGGGATGGGGTAGCAATTCTATTAAAAAGACCCCAAAACGACAAACAGTGCAAGACTGACATGGCTGATGCCCAAGAGGAAGTGCACGAGACCATGTCGAAACAGAGATAGTGGGTAGAAATAACAGAGGGCATCCCTGGAAGACGAACAGCAAATATTCCACAGAGAAAAAGAAAAGAGCCAGTCGAGTCGAGCAGAGCTCTGTAAGGTACAGAAGCATAAGGTATTACCCAAGCAGGCAGAAGAGGAGCATGGGTCGAATGAAAAAAGACAGGAAAAGAAAAGAAAAAGCAGCAAGAGAAGACTGGGGTTCGTGGTCAATTCCTTCCGACCCGCCGAAGGTATCAAAAGGTGGAAGCAGGCTGATACGACAGCGCACAGAATGAGTGATACGGATTCCTGCCTTTCGATGCCCTGGAGATCAATCAGCGCCACCGTTTCCAAAGCCCTGAAGAAATGAGAGAGCCTAGTCGAGGCATCCTATCGGAGGTCAGTGAAGCCAACAGAAGAGGGGGTGAAGAGCACCCCTGATTTGACCAAAGTACAAAGTACAGCAAAGTACAAAGTACAGCAAAGTACAGCGGGGGCGGAAACCATCATCTCTCCGAATCTGGACTATACTTAGGAACTGGCATATTCCCGACTCGAATCAGGAAAAGGGGAGTCTTTGTCTCTGCACGTTTGCCCTCGTCAAACAAAGTAGAGGGATGTTGTCCATGCAAGTAGCCGTGCAAGTTGGTAAGGAACATGGGTTAATAGAAGTCCCACTCCTCTGGGAAGTTCTGCATCCTCTCTGTCGGGTTCATCCGCAAAGTTGAGAGAAGTGAGAACTGAGAAATGGGTGTACAAATGATCCACTGGGAACGATTGACGCCAAAGAGAGATTCAACGTGTTTTAGGCAATCCCTGTCACATTGACGTTGTGTGTTGGAGTCATGCTGTCCCATAGGTTTGTTTTTTTCTTTTTGATTATTTTCTTTTTTCTGTTTTGTTTTGACTGCAAGTAAGCGTGGGGGGATTTGACGTGGCAAGAAGAGAGAGAGAGAGAGAGAGAGAGGCAAGAGATTTGACCGGGGCAATCAAATGCACGGGACGACAGGATTGCATACGTTTGGCTCCGAGACTGAGACATTCTCTTTCTCTTTGCCGTTGTCGTTGTCGTTGTCTGTCTCTTTCTGTATCTTCCTCTTCCTCCTCCTCTCCCTCTTCCTCCCTCTCTCCCTCTCTCCCTCTCTTCCTCTCCCCCTCTCTCTCTCTCGCCAAATGATCCATTATCCAACCTTCAGGTTTCGGACCCTCGCAGATCAAAAGCCATGGTGATCTGGTCCAGAGCCGAAAAAGGGGAAAGAATAAAATGGACATGGTGTCACTCTGTTGCTTCCCGTCCTTTTGACCATGTTCCCGGAAATCATCTGCATAACCTGCCAGGGCTTTCTTCCGAGTCCGAGGTAAATGGAAACTTTCAGGTAGGAATTTGATATTAAGTACTCAGACAAAAATATGGTTACATAAGCCATCTCCAGCTTAGCCTTGGGAGGAAGCTGCTTTGGCAAAGAAAAGAAAAGAAAAAAACACCCATAATTTCATGGCATCGACCGAATCATCACGGTCAATGGCTAGCGTCTTCATGTCGTAAGTTCGTATTTTGGTTTGGCATCACAGGGTAAAAGACCATGAGGTCTAAGCTGATCCTCCATGGTCAAAGGCCACTAGATCGCGGATGATCCATCTCCAATGGTTTTTGTCCGCATCTCCTCGCTCAGGGCCAACCCATTTATCAACCTTGCGTCGCCACTTGTCTTCCTCGGCTCGCTGTCGTCGAATGAACTCGGGTCCGACATCGAATTCTTCGGTCATAGGTCCTTCATCAGAAGACTCCCCAATACTGGCATCGTCCCCTAGTGCGGGGAATTGGTCCTCCAAAGGCCCAGACTTTCTTCCTTGGATGGTGCTATGAGTAAACTCGTCATCCAAATCATCTAGGCCAGCAAACACATCGTCTTCGTCTGCACCAGGTTCAAGGGATGCAGCCTTCAGCCAGCACATACGATGTGGATCGAAGATCATTCCGCCTACGGTCTGAACGTTCTGTGTCGTCCCCACGTTGGTAATAAGTGCTGGGGCAGGCTTGGGTGATCTTGGGACGGTATCGAATTCGTGCATTACGTTCTCGTTCCCTTCCCACCGAAAGTTTGTAGGGTTGTAACGCATACCTCCCACAGCTAGAAATAATGAGTAGTGAGCATGGAACGACCTTATAGTAAACCAAAAAGATCCTTCACTTACATTTAGCATCCTGCACGCCAGTCCCCATTGGCTTGATCAAGTGCGGCTTGGACGTGGATTTGGCATTCGGTTTACCCTTCCGGCTTCTTATTGTGGCGGAGGCTGGAGGAATTCTCGAAACGGGCGAGGGCTTCCAATTGGAGTTGGAAGAATGAGAATTGGGATCACGACCCTTGGAGTTCATCGTCATGGACGCAATGCGTTGTTCTCTTGCATTCCTCGAGGCATTTGTGTCTCGGGCAAACCTAGGTGTCGGACTGGGCAATTTCGAGTATGGAGATGTGAAAGATTGAGGTGATACATCGGGTGAAGGGTCGATTCGGCTTTGGCTAAGCCGGGCACGGATGGATTTCGGAGCACCACGACCGGTTGGAGTTTTCACGAATTTGCTTTCAGCTAAAGCCGATGTGGACAAGTCATCAAAGGGCTCCAACTCCGTCCCATCCCCGAAATTTCGTCTTTTGGTGGGTCGTGTGATCGCCCGTTTGGTGGAAGAAGTAAGAGGACTTGCGTTGGCATCGCTAAACCCAGCACGGCAGGGTTCGTTGCGAGTCGATCGCGAGAGCCGAGAAATTGGGCCCTGTGGACTTAGAAAATCGCCCGAGCTGTCTGAATTGGTGCGACGTGACGAGCGATACCCCTTCACGCTGACATGATGTGATTGTGTTTCCGAAATACCAGCGGGCATAAATGGCATCTGTGGCTGTGCCCAGCGACCCTGAGATCTTCCGTCAGGGCGGTTCACCGGTGTCTTGGGTCTAGCAGTGGGAAGGGGAACTGAACGATCGGCCAGTGATCGCTGGGAAGTGGGAACTGAAGGGACCGACCCTACGCCACGAATCGATGGCAGGGATCGTTTGGGTTTCAATCTCCTAGTCGAAGAGTTGCCCTCGCCGGCCGAGGCAGTGTCTCTAGGATTTCGAGATCCGAGAAGACGTCGACCAGAAAGCGCAGGAGTCGGGGATGGCGGATTAGGGCCGGAAGTCGGGAGACTTGAAGTTGACGATTGAGACGAATGCCCCAGACGCGACTGTGATGTTCGGAATTTGGAAAGGGGAGCACCACTTTCCGACACGGTCTCGAGGTGAGTTGAATGAGTTCGATCATGACCAGACAAGCGTGGGATGCGAGTCCGTGGGGATCCTGTCGTACTAGTGAACGTGAGGGTTGTTGCGGGTCGACGAGTCGGGCTAGATGGCCGCTCGGTCTTGCACTTGATATTGGGATTCAGAGCCGGCTGTCCGAAGGAAAATGCCTTCTCGTTGTCGATATCAATCCCAGAGAAAAAGTCGTCGGCGTCAGAGGGAACCCGAGATCCCTGGTGCTCTTCAGTGTCGGCATTTTCAACTTGCGTCGTCTGTCGCTTCTGAAGGGAAGCAGTAAAATCAACAGGACCTTCGGGGATTACGAGACCATCAAGGCCATCGTCTTCACTTTCCGCAGTGAGACAACTTGAAACACTGGGGCTAGTGATGGATATAGAAGAACTGGGAACAGAACGACCATCTCTCCCAGTACCACCAACTCGTACACCAATGCTTCCTTCGGACCATTCAAGATCAAAGTCTTCCAACGTGGGGCTAGATACATAGAAGTTATCTTTCCGATGGGATAATTCAAGCGGCTGATTATTTGCGGGAAGCTCGAAATCTTGGTTGAAGTCGTCGTCTGTTTCCTGTTCAATATTGTAGCCACTGCCGACATTGGCGGTGCTTAACTTCTTTGGAGATCGAGGATTTGGGGCTTTGAGTGTTGGGACATTTCGATAATCCAGACCATCACTTTCATTCGGGGAGGCGTCAGATGGTCTCGGCCCCGATTGCAAGTGTGTCGATAACTCTTCATCCCAAGACGGCGAGGCCGTGGATTTCACTGGACTAGTAGCCGCAGAGCTGAGGTGTCTAATAGTATCAGGGAACACTGTTTCTCGCCTTCTGAGTTGTAGCACAGTTTCAGGGTCCGGGAGCTCAACATCTTCCGACCAGTCGTCGACAAAAGTATGCTTGCTCTTTCGAATTGAAAGGCGCTTGATTGTGCCCCCGATAAGAGCCGACTTAGGAATATCTAGGGGAATAGGTATTCCCGCGGTTTTCGCTGAAGCAATGGCATCTTCTTTCGCAAACTCATCGTTATCGTAGAGCGGGACCTGCCAGTCCTCGTCGCCCGCAGTGGAGTCAATATCTGAGCGAGCCGAACGTCGAGAAGAGATGGAATCACGATGCCCGGAGGGTCGAAATGATGAATTTGTTATGGAACCCGCGCTGGATGCAGTACGAAAGTGGATGTCCTCGCTGAACTGCAAGTCGTCGTCATCATCCCAACATTCAATCGGCTCGTCGGTGCGCAGCTGTGCGTTGATGGGTAGGGGTTCCATGGTCAGAGAGGCGATTTGGTTCAGGTCAGAGAGCAAAGCCGGGAGGTCAAGAGTAGTTGTCAAAAACGTTTATGGTTCAAGTAGCAGACTCGGAGATTTGCGACACTGCTGAGGATTCAGGGGATGCGAACATGAGCGTCATTCCGAGTTGCTGAGGAAGGAAGGAAAGGCGCGAGGGCAGGAACAAGACTGCAATGTTGATCGTTACTGGAGAAGAGAGCTCGGATATTGTATGGGTTGTGGGAGAGGTCAGGTCAACGGAGACCGTTGCTTAGAGTCAATTGCGCCAAATGAGACCAAGCGGGTTCCCTGATAAATGCCCGGTCCTCATCCAAAAACATTCGCTAAAAGAAGACACACAAGCATTGGGGATGCCCCAGGACACTTGGTATCAATGACTGTTAACCAGAAGAATTGGCAGATTTCAAAAGACACGTAGAATAAAAGGAGAAGCACAAACAGGAAGTGTCGGTTGTGGCTGGATCTCAGATTCCTCGTGGAGGAGAGAACGTGACGGCCCTGGGGTACGGGTAATATTACGAAGTATCCAATTTACTTGCGTAACCCCATAGTACAACAAGCATTTATAGAGTTCAATACTTGGTGGATACGTGTATTTACATATTATACGTCTTTTGACTAGCTGAGAAGTCTTCTAGTCTCGTTCTAGGCAGCTATATCGTCGATATATTGTAAATAAAATGATTCTTATGATCCTCTCTGCGCCAAAATTCAGCTAATTTCTAACTATTATACGGTTTGTATGACAGCCATTGACGGTAGTGGTAATCAAAATGGACTTATATTTGATGTAGCCAGTACTTTCTGCGAATGCCGTCCCAAGTGTGGAGACCTATGTTGTAGTCAAGTAACTGGTACTTTCTGGGCGGGTACTTCCATGTACCTTCTACATTCTGAAATTATCGGAGTTCTGCTGCCTTGGGATTTATCTTGTGCTGGACCTATAAAGTTATGCAGCTTGAAGGACCTGACTATATCTAATCCATTATTCTCTCTTGCCTCCTCTCTTTCCTCTGGCATCCCTCCGAGTCCTTACCAAATATGCCATCCTCTGTTTCCACAGAGCCCCGGGTCTTGCGGTTTCCTAGGTCTGACGAGACTGATTATTTTGTGCTTATTCACGTCTCATGTACCGGTCCTGCTCCGCTTGACTTGACCCTGACAGCTACTGAGGGGGAGTCGCCCTATATTAGCTTAGGTGGGTCTTCACAAATCCAATGAAAAGCTCAAGAGTTCATGTTGCCTAGTGAAACAAGCACGCTTAAAAGACTTGAGAGCAAAGAACTATCAAGGATCAAATGAAGAATGGCTTCAGACTGTCTCCCTTGTCTTGGGACAGAGCTCTGCCCCTCTTGATGGGCCGGACTGGGCCACTGGTCTCGAGGCCTCTGCCAACATCTCCGGTTCTGGCGAAGTCAATAAAGAACTGGTGATCACGATACGGAAGAGGGTGCAGACTATTACAGTTCGTGGCTTACAATGACGTCTTTTTCTACTTCATTTACCTTCCCACTGACTGTGACATAGCAACGGCTCGGTACTTTTATTCTCAAGCAAGACGATGAACAAGCTGTCGAGCTCTTCGAATGGACAGGACTTGCTGCCGCCAGAGCTGATGTGCTAGAGCAAGAAGTATCTAGCTTGACCAGCCGTTATCGCCTTGCGGAGAATACTATACATAGATTGAATGAGCAGCTTCAAGAGCTTATGGATGCGAAAATCCAGCATGAGAACCGATTGATGGCCAACTTTGTGCAGGTATTGAATGAGAAAAAGCTCAAGATTCGCAACCAGCAGCGTCTTCTAGCATCCGCAACTGTGGATGCCACTAGAGGTACGAGGGACATCTTCATGGACCCGCGGCTCATAGGCTGACGGACAGTCAATAGTTTCTCAGATACAAGCTAGCATTTCCGAAGAGTCACATGGGCTCGCCGAGAAAGCTCGCCAGCGAAAGAAAGGCTCCCACAAAATGAGCGATACAGAAGACTCTGATGGGTTCGAACAGATGAACATTGATCCCGCAAAAAGCGACCGAGTTGATACCAATGATCAAGACACCGATGATGAAGGGCGTTCCACCCCTCAAGATAGCTCGACAGATGACGATTTATCGCAAGATGACTCAGTTCAGCAGAAGCGGGCTTCCCCAGCGAGAGACACCGCTCCGCCACCGAGAGACTTGCCATTTGCTAGAAGGACCGCTGTGCCAACCCAGGCAAGAGCTCAGACCGTGACCCACGAAGATGAAGAAACTGCAGGAGAGACGGACGATGATGAGCTTTGAGTCGGCCGCGGGAACGAGCTAGATGGGCCATTTCACTGAAGCAGGATAAAGCTATTCGGGATATTTCACGGAATCTCAGTTTCTGGACTCTCTGGGCCTATGGACACCATAAGCAATACTCACAGTTCTGTTTGTGGCATCCGGACTTTTCTAGTCCCATGGTCGTCTGCCTTTTCCTTCTTGTCCCTGTTGTTTCGATCTTTCCCTTCGTTCTCTCCTTATTGGCATGGGCGGTTCCCTCCGCTGCAAGTCATCTACTATAGTTCTCGCCCGAATAGTAGCTAGCTGGGGGTTCCCGAAGCGCTCTTCTGACGATTGGGGCTGATCTACCGGGGGCCAGGGATTGTGAACTAGGAGTGATTCTACGCACTATTTACGGAAGTAGCATAAATTCATCATCGAACGCCCATGGACTCGAGATTTTGGGGTTTCGGTCTTCTATGTACAAGGCAACCACTACCGATTAATCCCAGGCGACACCCGATAATGGCGAAGAGGTCAACAGGAACCGAAAGGGTGTTCAAGATGATAGGGAAACCCCCAGAGGAAGGGATGTAAACAGTACATCAAAAGGGAAATTTAAGATGTGGAACATAAAAACGCCTGCAACCATTAGGAAAATACAGAATGAGGTCCATGATGGACCACGATCTAGCCATACAAAGCTTGGGGAGACATTTCTCCTGCGGCCATGAAGTTAGTCTCAGGGTTTCCAGTGGCCTTGGCAGCAGATGCGCGGGCCATGGTGGGAGAACTAAATCAGGGGTTAGCAATGGGATCCAAGTGTATACAGATGTCAAGAACATGGCACTCACCTTCTAGAGATAGCATCGGTGAAGAAGAAGTCTTCGATCACTTTCTTGAAAGGAGCTCCAGTAGCCGCGGATCCCTTGTTCTGGTCTACGAGCTGGACTTTGCTCAAAGAATTGACTGAAGTTGGCTCAACAACGTCGTACCGACGCATAACAGGGCTGATTTCCTCCATGCGATCACGGAGCGCTTCGATGTCATCATAAGGAAGAGGCGCACCGAGGAACTCGCTAGTGGCACGGATGATCTTCCAATCATCACGAGCCGCACCGGGGAGGGAAGTGGCAGCACGGGTAACCTGCACACGGCCTTCTGTGTTGAGGTATGTACCGGACTTCTCGGTGTATGCTGCGCCCGGGAGAACGACATCAGCAAGCTGAGCACCGCGATCGCCGTGGTGTCCTTGATAGATGACAAAGGCGTTCTTAGGGATCTCGCTTTGAGCGATCTCATCTGCACCCAACAGCCACACCATCTTGGGGGTAGTCTGGGCCACCTGGGTTGATGGTGCAGTGAAGCCAACTTCATAAGCACCGGCTCGAGATGCCGCACGCTGGAGTACGTTGTAGCCCTGCCACTCAGGGGTGATGAAGCTGGCTGCATGCTTCTCAACGAAGCCACCGACAGCCTCGAAGATGGCCTTGGCGTCAGGGTGCTCTGCAGCAGCGCTGCCGACAACAATCATTGGCCGTTCGGCAGCGGCAAGCTTCTTGCCGAATTCCCCGGACAAAGCGGTCTTCAAAGCAGAGACATCGGTGCCTAGGTGGTTGAAGTCGAAAGTGCTCTCAAATTCCTCACCGACAAGCCCAATCTCAAGATCAGATCTGAGATACTGCTTGCGAATACGAGCATTGAGAACAGCAGCTTCGTGACGAGGGTTTGTTGCAACCAGAAGGATTGCATCGGCCTCTTCAATTCCATAGATCTTGGAGTTGAACAGGTAGTTGGAACGAACGTCGATTCCATGGGCAATGGGAGAACCACCTCCAGGTTGATCGAGGGCAAGGTTGTCAGAGCCAAGCTTGTTCGCCAAGTCTTTCATGGCAACGAGCGTCTCAGTGTCGACCAAGTGGCCAGCGACAGCCTTGAACTCATTTGCCTGCGGCTGCAGCTTCTGATGAGCTTCGGAGATCTCAGTCAAAGCCTGTTCCCAGGTTGCAGGCACGAATTTACCCTCCCGGCGAATAAGTGGGGTTGTGAGCCGTTGGTTCTTCAGTCCGTCGCATGCGAATCGAGACTTGTCATTGATCCATTCTTCGTTGATATCATCATTCAACCGGGGGACGATTCGCATCACTTCCAATCCTCTGCTATCAATCCGAATGTTCGAGCCAAGCGCGTCAAGGACGTCGATCGATTCAGTGTGCTTGAGCTCCCACGGACGTGCCCGGAAAGCGTACGGCTTCGAGGTCAGTGCACCGACGGGGCACAGATCAATGACATTGCCTGAGAGTTCGGAGTTAAGGTTCTGCTCGAGGTAGGTTCCAATCTGCATGTCGTTTCCGCGGCCAGCGGCTCCGAGTTCTGGGGCACCGGCGACGTCGTTCATGAATCGGACGCAACGAGTGCAGTGAATGCATCGGTTCATTGAGGTCTTGACCAGGGGTCCAATGTTTTTGTCCTCCACAGCACGCTTTCCGCCAGTTTCATGGAATCGGCCTCGATCGGCACCGTAACGCATCGACTGGTCCTGAAGATCACACTCTCCACCTTGATCGCAGACGGGGCAGTCTAGAGGATGGTTGGCGAGAAGGAACTCCATGACACCCTCTCTTGCCTTGTGAACTAGCGGCGAATTCGTCTTCACCACCATACCGGGTTGAACCGGCCAAGCACAGGAAGCCACCGGCTTGGGAGCACGTTCGACTTCGACGAGACACATGCGACCTATGTTTTGAATCAATTAGTATACCTCCATGAGACGCAAAGTGAGAGTGGGTGTTGCACGTACAGTTTCCTGCAACCAAAAGTTTTCTTGGGGAACTAGCGTTAGCAATGACGAAATGAGTAACTCGACGGAAAGCACGTACTCGTGATAGCAATATCTGTCACACGTTAGCATACGAGGATCAATGGATTGACAGAGGCTTGGTCATACCTAGGAATAGTCGCGCCAGCTTGCTCACAGGCTTGGATGAGAGCCGAGCCAGCTTGGAGGGAAGGTGAGCAAAGGACCAATGGGTTATCCTGAGGGGTATTTACCTTCTACCGATACCTTCTTTCCATCTAGAGAGCCAAGTTATCAGTTATGTGTCAATTTTGATGGATCAGACCAAGATAGGACCTACCAATGGTGAGTTCCACCTCGGCCGCGCGAGGGGCTGTCGTCGCAAAGGTCCTGGGGGTGACCTTAGGAACCCGGAGAGACCGGGCGGCCGCACGAAACAGCTGCGGCCGCATCATTGACAATGAGCAGAGATATGAAGGTTGGGTATGATGTGGAGAAGGGCGAGGGGAGTTGAGTTCCTGGTGACGGGAGGGAATTCAGAGAGCACTTTGCATCGGAATCTGCGGTTACCTAATGAGAGTGCTGACCATCACATCTGCTGACTAAGAGAGATAATTGGCAAATGGGCTCATGCTGATTGGCTCCCAAGACTCGGTTAGGCGGATAAACTTCTGCTCCGGGTTTCCTTAAAAGCAGCGCATTTCCCACCTGGCCTTGTCCTTTCTCCAAATAAATTGTTTTTCAAGGGCATCATTTATTGTAGGAGGCAGGCAATTTCCTTTTCCTATTTCCTCTACAGCATGTCCCAAGAGCGAATTTGCGCCGTAGCTGGAGCTGTCAAGGGTTCGCCTGATGATGACTTTGTTCCTTACCGACGGTAGCTACATCCTTCTCAAGCTATATAGCATCTGTATGTGAAATACATCTCAGTTTATTTTCCATATCTTTGGTCTCGCCGCAATACCCCAGAATCAAATTACTGGGATCCCAGAGACTCAGAATGTAATACTAACTGCACAGCATCCCATGTTAACGAAATGAGGCTCTTAAATTGGAAGTAACACCGCTCTGCCATGATATCGTACAATGAATTGATAGTATACAAATGCTAAGCTGCAGCCTGAGAATCGCTAACTTGCCAGGTCGATTCCTGTTTGGTCCCTGGTAACCAGGTGCGAGAAACACTGGCCCCTCTCGGTCGAATATGCCCAGGCCGGTCGTCTTCTTTCTTGGAACTGTTAGCTGCAGTATGGAAGGTATTAGGGCCTCCCTCAAAGACCCCCCTTCCTCCAGGGAAGGCATAGCCGTTGGAATCCCATGGCCTGCTTGAGTGTCGTACATTCAGGGGCAGGATGGACTTCTGGGCGCGGAAGTGATCCGTGTTTGCTCTTTGGTCGGCAACATCGTCATGGCTGTTGCGGTCGTAAAGATAAAGCCCGACAAAGGTAAGGCCAATACCAAACGCTTGAACCGAAGTGGTCGAGCTTCCAAACCATACAATGGCCACCACAATCACAAACACGCGCTTGACCAAGGATGCAACTGAATATGATACCGGAGAGATCATCGACAGCAACACGAAGGCCAGAATATTCTGGGCAAAATGTGAAACGCCATTGAATACAAATTCGAGAAAGAGAGGGCCGTGATCCAATGACCCTTTCTTACCCGACAGCGATATCGCACCGTCATGTACGAAATCAGACACTAGCGGATAGCCCTCAGTGACAAACCAGATGGGCAGATTGAGGAAGAAGGCCAACCCAGAACAGTAGCAAAGAAGGTTGAGTTTGTCCAACTTTCTCCTCCCCAGGTTTTGCAAGTCGGATTCTGCGCGATCTACCTCGTTGAACAACTTCTTCGAGAAAATGTTCTGTGAAACAAACACAATAGCTGCGCCAAATGCGCAGAATATACCGAAGAAGTTTGTAGACACCCCAGTCGAGCATGCAAGCATCACACCGACTGTTAGGGGGATCAATGATAGATAGGTTGCCCGAGCATATTGAATGCGAAACAAGACTCGGTATGCTAGAACCGTGAAGAGCGGCGAAAGCCCCTTGATGGTGTGGACCAAAGATACGGGAATTTGTGCAGTCGCCATGGAGCTGAGAATGTGACCAGCTAATTGAAACACAGCAAGAGGCAAGGCCGTAGCGATCAGATCGCGAGAAGGGTAGCGAATTCCATGTTGAAGTATGGGGACACTTTGTCGCAACTGAGGTATCCAGTTGGAAACATACACCAAGAGCAAGCACCAGAAAGATACAAATGCAAATTGAATCATTGTCAGCGTAATTGGCATCGGAAAGGCATTCAGGATCGACTTCGAGGATGTGTTTGTGAGGGCAGAGGTCAGGTACCAAACGACACACAGGGCCTGCAGATACTGTGTTAGCGAGCAACTTTAAACACATATTGGCGCATCAACATACAATCAGTCGGTACGAGACTGGGGCGCGAAGTGCTTGTGCCAATTCATGGGCATTTGCCGTCACACTGCCATTGCGCGTCCTGATTGTCGTGATAGCTTCGCTAATGCTCTTCCGTGGGCGGTGTTTCGGGTTTCGTGCCGATCCGTTCCCGTAGTCTCGGGAGTAGAAGCTTGCTTTTCGGGGTTCCCAAAGGCCGCTCGGAGCATACTTCACTGAACCGCTTCGGCTTGCACGGGTTGACCCCATGACAGTGTCGAGCGTGTCTTCGTAGGGTGGGAACTTATCTATCGGGCTGTTCGTTGATTGGGGGACTGAGGTCTTGGTTGGAATCTGCAACTCAGCCTGGCGCATGGAGGAGCGTCGTCCATGGCCGGTCACTGTCGTCGTCGCCATCTTTCACACCCCGGATCGTCGAAGCTATCTTCCGAAATGTCAATTGCCTGGAACACGCATGAAACCAGTGCTGGTATCACCTACCCGGGAAAGGGATGAGCACGCAGCTGTGGATAGACAAATCGCTCAATGGTCCCTGGTGAAGATGTGACTTCGATCGATGGAGGGAGAAGGGCGGGTTGACTTGCCGATCTGTCTGTCGATGACGAATCTCCTTGGGCGAATGAGCGTCGAGTACAGAGAACACACGCTTCCGGCGACGTCGATGAGCGAGGGAATGTGGGAAATACGCCGGCGTTATCAGTGATGCTCTGCTATAGGTAAGACCAAGCGGATAATTGTTATGGGAGAATTTCAAGTTGTAGAGTTTAGAAGATGTCCCACTTTGATCAACACGACCACGGGTAGCGATGCAATTGGATTTTCCATCTACCGCCACCAGCCATAAAGAGCATTACATCAATTGCTCAGGTCTACTCTAGATATTGACATTGTGTGCAATGTTCCTCTCTACCGTCTAGGACGTGCGATTTTGACACTCTGTGGTTTTCGATATCTCTTTACAAAGTAGTTGAAGAAACTGGTCATTTGTTCCGTTTCCGTTCGCTTCTACCCATTACGCGTCGCTCGTATCACGTGATCTAGTCCCTGACCTGAATGCACGTGACACGTCTTGGCTTTGAAGTGAGTTAGAACTTAGGGCAAGCTTGAAGTGAACCGTGTGTGAGCTTTTAGTTTTCCAGGCCTACGGATTACGGAGTCGGTAACTCGGTATGCTCATGAGGTGACTCAGGAGTCAGGTGAACCACCGGAGTCTACTCCATACGATGATACGGCGTACATGTCAACTACATGTATTAAACTCAATCACGTGCATGATCAACTATATACTACTGCGAATACATACTCCAACCACAAAGAGCCTGCTAGTTATTTGCACTTTATGTGAATATTTGATGCATAGCATAACCAAATCAAATAGGTTTAGAGGCTACTAGGTCCTATGTATACATGACATATTCATTGGGAAGGCTCACCTTTTACGTTCCTTCCTGGACCGTTCAAAAGGTTGTCTCTTTCCATCTTTCTTGACCACCCTTCTGTTATCATCCCATTTCCTCTTCTCATCCCATCTCACCTTCTACTCAATTTTCACATCTCCAAAAGCTCCCTCATGTTTACCATCATCTCGCAAGAATCTGCTCAGAATCCTTCTTGTTGCATGTAAGCTCACTTGGTTCCCAACGAGCTTGTTTGTTGCATTCTTCACGCAGCGACTTCATTGCTTTTCTACTCTCTTCTCTTTAGTCCCTATCGCTTCCTTTGCATTGGGCTCTACCACCTGCAAATATGACTACCTTAAGCGGGCCTCCATCACTTGGTCGCATGGGTAACGGAGGACATTTCACCTCTAATGAGAGCATTGACGTGCGAAATCTATCTTTTGAACATGAATCCTCGGTATGTCCCATGGGATATGATGATGACTGGAGAAGACGATTCACATCCTAACTATGTTTGCTTTCTGCAGCAGAGCCCACAGAACTCGACTGCACATTTCGGTCCTCCCAGTTCCGCTGAGACCTCCAGACATGGAAAGCTACAGGTATTGTCCGCTGAAGGGACTGAGCACTCGACAAGCAAGGTGTGTGTCTCCTGTATCATTGACCCAGGTGTGTACGTGTGATCTCACAATCCCAGAAGCAGAAGCTAGATCATATCAAACTTGAATCCATGAACGGACCAAGGACGGATCTGCAGAGAATATTGGAAAAGCTTTCTCCACAGACAATTCCACCCTCCCGATCCGAGATTGCGCATTCTTCTGCGTCGTCCCAGTTTCCTACCAGTGCAACAACACCAGCATCAACACTAGCCGAAGGTGCCCATCCTTATACCCAGGAAGATAGAGCGGCGGAAGTGTTTCGTCTCAAACAGGAACTCCTCGCTGCAAATTCGAGGATTGCTCTGCAGGAGCAAGAGCTTGCACAAACTCGTGTGATAAAGCACACATTAGATCAAGCACTTGGTTCTCCATCCGAGGTGGATTTCGGAAACCGTGAAATCACAGACCAGGCCATCGGCCACCTACAAAGTGCTTTCAATGCACCAGGCTCTGCATTCGGTAATTTTCCAGATGCATGGGGTGTCCAGGATGATTCGCAGTCTGATATGTCGGATCCATTGCCTACCGGAGCTTACGGCAGATATCGGGGGCTCTGGGGCCCCAATGACCCTGGCATCGACAGGGAGTACGGGGAGAGTCAGTCAGGTACTAGCAGCTCTGTAAGCCAAGATGCAAATCGATTTTGGGGGATGTCCAATATGTACCCATCGTTTGCCGGCCAATCATCCTTGCAACCTCAGAGGACACAGCCGGGGTCCTCGGCTAGTCCATGCGGATTCTACTCACGTCCCACTAGCGACCAGTTCTTTTACCCTCCCGGGCCCATCCCTGGGTCGCGCCGCCCCATCACCCAAAGCAGTAGGGGTGGATCTCTATTTCCGATCCAATCAACACCCTGGGGTGAGCTTGCTTCCGGGTCCAACAGTGAGCAGACCCCCAAGTCGCCTCCTTCGCCGACGAAGAGACCCTCAAGTGCCTTCCAACAGGTTGCGTTGTATTCTGTGCCTTCTTATCCCCCAAGGCCAGTGGGCAGCCCCCTTTCGCCAACTGCTACTGAATTCACAGGTGTGAGTACGAACGAAACAACATGGACCACTTCGGTAAGGCTTGATCTTACACCTCGTTGCATTGATTCTAATCATTGCCAGATGGGCGGCAACTCCATCCAAACTTACGTGTCACCACTAGAGCCGCTCAACTATCGGCGTCTGCTCGACAAAAATGTATCGTGCGACTGGAAGTACATTGTAGATAAGATCATCTGCAACAATGACCAACAGGCTTCACTCTTTTTGCAACAAAAGCTCAAGATCGGCACAACCGAGCAAAAGTACGATATCATCGAGTCAATCGTGCACCAAGCCTACCCCCTCATGGTCAATCGATTTGGGAACTTTCTGATACAGCGCTGCTTTGAACATGGAACCCCAGAGCAGGTCGTGGATATCGCCAATGCGATCCGAGGCAACACACTCACTCTCAGCATGGATGCGTTTGGCTGCCATGTAGTTCAAAAGGCATTTGACTGTGTTTCCGAGGAGTACAAAGTCATCATGGTGCACGAACTTCTCCGCAGAATTCCCGAGACGGTGGTTCATCGATATGCGTGCCATGTGTGGCAGAAACTCTTCGAGCTCCGGTGGAGTGGCGAGCCTCCCCAGATAATGACTAAAGTCAACGAGGCACTACGTGGCATATGGCATGAGGTTGCTCTTGGAGAGACGGGGAGCCTGGTTGTTCAAAACATCTTCGAGAATTGCGTGGAAGAGGAAAAGGTAAGATTCTGCATTGTCCCTGGACCACCTGCCTCGCTGGCTTACTCGCGCGTTTGATGTTCCACTTTCATGTCGATACTAACACCTGTGGACTTGATAGCGACCTGCAATTGAAGAAGTTCTGGCGAAGATTGATGTACTCGCTCATGGCCAGTTTGGAAATTGGTGCATCCAGCACATCTGCGAACACGGTGCTCCTCACGACAAGAGTCGTGCTATTGAGCATATCATTCGCTGGGCTGTAGATTACAGCATGGATCAGTTTGCGTCTAAGATTGTGGAAAAATGCCTCAAGATTGGGGGTACGGAGTTCATGGACCATTATCTTTCTCGCGTCTGCACTGGTCGTTCCGATCGGCCTCGCATGCCCTTGATCGATAGTAAGTTATGCACCCTTTACCACAAAGACAATGTCACTAATTTATCTTTAGTAGCGGGAGATCAGTACGGCAACTATCTCATTCAATGGATTCTGATGAATGCTTGCCCTCATCAACGAGAGCTTGTGGCCAGTCACATACGGTACCACCTTCTATGATCTATTCTTTTCTTTTTGCCTTAAGATGCGCGAAGACTAACAGCCAATTAGGAAACATATGGTCTCCCTTCGTGGCTCCAAGTTCGGCTCTCGGGTGGCCATGCTTTGTTGCAACCCATCTCATGCTACCCGTCCTGGCCCTGGTGCTGGGATGCAAGTCGGTCGGTTCAACAGTTTCAGTGACGACAAATTTAGCACAAGCCAGTCCGGTGGTCGTTTCGGCCGCGGACACCAATGGGGCCCCAACCATGCCCAACTTCGTTGAGTCTCTCTTGATTCTCAATTCCATTCTTATCCTATCGTGAGAACTCCGAGAAAAAGCATGACCAAAAGAAAAGCGAAGATTTGTTTATTTCTATTTTTATTCATTTCTCAACACCAAGGCATCCATTCTGTGTCGAGCCTCCCTATGTCTTTGCCAGTTTGCTTGGCCGTGGTTTTATCCATATCTATGATTCAAGGTGTATTCTTAGTTCAATATGGAAAGGTATTATTACTTGCCAATTCATTCATTCGGCTTTCTAACTTCGGTGACTATCGAGTCTTCCCGATCCCAGGGAGTGAAACTGCGGCGTGTCATTCTAATCACAAGCAGAATGATATCGTTATTATTGCAATACTATCCCATCCAAGGTGTCCGGCATAAAACCCACATGAACAAGATATCATGGAGCAGCAGTTGTAGTGTCATCGGCATCCATAGTCACTTCGCCCCTCTCCCATGGCTTCGGTCGTCGTGGCTTCTCACTGGCAATATCATGTCCACTCAGGACTGTATCTGGTATGTCCTGGATGCCGGGGATGGGTTGGCCTGTGGTGATGAGTTCCACAATGTGCGCAAACGAGGACGGGTAAGCAGGTTCAGGATGTGTCCCACTTTCAGATCCCGTAGCATCTTTATCTGACGTTGTGATTTGCGAGTCTGCGCTTGGTTGAGGCTCCGTCCGTCCCAACCATGACTTGAAGGCGGCAAAGTCAATCGCTGGAACTAGGTTTTCTTTTCTATCGATCAAGACCAGATCAGTAATATATCCATAGTTGGGGGTGTTTCATGGCATACCGTGAGAAAAAGAAACACTTTGCTTGCAAGACCAGGTCGTCATCCCGATTAATCTCCACCTTGGTAGCTGGGGTATCTGGGTGACCAAGTATTATTGAGAGGCCATTGGCAAATTCGGGATCCGAATCAAAAGAGTAAGCCAGCAGTCTCTCAAAGACTGGAATTTCCGAGGAAGCCATTGTCTACTTCTCTTATTCGGAAGAACATGTAGCTAACGTCCGTACCTGATCTCGGGCGATTCTTGGCCCCTTTCCATTTTCGTGCTGATCCCTTGCCGCTTTTTGCAAACCGAGCTTATTAAGCACTCGCCGGGATTTGATGTCGATAATCTACCTCGGTACTCCGTATGGCGCTTGAGATGGTGGTTTATGGTTATGTACGGAGTACCCAGCTTTATTTTGCACAGACCACGAGAGTCAAGTAGTAGTATACTGTACTGTGGTATAGTCATACGTAGGCACTAGGCACGTAAGGCCTGGGATGTAGAGAGTGGGTAAAATGAGGCTGAGGGCCAGACGAGGCTCATTAATGATTGAATACTTCGTTTCCCCTGAAACATGAGTCCCACGTGGAAATTGCAATGTGAGTTGTCTTAATAATTTTCTCATATATACAGAGACGCCTTGCCCTATGCTAACTTTTAGCCAGCCCTGGACTCCTGGAGTCAAACGCAAATTTCCGGGATATCTTGTGAGCGACGCCAAACCATGCAATATTGGAATTAAGTCCATGCCCTAAACTGTCGTGTCCATTCCATCCGTTGTCTTGACTGTGTCAGACCGCAAAGGCAAGCTTCTGCTTTGACACCCGGGGCAGTTGTGCACAACTTCATGGGCAAATAAATCACAGTCGATACAGAAATGGTTATGACACGCGGTACATTCATAGCGACTGCTCACGCTCATTCCCTTGGTCTGACTCTCTGCCACTTGCCACTGCTCTTCCGGGGGCACAGATGGGAAAGTGAGACCGCAAGCGAAACAACCGGAGCTTTGCGAGGCCCGACGCCATGGCACTTCCACCCAATTGATCAAGGGAAACAGATGATGATATGATCGTGCCAAATGAGTGGATAGAATCAGTGTGAGTCCACAAGCTGGGCATTCAGCAGGAAGGCTGCACACTTTGCTGTTGCATCGTGAACAAAGATAGCCTCCTCGTGAAGGCTTTGAATGGCACGCGCAGAGAGAGGGGTTGGACTCCACTGTGCGAGAAGGGAACCCCATCATCAGCAATGAGCTTGTAGACTCTTTCTGTGAATAGGCAGCTGGGGGCGTAGTCACGTCCATCATGAGTTCCCGAAAATGTTGCTCATTCAGCGCTACTCCATACGCTGTTTCGTTTCCCCCACTGGTCTTTGTACAAAGTTCCCGGCAAATTGCGACCTGCGCTCCGAGTCCCACGATTCCCACTCGAATCTTGTCGCTGATCAAGGTCCCTATCGTTTGGTGAATATCTCCCGGATCGGAGGAGAGAAGTGAGCCATATAATATTAGCACTTCTCGAGTGCCATGGCTAGGTGTATGGCTAAGTCCATGGATTAGTGTTCGTTCAGGTTTCCATACCGTTTGTGATTGGTGCAAGGACCTACAAAAGAGCACCGCGTGCCATCTCCAGTCCATTTTGAAGACTAGGTAAGCCCTTGGGGTCTTGTGTTTTGAGTGCTTGGATGGCACTGAGATGTTCTGTGGGATTACCACTCATATCACTCACACGGAGCGCGAGGCCATCTCTCAGGCCGAGCACGCCGAGCTGAGATATGGGATTTTGTTCAAAGAATTCTCTGACGAACTCCTGGGCATATCGGAGAGTCAATAAGTATCTTGTGGGTCGCATATCCTTCTCGGACATGGATTGTGAGAGGTCCAGGATTAGGATGAGATGTCGAATGATACCACGCTGCAGTGGTGTCGTATCTTTCAAAAGCCTAGGGACGAACCATTTAGCAAAGGAATATTTGGAAGCTTTCTATGTGTGAACTCACCTTTTTCGCTTCCCGGCCTCCAGCAGTCCCTCAACAGTTGAGTTGATGGTACCATCAGCTCCTTCCACAAGAGTTTCCCAAGTTCTGGATAGCTCCCATTCTGCGCCTCCACGCTGCTTTCTCTTTTTGGCTCGTGGGTCATCGCCACGATTCACCTGTAGATCATCCTCATCTTCCGTGACCTCTCCCACATATTCTTCGTCGGAGTCAGCCATGTTGTTCGTCGGTAGGTGTGGAGAGAGAGAGAGAGACGTTGCGGGAGCCTTGAAAATGGTCCAAGCTTCCGGCGGAGCTCCGTTGAACATAGGAGGAATCTCTTTTATTCTTTTCTCCGTCCCTGTGCCTTTTCACTTGGTCCCTTGGATTCTGCTTTATATAACTTCTTTGTCAATTGAGATTTCCAATTTCCCGATAGCCGTAGACGGATTTCCCCCTCCATGTGGGGAAGAAGATCCATTGCGAGAGCTGGCCTAGCAATTGAAGCTCTCCGTCCAGTTCCTGTCCGACTCCGCCCTACCCCTCCTCTTTTTTCTCGCGCCCTCCACGTTTCTCTCTCGCACTCCTCCCGATTGAGACCTCGACTGCCAAAACCAGCTGCTACATTAGTTCTGAGCTTTCCGTCCATTAGACATTGTTCCGCCGAAGCCCGCATGATGGCATCCCAAGACAGAGAGACACTTCCTGACGTGTGAGTGAATACCCAATTGAGTTGGTTTCTCCTGGTTTCTTCCTCTTCTCTGGCCCTCTTTCCTCTGTGGCTTATAGGAACAGAAGCTGATACAGTAATAGGGCTAAACCTGTCAACTACCATGTCTCTCTTTTTGATCTGCAATTGGGTGGTTCATGGGAATACAAGGGCGCTTTGAAGATCGATCTCCAAGTCACCCGTGCCACTAGTGAGATTGTGTTGAATTCGAAGGAAATCGAGGTACACGATGCAGAAATATTGGGAAAAGACGGTATGTGCGCAGATGATTGATTCGCCATTCAGGCAATGATAGAGACTAATGCTCTTGTCACAGGCAGCCGGCTCGCTCAGGCATCCGGAATCACCTACGACAAGCAATCGGAGCGAGTTTCCCTCGCTTTCCCCCAGAATATTGAACCGGCAGACGTTGTGCTTTCTATCAACTTCACAGGAACCATGAACAACGCGATGGCCGGCTTCTACCGCTCCAAGTACAAGCCGGTTGGAGAAGCCTCTGCCGACACCCCCAAGGAGGGTGAATTCTACTACATGCTCAGCACTCAATTTGAGTCCTGTGATGCTCGGAGGGCTTTCCCTTGTTTCGATGAGCCGAACTTGAAATCCACCTTTGATTTCGAGATTGAAGTTCCCAAGGGACAGACTGCACTAAGCAACATGCCTGTTCAATCCGAAAGAGACGGAAGCAAGCCTGGATTGAAGTTTGTCACCTTCGAAAAAACACCGGTCATGAGCACATATCTTCTGGCCTGGGCGGTTGGTGACTTCGAGTATGTTGAGGCTATGACTCAACGCAAATACCAGGGCAAGAGTATCCCTGTTCGCGTCTACACAACGCGAGGCTTGAAACACCAGGCTCAGTTTGCACTAGAATGTGCTCACCGCACGGTTGACTATTTCTCGGAAGTTTTCGAGATTGAATACCCTCTCCCCAAGGCTGATCTTCTGGCGGTTCACGAATTTGTGAGTACTCATCCATCTCCTATGGGTCCCGATGAATTTACCCAGGCTAACCCAAACGCCAGGCCATGGGAGCCATGGAAAATTGGGGTCTGGTGACCTACCGAACGACCGCTGTCCTTTTCGAAGAAGGAAAGTCGGACAATCGTTACAAGAACCGCATTGCCTATGTTGTAGCCCATGGTTAGTTCCCATGATTTTGTTCTAGGACTCATGCGCCAGGAAAGCACTAAGATCTGACTTGCATCATAGAACTGGCTCACCAGTGGTTTGGCAACCTCGTTACCATGGACTGGTGGAATGAGTTGTGGCTGAACGAAGGATTCGCGACTTGGGTCGGTTGGCTAGCCGTTGATCATTTCTATCCCGGTGAGCTCTTTCTGTTCTTATTTATAACCATCTGGTGCAATGACTAATGTGCAAGTAGAGTGGAACGTTTGGTCCCAGTTTGTCGTACGCAATTCTCGAGGTACTACCCACCATCTTGAAACTCCTATTGACGTTGTCCCAGGCTGAGGGTGTGCAACAAGCATTCCACCTCGACTCGCTCCGCGCTTCTCACCCCATCGAAGTCCCCGTTCGGAATGCCCTTGAAGTCGATCAGATTTTCGACCATATCAGCTACCTGAAGGGAAGTTCCGTCATTCGCATGCTGAGTGTCCACCTGGGCAGGGAGACTTTCTTGCGTGGAGTTGCAGACTATCTCAAGTCACACGCGTATGGTAGGGCATCAAGTAAGCAAATGCCGTGAAAAGCTCTAGCTAATGAAATTTAGGCAATGCAACGACGAATGACCTATGGTCCGCCTTGAGCAAAGCTTCGGGCGAAGATGTGCACTCCTTCATGGTAACCAAATGACCCTGAACGCTCTTTGGGACTACATCTAACTGACCTGCTCAAGGATCCCTGGATTCGCAAAATCGGATTCCCAGTTGTTACTGTGGCAGAGGAGCCTGGCCAGGTCAGCGTGAGTCAGAATCGATTCTTGTCTACTGGCGATGTGAAGCCACTTGAGGATGAGACGAAATGGTGGATTCCTCTGGGCATCAAATCGGGACCGGAATTGGCTACTCTTGACACCCGTGCTCTCACCGCGAAGACTGACACCGTTGGTGGAATTGGGGAGGGCACTCTTTACAAGATCAACAAGGATTTGTCCGGATTCTATCGTACCAATTATCCTCCCATGCACCTCGCAAAGCTGGGCCAGTCGCTAAACCTCCTGAGCACCGAAGATAAGATCGGTTTGCTAGGTGATGCAGCCGCTCTTGCCGTGTCTGGTGAAGGCACCACGCCGGCTTTGTTGACTCTGCTGGAGGGATTCAAGGACGAACAAAACTACCTGTAAGCAATATTCTCTCCGAGCGTCTTTGCTGCTATCTCTAATATCTCATCCTGCAGTGTTTGGTCCCAAATCTCCGCTTGTCTAGCTAACCTCCGGTCTGTATTCTCTCAGAATGAGAAAGCAGCCGAGGCACTGAAGAGATTTACGCTCAAACTGGTTTCCCCGGCCTCGGAGCGGATCGGATGGGAATTCCAGCCCAACGAGGATTATCTCGTCGTGCAACTTCGGAAGCTGTTGATTTCTATGGCCTGTAATGCAGGCCATGAAGGGTGAGCTCCCCTTCCTCGTCTCGCACGGTTGTTGGACCATCTCTGACTTCGCTTTGATCATAGATTTGTCTCCGAGGCTAAGCGTCGCTTCGACCTTTGGTCAACTGGGAAAGACGCCAGTGCCATCCATACTAATTTGCGGTCGGTGATTTTCAGCGTCAATGTGTCCGAGGGCGGCCGTAAGGAATACGATGCTGTCAAGGAGGAGTATCTCCAGACCGATTCTGTGGATGGTAAAGAGATCTGCTTGTCTGCACTTGGACGCACCAAGGACGCCACGCTAGTGACGGACTACTTGGACTTTGTGTTCTCGGATAAGGTGGCTATCCAGGACATGCACAGCGGTGCTGTGTCTTTGGCAGCCAATGCAAAGGTTCGGCATCTACTATGGCAGTATATCAAGGATAACTGGACTGCTGTCGAGACACGGTTATCATTCAACAACGTCGTGTTTGAGCGCTTTGTCCGCATGGGTCTATCGAAGTTTGCCGATCACCAGATTAGTGACGACATTTCGGCCTTCTTCAAGGAGAAAGATACCGCTGCCTATGATCGTGCTCTCGTGATTGTTTCGGACAACATTCGGACCAATGCATCCTATAAGGAGCGTGATGTGGCCTTGATTCTTGAATGGCTGACAGCTCACGGCTATGCTTAGGTTTCTTCTAGAGACATCGGTGATTTTTCCGCTTATAAGTTATTCACTTAGAATGTACTTGTTTTAGTTACTGGACTCGTTTATTCCATTTTCGAGACAATGTAAAGGTATTAGAGTGGAATCTATATTAGTATCGATCAAGATGCCCACGAGGCTGAGTTCATGCACGGGATAAGATCAATCGGAGCAGGTGATCTCGAGTACAAGTGTTTATCCGCGGAACCCTCGTGATCTAAAAAATACACGATAGAAATAAAGCTTTAGAATAAGAGACCATTCAGACCGAATATCTGAAATCAAAACGAGATCATACGCAGTTAAAAGAAAATAAAAAACGAAGCGGGTTGTGACGTGAAACAAAGCTGCGCATCAGGTGCGTCTGCCTTCCTGCACCTCCTATCATTTCAGGCGACTGTTCCATCATTGTCCCCTCCCCCGACTTCAGGAATTTCGACTCTTTCCATCAACTTGCCCTTTTCTCGTTATATTCCGTCTCTATTATCTTTCTACATCTTCCTGAGTTCCCTCATCTCACCATGAATCCCGAGTGGTAAGCTTGAATCAATCTCCATCCCCAATTTCCGTCAACTTTGCGCTCTGCTTTGGTCGGCTATCTGCTAAGCTATGGGATCTAACTGATGTGATATTGATTCTAGAGTATCGTCGCGTCGCTGCCAGACCTGACAAAACCCCCCAAATCTTCACCTCACGATTCTGGCCTAACCATCAAGATAGATACGACTACCTTTTCAAGCTACTCCTCATCGGTGACTCCGGTGTTGGAAAGTCTTGCTTGCTGCTTCGTTTCGCCGACGATACCTACACCGAAAGCTACATTTCGACGATTGGTGTTGACTTTGTACGTCTTTACACTCTGCGGGGCATTTGGCCCGAAAGCAAAGGGTAGTGCTGACATCTCGGTCATTATAGAAAATCCGCACAATCGAACTCGATGGCAAGACTGTGAAACTTCAGATTGTACGACTATTCTCAGGCATCAAACGTGCGAGGCAAAGCTGACGGTTAATACAGTGGGACACCGCCGGCCAGGAGCGCTTCCGTACTATCACATCTTCTTATTACCGCGGTGCTCATGGAATTTGCGTGGTCTACGATGTCACCGACATGGATTCCTTCAACAACGTGAAGCAGTGGCTTCAGGAGATCGACCGGTATGCCACTGAGGGTGTTAACAAGCTGCTTGTGGGTAACAAGAGCGATATGGAGGACAAGAAGGTTGTGGAGTACACCGTTGCCAAGGTATGCTCTGTAACCAATCCAGTGTCGTTAGGACACCGCGAGATAAGAATAAAGAAGTTCCAGATGTCTGACCTTTCTTGCACTTCTACAGGAGTTCGCCGACAGCCTCGGAATCCCTTTCCTCGAGACATCGGCCAAGAATGCGTCGAATGTTGAACAGGCGTTCTTGACAATGGCACGCCAGATCAAGGAACGGATGGGAACGGCCACGGTCAACAACAAGCCGACTGTGCAGGTCGGTCAGGGCCAGGGCGTCCAGTCTGGATCGTCAGGGAGCTGCTGCTAAACAATCCGATTTTCTCTCTGTGTGGTACGGTGCTTCAATTTGGCGCAATGTTACATCATGAATATGAGGGTCTCAAGCGGCGCGCGATATCTTTTGGCATTGTCAGGCTTATCAGATTCTCTGATGCCTGACATGATTCGAATGTGCCAGGAGAAAGTTCTTATCCCGGAGCTCGCAATAATTTCGATAGTGCCGCTAAGGTCCTTTCTTGCCCTCGACTTGCTTTAGACGGCCTGCGTTTCATCCTCATTTATGCGTTTACTTATGCGACTCCCGCCGGTTTTCTGCGTTGTCATGATTTCCTGGTCATGTTTTTTGACCTCTTACCTTGGCCCATTATTCTGTCCGTGTCTTTTCTTGGGTTCACTTTATTATCCCCTATTTTCGCCTTTTTTGTCTTTTCTCTCTTTCTCTAGGTTGGATTTCCTCTCTTGTGAATGGATTAATGGCGACGATCCTTGTGACTTCTTCAGCGCAAAGCCTCGTAGAGCTCCTTTCTTCCTTTCCTAACTACACCAGGTAGTGAGTCAGTAGTCACAAATGCTTTGAAGACCACATATATCATGCGTAAGTAGATGCGTGGTCCAGTTGAAGCGTACGACACCGATACGGATATATATGTCGCCTTCATCACATGCAAATCACAGGTGCCAACTTCAACTCAAGACGATGGATGTTGATCCCCATAATATGTCGGGGATAATCCGGAGGTCCCCAGGTTGTATTTATATAGTAAGTTCATATTCATTCTATCAGAACTGATTTGATCAACTCCAAGGGTCACTTGCCTGTAGGTACCGAGGAAAGCACTTAAATCAAGGGGACTAATTTACATCCTGAAACCAACTAATGTTCACGTTCATACAAATATCTATGCGCATGTTTCGGAATGCAGTGGAGTTTGAGAGCCGAGGCACATAACAACTTCGGTAAAACGTCATGAACATCAATCCCTCCCCCCCCCTTCAAGCCGACTCATTATCGCTTTGGCTTTTGGGTTCTTTAACCTCCTGACTTCTTTCACTCCTTTACTTCTTTTACAATAATCTTCGGTTTTTTTCTTCCCATTATGTCTCAACCTGGGGCCGAGCAGAGAAAGGCAGCATCTGCTGCTGTCCAGCAGAGTGACAACATTGCGCATGCGCTGGCGGGTGCCGGAGGAGGTGTCCTATCGATGGTCTTGACGTACGTTTCCCCACGTTTTTCCCAACCATTGCCGTTAACCCCATATTTACCGCAGATACCCTTTGATTACCTTGTCGACCAGAGCCCAAGTCGAATCGAAGCGTGCACACTCGACCACTCTCGATGCCGTACGCCGCATTGTGCAGAGAGAAGGGATCGCGGGACTTTACTCCGGCCTGGAATCTGCGCTATTCGGAATTAGTGTCACCAACTTCGTGTATTACTACTGGTATGAATTTACACGCTCGGCCTTCGAGAAGGCGGCCGTCAAGGCAGGTCGAGCTTCAAAGAAGCTCACGACCGTCGAATCTATGATTGCAGGCGCTATTGCAGGGAGCGCAACGGTGCTGCTCACTAATCCGATCTGGGTTGTCAACACTCGCATGACTGCCCGCAAGTCTGAGGCAGAGGAATCTTTGCCTGGTGCCAAGAAACCAAAGGCATCGACTCTCAGCACTCTCATGGATCTGCTCCGTCAAGAGGGCCCCAAGGCTCTCTTCGCCGGCGTTCTCCCTGCCTTGGTCCTGGTGATCAACCCCATCTTGCAATACACTATTTTCGAGCAATTGAAGAATATAGTGGAGCGTCGCCGACGGATGACGCCGAAAGATGCATTTTACCTGGGTGCGCTAGGCAAGATCATGGCCACTAGCATCACCTATCCTTATATCACCATCAAGAGCCGTGCACACGTTGCCAGCCGGGATGGTCCTAAGGAGAGCTTGAATGGAAGCCTGAAGAGGATCATTCGGGAGGAGGGCTGGAAGGGACTCTACAAGGGTAAGGTCTTTCCTGCCAGGTTTTCCTTTCCCTTTTTCATTATATTTTCCCTGCAAATTACATTACGTTGAGGAGTCGACTAACACTCTCGAAAAGGCATTGGACCGAAGGTCACCCAGAGCGCCATCACTGCTGCCTTCCTCTTTGCATTCAAGGATGTGCTATATGATATGATGGTAGCTGCCCGCAGAAAGGGCCGCATCGCTAAATAGACAGAGAATGATTCATAGGCTGTCATTCCCATGTGGCCACTCATCCATTTGGTTGCACCCTTTGTGGTTTAGAGGCCCTGGCCTCTGATGTCGGCCAATATGTTCAGATGTGGGCGTCCCGGTTTCACTTCCCCATTGTCAGCGAAGGGACCTGGCTAAGATTCTCGGGGGCTCTTCTGAAGTGATACCCAGATACCCCGCAAATATGTACTTTTATTCATTCGCTGAAGATTGTGTTATATCTCCAAATTTATCTCACAATATCAATATAGCTTCACTCCCTATGTCTTCAAGTTAGCACCTAAATAAACCCATCATTCCTAAAGAGTTCACATATTCTAGACGAGCCTCCGGTCATATCTACTATCATTATTACTGTGTATATCTAATTCCGAAGGCTTCTTCTCTACCCCTTAATTCGAACTGGTATCTCCAAGTCGACGTTAGACATGCTGTGTTGATAGTTCCTGTTCAGGGCTATTTATTCAGAGCTGACCGCCTTTCTCTGGTTCACCGCCCGCCGCCGCTCTTGCCCGCGTTATCGCGTCCAAAACGCGATTCTGCTCCGTTTCTCCACACTTTCTCTTGTATCAGTTGCAGCTTGTAAGTGAAGCATTCTCGAGATACCTTTTGATGGTTCTGTCTTTGATATTTTCAGGCTGGCATCGGATGAATTTAGAGGCACTGACTTATAATTTACGATAGTTTTCAAGCTTGGCTCTTGTCGCAGCGCCTCGATCGACCTTCATATCCGTAGGGACGCAAAACCGTGCCTGTCACAGCTGTCGCCCATTCTCCACCGGAATATCACATTGAAAGGCTCTTTTACCTGGTACATAACTGGACACGATTGAGGCACCTTGACACTTCTTTGTGTACCAAAGCTGTCCAAAGAAATTGGTCTGCCTTTGCCCGGCGAAGCGCCGAGCCAGATTGAGAGCCAGGGGGGCGCCGAAAGAGAAAAGAAACCATCTCGAGTGCAATGTGCACAATCTAGATGGCAGGATGATGTTATGTCTTTCTCACGTTGCAACCGTCCAACACCAGACGTGAGCAAGCCACTGAAGTTAGACATGTGAGAAAGCTCTTCTTATTTTTCCTGTTCTCTCAATTGTTCATAACTGACTTCCATCATTCTTCAGCCGAGAACTTCGACTGCGTGGCTATAATGTCCCACGCCTATCCCAGGGCCAATGGCCAGGGTATATTTCCTGCATTCCCTGGTCTATCTGCTCGTAGTATTCCTGAAAACCCAGATGTCCAGCAGGAAACTTTACGGTTGCTACTGCAGTATTCTGAACGTTCCTCTCTACCAAAGGAAGCATCGATCACAGCTACTTCTGGCGATACAACCATTGCTAAAGTCAAAGGCGAGACCAGAGATGCGTGGCAGACCCCACGGAGTGAAATCCCGCGCAGCGAGGCATTGCCCCCAGAAATATCACCTGGGCCTGCTCATTTTCTGAATGACAGTCAAGCAATTCCACCTTCCCCTCCGCCTCAATCTGTCTCCCAATCTGTCGCTCCTCCCAGTCAGAGTCGAGCCTCTTCCCGTCCTCCTTCCCATTCCCCTTCTCGCCCTTCTTCTCGCCCTCCTTCTCGATCTCCTTCTCGACCTCCTTCCCGCCCTCCTTCCCATCCTCCTTCCCGTCCATCTTCTCGCCCTCCTTCTCATCCTCCTTCTCATCTTCCTTCACATCCTCCTTCTCATCCTCCTTCTCCCCCTCATTCTCCCCCTCATTCTCCCCCTCATTCTCCCCCTCATTCTCCCCCTCCTCCTTATCCCCCTCATTCTCATCCTCCTTCTCGGTCTCCTTCTCATCCTCCTCATCCTCCTTCTCATTTTCCTTCTCATTTTCCTTCTCATCCTCCTTCTCATCCTCCTTCTCATCCTCCTTCTCATCCTCCTTCTCATCCTCCTTCTCATCCTCCTTCTCATCCTCCTTCTCATCCTCCTTCTCGGCCTCCTTCTCGGCCTCCTTCTCGGCCTTCTTCTCGGCCTCCTTCTCGGCCTCCTTCTCGGCCTTCTTCTCGGCCTTCTTCTCGGCCTCCTTCTCATCCGCCTTCTCGGCCTCCTTCCCATCCGCCTTCTCGGCCCCCTTCTCATCCCCCCTTCTCATCCCCCTTCTCATCCCCCTTCTCATCCCCCTTCTCATCCCCCTTCTCATTCTCCTTCTCATCCTCCGTCTCGTGCTTCTTCTCGGGCTTCTTCTCGTGCTTCCCCTCGACTTGCGTCTCCCCAACCTGTTGTTTGCGTCCCCGTCTCGCGTAGCAACTCTCCCGGTCATCGCAATGGTCAGCAAGCTCTCAGGAAGAGCGTGACGATCTCAAATGCCAGCAGGAACGATGAAGTAGTTGCTCCTCTAGCAAAGGCGACATCCCATTTCCCAGAAGAAATCACGACATCTGCATCGATAGCCCCTGAATCCTCAGGGTCAATTTCCACGGCCGCGGAGCAAAATTTCATCCGTCGCTCTAATCGAAGTAGAGCCCAACCGACGAATTATTACGCCGACCCTTGGGGCAGAACTCGCTTCAAATCTGAAGAGCCACACACGAATGCTGATGTCAGTTTGAGTCCAGCCCCAGCCCCACAGGAGCCGTGCCGTGCCTTACATCGTTGCGCAAATGTCCAAAAGCTACTTTACAACCGTGAGCTTGCAGGCGGAATTAATCGATCAATGGTCACGGATGTGATCTCAGATCTGAGACCCTGGAAGTCATGGCAAGGCGCTTCAGGTGATCTTCTTGTTTTGGCTTGGTCGCCAGATGGTACTCAATTTGCGGCAGGTGCTGCAGCAAAATCCGATGAGCATAATATGGTGTATAATAAGCCAAACAATCTTCTTTTAGGAGATCTTCAGAGCAACCGTCTGAAGGAAATACCAGATCATTGGATTCCGCGACCGACCTCGTCAACTGTGGATGATCCACGGCTTTTTATGACCGTCAACAACATCCAGTGGATTGACAACCGGATTTACACTGCTAGCTTCGACAAAACTGTCAAGATTTGGGCTGTTGATGCAACGCGTGACATATCGTGTACTCAGACCTTACGGCATGAGTCCCGAGTGGCAGTCATGTCCGTCTCCAAATTTGATCCCAGTATCTTGGCTACAGGCACAGAATCAATATCGGTCTGGGATACACGGGATGCGGAAAATCCTACATCAACTCTGCTCCCCCTCGAGCGCGAAACACGGTATAGATCAACAGTTGATTTTTCAGCGACAGCCTTAGCCTGGGGTCATACTCCATCTACCAAGGAATTCCTGGCCGGAGGTCTCGCCGAATCAGGCGAGGACATAATTTACAAAGGTCACTTGGGCTTGTGGCGAGCCCGCGAGTCTGCCTTTGAGACCATCAAAATGGCGACCAGCTCGCAGAATGTCTTTGACATCAAGTGGCACACTTCGTTGCCCATTTTTGCAACGGCTAGTCCTGAAGATCCTTCCGCCGCTCGGATTAAAGGTATCGGCAAAGCCACAAAATCGATTGTGAGAACATTCAGTCTCAACGACGACCTCCAAAGGCGTGTACCGTCGTTGTCGGAGTTCTCCTGCCCGGCCTTGGATGTCAACGAGGTCACTTTCTGTCCAACGGATCCCAACGGGACATATATCACTGCCAGCTGCACAAATGGCACAACCTATGTTTGGGACAACCGGAAGGGCGACAGAATTCTTCACGAACTCCGGCATAATGAACCTCTCACCCCAATCGATGACCAGCGGACTCGGGAAACGGCAGACGTGGGTGTCAGGGTAGCTCTTTGGGGTTCGTCACTGGACCAATTCTACACTGGTGCCTCGGACGGCGTTCTCAAACGATGGGACATTCGCCGGTCGCCGGAAGATGTTCTCCTTGAGAATGTCGCCACTTTCAACGAAGAGATCATGTGCGCGGCTTTCACCGAAGACCAATCCCATCTCCTCGTCGGGGGTCTGCCGGAGGCATACATGTGCTGTCATCGGGCCCATGTTCAGATCCTGACTCAACAAGTTTCAATTTCGAACATGCCCCAGAGCCCAAAGACACTAACGTTAGCGGCGTCGTTGCGGCAAACCAGCTTGTATCGTCCGGCCAGGTCGTCAAACACCCAATATTTGGTATGGGCCAAGGACCCCTTTACAAGGGGCCTTTTGCCTCGTGGGCTCGGAAAGTCACACCAAACGCCTCGCCCGATCAAATCAGGCACCTACCTTTGCTCAAGAAATACCAGGACCAACAATTGGATGGACCACCGCCGGAGGATCGCCAAGCACTCGACCCGAATCAGCAACGAGAGGTTGCGAGACAAATACATCTTGCACAAATCCGCAATCGAAGATCCACCAAGAGAAAACGCCAGGGCCACGATGACGTTTCTAATTCCTCCTTCCGAGGTTCCGCCTTGACTCCTATGGAGTCCTTGCGCTTGGAGAAGAGAAGGAGAAGAAAGGCCGAGAGGAGAGAAGCGAGGAAAGAATCCAACCAAGAGAACCGTGGAGAGAATGGAGAAGAGCAGGCCAGAAAGAAAATCAAAAGGAAGAAGAAGGTCCGAATGATATCGTGCCCAATCATCAGTAACACTGAATATGTGGACCTCACCTTGGACTCCGATACCGAGACGGAGAAGAAGCCGAGCCGACCTCGATTTGATTTCAGCGAGTTACTTGAGGCGCTTGAGGATGATAACTGGTTTCCAGGCAGTGGAGAAATCGATCCTAATTTCCAAAAGGAAATAGTCTAAACATCCTGGCTCAGTACCAGGCTGATTTGGAACAGCATTGGTGGGGGGGCGTTTGAATTTCGTCGCGTTATGAGCAAAGGCGCTATTTTAATCTTGAATTGCATTTTAAGCGTGAATATTCCAAACCATTTCATACTATTAATGTTATTTTAACTCTTAGTTAGTGTACTGTGTAGTTCATTGAAGTTGTACACAGTACGGAGTATGAAGTTGTACTTCGGGGGCACAGCCTCTCTCGCCACCGAGGCGCAGTTACTGTCTCTGCCTGAGGCTTCTCATCCCGCTTATCCTGTGCCAAGTATGAAGGCAGTCCATGGAACAACCAACCTGTTGACTAGTTGTCCTTTTGTTATCTCGAGATTTACTCTTCTTGATCATCTCTCACAAATTACCTAACTCATATTTGCTACACCTTCCATTTAATCCAAGTTTGAAGCTCTACAGATCTTCAGCCCCACCACATCTGCGAGATCATGTCGTACGCTCCGCCTTCCGGGCCTCCCCCGCCCTCCGTACCTGAGGGATGGAAAGCGCAGTATGACGACCGATACCAGGCTTGGTATGTAGTTGTCCAGTTTGACCTCACATAAGTACTGACATTTATCAAGGTACTATGTGGACCTCGCCACGGGCAAATCGCAATGGGATCGTCCCGAAGCTCCTCCGCCGCGCGATGATGGTAACCTTCCACCTGATGCTGCCCCACCGTCATACAACAACGCTGGCCCTGGTGATCCAGCAGCGCTAGCCAGCGCCGGGGACAAAAAGCAACACCTGGGATCAAATAACCCTTACAACCCGACAATGACCGGGCCAAGCAATGTCGCCCCTAACACGGTGGACGAAGACGCACGACTTGCCGCCAAGCTCCAAGCCGAGGAAGATGCCCGGGCCGGCGCCTCAGGAGTTGGGGCCGGACCCGGAGACCGCGGTGCCTCGTCAGATTATTACAACAACGCTCCGCGGCCACAGTCCACCGGCCCAGGCGGATATGCAGCAAGCCCATCGCAAAGTCCGATCCCCGCGCAGGAACAGAAGCGCAGCAAAGGCGGATTTTTCAGCAAGCTGATGGGCAAGAGTTCCAGCTCAAGCAGCAAGCTGCATCGACCACAGCAACAGTACGCCTCGTATGCCCAGCAGGGCCCTCCACCTCCGCAGGCCCAATACTATGGCGGCGGCGGTTATCCTCCACAACCTGGGTTCCAGCCTGGGTATGGACCTCCTGGACCGGGCTACGGAGGAGGGTACGGAGGATTCCCACCGCAGGGTGGGTATTACCCGCAACAGCCGCCTCGTAGGCAAGGTGGAGGAGGCATGGGGACTGCAGGTGCCGCTGCTCTGGGTGTTGGCGGTGGTTTGCTTGGTGGTATGCTGATTGCCGATGCTATTGACGATCATGAGGACCATGATGATTATGGCGGTGGTGGTGACTTCGGAGGAGGCGATGACTTTGGAGGTGGTGATGACTTCTAGGGTTAATCACTCTTCAGGCGGTGGATACTGCGTTTTCTCTCGTTTGTTACTCTGACGGACTTCGGGAGAAGAGACCGGCTCTTCCACAATCGGGAAACTTCTAGGCGCATTGATATCAGAGGGTATTTGGGTGGATTGCTTCTTGTTTCGCCCAAACGATTTTAGTCATTGATCGGCATTGGGGCTCCAAATTGAAGGACCCATGGGCAGTCCTCATATGTCTGTACCATACAAGCAATGCGGAATAAGCGACCAGATTTTATGTCTAAAGAGTAATAGTCATACTCCGCAATGAGCTTCTATCCACGCCTCCGAGCAGTGCCGCTGGTATCTCTTCCAGTTGAACCAGCCGGACCCGCGGCATTGACTGCAGGGCTAGGAGATCCAGTACCGGCCATCCAGCCGGCCAGATCGAATCCTCCCCCTGCTATAGCATTGTTAGTGGCGCCAGTGATGGGTGAAGCGCGGGAATGCTGCTCGAACTCGGCGCGCATTTCGGGATCCACTAAAGCGTTTAGGTTAGACGAAATGTATACAATGAGACAGAAAGCGGACACGGCAATAGACGTACTGTTCTCCATGAGCTTAGGCATCGCAAACATGAGACCCATAGCAACAACAGCAAGCAAGACCATTGGGTTCTTGACAAGACTCAATGGGGAGACTGAATTTCCATACAGTATTAGCGTAGTTCGGGGTTATTTTCATAGTCAGAAGAGAGCAAGCTCACATTTAGCACGTTGTTCATAGAAGACCTTGCGACCAATGACCTTAGCCTCGACCACCACATCAAGCTGCTTCTTCCCAGCAACATCCACAATGTATTTCTCTGTCCCCCGATTATCCCACGGGTTCCCGCGGAAAGTCTCCCAGATCCCCAGTATAGTCCCATCAGCCGCAACATCGACGCGGTAGGGGGCGAAGACATAGTCGCCCGCGGAGCGGATATCGAGCAAATAGGACTCCGGCTGAGCATCCAAACTAGAGGAAGGGAGATCGTGGAAGACAAATGTCGCCGAGCGGGTCAGCGACGCCGACAAGGTGTGTTCTTTCTCTCCGGAGGGGAGTGTGGTGAGCGTGGCATGACTAGTTGCGGGGAGGACGTGGGGGTTTGGGAGTGAACTAGAGACAGGGATGGTAATTGTCAAAGAGCTAGCGGATACCAGAGCACTGGCTCCCAGCAGGAGAAGAGAGGTGAGCGAGAAATGCATGGCGAAGGTCTGATGCTGAGACGGAGGAGGTCGTGGAACTCCAAAGCTCGATCTAAGCAGTGGCCGCATCACGTGACGGAGCTTCCGTGAAGACCAACCTCGAACCATCTGATTGACACCGTCTGTGTCTGCCAAACGAAAGAGCATCATGGCTGTCTATCTTATTTCCAGGTAGGAGTTACTCCGAAGCAATGTGTCCCTGTGAAAATCCCATCATTCTAAACCTCAATAGGGTCGCGGATCCTCTCTTCGCCGTGGCCATGGGCGTCTCCGCTGCTCTCAGCCGCATTCGCCGCGACCAGCTCGAGAAATACCCCGAGCGTGCATCAGAAATTACATACGGATCCATCGTACAGACGAGCGGGCATCGATTGCAACGGTGGTGGGACGGAGACTTCCAGGGTCTCTAGCGAGTCTTGCTAGACATTGGGGTTTTATTCGGAGTTGGGGATTTGGAGGTTGACGTGGACTTCATTTTGGTGTCTCGATTACTTTTTCATATTTTTGATTGTACAAAATCTACATGGACTGGTTGTCCGATTGCTAGCCAACTCTTCACATTTGCAAGGCACCGAATCGTATCGTGCAACTTACATATGGCTGGATGGAAATATGCCCAAGACTCGGAGAATTGACTTAGTGAATAGACTCTTCGATGCTATCCGCGAGCTCTGTGTCCTTAGGCACCGGTTCTACTGTCTAATGTCTACAAGTTACAATGGAAAGTTGTTTGAATTAAGAAAATTTTGATTCACTGGGATATTTTTCATCCCAGGGGAGATAGCCTTGCATCTATGCAATCATGCGCAAAAAGAAACCTTGATAACCCATAAGTTCGTAAAACAAGACGTGAAAGAAAACGACAGCCAAATGGCAAAAAGAAACTCAAATCAAAGCGAGACGTTTAGTCAAGCTCCTCGGGCTTCTCCTCGACCTCATCAGCAGAGCGGGCACCACCCTGAGGAGCGGCACCAGGAGGAGCCTGGCCACCGTAGGCAGCAGAGATGATGGGGTTGGCAACACCCTCGAGCTCCTTCTGCTGGGACTCGTACTCGTCCTTCTCGGCAGTCTGGTTGCTGTCGAGCCAGCTGATGACCTCGGAGATCTTGTCCTCGACCTTCTTCTTGTCATCCTCAGAGATCTGGAGCTTGCCCTCGGAGAGGGTGTTCTTGAGGGAGTAGGCGTAGGACTCGAGACCGTTCTTGGCCTGGATGCGAGAAGCCTCGGCTTCATCCTCCTCCTTGTACTTCTCAGCCTCAGCAAGCATGCGCTCGATGTCCTCCTTGGAGAGACGGCCCTTGTCGTTGGTGATGGTGATCTTGTTGGACTTGCCAGTGCCCTTCTCGAGAGCAGAGACGTTCATGATACCGTTGGCATCGACATCGAAGGTGACCTCAACCTGGGGAACACCACGGGGAGCGGGGGGAATGCCAGTGAGCTCGAACTTGCCGAGGAGGTTGTTGTCCTTGGTGCGAGCACGCTCACCCTCGAAGACCTGGATCAGCACACCGGGCTGGTTGTCGGAGTAGGTGGAGAAGGTCTCAGACTTCTTGGTGGGGATGGTGGTGTTGCGCTTGATGAGAGGAGTCATGACACCACCAGCAGTCTCGATACCGACGGAGAGAGGGGCAACATCGAGAAGCAGGATCTCGTTGGTGGACTTGGAGGACTGGTCACCGGACAGAATAGCAGCCTGGACGGCAGCACCGTAAGCAACGGCCTCATCGGGGTTGATGGACTTGTTGGCGTCCTTGTTGAAGAAGTCGGAGACGAGCTTCTGGATCTTGGGAATACGGGTGGAACCACCGACGAGGACGATCTCGTGGACGGAAGACTTGTCGATCTTGGCATCGCGGAGGACACGCTCAACGGGCTCCATGGTACCGCGGAAGAGATCCTGGCAGAGCTCCTCGAAACGGGCACGGGTGATGGAGGTGTAGAAGTCAATACCCTCGAAGAGAGAGTCGATCTCGATGGAGGTCTGAGCAGCGGAAGAGAGAGTGCGCTTGGCACGCTCGCAAGCAGTGCGGAGACGACGGAGGGCACGAGCGTTGGTGGTCAGATCCTTCTTGTGCTTGCGCTTGAACTCGTTGACGAAGTGGTTGACGAGACGGTTGTCGAAGTCCTCACCACCCAAGTGAGTGTCACCAGCAGTAGACTTGACCTCGAAGATACCCTCCTCAATGGTCAGGAGAGAAACATCGAAAGTACCACCACCAAGATCGAAGATCAGGACGTTGCGCTCACCCTCGACCTTCTTGTCAAGACCGTAAGCAATAGCAGCGGCGGTGGGCTCGTTGATGATACGGAGAACGTTGAGACCGGCAATGAGACCGGCATCCTTGGTAGCCTGACGCTGGGAGTCGTTGAAGTAGGCAGGGACAGTGATGACAGCGTTGTTGACGGTGCCACCGAGGTAAGCCTCAGCGGTCTCACGCATCTTAACGAGGATCATAGCAGAGATCTCCTCGGGGGTGAACTGCTTGGCCTCACCCTTGAACTCAACCTCGATGACGGGCTTGGTAGCCTTCTCGATGACCTTGAAAGGCCAGTGCTTCATATCGGCCTGGACCTCAGCGTCCTGAAAACGGCGACCAATGAGACGCTTGGCATCGAAGACAGTGTGGTGGGGGTTCATAGCGACTTGGTTCTTGGCGGCATCACCAATGAGACGCTCGGTGTCGGTGAAAGCGACGAACGAGGGGGTAGTGCGGTTACCCTGGTCGTTGGCAATGATCTCAATGCGGTCATCACGGAAGACACCCACACAGGAGTAGGTGGTTCCCAAATCAATACCGACGGCGGGAGCCATTGTGTATGTGTGTATTCGTTAAAAAGGGTGAAAAGGAATAGAAGAGGTTCGTGAAAGGGTAGAAGAGGTAGTGTACAGGAGGTAAACGAAGATTTTTGGGTATTTGATAATGAGGAAAGAAAAGAAGAGAAAGAGTTGTGGGCAGCGAAAACGTGCTATATAGTTAGCGGTGTATTGCTCAGAAGCTTCTAGAGGAAGCTTCCGTGGGAATCCATGGGATTCCATGGACTTCGGTTAGACCAGCAATGCATCCCCCACGCCCTTCTTTCAGTAGCTTGAGGATTCCAGAGAGTCCTAGTGCAGTCCTTCAATCTATTAGTTTCTTGATTATCTCTAATTATCATCTGAACACTGACAATTCCTACTTTTTCTTTCGGAGGTTTCTTTGATGTTCTAGTTCTTTTTTTTTTTTGGCGGGGCTAGAATGATGTAATGTAATAGTGGGATGATTCTCGAAGGCGGTGTCACACTTTTGTATCAATACAGAATAATACCCGTCTCCCTAGGTGATCTCCTAATAATGGACAGCTTGTGGGGACTGTATCTACTGTATTAGTATGGTCACAGCAATTTTCGACCTTGTCTTGGGCGTCATGATGAATTCATCGAGTAATTTTCATTGAAAATTCAGATCAGCCTGGTGTTTAGTCGATAGGCGAAACTTCTAGCCTTAGAAACGCATGTAAATACAAATACATAGAAGGTATATGGTTAGTTCTATGCAGTAACCAAGTAGCTACACAGTAGCTACAGCTCTGAAAGCTGTCACCGTGGTTCATAACAGGCCAAAATTACATACCGTCCAATCCTGCCTGAGGTGCCACCTCCAAACCATAGACCATCTTACTTGTTCTTACATCTCTCCTCTAACTAGTTAACTATCCATTTTTGTTGGAATGTTTTTAACTGCCTAGCTTATCCTTCTGGATTTTATGTTGTCTCTGACTAAAATTGGGTATATACAAGCACTTATCCCTGTCGACTGAACATGTTAGTACCTGGAATATGTTCATATCATCTTGCGGCCACACCTACGTACAGAGTAGGTAGAGTCCGGAGTCCGGGCTAGTATGAATCCAGTCACCTGCCTACACAGTATTTTCCACATTAACCAGAGACTAGCCAACAAGCCTTTCAGTGGAGACAAGCTATTGGCTGACAAAAGGCTTGAATTCGCCATTCACGCTAAACATGAGCATCGTCGCAAGCTTTTTGCATTTGCCCTATGTCGATGTAACATTGTCCTACCCCTGTCCAATAGAAACTCCAGAATGCTCGATGAGGCATTCAAAACAAAGACGCACGCTAAATTATGTGCGCAATTGACCATTTTCTGTCGAACATAAAGATGGCGGGCTGGACGTTCAGATCCTACATTCTCCCTCGATTCTTCGAGCTTCCACATCATGACCGTTCTCGCTGCGTTCAGGCGCAGGGAACGCAAGGACCAACCCACCGAAGCCAGAATGGAGCAGGAAGTTCAGGATCTTGAGGGCTCAGAATTCTCTTCCAAGAGCCCAGGCGGGGCAGAGACCCCTGTGGATGCGGAGAACTTCCAGTTGAAAGGAGAAACGGCCATCATTGAAAATGAGATACATGAAAATCCCGAGATTGCCGCCCTACCGCTTTCTGTACGGCATCTGATCAATCTGACCGATGACCCGAAGCTACCGACAATCACTTTCCGTTACTTTGTGCTCTCCGTCATCTTTGTGATCCCTGGGGCCTTCCTATCGCAAATGAGCTACTTCCGCACAACCAAAGCACCATACTCGATATTCTTCGTGCAGATCGCCTGTCATTATGCGGGTCATTTCATGGCCAGGGTTCTCCCTGACTGGAAGATCGGAGTACCCGGCAGTCGGTTCTCTTTCAGCCTGAACCCAGCCCCTTGGAGCATCAAGGAGCATGTCTTGGTCACATTGACTGCGGCTTCCGGGGCCACTTACAACTTGGGTTATGCTCCCATCGTTCTTGCAGAGCTCTGGTACGGTACCCGAGTCAATCCGGCGGTCGCCATATTCTTCATGCTTTCGATCGTATGGATTGGTTACTCCTTCGCTGCTCTTGCCCGACAGATCCTTCTACCAGATCCCGAATATATCTGGCCCCAGGCTCTGATGCAGACAACATTGTTTGAAACCTTCCGCAAAACAGACAACTCCTCGGCTCTTGCTCGGCGTCAGATGAAAGTGTTCTTTTTGGCACTTGTAGGGATGACTATGTGGCAGTTCTTTCCCGAGTACGTCTTTCCGTTCACCTCATCCCTGGCCTTCCTCTGCTGGGTGGCACCTCGCAATCCGGTGGCCAACTTTATTGGCTCGGGCATGGGCGGTATGGGCTTCCTCAACCTGACACTGGATTGGTCAAATGTCAATTGGAATGGATCGTCTATCATGACCACCCCATTCTGGACGCAGGTTATTTTATTCTTGGCATTTGCTTTCAACTGTTGGGTCCTACTTCCTGCCGCGAAGTGGGGAAATTTGGGCTCCTTCAAGCATGGACTTATGTCAAACAGCTTGTTTCTGGGTAATGGGACAGCGTACCCAACTCTTCAGGTGCTCACTCCGGATTTTCACCTGAATACAACTGCGTATGCGGAATATGGGCCGATGTATATGGGTCTGCAAAATGTATGGGCGACATTCTTTGATTACGCTAAACTCCCGGCAGCTGTCACTTGGATCTTGACCTTTGGGTACGCACAAGTTTCCAGGAACATCCAGAGAGTTTGGTCATCTCGCAATGCAGAGAAATCCGCAAAAGGTGAAAGCATTCATCACCAGTATCACGACCGTCTTAACGTTATCCAGCGCCAGTATAAAGAGATACCATGGTGGTGGTATGCTGCTTTATTCTCTGTGGCATTTCTCATTCTGATCGTATTCCTTGCCCTTGGACATCTCTTTATCCCAATCTGGACCTTATTTGTGGCACTTGCCAGTGCAGCCGTCCTGGTCATTCCATTTGCGTGGCTCTACGCTATTTCGAACTACCAGCTTGAAACCGGCTCTTTCAACGAACTCATGTATGGATACATGGTTCACACCAAAGCAGGAGAAGCCCATCAGCATCCCTGCGGTCCTTCTGTCTATGGGTCTATTGCGGGTGATGCTTGGTATCGCGCGCAATACATGCTGCAAGACCAAAAGATCGGTCACTATATGCACATCCCTCCCCGCACGGTGTTCTTTTCGCAAATCTTTGGCACGTGCATGGGCGTTCCAATCAACTATGCCGTCATACGTTGGGTAATGAGCACCAAAGGGGACTATCTCACAGGCAAGAAAACCGATCCACTGAATCAATGGACCGGTCAGTCCCTGCGGACCTCAAACACAATGGGAGTTCAGTACGCGGTGCTTGGTCCAAAGCGGCTGTTTGCTGAGACGGAAATGGCTGTCCTCCCCTGGTCATTCCTGATAGGCGCGGTCATTCCTCCTATTCTTTTTTGTTTCCATCGATATTTTCCACGACTTCGCATTGATCTGTGGAACGTGAGTATCTTTTTTGGAGGACTGGCGATGTTCTACGGTAACATCAGTACTGGCTACACATCTGCCATCATTGGCGGCTATGTTGTGATGTATTGGGCTTATCGTCACCATTTTGAGGTCTGGAAGCGATATAACTACCTGATTGCTGCTGCTTTTGATGCTGGATTTAATCTCAATATGCTGCTCATCTTCTTCTTTTTTGGAGCCGGCAAGCAGATATCGATGCCTCACTGGTGGGGGAATGATGCAACATCTGTGGAAAGATGCTTTGCTCTCGACAAGTGATGTATCATACCTACTAGTTAACTATATTGTTATTATACTAGAGAAAAGCGGAGAGTGAGATTCAATAACTATGACCAGTTCGGGAGACTAGATGTGCACGTCAGTATAGTTATTGCATACATTAGTACATGTAATAAATTGTTCTAATAAACAAATAAACACCTGAATTAGCCTAAACAAGCAATTACAGTTGGCACTTGAAGCCTCAGGGCAAGATTTGTCACGGGTTGATGATCACACGTGTCAACCAATCAGAAAGCTGGATCTCACCCTTACTGGTTGTTTTGGTTCGGAGGGACCGACCTTGCTTGCAGACCGTCTTTTAAACTCACCTTTGTTCCTCCCTTTCACCAAGCAACCTTCCCACAATTTTCCTTCAACACAACACAGTCTCCAACATGAGTGACCAGGCAACCACTTCCATCTCCAACGAGGATGCCTTCGCCAAGGGCAAAGGCAAGGCTGACCCTGCGCAAGACATGAGCATGGACGAGTCAAGCGAGTCAGAGGAGGAGACCGAGCTCGTAAGTCTGCAGCTATAATGGTCAATCACCTGTTCTGTGCTAACTTCACTGTGCCTCTTTAGCCCGAGAATGGTGTGTACCCCCACTACTATCCAGCACACCCCATGTGGAAATGACAACTGCAACCATCAATTGCACCAATACTGACTAGAGAACCCAGAAGAGGAGGATGACGGACAAGACAACCTCAACGATCCCATCGACCAGAGCAACATCATCCAGGGTGGCCGACGTACACGCGGAAAGGTCATTGACTACTCCAAGATCTCCACCGATGACATGGAGGATGACGAGGATGATGATGAGGAATACCAAGCTCGCGAGGATGACCAAGGCAATGATGAGGACCAGATGCGCGACTAAGTGGTCTCAATGAATTCAAATCTCCCGGGTGGCATGGAATTGCTTTGACAAATAGGCGCCACGGATTGATCGATGGGTTCCACGCGTGTCTATTAACATGCCACGCGATACAGCGATGGCAATGAAACAATGATTATCTCCTTGGATGTATCCATCCACCCTGTTGTCAACATCACTTAATCCATTGACAGTGTGGTTGATCTATGTCCACTACGATGTAGTACTGTGCAATTGTAGGTTAAATGCCAACGGGGAGGATAAATGTGTGTTAGCCCATTGCAGCTACCTGTAACAGTTGTAGACAAAATCAACAGCACAATCATCTTTTTGGGATAATCGTTGACAATCAGCTGTGCTATGATTGCTATCCCATCTCTGTTTCTCCAGATAAGCTATCACGTATCACGTGCTGTTCGGCGAATGACAACGCTATGGCCACCTTTGATGTTTTTGTCTCCGCAAGCATCAAGGACTCGAAACAGTGATTGTCTTGATTTTCTGAGTCTTGGGCAATGATCTTCCACGTCTGCTGAACAACCTGCAGGACCTATGCCCGTCTGAGTTTCCTGTCACGCAATATAGCTACATTCCTCGGCCGTCATGGCTTCACGGTATAGTTCCGCCTCTCGACCTTCGCTCATTCGTCTGTTGGCGCTTAACTACAGTCGTCTAATCACAAATCAACAGATTCCCACGTCAACGTGATCCCCGCTCCTCTTCGTCTCTCTTCGATCAATACGGTGGCGACTCCCGCCAAGCCAGCAGGTCTCCTACCCAACCAGGTGGATACGGGTACGGAGGCTACTCCAGCCCAGGACCTAATAGTTATGCGAGCAACGGTGCAGCTCGACCCGGATATCAGAATGCATCGCCTGATAAAAAGTACGTGCAATGGCTCATGATATCCTTGAGAACATCCGTGATCCCCCCGAGGAAGCGTCTCGTGGCTAACTCGAGCTTTGCTGTAGAGGACACTATTCAGATGCAGTTCTTTCATCGCTCGAGTCACAGAATGATACAGAAGTAGAAGGTATCAGCGCCAAGGTCAAAATGTTGAAGGATGTAAGCAACCCGGGACCTATACACCCCGCCTGCTCGATCAGGCAGATCGCTGACACAGAACTTTCCAGCTCACACTTGCGATTGGAGACGAAATCCGGGACACCGCACATATAACCGATCTCAACGATTCATTCGATAACACCCGAGTCCGACTGCGCGGAAACATGAACCGCATGCTTCGCATGGCCGACAGCACTGGCATCGGCTGGCGAGTCTGGCTCGGTTTCTTTTGTGCAGTCTTCCTTCTATTTTTCTACGTGTGGATTTTCTGAGCGGGGGCCTCTGCTGTCTTTCTAAGATATGCATTCGCCCTTCGCCATGTCTACCACGCCCTCTACTCGCCTTTATCCCGTTTAATATTGTATCTTCATGGTCAGCGATTTGCTTTTATCCTCCATCTCATATGGATCGAACCGTGCATACGATCTATCAGTACATTCAGCATGGGAATTGTGGCTTTGGCGCTATGAGGTGTTTTGGAATATGACTTTGGAGCTATGTATATGAACGTTTGCAATCTGCTTCGGGGGACATCAAAGTATTATGACATGATTCTGTTTTTCTGGGTCAGCTTTCTTCCACTAGCAGAAGCTTTACTTGTAGCCATATTTGAACACTGAAATTATGTCGAGTGAGTCGCTCACGGGGCGCCGTCTAAGTACATGCAAGTACAATAAGTTTCCATAAAAAACCCCAGACAGCCTGTCCCTTTTCACGCCAACAAGAAACGCTAGACGATACAGAAAAGGAAGAGTGGAACACAGTATAGGGGCAGCTCCATTAGGTCAGGCTATCCCTAGGACCACCAATGTGGCGAGGGAACCTCCGCACAAATCCGCTTCGTCGACTGCCTTGACTGGTCATGGAGGCACGCAGGTCCTCGTCACTATAGAGCATACTGCTGGAGTCAAACGCGTCGCCTCCCCCACTCCAGCGGTTGATGAAACGGCGCTGGGCTTCAGTTTCGGTCTCACGAGATAGAGTCGGAGGAGGCGGTAAGCCGGTCCGAGTGTTCGGCGTGCTGGTGCGGAAGTTCAAGTTGTCGCTGTACCTAGCCTGAATAAAACTAGGTCCTTCCCCATCATCCTCATCACTCAGCTCTTCCTCGCTGTCTGTATGCTGCCATTCCCCTTCTTGCTCAGAGCCTTGTTCCCCAGCATCGGGAATATCGTCGTCCAGGTCGCGCGTCATACCTTCACTCATACCCTCGCCGTCAGCAGCAGGGATTTCCGCATCTAGATCAGGCTGATTGTCAAAGTCCTCATCATCTTCGTCATCATCATCATAAAGGCCAGAGCCCTCGTAGTCATCATCCGGGAACCCTTCGGGAATATCATCATCCAAGTCACGCTCCATGTATCCATCCTCGTCACCGATATCATCTTCCTCGAGCCCTTCTTCGCCTTCCTCAACAAGACCAGAGGCCTCCGCCTCGGCATTTGGGATATCGTCATCTAAATCTCGGTCCATACCCTCATCCTCTTCCTCCCCTTCCCCTCTCTGCATAGCCGTGTCATCATCCATAATTGCTTCCCCCTCGGCGGCCTCCATCTCTGCCGCAGCAGCCTGCAGCGCCTCCTCACGCTCCTCCTGCTCCTCTTTCATGCCGAGCATTGTTTTCGGGCATCCCGCCGGTCTAATCCACGAGTATCCGAACGTGGCGATGTTTGATTTGCGCGCTCGTAACACGCGTTCCTCCGCAGCTAGGGCGGCGATTGTGTTGGCAGAAGAGCGGGACGGCATGAAGGCGCGATGGCTACTGGGCATGCTGTTGGCATTTCGACGGGCGAGATGATTCGCGGCGGTATGGTCGCCGAGTTGATGCTCAGAGGATGAACCATATTGGGGAGCTCCGAACCAAAGTTCGTGGGACTATCGCGGCGTCTTAGTCTCTTAATCCGATACCGCATGTTATCCAGGGTGTTGACTAGCACTCACATCGCGAGGGGTGATGGAAAAAAGTGTCTGCATTGTGATCTTGGACTTTTTTTTGAGGTTCGACTTGCAAGTTGTGGGTGTACTGGCAGCTAGCTCGATGTGCTTGTTGTTTGGGTGTTGCGGGGAGTGCCTAGCAACAAGTGACGGCAAAGGGGGGAAAAGGTAAGGCAGATAAAATCTGAAGCTTTGTGAGATCTCCCGTGACTTCGAACTCGTTATGAAATGATATGCAACAAAGCATTTGAATATGTCGATATGACTATGGAGCAGGTGGAAGTTGATATGATCATCGCGGAGGCGTATCTGTAAAAAATGCCGGAGCTTCACCGCCAATCAGAGCTGAGTATTCCCATCAATGCGGGGAAGTCAACTCTAGTTATCTGATGCTTCAATTTACTAACTTTTCTAGACGTTAAACTTGTTGTCTCTCACTTGCTTCGACTTTGAATTGTCTGTATCACCGCGAGTAGATCGAGATTGGCATGCCATTTCGCCAAGATCCATGTTCATAGTATTTACATAGTGGCATATGAGCCCTTTTGATTGCTTTACTGTGAAGTAACTATATGCAACCAACAGTTACAAACTTCACTCTGTCATAGGACTGGGTTGATCATGTTTAGGAGCACCCCCGCAGCAAAAAGGGATATCACTTCAGTCTGGAAGTGGATCAGCATGAAATGCAACTGCTTCAACAATGACAATGAAGAGGGAGCAGTCCATTATACCGATCAGTGTACGAGAGTCTCCAAAATTCCGGCCTACTCTCCATTCGGCCCTTGGCCGCACCCTTGCTCTAGGGTTTATTTTTTGTGTACATACATATGCTGCACAAATCACGAGTTCATGACTGAGTAGTGCAACAGAGCGGGTCACTCAGTTTGATTGGCTCGGTATTGGGACACATCAGTCGGCAGACGATGACAGGACCCAAAAGATTGAAGAGATCCAAGACTCCAGCCAAGACTCCAAGACGACTCAAACGAGACTGTGCTTCACCGGTGTTCCGGCCGTGACGCTGTAATTCCGAAATCATCCGATGCTGGAGATGTCTCGCTGCCGACCAGCCAGCGACTCGGTGAACCCAAAGTGGACGAAGGTGAATCTGTGTCTCGAACAGTCTCGTCGAGGTCGGAAAAAGTCGGGTGGGTCCCCGCTGTAGCTTGCCACAAAAACGATGACGCTGCATGGACACTGGACGGGGTCTTCTTACTTTTATCTTGGCTGTGATTGGCACCGAAAAGGCGGGGATCATGTGATCTCCACCCTGGTCTGGGCGCAGTGGATGAACTGGCAATTTGGTAAAATACATACACACATCAGTATGGCTTAGAACATTGCACATGGATGGGATATATGACGGCTATATGGAATGTGTTAGACCGAATCATTGAGTATCATGCTCACTTGGTAATGATGTGTGGGAAATTGAACGTATGACATATGGCCTAGGGCTGTATGTACATAGTAACTAGGCGAACAGGGAGATGAGATCCTGAGTAGACCACGTTATGTATTCTTATTATCATCATTTAGCTTATCTCTACAATATAAGAACCCTAAAGATGGACTCTTCACGTGTCGGACCGGGACACTTTCCGTCAGCCCATGCTTCAAAATTCGTTTCTCCAATGAGCATAGTATTCATCCATGAGAGGTAACATGTACGGGGTAAAGTCGTTGAAAAACACATGGGAGGGGAAAACATGGGGAAGGAATGCATCCATTCAGATCGACCTGTTTACCAATTGAGAGCGGAGCTGAATCACCTAGTCTGGGGGGTGGTCTGGGGAAGACGAAAATGAAGGGACGATAAGCAGTTTAGATGACCATCAAAAATGAGCTGGGGAAATTCCAAGGTCAGGGCCAATCTGCAGACGGGGTAAGGAACGGGTGGTCGAGTCCGAAATCGGGGGAGTCCCTACATGCCCAGAACGGAGAGGAGGATCCCGGGGGACTTGGCCGTTGTCGGAATGTTACCGTTTGAGACGGGTATTGGAAGCACATTCACTTGATTTAATTTACCATGAGTACACATTTCTCCTCTTCTTCCTACATGTATTTCTGAAGTGAATTGTGTTTTTGCGTTCTTTTCCGTATTTTCAGCACTTTCTTCCAACTCCACAGAGTATGCGGACTGGATGCAAACCAGCGGCTAGAAAGTCGAAACCAAATGGATTAAGCACTGCATCTTGCCCCACTAAGAAGATGCACCCGATGCACCCACCCATTTTGCCGGGTCTCCAACATGTGAGGATTGTCTGGCTGTCCGAGGCTGGCTAAGTATATATTGTCCAATAGGCAGCTCTGATTCTGATGGGCCTATGGGGCCGCTCGGCCCACTGCTACACCTTGATTTCTTTTGAGCTTGGAAGAGAAGAGGGAGTTGGGTGCGTAGAAAGATATACTTATATCTAGTTAATAAATAATTCTACAGCACATAGAATGCATGTACGATGCATATAAGAGGTATGAAGATATATTGAATCTAGCTAGTAAGATCTTGACGTAGGAGAAACGCTAACCTGGATGTGGTTGTAAAATCTTTGATGTGATTGGTTGGGAGATGCTTATCTTGGGATGATTTGCAGTGGGTAATTCATAACGATTATCATTACTTTCCCATCAGGAATGTCCTCTCTTTCCACACTCTCCAGCGCTGTTTCCGGCGTATCCTTCACAGGGTGTTGGGAGACCCTAGGTCAATTGGAATTGCGTATTTCGTAGCATCCCTCTGTATCCTTCTGTATCCTTCTGTATCCCTCTGTATCCCTCTGTACCTTACTACTTTCAACTCAAAACTTTCTCCTAACCGTGAATCTTCTCTTGGCTGCTGCACTCCTTCAACTATTTGCCACGGTACAGCTCCCCACCATTGTATTTTTTCCCTTTTTGGGTACATCGGGACTTGCAATTCCCCGGACCTGCTGTCCCGCCGTAATCGCCCATCTATTTTTTCCCATCTAACCCCCCTCCCCCTCCTTCTATTCTATTTCTTCTCTCCCTTCTCGCTTCCCCCTCTTATATCTGTAACTATCTCGCAGAAGTCGGGTGACCATTGACACGTTTATTCCTCCCGCACCCGCTCTGCAAACCTGTGACGACATCACTGCCAACACCCCCAGATCGGTGGGGATTTCCTGAAGACAACAACCCCTCAATTTTTCCATTCTCTGTCGGCTTGCGGCGGAAGAATGGGTCTAAATTTGGAGGAGCTCTATGGCAAAAATTTAAGTGAAGAACAGGCTCCGCACGAGTATTCCCAGTACCAACCCAAAAAGGGCTATGGCTGGGCCAATGCCTTGCCGGAGCGGCAAGGTCTGTATGATCCTGAGTACGAGAAGGATGCCTGCGGTGTAGGCTTCGCAGCGTGAGTGAACCCCAACGTCAGAATTGAAAACACCCTCCATATGGAGGGACTTCGGAAACCAATTTCAATGCTAACCCGATAAATCAGTCACATCAAGGGAAAAGCAAGCCACAAGATTGTTAGCGATGGTGAGTGCCAGATTGTTGTGTCTTGATTCTATCGCAGGGAAGGGAAAGCGAAGCTGACAGACAAATGAAACAGCCCGCAATCTTTTGTGCAACATGACCCACCGAGGAGCCGTTGGCTCTGACGCACGGGACGGTGATGGTGCTGGTGTGATGACCAGTATTCCCCACAAGTTCTTCATCAAGAATTTCGCCCGCGAGGTGGGTGTGGAGCTTCCCCCGCTGGGTCAATATGCAGTCGGCAACTTGTTCTTCAAGCCCGATGAGGAGGCACTCAAGCAGTCCATAGCCAGCTTTGAGGAATTGGCCTCAACTCTAGGCTTGCGTGTTCTTGGATGGCGTGAGGTTCCCCGAGACTCGACTATCCTCGGTCCCGCTGCTCTTTCCCGAGAGCCCATCATTATGCAGCCCTTTGTCGTGCTGAAATCGGCATACGGTGAAGGCAACAGGCCGGAGATCACTGACACAGAAAAATTCGACGCCAGAACCTTCGAGCTCCAGCTGTATGTTCTACGGAAGCGCGCTACTCATGTCATCGGCCTCGGAAATTGGTTCTATCTGTGTTCGCTCAGCAACCGGAACATCGTATACAAGGGTCAGCTCTCCCCCGTGCAGGTCTACACATACTACCATGATTTGGTGAACGTGGACTATGAGGGTCACTTTGCTCTGGTACACTCGCGATTCTCCACGAACACATTCCCTTCCTGGGACCGCGCCCAACCCCTCCGATGGGCCGCTCACAACGGTGAAATCAACACCTTGCGAGGAAACAAAAACTGGATGCGCGCACGGGAGGGTGTCCTTCGGTCAGAGGTCTTCGGTGACGAGCTCGACCAGCTTTATCCCATTGTTGAGGATGGCGGTTCCGACTCGGCTGCGTTCGATAACGTGCTTGAACTACTGATGATCAACGGCGTCCTGTCTCTTCCCGAGGCAGTAATGATTATGATTCCGGAGGCCTGGCAGGACAACCCAGCCATGGACCCCGCCAAGTCCGCTTTCTACGAGTGGGCTGCGTGTCAGATGGAACCCTGGGATGGTCCGGCCCTGTTCACGTTCTCCGATGGACGCTACTGCGGTGCTAACCTGGACCGCAACGGCCTGCGTCCGTGCCGTTTCTACGTAATGGACGATGACCGCATTGTCTGCGCTTCTGAGGTCGGCGCTATCGATATCGACCCCGAGAGAGTCATTCAAAAGGGCCGCCTACAGCCTGGAAAGATGCTGTTGGTGGATACCGTGGCTGGGCGCATCATTGATGATGCTGAACTCAAGCAGACAGTCGCCCGGCGCCAGGACTTTGCTGGTTGGCTGGACAAGGAGCTTCTGAAGCTCCCTGCTATCAATAAACTGCTGCTTGACTCGAACGTGGACCTTTCTTTCGCTCTGGACGACAACACCATCCAGAACGACCCTCGCCTCCGAGTGTTCGGGTACTCGTTCGAACAGGTCAGCTTGATTCTTGGCCCGATGGCCGCAGACTCCAAGGAAGCCCTGGGCTCTATGGGTAACGATGCTCCTTTGGCCTGCATTTCTCAGCAGCCTCGTCTGCTCTACGAGTACTTCCGCCAGCTCTTTGCTCAGGTGACCAACCCTCCTATTGATCCTATCAGAGAGGCTGTGGTCATGTCTCTTGAATGTTACGTCGGTCCTCAGGGAAACCTGCTGGCAATGGACCCCTCACAATGCCACCGTCTGCTGTTGCCTTCTCCCATCCTGAGCATCCCGGAATTCAACGCTCTGAAAAACGTCAACCTGGCTCACAAGGACTGGACCGTGCGTACTATCGACATCACCTTCGAGAAGAGCAAGGGCACTGCTGGCTACATTGAAGCGCTCGATTCCATCTGCGATGCTGCCACCGAAGCCATCGAGAATGGCGATAAGGTCATCATTCTCTCCGACCGCGCGACATCTGCCACCCGTGTTCCGGTATCCGCCTTGCTGGCTACCGGTTTGGTGCACCACCATCTCGTCCGCAACAAGTGGAGGTCGCTCGCTGCTATCGCAGTGGAAACCGCTGAGGCTCGCGAGGTCCACCACCACTGTGTTCTGCTCGGATATGGTGCAGATGCGATCAACCCTTATATGGCCTTGGAATGCATTCTCAAGATGAACCGGGAGAAACTGTTCCGCAAGGACATCTCCGACGAGAAGGTTGTACAGAACTACAAGTCATCATGTGACGGTGGTATCCTCAAGGTTATGAGTAAGATGGGTATCTCTACTCTCCAGTCTTACAAGGGTGCGCAGATCTTCGAAGCCCTCGGTATTGATGACAGCGTTATCGACCGCTGCTTTGCTGGCACTGCCAGTCGCATCCGTGGTATCACATTCGATTTGATTGCCCAGGATGCTTTCGCCTTCCACGAGCGCGGTTACCCTTCACGCCCAATTGTCGAAGTGCCCGGTTTGCCGGAATCCGGCGAGTATCACTGGCGTGATGGAGGCGAAGCCCACATCAACGATCCCACCAGCATTGCCAATGTGCAGGATGCCGTTCGCACTAAGAACGACAAGTCCTACGAGGCATACGCCAAGTCCGCACACGAGTCCATCAAGAACTGCACACTGCGTGGAATGCTCGACTTCGATTTTGATCAACGGAGCCCTATCCCCATTGACCAAGTCGAGCCCTGGACTGAAATTGTCCGCCGCTTTGTGACCGGTGCCATGTCCTACGGATCCATCTCCATGGAGTCCCACTCTACTTTGGCCATCGCCATGAACCGCTTGGGCGGCAAGTCCAACACTGGTGAGGGTGGTGAAGATGCCGAGCGTAGCAAGAGAATGGAGAACGGCGACACCATGCGGTCGGCCATCAAGCAGATTGCCTCTGGTCGTTTCGGTGTCACATCGAACTACTTGGCTGATGCTGATGAGCTGCAGATCAAGATGGCTCAGGGTGCCAAGCCCGGTGAGGGTGGTGAGCTGCCTGGCCACAAGGTCGTCGGCCCCATCGCTCGCACTCGACACTCCACCCCTGGAGTCGGCCTTATCTCCCCTCCCCCTCACCACGACATTTACTCGATTGAGGATCTGAAGCAGTTGATCTACGATCTCAAGTGCTCCAATCCTAGAGCTCGTGTCTCCGTCAAGCTCGTGTCCGAGGTTGGTGTGGGTATTGTCGCCTCTGGTGTGGCCAAGGCTAAGGCTGATCACATCTTGATCTCTGGCCATGATGGTGGTACTGGTGCCTCGCGCTGGACTGGTATCAAGTACGCTGGTCTTCCTTGGGAGTTGGGTCTCGCAGAGACCCACCAGACTCTCGTCTTGAACGATCTTCGTGGTCGTGTTGTCGTCCAAACCGATGGCCAAATCCGTACTGGCCGTGATCTCGCCATTGCCTGTCTTCTTGGTGCTGAAGAATACGGCTTTGCTACGACTCCGTTGATCGCGATGGGATGTATTATGATGAGGGTGAGTAAATGCAGCATCTGACCTCCTACTGAACCGCTTCCTAACCATTCTGTGCAGAAATGTCATCTGAATACCTGCCCCGTTGGTATTGCCACTCAGGACCCCGAACTGAGAAAGAAGTTCCAAGGTACACCGGAGCATGTCATCAACTTCTTCTTCTATGTCGCCAATGAGATGCGTGCTATCATGGCAAAACTGGGCATTCGCTCCGTCAACGAGATGGTTGGTCGCGCCGAGCTGCTTAAGGTCCGGGACGATATTCGCAATGTCAAGCAAGAGCGCATTGACCTGTCGCTTATCCTGACTCCTGCCCACTCGCTTCGTCCTGGGGTCGCTACCTACAATGTCCGCAAGCAGGATCATCGCCTTCACACTCGCTTGGATAACAAGCTGATCGCTGAGTCGGAGCTTGCTCTCGAGAAGGGTCTTCCCTGCCGAATTGAGTGTGATATTGTCAACACTGATCGTGCTCTGGGAGCTACCCTCTCCTACCAAATCAGCAGACGTTATGGTGAAGCCGGTCTTCCCCAAGACACCATTCACGCGAACATCAAGGGCTCTGCTGGTCAATCCTTCGGTGCTTACCTCGCACCTGGTGTGACCCTTGAGCTTGAGGGTGACGCCAACGACTATGTCGGCAAGGGTCTGTCTGGTGGCCGTCTCATTGTTTATCCCCCTCGTGGAGCCGCTTTCAAGGCTGAAGAGAACGTCATTGTAGGTAACACCTGTCTCTATGGTGCTACCCGCGGAACTTGCTACTTCCGTGGTATGGCTGCTGAGCGTTTCGCCGTCCGCAACTCCGGTGCCACCGTTGTGGTTGAAGGCGTTGGTGACCACGGATGTGAGTACATGACTGGTGGTCGTGTACTCAACCTCGGACCCACTGGCCGCAACTTCGCTGCTGGTATGTCTGGTGGTATTGCTTACGTCCTGGACAAGAACCAAGACTTCCATTCTAAGGTCAACTTGGAGATGGTTGAGATCTCCGGCATTGAGGACCCTGCAGAGATTGCCTTTGTTCGTGGCCTGATCGAAGACCACCACCATTACACTGGCTCTGAGCTGGCTGCTCGCATTCTGCTCGACTTTACCCGTGCTCTTCCTCACTTCGTCAAGGTCCTACCTACTGACTACAAGCGTGTGATGGAGGAAGAGGCTGCTAAGGCGGAAGCTGCTAAGAAGGCTGAATTCACCCTTCCTCAGCTTCCCGGTGCACCTGTCAAGGCCGAGAAGGCCAAAGCGGATGATTCTAAGAAGACCGATCTGCTGGACATCGAAGACAGCATCAGCGACTCAAAGACTGAGAAGAAGCGATCCGCATTGATTCTGGACAAGACTAGAGGCTTCATGAAGTACAGCCGCCGCAGTGAGAAGTATCGCAATGCGACAACCCGTACTCGTGATTGGGGTGAGATCTCCAGCCGCCTCAGCGAGGACGAACTCAAATACCAGTCTGCTCGCTGCATGGACTGCGGCGTGCCCTTCTGTCAGTCTGATACTGGATGCCCTATTTCCAACATTATCCCCAAATGGAACGAATTGGTCTTGTGAGTTAATGCCACTAACAACCCTACATTGAGACACCTGCTAATAATCCACCTCTCCACAGCGCTAACCAATGGCGGGAAGCTTTGAATCGTCTGCTCATGACTAACAACTTCCCTGAGTTTACTGGTCGTGTCTGCCCGGCACCTTGTGAGGGCGCATGTGTCTTGGGCATCAACGAAGATCCCGTTGGAATCAAATCCATTGAGTGCGCAATCATTGACCGTGGATTCGAGATGGGCTGGATGGTACCCACCCCGCCTCCCACCCGAACTGGAAAGACCGTTGCGATCATTGGATCCGGACCCGCTGGTCTGGCTGCTGCTGATCAGCTCAACCGCGCTGGTCACACTGTCACTGTTTACGAGCGTGCCGACCGATTCGGCGGTCTCCTGATGTATGGTATTCCCAACATGAAGCTTGACAAGAAGATCGTTCAGCGCCGTGTCGACCTGATGGCCGCTGAGGGTATCAAGTTCGTTGCGGGCACTTCGGTCGGTCCCGACTCCGAGGTATCCCTGCAATCCCTTCGGGCCACCAACGACGCTGTCATCATCGCCACTGGTGCCACTGTTGCGCGTGACCTCAAGGTCACTGGCCGTGAATTGGATGGTGTGCACTTTGCCATGCAATTCTTGCACAAGAACACCAAGTCCCTCCTTGACTCCGAACTTTCGGATGGCGAATATATTTCTGCCAAAGACAAGCACGTCGTCGTCATCGGTGGTGGTGATACCGGTAATGATTGTATCGGTACCTCCGTCCGTCATGGTGCGAAGTCGGTGACCAACTTCGAGTTGTTGCCTCAGCCTCCACCAGAGCGTGCCCGTGACAACCCCTGGCCCCAGTGGCCCCGTATCTACCGTGTCGACTACGGTCACACCGAAGTCAAGACGCACATGGGCAAGGACCCCCGTGAGTACTGTGTCATGTCGACCGAGTTTGTCGATGATGGCAACAACCGCGTCAAGGGCATCAACACCGTCCGTGTCGAATGGACCAAGAGCGCCACTGGCGGTTGGGACATGAAGACCGTCGAAGGCAGCGAGCAGTTCTTCCCCGCTGACCTTGTTCTCCTCTCCATGGGATTCTTGGGTCCGGAGGACCGTCTACTTGGTGACGAGATTGAGCGTGACCCCCGCAAGAACGTCAAGACCCCTCCAGGACACTATTCAACCAACATTCCCGGCGTCTATGCGGCAGGTGACTGCCGCCGTGGACAATCCTTGATTGTCTGGTAAGTTTTCATCGCAATAGTACAAACATAGGATCTTTACTAACTTCATATCAGGGGTATCAACGAAGGTCGCCAGTGTGCTCGTGAGGTGGATGCTTTCCTCAGCGGAACCAGCTCTCAGCTCCCCGTCACCGGCGGTATCGTCCGTCGTCCTGCCATCGACGCCGTTCCCCAGCCTACCGAGGTTGCTGCTTGATGGACTAGACGGGACAAAATTTACGACTGTGACGGCCATTAATTACCAAAATTCCATGATGTGAAAAAGAGGAATCATCCAGTGGGATACATTTGTGACTTAGACAGGATACCACGGGGTTGGAGGATTCTCTGCGCAGACACCGAAAAGCCTCCAGTACTGAGCTTTTTCTTTTGCTTTATGTTTGATCTGTTGTTTCGATGTTTCTTTTTCTGCCCCAGCATTATTTGGTTCTACTTATCTTCTTGTTCTCTTCAAATTGCAAGGTCTCTAGAGCATCGGCCAGTTGGCTGTCTCTATATTCCTGCTGTACATAGATTTTTGCAAATGAACTCCTTCTCGTTTGTGGTCTGACAGTACCTAGCTGAAAAACTCGTATCTTTTCTTTGGTCATCTACATGCAGGTATGTGTGGAGCAAGAGATACGGTGAGGGTCAACAATGTCTTTGTGCTGTTGGATCTCTGCCAGCCTCTCCTTGTTAGACCTGCATACCATTGCCGGCTTTGATGGCCAACTTGTATAAATTTCCTCATATCCCTTGCTTCCTTGCGGTCCATTCCATCCATAGCATCTACCTAAATCCATCTAACGAATTTGACTTGCCTATTTGACAGACTTATAGATCCTATAATGAAAAGCAGGGCAAGCACCGCCGAACGGTCAACTGAGGCCGCCAACGAGTCGAATCCGAATGGCTTTGTCACTAAACGCAAGATTGACGGCGAGCGACGGTCCATCCGCCACTATAGCGACGGCCGAGTATCAGAGCGCAGTGCAAGTGTCGAACCTGCCCCCCGAACAAGAGCTAGCACGAGAGCCAGCACGAGAAACAGCTCAAGGAGCTGTTCTAGAAACGACACATGCAACACCACAAGAGCCAGCAGCCACATGGGGCCTTTCATCTCGCGCCGTTCGAGCTTTGCCGATCGTCCGCCTTCAGCTTTTCAGTCCAAGCTCTCTGACCTGGCTGCTGAGATTTCTGCCGAGGTAGCCAGGTTCTCTGCTGATAAGCCGGGCTCTGCATCGGCAGAGAGACTCCGGACGACATGGAGCAATGTAAGGAGTGGGAAGGCCACTCCAAAGAATACCATCCATTCATCTGGTGCCAGTGTGGCTAGCTCGAATTGCAGCACCAGGACAGGGGGGTCTGTTCTTGATAGGATAGCGGATATCGAAGATCGAGTGAGGAGGCAGAATGTATGGCTCAAGCCTGTACTGGAGGGAGACGAGTAGGAATGCAAGGAGAGTGAGAGTCTCAGGCTACTAGAGAATTGGAGATTACCTTGGTTACCTACCTTCTTTGTGTTTGAAACTATGAATGCTGACCTGTTGGATCGTTCTTTGGTAGGTAAAGGCATGCTTCAAGCCCTTCTTATATGCGCATCGGCTACTTACAGATTTCCATCTGCCGACCACCGCAAGTTCTGGGCCCAGAACTATTGGACATATCGATGTGAGTAGGTTTCAGTTCCGAGACATCTCTTCTGCTTCTGAGCGTCGGTCCTGGTTTCATAGTTCTCCTATGAATGTGGTGTGGTTCGGGACATTATAGACCCTTAGCGTTGGATGCCAGCTGAGCATGCAAGGTCCATATGACCGTTCAACAAATGTTGGAGGGAAACGGAGATGATCATATTATACAGAATAAACGAAACAAGATGGTGTATATCTACATATCATAACAAAAAGAGAAGAAGGCAAAGGGACATCATGAGGACTGTTGCTTCGCTGCTTTCTCTTCGGCCTTTATTTCCTCCCACAGTGCAGCAAAGTCTCCCTTGAAAGAGTCCTTAGCTGGCTCCAGCCGTACATCCCAGACATCCTCACTACTGGGGCCTGTCTTGTACTTGATCGCCTTTTTTCGGTTGTGGTCTCGGATCTCCCTCTTGCGGAGATCTTCCGGCCAAGTGCGGGTCTTCATACACAGCCAGAGATTGTCCCAATGGTCACTGCAGGACCGAAGTTCTCCATATCGATAAACATTCACAAATTGGCCACCAAAGGACTGGCAGAAGAAGGCGTAGTCAAAGGCATTGCGGCAGGACATGGTGTCCGCGTAGAGGGATTCGGGTGCGATGGGCGATGAAGGGATTTCTGATCCTGGCGCCGGACTGCCATCAGGGTTGAGCCCTGGTTTATTTGAGAGAGCGGCATCTTGAGCCCTGAGATCGGCCAGAATCGCACTGAACTCCAAGTCGGCTTGTTCGTCGGGGGTCAAGGTCTTCGGTGGCGCTGGCGCATTCTGTTTTTCCGGTTCCGCAGGAATTGTGGGTGGAATCTCCTTTGGTGTGTCCTTGGAGGTATTCTTAGGACTTGATCCCCACAGCCAGCCCATTTGTGTTTGTGTAAGAGGGTTTGAATGGTTTATTTATCGCAACACTTCGAATTCGCGTGGTTATCTTTTTCGCCGTAATCAAGATGTCATGTGACTTAGATAACAGCTGATAGCCTGATCGTCATGACCCACGACGTCATTGCTTTGGCGCAACTAATCAGTCTAGACACCTCGGTCTTCCTTCCAGGTTTCATTTTCTCCGTTCTTTGACATGCCCCTGGGATAAGAATGCGGCCGGCACTTTTCTCAAGAGGCCCGTTGGCCGTTTGGGCTCCGGCACGCTCTCATAGCAGTGCCAATGCGTTTCGCGGGAGACCTTCAGTCTGGGGACGCTCGGCGATACGATGCGCATCTTCTATTCAGTCAGGGCATATTCCAGTTGGTGAAAATGAAGGAATTATCTACATCAACAGTGCGGTTTTGAGCCGATATAAGCTATGTGTACCTACTGATTGATTCTAGATATCTTTCCGCATCGCCTACAATGGCTGATGCGTGGACCTCTCAGCCATATCCAGCCCTTCGAGGGGCTCCTGGCGAAATTCAACAATCCGGGAGTAGCGGCTGCCAATCCAACCAGCATAATCAAGAAAGCTATACCCAAAGACCTGGATTTGGAGATCAAAGACGTCGTCACGAGGTACAAAGAAGGTGGTGCGTTCGTGAAATATGCGCCGAAGTCCAAAATGAGCGATGAAACCATCAAAAATGCAATTCATGAGCATTTGAAGAATAATCCCATCAAGCCCTGGTTTAATCCATTCCTCAAAGTTGATGCGGACCTTGTTCGCGGGACACCCTGGATCGAGGACCTCTATCGAATTCCGAGTCAGACACTCAAAGTGGAGTTTTTGTCGACATCTCCAGATACATCAGGGGCCGAATTGACTCAAGAATCCTTGTACTCACTGTTCCGACCTTATGGCAAAATTTTGGACATCCAGTCGCAGCCGTCAGATTCGAAGGTCGAACCACGATACGCAACTCTGCTGTTCGAGCGCCCTCGTTTCGCTGTTATGGCGAGGAACTGCATGCACGGTTTTGTTGTTTCGGAAGCAGGAGGGGGTGGCAAGTCCGGCACAAAGTTCAAGATCAACTACGAGCGCAAGATCAAGTTGTCCATGATCAAAGATTGGATTCTGAACCACCCGCGACTAGTCATCCCGGCCATAGCAGCATTGATCGCTACGATCACAGTCATCATCTTTGATCCGATTCGCACATTCTTCATCACGCTCAAGATCAAGTCCTCGTTCCAGGGTGAAGAGAACCCCGTTCTGGAATGGGTTCGAAGACAAGCCAGCAAGGCCAACATGTTCTCCTTCGGAAAACGAAGGTCAGATCCGCGAGGTCTTGCAGCTATCTGGGAAGATCGACAGAATGATATTGCGCAACTACGTGCCTGGCTGACCGAGACTGCGGATACATTCATTGTAGTTCATGGGCCTCGGGGCTCAGGGAAACGCGAGTTGGTTCTGGAACAATCCCTGAAGGACCACAAATATAAGGTTGTCATCGACTACAAGCAAATCCAGGATGCTCGGGGTGATACAGCCAAGATTTCACGAGCAGCCGCTCAGGTCGGCTACAGGCCGATCTTCTCTTGGATGAACAGCATCAGCAGCTTCATCGACCTTGCTGCGCAGGGAATGATTGGTACCAAAGCGGGATTTTCCGAGACGCTAGATGCACAGCTGAGCAAGATCTGGCAGAATACCGCTGTCGCCCTGAAGCGAGTTGCAATGGAAGGACGACGGAAAGACGACAAGGACGCCAATCTGTCTGAAGATGAATACCTGGAGGCACACCCGGAGAAGAGGGCTGTCGTGGTAATCGACAACTTCGTCAGTGACGAAGCGGACAATGTCGTGCTCGACAAGCTCACTGAGTGGGCGGCCGGTTTGACATCGTCAAACATCGCTCATGTTGTCTTTTTGACGACTGATTCCTCTTTTGCAAAACCGTTGAGCAAAGCCATGCCTAATCAAGTGTTCCGCACAATTGCCTTGGGTGACTGCTCGCTGGAAGTCGGTCGTCGCTTCGTGTTGAGTCATCTGGACGCAGAGGCAGAGGCAGGCAACAACGAAGGTGAACAGCACGTCAAGCGCAAAGACACACTTAGTGGCTTAGATGATTGTATCAAGGTCCTGGGTGGCCGAGTCACTGATTTGGAGTTCATGGCTCACCGGATCGAGGCCGGTGAGACCCCTGAAGGTAAGCCCATTTTTCGTTCTCTTTCGCGGAAAGTTTTATTGACCTTTATACAGCTGCGGTGAATCGTATTGTTGAGCAATCGGCGTCGGAACTTCTGAAGATCTTCATCCTGGGAATGGATACTGCGTCACCTCAATGGACTCGTGAACAGGCATGGTATTTAATCAAGTCTCTAGCTCAAAGCAAAGATGGGCTCCTGTTGTACAATAAAGTCCTCCTCGGGGATTTGTTCAAGGCCAACGGCGAGGCCACTCTCCGGGCTCTGGAACAAGCAGAGCTTATATCCATTGGAACAGATCAAGGATTCCCACGATACATCAAGCCAGGCAAACCTGTGCATCGCGCTGCTTTCCAACGTTTGGTGGAGAACAAAACCCTCCAGGGCCGTCTCGACCTGTTGATTCTGTCGCAGCTCATCAGCAATGAGAACTCGAGTATTGCAAAGTACGAGGCGGAGCTTCAGGGTCTCGGTACGCTACCGAAATATCCGAAGGAACTCTCATCGCGGATTGAGTGGCTCCTGGGCAAAATTCACGGATCGCAATTCAAGATTCTCAAATATGAGCGTGAAAGTGCATCCCTCTCCAAGGCGTTGCAGAAGGAACACTGAGGATTGATTACTGTATATCAACATTGTTTTAATATCACTCCGCTATTGACGCATATCTTCTATATCTCAACTCGTAAGAGGATAAACTCAACGAAGTCGTAACCTCGGCTGTAATTCGAGTCTGCCACACATGTCTGCATAAGCAATTCCATGAGAGCGTTAGAACATAGCTGCGAGCATAACTGATTGCAACAGCCACCATGAATAAACAAATCCAGAACAGAAACAGAAATAGAAACGGTCTTGAAGCCCTCCTGGACCTCAAGTGAAACATATGCTTAATAAGCAGGGCAAAGCTGGAATCCCGTCCAGGACCTCCACTTCACCGGGCTTCACCCTACGTTTGAATTCATACGCGTTTAATTGGAATTCGCCGGGATTAGTTCATTAGACGTGTAACCGTGTCTTTGTGATCTCTATACACACCTTGGCCCCTTGTGCGGGTGCTGGTGTTGTCACACCGTATCATCTTGACCGGCAGTTATTTTGAGCTATTCTATTGAATTGATCGCCATGGAGAGTTACGAAGCACCGCCCAGTCTTGCACAGACTGTCCGAGAGGCATTTTTCAACATGAGTTGGTCAAATGTCTTCACCTTTGTGGTGATTGTATGCATCACAACTCGGGTTATCACAGGGATTCAGAGTCGACGCCGTGAACAAGACCCTTCCAAAACACAGACAGTGCGGCTGGCACCGTATTGGTTTCCCTGGATTGGACACAGTCCTGCATTCTTATGGAATCATGTCCGTTTCTTCATAAGAGCCCGGTTTGTCTTTCTCCGAAATGCTATTCCGACCCGTTACTAATAACACCACAGAGGTTCTATGAATGAGCCTGTCTTTGGCATCTACCTTCGCGGTGTGGAGCATAAGGCTGTGGTATCTCCTTCTATGATGAAAGCTGTTTCTTCTGTGAAAGCTGCTCCCCTGAACAATGAATTTCTCGATCAGGCTCTCAGAAATGTCTTCGGGGACCGCGGCCTCATCCGCAATCTAAGTCTGGATCAAAACCAGGGGCTTAGCGACAAGGCAGCTACAATTCTCAGCGAAGATTCTTTCGTGACTGAAGCTTCATCTACGGTCGTCCGCTTGGTGCAGCGCGATATGCCGAATTTGGTAAGCTTCTGTCGAAGCCTTGTTGACCAAAACCCCTGGGAACGTGGGATGAGCGGAGTGGAGGTTCCCGATGAAACAGACCAGACAGTCTGCGAAGCGAACTTGTTTGCCCTTCTGAGCAACTTTGTTGGCCACATCATTTCTACCTTCCTGATGGGTGAGACCTTCGTGGAGAATTTCCCCAACCTCTCAGAGGACCTAGGACGGTTAGGTGATTGCTTTGTGACACTATTCGCCGGCACTGCTCGTTGGATTCCGCATCCTGCAGCCTCGGCAGGTCATGCGGCGAGTGATCGGCTTCGCCATGTCATGTCAGTCTTTCACAGAGCGATGGTTGCTTGGGATGATGGGATTGATCCTGGCATTGAACTGCGTGACCTTGACGATGTCTCTGAACTGGTCATAGAAAGAATGCGTACCTTCCGCAAATTAGAGCTATCGCCCGGTGCCAGTGCTGCTGCACACTTGTCTCTATACTATGATCTGATCGAGCACACTACGAAGATCACTTTTTGGACCGTTACTCACCTCTTTGCCGACCCTACGCTTCTCGATCAAGTCCGCAAAGAGATAGCTCCCTATGTGATGGCTTCCAGGCCAAGTCGCCAGCAGACTGGGTTCCCCCTCGATGAACCTCCTCGACTCTCCCTTGATATTGAGCAGGTGCTTACATCTTGCCCTCTATTCAAAGCGTGCTATTATGAAGCTGTGCGTCTGCATTCGGCAGGTATCTCGTTCAAGAATCTGGCGTCCGATGTGAACCTTTCTGAGACCGCAGAAGAAGCTGCCTACGGTCTTACGGAGCCCCGTACATACAAGATTCTGAAGGGCGAAAAGATTATGTTGCCCCATGGTGCCTATCACCATGACGCTCGATACTTTTCCAATCCGGACCAGTATGACCCTCTACGATTCCTGGTGACTGATACCGCCACTGGAAAACAACGAGCTGATTCAAGCATCCTTGCTCCGTATGCGGATGGGCTGTATGGATCAACGAACAATGGCTTCAATGAGAGGGCTATTCTGTCTCTCACTGCGGGTATCGTAGCCCTATGGGACATTCAGCCAACGAGTGGTAAATTCATGAAAGTCCCAGGGCACAAGACCAGCTGGGGTGCTTTCCGACCGACGAAGGAATTGAGGGTGAAGATGAAATTACGGGTATAATCGCATCTGAGCATTGCATGTTATAGAATTATCTTATGTTGGCAATCCAATACAACTGAAATAGTCAATGTAAACGGCGGACCTGTGAATTACTGTATCCGGTTAGGTAGCCCTGTGATCATTCAGCATCGCGCTTCATAGCCTCCTGAATCCATCCCGATCTCTCCTTCCCCAACTTCTTCAGTTCTTCGTCTGGCAGCTCGTTGAGCTGGAGGTAAATATGAGGACTCGGCACGTTGCGACCCTTCTCAAAACCGGGACGTGCTAGGAGTCTATACATCCAGTCCTTGACGTGAGGGAATTCATCAATCTGGGATAGGCCACTGTACTCTATGATGAGTGCCGTCAGTATTTCCCGGACAGACTCGGGCTCCATCGAATCGAGTATATTTCTTACTGTACGCGGTGGTCCATGGCCAGATAGCGATGTCGGCAATGCTCAGATGATCACCAACGAGATATCCGGAAGGATTGTTTGCGAGGGCCTTATCCATGACGCGGTAGAGACGGCGTGTTTCGTTGACGTAACGGTTTAAGGCGTACGGATAGTCGCTGAAAGCGGACACTGTGTTCATTTCAGATCAATGTCATCTTTTTCGTCCCATTGTCTCGCTAACATACTTTTAAAATGGTTTGCTTGACCCTGCATGGGGCCGAGACCGCTCACCTGCCAAAAGAGCTAGTGAAATTCCAGATTAGAATTTGCCTTTTCAAAATTCGAGGTGGCGATAATGGCAAAACCTACCCAGCTTGTCATCTGCCAGTATTCCTTGCTGCCTTGAGGATACGAGATCTTGTGGTCTTTGTCGTACCGGTCCACGAGATACTGCAAGATTGCACCACTTTCCCAGATCTTCAGCTCGCTACCACTCTCGTCCGTGTCGACAATAGCTGGAATGCGGCCGTTGGGGTTTACATCGAGAAACCACTGTTCTTTCTGTTCGTGGTTAAAGAGATTGATTTTGCGGACCTATACAAGGACTGCGTCAGGGAGTCCTTTCTCTGGCGTTGGGGAGATTTTACCCGGGATCATACCTTGTACTCCAAGCCCAGTTCCTCCAGCGCGATGGAAATCTTGAGAGGGTTGGGAGTTCCCTCGCAGTAAAGCGTGATCATGATCGGCGAAGTTGAGTAGACTGTTGGGACAATGAAGTCAACAAAGGCAAAAGAACTGTGCAGCGCTTATGTCGTGCAGAACAATATCAACAGAGAGGTCGCAAATCTGATGAATCCGCTTGCACGTCTTCAACTTTCTCATTCAACAGCGGCTCTTCTTCATATTTATACGCATTTTCTTGCCGTTTTATCCTGTTGGGCTCTTAATGTAAGCAATCATGCGATCATGCGTGGGCCACAACTCATCGCCCTGCATCTTGACAATAAAGCGCGTGCAATTTCCTCAAGTCGGCGTTGCCTCAAAGGGACAACGGTGTCACCAAAGCAGTTTAGGCTAACAAGGGCTCTGTTTGTCCTTGATCCGGTTCCATGGAGCGCTTACGGCCTGTCGTTCGGCCCGTTGCCGGAAAGGGCTAATGGTCACCAAGAATGGGAATGATTGACAGATCAAAGTGGGGCGACCGTGGCTAGTGACGGCCGCATATAAACGTTATTTGGATGCTGGACGATTATCAATCAACTCCTTACACCATTGATTTGAAATCGGCTACATGCGCCAAGCTGGTCGACTGTCCGTGGCAGAATTGCTGGACCTGTAAGTCGTTGCCGAGCTCACTCGAATGCACTATGCTAGCAATAGCCTTCCTAGCAGCCTTGGCAACCTCGGGCCAGCGGTAGAATTCCTGGTAGATGGTAGACTCCTCCTCGGCTTGGATGCGGAAGAAGGGGTTCCAGGATCCCAAGACTGGTGTTGCCAACTTGGGCGGTTCATCAATGACCAATTCGACTGTGCAACGTATGCGCACCAAACCCCACTTTGTCGTCGACCCACAGAAACAATCAGGCTGAGTGACGGAACTCAAACGCTTCGATACTTCGTGTATGCACACGTCGCGGCTGGTCCAAGGCTTAGATTATAAATTCTGCGGAAGCGAAAGATCTTAAAGTGAGGGTCTGGTCCGAAATTCCGAATCTAATGTCTGTGGATTTTCTCACCCTTCCTTGTTCCTCGGTCTAATAGAAAGAACAAAGAACGATCTGCAAGCTCAACCTAATGCCGTCTCGCATTATTGTCGTCACTGGCGCCACGGGCAACCAGGGCACAGGCGTTGTCCTAGCTCTACTAGCCTCCGATAAGAACTATCACGTCCGCGCCTTAACGCGCGATGTGAACTCATCTCGGGCCAAAAACCTTCTAGATGAGTGCTCTGGAAAGGCCGAGCCCAACCGTCTCAACCTTGTCTCGGGTCACGCTTATGACCAGAGCAGCCTACGTTCGGCGTTTGCTGGTGCTTATGGTGTTTTCGCCGTCACCTCCGAGATCTATCATGGCAAGGTCTTGGTTGCGGAGGCGGAAATGGCCCACGAGATCGAGGCGGGCCGCAACATGGTCCTGGCAGCCAAAGAATCTGGCGTCAAGCACTTTGTCTTCAGCAGCCTGCCTAGCATGGATGAGGTTACCCGCGGGCAATTTCTCGGTATTCATCATATGAACAACAAGCATGCTGTTGAAATGATCGCAAAAGAGCATTTGAGCGGCTTGACTTGTCTTATTCCTGGTTCGTCATCCTCAGAAACCTTGTTTACATTTAATCCAAGGACAATCCAACTCTGACTGTTGATGTTCTCTCACGCAGGTTTCTTTTACACAAATTTAAGATGGCCTCAGTACACTCGTCGCCGCTGTAAGTGATATTTGCATCTAGTCTGCCATTGGCTTATGGCATGCGATTTGGAAAGTGTGCGACTAACATACAGACCTGAACCAGCGGACGGGGTGGTTGAGTTCCGCACGCCCATTCCCAGCAGACAGGTCGCGCAGTGGACCGACCCAAGTTACGACATGGGAAGCTTTGCAGCACGTAAGTCACATACATGCACATAACCTAATCCCATTTTCCACACTATTTCTGCGCACCACTTTGTAGTCCAGAGCATGGCCAGTCCTGAATGATAGTACTAACCGTGACTACGCAGGGGTCTTCGATCTGGGCTTCGACGTGACTGCAGGCAAGACGTATCTCGTCATGAGCCCCCTCATTACCCCCGAAGAAATGGCTCAGACATTCACAAGGGTCACAGGGCAGCCTGCTGTTCATGATCCCATCAGCCCTGAAAAGTTTGGCGAGATGACAGCCCCGTTCGTTGGCCCAGCCTTTAAATTGGATGCACAGAAGATGATGGAATGGGCTTCTATAACGCCAGTGAACAAGGTTTGCTTCGGAGCCATGGACCCTTCGAAGATGAACGATACGTTTGAGGAGCTAGGGATCAGGGCCACTTCCTTCGAAGATTGGCTTAGGCGTAGTGCGTGGAAGGGACCTGAGTGAGTTTGTGAGTGGCTTGCAGGTAGTTAACTGACAGCATAAAATCCATTGCATGAACGTGCACAAGCAGTATAGAAGAGCACATGTTTTCACCTCCTAATTGATGCTACGAGAATAGTCTGTCTCGCAACCCTCGCCTGATATCTGTGTCGTGGAACTAGTGCTCCTGTAATTACTGGATGAACCTTCATTACATGAAATTGTAATTACAAGGGTTTTTCAGCATATCAAATTACATGTGATAGATTTTAGCGTAGATATCAAGCCTTAGTCAGCAGTTATAGACCAATAGAAGTGCTCAGTCTATACCAAATGTAGTGAAAATTTTTGGGCCTGTAACCCTATGCTGAAAATAATAATACGTAATTACAAAAGCAAAATCCTTATTACATTAGCATGAGGTTATAGAGGAGGGGCGTGGGTACATGGGCGGAGTTGGTGACGAAAGGCAAAAACCGATGGGTTTGGCAACCTTGAGAATTGGTGATGCCCAATGGGATGCCCGTAGACATGATCTCGTCGGAGCTAATCCACTCAAATTACTATGCTGCCTGATAATCTCAATATTCGCCATGTTATGCACCTGATAGTGAACACTAACTCCGATGTTGCCTTATTAAGATCGTTATGATCCAAGATAGGCAAGGGCAAATACAATTCTCGACCACAGCTATCTAAACCGACTATGTAACTAGTCAGAAACGGCAAACGGTGCACAAAGGCGGTAAAGATCGACAATTAAGGTTCGCTTTAGCTAGTAGTTACCCAACTGATGCTGACCAGACAATAGAGATTACCAATCATCCTGTTCCATTCCGAATGCCCTTTTCCCAATTCCTCGTCCTACTCCCCTTGACTCAATTCTGCACGACAACAGCTGAAGATGGAGCTCTCGGGGAAAGAACGTTTTCTCTTCGTGCACGCTGGTGACGCCAGCTTTACTTCACGTCCCAACAAATCGCTCGACTCCGAGATTCGTCGTCATGTCATGGTCAAGATTGGCAAATCACGGAGAAAGCGGCCGAAGAAGCTACCATTCGTCATTAGAGAATGGCAGTCAACCGAGGCTCTGGTGACACAGCCGAGAGCTCATAATGGCGGATATTCGACAAACGAGGACAATATCCCCATGCCAGCTCTATCGAATGATCTTGTCTTGCCGAACACCGTTGCATTAGAGCCTACTACACAGTACGCCGTGGTGTCACCCGTGCCGTCTATCCTACATGCGCTGTCCACCTTTGAAAAAGAATGGGGAGAGGATTCTTATTCGGCATATGGGTTCACTCTGATGATGATGGCGGGAAAGAATGCGTCGAGTCCAGGTAAATTACTTACAGCTTAGTATAAATATTTCACTGTTCACCACTTGCTGAATATTGTTTCATAGCTCGCTCGATAGGAACATTCTGGTTTCCATTTGCATTCAGGCAATCCGCATTCCTCTGGCACTACCGTCAAATTTTCATCTCGCCCGATCTTTTGGTCCCACTGTACCGTGCTTCAGCGAGACGTCTCCGATTTCTTGCATTAGAGCGTTCTTTGACAACAATTCAGTGCATCGAATCAACGCTTGCTAACTGTAATGTCAGCACCTCATGTTCTGATAAGGTTCTCAGCGCTGTGCTGGCTATCGTATGCTATAATGTAAGGTCCATCCCCTATAGCGAGCTGTTGTTCAAGAACGTTGCTGAGTTTGAAGTAGTTAATCAACCTGGATTTTGACCAAGCGATGGTGCATGTCAAGGGCATGCGCATGATTGTTGAGGCGAGAGGCGGGTGGAGTACCTTAGAGGCTAATCCAGACTTAATGGTCATGATTTCATGGTATGGATCCGCGACAAGCACAGTTATCTGAAAGACACATGGTGTTGATGTTTGCATCACAGGACGGACATTACAGTTGCCTTATTGCGTGATACGAAGCCACTCTTTCCCCTCTGCACGGCAATGCCAAGCGCCAATTTAAACCATCAATTGACCCTAGACACGCTTCCTGCTCCGCTATTCAGCCTTCTGAACGGTGAGATCAAGCAAGACACTCGGCTGACAAGCGTGATGTCTTGCATAGCGGATCTCAATGCGCTCGCTACAGTTCTGCGTGCCGAGCTAGCCACCAATGGCGACGCCATCTGGGATGACGAAGAGCGAATGGGGTTTCTCATGAATCCGGTCGCTTACCACCTTCTGCGGCAACAACCAGCGATATCAGGGAGGCGGGTGCAACGCTCGGACATGATATCAGAGGCCTTACGACTCGGTTCTACCGTTTGGATCATTGAAGTGAAGCGGAGATGTCGCTCTTATCCTGGGACTGCCAGATCATGGGTCTCAGCATTGCTAAACATACTATCTGAGGATACTGATTTGCAGAGTATCTGGAGTAGGGATTCTCACCTGCAAACCGTCCGCCTTTGGCTTCTCATACTCTGTGGTATCGGCGAAACCAGTGACCAAGACCATGAACTTGCTATGAGGATGATAGTTGGCGTTATCAAGAAGCATAGGCTGGCCTCATGGAAGGGTATCATGGTAGATATTCGCCGGATGCCCTGGCTTGATATATTTGAGTCTCGCTGCGCAACACTCGGGCAGCAGATCAAGGGGAATTTCACATGACAAGTGTTTCAAAAGTTTGGCCAACGCCAGTCATTGGAAGGTATAAGATATTGGACCGTTTCGTCAGTATCTGGACCTTTATTCTCTGTTCTTAAACATCAATCGCACAGTTGGATCAGCGCCTTGACGTCTGGAGCCGATACCCATTCATCTGCTCTATCCCACGGGGGGTGGCCCAGTCTGGCAGACTGGGGGTTATGGTTTTCTCTTAACTATGGGAGGAAAAGTGGGTCGTACGCCTGACTGGGAGTCTACGTTGTGGCCAGACTTGGAAGGTGTAGAGTCCTCCAATCGGCCTCAAATTTCAGTCAGTTATAATAGACTAGCTAATTGATCTCCGATTTGCTTCGGAGTATGCACAGCCTTCTAGTTGTCGAGAAAAGGGCGATTGAAAATTAGAGATGTTTTGATGGGGTACGGGAACTGGGCCAGTTAGGGTTGCGACCGGGGCCTCAGGCTGAACTCCAGGGTTTCGGACGAATTGGATCACCTCCTCGATTATCTTAGTTTATAATGATCAGGGGGGGTAGCAATTAATTCAGGGGTTGTTGAAGCTCCCCAGCTATCATCTCACGTTTTTTTACATCATTTCATCCCATAGTCAGTATTCGACATTCGTCAAATTTCATGCAATCCATTACTATACGATATATAAATTGATACTATTCCTAATCATGCTTTCACCTATTGAACATAAAAAGCAGACATTATATTAGTTCCATAAAGGCTAACACTAATGCATACTTATATAGTTAGTACATCAGCAAATGTAGAAGTGAGTCTTATATCTTAAATAATCTATAATCGCATAATACTAGCTACTTTATAAAGCTTTTGTTATTATATTGATTAGTTCATATACTCTTTATATAGCATGCCTCAAAAAATCTACTTCGCGGATTATTATAACTACTAACCGGCCCCTCGGATTAATATCCGGATCGGACTTGCACCGATGGCACTAAGACGCGGGGAATAAACCAAGTCAATAGTTAACGTTAAGCCAAGATATCAATGATCATACTAGTCATCTCTTTTGATACGTCTGCATAGAATCGCTGTCCATAACTCCATATTGAAAATGGACGAGCAGGACCCCAACAAAGACTACGATCTTGCAAATGCAATCACTTCCACTTCTGGACTTCGCCAGGGCCTCACATCTTATGGAGATGCTCATTTCTCCCTTTTCCTCCGCAAAGTGTTTATAAAGGCCCTTGGATATTCAGAAGATGCTCTTTCCCGCCCAATTGTGGGAATTATCAACACCAACTCGGGATTCAATCCCTGCCATGCAAATGTGCCCCAGCTCATTGAAGCTGCCAAGCGTGGAGTGCAGCTAAATGGAGGACTCGCCATAGAATTTCCTACTATTAGCGTTGCCGAGTCATTCTCGCATCCAACCAGCATGTTCTTGCGGAATCTTATGAGCATGGACACGGAGGAGATGATCCGAGCCCAGCCGTTGGATGCGTGTATAATGATTGGAGGTGAGCGTCGACTGTTTTGTTTACTTGTCTAGTTGGTTAGAACGGTGCTGACATGGTGTAGGGTGTGATAAAACCGTTCCTGCCCAGTTGATGGGTGGTATCTCCGCAAACAAGCCAATCCTACCACTGATCACGGGTCCAATGCTGCCCGGGAGCCACCGTGGACAGCGCATTGGAGCCTGCACCGACTGCCGGAACAATTGGGCGGCATTTCGCGCGGGTGAAATTGATGTTGAAGAAATTGCGGCGATCAACGAAGAGCTTGCTCCAACAGTATGTGCAGATGCGCCCTCTTCGAACCGTCAACTGGCCAGTTTGCTAATGTCAATTGCTACTTGTTCAGATAGGAACATGTGGAGTCATGGGAACTGCTAGTACAATGGCTTGTATCACTGCTGCCCTAGGAATGATGCCGCTACGGGGCGCCTCAGCACCAGCAGTATCGTCCGCGAGATTGCGAATCGCTGAAGAGACCGGCGCAAATGCGGTTGCAATTGCCAAATCTCAGAGGAGGCCACAAGATGTATTGACCAAGGAGTCATTCTGGAATGCGATCACCGTGCTTCAGGCTATCGGAGGCTCGACGAATGCCATTGTGCATATATTAGCTATTGCGAATAGGCATCCAGAGCTACAGGGAGTCATCACGTTGGACACCATCGAGGAGATTGGGCGCAAAACGCCCTTGCTGATCGATCTCAAACCAAGCGGTGATAATTATATGGATGATTTCCATAATGCAGGAGGCATGATGGCGCTATTGCAAGTGCTCCGACCCCTGCTCCATCTGTCCGCTATGACCATCACTGGACAGACGCTGGGCGAGGTCCTCGATGCATCTCAGTCCAAGCAACTCTCCTTTGCGCAAGACATCATCCGGCCAATGTCGAATCCCCTGTTTCCCGCATCGTCGCTGGCTGTTCTGCGCGGCAACCTCGCACCAAATGGAGCGGTCCTCAAGGCCTCGGCATCCAAATACCGAACCTTGCTCTCCCACACAGGACCGGCCGTAGTGTTTGAAAATTCGGCCGACCTTGCTCAGCGAATCGATGACCCATCGCTCGATGTGATAAAGGACAGCGTTCTGGTCTTGAAAAATATCGGACCGGTCGGTAATCCAGGTATGCCAGAGGCTGGTCTAATACCGATTCCGAAGAAGCTAGCAGAGGCCGGAGTCAAGGATATGCTACGGCTGTCCGATGGTCGAATGTCTGGAACCGCAGGCGGAACCATCATTCTCCATATCTCGCCTGAAGCCGCGTTGCCAGAGTCACCATTCGGCGTGGTGGAGACCGGTGATTTGATTACTTGCGATATCGAGACTCGGAAGTTGCATTTGCACGTCTCCGATGAAGTACTGCAGGTCCGGATCGAGCAACGCAAGCAGACCCTTGCAGAAGTAACACAGGCCAGAAAACAAAGGAGAGGATACCGCGGGTTGTATGAACGATCGGTGAATCAGGCACAAGACGGAGCGGATTTCGATTTCTTGACAGCTGGAGGTGCTGGAAACTAGTATCTATTCAAATAAACCAACATTAAATCAGATAAACCAGCATCAAATCAGACTGGATACCTTGGACCCCTACCTAGAGGAAGGCCCGGAAGGGGCCCTTACCCTGAGCCCTGAGCCCTATCATGTTACCAAATCGGGTTAAATCGATCAAGGCGCGTAACGCGAACGCGTCGGACCTTGCAGATCCCTGTCATTTGCGATCCACCAAATTAAGGTCGAACGATGCTTCAGGCTTTCAATTGCCATTGATTGATTCTTGAATTTGCTCACGGCAAGCCTTGTCACAATGAGTTTCGATCCTTCTCGGCCACGGGGACGGCCAGCCCGTGAGTTATCATCATACTTAGAAACCAAGACAATTACTGACAACGCGATTTACATAGACACACCTGGCACAACTATTCTAGCACACACGCCCGACGGACGACGGATCATCACCGGTGGTTCCAACTCGGCCATTCGTATCTACACGGTCGGCGAAGATGGGGAGCCCAAGACGGTTGACGAAGGTATCGACGCGCATTTCGGAATTGCTGCCACGGTACGTTGGGATAGGAAACCCAAGGCCCGCCACAGGAACTGATACGGCAGCTAGAATCGGTGTTTTATTATGGGCGCCGAGGATGGAACGGTATGGAAGTACGACATCATGTCGGGCCACATACAGGAGTTGCTTGTACGATGCGCTTTGCCGGTCAGAGATATTGCACTGACAAGAGACGGGGAATGGGTTGCAGTGGCAAGCGAGTAAGCCTTGGCCGGAGCATTGGAAATGGTCTATCATATACTAATATCGGCTTATCAGTGAGCTCACGGTCAAGATTGTCAAAGTCGGCGACATGACGCAAGTCAAGTATCTGCGCGAACAGTCCAAAGGAGCAAAGCATGTCACATTTGATCCCAGTGGCCGGTATGCGACAGTATCCGGGACGGATGGAATCCTCTATGTCTACACCATGCACGAGGAAGAGCCGCAGCTAGTCCGCAAACTCGACGGCGTTATCCGACGACTAGAGCCAGAGGCTGAGGCCACATCGAAAGCAGTGTGGCATCCTGATGGTACTGCATTTGCTTCCGCGGATGCGACTAGGGATATCTCTATCTACTCGACCTCGGAGTGGAAGAAAGAAAAGACCTTTGCTCGCGGTCATACCGGCGATATCACAGCCTTGAGCTGGGCCCCGAACGGATCCCTTCTGGCGTCTGCGGCGGAGGATGGATATATCGTGCTCTGGGAAGCAAAGACACAGAACACTCTGCAACGTTATAATTTTGCAAATGTCGTGAACCTGTCCTGGCACCCGACCAAGAACTCGCTTTCATTCACAACTTCAGATGGAGAGCTTTTCATCTATGATAACTTTGTGCCGAAGGAGCACGAATCCTTGCTACAGAAGCCGCTCCAGGCTGCTCCTATACTGCCGGGACCACTGGGCGAAATATCCAACAATATTGCACAGACGACATTGGCCGACCGGTCCAAGGAGGCCATCCAGCGGGCAGCAAGGAGAGGCAGTCCAGCAGACTCGCTGGATGATATCCTTGGCGGGGACGACGATGATGTGATGGACTTTGTCGAGGATGATGATGGGGCTGGCTATGCCGATGAGCTCAATCTCTATGGCAAGCGGTCAAATGATCATCTCGACGACCTTGACATTCCCGACACTAAGCGTGTTTACTCAAGCTTCTCAAAGCCTAGGGCCCATCCACCTCTTCAGCCTGGTAGCACGCCGTGGGCTGGGAGCAGGAGATACCTTTGTATGTTGTCATTCCCGCTCGTCCGCAGTGTAATTACTAACATCGACAGGTCTGAACTTGACTGGAGCTGTGTGGACGGTGGACCAGGAGACACATCACACCGTTACTGTGGAGTTTTACGACAGAGAAACTCATCGAGATTTCCACTTTACAGATCCCTATAAGTACGATAAAGCCTGTCTGAGTGAGTTTCCCGGTCCCGTGTGCATTGAAGTTGGAGACTGATTGAGATTAGATGACAATGGAACACTCTTCGCCAATAACCCTTTGGATGGCAGCCCGGCAACCATCTTCTACCGGCCGCATGAGACGTGGACTGCACGAGCCGACTGGCGGACTCAATTGCCTGTGGGAGAACGGGTTCAAGGTATGCTTCCACATGGATGTGCTCGTATGATAATGGTACTAATCTCACCAGCTCTGGCACTGAGCGATTCATACATCGTCGCAGTGACATCAAAGGACTATGTCCGAGTATACACTCTCTTTGGGACTCCCTACAAGGTGTATCGGCAGAAGAGCCGAGCTGTGACTTGCGCAGCCTGGCGTGACTACATTATGAGTATCGGAAACGGGCCCGTCGGACCTGATGGCTTCCAAACGACGTTACGATATACGGTGGAGAACGTCAAGCGCGACGAAATCTGCCAGAACGAAGACACCGTTGCCCTTCCGGAAGGGGCTTCCTTGCAGAGTATTTTCTTTTCAGACAATGGGGTAGGTGGTACACAACCTTCTCGTCCAACTAGAGATGCTAACCCTGTTCTTAGGACCCTTGTATCTATGACTCTACCGGCGTTCTACTAGTACTACAACATTGGCGTACACCAGGCCAAGCACGATGGGTCCCTCTCCTGGACACTAAGCAGATGGCCCGTCTCGCAGGAGGACGAAAGGAAGAAACATACTGGCCTGTGGCTGTGGCACAAGACAAGTTCCACTGTATCATTCTCAAGGGTGGTGATAAGCACCCTTACTTCCCGCGTCCACTGCTCAGTGAATTCGAGTTCCAGGTACCGATTGCCAGTGGCTCTCCGAAGGATCCTACCGAATCTGAAGAGACTGCAACAGAAGGTGCCCGGTTTGAGGAATCATTTGTCCGTGGAAACGTACTCTTGTCGCTCTTCCGCGACCTCCTCTCCGCGACCAATGCCACAGCCGCCCAGCGGACTGATTTGGCGCGGAGGGAGCTCGACTTGGATAAGAACTTGCTGCAAATGCTGGCCATTGAATGCAGAGAGGGTGAGGATCGTGGTATGAAGGCGCTGGAGCTGGTGGCCTTGATGACAGACCGCAATGGCAAGATGCTCGAGGCAGCTGCTAAGATTGCACAGCGATATGGGCGCGGTGTTCTGGAGGACAAGATCCGTGATCTAGCAGAGCGACGTGTGATGGGAATGGGTGACGATGATGAATTGGCTTGATTAGCAGGCAATTAGGACATAGCAATAACACCTAGTGACACCTATTAGTTTCAGCAATCTACAAAGTGAAACTATTCCCAAGTCGTTATCGTAGTCAAAGATGCTTCTCGGCCTGTATTAGTTTGATCGGCCCGTCATTGGCTCCGACGTCATTTCCCCGACCTCCGATCATCCTCCAACTTCAGTCAATCCACATCTACCCGCTGAACTGTATGGCTGGCAAGCAACGATCACGATCATAGCTAATTGCTATTGAAATGCAGCATGCCGAAGCTGGCTCTTCCGCGTGTGTCTCCCACCACAAAGCGCGTCTCTGCGGGGCGGTTCTTTGCTTCGGTTTCGCGACAGCGACTGGCACAACCGCGTCATGGTCTTCTCAATGAGCCCTGGCTACCCCCAGCCTCAGTCTCTCCTCTCCCAACTACATATTTCTTCTCACCGACACGGGTACGAAGGGAACTGGACGGACCCGGTCCCCTGAAGAACGACCACAAACCGCCAGACGAAAGAACATTGAAGCTGGGAGAGAGTAAGTACTCCATTATTCTAGCCTCTACAGCCTCGCAGATTGGTGAACTGACTTGAATAAAAAGCTTTACGAACCCTGTCACCCCTCCTGCCAACTCTACTGTACAACACCTTACCCACCAATATCCTCTCCCCCAGTGTCAACCTTCACCTATTTCCATCCACTCATCCACATCTTCCCATTGTCAAGGGACGTACCCTTTATCGTGCAGCGCTATGGACTGTCCCAGTTGCATGGAGCAGCATACCACTTGTCGGCAACGTGAAACTCCAGATTCTGAGCGAAAGGATCGTACGTTCTGGTACACTTCTCGATCCCACACATCATGGTAGCCACCACGATTGTGGCGATGAGCGCCTAATTGTACGCTGGAAGACCGAACCACGAACAGAAAGCGGGCCTTTTCATAGCCCAGCCTCGTCATCGAATACCGCAACTTCGTCACCAGACACACAAACCAACCCTCTCTCAGGTTCTACGAAGGGGACCAATAAGGGCTTAAGTATGCTCCTCGGCGGCGATGAGCCTATCTTCAAACTGTCACAGGAGGATCAATTTGACGGCCTTTTTATCTTCTCTTTCGACGAGGAAGGGCGCATTTTGACACATACCATCGAGCACGCCGATCAAGCCGACGGATGGGACCGGACCGCCAAGTTCGTGACTTTGACTGACTGGCTTATTGGCAAGGCGCGTGGCTCTTTGGATCCTGTTGCGAACCCGGGACTGGCCATGGAGACTTATCAAAATCAAGGATTTGCTCCTGGCAATCGTCGGAGAAGATCAGTGCTGAACTAATCTTTCTGCGATTGTCTTACCACTGAGTCTCCAAGGTAGTGATAGATTGTACAGATACACGTCCTTGGTAACTCCGATTTCTCTTTGGCACGTTAATCTTTCTGATTTAGGGCGCCACGGCGTCTGATCGGCGAAAGATTATTTCCACGGCGCCCGCTTGATATTGAACTCCACTCTTTACCTGTCTGCTTGCAAGAGCGTTGAGATGCTACATCGCCACTCTTCTCTGTATTATACCCTGTACTCGATGTGAATAAATGAAGCAAACAGATGATGCATTTGACCCTTAATCTACAATAACCTAACAAGTAACCCCAAGCTAGATCTATAACCTCATATTCCAACGCCAATGACCCCAAAGATGCCATGCTCTGACCAGCAACAAGCAATATAATGCACAAACTGAACTTCACTCGGTCTTTCTATGCGGCGACTTCAACAAGCCGAAAACCGCAACTACTACAACACACATGGCCAATCCGCCAATATTGTAAGCAGCCTCACGCCCAGCCCACCAAAATAGAGAGCAAAATACAATAGGACCGGTTGCCCGACCTGCCTGGCCCCACCCCCGTAAACGACCCATGACCGCGCCGCGGTCAACATCCTGCGCCTCGAAGCTGCCCAGGCTGTTGAGTGAGGTGACAACCGTAGCGGTAGTTACAGCAAGCAAAGCGCCAGCAGCGTAGAGACCCGATGGCGAAGAGACACGAGCAAGACAGAAGAAGGAGATGGCACACGCCACGACGCCGACGCGAAGGGTAATCAGCGGCGGGAGTCGACGCACCAGCGTACCCTGAAGAAGGGATGCGATCAAGCCCATCAAGGATAAAAGCCGTCCATTTAAGGCAGCAGGACTGGTAGTCGAGCCTGTTCCGGCGTAGAGGGTTGTAGTAAGAAACGGGAGGGAGAATTCCAAGCCGGAGAAAGGGAGGAGGAAAAGGAAGTGAAGGGCATTCAGCAATGCCGGATTATTCGTATGAATACGCTTGGAAGCATCGCTCTTCTCCTCTTTCTTAATGTTCGACGCATCACTCTTCTCAGCCGAGACACCTCCACCCTCGACTTGAAGCTTGGTCAAGCGAGGATGCGTTTCAGGCAGACAAGCCCAGAGATACACCGTCTCAACGACGATCAGAACAAGGGATACAATAGCCGCAACGAAGAACGGGTTCTCCGCAACCAGATCAACGGTGCTAAGCGCAGCTCCAAGCGCAGGTCCAAAAGTGAACGCAACACTGAAGCAAGCGCCAACCAATGCCATGGAGGAACCACGGTGCTGCTCGTCTGTAATATCCGCCACGATAGAATTTGCCATTTGAACATTCGCTTCGCTCAATCCGCCGACAATGCGACTGGCCAGGAAGGTCCGGAAGTCCCTGGCAGACACCCAGAGCGCGACGCTGGCAACGTTGCCAAGCATGGAGATGAGCAGGGCGCGACGACGCCCATGGCGATCCGATAGACGGCCTATGACGGGTGCAGCGAATGCCTGTAGGAGGGAGAATAGAGAGCCCAGAGCTCCGCCGAGTAGGACGATGTCATAGCGGGAATCAATTGGGCGCGCGAAGGAATTCTTGTAGGCGTTTAGGTAGTGGAAGATGCGGTTGAGGAGGGAGTCTGGGGATGGATCTTGCGCGCGGTAGAATGAGAGTAGGGAGGGGAAAAGCGGGAGGATGAATGTAAAGGATATCTAGGCATTGTTAGCTTATTATGCATGTTGAGACGGGGGTATTAGGACATACCAGGTCTAGCACCAACGATAGCATCAACACCTTCAATATCTGCTTCCGTTGAGCCCCGGCGATAGCCATTGTTGCTCTGTATATACAAAGAGAGCAGACAAGGCGAAGAGGAAGTGAAGTATGCGACTAGAAAGGATGAGAAGTTGAGTAAATAAGAGGAGCTTGTCAGCTCCACTGCGTATTCGGGCGCTCCTTATCGCGGTTAGTGCCCGCTGAAAGTGAGCTTCAGCCATGGTCCGCCTGTAATACGGTGCGTATTCTAACCGCATACATGTACGCATTGACATTCCTGATGCGCCTTGCAGGGCTGTACTGCGTATTCGGATTACATTACGCTGAGGCTTGCCGCTCAGCCACCGGCGATCTGATCACGTGGTCATGTATATGGAATGAGGAATCAGATGGATGGCCTCATAGTCATACTGTGTACACAGTACATCGATGGTCAGTTGGGTCTCTCAGTTAATATGCACATGGCTGAATGCTGATGTCTGACCTTGCGGCTTTGTGTTTGAGACGGCGTAGGTAAAATTGTCTATATAGATATAGATATAGATTCAGAAGAGGAGGAAGAGGAGGAAGAGGAAGAGGAGGTTGGAAGTAGAATGATGAAACAGCAGGGCCAAACACTTCTTTATATACCCAGTTGCAGGTTCCAGAATCATTTGCCCATTGTGCTGATTTGTGCAGCAAACTAAGACTTCTCTCAGTTCTGATTGTCTCAAACCTGTTCCTTGTCTTTCTGAATATCCCGGCATCTTCCTTTTGATCCCTCACCTTCCGCCCTTTGACTAGACTTCACTGGATCGCTCGGTTTTCATATCCCAATTGCGTACTTTTAGTTCACATCCACGAACTCTCCCATTGTTATCAATACTCATCATGGGTCGCTGGGGATGGCGTAGGTCTAGCTCGCTCTCTCCCCCTCCGTCTCCCCAGGTCCATACACATACTGATCAACGTCATAGCCTCATAGGTCTCTCCGAATGCGATGAAGACCTAGACATGGCCTTTTCAATGGCAACAGAACTCGGCGTTTCAAACCGCTACTGCTCGGGCTCCTGATCGCGTGCCCGGAATTGCACAATCAGGAGTGTTTGTATTTTGTTGGAAGATCAGTCATGTAACATGTTGGTGTGGCCCGTGCGGGTAAGCTGAAAGCCTGAAAGGCACAGAATCACAGATATCCCAGGATGTTGTCACCTGACATACGCCTACAACGTGACAACAATCTGCAGTCGCTTCAAGGAACCGTGATTCCAACTGTTCTTAGTCAAGGATCTTTCTGTGGCCGCCGTGCGCTTTTTCTTTCTGATGTGGACTGGATGACTTGTAGGAAGCCGCTGAAGCTGACATTGATGAGAAGGAAATTGAAACTCATCCTGAGGAAGTATTGTATGCTCTGTGGGAATGCAAAGCCGAGTATAATGATGAGAATCCGTGCAACTTTCTAGTTTGCCATGAGCGTATCGCCATTGTCGTTCTGGAAGCAGTGGAATATTCTATGCTGAAAAACCACGCTGGGAACGCAGCGTCAATTCTGGCAACACAGACTACCTGTTGAGCAGATACAGATACATGAAGGATCTAGGTTGCTCTCGAACGCCGGTGGATTCTTCAAACAAAGCTTTGAACGAGGAGTTGTTCATAGAGGATGACACGTGCTCGATGTGTTTGACTATAGTATCTTTCGTTGAGAGTGTCTGTTCGATAGGAAGAGGTACGTATGATTCTGTAGTCTATGTAAGAAGAGGGGGCATTATCTACGACTACCGACATAATGGCATGGTTCTATATACGTTAGCAGATTAACCTACTCCGTACGCAGACATGAGAGACCAATCTCGCACTCAAGGTCGCTGTCATATGATGAAAACAGGAAGGAAAATCCTTCGAAGCATCTCACGTCGCAGTCACGCGACCTAAAATGGAGTTATATATGTCGCCTAGGTACGACTGTTGACTTTCCTTCTCCTTTCTTCTTCCTCATCTCCCTTCAAAGTTTCCAATCTCCTCTTTTCATTCCTGCTCATCCTATGCCCACCTTCCCATATGGGGCATATTCTGCCAGTATAGATGAGCCTCGGGCTTGTCAGGTCCTCTTACCTGAGCCTCACGGCGTTCTCGTGATGGTAACCGAACAAATTCGAGGGAAGATGCATTTATCACCTTCGAAGCCGCGTCGCGTCATCCCGCGATGAACCAAAGCAGTATGTCCTTCCCGAGTCTCGAGCATGTCTCGCTAGTTACAGAAGCTGACTTTCACTCTCTTTAGCGCGACACCCGCAGTTGGACCAGCCTCACGATAATCCAGTGACTCTGATCGTGACTCTCTCGGGGTCTGCGCAGGGTCCGTTCATTACAGCAACCAAACGGTCCAAAGCGACTCCAAGGTGTGAAGCTCGCGGGTCACTCCGTCTCCCCGGGATTGTCGATCCTGGAAATGTGTGTCCAACATCTTCCAGTACAGAGTCGCAATGGCCCACCGACTCCGGAAGGGCATGAACCCTAAGCCGTGGAGAAGTACTGGCGGAACCTCGGTATCAATGAACAAGGCGCAAAAGAGGAAGTGGTCGCGTGGATCCGCGAGATCCACGACCGAGTGCAGGCAGAATTTGCCGCAAAGAAGGTTCACCCTGACCATTTGCTTCGGAACCCCAGAGCCCAGAAGCTGCTCAAGAAGCAGATGGGCGACGCCTTGGGTGGGCTCCCTGTGCTGGCCAGCCAGCGGCCGAGGGAGGAGGCGGTGTCCCGCCTCTATGACCTGTACCGCGCACTCCAGTGCGCCTTTCCTATGGAGTGGGGCCTGTCTGCTAAAAAGCCGCGTGCGTCGCGAGCCGCGCGGGCGCGAGCTCCGGCACTAGCAGCTCCCACCTTGAGCGCCACGGCGCCGGCAACAACCACCGTGAACCCCGAGGTCACCCTGAACCCGGCTCAGGCCACCGGGGTCCCCCGACCCCCGTTTCTCGACGGGCTTTGTCCTTCAAGTCCTCCAGAGCCAAGCCAGACAGATCCGGGAGCTGCGTGCCGATGTCGTGGCACTCCAGGGCCAGGTGGCCCAGCTGCAGGCCCAGGGGCGACAGACTGGCGCCGTGCCCAACTCCGATCGGCAGCCCCGCCCCTGAGAACCCCTACGAAACGGAGGGATGGCCGTAGAGGCCACCTGGTTCTGGTTTTTGTTCTGTTCTGTTTTGTTCGTCTAGATAGTCAATTGAATTTTTTCTTTGGACGTTCACCCATGACAATGTAATTCGACCACCTATTATTTGCCAGTCTGTAATTTTCAACTTAACCTGCATTCATATGAGGACATCAGTAGGTACATCTGAGGTCGCTCAAAGATGGCCACATGTCAAACTTAGCGTATGTTTAACGAAAGTGCATCGGTAGCAAGCCGGAATAAGTTGAGCTTGGTGGGCGACTTTATTAACTGCATATCCTGATGGCGATGAGAACAATCAGCGTTTCCAGTCTCATTGGAAAACATTTTAAATCTAGTTATTTTATTCTGCCCATGGATGTTTGAACCCAGTTTAGGAAGTGCTGTAGGAGGAGAGAGAAGGGTCTTGCATTTTGACCAGTTGGCAGAAGGCTTGTCAGTTGGCTGGAGGATCGCCAGTTGGCGGGAAGCTCCCGAAACACGCGTCTTGGAACTCGCGTTTCCTCGGGTATTAGGAATACCCAGTAATGAGCAAGCACTCAATAGGATCTGTGCAGCTTGAGAATATTGATTTCGTATGTAGTCATGTTGGCCTCGTTGTATCAGACGTACGTGACTTGGGAGATATCTCGAATCTCTCCAGGCTCGAGTCTCGGCGTGACATGGGCTGAATGGATTCAGAAAGTATTTAGCGATTATGGACTCAATATGGACTGCTGTGATGCGCGTAGAGAGTGTTATTACTGTAGTAGTATGTTCAGGTTGGATATGGCTTGTTGAGACAAAGTGACAGGCCTTAACGGATGTTGCTCATTACACTAAGGAGGCCTAAACAAAAGGGGGAGCATGAAGCGCCAGTCAATTTTAGCAGTTATGGACTATGCACTATGGACTATGGACTATGGAACATGGCATTTGTGATCTACACAACACATCTTCCTTCTCCAAAGGGGGTCGTTTTGTGACGAGACGCAGCGATGTTTATTCCTTAGTTTTCCTATAAGGCCATGCTGGGCTGATTGACATACATCACGACCCCTTAGGGGAGAGAGAAACGTGAAGTGCGTGTAAATAGCTCACAAATTAATTACTAGTCCATGCCGACATAGAATTGTGTAGTGTTAGATGAGGTACAAAATTCCTCTTCTCCAATCTCGTGCCGCTGGCTCGAGGATTGATGAAAAGAAAAAGTCCACAGAGTGGATGAGGGGTGCCAAAGAATACGCCTGTCAATGACCCGCAGGCCATTGAACAGCCTGTTCCGCCGCGATGTGCAATGCAGGGACCAAACTGTGGTGAACCGCCTTCTTGATCGCGGCCACCCAAACAAGGTAAGTATGAAGAAGAAAAGAAAAGAAGAGGAAGAGACGGCGGAGGAGGAAATACTTATACCCGGGAGGACAGGGCGGTGGCAGAATTTTCGGAACGATGGCAGCCAGAAAGGGAAAGAACCAGCCACCCAGTACACCAACGCCAGGGTATTTAGTATTGGAGAGTCAGAGTCCAGAGAGTGTATGTGCTCACCACGTGGGCACGTGACCACTCCTCAGTCCTCCCTCTGAGTCTGTCCCTCTGATCATCTGATGGACCAACTGCTCTCCATATAGCATTACTCTCAACAAATGGCGCACGGAGGCGGCAGGCTACTTCCTGGCCTCTGCTTATGGCCTTAAAGGCTTAAGCTGCATGCGTATTCGGGTTTGATACCAATACTATGTCACCTTGGGTACTAGCTTTGATCGTCCACTGTGAGGACCTGGATAAGCATACCGTTGCTTGCCTACGATTCTGAACTTGAGTCTAGTAGTGGGATTGTATATCAGTTCCAAACAAGTTACCTTTCGTCCCAATATCACGTAGATTCAACAACTTCACGATGTCAAGCTCCTAATGGGCCTGCGATCTGCCTCTTGGTGAATATTTAGGCCTTGGAGCTGCCTGATCAATAGGTACTGTATGGTGGTTTCCATGTTCCATAGACATTTTGGATCCGCCGTGAAAAGGGAAGGAACCATACACGCTCCTTCTCGTTCAGTTCAGCCAGAGGAAGGGTATAAATACCCCCTCCTCCTCTTCTTCTCTCTTTTTTTCTTTTCCTCCTACACATCTCTTCCTCTTTTCTTATTACCATCCTCCTTCAGGTACCACACAATCTCAGGCACCATCCATCCTCTGGCACCATCCACACACACCCTCGGGTTGCTTTCACCCAACCACATCCAGTCTCACCGTGGCGGGCTTCAGCCTCAGGACAATCGGGAGGCTAGATGTGGTACTACCACTCACCTATATTGAGTCTCACCGTGGCGGGCCTCATGGCTTCATGGCAATCGGGAGACTGGATATAGCAACCGCAACTACAACCACTGCACCACCTCGGAACCTCCATCCACCTATCTTCAGTCTCACCGTGGCGGGCTTCGGCTTCAGGACAATCGGGAGGCTGTATATAGGTTGTACCACTCACCCACGCTCGCCCATCCTAGCTCTCCCACGTGAGCTCATCTATGTCACTCATCCATATCTAGCCTTACCGTGGCGGGCCTCTTTGGCTTCAGGACAATCGGGAGGCTGGATAGGGTAACCTGCTTCACTCAGTCCACTGCTCCTACTGAGGCCTTCCCAATTTCGCCTTGCAGTCAACCACCAACTGTCTCCATCTTCTCATCCATCATCAACAACCATTTTCGCCGTCTGCTCTGCCTGCGCTCAAACCCCCTCGCCATCTTACCCCACTGGCCCTTCAATTTCGCCTTCACATCAATATTCCTCGACCATCTGCTACTGAATGCAACCCGCTTATCCATCAATTGACCTTCTGATCTTGGCTCTTATGCCCGCCGTAACATCAACTCTCTCCACATGTTGTCTACCATGCCTCTTATTATACCCTTCTTGTCTTCTACTTCGTCTCCAAGCACCGTCATTGACCACCATCCACCAACCGGCCTTTCAGGCCTCCAAATATTATCTATGATCGTCCACTACTAAAATCAACCTCCCATCTACTGTCTATCCTGGCTTCTCCATCTACCCTTATCCATCAGAAACTTATTATTTCAATCAACGCATTCGTTCATCGCCTTCCTAACTGTCATCTACAACTGACCACCACAACCAACGAGCCTGTCCACTCCGGCCTTCCATCATCCACTCTGTTCTCGAAATGGGAATTCCCTCTTGACCTGTTCATCAACCGCCTTCTCCCATATCCTTACCATCACCAACCACCATTGACCGACCACATCTTATCCACCTACGGCCTTTTCGACTTGGCCTTCCTGACCACTCACTACGAACGTCATTGTCCAACAAGCCCTCTGCCATACGCATTGACTGCGAGTAATTCGCGCCGTTAAAAAAGAAGCTTCAATCTTCGGCCCTACCATCCTGACCCCCTGCGACGAACCACCAAGAAGCATCATCCTCCTCCTCCTCATGAGTGCCCTCTGCATTCTAGCCGCCAGTCAATATTGGTTGTGCTGCCACCAAAGAATCTCTACATTCTGATGACCATTTGCAACATCGATCATCCGCACTCATGGGCCTCCCAATACTTGGACCATTGTCGTGACTACCTGGTGGCTACCACGCCCGGCAACGGCTCTGTGGCTCCTTGGTTCTTGCGTCTCTGCTTCATCTTGGCCACTAACCACCACTGAGCATGCAAGCCGTCTATCAATATGGGCCTTTGGCCTTTCCATCTTCGCCTTTGCGGGCTTGCTCGATGCCACCCAGACAGACCATCTCTTTATGATTACCCATGTGTTGATGATCATCATGCCGAGAACATGCCCCATGGGCTTTCTATCATCCGCCCTGCCTCCGTGCATCATTGCAGCCACCCACTAAATAACCACCGCGCTGCAACTCTCACGGATAAATGGTATCCTCAAATCTCAAACCTGGTTCTCATGCAACTTTCCACCGGATATGGTCTCACGAAGCGCCTGATCACACTCACTGACTCACCACCGTCTACATATCAACCTATCACAGTCAAAGCAGCAATGAAAGTGACCTTCATCGAGTCACAATCTTTGGGTCTTCATACGGGCGCTCTATTCCAGGGCAGCCGAGATGTTTTCGTCTGCGGATGCCTTCTTACTCTTCACGTCCTGGTCTTTCGGTGCCTCTACTCTCAGGAGATCTGTGCCTACATAACAAAATTAGTTCCACTCAATAAATTCTACCCATTTATTTGCTATTACAGCTATTACGGTGTATTGACCTTAGACCATGCAACGACTTTACTAACTGCATATCCTGATTTTCAGTCTTTTTATCAAATAAAACAACCTTTTGTATCATTCAAGATCATGTCACTTTCATTGACCCGCACCTAAAGCCCCCCTACTTTTGATATGCCTCTACGTGACATTTGTAAACAAACACAAATACATTCTGCTGTCTCAAAAAGCTTAAGCCTTACATATGTGAGCTGGCACAGCTAAGACAGCTTCACCTACTGCAGTCGTATTGGTGCACTCATTATGATCAATTCCGATCTATGCCCTGACCTAAGCCTGTCCACCAGTCCAGTCCATTCACGAGCGCCGATAAAATAATAGCCATAGAATACATATGTTATGCCGTAGAGAAGCTCTCTGAGAACTGAAATATGCACGCTTCAAAAAATCGCAGGGTATGGTCAAGAAGACTTTGGCAAAGCCAGAAGAAGAGATCAAAGTGACTCTCCCGTGAAAAAAATTCGTTGCGTTCATCACGTTGGATCGGGAGGAACACCAATTCCGAGAAAACACTCTGAAATCAGGTCCCTAGCATCCTGGGATTGGCACTCTTACTCTTTGGAAGCAGGAGCTTCCGCCGGACCAGAGCCATTTCCATTCTCGGTTCCGTTTGCGCCGCCACGCCGGCCATTTCGGCCACGTCCATTGCGTCCACCACGGCCGCGACCTTCGGGACGGCCTTCGGCACGGCCCTCAGTACGGCCCTCAGTGCGACCCTCGCCCCGACCCTCGCCCCGACCCTCGTCACTGCGGCTCTCAGCACCACCCTTCTTAGCGTCACCTCGGCCACGGCCACCGCGGGGTCCGTGTCCACGGCGACGGCGTCCACCATTCGACTTGGCAGTGTTCTCGCTCTGAGGCGCAACATCCGCCCCAGCGGAAGCGTTGTTCAGACCCGCATCAGCGCTAGCCGGGGTAGCCTGAAGGCCAGTATCGGTCTCAGCAGGGTTACGTGGAAGCTCGACCCATTCGCCCTCATCGGAGACAGGAACCCAGCTGTCATCTGCAACGGGATTGGCAGCATCCGAAACCTGAGTTTGGGCAGGAGGGGCCAGCTGGTCAGCCTGAGATGTTGTAGGCTCGGCTTGAGCCTGGAGCGAGGAATCCTCAAGCTCAGTAAGACCAGCATTGGCCATGGTGGGGTCAGTAGTGGGCTTGGTCTCCTCCACGGCTTCGGTATTCTCCTCTGGCGGAGCGAATCTCTCGGCTGCCTGCTTGAGGTCGCCATCTAACGGAATCCTAATGTCAGCAAACACATCCAGGAGGCAGAAGACGGGCAAATTCGTGACTAACAGGTGAACTCGAGTGTTTCGCCCTCAACGGAATTGACCTTATCATCAGCACCCTCAGCAATCTTCAGCAACGACTTTACTGCGGACTGATTGCCCGCGTACACCTCGTACAGAGCACCCTCGAAAGCACGGCTCTCGGTGGTGACGGCATCACCTTCGCGTCGGAGCATGGCCGCGGCGCATAGGAACTTGGTCACCGTGTGGAACTGCTGGCGCAGTGCCTTCTTGGAGGCCTCGGTCGCATCGGCAATGGCGTTGTTACGGACAGCTTCGAGCTCCGCCTCGTGCGCCTTGACAAGCGCATCTTTCTCCTCGGCCAGACGGTCCTCGTACTGAGCAATCACTTGCTTGTAGTGGCCAAGCTGCTCCTCAGTCTGGGCAATAGTAGCCTGAAGGGCGGGTTTCTTCAGAATCTGTGCCTTCTGGTCATTGTTAATCTTTTTCTCCGCAATGAGTTCGTCGAGCGATTTGTCGGGGTTTTCGGCGATGATAGCGTCGACCTTGGCGAAGGAGTTCTGTACGAAGGAGAGATGTCAGATGGGTTCTGTCAAGAAAAGGTAGCTAGCAATGATCACTCACCAGCTTCTTCGTGGCATTGCGGAGGGTCCTAAATGAGGGACCATAGTTAGCTCCAATATTCAGCATCACACGTAGACAACCGCGCTCAGGTTCATAGGATCGCAATCATACTTTTGAAGCTCCTTCAGATAGTTGTTCTCTTGGTTCTCGGATTTGGGGCTCTCTGGGTCAGGCTTGGAGACGACGCTCGAAGCTCGCGAGGTTCCCTTAGCATCCTTGAGCTTCTGGGCAGCGGAAGCGGGAGGCATGATGGAATGTGGGTAACACAGATATTAAGGTAATTTCGGAAAGCCTGTACAGGTCGGCAAAGACAAAACGAGAGGACGTTTTGGAAGAAAGGAAAGTAGAGAAGCTGGTGGTAATGAGGATGAGGAAAGAATGAACATGCGGGTCAGAAACCCTTTCTAGGTCGGTGTGGCAGTTCCACTGGCTTCGCTCATGCACTTGGCTGTTGCGCCTAAGGCTCTCACTAGGTAATTACGCTGTCTACAAATTTACTGCAAATGAGAGATAAGTCATATGATCATTAAACAAATTCTATCAGTTCCTTCTGCCAGGGTATCTAGTTCATGTTCACCCCATGCGCCAACGCCGTAATATCAACCCACTATGTTCTCCTTAGCCGATCAGAACCAACAAGTGGACGCCAGATATGCATTCGCCATTATAAGAGAGATCAAGGTCTCATGATCGTCCCTTATCCTTGGAATTTCCGCAGTGTTTTCTAGAAGAGAGCCCTCCTTGTCAGTCATGTTCTCGCGAGTCCTCCAGAGACATCCTCGACCCGAAACAACTTACCTCAGTGACTTTGCGCACAGTATTGGCAGATATGTTCTTCTCGCCAGACTTGCGCGATCGAATCGAGGCCTCGCGCATTAATCTAGGATGTGTTAGCCCCTCCCCATCTCAAACACATCATCGGGGAGAACGCGAAATGGAGAGATGCGACCGCGGGTTCCAGCTACAAGGAAGGAGTATGACGCACTCTTGCATAAAGAGCATGTAGTCCAGGAATATCTACTCATATAAGCAGAGTTAGTAACTGGGAGATAGGCACAGGCTTCGTGTTCGGGCGCGTACCAAAATGTCGGCGTTCTTGCTCACACTTCGATTGGAGTGGGCTTTGACAATGCGCTTGACAGTCCCGCGTGGATAGAGCTTCTGAGTAGCCGCCATGATGCCGAACAAAAGGAAGAGAAGTTGAAGACCGCTGTTGAGTTCAATGTCGAAGTTAACGTTCAATGTTTACTTCCAACAGATCCATGCGGGGAGCACTTTGATCGAATCGGATACCGTAATTTAATTCTTACATAATCGGGTATTTGTATTTCAGCCACATACAAGTAGTTATGTACCTGTGCCTATTATTTATTCTATGATGCATGTTTCTTGCTCCTGTACTGTGGTACATCGCTAATGTACACTTCAACGAAGTCGTCGAATAATGTGCCATGCTGAAACACCAGCAATTGAGCCAATGGCTACACGCCAGGCCAAGAAGACCCAGATGGCCACACGCAGCCGGTCATAGTACCCACGAAGCATAATGCCCACGGCATATGATGTCCCATCTGTGGCGCGGTCCGTCGGGCCATAATATCTTCCAACGCCGAGTCCACCAATGCCCACTTCGTTATGGTCATGTTTGCCATCTGTCTCCTCCGTGACGGGGAACGCTGCAGTCTCGGCATCAGAGGCTGTGTCACTAGGTCGGGCACCAGATCTGACATGAAGCGCATTGCGCTTGCGCAGATGATAAGTCACAATGCTAACGATCAGCCGCAAATCAGGCACAGTGAACGTGGGGTATCTCCACAGCTGCACAGCCTGGTGAGGCGGGAGCATATCCAAAAAGTCGGCCAAGATGCCCAGGGTAAGGCCCCAGAGAAGTAGCGGACGGGCAGTGTCAGTCGACTCTGCTTGGCCGCTTAAACACCATGCCTTAAAGCGCTGGTACACAGAAGGTCGGGGTGCATTCTCTTCAGGAAGGAATCCTGGAGTTGTAGTGCATTGCTGCGACTCCGACGGGACGAGTCTCACGGCCGAGAACTCCATCCAGCCCATCAAAGACCGCACTGCAACACGAGTCAAGAATCCGCCTTGTCGACCAAATCGCTGCGACATATCCACATGTTCTACCGTCCGCAGCGATGGCGATAGGAGGGCGCGCAGGGGAATCCAATGTGTCGATGCTACCTCCGTGGGCTGCAATCTGAGAGTCGGGGAATCACTGCAAGTTGTGAGGAAGACGTAGGGACATAGAACCATCAATCTGTAAATCAAGTCAGTAACCAGGTCTCAAGATCAGAGGCAAATAGTGACACGTACGGTTGAGACCCCCAGCTGGTGGAGACCACCCGCTCAGGGAGATTGCCAACACCGATGATGTCCTTCGTTGTCAAATCCAAGCCGATTTCCTCTGAAGCTTCTCTGATAGCTGCAGCTTTATCATCTGCATCCTCGGGATCCCGCTTTCCGCCCGGCAGAGCGACATGGCCTGTCCATCGGTCTCCCACGCGCGAGGCACGCTTGATGAATAGAACCTCCGGTTCGCCATGTTGGACCCACGGCTGGGAAAAGAAATCATCCAGACGTTCTAAGTCTGGCTGAGAAGCATCGGGTGTGTAATTGGAGCTAGGCCAATGATCGTAGGTTGGCCGTACCCGGATAATCAAGGCGACCGAGGCGCGTTTCTTGCAGTTTGGAGGATTTGGTACATGGGGATAGGGCTGGCGATATAGCTCAGCTAGAACATCATGCAAATGCCGGGATAGTCCCGGGGATTGCTCGGCTTCCGGCTCCATCAAGTAATATGTCCAATTGGTACTAGTATTGTAGACGTCCAAGGGTCCATCTTGGATCTGGGGAATGTCGGTATCGGAGCCATGTGCACGTGCCTCTATCTGGTCCCGACAGTGTCGGTCTAGCCTCTCGTATTCCGAAAGATACAAGCGCAGTATCAATACCGGATATTCGTGTCACGGAATATTTACTTATCCGAGCAGCTTGGCAAGTATTTTCGAGCTATGATTGGCCTCGTCCAGACGAGCACGTGCGTCTATCGCTGGCTATTGAATGCTTTCGGTCTGGAGCTACAGCAAAAGCCCATTGCCCAATTTGCATTGTTGTCCGCACAGTTTTCTGTTCTGAAGCTGAAGATCGCTTCTTGCACAGTTGTTGGCCGAAGAACCAACCTGTATTTGCAGCATTGATCTCTCTTCCTTCCCTTGAAGTTCCTTCCGGAAACCCCCAATCAGAAGTGCCAGCACCTGGCCATGCCCGAGTAAAACGCTACGCAACGCCATTCACAACCAGACCGGTCCATAATGCGGTTTGGGAAAACCCTCCGCAATGCGGTGTACCCTCCCTGGAAAGGGAAGTACATTGACTACACCAAGCTCAAGGCACTGCTGAGGGAGAATGATGTCACTAAAAACGAAGACGATGCGAGTGACTCCGATGACGATCAATGGACCGAGCAAGACGAGGAGGCGTTTGTGCAGGAATTGCTAAATGTGCAATTGGACAAAGTGAACTCTTTTCAAGCAGAGACCTCGCAGCAACTTCGCGAACGTACGACGGCATGTGAAGCCAAATTGCGACCCTTGGCGTCTACTGCGGAGGGAGACAGTCCCGCTCTCGGTGAACAGGAGAAGAGGGCAATTGCATCGGAAGTGCTCCATGAACTCGATAACATCACCAAGGAGGTCAGTGCCTTGGAAAAATACAGCCGAATCAACTTCACTGGGTTCCTCAAAGCTGCCAAGAAGCATGATCGCAAACGAGGAGCCCGATACCGGGTGAAACCATTGCTCCAAGTGCGACTGTCGCAATTGCCATTCAACTCGGAGGATTACTCGCCGTTGGTCCATCAGCTCTCGGCGATGTACTCTTTTGTTCGGGAAACCCTAAGCCATGACATCGTGCAACCAAAGGAGGCCGAGCCTGGGTTTGGCCGCGAAACCTATTCTTCCTTCAAATTCTGGGTGCACTCGGACAACGTCTTGGAGGTCAAAACCCACATCCTTCGCCGTCTGCCTGTTCTTATCTATAGACCGGGAACTTCCAAGGACCTCGATACCATCACCGAAGACCCTACCATCACTTCTCTGTATTTCGATAACCCCCAATTTGATCTCTACAATCAGAAGGTCGCACGAGCACCGGAAGCCGGATCTTTGCGACTGCGCTGGACTGGCTCATTGAAGGATAAACCTGCGATTCATCTGGAAAAGAAGATTGTCACGGACGACGACGAAAGTCGACAAGTCAAGGTACAACTCAAAGACAAGCACATCAAGGAATTTTTGGACGGGGAGTACCGCTTCGACAAGAAGGTTCACCGCATGGAAGATTCCGAGAATGGAGAGTCTGCCGCTGCCGAGGCCTTGAAAAGTGACGTGGATGAGCTACAGTCATTCATCAAGGACAATGATCTGCAACCGATGCTTCGGGCTAATTACACGCGCACCGCCTTCCAGATCCCCGGCGACGATCGGATCCGTATTTCCCTCGACACCAACCTAGCCCTTATTCGAGAAGATGCTCTTGACAGCGAGCGTCCATGCCGCAACCCAGGGGAATGGCATCGGGCCGACCTGGATGATGCCGACATGACCTACCCTTTCAATGGTGTCAGGACTGGAGAAATCACCCGCTTTCCTCACGCCTTGCTCGAGATTCAGCTTCGGGGCAAGGCCCACAACACTGAGTGGGTGAAGGACCTCATGGTTTCTCATCTGGTCAAGGATGCTCCTCGCTTCTCTAAGTTCGTCCACGGAGTCGCCTCACTGTTCGAGGACCATGTCAACAGCCTCCCCTTCTGGCTCAGTGCCCTTGAAGGCGATATCCGCCGTGACCCCGAAACTGCATTCCACGAGGAGCAAGAGCGACTGGCTCGGCGCGCCGAAGAGGACATGGCAGTGGGTAGTTTCAGGGGAGGCTCGGGCGGCAGCCCAGGTGTCCGCCAACTGGTGGGCTCATCCTACCACCATCCTTTCAGCGCAGGTTCCCCATCAACCGTGCGACGAGCCTCGGTGACCGAACGGTCGGCACCACGCCCACGTCCCTCGATCCCAGCACCCCAGCGTCGTGAGACTGAACCTATTCCCGAAGTAGAGACGGAACCAGTGCCTCCCACTCGCCTCGAGTCTATTTTCAGAACATTGGGACTGTCTCCCGAACGTTGGCTTGGAACGGAATCAGTCTCCCTACCGCCTGGTGTCCGACACCCCGGTGTCTGGATCAAAGACTCCGGCCCCATTCGTGTGGAAAGCAAAGTTTACCTCGCCAACCAGCGAACGTTTATCAAGTGGCTGCATATCAGCATTCTTCTGTCGAGTCTATCATTAGGTCTTTATAATGCTGCCGGCAAGCACAACCAGGTTGCCCAGGTCCTGGCTGTGGTGTACACTTTCTTTGCCATCTTTGCCGCAGTCTGGGGATGGTTCATGTACGAGAGAAGGGCCCGTCTCATCCGTCAACGCAGTGGAAAGGACCTGGATAACATGTTTGGTCCCATTGTCGTCTGCATTGGTTTAGCCGTTGCTTTGGTGTTGAACTTTGTCTTCAAGGTAAGTTTCGTCGTGTCGGGTCTTATGCAATCTACTAAAACGGAATCACAGTACTCCTCGGTGCTTAATCAAGGCCGCAACCACCCGCTTCCTGATGTGCCTGTTCTATCCCTCCCCTCTGTCTCTGGCAGTTCGGGGAATTCATGGAGCAACCCGAACCAGGCGCAGCAGGTTCTGTAACGGCCAGCCTTTCTCGTTTGTGTAATTATGTCTAGTTGAACGATAACATAGTTAGCGTGTACTTTTAAGCAATTCCATTCCTTCACTGTATCATCTTCTCTTTCTAGTCAACTGATGAGTCTGCCCCATTGGCCAGATATAAACCTATGTGTTTCAGAGAGTGTCGCATGGTTGTGTTGTATTGTACTGTTGTTGTTGTTGTTGTTGTTGTTGCAATTTTTAACGTCCGGCGGCCGCCGGGTGAGAACCCGGCTGCCTTAGGCCTCCCATGGGGCATGCAGACGTGCGAAGCTGAGACTAGGTCTAAACTAACTAGATAATACCTAGTTAGTTAACTATAGTATCATTAGTTACACGGCCCCGTTCCTCAGAAAGCAACCCATACTGTGTAGCGGTCTCCCACGTTCCTCGCCCCGACCTGTGGGCTTCTCGTGGAGTTGTGTCGGCGGGACGGTTTCCATCCCTTTGAGAGTGTCTCACTCTCGTGTCTCGGCGCAGGCGCGCTCTGTTTTTTTTTTTTTTTTTTTTTTTTGGTGTAAAAGGCCTGCCTGATTAACTACCTTGGGCAGGTCTTCGTGTAGAACTCCGTCACCCTTAGTAGGGTGGCGAAGTCTCCCGGTGATAGACCTCTAAGGTAGGTGAGCGCCTGTTCTCTCCCCGACGCCTGTTCTCTCCCCGACGGGGGGTGGGCGGCCTTTCGGGCCATTCCAGGAACGTCCGCTGTGCCACAGGGCACAGTGCGATATGTTCCGGCGCCTTGTTCCTGCCGCATGTGCAGGAGCAATTCGCGTCCTCATGCTTGAAGCGGCGATGATATGCCTCAAAGTCCCCGTGCGTGGAGCGGATGGCAAGCCAGCGGTGTAGGACTGGTCGGGAGAGCTTGAGGTGAAGCGGGCAGGAACCCTTCGCCGACTGGGACGCTTTCAAACGCTGGCTTCAGCGTGAATTCTCAGAGCACCTCTCCCGGGAAAAACTGTACGAGATATTGGAGTTGGCAGGTCCTATCCCAGATCCGCGATAATTTGGCGAAGGTTTGCCGCATACTCCTGGATGGAGTGTTGGCCCTGTGTGGTGTTGGCGAATCTCTCGTACAGTTTTTCCTGGGAGAGGTGCTCTGAGAATTCACGCTGAAGCCAGCGTTTGAAAGCGTCCCAGTCGGCGAAGGGTTCCTGCCCGCTTTGGTTGGCGGCGCGTGCGTGGGCTCTGAGCCTTTCGGCGGCGTCGTCCACCAACTTCCCGGTGGCGTGAATAATCTTCGCGCCATCGGGGGCGGGAACCCCGGTCAGACCCTTAAGGTCAGCAAAGTAGTGGTCACAATCCCGGATCCACTTCCGGGCGGCGTCGTTGTCGATTTTGCCGCCGTAGTTCGGCACGGCTCGGAGATTGTCGAGCAGGCTCCGGCGCGTGTCATTGTCCATGGCTCGGAACAAGGCGGCGGCGGCGGTGGCGACTGGGTCGGCTGGGGTCTGGGTAGCCGTGTTCTGGGCAGCTTGGGCGGCAGCGGCTTGACCGCGGGCTTCCTCCTCGGCGGCTGCTCGGGCGGCGGCTGCTTGGGCGGCGGTGGCCCGCGTGTCGGCTTCCCCGGCAGCTCCCTGCCACAACAAGAAGACACAAACCAAAGCCAAGAATCTCCCATCTTTTTGTTCTTCCACGAGAATCCCTGCCGCAACCATGTCTGCTCAACCCAGCAATTCCCGCGAAATGTCTCCCGAAGTCCACCGAGGCTGGCAAGGGCCCGGTGGACTTTTCCAACAAGGTCTCGGTTCAGTCGGACCGCTCCGTACCGTGATTCCCAACCCTGGGATCACACCTACTCTACTAACCCCGTCCCACAAGCCTGTAAAATGATGCAAAACAACAAAGAAGTACTGCGCCACATTGTTGGTTCTACAACGGTAGCATTGTAGTAGTAGTACGGTAGCCAATCACGAGCTAAGCAAGGCCCTGCAAGGCCATAGGTAGCAATGCGGTCAATAGTTAGTACTTTAGCGCGTAAGCTACCAGTGGTTCTCTATCACATCTCTCTGACTCTAACCGCTAAGCTCCTCGACAGGGTATTTAAGAGAAACAACATACGCAGAAGCGCACACAGGCATATGAGACAGAACACATGCTCTTAATTTTTCTTCTATCAATCATGCTTCTGAACCCATTCCGACCATGCGAGGGCTCTCCAACCGTCCAAGAAGAATACCGAGGCAGCTACGTACCAAAAGTTATCAAAACAGAATTTGGCCTCCAAGTTGTGGCGCCCGATACGCCATACGTAGCAGCGGCCGGTCCAGACAAGTTATACTTCATCGACACCCGGTTCGATACCGAGACTGCAAAGCACGTGAAGGAACAAATCGAGAAGGCAACTGTGCCGAACCCCGACGAGTACATCGCTATAGACGAGATTTCGGCTACGGCGGAATCGAAGAACGCTACGACTGGCGAAACTACATTCGTGTTTGACCCCGTCTATGCCAGGGTGCTGTTTGCAAAGGGCATCAACAGGCATAACCCGGAGCTCAAATTGCCTGAGCTTGAGCCCGGCGAGTGGTTTGTGACATACGACCTGGATAATTGTGCCAAAGAATAATAATTGACGGATACAATAACGAAGAGCTCGGAAGAAAAAAGACTCGTCGTCTGAGTATTAAGGGTATTCGACACGGCTTCTAGCTCCAGCCAACTGGTCAAAATGTCCAAGGCCTTTCTCTCTCCTCCTACAGCACTGGATAGTATAAATCAGAGCTATTTGGATGTGGAGGACTATGTCTGCTAGCTTTCTTCTGATGACTACAGTTATGATTGTGATATATAGGACGAAGACATGGATTTTGGACAGAATGTAGGAGGGTGGGATGATAGATGAGTGACCTTGATCACTGGACTACTTCAACTTAGTTTAGAATACTCGATCTAATCTAATGTGTCTACTGCTGTTACGACGTGACCTGTCAAACATTGATACAAAACCAATCGGTCAAGCTCAACTTGTTCTAGCTTGCTACCGATGCACTTTCGTTAACATACGCTATGCTTGACATGTGGCCATCTAGGTACCTACTGATCCCCTCATATAAATGCAGGCTAAGTTGAAAATTACAGACTGGCAAATAATGGTCGAATGACATTGTCATGGGCGATCGTCCGAAGAAAAGATTGAATTGACTATCTACACGAACACACAGGGGTCTCTGGAGGTGCAGTATAGCCTCGGTATCAGTATCCCCTTGTAGGCAAGCCTGTAGGAAGCAATGCATAAGGCCCGACTGCCCGCAGGTCTCCCCTTGCTCCTGACAAAGCCTGGTGGGTAGCAGGCATTGGTGACACCCGCCGTTCCCTAGCCAGCAGGCCGCCGAGGCTTGCCTGTTGGAAGCGCCTGAATCCCTGAACAAAGAACCCGTAGTTCTCGCACTCGAGCACCGAGGGATGACGCAGCCACCAATTCTGTGGTTCTATAAAGCATTAGTATAGTCCGGATAACGAGATAGCGTAAAGGGGTCTCTTACTAGTAGAACGGCCCATGACTTCTTTGAGACAGCATCCGAGGCATTGGCCGGTTGACCATTGTGTCTTAGGGCTTAGGGCTGAGTGGCTCGATCTCGGGACGCAGGTCCCAGATGTGGGTATCTTGATTCCCAAGGGTCTGCCAGAGAACGTCGCCCACAAAGCTCGCCGAGAGATGGGGGAGCTCGATGTCCTCAACCGGGTTCAGGATGCCCTCGGCGAGGTTCACGATGGCTGTAGCCGGGGCCGTGGCGCTAATCGCAATTGAATCTGCTGGCGTTGGAGCTCGCGCCTCCGCAGCTCGCGAGGCACGCGGTTGGACTGCAGACATACCCCAACTCCGCGGGAAAGGCACAGCGGAGAACATGGTAGAGGTCGTAGACGGCGGATATGACCATCTCCTTCCGCTGTCTGGCCAGCACAGGGAGCCCACCCAAGGGCCAAGGCGTCGCCCATCTGCTTTTTCAGCAGCTTCTGGGCTTTTGGATTCCGAAGCAAATTGTCAGGGTGGACCCCCTGTGCGGCAAAATCAGCCTGCACTCGGCCGTGGATCTGGCGGATCCACGCGACCACTTCCTCTTTTGTGCCTTGGTCATTGTCCATTGATACCGAGGTTGTGCCAGTACTCGTCTACGGCTTGCGGGCTCAATCCCTTCCGGAATCGGTGGGCCATTGCGAGTTGCGACTTTGTGCTGGAAGATCTTTGAACCGGAGGGAATGGGACTTGGTTGGTGTTGGGATTTGAGCTAATGGAGAAAAGTGGGAAAGGCCTGAGAACGTTCCGACAGAGGGCAAGCCTCGAGTATAAATACTCCAGAAGCTCTTGTTAAGCAGCCTATACTCGGCCGTGGATTTGGCGGATCCACGCGACCACTTCGTCTTTTGTTCTCTGGTCATTGATCTCGAGCTTTTGCCAGTACTCGTCGACGGCTTGAGGGCTCATAGGCATGCCCTTGCAAAATTTGTGTGCCATTGTGCTGTTGTTATCGGCAGATGTTGGACACACATTTCCAGGATCGACGACCCCAGAAAGACGGAATAGCTCGTGAGCTTCACACCTGGGAGTCGCTTTGGACTGTTTGGTTGCTGCAATGAACGGACCCTGCGCAGACTCCGAGAGACTCACGATCAGAGTCACTGGATTATCCTGAGGCTGGTCCAACTGCGGGTGTCGCGCTAAAGAGAGTGAAAGTCAGCTTCTGGAACTAGCGAGACATGTTCGAGACTCGGGAAGGACATACTGCTGTGGTTCATCGTGGGATGACGCGCCGCGGCTTCGAAAATGGTAAAGCACCAAAGCGCATTTATTGGACCAGCCATCTCAAACCGAAACCAGAAATCCCATAGGATCATGATTCTATGCATCTTCCCTCGAATTTGCTTGGCTACCATCACGAGAACGCTGTGAGGCTCAGGTAAAAGGACCTGACAAGCCCAAGGCTCATCTATACTGGCAGAATATGCCCCGTATGGGAAGGTGGGCATAGGATGAGCAGGAATGAAAAGAGGACCTAGATTGGAAACTTTGAAGGGAGATGAGGAAGAAGAAAGGAGAAGAAAAGTAAACAGTCGTAGGCGACATATATAACTCCATTTTAGGTCGCGTGACTGCGACGCGAGATGCTTCGATGGATTTTCCCTCCCGTTACAATCATATGACAGCGACCTTGAGTGCGAGTTTGGTCTCTCATGGCTCCGTACGGAGTAGGTGATTCTGCTAACGTATAGAACCATGACATTATATCGGTAGTCGTAGATAATGCCCCCTCTTCTCACATAGATGACAGAATCATACGTACCTATTCCTATCGAACAGACACTCTCAACGAAAGATACTATAGTCAAACACATCGAGCAAGTGTCATCCTCTATGAACAACTCCTCGTTCAAAGCTGTGTTTAAAGACTCCATCGGTGTTCGAGGGCGACCTAGTCCTTCATGTATCTGTATCTGCTGAACAGGTCGTCTGCGTTGCCAGAATTGACGCTGCGTTCCCAGCGTGGTTCACTGCTTCCAGATCGACAATGACGATACGATCATGGCAAACTAGAAAGTTGCACGGATTCTCATCATAATTGGCTTTGCATTCCCACAGAGCATACAATGCTTCCTCAAGGTGAGTATCAATTCTCTTCTCATCAATGTCAGCTTCAGCAGCTTCGTATAGAGTCATCCAGTCCACATCAGAGAGAAAAAGCTCATGGCGGCCACAGAAAGAACTTTGGCCAAGAACAGTTGGACTCACGGTTTCTTAAAGCGGCTGCAGATTGTTGTAGGCGACTAGGCGTCAATCTCTTGTTGAAATGCCCTATAATCTTCGTCCTTTTGTAGTGTGACGATAATCGAGCTGGGAACTTGGGAAGCACAGACTTTGTATTGTGTTCAAGCTCTAGAGAGGTGTGAAATATTAGTGGTCGGCTGGTCTCTTCTGATGAACATCCAGTAACTTGAGTCACATTTGAAGGTTCCATGCTAGGCAATAGTTTCTCCATTATGGAGGTAGAGTGGTTCATCGGGAAGAGAGCTGGAGAGTCAAAGAAAGGGACTATGTCAGGTGACAACATCACGGGATAGTTATGCCTTTGAGCTTATCCACACCAACATGTTACATGACTGGTCTTCCAACAAAATACAAAGACTCCTGATTGTGCAATGCCGCCAATTGCAGGCACGCGATCAGGAGCATATCAAACGTAGGACTCACTGTAGGAGGGCTTTAGGTACGGGTCAATCAAAGTGACATGATCTTGAATGGTACGAAGGCACTGTAATAGCTGTAATATCAAATAAATGGGTAGAATTTATTGAGCTACCTAACGTTTGTCATGTAGGTACAGATCTCCTGAGAGTAGAGGCACCGGCAGAAAGGGACGTGAAGGGAAAGCAGGCTTCCGCAGACGAAAACACCTCAGCAATCCTGGAATACAGCATCCATATGAAGGACCAAAGAATGTGACTCGATGAAGGTCACTTTTATTGCTGGTTTGACCGTGATGGGTTGATATGTAGACCGTGATGGACCAGGCGCTTCGTGAGACCATATCTGGTGGAAAGTTGCATGAGAACCAGATTTGAGATTTGAGGATACAATTTATCGGTGAGACTTGCAGCGTGGTTGTAACTGCAGTCAGGGTGCACGGAGGCAGGGCGGATGATAGGAAGGCCACGGGGCATGTCCCCAAGATGATGATCAACACGTGGGTAACCATCAAGAGATGGTCTGTCTGGGTGGCATTGAGCAAACCCGTAAAGGTGAAGATGAAAAGGTTCAAGATCCATATTGATAGATGGGTTGCATGGTCAAGATGAAGCAGAGATGAAAGAACCAAGGAGCCAAAGAGCCGTTGCTGGGCATGGTAGCCAGCAGATAGTCACGATAATGGTCCAAGTATTGGAAGGCCCATGAGTGCGAATGATCGATGTTTTGACTTGTTATCAAAATGTAGACATTCTTTGGAGGCAGCACAACCAATATTGACTGGCTGCTAGAATGCAGAGGGCCCTCAGAAGGAGGACGATGATGCTCCTTGGTGGTTTGTCGCAGGTAGTCAGGACGGTAGGGCCCAAGATTGAAGCTTCTTGTTTAACGGTGTGAATCACTCGCAGTGGATGCGGATGCCAGAGGGCTTGTTGGTCAATGACGTTGGTAGTGAGTGGCTAGGAAGACCACGTCGAAAAGGTTCGGGGTGGGATAAGATGTGGTCGGTCAATGGGTGTGGTGATGGTAAGGATATGGTGAGAAGGCGGTTGATGAGCAGGTCCAGAAGGAATTCCCATTTCGAGAACAGGTGGATGATGGAAGGCCAGAGTGGACAGGCTCGTTTGTTGTGGTGGTCAATTGTAGATGACAGTTAGGAAGGCGATGAACGAATGCGTTGATTGCAATAATAAGTTTCTGATGGATAAGGGTAGATGGAGAAGCCAGGATAGACAGGTAGATGGGAGGTTGATTTCAGTAGTGGACGATCATAGATAATATTTTGGGGCCTGAAAGGCCGGTTGGTGGATTGTGGTCAATGGCGGTGCTTGGAGACGAAGTAGAAGACAAGAAGGATATGATAAGAGGCATGGTAGACAACATGTGGAAAGAGTTGATGTTACGGCGGGCATAAGAGCCAAGATCAGAAGGTCAATTGATGGATAAGCGGGTTGCGTTCAGTAGCAGATGGTCGAGGAATATTGATGTGAAGGCGAAATTGGAGGGCCAGTGGGGTAAGATGGCGAGGGGGTTTGAGCGCAGGCAGAGCTGACGGCGAAAATGGTTGTTGATGATGGATGAGAAGATGGAGACAGTTGGTGGTTGACTGCAAGGCGAAATTGGGAAGGCCTCAGTAGGAGCAGTGGACTGAGTGAAGCAGGTTACCCTATCCAGCCTCCCGATTGTCCTGAAGCCAAAGAGGCCCGCCACGGTAAGGCTAGATATGGATGAGTGACATAGATGAGCTCACGTGGGAGAGCTAGGATGGGCGAGTGTGGGTGAGTGGTACAACCTACCTATATACAGCCTCCCGATTGTCCTGAGGCCGTGAGGCCCGCCACGGTGAGACTGAAGATAGGTGGATGGAGGTTCCGAGGTGGTGCAGTGGTTGTAGTTGCGGTTGCTATATCCAGTATCCCGATTGTCCTGAAGCCGTGAGGCCCGCCACGGTGAGACTGAACATGGGTGGGTGGAGGTGGTGGTGCGGACGTGGTTGCTATATCCAGTCTCCCGATTGTCCTGAAGCCGAAGCCCGCCACGGTGAGACTGAACATAGGTGGATGGGGGTTCCGAGGTGGTGCAGTGGTTTCGGTTGCGGTTGCTATATCCAGTCTCCCAGTTGTCCTGAAGCCGTGAGGCCCGCCGCGGTGAGACTGAATATAGGTGAGTGGTAGTACCACATCTAGCCTCCCGATTGTCCTGAGGCTGAAGCCCGCCACGGTGAGACTGGATGTGGCTGGGTGAAAGCAACACGAGGGTATGTGTGGATGGTGCCAGAGGATGGATGGTGCCTGAGATTGTGTGGTACCTGAAGGAGGATGGTAATAAGAAAAGAGGAAGAGATGTGTAGGAGGAAAAGAAAAAAAGAGAGAAGAAGAGGAGGAGGGGGTATTTATACCCTTCCTCTGGCTGAACTGAACGAGAAGGAGCGTGTATGGTTCCTTCCCTTTTCACGGCGGATCCAAAATGTCTATGGAACATGGAAACCACCATACAGTACCTATTGATCAGGCAGCTCCAAGGCCTAAATATTCACCAAGAGGCAGATCGCAGGCCCATTAGGAGCTTGACATCGTGAAGTTGTTGAATCTACGTGATATTGGGACGAAAGGTAACTTGTTTGGAACTGATATACAATCCCACTACTAGACTCAAGTTCAGGATCGTAGGCAAGCAACGGTATGCTTATCCAGGTCCTCACAGTGGACGATCAAAGCTAGTACCAAAGGTGACATAGTATTGGGATCAAACCCGAATACGCATGCAGCTTAAGCCTTTAAGGCCATAAGCAGAGGCGAGGAACTTAGGAAGTAGCCTGCCGCCTCCGTGCGCCATCTGTTGAGAAAAATGCTATGGAGAGCAGTTGGTCCATCAGATGATCAGAGGGATCAGGGACTTTCAGACTCAGAGGGAGGACTGAGGAGTGGTCACGTGGTGAGCACATACACTCTCTGACTCTCCAATACTAAATACCCTGGCATGGGTGGCTGGGTTCTTTCCCTTTCTGGAATTGGAATTCTGCCACCGCCCTGTCCTCCCGGGTATAAGTATCTCCTCCTCCGTCCACTCTTCCTCTTCCTTTCTTTTCTTCTTCATACTTACCTTGTTTGGGTGGCCGCGATCAAGAAGGCGGTTCACCACAGTTTGGTCCCTGCATTGCACATCGCGGCGGAACAGGCTGTTCAATGGCCTGCGGGTCATTGACAGGCGTATTCTTTGGCACCCCTCATCCACTCTGTGGACTTTTTCTTTTCATCAATCCTCGAGCCAGCGGCACGAGATTGGAGAAGAGGAATTTTGTACCTCATCTAACACTACACATTTCTATGTCGGCATGGACTAGTAATGAATTTGTGAGCTATTTACACGCACTTCACGTTTCTCTCCCCCTAAGGGGTCGTGATGTATGTCAATCAGCCCAGCATGGCCTTATAGGAAAACTAAGGAATAAACATCGCTGCGTCTCGTCACAAAACGACCCCCTTTGGAGAAGGAAGATGTGTTGTGTAGATAGCTCACAAATGCCATGTTCCATAGTCCATAACTGCTACCTAAAATTGACTGGCGCTTCATGCTCCCCCTTTTGTTTACGACTCCTTAGTGTAATGAGCAACATCCGTTAAGGCCTGTCACTTTGTCTCAACAAGCCATATCCAACCTGAACATACTACCACAATAAGAACACTCTCTACGCGCATCACAGCAGTCCATATTCGCTAAATACTTTCTGAATACATTCAGCCCATGTCACGCCGAGACTCGAGCCTGGAGAGATTCAAGATATCTCCCAAGTCACGTACGTCCGACACAACGAGGCTAACATGACTACATACGAAATCAATATTCTCAAGCTGCACAAATCCTATTGAGTGCTTGCTCATTACTAGGTATTCCGAGGAAACGCGAGTTCCAAGACGCGTGTTTCGGGAGCTTCCCGCCAACTGGCGATCCTCCAGCCAACTGGCAAGCTTTCTGCCAACTGGTCAATATGCAAGAGTCAAGACCCTTCTCTCTCCTCCTGCAGCACTTCCTAAACTGGGTTCAAACATCCATGGGCAGAATAAGATAACTAAATTTAAAATGTTTTCCAATGAGACTGGAAATGCTGATTGTTCTCATCGCCATCAGGATATGCAGTTAGTAAAGTCGCCCACCAAGCTCAACTTATTCCGGCTTGCTACCGATGCACCTCTCTTAGACATACACTACCTATGCTTGACATGTGGCCATCTTTGAGCGACCTGAAAGGTACCTACTGATGTCTTCGTATGAATGCAGGCTAAGTTGAAAATTACAGACTGGCAAATAATGGTCGAATGACATTGTCATGGCCCTCATGGGCGATCGTCCGAAGAAAAGATTCAATTGACTATCTACACCAACAATACAGAACAGAACAAAAACCAGACCCAGACGGCCTGAGCCTCTACCGCCATTCTCCCGTTTCGTATGGGTTCTCAGGGGCGCGGGGCTGCCGATCGGAGTTGGGCACGGCGCCAGTCTGTCGCCCCTGGGCCTGCAGCTGGGCCACCTGGCCCTGGAGTGCCTCGATCTCGGGACGCAGGTCCCAGATGTGGCCAGCTTGATTTCCAAGGGTCTGTCAGAACGTCGCCCACAAAGCTCGCCGAGAGATGGGGAAGCTCTATGTCCTCAGCCGGGTTCAGGATACCCTCGGCGGGATTCACGATGGCTGTGGCCGGGGTCGTGGTGCTAATCGCACTTGAATCTGCTGGCGTTGGAGCTCGCGCATGCGCAGCTCGCAAGGCTTGCGAGTTTGCGCCTCTGCAAGATTTGTGCCACTTCAAGAGCAACACCGATGATGACCCTGGCCAGATTTTCCATGTGGCCCTTCTCGCTTACTCGCTTATATTCCACGGGCCGTACTGCTGCATCATCAGTAATGGCAGTTCAGGGCGAGGATTCTCGGGAAGCGACGGCTCAGTTTTTATGAGTCCGCTTTTCAGATACTCGATATATCTGGCGTCGCAGGAGGCAAGCGTGAGATATATTGACCGTTTGGCTTGCGACACAACCAGGCGTCTATAGAAGCTGGTCAGAATCTTTATCCCGGTAATAACATTTCATCGAACTTACCGAGGCGGGGGGGCGCTTTCGCTTGTTCCGGACGTCATGCATTAGCCATGCAATCATCTCGCCCGTCTCTTGCCAGAGCACCTCCGGTCGCCTTTTATGGCTCCGAGCGTTTGGCTTGACCTCGGCGATTGCGAAGACTTGGCCGTTCTTCGCCCTCAAGCAGCCATCCGTGCGTGCAGTCATTTGGTTATCACCAAAGACTACTGGTCTACTGCGTCAAATGGTGAGAGCGCCCCGATGGCCTGAGCCGGGTTCAGGGTGACCTCGGGGTTCGCGGTGGTTGTTGCCTGGGCCGTGGCGCTCAAGGTGGGAGCTGCTGGTGCCGGAGCTCGCGACGCACGCGGCTTTTTAGCGGACAGGCCCACTCCATAGGAAAGGCGCACTGGAGTGCGCGGTACAGGTCATAGAGGCGGGACACCGCCTCCTCCCTCGGCCGCTGGCTGGCCAGCACAGGGAGCCCACCCAAGGCGTCGCCCATCTGCTTCTTGAGCAGCTTCTGGGCTCTGGGGTTCCGGAGCAAAAGGTCAGGATGGACCTTCTTTGCGGCAAATTCTGCCTGCACTCGGCCGTGGATCTCGCGGATCCACGCGACCACTTCCTCTTTTGCGCCTTGTTCATGGATACCGAGGTTGCCCCAGTACTCCTCCACGGCTCGGGGGTCCATGGGTTCATTCCCTTCCGGAATCGGTGGGCCATTGCGCCTGTGGTATTCGCAGATGTTGGACACATATTTCCAGGATCGACAATCCCAGAGAGACGGAATGGCTCGCGAGCTTCACACCTTGGAGTGGCTTTGGACCCTTTGGTTGCTGTAATGAACGGACCCTGCGCAGACTCCGAGAGGCTCACGATCAGAGTCACTGGATTATCGTGGCTGGTCCAACTGCGGGTGTCGCGCTAAGAGAGTGAAAGTCAGCTTCTGTAACTAGCGAGACATGCTCGAGACTCGGGAAGGACATACTGCTTGGTTCATCGCGGGATGACGCGACGCGGCTTCGAAGGTGATAAATGCATCTTCCCTCGAATTTGTTCGGTTACCATCACGAGAACACCGTGAGGCTCAGGTAGGAGGACCTGACAAGCCCGAGGCTCATCTATACTGGCAGAATATGCCCCATATGGGAAGGTGGGCATAGAATGACTCGTGCCCGGTTTCAGTGTTGGAGGAATGAAAAGAGAGGAGATTGGAAACTTTGAAGGGAGATGAGGAAGAAGAAAGGAGAAGGAAAGTAAACAGTCATAGGCGACATATATAACTTCATTTTAGGTCGCGTGACTGCGTGAGATGCTCCGATGAATTTTCCTTTCCGTTACAATCATATGACAGCGACCTTGAGTGCGAGATTGGTCTCTCATGTCTGCGTACGGAGTAGGTTAATCTGCTAACGTATATAGAACCATGCCATTATGTCGGTAGTCGTAGATAATGCCCCCTCTTCTTACATAGACTACAGAATCATACGTACCTCTTCCTATCGAACAGACACTCCTGTCAACGAATGATAATATAGGCAATCACATCGAGCACGTGCCATCCTCTATGAACAAGTCCCCGTTCAAAGCTTTGTTTGAAGAATCCATCGGCGTTCGAGAGCGACCTAGTCCTTCATGTATCTGTATCTGCTGAACAGGTCGTCTGCGTTGCCAGAATTGACGCTGCGTTCCCAGCGTGGTTCACTGCTTCCAGATCGACAATGACGATACGATCATGGCAAACTAGAAGTTGCACGGATTCTCATCATTATACTCGGCTTTGCATTCCCACAGAGCATACAATGCTTCCTCAGGATGAGTTTCGATTGTCTTCTCATTCATGCCAACTTCAGCAGCTTCGTACAGAGTCATCCAGTCCACATCAGAGAGACAAAGCTCGCGGCGGCCACAGAAAGATCTTTGGCCAAGAACAGTTGGAATCACGGTTCCTTGAAGCGACTGCAGATTGTTGTTACGTTCATACGTTGTAGGCGTCAATCTCTTGCTGAAATGCGCTAGTATCTTCGTTCTTTTCTGGTTTGACGATAAGCGAGGGAACTTGGTAGTTAAGCACGAAGTTTGTATTGTGTTCAAGCTCTAGAATATGAAATATTAGCGGTCTCTTGACTCTCTTCTGATGAACAGCCGGTAAGTTGAGTCACATTTGAAGTTTCTTCCATGCCAGGCAAGAGTTTCTCCATTATGGAGGTAGAGTGGTTCATTGCAAAGAGAGCTGGAGGATCAAAGAAAGCACGGACTATGTCAGGTGACAACAACAATACGGGATTTATTGACGGGATAGTTATAACTTATGCCTTTGAGCTTACCCACCCGACCAACATGTTAGTGTTACATGACTGATCTGCGAACAAAATACAAACACTCCTGATTGTGCAATTCGCCAATTCCTTTTCCAGGGAATCCAGGCACGCGATCAGGAGCATATCAAAAGTAGGATTCACAGTAGGAGGGGTTTAGGTATGGGTCAATAAAAGTGACATGATCTTGAATGGTACGAAGGCACTGTAATAGCTGTAGTATCGAATAAATGGGGAGAATCCATTGAGCTACCTAAAGTTTGTTATGTAGGCACAGATCTCCTGAGAGTAGAGGCACCGACAGAAAGGGACGTGAAGGGAAAGAAGGCTTCCGCAGACGAAAACACCTCGGCAATCTTGGAATAGAGCATCCGTATGAAGAACAAAAGAATGTGACTCGATGAAGGTCACTTTCATTGCTGGTTTGACCGTGATGGGTTGATATGTAGACCGTGATGGGTTGATATGTAGACCGTGATGGGCCAGGCGCTTCGTGAGACCATATCTGGTGGAAAGTTGCATGAGAACCAGATTTGAGATTTGAGGATACGATTTATCCGTGAGACTTGCAGCGTGGTGGTAATTGCAGTCATGATGCACGGAGGCAGGGCGGATGATAAAAGCCCACGTGTGTAACTATCAAGAGATGGTCTGTCTGGGTGGCATGGAGCAAACCCGCACAAATGAAGATGAAAAGGCTCAAGGTCCATATTGATAGATGGGTTGCATGGTCAAGATAAAGCAGAGATGCAAGAATCAAGCAGCCAAAGAGCCGTTGCTGGGCATGCTAGCCAGCAGATAGTCACGATAATGGTCCAAGTATTGGGAGGCCCATAAGTGCGGATGATCCATGTTTCAACTGGCTATCAGAATGTAGGGATTCTTTAGTGGCAGCACAACCAATATTGACTGGCGGCTAGAATGCAGAGGGCCCCAGGAGGAGGTGAATGATGCTTCTTGGTGCTTCGTCGCAGGTGGTCAGGATGGTAGGGCCGAAGCTTGAAGCTTCTTGTTGTTGATGCGGATGCCAGAGGGCTTGTTGGTCAATGACGTTGGTAGTGAGCGAGGAAGGCCAAGTCGAAAAGGTCCGTAGGTGAATAAGATGTGGGCGGTCAATGGTGGGTGGTGATGGTAAGGATATGGTGAAAAGGCGGTTGATGAACAGGTCAAGAGGGAATTCCCATTTCGAGAACAGAGTGGATGATTAAAGGCCGGAGTGGACAGGCTCGTTTGTTGTGGTGGTGAGTTGTATGTGACAGTTAGGAAGGCCATGAACGAATGCGTCGATTGCAATATTGAGTTGCTGATGGATAAGGGTAGATGGAGAAGCCAGGATAGGCACGTAGATGGGAGGTTGGTTTCAGTTGTGGACGGTGATAGATGATACTTTGAGGCCTGAAAGGCCGGTTGGTGGACGGTGGTCAATTGCGGTGGTTGAAGAAGATGACAGGAAGGGTATGGTAAGATGCATAGTAGACAGCATGCTGAGAGAGTTCATGTTACGGTGGGTGTAAGAGCCCAGATCGGAAGGTCAATTGATTGATAAGCGGACTGCATTCGGTAGCAGATGGTCGAGGATTAATGATGTGAAGGCGAAACTGAAGGGCCAGTGGAGTAAGATGGCAAGAGGGTTTGGGCGCAGGCAGAGGGGACAGTGAAAATGTTTGTTGCTTATCGGTGAGATGATGGAGACAGTTGATGGTTTTTGGAAAGGCTAAGAAGGTCTGAAGACCTTGTGGAGGATTGTCTTGATGGAGAGTGGAACATAGTCCACAGACAGTGGAAATGGTTGACGGTTGATGGGAAGGCGAATTTGGGAAGGCCTCAGTAGGAGCAGTGGACTGAGTGCAGCAGGTTACCCAATCCAGACTTCCGATTGCCCTGAAGCCAAAGCGGCCCGCCACGGCAAGGCTGGATATAGGTGAGTGGATATGGTCAAGTGCAGTGGATGTTGTTGCTATGCCCAGTCTCCCGATTGTCCTGAAGCCGAAGCCCGCCACGGTGAGACTGGACATAGGTGGGTGGGGGTTCCGAGCCCGTGGTGCAGTGGTTGTAGTTGCGGTTGCTATATCCAGTCTCCCGATTGTCCTGAAGCTGTAAGGCCCGCCACGGTGAGACTGAATATAGGTAAGTGGATGATGTCAAATGAATCTCGCTGTGGCTTGGTGGTTGCGGGTGCTATATCAAATCTCCCGATTGTCCAGAAGCCGTGAGGCCCGCCACGGTGAGATTGATATAGGTGGGTGGAGGTGGTGGAGTAGTTGCGGTTGCGATTGCGATTGCGATTGCTATATTTGCTATATCCAGTCTCCCAATTGTCCTGAGGCCGAAGCCCGCCACGGTGGGACTGAACATAGGGTGGATGGAGGTTGTGGAGTAGTTGCGGTTGCCGTGAGGTGGTTGTAGCTTCTATAGTCAGTCTCCCGATTGTCCTGAAGCCGTGAGGCCCGCCACGGTGAGACTGAATATAGGTGAGTGGTAGTACCATATCTAGCCTCCCGATTGTCCTGAGGCTGAAGCCCGCCACGGTGAGACTGGATGTGGTTGAGTGAAAGCAACTTGAGGGTATGTGTAGATGGTGCCAGAGGATGGATGGTGCCTGAGATTGTGCGGTACCTGAGGTAGGATGGTAATGATGAACAGAGGAAGAGATGTGTAGAAGGAAAAGAAGAAAAAGAGAGAAGAAGAGGAGGAGGGGGTATTTATACCCTTCCTCTGGCTGAACTGAATGAGAAAGAGCGTGAGTTGTTCCTTCCTTGTTTGGAAAGCAGTTCTTCTTGAATGAGAAGGAACGTGGATGGTTCCTTCCCTTTCCACTGCGGATTCAAAACACGTGTATGGAACATGGGGACCACCGGGCATATAGTCTTGATCAGGCAGCTTCAAGGCCTACCTAAATATTGCACCCAGAGGCAGCTCGCAGGCCCATTAGAAGCTTGACATGTGACATGGCCAAGTTGTTGAATCTATGATATTGGGACGATGGGCAACTTGTTTGGAACTGATATACAACCCCACAAGACTCAAGTTCAGGATCGCTGCTATACATGGAGAGCAGTCGGTTTATAAGAGGAGAAAGCTAGGTAGTGAGCACGTACACTCTCCAATACTGTGTATCCTGGCGTGGGTGCCGAGTTCCAACCCGCGTTTCGCGAGCTTCCCGCCAACTGGCGAGCCTGCAGCCAACTGGCAAACCTCCAGCCCAACTGGGAAGCCTAGTTAGTTCCATCAGTCAATCTTCTTACCACTGCCATGGCGAGCTAGACCCGGACCCGTATATACATATTCTGTGTGTGGATTCCGTCTTTATAGTCAAAACGCAGAATACCTCGGCTACTTTAAATATAGAAGCAGAATCCTCTTCTCCAATGGAACAATTCCACAACCCTCCATCCCCAACCTGCTTACAAATCCCCTGCCATCCCCGACATTGAAAAGCCTAGCAAAAGAAAAGTACAAGAAATCCTCCAATTCTTCCTATCTTCCAATCTGACATCTTTCTCTCCGAATCTTGACAAAAGATTAAAGAATCAAGATGACACACTTCCAAATCCAAATAATCTCCGACACCATCTGTCCCGTAAGTACCCCATACAAACCCAATCTCCAGATCTATACCCAATCCCTCTCTCCAAACCCCAGCCCCTTCTACGGTTCTACCCATTAATCAATATAACTAACCCCAAAAGTGGTGCTACGTCGGCTACCGCCGCCTCTCACGAGCAATAACAACCCACCAAACCAAGTTTCCCACCGACACATTCAGCCTCCACTGGAAAGCCTTCTACCTCAACCCCGCAGGGGCAGAGTATCCAGGCGCGAACAAAGCCGAGCTGTACGCAGCAAGGTTTGGCGCAGAGCGCATGAAAGCCATCTTCTCACGGCTATCTGCTGTCGGTGAGGAGGAGGGGATTAAGTTTAGTTTCGGTGGGAATACGGGGTCTACGCGGGATTCGCATCGGTTACTTTGGTTTGCTGGGAAGCTGGAGGCTGAGGGTGCTAAGGAGGGGAGTCAGGGGACTGGGGTGATTGGGGGATTGCAGAGTCGGGTTGCGGAGCAGTTGTTCAAAGCTTATTTTGAGGAGGAGAAGAACATTACTGATTTGAAGGTGCTTTTGGAGGCCGGAGTTGGGGCTGGGTTGGAGAGGGATGTGGTGAAGAAGGTGTTGGATGAGGATGTTGGTGCTGAGGAGGTTGATTTGGAGGCGAAGACGGCGGCTCAGAGGTTGGTTTCGGGGGTGCCTTATATCTCCGTGCAGGGGAGATATCATGTTGAAGGCGCTGAGGAGCCTGAGGCCTTTTTGGAGATTTTTGGGAAGATCAAGGCAGCAGAGCAGTAAGATCGTCACGGAGATTACAATGTACTAGCCTACTTCATTGAACATTGGAGATTCAGAGTGGAATTGTTATTCGCTAGTCCTAAGGTCGTCTGTAACGGACAAAACTAGTCTGACGACAAGAGCATCGATTTTTCCATTATGATGCACTTGTGCGTCAAAGTGATATGATCGGTAAACATGGAGTATTGCAGTGGATACGGGTGGGTTTCCACTACCAAACCATGTACAGAGTTGGCGAACGTCATGGAAGTGCAAAGATTAAACGCCTGCCATGCAACGGGCGTCTGGGACATCCACGATAAAATAAACAAAAGGCAGGAAGTGCAGTGGAGAGAAAAAATGGCGTAAAGGATGTCGAGATGCAGGTGGAAGAAACTCATGGGACGAATCAGCACTGAAGAGGGCGAAGGGGAACGAAAATGCCAGTGTGATTGTTGCGATGGTGCAGATGACTAGGCCCTCAAACCTAGCCGAACCGCGCCACAAAAGAAGTCATAATAATCGTAGGAAGAAGGCGCATGCAGTAAGCAGCCTATTTGACCTGATGCAGTTCGTAATCGGGAAGGTAATCGAACCATTCCGTCTCGGGGTTGTAGCGGTATGCCTTGAACTCCACACCGTACGGCTTAGGCTCAAGCATGTACAGCACACCCATCGGGACATCGAGATCGGCAACCTCGTCACGCTTCAGACCCCGGAAATAGGCCAGGAGCACACGAGCAACGGATCGGTGTCCAACCAGGAGCACATGGTCGGTAGTACGCTCTACCTCGACGATGACGGTGCGTGATCGGTTGATAATGTCGAGGTAGCTTTCTCCGCCCGGTCCGGGATATCGGTAGAAGAGTTTATGCTTCTTGCGATGAGCATATTCCTCGGGGAACTGCTCTTGGATCTCTTTGTATGTCATGCCTTCCATTTTACCGGAATGAATCTCATCCAACATCCTCATCTGCTTGATATCGTAGTCATCTTCGTTGAAAAATTCGGTGGTTTGAACCGAGCGCTGCATCATCGAAGACCAGACACAGAAGTTACGCGGACCCTCCCGCGGAATGTAAGATGGGTTGGGGGGTGTGCTGTCACCAGGTCGGGGTGGGAAGTGTTGCAAAAGGTGTTTCTGGCGCTGATAGGACTCCCATTGTTGCCTTTGGTGATCGACAAACTTAGCCAACGCCTTGGCGTATCTTATTCCGTTCTCACTGAGATCGGAGTCGCCGCCGATGCGGCCCGCGACATCGTCCATGCTTTCGCCGTGACGCGTGATCCAGATCTGGCGAGGAGAAAGATTGAAATTGAGCAGATAGTAAACTACCTGAGAAGCAAGGAAGCCATGCGTCTGATGTGCGACAACTTTGCGGCCGACATCAATCATCTGGATGTAGGCCATGCGATGCTTCTCCTCATATTCACCGAGAGGCACGTAGGACTTTTCGTAGAGAGCAACACGTTTCTTGAAATCTGCAAGTGCATCGGCTGGGTCCTGACCTTTGTAGTCGGGACCAGAAAGTTTCAGGCGCATGTTGGCCTCGAGCAACTCTTGATCCACGCAGCTGCTTTCCAGGAACAAAATATTGAGTTCCGGGCCAGCGCGAGCGCGAATGTGGTCCACGATCGCCTTGCGGCGTTCCATAGTGCTGTTGGTAGCATCGAGAATACCGATGCTGCCGCCATCCTCCAAGATGTATTCAAGCAGTTCATCGAGAGTATCCAGCGCAACCTGCTCTCTCATCTTAACAGCCCGTTGGTTTTGCGGATCAAAGAAATTGGCAGTTTGCTCCATTGGTTCAGGCGAAGCTTCGTTGATAGCTTCTTCATCCGCACGAGACTGGGCAGGGCCTGCATCAGTCGAGGGCTCAATAATACTTCCATTCTGAGAGAGCTGTTCGTTGGGCTCGTTACCATTCACCAGGATCTTGGCGGGCATGACCGGAGGCGGCAGTGGTGCCTCGTTCGGAGGGGAGGCATCGGACGGTTTTAGATTGCTACCAACGCTGACACTCAATCGGCGCACAGAGTCGACCAGATCACTGTGAACAGCACTCGATTTCCGGTCCTGGTGGCCAAGCGGGGCAGGTGACGGTGACTTCCCAGCGGCGACACGACGACGCTGTCCAACGTTGAAAATCTCTGTGTCATGTTGAAGCCAGTTCAGATAGCGAGCTAGCTTCTTCGTAATGTAACTCTTGCCTCGGGCCGGGAGACCGACCATGACAATGACGAGCTTTGCGCCGACATCGCGCTGGGCAATACGGCCATCCGGGGAGACCTTGGACTTGGTCAGTCCGGGGATATCGAGAGTGGTTGCTCGCACCCGGCTTGGGGTGCCAGCAGTGCTCGTGCTGCGGAAATAATATCAGCCATATAGTTCGCCAAGCGCCACAAGTCCAGATGAACCAGAGGATGGGGTCCGGGGGAAGGCTGCATGATCAATTCCAGCCGTCGACCTGCATCCGGAACTGCATCATGCCGATCATAGCCTTCTGATAGGCCCAAGTAGATGAAGCATCGAGAAAAAGAAAGATCCAAAGGGTCTAGACAAAGGAGACAACTTACATCTGTGGAGACGGGGGTGCGGTAGAAATCGGAGTGTCTGTCAAGGCGGTTCCGACTCCGCCCTTAGGCGGGAGTGAAGATTTGTGGGAATCGGAATGCAGGTCATTACCTAGCGCTCGGTTGACCACAGTCTTCGGAGGATGCCTGGGAGTTCCTTCTTTACCCGATCCCGATCCATCCCCATTAGAGATCCCGTTGGGTCGATTGATACTGTTCCTTTGATCACCCGGTGCAAGGCCGGGTGATGCCGCCGACGTCATTGCCGACCGGGCGATGTTGGAATGTGAATCCATCCAGCGAGGTTTGTGGTCTTGAAATAAGAAGATATGGTTTCGCTCACGGAGCTTGTCGATGGGGGAATAGGTGTGAGGACTTGGACGAACTCGACGAAGCAAAAGCGATGTTGCTGGACAGCTGGAGGAGGAAAAAGAAGTTGTGTGGAGGGTTGGATGAGTCAACCGGGAAACGTCACCAACTTGGAGAACTTGAGAGAGAGTCGAAACACAGAGAGCAGATTAACTGTGAGAATTCCAAGAGATTCGAAGAGATTCAAAGAAACTCGAGGAATTGCGGGAAGTTTTATCTTTTCTCTTCGCACTGATATTTATTGGAGGTTTTTGTTCCAAGCATGTGTATCATGTGTACGGAGTACTCCGTACATTCAGCGCTAAGGATATCACGGAAGCACAGGAACTATTAACATGGGAATCTTATAAGTTGAAATGCTCTGGAATGATGAAATCACGCAGCTGTAGGGGCACTTAGTCCCCTGAGTGGATCTATGGCTTAATGATCGCCCAGATATGATGTCAAAGATCTATCAGCATGAGGGAAGAACTGAGCTGGTGAGCTGGTAGGATATGTGCGATGATATGTGAAGATTGTTATATTGACCAAATTGAGACAGGATCAAAGTGCTTTATACACTCGACCGGCAATTTACGTCTCGATGCATCTGTCCTATCTCTAACGGAGAATGCTTGGCGACAGCAAACAGCGAAACACACCGATGGAACAAGTGTATGTACAGTCTTACCCCCTGTGGCCTTGATCATTCTTGCAATCTCTCGGTAATCCGCCGAAATATCACAATCGTAGACACCCCCACCGTCGTCTTTGCAGGCCGTGGGCGGGATGGATGAGAATCCTGCCAGTTGATTGCTGCGATTGCAGGTATGACCAGCCCAACAAATGCATACTGCGGTATAGACAGTACAATACTGCATACCTTAGATTTAGAATCCATCTCAGCCTCCTAGTGGAGGCCCACCTTGTATGACCTGCATCTCACCCGCTCGGGCTGATCTTATCTTCCCACGGAGCAGACTCGGCTTCCTTGGCAGCTCCAGGCCCTCAACACAATTGATCTCCGACCAGCTGTAGGGGTCCGTTGCCGCACAGACTGATCTCCGCTGCCGTAGCCATGTCCCGTGGTCTGGCGAGTCCTTGGCGCTTGGCGGTAACGCAGGGGGTATCACCAGATATGATATCTACTGCGTAGAAGGTAAACCTCTAGGGATGGTGGATACGGTGTGAATGGATGGTCCACGCAGAATGTTCCTTATCAGTTGTTCAGGTTCAAGGTCAAGCCAATCAAGCATGCGTATGCCGCCACGCTCAGTGCTGTCAAGACCAACACGGCATTCCCACTGGTGCGAAACTTATGTCGGTGTATCCCATCGTCCCCTACTTCGGAGAAGAATTGCTTGTTTCCCTGCGAGCGGCGGAATAGTCCGATAATGAGGACACCGGTGCCGTAGATGGCGAACAGAGCCCCGATACTATAGAACTCGGCGGTGAAGATCTTGAGCACGACGAGGGCGAAGGAGAACTGGGACAAGGCGGTTCGGACGTAGGCACCCTCGAAGGTTCGTTGGGCGGCGCGTACCTCAACGATTTCATCCGAGGTTAGAACGGCCGAGCGAGCCCGGTGCATTCGCAGGCGATAACGATCCCCTGCGCGACGCTGAGACAGTTAGATTATGAGGTGGGACAGAGGTAAGGAATCCGTAGATGAGGAAGCTCTCAAAGATAACACACCTCAAACATGACTATGGATGGGAATGACGTTCGAGTAGGATAATATCCGAACTGCGAAGTCAGGAGTCGAATTTCATTGGGGAGTGGAAGAGGTTGGCTCGTTGAGGGGGAAACGATGCGGGTGACACCGTCCTCTCACTCCTCAGACACCTCACGTGGAACGGCCGATATGGCCTTTGGAGTATTCAGACGTCAACTTTTGTATAGCTTCAAATGTCCACTATGTCCCAATTGATGAATATAATTTACATATTCAGGTCCCCGTTGACTCCAATTATTCCACCAATAACACGTAGCCAATTCCAATTTCTTCGGTCGGCAATCGAAAACCCCCCAACGAGGAAAAAAGCGGCCGCCGACTTCCCCCACACTCTCCAACCTGATGTAGTTGGATCACCTCTCGCACCGTCTTTATATTTTATTTTCTTTCTTTCACTACTGCTATTCCTACGCCGACCTCTACAGGCACTTGTCTCAACTCCATTTCCACTAGCGCCTCGAGCATGGCGAAGGTATTCGATGCGACAGAAGGTATTGCTTCTCCGCACTCTCCGTGGCCCCCCACGCGGGATGTTTCGCTGATTGAAGAAATAGTCGCAAAACACAACACTCGTGAGAGCTGTTGGGTGATTCTATACGGCAAGGTCTACGATGTAAGGCCCTATTCTATCGTTTTGCATTGCGCATAACCCCCTCGGTAGCCGGTACTGACTCTTAGCTAGGTCACCGACTTCCTGGGCAGCCACCCTGGCGGTGCGATGATCATCCTGCAACTCGCGGGTCGGGATGCCACGGAGGAGTACGATCCAATTCACCCGCCAGGCATTCTGGAGGAGGAACTGAAGCCCGAGGCATGTTTGGGAACGGTCGATGTTAGCACATTACCGAAGAAGGAGGCTCCCTCCGATCCCCAGCACGAGGATGAGGGACCACCGCCTATGGAGAACCTACTCAACTTGGATGAGATTGAAGAAGTGGCTACTAAGCAAATAAGCAAGAAGGCTTGGGCATACTACTACTCCGCATCCGACGACAAAGCCAGCAAGCACTTCAACACTCAAGTTTACCGTTCCATTCTCCTACGACCTCGGGTTTTTGTGGACTGCACAAACTGCGATCTGGATACAGAGGTGCTCGGCCATAAAATACAGACGCCCATCTATGTCGCTCCAGCAGCCATGGCACGTCTAGGCCACCCGTCCGGTGAGGCCGGCATTGCAGAAGCATGCCGTAGCTTCGGGGCTGTGCAGATCATTTCCAACAACGCTTCCATGACCCCTGAGCAGATCGTGAAAGATGCCGCACCAGATCAGGTCTTTGGTTGGCAGCTTTATGTGCAAGTTGACCGCAAGAAGAGCGAGGCGATGCTTGCCCGCATCAACAAGCTCAAAGCGATCAAGTTCATTGTTCTCACTCTCGACGCCCCGGTTCCAGGGAAACGAGAGGATGACGAGCGTATGGGCATGACCGGACGGACGGCCGCTGTAACAAGCGGCGTGAAAGCCGCCGAGCGCTCAGCAGACGACACGCCCAACCCTACCGAAGGGTCTGGCGGTGTCGGCCAGCAATTGTTCGCAGGCACCGACCCCTCCTTGACGTGGACGAAGACTTTGGCTTGGCTCACTACACAGACGGATTTGCCGATTGTCTTGAAGGGTCTGCAGACCCACGAAGATGCATATCTCGCCTCGCTGCACGCACCTCAGGTCAGGGGTATTATCCTCTCTAATCACGGAGGACGTGCCATGGACACTGCTCCGCCGGCCGTTCATACTCTCTTGGAGATTCGGAAATACTGCCCGGAGGTCTTTGACAAGATCGAGGTGTACGTGGATGGAGGTATCCGTCGCGGCACAGATGCGGTCAAGGCACTCTGCTTGGGTGCAAAGGCAGTTGGCCTGGGACGTCCGGCTCTGTGGGGCTTAGCAGCGGGTGGAGTTGAGGGTGTTCGTCGAACCTTGCAGAGTAAGTTGATGTTCGTCTAGGCTGGGAATATTGCTGACTTTTTAGTCCTGAACGACGAAATGAAGACATGTATGCGACTGCTTGGAGTGGAGCGGGTTGAACAATTGGGGCTCCAACATGTAAGTGTCTTCCCACATGTTCCTCTAGACCCTTTACTAAATCTTCCAGATCAACACCCGCGTTACGGAACAACAGATCTACGATGGTCCTGGCGGTCTTGAACCTTTACGGCGCGCATTCCGGGCGAGACTTTAGAAGTAATTACTTACTGCGTATATATACTCCCGTGTCGAATGCATTCCGATTTCACTTTCTCCATAACGTATCCACTCGCAACAGCGCCACCCTCCAACTCCACTCTCCAGCAAAAAAGTCACAAAAGCACAAAAAATAGTTTCCCTGGGAATCGAACCCAGAACCTTTCCGGAACACTTGCTTGAAGCAATTGTTAACGGAAAATCATAACCGCTAGACCAGGAAACTGTTTGATGTCTGAGGTTGGCGTATAAGAATATAAGACTAAAAGTACAATCCCTGCTGTAGACCCCTGCAGCCTGCTGCATATAAAAGGCTAACTAGAAAACAGCTTATGCTGTCAATTTCACTCTTCTAGAATATTTGCAATGGACAGAGGCTGAAAGTGACTATCTGGTCTTCCCTAACCCGAGTAAGCTATAGCTTATGTCCTGAGCGGGGTTCAATTGAGTAGATGTGATCAACATATCGGCTTACTCTTAAACTTCTCTCCCAAGCTATTCCTCGACCTTTATATATCCCTGCTATCCTCACTCGAAATGGCTGAGAATATCCTAAAATGTTTTCCCCACACAACCAGCCCATTCATCGCCAGCGCGCCGATGTTTGGATTCTCCGACGCCGGCCTAGCTACAGCTGTCACCAAGGCCGGGGGATTCGGTATATCTGACCGACCTGACTACATATAGTATACCTAATCTAACAATCAAGTAGGATTCATCGGGGGAGGCTTCCTCTTCCAGACCGGGTCTAGTCAACTCACAGCACTCGATACTCAATTGACAAATGCCCGCTCTATCCTCGGTTTGACTGATGAGCAACCATTGCCACTTGGTGTCGGACTAATCACATTCCAGCCAGACGGGTTAATTGAGAATGTCATTCCCATCCTCCAGAAGCACCGGGTCGCAGCTATTTGGCTGTCCTTTCCCCAGGCTGAGGCTGACCATCTTCCCATCATTCGAGCCATTCGACAAACTCAAAGGGTCTCTGGGTGGGAAACGAGGATATTCTCCCAGGTAGGGAATATTGCCGCTGCAAAGGAAGCAATCCAGCAAAAGGTAGATGGCCTAGTCATCCAGGGAACGGATGCAGGTGGACATCAGTGGGCTCAGGGCGCTAGTCTGATCTCCCTTTTGCCCGAGGTACGAGACCTTCTATTAGAGACTGGGAACACAACTACTGCTGTTCTGGCAGCTGGTGGTATTGTTGATGGAAGGGGCTGTGTTGCTGCCCTCGGACTTGGTTAGTGGTATCTATCATATCTTCACCTTTAGCTGTTTCCAGTTGACTAACAAAGACAAGGCGCCGATGGTATTGTCATGGGCACTCGGGTAGATCTCACTCCTTCAAGATACACATCCTTTCTAACAGGTTATAGTTCGTTGCAACCTCAGAATGCCCCGCGCCATCTGAGATAAAGCAGACCATTCTATCGACTACCGATGGCGGAGTTTCAACCGTTAAGACCACCAGACACGATGTGTTCCAGTCAACCGATGTCTTCCCGCGCCGGTATGATGGCAGGGCTGTTGTGGGGATGAATTACCGTGACTCGGAAGAAGGTGTGTCTGACGAAGAGATCATCCGACGACACAACGAGGCCAGAGCGGCTGGCGATGATCGGAGGCGGACGGTGTGGGCGTGAGTATCGGTTCTGTCTCTCTCGGGAATCGCTATATTAACCTTGACTTTTATTAGGGGTACAAGTGTTGGAAGTATCAAGGCAGTGGTCCCTGTTGAAGATCTCATCAAGACCACTCAGCAGGAGGTCAGGGCGATACTCGAGCGAGTGAAGGCAGGACTTTAGGCTGCGGCTCCAACTCGATGTCTCGAGCTTTTGCTATCGAGTCCATGACTAGGTTACAGGTCAACCATACCTGAGGTTGTGCGTAATGTACGGGCCTATGTGCATTGGATATACTCCGTACCGTGAATATATATTTGTAGCTAAGAGTTATGGAAGAACCATCCATGTAGAATGGCAATCTTGACCAAAACAAAGAAAATCAATTCAATATTCAAATAGACACAAAGGAATAATTTGTCCCTTGATATTGGAGACGTTGACATTTCAAGATCGTCAAGCGCTGTCAACACCCCAAACCTTCGATCCCCCTCCCTTCCCCCTCTCCTCCCACTTCACACTCAACCCTCGATTCCACCTCAATTTGCATATTCTGCCCTCGTGTCACCCGCAGTCAGCTTCCAAGATTCACGGGCGTCTTTGGTCAGCCTTGAAGTCGGGACCTTGTTCCCTTCTGAGCTGCCCGCGATTTAATTCGCGATTTCCTGTCCGCACGCATACAACGAAGCTTGAATATTCGCCATTTACCCAGAAGAGCCTGTATTCTACCGATTCCACCCCCATTACGCACATAAAAATCGATATAACCCCCAGCGATCAATCCGACATGAACCGGTCAACGCCGTCGCCGAGTCTCGTCTCCAAAGCTTCGCCTGGCTCGAAACCCTCCCCCTCGCCGACCGCAGGTACAAAGCGCAAAAGAAACGGGGTCAAATATTACGCCGTCAAGGCAGGCCATAAACCAGGCATATACTATGGTTGGGATGAGTGTCTGGCTCAAGTAACGGGGTTCAAGGGAGCAATCTGTGAGTGCGCTCTCCACGCGGCTCCAATAGAACGCGCCATTACGACCAACAACTGACACTTACTTCCTTTCCAGTTCAATCGTTCCCCTCGCAAGAAGAAGCAAGCGCGTTTTTGAAAGGCATCAAACCACCAGCAGGCGCATCGCAGAGCTCGGAGAATACGCGATACTACGGAATACAACGGGGCCGGGTAACTGGAGTATATACGGATTGGACAAAGGCACAGGAACAGATCCGTGGGTTCCCGCGACCTCGATATCGCAAGTTCGGCACCCGCGAAGAGGCAGAAGCGTTCGTCCGAGAGGGACAGGCTCAACCTCCAGCTGGGTTCGGCACGCCATCTGAACCTCCCGGGACCACGATTGAAAGACCAAAGGATGAAGACGGAGTTGAATATGAGCCAGGCGACGGCCCATTGCCGGCTGGAGCTGAGGATGGGTTTGATCCGAATGTCATTCTCGACCCAGCCACTGGTAAGGTGGTGTACAAGACCGTCTCGCAGATGACGGCGACGAAAACACAATCAACCGGTATCCCGGGGATGCTGAGGATATACACCGATGGGAGTTCATTACAGAATGGCACCCCATGGGCGTCGGCCGGGGTCGGGGTATACTTTGGACCTGGCGATTCAAGGTTCGTACATTGCCTTATGCTACTGTGTATTATGGACTATTCTAACCTCGATCTATCCTAGCAGAAATGTCTCGGAGCCACTGATGGGTAATCGTCAGACCAACCAGCGCGCCGAGTTGACAGCCATCCTCCGAGCGATTGATATTGCCCCTCGACACCGAGATGTGACCATAGTCTCCGACAGCAAATATGCAATTAACTGCGTTACTGACTGGTTTGTCAACTGGCGTCGCAACAATTGGATGACGCGCGACAACAAGCCAGTTGAGAATCGAGATCTGATTGAGTCGATCTTGGTCAAGATCGAGGAACGCATCGATCTCAAGGTCAAGACCAAGTTTGAGTGGGTTAAAGGCCACAATAAAGATGCAGGCAACGAACAGGCCGACAAATTAGCAGTCGCTGGAGCCCAAGCTGGTGTGGCTGCCAGGTTCGAGTTACAGAGTATTTTGGACGATATGGACAATGAACGGGAGGAACGGGAGAGGGAACTGGAAGAGGAGGAGGAAGAGGAAGAGGAAATCTAGTCATGTTCTGTACAGGAGGGAGGATCAAATACTTCAATACAGCTATGATATGAAAAACTATCGATTGTAGATATGAGAATAGAACAGAAAGCGGTGTGGAGTTAGTGTGGAGTGAGAATAAGCTTGTTTTCTTTCATACGATGATTGCCTGTACAGTCTCCAAGCCAAGATCCAAGCCAAGATCCAAGCCAAGATCCAACTTCAAGTAGATACTGATCGACTTGATCTGATATCTAACTCTACGGACTGACAGACTGTGAACATTCCAAGCGAGGTGACGAGTAAAAATGCCCACACTCGATCTGAGCAACTTCAACATTGTCTGCGCGACCTTGGGAGGATTCATCTCTCTATTCGGACTTGTATCCTACCTGTGTAAGGAGCGATTCTACTTGTCCGAAGCATGTAAGTATCATCTGACCCTACAGACTACATGTATACTACATGTATATGTATAAAAGGAAGTCAAATGTTAACAGCACAGTAATCTCCCTATTGGCCGGAGTCCTATTCTCCCCGCACGCCGCCAATTTCATCAGACCAGAAGACTATGCACTTCACTCCGACCAGAACCTGGAGACAATAACCCTGCATTTCACGCGGCTCGTACTAGGCGTGCAACTAGTGCTAGCAGGAGTGCAACTCCCCAAACGCTACCTGCAAATCGAATGGCGAAGCCTAGCCCTCCTCCTCGGCCCAGGCATGGTGGCCATGTGGATGTGCAGCAGTCTAGTAATCTGGGCTCTGGTGCCGCACCTGCAATTCCTGCATGCATTGATCATCGGCGCATGCGTGACTCCCACCGACCCGGTTCTGTCCAATTCGATTGTCAAGGGCAAGTTTGCTGATAAGCATGTGCCGCGCGAATTGCAGAGGATTATCATTGCGGAATCGGGTGCTAACGATGGTCTTGGATATCCGTTTCTCTTCTTTGGTGTTTATATCCTGCAGTATACGGGTATGGCAAGAGAGGAATTTACTGGTGGGGCGGGGAAGGCTATGGCCCTGTGGTTTTATGAGACTTGGGCGTATACGATTCTGCTGAGTGTTGTGTATGGGACTGTTATTGGGTGGATTGCGAGGAAGTTGTTGCATTGGGCTGAGGAGAAGAGATATGTTGATCGGGAGAGTTTTTTGGTTTTTGCTATTGCTCTTGCTGTGAGTTCATTCCAAACTTCCTCGAATAGAAGAAAAGTGCTAATATCTACAGCTCTTCATCGTGGGTACATGTGGCATGATCGGTACAGACGATCTACTTGCATGTTTCATTGCCGGGAATGTATTCACACAGGAGTAAGCCAACTCCAATATCAGACTGAATCAATTGCTAACAGAAAAAGTGACTGGTTCCGCCTCGAAACAATCGACGATTCCCTCCAACCAACAATCGACATGCTCCTCAATCTATCAGTCTTCATGTGGTTCGGCGCAGTCTGCCCATGGTCATCCTTCTTACACAACGACATAATCCCCATCCACCGACTCATCTTCCTAGGTATCCTGATCCTCATCCTTCGCCGTCTACCCATCGTTCTCGCCATGCACAAATGGATTCATCAAATCGAGCTCCTCTCCCAGGCTGCATTCGTTGGCTTCTTCGGTCCTATCGGTGTTGGCGCTATCTTTTACTTATCCATCACTCTTGAGACTCTGCGCAAGATTAAAGTCAATGATCAAGTCCCGGAGGATGTGGAAAAAGTTATAGATACTGTCCAGATCGTTGTTTGGTTCTTGGTTATTTGCAGTATTGTAAGTCCACCCAACTCCCTCTCTACCTTCTACCTTATCCCTTCTACCTTCTACCTTGTCCCACCCCCATCCTCTATCCCCTATAACTAACCGAAGAAAAAAAAGGTGGTCCACGGCCTCTCCGTCCCACTGGGAAAAGCAGGCTACAACCTGCCCGCAACAATTTCCAGCGTGATCAGCACCAGCGCCGAAGAACAGAAATCCATCCCAATTGGAAACATCAACCACACGCACAGCACCGCCACCCCACTGACCACAGGCGAAGATGCAAGTTATCGAGGTCGCAAGCGTGGATACCGAACTGGTGCTGCTGCTTGTCCGCCGCAGTCGGAGTCGTTGCAGCTTGGTGTTGGGCAAATCGGTGAACCGGATAGACCGGTTCATTTGACGTTGACGCCGGTTGTTAGTGCTGAGGATAAGTCTTAGTCTTGACATCTTGGGTATGAAGTTATGAACTGAAGTACTGCTTGCATCTTATTCTTGGATTAGCAGGACGGAGATCTCTTTGCATATTATCATATTCATGTCATGTTTGAGATACCATTGCGGGCATATTGTCCTTACATCTGTGTTAGATACTATTACGATTGCATTACATACAAATCATATGAGTCTTATTTCAAAACGCCATGTCATGATCATGAAGATAGTTGTAAAAAACTATCTCTGTACGAGCAATAGAGATGCAAAAGTACACAGAAAGAATATCTGAATTGGTACCAATATTGTAAGATCCGTGTTTCACGGAAGACATAGCCTCGTTAAGGTCTTCAAATCTCATCCCACTCAACCATAGCTAGATACCAAACCTCGCACTGATCCAATGGTCAGGACTGTTGCTTGTCGTTCCTTCGATATCGTTACACGTCATACTGAAAAGCAAAAAATGATAACGCCATTGATGGGCCCGCAAATGATGAGCATATTTGATGGCCAAATGCGAAAGAACAAAAAGAACAGGTCATGGTATCTACGCCAGGCCTGCATGCAGTTCGCGCGCACGGCGAGCAAGGGGCGCGATAAGACGCAAGATCTGGTCGTGCGGGTTGCGCTCGACCACTGACATGTACAGCGTATTGAGGCGCTGGCCAATGATGTCAAGAATGCGAGGTGCGACTTCGCGGAGATCGGGATCCTGTAAGACAGTGTCAGCACACGTTATGGATAAATTATAGGAGAGAGAGATGTAGATACATACCCTAGGATCGACGTTCTGGAGAACCACATCAAGCCAGTGAAGACGCTGAGCAACATTGGCGTGCAGGGCAGAGGTGACAGCGACGGCCACAGAGAGCATCACGATCGCAGAAAGTCTCGACAGGTAGGCGGGAGAGACCTGGACGAAGAATTTGTCGAACAAATCAGCTTGCTGGTGGGATTGGAGCCACTGGAAAAGATAATGTCAGTAATGAGGTTAAACGAATACAATTGAACCAGACCAACCTTGATAGTACCCTCCTCAAAGTGACCAGCGTTCATCAGCTGGGCAACCTCGGCCAATTCAGTCTCTTCCGGGGATCGGGCAGGAATAGGAGCCGCAATCGGGGCCGGGCTATGAGCCGGGAGAGGCTGGGACTGGAGCACAGCATGAGACACTGGCTGCGGCATGCGCAACTGGTTCTCAGATCCGACAGACGGGTGCCGCTTGACAGCTGGAGCCTCGCGTTGGACCTCACGCGGGCTTTGAGTCTGAGCCTGAGCCTGTTGGCCCTGGTTAGCCACCAGCAAGGCCACAGACTTGGACAAGCCATGCAAAACAGCCGACATCTCCTCAATCTTCGCGCTATCCTTCAAACGCTGGGCCTCATACTGCTCGATCTGCGCCTTGATGTGGCGCTCCATATCCGACTCCACCTTCTTGGTGCGCTGCGCCAAGCTTTCGATCATGGGAGCCACCGAAGGGTCCATGACTCGGCGAACTTCCGTCTCGATGCGAGGAACAAGCTTCGCTACTACCGAATCAAAAACGGCCTTCATCACAGCGGGCTGCTGCATAGCATTGATGATCGCCTGGGGAAGAAGCTTTCGCAGCTCCTCGTTGAACGCGCCTCCAAGTTGCTGGGAGAGAGCACCGTCCAGTTGCTCCTTGACTGCCGCAGAGGTGGCATTGGTGATGACCGGAATAACATCGGTCTGTATGCTGCCCGAGACAATGCGGGCCAGGTTCTTCTCGACGTTGTCGGAGAGTGTGCTGGAGACCAAGCGCAACACTTGGTCTTGCTTTGCGGACGAAGCAGCATCCCAGCTGCGACGTTCTTCCTCGAAACGACGGTGCAGGTTCTCAAACTCTTGCCCAAGGCTCTTATTGAACTGATTCGACACATTGCCCTGCAGGAACTGAATGTGCTCGCTCAAGGATTCTTCCGAAACACGGAAACCAGACATCTTGGATGGAGATGCAGCTGCGTGGCCCGCAGTGGAAGATGGAGTCTCGAATTCCTTGCTAGCAGTGGGAAGAGATTCAACGCCGGCAGTGACGGAGGGCTCCTTTGCCTTCGCTTCAGCGGCAGCCTTCTTCTTCTTCTTTCTCTCGGACTTTTCAGCCATGACAGGCGCCGCCGCTGGCTCATTCGGCTCCTCCTTCTTCTTGGTGGCCAATTTGGTAGGCGAGGCGTTACGCGAGGCAGCAACGCCAGAAGCAGAGTCTCCAATATCCGTCTTCTTCGCCGAGTCCTTGGCACGGGGGGTGGAGGTGGAGACGGAGTCGCCGTTGACAGATGGCTCGTCAGTGGCGTATGTTGGGAAAGTTTGAAGATCGCTGATCTCAATCAAACCATGCTCCGTCGCATCGATAGGGCGGATGACTTTGTTGTCCGAGGTCCAGCCCAGATCCTCCTTCTTGATGTTCAAGCAAGTCACACCGCGAGAGTGCATAACGTACAGCTCGAATAGGGACGAGTCCTCCGTGCTCTTGTCAGTAGCCGACTTGCTGATAGGGAGAAGCTCCAAACTTCTCAACTGACCCTTCGAACCGAGAGAGATCTCCCGAATTCCACTCAAGCAAGCGGTAGACTCAGGCTTGGGCAGGGTGTTGTCCTTATCGTTGAGGTCTCGAATGTAGGCTGCCTGCGACATTGGAGGCAAGTTATACCGGGGAGCCGACAAATGCGCAAAGTAGATCGAGTTACGCGTGGGGTGGCCAACAACGATGACTCCAGATGATGGGTGATAAGCCACGCTACAGATGGCATCGGACTCGTTCCCGTGGGGGAACTTCAGCTCCTGCACGGCCTTGCCCAGCCCAATATCCCAGAGCTGCAAGGTGTGGTTCTGCTTGAGTCCAACCAAAACATAACGGAGCGCCATCGATCGCGTATAAGCGCGAAGCTTGTCCAGGAAAAGAACTGAAGTGGGCCAAGACTTTTCAGTCGGAGAGCCAGTGACAAAGGTAGCCAAAGGAACCCGGATCTCAGCAGGGGCAGGGCCTTCCACCAAACTGGCGTCGTCGAGCATATCCTTGATATCCCAAAAGCGCAATCGGCCGGTCTTGTCCAACGACGCGATCACGGAATCATCATCACTGAAAGCGAAGTCTTTGCCGGCCTTACCGGTAGAGATCTTCAATGCACGCTCCTTGAAGAACTTCTCAGTGTTAACGGTGCGCTGAGTACCGGAGACACCATAGGCAGGATTCATTGCTGCCTTTGGCGAAACAACGTATATGTTCTTTCCTCGACCGATGGCAAACAAGTTGGTGTGACGAGTGCTCCGCTTAGCCCGCGTTTTCAGCTGGCCGCCAGAGGTGTTCTCGTCCGAGGCAGGGAAGGGCGGGAAGATCAAGCTTTCGCTTTCCAATGCATCCATATCAAAGAAGTCCTTTCCAGAACGCGAGATCAAGGCCCAGTACACAGAGCCGCTGACTCCAATGCCAAGGATGGCTTGAACTCCAGAGTCACCAGAGGTAGAAGGAGCCGTACACAAGGCAACGTTGAATACCCGATCACGGGTAGCACGGAACACCTGTCGATCAGTACCGTCATCTTGTCGAATGATCCTGATTCCGCCGGTTTTGGCGAGCGCATACACAATGTAATCAGAGGTTGCTGCGGTCAATGAACGGTCAAGCTGATCAAAGTCCTTCTTCAGACGAGCGATGTCCATGACATCGTCGTCACGGAAAGTCACAAGTTTTCCACTTGCAGGTTTCACAGCAATGGAGATGAAGGGCCTCATCGGGAAGTTATAAACAGAGACAACTCGTTCTTCCTCCTTTTCAGCGCTATCCTCCGCGCTCTCCCAGCTGTCAGCGAGAGCCTCGGCTGGCTCAGCCACCTTTTGAGCAGCCGGAGTCTGTGAAGTCTTCGTCGCATCCCTGAAGGTGCTGAACTTCCTCAAAATATCCTCTTTCTTAGCTTCAGCAGCAGTCTCGCGCAGATCACCAGCGACCGATGAGACGACTGCTTCGGAGGGTTCCTCCTGAGCAGCGGAGACGGCGGTCTTTGCTTCAGCTGCCATCTGTGGCTTATCGCCACTGAGGGAGCGGCCAATCTCGTCTACGAGACGGCCGACGACTTCGTTTACAGCTTCTTGCTGTCCGTCGCTCAGAATCGGCGATTGCACTTTCTGCTTAGGAGCCGCAGGCTCAGGTGTCTGCGAAGGTTCCAATTTAGCGGAGACGTTGATCTTCTGTTTTTCCACGACTTCGACGGCTGGGCTCTGGACGTTAGTGGTAGTCTGGGGAGACTTGTTGCGAGGCGAGATAGCGGCCAATTGATCGAACGGATTGACGTAAGTGAACATCGAGTCCTTCGAGGGCGACACGACCGTTTCCGGATGCGCAGGCGCCTTGGAACTTTCATCCACAATCTCCGTCAAGACGTTCTTGGTAGTCTGCCTCTGAGGCTCATCAACCGTATGCTGTATGTGTGATGCCTGCTGGGGCAAAGTCGGCGACGGGGACTTGGCGGCAGCAGCAGCTGGCTGAGGACGGTTGAGCAGACGAAGCAGCATGGCCTGGGTGTTCTCATTGGGTCCGTCAGGGTGACCGGATTGGAATCCCTGGGGAGGGCCAGCCGGCGGAGCTGCGTGGGCGACCGCAGGGGCAGCAGGGGTCTGTTGGCCAAACAAAGTAGCAACCAAGTCAGATGCCGAAATGTTTCTTCCATGCGAGGCGGCTCCCTGAGCTGGTGGAGCCTGCAGGTGCTCGGGACCTGCAGCAGGAGCCTGCGGCTGAGGACTAGCACTGGACCGCTGGGTGGACCTGAGGAGACTCAAAAGATCGACCGAGCCTGCGTTGGGATGCTGCGGCTGCGGCGGCTGGTGTTGCTGCGGCTGGTGTTGCGGCGGCTGAGGCTGGTGCGGCTGGTGCTGCGGCTGGTGCTGAGGCCACTCGCCCCGAGGAGTAGACACATTAGGGCTAAGGATGTCAGAGCCCTGACGAGGAGGCATATTCATGGGAGCAGGGCTTTGGATATTCGAGGATACCGATGGGTGTTGGTACCCATGTGATTGAGCATGTGGGTAGCTCTGGCCCTCATACGGTTGCTGCTGGTGAGCGTGAGATGGAAACAGACCGGGCTGGTAATACGATTGGTGTTGGGCAGTCGGATTTTCCTGCCCAGGAGTGTTCGAGGGCGATGGCCGAGGCCGGATACTGGCCAAGAGAGCCTGGAGATCGGTGGGGGTAGACATCTCTGCCGTCTCGCCGTGGTTACAGGCGACCTCCCTCCGACAGGTTCCAAGCTTTGAAGAGCTCTCGAAGCTCTCTTTCGAGAGGGTCGGAGAACAAGGAGGGAATACAAAAGCTAGCGCACAAGACAACGGAAAAAGTCGGAGATAAATGCGAGAAAAGAGCGATAAAATCGAAAGATGTGATGGAAGTAGGAAGGGTGAAGGAGAAGAATGAACTCCGGGACTTCAATATTCCTTAAGCCGTGGGTGTGGCGGCTGCCGAGAAGTGGCTGTGCGGCTGGTGTTTCGCCCAATTTCGCGTCATTACTGGGGCAAGACGGGCGAGACGGACTGCCGTTGACCGTTTTTTCTACACAAAACCGTTACTTGACCGTCGCATTTGTCGTTTACGGGATAGATACGATTACGCTGTTACTTATTCGTTACTCGACCTTTTCTTCTAAGGGAGACAGTGGACTGCGACTTAGCCGTTACTTTCGGAGACGGGACTGCAAGTTCGCCGTCACTTGGACGTTTTCTACGTCCTACAGCTCGCCTCCAAACGCACTGAAAAGTGCGCTGTCCTGCCGACATAGCGACTTATACCCAGTTGTGAGCTTTGTCAGACGGCAGGCGCCCGCAACCACCCACTATGTTCTGCCTACGAAGGTAAGGGAAGACCAAAGAACAACCAATGTCGTTGATTGCGTATACTAATTAGACTGAATCATGCAGCTGGCTACCTCTCCTCTTCATCCCAACCAACGCATCCCCGCTCTTCATCATATCATTTGTCGCATTGACATACATCATCCACCGACCATGCATCTACTGCTCCGCATTACTTTTGATCCTTTTCGTATCCTCATGCCACTGGTCTGACCGCTGCATCTTTGACCCGCGGAGTAACTGGTTTGCGCCGCGGTACAGCTCAGAATCTGGCAATCAGGCTATCTCAAACGCAACCTCTGAAGCGACGGTATCTGGCGAGGGTTTGACGGAATTTGTCTTCGATACTGTGAACTCTACTGCCAAAGCATTGGCTGGTGCTGCGATGGAGAGTGTGCAGCAGAGACTTGCTCCGTCCGGGGTGGAGGCAAGGTCTGATGAGTGGACGGGTGTCGGGTTAGAATGGATGCGTAGCCTTTTAGGCAAACGCGAGTGGACTCTTCCCTGTGTGGACGTCAAGGTTCGATTGTAGGAAGTGTTGCCCTTAAAAAGTTCGATCAGGCATGGGTTTTCAGGGTTGGTTTGCCCAATTCAGCTTGTTTATATCTACGATTTCTTTATTTTGGGTCTTGCGCAGCTCCGATACCATCCGCAAGCGTTATGATCAGTCCTTGTGTACATACTTCACTCTATAGTAATCAGTCATTCATCAAACGATTTTTTTAGAGGTGACTCTTCTCCTCTTCTACCTCGACAGATGATGGTCATATACGTAGTGATAGGCTCCTAGGATGTTCATGAGCCTGGGAAAGATGAGATAGTTCGAGTCGAATTATTTGACATGGATTAACTAAGTACATGGCGAGGAGGTATCTGACAATAAGCTAGAAACAACGTGCGGACGGAAAAGAGGCTGATCGAGGGACCAGCAATGAGAACTCCCGCAGTATGTAGAATAGAGATCAAAGCAATGACATCCATCTTGGCTGGAAAATGAGTCACAAGCAAGACGTAACCAGTGCGTAGACAGAAGATGGCAGGTGAATTCCGAAGGATTCAAAAGAAATGGGGTATCACAAGTTCGACGGTCCCAGTTCAAGACAAGCCCAAGATACTGTGTATAGACTCGTAAAAGGCATAAAGAAAGTTATGTATCGTTAAAAAGGGATATTAGGGATGCTTAAATTCACGCAAACAGACAGAATCATAGTTACCCAAGTGTCATAAATACCAATCAATTGTAGCCTGTACCCACGGGCAAAGGCCAGTCGTCTTCGGTGATGCTGCTCCAGAAGGCCCAAACCCCAGAGACGGCAAGGAGGGTGAAGAGAGTCTGGAAGAGAGCTCCATCGATGCTGCCGTCGGTGGCCTGGCACAAGTGGGTGCTGATCACATAGTTGAAGACTTGACCAATGGCAAATAACACGCCAGCTGCGGTGAGGTACACTGTTGCCTCGTTAGCAGATTCTCACTTGAGTAACCCGTGTCAAACTTACACATTGGCCGGAACTCGCCGAGGATTCGGAGCACGAGAACAGCTTCAAGAACGTAGAACAACACAATGCAGATGAGCGGGAAGAGCTGGTACAGCACGTAAAGACCGATGTTGCGATTCGGAGCATCATGACTTGACTGGAAGTGACCAGTCCAATCAAATCCTGTGTCCAAAGCGATATAGCCCGTACCAACAAAGAGGGCCATGGCAGATCCACAGATAAGGCCGATGGAAGCGGGAGTGCCGTCGTCAAGTAATTGAAAACCGACGAGTGCGTTCAGAAGGAGAACCCAGGAAGTAGCACTGATCGCGGCGAGATGTACCGCAGTGAATCCCTGTAGTTCTGTCAGCTCTAGTCTTTAATCCATGCCAGAGGAGATCCTACCTTTCGAACATCATCATTCAGCGGGAAGCCTCCTACAGTGAAGATCTCACAGATCTCAATTATAATGAAGCCGAGAAGAAACAACTGCATCTCCCTGTCATGTAGTGTCAGTTGATGCAAATTTCCAGATCGGATAAGATCTCCATACCTCCGGCCGACAGCCGCGTGCTTCTTCTCCGATCTCCATATCAAACCCACACTGACCACAATGGCGATGAAGGCCAACAGAATGGAACCTATCACAGATCAGCCGCCTGCCCTTATATCCCTCGTCTTCGTGTCGATCTCGGCCTGGCAGATCATACCTAAATTCCGAAGGTGTCTGTCCCCGCTCAACGAGATACCGGTCAGATCGCATGCGCCGAAGGCGGCAGCCGCAGTTTCATTGGTAAAAAGCTGTATGCGACAAAGAGCACGGTCAGTTGACATTCTGTAGAAGCACCACAAGAAGGGTTGTTTGAAATGTGATTCCACTTACATTGCAGACGGGGAGTGTTGAGTCGCGACAGAAGTCCTGTCAACCCATACGGGTGTGCGGTCAGTATCTGAGGATTTTTCAAGTTGGCAGGTTTGCACCTACGTGAAAATTTCCAAATTGCGTTGACCCCATGGTGAACCGAGGCGCGAATCAAACGAGAGAGAAGCAGCGTGACGCAGCGCTGACTTGCAGAGAATGGAGGCCTAAGACTCGAAAGTTGGAAGTCGCCTGGCCCGCACGGAGGAGGGTCCAGATCACTCGGCAGATCTCAGGAAAGCAAAAACTGGGACGTTGGGGGTTTCCGTAACGAGTGAAGTGAAGCTGTGAAGCGAGAGCGAACTGGAGGGAGACTGGGAGTTCCAAGATGAGATCCCGGTTAGTTACTCGGGGGGAGGCGCTAGTGTGGCTTAGTCGAACCAGCCCTGGAGATCTGTGGAATTCCTGATTCTGACTTAAATGAGAAGTCTTAGATCTTCTTTTTCTTCTTTTACAGTCAAGAAAAAATGAAAATGAGGGATCAAGTGATGACGATGTAGTCCTTGGATACAGTCTCTTAGAATAAATGGTCTTCATCTCTACTGTGTACACAATTCTCTGATCTCTTGATATGGCATTGCTAGATGGAGCACAGTCCTCTTCCATCTTCTCTGCGGATACTTGCAGATATCCCTAGACTCAGAGCTAACATTGAACTTTCTTTTCCTCTTCTATTGCAGGTGAAGTGCTGCCTCAACCCTTGCTGTACGCAGTAAACAACATGGTCGCCAGGTCGACCAGACTGGGGGTTCTAGTCAACAATGTCTATTGTATTGAACTTGGCATCCCATGTTTCTTACCACAGTATTTTGCTGGTGTACAATTCCCTTTCTTATGGTCATTTCTTTGGAGAATTTCGATCTGGTTATTTTTAGTATTCATAGCCTCTTCCCAATCTCGGGCCATCGCCCCATCGGCCCCGGGCCCGTAGGGCCCTCGGCTATCCTGTTTCACGCGGCTGAGAGTACTCAAATAATGCAACTGTGTTTAACACACATCCTCAATCACCTGTTTTTCCCCGTTATGCTCGCCCAAATCGATCTTCAGTGTGCGCCCAAACAGTTCAAGCAGCATCTCGAAGCAAACCTTGGTGATAGCTGGATCGTACCGTCCCTTGCTAAGTTCATCACGGATAAAGGCATCTATGGAAAGTCTACTGTCAGCATCTCGGCACCTGATGGAATAGACTTCTGTGTGCAACTCACGCTGGGCCCATGCGACTTCGTAGAAGCTGAACAAGACACCCTTCTCATGCAGGGTCTTGCGGATCAGATCGCGCCCCTCAGGCGGAACGTGGTTATCGTTCTTGCCGAAGATCTGTATGTGGTTTTAGCAACGGTACAAACCAAAGTAGAGAGTGTTGGATGAAAAGAAACCCCGTTGAGACGTACCATCAGCATCTCACCCTTGATATCTCCAGCTCTCGCCAAGCTATCATCATTCTTGCCCTTGGCGAGGGTCTTGCTGTGGATATCCGTAGCAAAGTAACACACACTCGCCTTGACCCGGCTATCCAGCGCACAACGATAGGCCAGATGTCCACCCAGACACATGCCCGTGGCACCAACTCGGCCATTGCATGTGTCCAGCGACAGGAGATAATCAACGCTGAGCTTAGCGTCTTCATCATAAGCTGCCAATTTCTGATGAATAGTCAGTATCGAAGACGAAACAACAAACGAACCGTAAACGACCAAGGATGTTCAAACAAGTAAGCATTCAGAACATCTGATTGACTCACCTTGCCAATCTTCCATGCATTGCCCTTGTCCGTATCCTCTGCGTCATACTTCAGAGGTTCCGGACCAGTGAATTCATGGTAGCTCGAGGGAGCAACACAGATGTATCCCTGGCCTGCAATCTGGCGAGCAAACCGTGCCACAGGACCCGTTACTGTGGATCAATCTGATGAGTCGGGGTGCTTGAACATGAATGCGATGGAAGTGGACACAAACCTTGGTAGATCTCACTGAAGACTACGACACCGGGGAACCGAGCTTTAGGGTAGCCAGGGATTGTCGGGTGGAAGACATAGAGACCTAATTTCATGTTAGACATACATTCGCAAAGGTATCGATGAGCTGATAGATGGAGGCAGAGCTAGTTGAAAGGTAGGAAGCATCTACTTACGCATTGTCCCCTCACCATCCGCTTTGGTGGGGACATCGACGTATGATTCCTCGATCAGCATGATGGGTTTTTTCTGTTTTCAATGAAGAAATATAATGCCGGAGTAGAATGGAGAATCCAATTGAAGCTGGAGGGACAAGCTCCGATTAAGGCCCACTATCGATAACACGCGGGGCAGTCATGTGCTGATACCGGCCAACGTCTCCGCGGTCTTCTATACTTCTGTCGTCATGAAACAGATGTAACCAGTCCAGGAACATAATTGATTGACCTGGCATTTCGAATCAAGTACATCATACGCAGAAAAGAGACAATGAACGAAATATCAATTGAACAGAGGCCGTCATATGGCCGAAACGTCTGGCTTCATGGATTATAGGGGTACTTATTAATCTATTTCACATTTTATACAAAGAACATTACCAAATGGGTTGGTTGAAAGATGGCCTGATCAGACCCGAAGAAAGAATCCCCTGGGCTTTCAACTACCGAGCCCCAAATGAGCCCAAGGGGATGCAGCATGCTGCGGTTAGAAAACGTACTAAGACATATGGTCAGTTATATGCACCAAGAAAGACTGCAAAGCCAGAGTACTCACAGGAATGAACAGGTAAGGCACCTGGCGTTCATACTCGAGCCAAGTCTCGCCGTACTTCTGGCGACACCGCTGAATATCACGGAGAGCACGGTGGCTAATCATGCAAGCGAAGAAGAGAGGGTAGAACCAAGGGAACGGGCTGGAGAAACCGGTGATCAAGCCCCAGTTTAGCGCGAAATAGAGATCACAGGTATAGTGGATCTTGCGGGCTTTGCCATCTGCATGTTTGTTAGAATCGGAACTTGTAGAGTATGTCGTGGTTAAACTTACACCACCCATCAATAAGAATCTTTGAGCCATCGGCCGCGGTAAGAGTCTTGGGGTTCTTCACTGTCTGCCAAGGAAGCTGGGGGAAAGTGTTACGGGCAACCATGGTACCGCGTTCTTGCTGACGGAAACGGTTCTTCTGGCTGTTGGTGGTATCCCACACCCAATAGACGAACAAGTAGGCAATGTAGAGGAAGACAAGGAAGTAGCGATTCCACCGGTACTCGGCAGGGTCGTGGTTGGCGAGGTAAATTGTGCAGTGGCAGTAGCTCAGAGGCACACCGGCCAAGTTCCAGAAGATCAGCATGAAGCCCCATTTCTCGTAGTACATATCCCTAAGAAAATATTAGCAGATAACCTTCAACTAAGACCGATGGGATCCTACCAAGTGGACACAATGCACTCCTCTCCCTTCGAGCAAGCATTGGCGTAAAGGAAATGGGCCATGACAAGGAACATGACCTCGCCAGACACATATCCGTACTGCTCCCACTGACGGGCAGCAGCACCCATGGACAGACCCAACAGAATGTACCAGGGCAGGCGAACCTCGAAGAACATCTTGAAGTCGAGAATCTTGAACATGCGGGGGTTGAGCTCGGCACCCATGAAGAAGTCATAGATCGGGTATCCGGTCATACGGTGCTCCGCGCCACGTGCCAAAGCCGAGAAGTAGGCAATGAAGGAGACAATGTATCCAGAAATGATGGCAACGCTGAGCAGAGGACCGAACTCATCAATGATGGTGTACAGCTTGAAGAGACCAGTAAAGTGCGCAATGAGTGCCAATCCAATGCTGGTGTAGAAAGACCACACAGCAGAGCAGTAGTATGGGAGCTGCTTGCCACCCGAGTGCGGCAGAGGACGTCCTGTGACAGTAACGCCGGGAAGAAGAACGTAACAAGCACCCTCAAAGATGAAGAAAACCCAGTAAATAGTCCAAGCCTTGGCCGAGGGGAAAGCACCGGTGTAAACCAGATTGGCCAAGTGCGCGAAAAAGTCGCCGTAGCTCTCGTTCTCTGCGGGACGAGGGAACTTGCCGTCGTAGTAGGTGGCACCAATCCACATGTAGTACATGAGCAGAGGGAATCCGATCATCATGGAAAGTACACCCCATGAACCACCGAATTCGAAGTGTCCGCTGTAATCCACCTTGGGGTCCAGGCCTTCCTCCCAACCATCCACCAAGCGCGACTGGGACTTAGACCCAGGGGTTGTAGTCTTGCCATTGGTGGCGATCTTCACCTCAGTATCTTCCTCCTCGGTCTTTACTTTGCCTGAAGCACGACGACGGGTGGGCTTGGATTGGTCAAGGGGCAGGGAGTAGGAGGCATCGTTCTCGCCCTCAAAGAGAGGGCTCTTGCGGGTGCGACGGCCGGGAGTTTCAATGAACCCGGGACGGTCCAATTTTCTAGAAAACAGGGTTTTAGATTAGCTTTGCAAAGACCAACTAACCAAAAGGTTGGGAATTGACATGATATACAGGAAACTCAAGGTGTACGCGGTAAATCCGTCGCACAAAAATCTGGGGGGAACTCACTTAGGGGTCTTCCCCGTTTGAGAGCGGGTCAAAGTCATAGTTGCTTGATCGGAAGACCAAATGTCCGATCGCAATTGAGTGTAAAGAAAGAAGAAGGAAAAGGTAAAAAAGGAGCGAGAGTGGAAAATCAGGAATGTCCTGAATGTTTACTTGCGACTATTGGATTACATAATGCTTTTAATTTCGAAATGCCCGGAGAAATTTGGCGTGGCTGTCTCTCCTCGGGGGGTACCGTTGGTCAATTGCCGTTCCGACCAGAGCCAAGATATGCATGCAATTTACCCCTATTCTTAGTATTCTAAGTGCAAATCGACCATGGCATTATCTAGTTATTCTAGTTAGAACATGTTGTAGCAGCGCGGACTAGTCACCCTAACTCACCGCAGGCATCTTGCAACTATCGATCACGTGCCGATATCCGGGGCAATGCCGCAATGGCAAAGTCTTGGAAAGCTTTCAACGACTCTTCCCTATGATGGTACCGAATACGACGAGATAATATCCTCCAGAGCCCTAGATGCATGTCTTTGTGATGTGTGTTTATTCCATTCGCATATGAAACGAGAGTCAAATAGCAGAAGAAATGCGGACACAACCGAGTACCACAGACCCTAAGACGAACCTGATAAATCGGCTAAAATATATTTGATAATGTAGTAGGTATGAAGTAACTAGACAGGAATCAAGACACAGAACTCCAAATACATGCTCACTTGCGCCACCCTCGGGCACATTATGATAAAGAGCGGGGCCCTCCTGGGCCATGGCCTATGCCCCTCTTTGGCTGCTAGTGGCCATCAATGTAATTTTCGTTTTGTTCTTCTTCTTTTTCTTGCCTCCACTGGATGAGGAAACGTTGTTTTGGTCTGCTGATGCCGTCTGAGCAAGTAGATCGGACTCCTGATGGGCAAACAACTCATCTTCCCAGCCCTGCCGCCACCCATCGTGCGCAAAAGCGTTCTGGACTTCAAAACTTGGGGACAGCGCACCCACTGCCGTCGTACCCCAGACAGTACGTACGCCTGGTGGACTGGTAGACGGAGAAGCCAAAGCCCCGAACCCTGAAGATGAGCGTGGGGGAGAGGCTGAGGAAGTGCCCGCGTCAAATGACGTTGAATCGACATGATTAGGGAGCGGTTGGAAATCACGAGGAGAAAATGGAGCTTCGCCGGCACTGGCATCTCCAATGCTTGGCCGCTTGCGTCGAGCTGCAGCCCATCGTTTGTCATCCTCTTCTTTCTCTGCGCGGATCCGATCCTTCTCTTCCCGGGCTTCCTTTTCTCGGTTACGTTTTCGCCGTTTATCGATTTCTGTGCGGAATTGCGCTAACACCTCGGGGACAACCACATCTCTCCAGTCGCACTCCAGGAAGTTGACCTCGCATCCCTGCGGAAGATGCCCAAGGTATTTCACCCGCTTGCGGAGCTCATCATCCACGGTATGGCCCGTTGATATGTGCTCCACTCGCGGAAGGATGGTCGCGGGAAACAGGGCATATTCTCCAAATGCAGCCTTCAAGATGCGAATATCCAAGGACGAGAGATAGAATTGAGGCAGGGCCTGATAGAAATGGTATGGGTGGTCTGATCCAGTAGAAGCTGGGGTTTGCTTGCTGCGGCCTTTTTCTTTAAGTTTAGCGCTGGAATCAGATTGAAGTTGTACTCCTTCCATATCTTTAGATATACCGTTTATGTCGTCCGTCGTAGCCGCCGGATCCGCCGTAACGGTGGATGGTGCAGCGGAGCTACTGGCGGGTGTGATTGCGGCCATGCGTCCTTTGACCGGGCGAACCTCAGGCGGGTTGCCAATGCCTTTCAACTTTTCTTTGGCATCCATGATGGAACCGATGGCTTTCCGGGTCCACGTATTCTCATCGCCAAACAGAAGCTCGTCTTCGACCTCCTGTCTGCGAAGGTCTTCGATTTCGGCATCATGCTGAGCGATCATGTAGTCTTCGCCGCCTTTCATTATTCGAGCATAATCGGCAACCTCGGCCACATGATACCATGGGACATCCTCGCCCGGAGCAAGAGTTTCAGATGCGTCACGAGGCAGTGCAAGTGTACTACCTGACTCACGCTTCACAAGCCTCAATACAACATCCCCACCCTCAACCGGAAGATCGCCTTCTTGACCACGGAACCACCTGACAGGTCGAGTCTCGGAGATATATACCGAGTCCCAGCAGATAGGACACTTCTTCCAACGGTGGCGTTTTTCAGGGACCATATTATCGTCGTCCGATGAGTGCATATATCGGATAAGGCACGGGAGGCAGAAAATATGACCACACCGTGCCATCCGAGGTGCAACAGGAGTGGACAAGCAAATGGGACAACTGGCAGCCTGAGTCTGAGCGGATACCAGTACTTGAAGAACCGAGGCCCAGTCGAGATGGACATCTGCATTGGCCGCCTGAGCATGAAAACTTTGATTCGGCATCACAATGAACCGGTAATTAGCGTGGACATATCGCGATTTGTCTACTGCACCCGCTCCCCAGGACGTATAGCGCCGTACATTGCGAGGTGGTGGTTGGTATTGCGGGCGTGGTGGGAGTGAAAAGTTCATCAAGTGGGTGATGGACGTCTGTCCCTTGCGGCTAGTAGTTGATTTCATGGCGGCCTAAATCACGGATTGGGGTTAGCAGGCGACTCTTGAGGAAAGTGAACCTGTTAACCCACCGATTCGTTATACTCGTCATCATCCAATAACCGGGGTTTCCTCTGGCGGTTGTGTTGATTCTTCCGAGCTTGGTTGTTCCGTGGTGTGGCCGAAGTCCTCGATGGTAAGCCTGGCCGAGAACTTCCAGAGCCTCCTACTCGCCTTTGGGAGCTGTTATCTGCCGGAGGTGTCGAGTGGAATGGAGTAGACGAAGATGTATTTGAACTGTTCACCACTTTGGAAGAGGGTGGGTTTGGTCCTCCGTTTGATGACATATCTCTGCGATATGTCTCGGTGCACCAGAGATCTTTCCGCTTGTCAATGAAGGATATAGACAAAGCGAGCCGACTGATCGAACAGGAGGCGAGGGGTTCTATGGGGCACTGGATAAACCCAGCAACTGATAAGAAGTCGATCAGCTAGCGGGCACCAGATCGAATGATCCACCAGATGCTCTAAGATGCTTCAAATTGAGCCGGAGATGTTAGAAAAGCCGAGATAAAAAAAGAAAATGCAACAGTGTCCCTTAGAGCCATGTAAAAATATGATGACGGTCGAGGGACGGCCCTCAGGGTGCCAGTTGGGAAGTAGAGAAGTCCAATTCGCCCCTCCCCGGTTACAAATCGTAATGTCACGTGAGCCAACAGTCCCGACGCAATTCGGTCCTTCAGCTTCATTTCACTTGGTGGATCGAGGCGTCTCTCGCACCTTCATCTCTTACCTCTCCTTTCTTTCATTCCATTAGCCTTCCACACAAGTTGCCAGTCTCTTTACCTAGAGAGCAACTTGTACAGCGATCTTTTTCTTTCCCGACTGCAACTGGTTCACCGGTCTCCTTCCACCAGTCCCAGCAACCCAACAGCTCTCCCGACCTAGTCTATCCTCCATTCCCTCTCTCCAGCAGATCCAACTCTCCACAACAAAATTCAACAGCTTTCACCAAGGCCACACCGAGGCCATGATGGCTGCCTAAATGCGCCAGCAGTTCCAGACTTTTCTTTCCTCTTGACTGCTATCGCGCATGGCGCTCATTTGAAGCAACGCGTGACCGAACGTGAAGATAACTTCTCCAACAGCCAAGTCGAGTCAAGATGAACCACCACCTTCCCGCCATGCCCCATGGGCAGCCACCCATGCCTCCATCCCGACGCCAGCAAGACTTCTCTTACAACCCTGGCCCCCCCCAACATGCGCACACCGCAGTACTTGGGGTACCCGCCCCATATGAATGGCCACATGCCTCAACCTTATTCACCGCAGCAATATCCTTACTGGTATCCGCCTTATGGACATATGCAGGCTCCTCCACGTCCATACCAGCCGAATTATGCGCCGATGATTGTGTCTTCTTATCCTCACTCGCAGCCTGTCATGGCACCCACACATATTCCTCAATCATTGCCCATGCATCAAAGGACCCCTACCCCTCTGCAGCCGATCATGTCGCCATCAACTATGCACCCTCCAATCCAACAGATGCAGCATGAAATGCAGGAATATCCTATGGCTCCGCCACAGCCAATTCAAGGATATCCCCTCTCATCTCCGCCCACTCAAGGATATCCCATCTCTTCCCCACCGCCTCAAGGATATCCTATCTCTTCTCCACCGCCCCAAGGATATCCCATTTCGTCTCCACCGCCCCAAGGCTATCCTATCTCGTCCCCGCCGCCGCAATGGGAGCCGACAGCCTACCTGCCACCGAAGCCTGCTTACAACCCACCAGTAAGTACTCACTCTTTTCCCAAGGTTAAGTTTGAATGTATGTTGACCGCTCATCTAGCTTCCTTGGCTCTCTGTTCCTGAGCAGCCTTTCCCAAAAAAGACCCCCCGCAGACGTCGCAAGGGCCGTGTGATGCAGTCATCAGTTGAGCTGCCTGTCAAAGACACACCGAAGGCCGTCGGAAGTGACGGAACTGAAGAGGCCCAGCCATCGTCTTTGCAAAACTCTTCGGAGCCTCAGACGCCAACAACCAACTTTCAACAGTCTGACGCAGACTCCACTCAGCCTACTACTCCTTCGTCAATCGCCAAGTCACAGGCGCAGCCGAAAAGCTCAAAGCTTGCTCCAGTTGTCCCAGTAGTGCCCAATATCCCGGTCACCCCACGCCGCCAGGCCAAGGATGACAGTGTCGCATCTGGAACGCCCAAGTCCACTGCCTCTGCTACCCCTGTTCCAGTGGTTGAATCGGATAAGGCTGCTTCTACTGAAGCCGAAGTAAGGTCGCCCGCGCCCGCCGCTCCCAAGTCTTGGGCCGACCTAGTCCGCTCCAAGGCATCGGCGAAAGCGGCGAGTGCCGCTGCTGCCGCGGCTTTGGCCGAGCCGAACGGATTGTCTACACAGAAGAACGAATCCCTTGCACATGTCCTGAGCAGCTTAGGAGAAGACGTGACACAATACAGTGACAGGATCGCATTCCTTGAACCCAGAGGCCTGGTCAACACTGGAAACATGTGCTACATGAATTCCGTGTTGCAGATTCTTGTCTCGTGCACCCCCTTCTACCAGTTCCTCGATCACCTTGGCCGACGTGCTGCACACACATTCAACAGTGACCTTCCTTTGATTGATGCAATGATCATGTTCATGAGGGAGTTCCGTGTTATTGACGCGGCCACTTCGGAAGAGCAACTTCGTCTCAGGCTAAAACCCAATGAGCTAGAGCAATATGGCGAGGCTTTCGTACCTGACTTTGTTTATGACATGGTTCGACAGCTGCCGCGATTCAGAGATATGCGACGTGGACATCAGCAGGATGCTCAAGAGTTCTTGGGATTCCTTCTCGAGGAGATGCACGAGGAGTGCGCTCGCGCTGAAAAGCACACCGCTGCAAAGGAAGACAGTAAAGACAGTGATGTCAATGGCTGGCTAGAGGTCGGCCACAAGCAAAAGGCAGCAGTCACTCAACTGTCTGGCTCTCTTGCTGCTGAGTCGCCTGTCACCCGAATCTTCGGGGGCAAGCTTCGATCGGAATTCAAGGTTCCTGGCAACAAAACTTCCGTCACGTTGGAGCCTTACCAGCCTTTGCAACTCGACATCGGCTCGCACGATGTCAACAACATTATTGACGCCCTCAAAGGATTAACGAAGCCCGAAAGCATTCAGGGCGATTTCAACTCGTCACGCGGTCCCAATGTCACTGCGACCAAACAAATTTTCATTGAGACCCTGCCCCCTGTTCTTATCCTCCATCTCAAGCGCTTCCAGTATGACAGTGCCACGGGAGCCACTCAGAAGATCTGGAAGAAGGTTGGGTATCCCTTGGACTTGGAGCTTCCGCGTGAGGTCTTCCCGGCCCATCAGCGCAACGCCATGGCGACCCAAGGAGGCCCTCCCAAATATCGTCTTATGGGTGTCATCTACCACCACGGCAAGAATGCTAGCGGCGGTCACTACACGGTCGATGTCCGGCGCCAAGAGGGCAAGGAGTGGATTCGCCTGGATGATACTGTTATTCGACGCATCCGCAGCGAGGATGTGGCTGAAGCTGGTGGCGAGGAAGATCCTAAGGTCATCGCTGCCGTTCTCGAACAGCACAAAAACAGCAAGATGCCTAACGGCAACATTTACGACCACATCGACCAAGACGATATGGACTCGACTGACAGTGACAAGGGTTGGAGCCAAGTCAACGGCGCCAACGGTCATTCGCGCAGAAAATCCATGACTCCGAAATCTGCCACTCCGTCTCCTAACCATTCTGGGACCCGAACTCCCCTTGGTCGCTACGGCTCCCGCGACAGCAAAGTCGCCTATCTATTGTTCTATCAGCGCATGGATTAAGATGTTCTGCCCAATATCTTCGCCACGGGGCTGGGCGTCCGTTTCTCGATGAAGCATTGCTCAATCAACATTCAACACCCTACTTTCTACGACCCATCAAGCCTTGTGTCTTCCGCAAATTCCCATGCATCCTGATCATCATTTACAGAGATCATCTTCGGCCTGTATCGACAGGCCATACATAACATCATTCATCAACATAGGCGAGGTTGGTCCATTGTGTTTACAGCTCGCCTTTGCACATGAAACACATCTTACGGTGGGGTCAGAGAAAGAAGGATACAATCTAGGTCATGGCGGTTCCTTGATACGTATCTCTTCTCAATGACTCTACCTTCATATCCCACAACTTCGAAACATGCATCTCCAGCCCCGTTTCTTGACTCTTTCCCCTCCGACTCTGATGACCCAAAATCATTTCCCATTCCATGACTCATTGTCCTTTTCAGCCAGTTGATTTCTCTTTCCTATCTCTGGGCTGTATCTTATGGGATTGTCGATTTCGGATACCCTTCTTCGTTTTCTCGTGGATACATCTTCCAAAGTCGTTGCCTGGTTGCTTGCAAACGGGCAGAAAAGCCAGTTTTCCAGCTTTTTCTATCAATTTCCTTACTTTGCCATGTCATTTTGACTGGCCTGGATACAGGGATCTTGTGACGAAGTCACGAATTTCCTTGTCTCATCGATTCCCCTGTTTGCATACAAAGGCAGGCGTTGAAGAAGGCTGGGCTTGCTCTGCCTGGGGCGTCGGTTGTTTTGCTCATGGGAGGAAGGGAATGACTGTCCTAAAGGACATTGGACTGGTAGTTGAGTTGCGAGACAATACCAAGTGTGTTATGCCCAAAAAGCCTGCTTTTATCCAAAAAAAAAAATTTCAAAGGAATTCTATTCTAAACTGTTCGTTCGATACGTATACCTATCACTTCCATTCATGGAGATGTAGTTAATACTCGTAGTCGTTATGACATCTGCATACAGCGAATCTAACGAATAGTTACTCTAAGCATGTATATTGGAATCAAGCATGAAAGACAGGCATATCCTTGTCCTCCCATGACAGAGCATCATCAACATCCTCCACAAATTCAAACCCAAGAGCCCTCCAATTCAGCTCCTTCCGCCAATGCAATCCATAGTACTCCCTTTCACCCTGCCCATCCACATCTGCGCCAGCCGCACCCTCATCCGCAACCGGCGCAATAACCGGCTCAGAAGCAAGTCCGCCACTGACTAACCTCCCCCGTCTGGGGAAGATGACAGCCCGGAACCGGGAGAGCAGGATTCCCATCGAGCAGCACAGACACGGTTCGTGGGAAAGATAGACGTCAAGGTCTGTGCATAGATAGCCGCCCTGTGAGCGGGTGCGGATGCGTGGTGTAGGTGGAATTGGGATCGAAGGGTCTGCTATAATGGTAGACGGGGGTGGAGCTGGGAGAGGTGGGTGTTCAAGTTGGGATTGAGAAGGGTTTGGGGGATCGATGAGGTCTGATTCTGGGTTTGGGTCTTCATGTTTTCTCTTCAATGGTGAGGAAGGGGATTGAGGTTGGTCGGAGGAGGAGTCTGGTTGGTGGCGATATAAGAAGTATGATTCGAATGGGCTCAGTGTGTCCACTGTCTCTGGCGGAGGCTGTTCTGATTTGGGATCTGACGGATCTGCATCATGTTCTCGTCGCCAGCGAGCTACCATATCGACAGCACGCATTAGCGCATGTAATTCTGGTCCACCCTCGAGGTCTGAATTGTATGACATGCTGGCCGGATTGGGCACTATCCCTTCGTGAAGCTGTGCTTGTGATGGCGCGCCTGCTTCAGAGCGAGAGTAGCGCGCATCACCCGCAACTGCGAGGACGGCTTCGTCCCATTCTGCGGTAGTATCGTGGCTATTGTAACCTGCATCCAGTATTTCTGCCTCGATTGCTGGGTCAACTATCACTGCGCCTACGCCCCGGCCTAGCCCTGATTGTTCTGCTTCCTCTGCCACTTTACACGCCAGGGAGAGGTAGTATCCTGCGCGCTGTTCGATGGATTCCTGTGCGCGTTTCAAAGTCTGAGGGGGCGGTACGACAGTGGCGCGAGACGCGGCTGGATTGAAGACCACCGGCCAGAGGGTGTTGCTCCATGTTTCGGCTTGTGTGATGTTGAAAGGTGGGTAGAGGGGGACTTTCGTAGGGTAAAGGTCGATAGTTGGTGAAGAACCAGGACTTGAAGCTTCTGCGGTTTCATTCACAGAGGGATCATTTGCGGCCGGAGTTGCATTTGGCGCAAACGGAGCAAGTAGAGCTTTGAGCGTGGCGAGATCGGGTAGAGGAGGTGAGATGAGGACGAAGATAGTTTGAGTCGCTGGTATAGGATGTGTGCTGCTCTCAATTGCTGCCCGCAGGGTTGGCGGGAGTTGCTCTTTCTTAGCGAAGCGACGGAGGTGGGAGAGCGGGAGGGCAGCATCTCGAGGGAAAGCAGAGTCAAGAGCCCTAATTTGGGAATTAATCATGTGTCTGACCTGAGCCAGTACGGATGACTTACTTGATCACTTTGGAGGCAGACTTTACATTGACTTCTGCGACAAACGCATCGGCTGTTTCGGTCAGTAGACCGTTGTCGCAAGATGGCGTTGTAGGGCATACCAAAGTCTTCTAGGGGTCTTGTTTCTTGAACTGTTCGAATAGGTGTCACTTGTCCACTAAGAGGTTTCAGATCTGCAATTGCTTTTCTGATCTCCATTGCGGCCATCTCATTTGGCGCCATTCATGCGCGGGGCTGAGATAAAGTGTATTGGGCGTTGCACATGTGAACCCAATGGCAGAGCCTCGAGTTTGATAGCGATGTTTTCAATGAATCGAATGCGTCCTCGATTACACGCATCGATTTCAATTGGGCGCAAGAGTATTGTCTGGATTTGAACGAGAAAAGAATTGGAAGCTATACAAAGTTGGGAGCAAACAGTGCAAACCCCGCCGCAGACCGCTTCGGGTTATCGCCAGTACTTAGGCAGCCCTAACTTACGTTTCTAGCTTCGAACGATGAGTCTTTGAATGTATACATGATAGACAGTCAATTGATGCATCAGGTGAGAGTCTAGACCATAGGGACCCCAAGAAGAGGAATGTAGCTATGGCAATGACTGTCCCCTCTTTATCCCCGCACTCTCAGCCCTATGAGCGACAATAGCATGCAGAGCAAATACGCAGAGCGGAGGGGCTTTTGGGATCTAGATGCTTGATTTGAGCGAACAATAGTCAATGTTGGAGTGTCAGATGATTCTAAACTATAAACAGTGAAGAGAGTTGCTAATTTGTCCATAGAAATCACCTCGTCTCATAAGAGATCAAACGCCCATTGCGCTGTAGAGGAAACAAGATCGCTGAAAACAAGGAACAGGGCATCGCCCTCAACATTTGGTAGATGCTGAAATAGATCCCTGTCCCAAAGCGCCAAATCTGATGCGGGTGCTCCTTGATATTAGAAGCGAAGGAAAGCAACGGTGCTCTGGAATCCCACACCATCACTCCTCTAATGCAAGTGATATATATTAAATCACGCCGCCAGTGACTTGGCGGGTGAAGCACATGAAAATCCACTTCCATGGCTGACTCGAGACCTGCCCGAGTGGTCCAGGGTGAAACGTAATGCGTGCAGCTTCGGCGAGACGTCGAAAGGCGGCATGCTGGTCCGGCCTCATGCTGGAGCAGGACCAGCTGCTGGAGCAATACCAGTTACGTCAGCTTTCGCACTGCCGTTCTGACAGACGCCTTCGATTTCGAACCCGTCGCACCGATCAACGAGGCTCTGATAGTAGTCCACCAGCACTTCCGGCTGTGGAACAATGCGCCATTCAACCCGGAACAAGAAATCTAGTTCCAGCATGGCTAATTCCGGCATGCCAATGCCACCCACTCGAGCATACGTCTTGTTGGTCCAGAAACTATCGCTGAGCCCCTTGCTGGCGACCGTGGCGCTAGTAATCAGGAACCGATGAATAGTCAAACTGGAAACGGTGAAGGCGGGGTACAATGCGCAGAGGCGGTCGATGTAGTAGACCATGCTGAGGAGAATAGGGGGAGAAAGCGTGGCGTGCGTCGTCAATCGCTGCAGGTAATCTTGCACAGAAATTCGGGGCGGAGAGCGTGAGTGGAAACGAGTGAGCCGACCTTGGTGTAGTGGGATCTTGTCGTTAAATCGGATCAATTCCATCAACATGCTGGAAATCAGCACCACCATGTCACGAGGATCGGCCAGTTCATATTGTGTGGGCAACATCTTTACATCTGGTTTAGAGGGCCGCATGCGCTTGGACTGCGACCTCTCCAGATCCTCGCCATCGTAGTCCGCCGGCGACGCATCCGATGGGTGATGGTCGGTGTGGCTGTTGCGCTTGTTGGAATTCGGGGTAGGGGCGGGCATCGAGGGAGCAGAGGAAGAGCAAGAAGGAGCTGGGGGTGGGGTTGTAGCTGTGGTAGCCGCCGTAGTGGTCACAGCAGGAGGGGGAGCGGTTGATTGGGATGCGGGAACCAAGGCCGAATTGTTGGCTAGGGTCTTGGGAGTGTCGGTGGATGTAGACGCGCGCCCGCGCTGAGGATCTAAAGTTTCAGGGGAGGAGGGATCGACGGTATGTCGGTTGAAGGCTGAACGAAGTTCCTGAATGGCTAGACGCGAGGATCGAGGACTATTGAACTGTGGAGCGCTGGGCTCATAATGGGGATGCGAATGCGGCCCCGAGGTTGCAGGAAGCGGGGAGCGCAAAGCGACCGTAGAAGGCGAGGGTGAAGATGCCAACATTGTGTGGTGATTGAGTTATTGAGGAATGCTGGGAGTCTGAGCATTCACAGTGTGAGGCTAGACCACGTGGGCGCACAGTCAAACGGGGCGCAGGCGCTGTGTAAGGCGTGGGTACGCGGCCGGCCTCATTCTCAGAGGCTTTGGAAAATTTAGAAAGCAAGAGGAGACAGTTGTCAGGATAAATGGAAGAAATGGAGAAGAGGGGTTTGGTGAACTGGGGGAGATTACTCCGAATACTAATGACCCCGAAATAAATACGAAGTAGAAAGGGGCGAAGACCGTCGGGCCCTGGAAGGAAGGTTGAAAATCTTGTTCTTTGTGAGGTAATTACATTCATGCTGTCACTGGCTGGAAGCGTTCTGGTGACCGTACTATTACAGTACATGTATTTTTTCTTTGATCTCGAAATCACATTTACTTCGTATATTATTGTCATAAAAGGTGATTAGATATTGCTGTATGATAGCTATATGTAGGGAGATGTGATCATTCAATCAAGGTGGGTTAGGCCAAGCTACCTAAGAGACCCAGAACGATCGCTCCGATCATCTACTCCAACATGGCGGTAATCGCATGACTTCCTTGCTCCTCACTAACCACAAGGCTCAATCTGTTATAGACAGGGGCGAATCGCCGAGGAGTCTATGATATCTAGCACCAGCTGTTTATTGGGTATATTCTCGTAAGTTATACCTCACAGTACTATGAATCGATAGTTAAGTGACATCCTCTAACAGTCGTTACAGTATGTACTTCGGTAAGATTCCCACGAAGAGCGGGAGTCCCATGGACCTACTCGACTCTAACTGAGTCTAGTTAGACTGCCAAGCATTGGCTAAGTTATCTATCAAATCCAACCACTCAATCGATGCATCTATACAATGTACGTACATAGCATGTCTGAATGCTTCATGTGACCTATGACCAATGATCTGATCCCGCTTATCTATGCTGTGATGCCCTAGGACAGTGGGCATGGTTAGAACAAGACATACTAATTAACTATCCAAGACCGAGTCACCGAGTTGGGTGGAATCCTTTGTCAGTAATGTAACCTTGATCAGAACATAGTTGAAGCAGACGAGCTGAGCGAACATAAAGCAGGAAACCTTGTGCATAGAGTACTAAGAGTAGTTACTAGTAGTAGTAGCAGTAGTAGTACATGTTGAATGTGAATATCCTAAGGGACGAAGGTATCGGGGCGGAGTCGGTGTGATGTGGCATAATCGCAGCCGAAGTGCGGAGTACCCGGGGACCTTTAAGCCCCGGACCTACTGACCGGCTTGCCACATGATCACATCCTACCTTACTACATCTTCGCCCTACACAATTCCGCCATTGCCAGAGACACCTTCTTCATTGTACTAGCATCTCAAAAGTGCTTGAGCTTGAGTCAAATAAAAGGACGACGTCGAAATCCTCCCGTTGGGAGGGGCTGATCGCCGGATGATGACGCGAGCCGCACCGCCGCTTCTGCTGCAGCTACAGAGCGCTGAAACGGCTTCCTCTCAAATTAAAGCCCTGCGCGCTCTGAAGAATGCATTGATCGGCCATGACCAGAAAAAGGAAGCCTACATTACTGGAGGAATCATCCCAGTTTTGGCCCAGGTCTTGACCACGAGGTGGCCGGGAACGGCGGAGTTTGATCAATCAATATCGCAATCAGATCGGTCTACACAGACAGCCCCGGATGACCTTGAAGTATGTCTTCAAGCGACTTGGATTGTCGGCAGCTTGGCGCAAGGTATGGAAAAGTACGGATACGAATTTGAGACTGCCGAGAAATTAACTCCAGAGCAGGTGGCCCGACATTTCTCTCCCCACTGTTTGCTAGCAACATCCTCCCAACCCTAATTACAATCCTCTCATCCCCGGACTGCCCCGTCTCAGTCGGCCTTCCAATTTTACGACTTTTGAACACCATTGCGGACCGGTTACCATTACAGAGCCAGGAACAATGGCCTCGCGACACACAGCTTGCGGATCTTGTCTTTGCTCCTGCAAATATCACAGCTCTTAGACGTATCATCTCCCAAGAGTACAAGAGCATGCACAGCCAGACTGCTATTGAATTGGCGGCTGCTCTGATCGGCAAGTTATGCACAGAGGAGACCCATAAGACGGCATTGGCAGAACTCGGGGTGCTGGACGCCTTGGCGCTCAAGATTGCCTCGTTTGTTGTGGCCAAGGGCTTTGTCCTGCCAGGTGCGGAGGCTCATCTTAAGGAGCCCGGCGCATTGGAGGCTTTACCGCTCCCGGCCCCCGAGTCCGCCAAGCTAGCACCGATTCTACGCGCCGTTGCTGTCATCATTGAACAATCCAAATGGAGAGCTGAGCACTTCCTGTCATCCCCTGGTATCGTGACTGTGTTTCCTAAAGAAGTCCCCGGATTTGCGCCGTCCGACATTAAGAAAGGCCCATGGGGCTCCACATACTTGTCGGGCTCTGCAGTGCCCCGTGATCGAGGCGGCAATCCCATGGACCAGCTCTTGCCTTCAGTTCCTCTAGCACACACAAAATCTTCGTCCAATTCTGCCAACTTTCCACCCTTGGGTCATGGAGGTTCACAGCGTCGCGCTAACCATTCCTACCCCACGCCCTTTTCACTGCCCGAGAAACCGATGCCAGAAGACGACGAGAATGCTGTGATTCCATGGCTGCTCTGTATGATCCGCTCAGAGAGTGGTATGGTACGGTTGATGTCTGCACGTCTGGTCACAGTGCTCTTTCGATTAGGATTGGCGAAGAAACACCGCATCCTGATGCTCAGTTATCTGGTTATCCCTATCTTGGTGCAGATGTTTGAAAAGGACTTTCGACTGCCGGATGAAGAAGGGGACATTTATGACGGCCTGCTCTCCCCGACCCAGCGATTGAAGGAAGAGGCACCGGCCGTGTTAGCCCACTTGGTCGTGGATGATCAGGAACTGCAGAAACACGCAGTCGAAGGCAATGCACTCAAGCGATTGTCACAACTTCTTAAAGAGACTTACAATCCAATCACTGAGCACTCGCGGCCGATGTGGCATGCAGAGGATGTCCCGGCCCGGGACCTCGAGTCTCTTCCCCAGGAGTGCCGGCTGGGGCCTTCCGGTTACTCTCCAACCCTTTGCCATGTAATGCGCTACCGAGAAAACATTCTCAAGGCTTTAGCCGCACTGGTCCCATTCAAGGATGAGTATCGCAAGGCAATTTGTGAGCACGGCGTGGTGCCTTACATCATCGATGCCCTCAAGCCAAGGCCTAGTGATGCACCAGCTAATGATTCGATGCCCAATAATACTGCAAAGGATGGGAATCCAACGCCGACTATTCTAGCAGCTTGTGGCGCAGCTCGAATGCTGACCAGATCTGTGAGCGTTCTAAGGACTAGTCTTATTGATGCCGGTGTGGCCCAGCCCTTGTTCGCCCTTCTTCACCACTCCGATGTCGAGGTGCAGACTGCAGCAACGGCTGCGATCTGTAACTTGGCCTTGGACTTCAGTCCGATGAAAGAGGTTTGTCACTGTCACCCCTTGTCCACAAAGTCTGCAGCTAAGATTATCTTCCCAGGCAATCATCTCTTCCAAAATCGTTCCTATTCTTTGTAAAAATGCCCGCTCACCCAACACTAAACTACAGATCGAGTCATTGTGGGCCCTCAAGCACATGGTCTATGATACCGGGAACGACATCCGGATGAACATCATTGAAGGTCTATATCCCAGGTGGATATTGGAGGTCATCAAACAGGATCCGCTCCGGGCAGTGGTTCGGCGAGGGGTCGATGATGAATCGGACCAAGGTTCTGGGTTCGCCATGGGTCGATCTAACTCGGCCGGCGAACAGGTTGATATTCTGAACCCGGTTCCAGATGCAGCTCAGTGGGACGAGGACCTTAAGATGACGGACACTATGCCCCCTTCCAAGATGAGTCTGGACATGTTCCTCCCTGACGCAAGACGCCGACGGAAACTTGCTCTATACGGAACACTGGCCCAAACAACACAGTCTCGACAGGACGACATCGCTGTCCAGGAGCAAACATTTGATTTGCTGCGCAACATGGTCTGCGGCCGGGATGCAAACGAGATGATTGATTATATCTTCATGGAACTCGGCGAGAATGGCTTACTCGACAGCCTCGCAGCTACACTTCGCCCACGCACGATTCAACTACCTCATCGTCGCGAGTCCGGTGCTCAGATCACTCAGACCCTCCACGTCCCCAATGAGATTATCCTGTCGGCGATCTCTCTCATAATCCACTTAGCAGCTGGACACCCGCGCCACCGGCATCTCATCGCATTCCACCGTGACCTGCTACCATCCATTGGCAATTACTTCAACCACTCCAGCAAAGATATTCGGTCCTCTTGTGTCTGGGTGGTTATAAACCTCATTTATGAAGAGGATCATCATGACTATGAGGGTTGCCGGGATCGCGCGATTAGGGTTCGTTCCCTTGGGCTTGGAGAAAAGTTGGCTAGTCTCAAGGATGATGTCGAGTTGGACACGAAGGAGCGCACTAAGACTGCATTGCATCTGTTGAACAAGCTGGCTCCTGTTTAGTCAATACATTGTGAATGACAATTTCAGATCCATTGCATATGAGCGCTTAGTCCATAATAACATGGGAAGCAAGCGGGATCGGGTCTGTGTACGAGATTGCTGTTCGATATGGAGTTCTTATTGTTATGTATGAGTAGTTGTGAATGATCGTCCAAATATAAGCAGATTCTTCTTCTAAAAAGTGCTCTCCAACCTATTACTTAACAAGGTCTGTCGAAATAGTTGAGGCCTACACAGTACTTATAGGTACCAGGTAGGTGAGGTTGTATGGACCTTTCAGCCAAGGGTCCCTGTTCTAATCTATATAGCCACCTATAGTGAAGCTTCTCATACTTGGGTAATCTCGAGTTTCAATTCCATGCTGGAGCTTCGAGGATTGTAGGTAGCCTGTATAGTTGTCCCCCAAGCGGATAAGTTATGCAGCTACTCCGTACTGCAAACAGCTAGCTGCGGATCGGATCTCGGCCGAGTTTAGTTGGATATTGAGATGTGGTGTGTCTGTCAATTGGATGTTTTATGTATATAGCAATTGAATAGTATTGAATAGTATTGAAGGTACAATATATAGAAGATATAGTTACTGTGTAGAAGTAGTTAAGAGTGTAAGTAGCGGAATTGACCTCCTCACCGGGCGGCCCCGATCTGGAAAAGCTGACTAAGACGGCAAAACCGAGTTGTTGGGAAAAAAGAAAAAGGCGCTTTATGCTTATCACTTGGGCTCCTCCTTCATCTTCAATTCATATACAAAATGCTCTTCCGTTCAGTTCGTACTGCGCCTTTGCGCCGCGCCTTCACTCCTCTTGCCCGTCGTACTGTCACCACCGACGCCGCTTCCGCCAATGTCGAGAGCCCGGTGCCCCAGGTTTGTTGAGTGGACTAATATCTTTCCCAGATTGAGGCTGACGGAGCTTGATAACAGGAAGATGACAAGCTGTTCACTGTCCGTCTCTCCGATGAGAGCTTCGAGACCTACGAGCTCGACCCGCCCCCGTACACTCTCGAGACCTCTAAGAAGGAGCTGAAGCAGATGTACTACGATATGGTTGCGATCAGGTACAATCCACCCCCATTGAAAAACGCGATTCTTTCTAGAAGAAAAAGGAAAGGCAAGCTGGAGCTAGTGCTGATATGTTTGACAGACGTATGGAAATGGCCGCCGATCGTTTGTACAAGGAGAAGAAGATCCGTGGTTTCTGCCATCTGTCAACCGGACAGGAAGCCGTCGCTGTCGGTATCGAGCACGCCATCGACCGCATGGACAAGATCATCACTGCCTACCGTTGTCACGGTTTCGCCATGATGCGCGGTGGTACCGTCAAGTCCATCATCGGTGAGCTTCTCGGCCGTCGCGAGGGTATCGCGTACGGCAAGGGTGGTTCCATGCACATGTTCGCTCCCAACTTCTACGGTGGAAACGGTATTGTCGGTGCCCAGGTGCCCGTCGGCGCCGGTCTGGCTTTCGCCCAGCAGTACAACGAGCAGCCCAACACCTCCATCGTTCTGTACGGTGACGGTGCCTCCAACCAGGGCCAGGTCTTCGAGGCCTTCAACATGGCCAAGCTGTGGAACTTGCCTGTTCTCTTCGGCTGTGAGAGTATGTATTCCGCAGACAACCCTTTCAAACCGCAGACATGCTAACCTATATTTTCTTCTTCAGACAACAAGTACGGCATGGGTACCTCCGCCTCCCGTTCCTCCGCTCTGACCGAGTACTACAAGCGTGGCCAGTACATCCCCGGACTGAAGGTCAACGGCATGGACGTCCTCGCCACCAAGGCCGCCGTGCAGTACGGAAAGGAGTACGCCATCTCCGGCAAGGGCCCCCTCGTCTTCGAGTACGTCACCTACCGCTACGGTGGCCACTCCATGTCCGACCCCGGTACCACCTACCGCAGTCGCGAGGAGATCCAGCGCATGCGCAGCACCAACGACCCCATCGCCGGCCTCAAGCAGAAGATGCTCGAGTGGGGCGTTACCACCGAGGAGGAGCTCAAGTCTCTCGACAAGACTGCCCGTGCCAACGTCGACGCCGAGGTCGCCGAGGCCGAGGAGATGCCGGTTCCTGATAACACTTCTCGCATTCTCTTCGAGGATATTTACGTCCGTGGTTCGGAGCCTAAGTGGATGCGTGGTCGTACTGTTGATGAGACTTTCTACTACTAGTTTCAATGTCGAAGGTCTGAGGGGTGGGCGAGCCCCTTTAATCGTGTGAAATGATCCAGATATACATTCCTGGGTCGTTTTATTTATCTGTAATTTAGCCCGACTATGTTCTTTCATGTTTGTTTTCTGTTAGAGTAGAGACAATTGCCATTGGGTCCTCTTCTTTAATTTGCATCCAGTATAATATGTGTTGTGTAAGGTCATCAGCTCGTATGAATAGAATGATTGGATAGCAAATATCGACTGTAGGCACACAGTCCTTAGTCAAATACGGGGGGTATCATAATAAAAGCAAAAGAATAACAAGACACACATCAGCCATAACCAAATCATCCCCTAAGCAGGCTCCTGCCGCAACATCTCAAGAATCAAATCCTGAGTCCGCTGCAAAGCATCCAGCTTCTCCTCCATCGAAACCCGCTCTTTCTCCAACTCCTGCCGAAACTGATCCTGCATTTCCTGCCGAAGCTCTTTCTTCATCTTCTCAATCTGCTGCGTAAGATTCTGGTCTTGTTGCTGTGGCTGCTGCTGTTTCCGGGGAGAGACTTGAGTCGAGGTTGACGCCTGCACCAAAGCCGAGATGACAGGTGAGGTGACACCCTCACCCGGTGCAGAGTCTAGGTGTTTGTTTAGTTTCCCCAATGTTTCGATAACGGCTGAGACCATCCGGCCGTCAGGCGGAGCTGATGTAGATGCGGAAGGCAGAGGCGGAACATGTGGTAATTGCGTTGCGAACATGTTCTCGAAGCCCGGGGGTAGTTTCAGTGAAGGTGCAGAGACTGGTGTGGATGGTTGTTCAGAGAACTGCACTGGCGTAGGACCGGTGATTGTCGGTGAAGGTGTCGGGCTAGTCGTAGCAGCCGTATCACCATTATTCAAGCCTTGCTGTAGCATTCCCGCCATAGCAGTATTGACACCGGTCGGACTAGTAACCGACGAGACATCCCGCCAATCCTCTTTCTTGCCATTCTTCCTCCAAGGCTGCGGCTGTCTCCGCTTCTTCAACTCATCCCGCTTCGCAATCCGTCTATTCTCCGCTTCCTCCCAGCGCTGCCAAGTCGGAATCCACGCATCAACAGCAGCCAACCAACCGGGGTTCATCAGTTCCGTAGCCGTCTGGTAACCATCCGTACCGCGCTGTTGCTGTTCTTCCAGGAACTTGATTCTCTGCCTCGTAACCATTTCCACCTTCCTCCGTACCGAATGCCACGAATAAGTCCGGCCTTCATGCGTGCGCGTGAACTCCGCTGCAATAGACGCCCACCATTTGCACAGATTGCTTCGACTGCCGAATGTGTCTGCGTTTCGGTTACAGATTTCGAATAGAGCTACTTCTTCTCGCGTCGTTAGACGTCTGTGTTGGCGGGAACTGTCGTCTAGGTCGTCGTCGTTGGGTCGTTTCGTGCCGGTGCTTGGGCTGGACATCAGGACTGATCCTTCGCCTCCGTCTTGAGACATGCTCACGGCCATGGGTGCATAGTAAAGGTCGGTTCCGAGGATCCCTCGTGATGAGCCTCCGGTTATATTTGCTCGTGTTTCTGAGCCTGGTGTGTTGTTGGTTGGGCGTGGGTTTCGAACTACCACGGATACGGATTGGGTGGCTGGACTGAATCCGGAGCGTAGGCTTGGTGATGCGAAGGTGTTCTGTGGGTGATACGAGGGGTGGTTGTAGTCGTGGGATTGAATACGCGGCATGACAGTTGCGTAGCAGCGATTGCAGTGTAATGTTGGGTTTGTAGCAAGGGGATGATCTCCTCAAGTTCAATCCATCAAGGATATTTATTTGAGAGAGTCATCCGCCTTCGTTCTTGTCGATCTGTGGAGAAGATAAAGATTGAACGGCGATGGAGTTCAGACGGTTTTCTTCCTGGCCCGTGCGCCTATCACAGTACAGGGCCGAATTACACACAGACCAGAGCGGTTACTGTGATTCAGTGACCATACGAGGAGAATAGCATCAAGAAGATATCCATTTACAACACATCATGGCTATGGTGGTACAGGGGGGCTGACATCAAAATACCCCGAAGACAAGCAAAACAGGAACCAACACCATGGTCAACATGATCCAGAAATATGCGAGAAGGGAGGAAATATAGCCCACTAATACACAAATGGGAAGTTAGGGGGAAATAGTGTAATAGAGACAGAGGGAAGAACGTATACAGAGGATCACCACCGTCTCCTCAAATACCAGCCGTAAGCCGGAGTAGCAACCGACTCGCCGAAGGGCGTAGGCACCTCAGCACTGCCAGGACGTGCCACTGGGTGACGCAGGTACACAGCGGCACAGATGTTCTGGTTGACCTCAAGATAACGCGGGATGAAGGTGAAGGCGGACATGTAGTCGCGTGGACGCCAAGGTGTGGCATAGGGCTTGGTATTGTCGATAGGGTTGTCGCGCATTTGCACGAGAGCACGCTTGAGGGTATCAAACTCCTCGTCATCAAGCTCTGATGCATCGACATCGTTACCCTGTGCGGCCTGTTCGAAGGCTTCGGAGAGCTTGGAGCTGACTTCGACATCCTCGTCTCCCTTTGATGCGACGGCGTCGTCGTCTGAGCGGCGCTTATCCTTCTTCTCATCCTTCTTTTCTGGCTTCTTCTCTGCCCGCTTGGCATTGAGGAGAAGTGTCAGCTCGGAGAATTGTGCCTCCAGGCTGTCTGTGAGGACGGTGCTGGATGCAGAGCGAGACAACACACGGCGAACGGCTTTTTGGAAGCCGCGGAGCTCCTGCTTGCGCTTGGCGGGGAGTGTGTCCTTGCCGGATGACATGATAGACTTAGCCTGCTGCATCAGCGCTTTGAGGGTCTCCTTGGTATCCTCCTTGGGAGTCTCTTTGGACTCCTCCTCGACTTTCTCTTCCTCAGCTTCCTTGGATTCTTCTTCGCCTTCGGGTTTCCTCTGAGCCAAGCGGCCCTCACGACGCTCGGCCTTATCTTTCGGGGTACCGGTAGCGAACATGACGCGGTCCGGCTCGACCTGGAACAGGTCACCGGGGTTAAGAAGGTAGCTGGGATGTCTCATCTATGTCGCGGACAGTCAGTAAGGTTCAAACTAGTATCCCCAAGCGTGACTGTGATCATACCTTCTGTCCATTCACGGTAACCGCTCCGTGGATGACGAACTGACGGGCCTGTCGGGCACTGCTAGCAAACAGAGCACGGAAGATAGCGACATCCAAGCGGCGCTCCAGGGGCGCAAAAGCCATGTGAGTATAAGGAATACGGCGGTTCTGGTAGGTAGCATCTCCATCTTTCGTTTCGAGTCCTGAGCCTCGACCGGCTGAGGCGAGGGAACCGTCATCGGCGGCCAAGTCGGAAGCATTCATGGGGATGACACTGCGAATGCGGTGGTTGAACATGCGTTTCCATTGTCCTTCGCGGACTTGCTCGCCGTGGTAAGCACGCGAGACTGCCTTGGCAGACCATTTCTGTTGGAAGAATGTGCGGTTGGTGGTAGGTGGGCTGCGGAATCGTTGCAGGTTATAGAGGTTGTATTTGCTCCATGATTGACGAATTTTCTGTAGAGATTCTTGTCAGTCTGGTGCAATTGGGTGGATCATGGGCAGTGGGAAAAAACATACGCCTTTCGACAAGGTGTTGCTAGCCCTGTTTCTCATTGTGGCGGCTCTGTAGGTACAATGTTGTAGCGAACGATCTGGTAACGGTCCAAATTGGCCGAGTCTCAAAACTTCAGAACACGTGACTGGGGAGCCTTAGAGGTGTTTGCATTGTATGTTTGTTTGCTCAGGTGTTTTGCCACCGCCCCTTCCCTACGGGTATAAATATGTCGTCCTCCCCCGTCTCTTCCTCTTCTTTTCTTTTCTTCTTCATACTTACCTTGTTTGGGTGACCGCGATCACGAAGGCGGTTCACCACAGTTTGGTCCCTGCATTGCACATCGCGGCGGAACAGGCTGTTCAATGGCTTTCGGGTCATTGACAGGCGTATTCTTTGGCACCCCCCACCCACTCTTGTGGACTTTCTTTTCATCAATCGTTGAGCCAGCGGCACGAGATTGGAGAAGAGGAATTTGTAGCTTGTAATTCTTGACGTTGTAATATATCTCCACTACGATGAGCTGTGATGTACTAGATCCCTTGTCTTGAATCCAGTGAAGCCCTCGCGTGTTTATTTTTGTCGAGTCTCGTCCAACACTGCGCGTCCTGTCGCGTCGATGTTGACGTCCTGGACAGAGTTTGCACTACGTACCTATCAGGCTATCACTCACTCCCCCTTCATCCTGACATGCCTTGCAGTTGCAACTCGTATCTACTCCAGTCTACCTTCCATTGCCCGTTGCTGCGACCGCACGTTGACAATGCATCATCTTTCACTTCCCCTGGCTCTCGATGCTCACAGTATGTTTTATGCAATCCTCATTACTTGAATTTTTGCTCCAAACATAAATCGGTTGTATGTAGGTACGTAGTAAAGAAACATGCTGTAAACTCCAAATCAACACATTGCGCCGTAGATGCATCAAATCCCAATCGTACAACATTGAACCTGCATATCTCATTACTCTCTCCTTGAGCTCGGAAACGCCTCTGCCAACGACTCTGCCTCTTGAGGATTAGTCCATTCTTCAAGCAGTTCGTGCGCCATATCGACAGTCTCATCATCGATGCCAGCCTCCAGCACGGTGCCATCACAAAATGCCAACCGAGTCAACACAACTAGATGCTTCTGCTTACTGCCAGACACACACGCCAGCTTCTCCTGCATATTGATCAAGGACGCATGTTGACGCATAACTCCAAAGATCAGCCGCATGAGTCCGTTGACCAGCGAAACACGCAGCTCGGATTCCGGCGGTGAAGAGTAAAGCGCATCCAGCTCATCATGCATCGACCGGAACAAGCGAGCCAGCGCATTCGGATGCAGCGCAAGAATTGTGCTTGCATGCTTTTGCGTTGCAGCGGTAGGCTGGAACGCGAGTGACTCCAGGAGCAGTAAAACCTCGAGTCGCATCGCGCAGATGTCGTGTGCGGTGTATGGCTCAACGCCTTCATCTGGTATCGCTGGCTCGCTCAACATATGAGTGAGACGGTCCACGATCCACTTTTGCACATCTAGTTGGTCCTGGTCAGAACTCCTGATCGGACCGAAGGAGTCGGGGCGAATGCTCGTTGATAGAAGGTTCATTAGGAGGACAATGTCACCGAGCGGGTGTGACGGATGAAGCATCACTAGAATGAAAGAGATGCGGACATTCTGCCAGAATTCCTCCATTGCACTCTCGATGTGCAGCACTCCGCACGCGATTTGATATAGTAGACGCATGGCTCCAGTCGAGTCGATCAGTGGCTGCAGATCTGCTTGTGGGGTCTGTCGAGTCATCCGTTTGTCTCGGGATGCCGGTGCGTACTTGAAGCGAGGTACGGCATTCACCTCGACAGTGTCTTGTAAGACCCCAACTAGAGGCGTAATCAGATCCGAGAGTTGGAGGTCGTCTGACATCAAGCTATATTGTACAATAGCTTGCAACCGGGGAATTGGTTCGTAGAATTTCTCGTTGATGGCCCGCTGCCATAAAGAGGAGATCGTTCGCGTATATTCTAGTATGTAATTGTCCGGGTCGGCACGAGCCATGGCATCCATAATCGTGCTGGACATGGATCGAGTCGGTTCCGAGGGAAAAGTAAGCTTAGCCAGAGCCTCCAGGTCAGTCTCCTGTTCGGGATGCGCACGACGGCCCAAGAGCCGCATGATGAACCGCTGATTGCGGCTTGACTCGGGCTTGCTCTTGACCTCTTCGACATCGACTGGCGCATCAGTTATAATGGGCTCCACACCAGAAGGATTCAAATCTAGAGGCACAACGCTGTCTTGGCTCGACTGTCGTTTACGCTTTCCGGGAACTGTTGGCGTGGCTCGCTTGGAACGTGAAGCGGATTTGCTGGGCGATATCATGACGATCTCGTCATCGTCAAACCCATCGCGAAAGGGAAGCACCCGGGATTTCTTAGGAGTAATTGGGGCTTCCTTCTCGCGGTGCTTTGATTTGTAGCGCCGAGCCTGGAAGGCTTCATCCACGAGATCTTGTTGTAAGAATACATTCTCCGTTGCCAGGACCTTGCCTTCAGATCGAGCCGCCTCCACCTCTTGCTTGTGCTTGGCGATCTCGTCGGCCATTGTTTTCCGGAGAGTGGCCAATTGCCGGTCATGTTCTTCTGTGATCGCTGCTTGCTTCTTGCGAATGATGGAGATTTCCCCGGCTTTCGTTTCCAGTTGTATTCTGGCTTCGGCTAGCTCTTGCATCATTTGATTCCTTTCTTGTTCCATCTAGATGGCCGTTAGAACTGGACAGAGGAATGCTGCCATCACCCAACTCACTTGTAGCAAGCGTGCGTTGATCTCCGCAGCGGCATCGCCGTGTCCGTAGTACTCGTCCACCTCCATGGCATCATCCTGCTGCCCGTGAGCAGGCCAGCTCTCATCCATGGGATGTATCTGGTGGCCTAGGGGAATGACATGCTGCCCATCCACGTTTTCGTACACCTCAGCATCCACTTCCCCCACCTCCAATGTATTGTAGTCGCTTGTCAATCCCGTGTGTAGGCGAGGCGGCGGTCTCAGTGATTCATTGCCATTCGTTTGTTCAGCTTGAGCTCGAATAGCGAGATTGTTGTCTATCGGTTCTGCGCGGTACTGTGAGGCGGGTGCCTGGGTTGCCTGGAAGGCCTTCTGTTCCAGCTCATACAACGTCCCTGGTGGCAGGGAGCCGAAGTCGTCGGAGCCGAAGTCGTCGGAGCCATAGTCATCGTCGTCGTCATCCATGCCCCCGCCATGAATGGAGTCTCAGGAGATGGCAGTTCAATTAGTTCGGAGAGGACGGCAGTTTAAAGCACCTGTAAGGACACCAAACCCTGCACATCCAGTTCAATTTCCATGCACCTAAATCTGTGGCAGTATATGAAAGTGAATGTTCAATCACATCGCAACCAGGAAAAACATCGACCCGATAAAAAAGATAAAGTAAACACGGGGCAAGCTGGAGCTGACCGCTTTCGGCGGACTTTCACATGAGCTCATCAACTTCTAATCCCGACGACCCTCCCTCCTGCATCCACTCTCCTTTTCAGATTGCGTTATTGGCCCTTTCTCATCATGTCGAAATCTCGCAGAAATGTCAGGTTCCAACACCGGTCAAATGACGAGCGACGCCTCAGTGTTTCCTCCGACGTCAGCGATCCCCAAGAGCCCACTAGCCCCAGCAAAAATGGGAATGGGGGTAAGCCAGCAACCATAATGGAAGAGGTTAGTTCGGCGATTGAACTAGTGCACTATTCTAAAGACAGCTTCTGACATATACTCCCTTCTAGAAACCGCAGTCCGAGTATGAGAAGAAGAAGCAGACCTTCATCACCCGGACGATATGGACATTTGTGATGATCGCCGGTTTTTTCGTTGCGTTGTTCTCGGGTCATATCTACATTATTGTCCTCATTACTGGCATTCAAATCATCTCTTTCAAAGAAGTCATTGCTATCGCCAATATTCCTAACAAGGAGAAGAACTTGAGGTTCACCAAATCGTTGAATTGGTATTTCTTGGCGACCACCATGTACTTTTTATACGGAGAGAGTGTGATCTACTACTTCAAGCATATCTTGCTCGTTGATAAGGTGCTGCTGCCGCTGGCGAATCACCACCGCTTCATCAGTTTCACGCTTTACGTCATGGGTGAGTCCCCTGATGGCTCCCCTTTTTACCCTCTACTAACCCCCGCATAGGATTCGTGTTCTTTGTTGGATCTCTGCAGAAGGGACACTATCGATTCCAGTTCACCCAGTTTGCCTGGACTCACATGGCTTTGTACTTGATTGTTGTCCAAGCTCACTTTGTCATGAACAACATCTTCGAGGGCATGATTTGGTTTTTCCTTCCTGCTGCGCTGGTCATTACCAACGATATCTTTGCCTACGTCTGCGGTATTAGCTTTGGACGGACTCAACTCATTCAGCTCTCTCCCAAGAAGACTGTCGAGGGTTTCGTCGGCGCGTGGATCTGCACTGTCGGCTTTGGTTATTTCATGACCAAATTGCTGATACAGTACAAGTACTTCATCTGCCCTGTGAACGATCTCGGATCAAATATTCTGACTGGTTTGGAATGTGTTCCGAACCCGGTCTTCGCCGCGCAACCTTACTCCCTTGAGTTCCTTGGCCTGGACAAGACTTTCTGGGTGGAGCCTATCCAGTTCCACATCTTGGCTTTCGGCACTTTCGCTTCGCTGATTGCTCCGTTCGGCGGATTCTTTGCGTCTGGATTGAAGCGTACCTTCAAGATCAAGGACTTTGGCGAGTCCATTCCTGGTCACGGTGGTATTACTGACCGCATGGACTGCCAGTTCATCATGGGCTTCTTCTCCTATATGTACTACCACAGCTTCATTGCTATTTACAAGGCTAGCGTGGGCGATATCATTGAGACTGCCATCAACGGTCTCACAGTTGACGAGCAGCTCGAGGTCGTCCGTGGCTTGGGCAAGTACCTGTACAACCAGGGTGCCGTCTCGGAATCGGTATGTTTAGATCAAATACTATAGAATGAACAGTGACTAATCTCGTTCAGATTCTGGAGTGCCTCGTCACCGAGCTGAAGCGCCGATGAGCTTGAAAAGGCTGTCCGGCATGCGGCCCGAAAATATCACCCTATTTTACGACCTATACTTCTGCTTTTTTTCATTTCCACAATTGAGGACGACCTTCAACCCCGTGCTTCCCCCTTGCATCTCTCCTCCGATTGCTTCTGTGTCGACTCCCCTCAAATCCCCCTGCTTCTTGCTTCTTGCTTCATTCGGACTTGATTGGGTTCACCGAATATGCATGCAAGTCTTAATTTGCGCATGCATGACATGTACATACGTGCCCGCCTTACCCGCCTTTCAACACGGCACCGACCTCCGATAAAAATGACTTATGGCAAGGCCTTAATCACCCGTCAAGACCGGGAATCTCCACGCCGCAGGCACGGGGACGACTTCTTTTCGTTTCACGGCTGTTTCCCTGTACCTGTTTAGTACTGTTTTCCTATTTCTCTTTCAGATTGCCGGACCCTGAACTCAACGCGAATTCGATTCGTGCTGCTCGGCCGAGCTTGGCCTAGAGCTCTATATTTTGGTGCGCGGAACAGACCTCTACAGTAGGAGTTGGATGGCAGTGTGACGTGTTCGTCCCTCTCCTATCACCTTCGCTGTTTTCTGGTATGGAATGTGTGGGTTCCAGATTTGTACATAGCTTTGAATCCACATCTTGAAGCTGGTCATGCGAAATTGTCCGTAGATTGTTTTTCACGCATACCCTTTCTTGCGCATGAGACGTTTACCTTCCAGGGCTAGTTGTTAGGAGCTGCACAGTCATTCAGAACCATCGCCAGCTTCTACAATGTCGATGTTCTTTATCAAGCCAGCTATATATCCGAACCTTCACTACACCCGGGGCTACCGTATGCTATCAAAAGCTGGTCATTCTACTTCCATTGGATGAACTTCTCGTCATTTATTAAATCATCTTTATCTCTTGTATCAGTCGCATATGCCTGGGTATCAGAAATCGAGCGAAAGTGCCTTCTAAACGAAGGAAAACGCACATCCTACTCTTCATATTCTTCCATATCAACCTTAAAGAACGCCGCAACCTGTCTCTTCTCCTCATCCGCACAAGCAGGGTCAAGCATAAACCGCACAGCAGCATCACGACCCCTCTCACCCGTCCTCTGCCGTTCACCGTTCGCAGCAACGGGTGTCAATGGGTGTAGTGGTCTTTGTTTGACAGCGGATCCATTCTTCTGCGGTTCAATCCACGAGGTATAACGAGGGATATTCTGTTCACTCGCTTCTTGGTTCAGAGGGATGCGAACATTTAAGAACCGATCTGGTTGGAACTCTGGGCCGACGGTTGTATGTGGGCGGTGGTGTGTGTACAGTTCTAGGAGATCGCAGAGGGTTTCTGTTTCATTGTCAGTATTTTCAGTTTCAGTCTCAGTCTCAGCATGGAGAGGAAGAAAAAAAAGAAAGAGGGCAAATTACCCGTAACTTCCGCACGACTTGTATTCCACTGCGCATAATCTGCTCCAGACTCGATTTGTTCGACGCGCTGATCCAAGAGTCGTCCTGCGAGCTCGAGGCAGCTAAAAGCCATTGTTGACGAACTTTGCTTGATTGGTGCAAATGTGCGATATAGATCTGTCGAGATCCGGTATGCGAGACTTGATACTTCGGAGCTTTGAAGTAATCCATAGTGTCGCCCTAGCTTCATGAGGGTCTTTTGGGGATGTCGGGTTCGGAAGTCGAAGCCAGAAGCTTCTAACATGAGTCTTTCAAGACCAATTATGCCACGTGCATTGGCTTCGAATATCTGGTGACGGGCGTCAATTTTACCTGTCTGGAGTTCTAGTATCTGGTGACGACTTACAGGATCATCCGCGGACAGGTGCTCTGAAGGCGCGACTTTCAGATTGTAAGCTGCACAGACAATATCTCTTGACTTTTTGAGCGTGTCTTCGATCTTGCACGCTGTGAACAGAGCTGCTGCTGCTGCGTCCTGCTCGATTGGTTAGTTCCAGTCTAGACCTCGAGACTTCGAGGGAAGGTAGAACTTACCGTGAAATTGTACTCATTATCAGGATGTACCAACCGAAACCGGTGATAGTATCCAACTGCTGTGTCATAAGTCCGAACCGGCCTGGATTCAGTCAGTCAGTCGTCTGCATTCTGCCTGGCTTGGCATGGACTTACAGGTTCAGTGCTCTCCGCACGCCATCGATCCACGCCACACCCTGTAGACGCAGTGAAGTCTCGCGCAGGGGATTGACTCCCAAGGCACTGATGCAGTCTCCGACTGTCTGCTCGAAGATGTACGGGTTGGCCACCTGTATAAAAGATGGGTGGATGGCTGGGGGTGTCGGGCCAGATTCCGTGTTCGAAACTCCGCGAGGGGAGACATCCCTCTTATTGCGTGCCATTTCAGTTCTGCAATCTCCTTGGGTAGCTATCAATACCACGCACTGTTCTTAGAAGTTGGAAGAACAAGTCGCTCAATGACCGATGAATTGATATCTCATGTCACGTGAAATGTTCACGGAAGTAGATTGTTCCGTACTCCGAAGTGTATATCTGCCGTTGTTTCTTCCTTTCGACGAATGTGCAATTCAATATCTTATTCCTGCACTAGTCATAGTAAGATTAATGAATCAATAATTAATATATTGATTACTCGAATAATATAGGTTCACAGCTCATGGTAGCCTACATTTTCACACATGATTCATGATACGTCTCAGGGCACTCCACGATTAGCCCTTGTGGCCTTAGCCAACTCACTCTGCGCCGTATTGTCCGCATACCTCTTGTAGATAGGAAGGTAATGCTCAATCTCACTGGTGGTCTCTTGTACACTCCGCCTACTCCCAACAGCAGCCAGCCAAGTCCTCCACCGACGCCAGATCTCTTCATCCGGCCCCCCTTCTCCCTCCCCAGGGATCCGCAATCCACCCTTAAACTCATCAAAAACCCACAATCGCACCGCCCACGGAGCCAACACCAAATCCGGAAGACCAATACCCTCACCCAGGAAGAAAGGACCGTTCTCATGCATCTCCTTAGTCCAAGCCTTGAGATGAGACAACAATTCCCGCCGTGCCCGGTCCCACCCCGCATTCGCATCTTCCCCGCTCTCATCCGGCTGGTACTGCAAGAACCGGTGGAAAGACGGGATAATGCGAGAAGTCACGTAGTCGATCCAGATGCGTGCACGGGCGCGTTCGTAGACATCTTCGGGCAGGAGGCGCGGCTGATGGTCTGGGTATGCTTCTTCTAGATATTCCAGGATGACGGTGGACTCGTATAATGGTCGTGGGTGGGGATCTGCTGGGGTTGATAGGGTTGGGACTAGGCCTCGCGGATTCAAGGTGAGTAGGGAATCCGGTTTGTTGTATGGGTTGACCTCGATGTATTCATATGGGATTCCTTTTTCTTCGAGGGCGAGCCAGACTCGTTGGACTTGTTTGTTAGTCTCTTTCCTGTGAATCAGTCGGTGACATACCGAATCTGTATATCTGGTTAGTTGTTAAGGATTGACTGTTGAGTGTCTGGTGAGGGGTTGGACATACGGACAGAACCACCCCGCATACAGCTTCAATGGCTGTTGGGTGCGATGCTTGTCAACCAGTGTCTTGGCTAGGCCAGTGGCCTCGGGGTAGAGGTTGGAATCTGGGTGAGCAGGCATTGTAGAGTGTACTAGTTCTCAAAGTGGGTGTTAGAAGGACGGGGACACAGTGGAATACTGGCAGGTGAGGGATCATCGGGAGTGACATCATTTACTAAACATGTGATGAAGATGCATGCATTTTCATTATATCTGTTGCCTACTAGGAGTTGCAAATATGATCAAAAGAGATCACTTGAATTGATATTGGTGAGTCTAATCGTTCCCATACTTCCTGATCAACCTCCGCATAATCGACATAGCACCAGATCGATATCCACCACCAAAGATAGCATGATGATTCAAATGATGATACCTTTACAGCGTCAGCATAACCCAATTACAAACGAGAGAACCACTCACAATTCATACAATTGCACCCGATCATCATACTCCGCCACGGGCTCCGTCTTCGGCACGATCCGATGATACTGCTCAAAGAATCTGGCCCCAAACCCGCCAAACATACGCATAATCCCGAGCTCAAATTCACTATGACCATAGCAAGCAGAGGGATCATAGACCACATCTCCAGGCTTGTCATCTCGACCCGAGCCAACAATCCGACCGCTATCAGCATTTCCACTCCACAGATCCCCGTGAATAACGACGGGTACAATCCCCTCTCCCTCCCCACTAGAGTTATACCCTAGATGCCCATCACCGAGCAATCTCGGCACAACCTTGTAAGCGGTCTTCTCAACAGTCTCGCGCAACTCAGCGTCACGCCCATTCCGCTCTTCAGACGTCGCCAGTATCGTAAGCAGCCGCTCCTTCGCATAGAAGTCCGCCCAGCTATCGGAGAACCTATTTGGCTGCTTGGTATCACCACAGAAAGTCGGCACAGGGAACCCGAATCTGCGCCGTCCGGTTTCCGGGTCTGGCGGTGCGGGCGTGGAATGCAGCTTGCCCAGCCGGTGCGCGAGCGAGGTTTCCTCGTCGGCACTACGGCTCTTTGTACCACCAAGATCGAGGAACTCTGTTGCGAGGAAGTGTGTTCTGGAGTCGAGTGCGCCCCAGGCTAGGGCTTTGGGGCAGAAGCCTGGGACTGAGGTTGCGATTGCGTTCAGGGACTCGGATTCGCCTTGGAACATTTCCTCGGCGGCTTTGCCGTTTGAGGAGGTTTTTACAAAGTAGCGGCGTTCTTCGGTGCCATTTTGGCTGGGCACTTGGGCGTGGATGGTTCCTGTGCTTGTAAAGCCTGAGCCTAGGCCGGAGGTTGAGAGGGTGGCTTTTGATCCCGGGGGAAGGGAGAGGGCTTGGAGGATTGGTTCTGGGACTGGAGACATGGTTGGGGGGTTGTTAGAAGGGTTGAATGTCGAAAAAGTGAATGTTATCAGAGAAGTCTGAAGGATGTATCATCATGTGAGTATGTAGATAGATGTAGACCGGATTTGAGGCTATGACGTTATTCCCCACATTGAAGTTGATAAGCTTCTTATCTGCATCAACAATACTAGTCTCAATAGAGTCAGATCAGGTTAAGGAGCTGAAAAGAGCTGAATCACCTTACTCTGAATAGACTGGGCCTTTTCTAGACAATAAAGAGCATGAGATCATGATTCATGAGATGATAGCCATCGCAACGGGTCAAGACTGAAAGAGCAATATGATACCTATCAACATATGATCATCCACTCTATGTACATCTATCATCTATGTCACATGTGCATCTATGAATCCTCGAGCTCTAGCTACATAAGGTTTCAATTGAGAATATGAGCCCAGAGCTGTCAATAGACTGAACCAACTTGTCTTCAATAAACAAACTTCCATCCCAGCAGCGGGAACAATGCAGTCAGCGAAATGCGCTACCTATTGACAGGCTTGAAACTGCCAATATAAAAACCTCCTGCCATCTTGTTTGCTTCTCTCTTCCTCGATCATTTCATCTCACAGCTTTTGCATTGCCAACAAGGTATCAAATAACACCCAACCCTCCAACAGAACGCATCTAACAAATTTCCAAGCATCTCAACATCCAACATGGAGAACGTTAACACGGAGATCGCCAACATGGAAACCCCCGACAAGAAAGTATGTTCTAGTACTCCGGATGTCACTCCATACCAAGACCCACTGGTCGTGTTCATCGCGCGGCGCGCGCCAATCATCACAGACGCCAGCCTCGAAGAGCAAAAGACCTGGCTCAACCCCGCCTTTCGCGACCTGAAAGAGAATTTCGAGTACAAGTACGGCGAGATAACCAACCGTCCCTACGCCATCTGCCCAATGATCCACGTCTCCTTCGAGCCGATCGACCCCGATAGCGACTCATTCAAATCCATGAGGGATGTCCTTCTGTGGGGACGGGGCTTGCAGTGCGAGGTAATCCTAGTCACGAACCATTGGGATGCTATTACCTCCCATGAGGAAAGCTTCGTCAATATCTTCCGCGACTTCAGGGATGTCCCGGTGCGGCTGCGCGTCTGGGGCATATGCGATCCTCACGAGCCGCCTATTTTCCATGAGTTTGATGTGCATCGACTGTGCGATCATTTTCGGGGACTTATTAAGCTTGACCAGGACCCTGCTTACCGGGTTTACATGAGGATGGTTCCGGAAGTGAAGGAGACTAGGCTCACTTTGGTGAGGGGCGTTCAAATGATGGAGGAACTGATCGGCCAGCGGCAGGAGCAGATGAGGGTGAATATCATGCGACATCTCTGATGTTCGAAGTGACCGGGGAAGACTGTCTTTCGTCTATCTATACTTCAGCATTTCCCTGGTGATGGGCGTTTGCTTCAGGTGCTCATGGCATCATTTGGTCAAGTTCCTTTGCGATAGGGAGTAATGAGGTATTTCGCTCAATTCAGGAAGTATCAGTTTACTGGTTTCTTTGTAGTCATGTCGAGTATTGGACATCAATATCATCGAATCCTTTCAAAGGATTAGCCACCGGACGTAGATGATAGTTAGGCCAGGCCGCCAGACAGCTCTCATCAGGAATCAAAGGGAGACACCTATATCCAAAGTCAATCCACTGTCCTGTCAAGCAACAAAAATGGACTCGACAGAGATGATGTTATGTATCAGGGGCAGAGCTGCCACATCCGTGTTAATCGAGCGATCAAAGAGGATTAACCAAAGTACAAACTCGACGTGTCACAACGCCACGAGTCCACAACCGAAGCCGTTGAGCAATGCAAGACATCACACGCAGCAAAATAGACTTCCCATGCCTTTCAACTCACACGCCAGGAATATGGAGCACAACGGTCAGCATATCCACCGCCCGGCCGAGAAAGGACCAAATTGATAGGTCTCAAGCCCGTCAAACGCGAGTCATAGATTTGCCAAGCCAAGACGGATATGGGAAACTTTCAACACAGAGTACTCCGTACCGACATGTACAACACAGTTACCTACACCAGAATATCAAGAGGTGGTCCGTGAATACTACCTAATGCACTAACACCATCTCAGTTCGTGCACTGGCTTGGAATCTGCCTATTACCATCCTATCTGCAACTAGCCGGGAATGAGATACGATCAACCGGAGACGCCGAGTCGACCCAAATGAAAGGATTTAAGGGCCGTGATCAGTTACCAGGAACGGTGGTCCGGGCTGAAGGGACCCAAGAGGTCGGGATTTCAGTCGTGAGGTGGAGGTTCTTCCATCAAAAGGGGGTCCGTACTCCGTAGACGGACTGTTTCAGGAGTTGTTTTGGGGATTATCTTGGCTATGATCTGATGTGTACGAAATGGATGGACACGTGCATTTGCAAGGGAGTGTAACCAGATCCAGGACATGTTCGTGAAACTGAAGTCTCCGTACTAATGTTGAAGTCAAACGGAGACCGTTAGGATATACTTCAACGTGATTGGATGTACCTTCGCCCCCAATTCCCACTTGGCTTGTGAAAGGAAAGTCAATTCGGACTGGACCAATCAAGAATCGACCTACTGAACTTTGTTCAAGGTTACCCGAGTCCTTTATGCAGCTAAATATCTTTGGGTTAGCAGGTCCAATAACTTTGCATTGCATAACTGCAGGAATGAGAGGTTGCATTTACTGCGTAGGGTTAAGAGAGAAGCAGTCAAGTCTATACACAGTATGTCGTAGTGTCATATCCCTGTAATTTTCACGATAGTTCTTCCTCAGGGCGATTAGTCCGCATCCTGAAACACTGGTATGGTGATGTGCCATGTAATTGCAGAATCGAGAGGGAAGATCACCCGATAAAACAAGCCATACGGTTTCGGCATTGCGATTGTTATCCGCTTGGCAGTTCAACGGCGACGATCATTATGATCTATGGATAATACACAGTAACTAGGTGAATATGCAAACGAGCACAGATTCGGCCAGTATTGAACTATCAGCATTACCAAGTTCAAGTACGTACAGTTCTGAAAGGAATGCGCTAGACCCAAACAATCACCACCACATGGAATATTTCATCTGACAGCTCCATGCAGTTTCTTTTGTTACATTAGTTCAGGTTAATTCTCCGTGCAGACTACGGGGATGCAAAATGGATACATAACCCTTACAACCTGTGGACCCAAGCAATATCAAAAGGGGTCAGCATTGCCAAGTTTGACCTGTCAGCTAAGGTCATCAACAGGCTTTCGGCGCCAGCCATTGGCAATGGCGACGGGTATTAAAGCTAGACATGAGACAATGGAGCAGGGACTAAAGCCAGCACGGACATTCTGCATAGGGATAGCAGGAGGGTGTCGATCACGGCGTAAACCACATTCAAACCCACCCCGGCAACGGGACGACAGGATCCGTAACGGGGACTGGAGTCAATGATGTGCACTCAATTCCCCTAGCTTTATCTCTCCTATGTTTTTCAAGGCAGAAGAGTGCTAGTTAATCATATTTAGTGGGACAGATAGACCCGCTGGATGACATGTTGGAAGTTGGATGCCGGTGTAGGGGATCAGGAGTTGCTGATATCCCCAATTACAACATACCACTTGACTCGTTTGATCAATGGTGATGAGGAGCCTCGTCGTTCCATGACCACGGCTCTTGGCTGGCTACAATATACGGCATAAATCTCCGAAGCGATCGTCAAATGCGGAGGTGCGTCTAACGCCACTTCGTTCAGCTCCCCCGAAGCCGAGGGCCGTCCCCGGGGGAGACGGTTATGCAGTACAGTGCGGATCTGCCGAGCTGAGGCTAGCTGAGGTTGCCGAAATGAGAGTAACCTTGGAATGAAGCTAAACTGCGTCATTGGGGGATAGACTCAAAAAATGTCCCTTCCGTTTCCAGAAGGCTTCTTTTCTCCAGATGGCAGAGCCAAATCTCCTGACAGGGGGGAACCGTTTGGAGGATCGACACGTCGAAACTGAAATTGCCACATTAGAGCGTGGTCTTTGGAGACAATGGATGTCGGTTTAGGCAGGTGGAGATAGGAGCCGCTGCGATTTGAGCGGGTAGCACGGCCGGAGGTTATGATTTACCGTTCCGTATGTAAATCCACGGGGGTAACTTTGTTACCTCCACTCACGGAACCAGGTTTTGGATGTCTTTGGGTCATCTGGAGTATTTCTTAACCGAAGATTGGCACCATCAGTCAGCCATGGAAAAGAGCCTGATGGGATCCAGGGATGGTTGAAGATTGGGTGATGAGCTTCTTTGTATGTCTTCTTTTTGAGGTCAGAGGAAGGAAGTACAGTCAAGTCTTATACTACATAGAAAAAGAATCTCCGGGATCAGATCCCCTCGGGGTTCATTCAAATCGGATTTCCGGACCTCCGTCAAGGTTGAACCCAGTCTGGTGAATAAGGAAACATTGAAGAAATCTATGTTGAAGTAGAAATAGGCTGCAGACTATTTGACTGTGTTCTTCCAGGACAATGGAATCCTGACACGTCTTGATCCACTCTCTAGTCTAGTACAGTGTACTGTGTAGTTCTTGATATGGCAGTTGGAGAATAAGGGGTTCCGCTAAATAGAAACCTCCGTGAAAAAGGTTTTTTATCATTTTCGGGTTTAATTCAGGGGATCTCCACCTGTATCCATGGCTCAGAGTTGAAACTATCGAGATCTGACTCTTTTTGATGCTTTTCACATTTCCAATTTTCTATTTTTCCCTTTTCAGTTGGTCACTTTATTGAAACCCCCTGTTCATTCTCCATCTCTGCCTCTCTCTCTCTTGTATACGCAATACTAGTCCCTCATTTTTTTGCAAAATATTATCAATTGGCCTTAGCTGTTTTTTTTTTTCTTACATACTTTCGGAGCCACTTGCGTCTCCTTTCTTTTTTTTACCTTTTTCACCCCCACCTCTTTGTTCCCTTGGAGTCGATGTGGAAACGTTCACCTAGATCAGAGGACTACTCTGGGAACGACTCAACTCACCATTCTCTCACTGAGCTGGGCTTCCTAGGTCGATCCAAAAAGTCCAAAAGTAAGTTTTGTGTCCTTTCGTGTTCTTCTGTGTCTCTTCGTGTCTCTATCAAATGAGGGAATCTGGTTTAGAACCGGATGTCCTAGATCTGAGACCATTGTGGCCTGTTCTAGATGCCTCATGGCAGAAAAAGTCAGACTAAAACCGCGCCTGCTCCCCTGACTCGTCTTGGTTATTCCCTTCTCCTCTGTTATCCACTACGAATCCTGGCAAGGCTTCGGCATAAACTGCCCCCCATGTGTCTCTAGTCCAGTTGCCCACTCGAAGCGCATCCCACCTTGCTAACCAGAAACCTGTGACGTACAGAATTCCAATCGCAGCCAGAACACTCCTCTCGTTCACCTCTGCGCTCATTCCGTTCGTTCAGCCGTAACGGGGAAGACCGACCAGGTAGTAGCCTTTCCAATTTGACCGAAATCACCCGGCCACGAGCACCCTCAACAGTCGCCGGCTCGATTCATTCTGCCTACCCCGAGTCCACCGTCCAGCCAACCCATTCAAATCGTTCACGAGCATCCTTCCATTCAAGATCGGGACAAACCACAAGCGCCATGGAGGTCGATCGCGCCCGCACCCGGAGGGAGAGGACCTTTGTCGGTAGTGAATGCGCCGTCTGCGAGGAACCCTTGGAACACACCCTGCGCGGCGAGCGTGTTTTACAACTCTCGTGCTCCCACGTCTCCCACGAGGCCTGCTTCTATGAATATATTCGGGATTATGAATCACAATACTGTCCAACGTGCAATTCACCGTTGGCGTTGGACACGAGTCGCGGCGGGAATGTATTGGATCTCGGTATGTTCCACGTGGGGGGTTGCAAGGGGGCAGAGGCTAATCTCATTTCATGCAGAGAAAATCGGCAACATTGTTCGCTCTGTGACGACGACTGACACAGCTACAGTGCGCAGTGGTTTGACAACGCCGACTCCATGGGAACAACCCTCAAGTCGACGACCGCCGAGCGATGCCGGAAGTCGGTACACCTCGGCCACCCGGGAGCCACCCTACGTCCATTCCGGGAGAGAACCGTCTTACAACCCTTCAGCCAGGGAACCGTCGTATAACCCCTCCGCAAGAGATTCATCCTACCACCGTCGGGACAGTCGCGATACGAGCAGCCAGCGCGAGCGTGTGGAGCGATTGGCCGGCTCTCAAACTCGTCAACCCCACTCCCGCAACGGCAGCGCGGCCGGCTCGTCGGGTGACTACAATGACGGCCAGCACACCAGCAGTGGACGTCGCCATGATTACGATGTACAGGCTATGGAGTCGGATGTCTCGCCCCGTCCGGGAGTGGCCAAGAACCCGATCCCTGCGCCGCTGGTGACTGTCCGAAGCGAGTTCCCGACAATGAATCGTTCCCGCCAGCAACAGACCCTCACGTGTCTGATCACTGTCGAAGTGCCAGATGCCAATTGGCGCCCTGACGTAGATGATTTACGGCACACGCCTTCTGGACAGTCGCAGCCGGATGAGCCATATACCGGACGATTCGGCGGCCAAGATGCTCGGTCCATTCAGTATGAACCAGCGGAGAATATGGAAGAAGTTGCCGAGGAACTGCGGAATCGGGTGGACAACTGGCACGGCCTTGAGTATCAACGATTCGGCAAGTTGCGCCTGCATGGACAAATGCGCGTGGGCAAGGATCGGCATTCTTGGCAGGAGCTGGAATGCTACCTATTCGCGGAGATGCTTATCTGCGTCAAGGAAAAGAAGTCCAGTGATTCGAACGCTTATGATGCGAATGGGCGACCTAAGCCCGTTCGGTTCAGTCTCAAGGGCTCGATCTTGATTAAGAAACATCTCAAGTCACTCGATGTGTCGCCGGATGAACCCGTTCTTGCCTTGAACCTTTCTGTCAGCGAGCTGCCTTGCTTCTATCTTCGCTTCCAGGACCGTGGTCAGCTTGAGACTTGGCGTCGGTCGCTACTTGACTTGCACCCGGAGGCCATGCGCCAGAATGACTATGACTATGACAACTTGGAGGAGGATGACTACCGTGGCAGCCGTGGAGTCCACCGACAGGCTTCTGTCTCTTCTTACGGCGCAGGCAAGTCCATCAACACCGCCATCACCGACTACACCAACCCCGATTCAGACTCTCCTTCGATCAACACAATTCACATTCCCCTTGACCTCGTCGTGGTCATCCCAGTTTCGTCATCCATGCAGGGCTTGAAGATCACCCTCCTGCGTGATGCTCTCAAGTTCCTTGTTCAGAATCTGGGCCCTCGGGATCGGATGGGGCTGGTCACCTTTGGCTCGAGTGGTGGCGGTGTGCCTCTGGTCGGTATGACCACGAAGTCCTGGGCTGGATGGTCCAAGATTCTCGGATCAATCCGGCCGGTGGGCCAGAAGAGTCTCCGGGCGGACGTGGTCGAGGGTGCTAACGTTGCCATGGACCTCCTGATGCAACGCAAATTCAACAACCCCGTCTCGACGATCCTTCTGATCAGCGACTCATCCATTTCTGACCCTGAAAGTGTCGATTTTGTGGTTTCCCGCGCGGAAGCTGCTAAAGTCAGCATCCACTCGTTCGGTCTGGGGCTTACCCACAAGCCGGATACTATGATCGAGCTGTCGACCCGCACCAAGGGTTCTTACTCATACGTGAAGGACTGGATGATGCTGCGGGAATGTGTCGCCGGATGTCTCGGTGCATTGCAGACAACCTCCCACCAGAACGTCAAGTTGAAGCTCCGCCTACCTGAAGGATCGCCGGCGAAATTCGTCAAGATCAGTGGCGCCCTTCATACCACCAAACGTGCAACTGGCAAAGACGCAGAAGCCGCACTGGGCGATCTTCGTTTCGGCGACAAGCGCGACGTCTTGGTTCAGCTCGTCATCCAGCCCGACAACGCCACACAGGATAACATGCCCCAGGACCCGTGGGAGAGCCTGGTCTCCGGGTTGGAGGCTCTCGGCGGCTCGGATGCCGACGAGGGACGAGTGCTGAGCGTCGAAGAGGTCCCACTGATCCAGGCGGATCTCACTTACGGCGACTTGCTCCGAGATGGCCACCTCACCCACTCGCCTCGCCCTTCGCTTTTGGCTATTACCATGCTGCCCGCCAACCCTCGGGCTAAGAATGGACGCCCCGCAACTCCTCCCATTCCTCCCCATCCGTCCATTGTGCAGCGCCGCATGGAGCTGCTCACTTCCGATATGCTGACTCGGGCCCTTACCCTGGTATCTCGGGGCCAGCAGGATCGCGCCATGCATCTCCTCAATGAAACCCGTAGCATTCTCAAGGGCCTAGGCAAGGGCGGCTTGCCGCCTCTGCCCCCAGGTGCCCCCCGGTCTGACAGCGATGATAGCCGCGGCGACACGCCAGTCTCTGCGTCCTCTCCCAGTCAGCCTTCGTTTGCTGGCACCCAGTCCTCCGGATCTGACACCAACACCATCACGCCACCCTCGTCAGTCGATGCGCAGACCATGTTTGCTCTCAACGCAGACCTCGAATCGGCGCTGGAGTGGATCAACCATCCGGCTGTGTTCAGTCGTGATTCTCGCAAGGCAGTGCTTCAGAGCATCGGCGTTATCTCTTCCCAGCGCGCTTACACCTTCCGCACGCCATCCGAAGCCCACTGGGCTCAGCGTGTCTCTGGTGTACGTCGCTTGACAGAGCGATCCCAAGACTGGCGTGAGACTGGTGACGATGCTTTGACTGAGGAGTAGTCAATGTCTTGTTCTGCGCTTGTTTCTGCTACTGAACCTTCCCCCCTGCAATGCCCCTTTGCCTCATATCCCAAACTTGTACATACTGCGTCGAGTTATTTCCTCCCCTTGTCTTTTTTTGCGGTCTTCCTTTTTCCATCCCGATGATACCATTTTGTTCCCATGACTACGCAATATGATACCAGGGGCTTTGTTCCGTTTCCTCCCATTGAATTCATGCTGTTTATGGATCTCCATTTCTATGTAATTGCTCTTGGCGGTCTTTATGCGCGGGTGGTGGTCCTGTTCTTGCTTTAATATGATGTGGACTTGATTGAATGCATAATTTATCTTGACTCTGTCTCGGGTTCGTAGCTATACACAGTAGAAGTGCTTGTACTGCTATACACAGTAAGATCATATTGGATGCCTGGGTGCCTGAGGCATCACAGGCGCGATATAGAACCCCGTGAGTTTTCTCTCTCTCCCTCTCTCTTTCTCCTCTTCGTCCATTGACTTATATACTCATCTCTTCTGATCCATCTTGATATTGTATTTCTATGCCATCTCTAGCTTGTACGGAGTACATACACAGTACTGGGGGCTTTACGCTCGTGACGGAATCCGAGTTCGGGAGATAGCGTCTTATCTCCGTATCTCGTCAGATCGACCTTGAACCTTACAAAGTTCCAACCTACACTTCCAGTACATGCAGCACATATTGGCCTTCTACAGTCCCACTCAATTTACAGCTGATAGCGACCATGCTCCACGCGACGGGCACATGCCGCGCATACGCGCACTTATTCCCGAAGACCCTCAAAGCCGCACCACCAACCACGCGCGCATACTGCACCCCCCAGCTATTCACCCACCGAGCTTGTCTACGATCCCAGACGATATCCACCAGACAACCTCCATACCATACACCTCCAACCAAGCGCACATTCTCCTCAACCCACCACAGCCACTACCAAAGACAATACCAATACAACCGATTCCAAGGCCCGCGCCAACAACTCCTCTACCGGCTCATCCAGAATGCAAAACCGCACCATTTCGTCATTATTGGCGTCGGAATATCCGGTGTCTATATATATAACACGGAGACTGTCGAAATAACAGGTCGACGGCAATTCAACTTCATCTCTCGCGTCCAAGAACTCAAAATGGGCGAAGAGAGTTACCGTGAGATCCTCGCTTCTGAGCGCGGGAAGGTTCTGTCTGATACACATCCGCTGACTCGTATGGTCAATGGTGTGTTGCAGAGGTTGATTCCACAGGCGGAGGTTGAGGGCGCTGAGTGGAGGGTTCATGTTATTGATGATCCTAAGATGGTCAATGCTTTTGTTCTTCCTGGGTAGGTATTCTCTTTTCTTTTCCTTTGGTGTTATGTGTTTGGTATAGTGGAACATTTGCTGATATTGGTTTGACTAGTGGGAAAGTATTTGTCTATACGGGTATACTGCCTGTTTGCAAAGATGAAGATGGCCTAGCTGCTGTTCTAGGACATGAGATTGCACATGTTGTAGCTCATCATCCTGCAGAGCGTGTGAGCAATAGCTTCCTTACACTTGGGGCTGTTTTTGCTGTCTCGTTCTTGTTTGATGTTTCCGGACACTTTTCTTCTTTTCTTTTGAATCTTATGTATAGCTTGCCGAATTCGCGGACGCAGGAGGTAAGTTGTATACATCCTGATTCTATTCCCTGATTCTGTTTCTGTGGTTGGCTAACATTGTGAACTGATCTAGGCTGAAGCAGACAACATCGGACTTAGTATGAAACCAGAAATGATGATTTAGGAGTCTGACTAACAATCTCAGTGATGATGTCCAAAGCCTGCTTTGACCCTAGAGCAGCTGTTGAATTGTAAGTTATAACTGAATTGCATCTTGGACTCGGACTATACTCATACGCATACTAGATGGGCTCGCATGCACGAACAGGAGAAACAGGCTCCGCCACAGTTCATGTCCACTCACCCATCGGTAAGTCTGGATAATATTGGTATGTACTAAGGGAGTATAGCTAATCTGTGGCAGAGTTACAATCGAATGGAAGCTATTCAAGGATGGTAAGATCCTGTCGTCCCCAATGATCAATGTGATATGTGATCAGACTAACTTAATGGATCAGGCTTGACAAGGCTGAAGCAATATACGACGAGAATGGGTGCAGGGCTACCCAAGCATATAGTAAGGCCTTTCCCTTCAAGTTATATACTCTTTATAGGAGGCTAATCTCTCCAGTGCCGGGTTTCCATTCTGCTTATAACTCGGTTCGCAGGTCTCCTTTCTGAGGTGAAATGGCCAGATCTATGACTGGTGTGAATGAATGTATTAATATTATGAAGAGTCTTCCCTCACAGAAGATAGAATCAAGTCAAAATCCTTCTCGAGCTACTGCCAGAGTTCTGCATGATCGAGGCGTTTGGTATTCGTATGATTACGGCCGATGCGATTACTACAGGTCTTCATGAGTTTTGCAAGACCAAAAAGGTCAACACATGGTTTTGCTTCGCTTCTCAGATCCTCGATGTCCATCATATGCGTCACAGCACTCTTAGTGCATTTGATCACCGTCGGATGTCTGGACTGCGTAAAGAACTATCGATGACTACCTGAAGGGTTTCCAGATCACACCCTCCGCCCAAATTCTGGCCCAAGGAGGGTGCTGAATACATCAAAGATATACGTTTTACCGTGGAATCGAGATTCCATGTATAAGCGAGTGATCACTGAGACACAACCTACTACCTATGAGGGTTATCTTATGTCTGGGTTGACTTGGATTAATGAGCTTATCTTCATGATCGATGGTCTACTGTGATGGCTCTATCATGGTTCATATGTTTGATGCTGTCGCATCCTAGTGTACACAATGTATACAGTATTGTACATCACTTCAGCGCCATAAGCTTAGGAGGTAACCCAGGCTCAAAGCTCACATCATCCCACCGATCCTCCAACTCGACAAGACCCTTCCTGGGAACATTAGCCGGCAAACCCCTCTCCTTAGCAAGAGTATAAACCGCCCGACCAGCATCTACCAAACCATCCTGCCTTAGCAGTATAGCGAGAATAAGACCCGCAGCACCATCCCCCATCTCCCAAGCAAGCTCATACCAATCAATGGCATGTTTCCGATAATCCTCCCTCGAAAAAAAAGGATTAATCTTCCCATCCGCCCATTTCACAATCGACTGCACCCAACTAGGACCCTTTCCAGGATTCTCCGCCTCCCCAGACTCCGCCGCCCTCCTCTCAGCCAGCGTGGGAATCTCCCCCTGGGAAATCTTATAGTAGAAATTGGCCAGATACAGACACGCAGGGAGATGTCCAGTAACAGCCGCTATACTCATATTTGACTCATAACCATCCCAGTCACTAGTCTCAAGGAACAAGATAGCCAGATCAGTCAAAGCAACGGGATCATGATATTCTATAGCAGCATGCATCATAGCAGCCTTCATATCCTCGAGGCCGTGCGTCTGTGAAAGGGCGAGACTTGCCATGCGCACGGGCGGGTCGATGGAACCCCCTAATGTCAGGTCTTCGAGAGGGTGCGGTGGCACGAGCGAGGGCTTGGTGTAGGGCACGATTTTGTTTTTTAGGAGGTCGACGGCGCCGGCGTAGTCGCCGCGCCAGAGGAGGATTTGAATGTAGAGTGTGATTGCGGGTGGGAATTCGTCGTGTAGGGCGAGATCTTTGAGTTGTGCTATGCATTCGGTGTTTAGTTGGATGTCTGAGTGGTGGCGCAGGTAGTATGAGACGGTGTGGACGATTGCGCGCCGGGATCCGGCTCTTGCGCAGGCGCTTTGGGCCCAGATGAAGATGTTGTGGGCTTTGGGGATATATGCGTCGCTTAATCCTAGGAAGAGGGACATTCGGAAGAGGGCGTCGACGTCTGTGGTATTATGATTAGTATTTTTATGCAGAATTGGTTTCTCTGTTCTTTTCAAACTTACCTACTGAGATGGCCCGGATGGTATTCGCCGTGGGAAGCTTGGAGTGAGCAGATACGATTATCTCTTGAATCACTCTGTCGAATGTCTCCAAGTTGATGCCCGGCGGCATCAACGTTTGGTGGAACTCGTATAAAGCTTTTTTGTTTTGGTTGAAGGCATTGAGCGAGTCCGATACATCTGATGTAAGGTGATCAATGACAAGACCACTGCCGTCGATTCGCAGTCCCTCTTTGGTTCTCCAACGTTGCCCCTGCGTAGGATTTTCAGCGAGATGTCTGGCGCGTGGTGATCGACGAGGTCGAGCCGACCATATCGGGGTCGTGTGAAAGGCTCGTTTCGAGGGTTGCGCGTTGACAGCTGTGACTGGTGCGCCATGGCGGAGCATATGGACTTTCGGGGAGCATTGGAATAATCGACACCATTGTAATGAAAGCAATGGTTTAGACATGGCGAGGTTGGTGGTGAAGGGTGGTGGGTGAGGGGAATATTTTGAAGTTCGGAGAAGTCACGAGCTCCGAGATTTTGGCCCGGCCATGTCAAGACTCGATTCTCACCATTCAAAGTCCATTCTACACAGTACACAGTACACCCCAGGTTTACAAAGAGAATAAAGCGTGCTAAATGCATCAATTAACCAAAGACCTCTGTACCAGATAGTCCCCAACAATGCGTATAATGTACATTTTGCCTTGAGGCCAAACACAATAAAATGCCCATCTCAAGCAATAAACAGACAAAGCGAAGGACATTCACCCCTCCAATCTATATCCCCCTTAGTAAACCATCTACTCCAGAACAGCCTTAGCACCAAGCGCCTTAAGCGTCTCAACAATCTTCTCCGCCTCCTCCTTGGGCACAGACTCCTTCAGCACCTTAGGCGCAGACTCGACAAACTTCTTGCTGTCAACCAACGACAGACCGAGCATGGTCTTGATCTCCTTGATCACCTTGGGCTTGGAGGTAGCCTCGAAAGACTCGAGCTTGATGTTGAACAGTGTCTTCTCCGCGGCAGCAGGGGCAGCCTCCTCCTCCTCGGCGACGGGAGCGGCCGCTCCGGGGGCACCGCCGGCAACGGCGAAGCCGCCGACTGGGAGATCGGGGATGTTGAGGCGGGTCTGTGATTGTCTTAGCACATTGAATTGGGCAATCAATTGGACATATCAAAGGGACATGAGATTGATGCAATTGCGTTTGCTTCCGGGACTGAAAGACTATAAAAAAAACACACCTTCAAGCTAGCAACCAAATCGGCAGTCTCCAGCAGAGTCAATGTGCTGATCTGGTCGACAATCTGGGAGATCTTCGGGTTCGTAGCAGCGGCCTGGGTGGATTCACTGCGCCGGCTGCTGGGTGTGCGACGGGTTGTGAGGTATGCGGAGGTCGCGATGCGCAGGGAGGACGGGCGGACGGAGCCGGAGAGCTGTCTGGCGCAGCGGGCTGCGGCCTGGGTGGTGAAGGACATGGCGGAGGTGAGGGTGAGGTCGGGAGCTCCGGAGATGGCTGGATTAGAGGAAAGTGGTGGGGATTGGAATCGCGGCTCGTTGATATCAAGACCGAAAGGAAACATTCGAGGAAAATCTGGGAGTGGCACGTGATCTGTGCCTTGATGCCTCAGGCGGATGTTTTATCAGGCAAACAGGCGAACCAACACGATACATAGTGACAACTTATAATCGCTTTGGTGTTGATTGTTACTTCTTACTCCTAGAATTGAGCATTGAACTAAGAAAGCAAATGAATACCTGAAGAGAAAGTAACCAATTTACAATTCAAAAAAGCCGTATCGTCGTACGAAGATCTATCAGGCCTATTACTGTATACAAACAGCTCGCTCCTTTTTAATTTAGTCCTGGTCCCAGTCACCTCCACCCTGCGGAGGCTTAGGACCTCCAGCCTGTCGCGAGACAATGATCTGGTCAACGCTCAGCACCGTCCGGGCAGACTCACTAGCCAAGCGAATTGCAGACATCTTCGTAGCCATGAGATCTAGAATACCCTCCTCGACAGTGTCCAGAGTGCCGTCAGACTCGCCAATCTCAAGATCCACACCCGTAGTCCAGTAAGGATCCTCCTCTTCAGACGAGCTGCCTTCCTCCTCGGATGACTCGCCGGCAACGGGGGCGCGGTGGTGTGCGGTGTACAGACGCGAGAGAACCTCGGTGGCATCGAGACCGCCAGACTCGGCGAGCGTCCGGGGGATGACCTCGAAGGCCTCGGCGAACTTGCGGATGGCGTGCTGGGGCAAGCCAGGGGTTCGATCGGCGAAGTTGGAAATGCGCTCGACGAGCTGGATCTCCGTAGCACCGGCACCGGGCACGAGACGGGGGTCCTTGGTGATGGCCTTGACAACATTGACGCCATCGTCGATGGCACGCTCGACGTCCTCCAGGTGGTTCTGGGTGGCGCCGCGCAGGACAATGGTGGCTGTGCGGGTGATAGCATTGACGTCCTCCTGGCGGAAGACGGTGACTCGGTCACCGCCGATCTCGGTGGTCTCGACGATGTCGATCTGGCCCATCTCATCGGGCATGGGGGCACCCAGACGGGCCAGGGGTGTGGCACCGACAACGCGGCACAAGCGGCGGAGCTCGAACTTGGACAAAATCTTGATAACCAGGATATTGAAACGATTGAGGTAGTGCATGGCCAGATCGCCGACAGTGGAGCCGGCAACGACCACGCGGAGACCGGAGTCGTAGAGCTCCTTGATGGCAGTCTCTAGACGCTCCTCCTCACCGGTTCCAAAGTCCATCATCTCCTGGGCGTTCTTCAGAAGAACCGTGCCCTTGGTCTCGGTCTGGCTGATATCGATGGGGCAGCTGAACACGCCAACCTTGGCCTTGCTGGCCTTCTTGACAACTCCATCCGGTGGCCGGGGGAAAACCATGCCCTTAATCACTTTCGACTGTTCCAAACTACCGCCCATAATCTTAACGACTCGCACGTTGTCGACGTTGAAGTTGGCGGGGTTTTTGGGCAACACAGCCAGAACGGCTTCCGCAACCAATGCAGCCAACGCATCCTCGGTACCGGACTGCTTAGAAGCCACCACTGTGCGGAGAGCCTTGCTCAATTCTGCTGTCGATCGCATATCCTGGAGTCTGTCGACCTCGAGTTCTAGACGAAGTTAGAATCCCCACTTGTACATCGACCACACCACTTATCGATAAACATACCTTCTAGGGTAGACAAGGCAAAGTTCTGAGCCTTCTCGTATCCAGAAACAATATCGCTCGTCGTCAGACCCATGCGGATCAGCTCCTCTGCCTTCTTCAACAGCTCACCAGCCAGCATAATAACCAAGTTGGTACCATCGCCCATCTCCGCATCCTGCTGCTGACTCGCCATCACAAGCAGCTTAGCAGCGGGGTGCACAACATCGAGCTCGCGGAGAATCGTAGCAGCGTCGGAGGTCAGGATCATCTTCTGCAGGTGGTTGATGACGATCTTGTTGCGGCCATAGGGGCCCAGGGAAGTCTGGACTGTACCGGAGATAGCCTGGCAGGCTTCGATATTACGGATGACGGCTCCATCTTCGGAATCGTGGCTAGATAATAAGACACGGCGTTAGTCAATTGCTTCTTTTCGAACCGCTTTTGAGGAGGGCCAGATAAGGAGGTCCCTATTTGCGGTGGGTTTTCGACTTTTTCCAACTCACCTCTGGTACCCGGGCTTGAAAAGACCCCCTTGGGAGGGACCGGGAATTGTGAGAGACATGATATTAGGTCGCGTTCGAGGAAATGCGACTGGATATCAAAAGGGTTGATGTGAGGGAGAGAGCTGTTGTGTCGGGCAATTTTTGGAGCTGCGGTGGTGGGTTTGCTCCGTTTGCACGAGGGGGAGCCAGATGCTTGGCGGGCGAGATATAGATCGGCATACACAGTCCGGAGTACACAGTACTCTGTAACTACACATTGGAGTCTCAATTTATTATGTTCTTTGGACTGGAGAGTGGAGTCTGGATTAAGGATTTTATTTTCTCGGTTTCTGTATGCGAGGGAAAGACTCTTGAAAATATCAGGAAAAGGCGAAATACTCGACCCTTGACCAGGCAGAGAGAGAAATGGCATATACTCGGGTCTCAGACAATAAGATCCCTCCGCAAGATAACCTAGCATGCTTGGCACAGGGTAGACTGTTAATGATACACACTATTCCCTAGAGCGGTAAGCAAAACCATAGCAACCACAAACGATCAAGCTGCCCCAGATATCCCCGGTAGCTCTTAAATAGCTAGCTCCATTGAGAACCTGCTTCAGACAAGAATGCAAGCCGATGTTCGGAGCGCCATTGTCGGCACCAGGTTGAGAGGCGAAGTATTCTTTGACGAGATACTGTAAACGTTTGAGTGACCGTCCGCTAGCGCCAGCTAGCTGACTACCTGTCTGGGATGGGGATGGTTCGAGGAGTGATAGTCATGGAGCGACAGTCGAGCAGACTAGACAGCCGAGACACGGTCAGAGAAGCATTGTCTCCGTCTTGTCGTAAAGCAGGATAGGTAATCTGGTCCAACCCAAGAGCGATGATAAATTTCGGTAGAGGTCAGCAGTCGACTGAGGAACATGATAGGCTCAGTTGTATTCGCTGGAGGGGGCTTGGATAAGTCGAGGTGAGCGTAGTCTTTCTTGACGTGGTAGATAATGACGCCGAAGCCGGCCTCTTGCGAGGCGTCAATGTCCACATATGCTTGCCTAGTACTGTTCCAGTGCACCTGTCAGGTCTCCGCTTTTATGGGCCGCGGAAAACACTTTCCAGCAATTTGCGACATAACGTTTCAACCTCTCCTGAAAGCCGTCCGTTTCACCTTCATTCGCGGGATCTATCTGTCGAAGGAAGTGTTCCTTCGGAGAGACATGAAGTTTGTGCAGGATCTTCACATCCTCAACACTAAAACCCTTGCAAAGGCTTCATAGTCGTCCTCTGTGAAGCGTTGGATTCTAAAGAGATTCTCCTCTTGCCTGTTTATTTGTATCCAGGCCGCGAGTAGATTATGTTGATAGGGCTCGTCGGCAGCCCCGTCCGGAAGCCGGGCCAGTCAATACCGTCAGACCGTGACAGTCGTGTCTTCATGGGCGCAACGTGGTACTCACTACTCGGCATATATGAGCAGAATCGATTGCAAGGCGGCGCGTTTTGCTCATCTGGTGCAGACGGGCCAGGCTTAGAGGGTCGTTGGAAAAGTTGCTTATCATCCGGGTGCCACTTGGCCGGGATGCTTTCTGGAGTATCAGACATCCTTCCTCGTTGTTGGGAGCCCAGGTGTGGAGCCGTCAACTGCGGGCGAGGCCCAGGCGGTACGGCTTCGCCTATGCTCTTCTCATCTTGCGGGACGAGCTCGTGTCTGTTTTTCTTTTCTGACCTGTACTCGTGGTTGAGTTTCTTCTGTGTTGAAGAGTTGAAGAGTTCGAAAGAGAAAGAGAAAGAGCTCCAGGGTTTGGAAGGCCCAACTAGCAAAAAGTTAAACTCATGTGACGCTTACCGGACAAGCTATCTGACGCAGCAAAGTAATTCACCTCACTACCGAGCTGGCAAACCGCCGAGCTGACCTCCAAAACACATAGTAAATGCGATATATTGGTAACGTCCCCATACTGGCTTGAACTGTTTCTCATTATGTTGGTTATTCTGGTAGCGCTCGGACAGCGCTGAACCCGAGCGCTACCAGAACAAACGACATAATGAGAAACAGTTCAAGCTAGTAGTATGGGGCGAAGACCCCAGAACGATCAAGATACTGCGGGGACCTGGAACACTCCTCCGGGACCACAGCAGGGGAAGGGTGCCTACTCTGCGAGAATGTTACGCGGCCAATGATAACGTAAGTCCCGTTATACGAACCGATGCGGGCCCTGTCAAGTAATACCACGGGTGACGGCCCGACGGGGGCCTGACGGTGGACTCGATAACCTTACACAGTACTGTGGAGTGTGGACATTGGGGGAGCAGCGGCATGGGTTCGGCTCCCTGTTGTACTTGTAGCGGTGGCAGCACATTACCTCGGTTTCATCAGGCTAAGAGGGAGTGGACAGGGGAAGTATGCCTGAAGGAGGAGGTCACACTGTCGAAGTCTAATAACTAGTATCTAGTAGTAGTGTCTTGGAAGAAACGGTGTGCATGAGTGTTTGTCTCTCCGGAACATACTAGTGCCGTTCCGCAGCAGGGAGATCACATGGCCTGTCTTGGCAAGGAGGGACCTCGTTTCGTCACACAGCTACCTCCCCACTAGTTACAGTATAGATCCTAGTTATGACCCCAAAGACCTAATGCTTCAAGCTTGTTGAGTTACTTGTTACTGTGTTGTAATTTGCCTCGCAGCCTCTTTTACTATGTGTTTTGGAGTGGCCAGCTCTCTAAGATTTGTCTTTCGTTTTCCCCAATGGATTCACTCTATATTCTTCCTTTCCACGCCTGAGCAACATTCATATCTCATATCACATCGTAGTCCATATGGAATTGTCAGGATTGACAGTATAGAGCAAGATCAAACGCCTCAAGAAACACCAGGACACATCATACAACAACCAAGTACCTTGACGAAGGAATCACTTCCTCTTCTTCCCCTTCCCTTTCCCATGTCCCCTAGTCTTCAACTCCAAAAACCCCATCTCCTTTAATCCCTCCGCCAAAATCGACGAATCCCTCATCCCCGGGAAATCCTTCGCAGGATAAACACGAAAAGCATCCGACCAGGCCTCTGCAAGAATAGGCATCGATTGTCCCGTATCCTCGACTGACCCCCAATTCATCAACCGGAACTGCAATCTATACAGACCTGCAGAGCGAATTGACAGATCCGCGAAAATAAAGAATGTCGCTGGTTGATGGAGACGGGATGCGTTGTTGTTGTTATGAGGGAGAGGAAGGGTTGATGATGGATGTGTTGGGGCGGAGTTTGGGTCTGGGTCTGCGTCGACGTAGAAAGGAGACATGAAGGCTTTGCCGGAGAGGAGGGGTGTTGAGAGGGGGTCGTCTGTTCGGGCTATGTCGTCTTTTTCTTTGTCTTTGTCTTTGTCTCGCGTCCGGGTGGGTTCTGTTTCGGACCAGGAGGATGAGGTGGATACCGGGAAAAGGAGACAGCCTACGGTGAAGCGGGGGTCTTGGAGGAGGTCTCTGTCTTCTTGGGACTTGGAGTCGAAGTCTGTAAGGAGGATTTGGACGATTGGGGGTGGATCGACGGGGCGACGGTCGCGGTCGCCTGCGCCGCAGGCTCTTGCTGCGATGGGCTGTTGACGGATGTGCAGGTGGTATCTGGACTGAGTGGATGGACGTCTTGACTGTGGAGGAGGAGATTGGGGTACTGGTTCGTGGTGGAGGAGCTTGTCGAAGCCGTGGGGCATTCTGTAGTTTGCGTTCCGGGATTGGGGTTTTAATTCTTGGTGGGTGAAGGGTAGCATGGGATTGAATGCATGCGTTGTCGTGCTTTTATCTGACCAGACGGGGCTGGGCATTGCCGTGGAACTGCTGCTGGGTCTGTATGGGAAGTCAGAACGTTCTTGCAGGGGTATCGTGTCTTCTGGCTCTGTCTCTCTCTGCGTTGTGTAACCTGTCACAGATGTGACGTGAGAAGGGGAAATCTCGAGCCAAGGGACAACACCATCAGGACGGACCACTGACAGATAAGAGGTTCGGATCGACAGCAACGAAAAGAGAGGGACTTTACTGGGACTCCACGTCGTACGTCCGGCTCCGGTGACCATCATAGTCCCGGGCAGGGCCCAACGCTGGGTTGATTCTCTCTTCGTATGGGTTGTAATGATCCCGGGCTTCAGAGCTTGCCGGGGGTGGATGATACGTTCGCAGCGGTAGCGCCTGTTGCGTAGGCTGGAAGTTGATGTACGCATTGTCGGAAGGCAGATAGCGTGGGTCTGCACTTCTTTCCGAAACCAAAGCCGGAAGCCGGGGACCAAAGTGCGTTGTGCTCTCGTAGCCCGCATGTTGAGGTAGAGCATGTCGAGGCTCTTGTCGGTATGGATAGGGGAAAGGTATCGGTCCGCCGTGTTGGGTGCGGGGAGCCGAGTCAGGGTGAGGCCATTCCGGCGTGGGACGCCCACATTGCTGTGATGGTGGCCGCGACATCTATCCTCCTCTTCAAGAGCCGACAGGTGCTCCCTGTGTTATTCCGTGGGTATTGCGTAGTGCCGGATTCGGATTGGGTTCGGCTGAGGCATTGGATACAACCCAAGTCAGGTAATCAAAGAGAGAGGTCAATGCTTCCTGGGCAGAATTATATAGGTACCAGGGGACGCAAGGAAGTGAGTAGCAGAGAAACACGTCAAAATGAATGCATATCCTGGAATCGGTGGTCAGAACAAAGGCATCTGATAAGCCACATGTGAATGCAGTCGGTTAACGGCCAGACCAAACCCACTCCGAATAGCGTTTCTTCCGGGATGTAAGATTGGAGCTAGTATTTCTCTCGGGGGTTTTCCTTGATCACAGATGTTCCCACTTCAAACTGAAGCACTGGAAGATTGTCCACGCACAGTAGGCTAACATTCCACGGTTTCTCCAAGACAGCCAATCATCCCAAGCTGGATATGACAGGGGATACGAGTGAGACTGATATCGAAGTCTAGAAATTTCTTTTTGCCGGTTGACAGAGCCACAGCCTTGTACGGAGTACAGTGCGCTATGGTCTATATCCACCGATGATGACAAAAGGGAAGAGCCGGGGGAGGGAACGGGCCGAGTGGGCTTCGCCACGAGAAGGGGAGACTACCAGTCTAAGTGGGTGCCTGTGACATGGGTGTGGGATGTGCCTCCATGATTCAGGTGCGTGGTGGATGCGCTAGGTCTGTTCCTGACAGAGACCGGTGCCCAAATGTCTCTGATGTCTCGAAAGACGGTCAGGCAATGGAATATAAGTGGAAGCCGTTCTGCATTGTGGAACTCTCATGTGCAATTAAGAAGCTTTCCCTCGGAGACCGGGATACTTGAAGTATCTCTTGTCACTTTCGATGCCTTGTCGCCTGTTTTGACCTATTAGGATATGCTTTGCAGGGCCAAAAAGAACAAGGCAAAAATGAAAAATGAATTCAATGAAAAAAAGGCATGACAAACCGACAAAGTCCTTTGTTTTCTGTGCCTTTTACGAACCGGCTCAACCGGCCGAATTGTATCAAAGAGGAAACTATCGCCTTGTCCTATGTATCTTTGGTGTGGTCTCTGATAGGTGTAAATTGCCCCTGTAACGGGTCATTCGAGCAGAAACCTAAGACGAAGAAACCGATGTTGGGACATGGCTCACGATCATTCGTTGACCTGTCGGGATGTTGACCGACAGGGCTTCGAATGAGACAGCCGGAATCCGAGTTTGAGTCGTAAGTGGCTGGCTGGGGTCGTGAGGCGCGATCATTGGTGTAAGACGGTTACTTGGCAATCCTTCAAGACCTGCCCCCCACATCGGGGAATCTCAATGCTGCATCTAGCCTCACCGAGTCACCGTGGGCTGACCTTGGCGAATAGTCCGATAGTACTCCGTAGATATTTGGTTTCGGAGTATAGTTGAAGAGCATAAGGTGTATCACTAGGAGCAAGCTTTCGGAGGAAACGCCGAAGCATATTTCGGTAAGTTCGCAAGTGTACGGAGTACGGAGTAGCTTCCTGGAAGAGAAGTCAATTGGTCTTGCGCCCTCCACTTGTGGGTCTGTGGTCTTCCACGCGGCACGCCCCTTCTAATGGGGAACCAAGGAAGTTTTCTGGAATTTCCGCTGTTCCGATCGATCTAGTACGTACCGTCAAACAAATGCGGTTGGAGGTGAACAACTGGGTTAGATATAGCTAGACATATGTGAGCATTTCGCCCCGAAGAGAGGAATATTTGTCCCATCATCAGCTTGGGATCCTGCAAAATGCAAACATAAGCGGAGTTGGCCGAGATCATTTGAGCTCCGACATTCGTCGGCAAATGTGGGGACTGAGACTTTGCTAGCCTCCACCGTAGGTTCTCATGTGTATGTTGAAGCCTTGTAGGGTTTAGAACAGGCGCAGATCATCAATGCAAAGTTTTCCCTTTCCTTTAACATGCACCGCCAGACATGGTGGCTGCGGTAGTCGCGCTAGCCACGGTGTAGTTTCCAAGAATGAAAGGATTCATAACGGGTCATGCCGCATGCAAGATGTTGCTGCATGATACTGCAAATGTAGGAAATTTGACTCTTCATGTGCTCATTATCACATCAAGGCCTGCAATAGGAAGAGATGTACAGACTGGATCCCCATTCATAGTCGGACACGTCTAAAACGTCAAGGGGTGGCGTAACCCTCATCCTTACGGTCGATCCTGAGTGTTGCATATGGCGTGAGCGGCTTGGACCTTGCTCGTCTTGTGTGCCCTTGTGTGGAAAAGCCATCTCAGTGCGTGTCGCGAGCGACGAACATCCCTGATGGGGATTGAAGACCGAGATGAGCCGAGCTGGGATCAGCATCCAAGAGATCGGGAGTGTCGATCAGTACACAGTACTGATGATTGGTAGTCACGGGTTGGCAGGACCCTTCCTTGGTGGATTCTACGATATATTGATGCTGCATTGGGTATGATGTTGCGATGGGTATGGTGCTGCAATGGGTATGATGCTGCAATGGGTATGATGCTGCGATGGGTCTTGCCGAGTTGCCGTATTGTTGATAGATGAAGAATAGAGACAGAGAAACTCAAACAGCCTGATATACTGTGAAGACTATGCCCGGTCGTGACTTGACGGGAGCGGTGAAGCTGAGTATTTGAGGAACTAGGAAGTAGCCGAACTCCCGAGGTTTCTGCCAAAGCTTCCTCCCCTCCCACAACACCACTACACCAATACATTGCAAGTATAATGTAAGGGAGTATTGATTCCAGTTATATGCACAGATTTCATGTCTGCATGCTCACTTGAGTTCATGCTACTGGAAAACCGCTCAAACTCTAGATCGGGTTGATATACGTCTCGGTCACAAGCTTCCCTACGACTTTGGGAAGAAGTGGATACCACGACGAGACAATGCTATTCAATTGAGGTCACTTAGCGATGGATGAGACCTCCGGCGGGAGAATGCGTGCCGGCACAAGCAGCCTGACGAAGATCCTGACGCCATGGACATTGATACCGGTACCACAGGTCCACAAATGCCCTTCAAGGTCGCCATACAGCGATTAAGCTTAACAAATCAGATGCGCAGGTCTAAGGCCGTTAAACTGGTATCCCGAGCGTGAAGTATCCAACAGCATGGGAAATGCAAAATGGTTGTATATATTATATGTACGACTCGGAATGCAGAGCTCTGCTTATACAAAAGTAAAAGTATCACCTCCCTTCTCGCGCAACATATTCCCAGTACGGGACGTGCCAACAATACGCTCCAATTTCAGCGCATCCCACTTCGAGAACAGTGCACGCACACCACCCTCGACAGCCTCGAGTAATGCCGCCTGATCAAGACCTAAGAACCCAACAATCTCACTGTAGAACAACGCATTATCCGGCAGCCCGTACATCACCACACGCTTGACGCCACGGATCTGGTAACGACGGAAATGGTGCGCACGCTCGGTATACAGTAGGACAGAGTGACGGCCCGACATGAAGTGACTGCGGGATCGGTTGGCCTCTTTCGGCTCGGTGTACTCGGAGACAGCGCCAAAGGAGACATTTGTTGTCTGCGTGGAGGTGGCGAAGTGGTTGCGCACGCGGACGAAGTCGAGGTAAGACGGAATGAAGATGAGGGTGCCGGTACCGCCCTTGCCGCGCCCGTGTGTGATGTTCTTCACCAGCGTGGACAGGATGGTTGTAGTGAAGTGCTTGAAGCGCGCGTCGGGGTCTTTGATGGGCGAGAGACTGTCAATGCGGGTGAAGGTTTGCTTGACGGAGACGGGGAGCGGGAGCTCGGTGATGGCGCCGGCGTAGGTTGGGGTTGCTTTCAGGCGGCCAGAGGCGTTTTGCATATGCGATGAGAAGAGGGCATTGATCTCCGGGGTGATGTGAGCTGAGATCACTACGGTCTGTCGGACGTGGCGGGCTTGGTTGTCCAAGTACCAGTTGCGAACGCGGCCGAAGTCGCAGCCGTGCGTCTCCTTCGGCTGCAAATTCAGGTGTTGGAAGATGTAGTCGACGTGGTCCCAGTTCTGCATGAGGAGGGCGTCGGCATGGTCGACGATAACCATCTCGATGGACGAGAGGAAATCGTGATCGCGCTTCTTGGCGTCGGCCTGGTCCATGATCGTTCGAAGACCCAGTGGACTGGCGAGGATGATGTCGGAGCTATAGAATTGCGCGAAATACTTGACCGTCTTGCGGGTGAACTTGAGACCCAGTCGGAACATGTCATCGTCGTTACCACCGAAAAGCTCACGGAAATCCTCTGTCTTGTGCTCCCACGACTCATCCTCTGGTGCCGAGAATCCATCGGTGAAGCGCTTTTTGTTTTCTTGCTGTTCGGGCTGGTAGATCCGAGTGATCGCATCGAGAACCTTCACACACGCTTGGCGGGTTGGCAGAATGTAAAGCACCTTGGGTCGGGTGAATCCCTGATCACGGCACTCGATGTCGGTATCTGGGTCTTTAGCTAGACGAGCGTTGTTCTTGAGGACTTGGTCTCGGGTCTTCAGCAGGTGGTTGACGGCGTGCAATGCCATAACCTCACGCAACTCATTCGCGTTGGAAACCGACCGAGCACCATATAGAACGTCTTGGTAGTCAAACAAATAAGGCGAAATAGTCTGGACTTGACCAGTGATTTTGGGCAGGATCTCGGCCGCGCGAGGCTTTAGTTTTTGCTTGAGCTGTAGTTGGATGTTAGCGTAGAAGAGACTATGGATAGATACAGATCAAATACCTTAACGTTGATTGTACTCTTCATCGGCGGAAGAAATGACGCGCTATTTGCTCCAGTGTCGGGAACGGTATGAACCAGCCGTAGCCCATCAACCTCTTTCTTGATCGACGCCCACTTATTCGATTGAATAGGCTCGATCTGCTTGGTCAGATCTGCGCTCTCCGGTAAATTGAAGTGTTTCTCGAAAGCGCCAGTTGGGTCCTCGTCATCATCCACAGCCTCCTCTTCTTCTTCATCATCAGACGGCGCTTGCGCTTCTAATTCGGCATCGACCTGCTCGGGTTCCTCCGCTGTGTTTGCCATTTGGACTTCCTCGTTGGAGCCAGTGGTGACCTTGCGCTTCTTCCGAGCTGGGCCACTTGGTTCATCTGTGTGAAGTAGCTGAAGGAGTTCATTATATGGGCGTTCGGTGCTTTCTTCTTCGTCGCTGCTGGAGGACTCGTCGTCCATAAGGGTATCATCAACCAACTCCTCTTCTGATTGTTCGCTGGCATTATCATCTCCAGATGAATCGTCCGATCTGGCGCATGTTAGCCATGTCAAACTTGAAGCCCAGACATAAGAGACTCACTCGGACTCGTTCAATCGCGAAGTAGCGAAGGAGCGACCACCACGGCCACGACCACGACCACGACCAGGGAAACCACCGCGACCGCGACCACGACCACCGCCACGGCCTCTAGTCCCTCTAAAAGATCCACCACGAGCAGGCATATTGGTAGACAATCAAAGAATGGAAGTTCCAAAATAGCTCGTTCTGGCCGATATGAGAATTTTGGGGGCTTATCTTATCTTAGCGTGAAATTTCCCACACACAAAGAATCGGAACAATCAGAGCGCTCACTCCACTTCAAGGAAAAATTGAACCTCCGAGAATTGAATTTGGCTTGAATCTTGAACCTGCAAGATACATATCACCCCCCATAAAATTCACAATGGCCGAAGATTCTTTCCTTCACCTCGCTCGTCCTTTGGGCCCCGTTAGCGTGGGGACCGCTCCTACTACTGCCCCTCTTAACGTGGTGATCCAACCTCAGGTATGTTGCATGTGTTCTATTTGATCTGAGGGGTCAAGCTCATACCCCCCCAAAGGCAGTCTTCTCCATTCTCGACCACTCTCTCCGCCGTAATGCCGATCAGGAACGAGTCATCGGTACTTTGTTGGGAACACGATCTGAGGATGGAAGCGAGGTTGAGGTCCGATCCGCCTTCGCCGTCGGCCACTCCGAGGCTGAGGACCAGGTCGAGGTCGACATGGAATATCACAAGCAGATGCTGGCTTTGCACTTGAAGGCCAACCCCCGCGAGGTCCTGGTTGGCTGGTACGCCACTGCCTCCGAGCTCAACACCTTCTCCGCCTTGATTCAGAACTTCTACAGCGGCCAGGGTGACGGCACATGGCCTCACCCCGCCGTCCACTTGACAGTCTCCACCGAAGCTGGCAAAGACCTCGAGACCCGCGCTTACATTTCCGCCCCCGTTGGTGTCACCGCCGAGCGTGCTGCCGACAGCGCCGCTTTCATCCCCGTTCCCTACGAGCTCCGATACGGCGAAGCCGACAAGAGCGGTCTTGAGTCCATCGCCAACGCCAAAGATGCCGAGGACCGTTCTGCGACTATCACTTCCGATATTGAGTCTCTCGAGCGCGCTGTTGAGGAGGTTCTCTCCATGGTTGACCGCGTCGCGCGCTACGTCGAGTCCGTGATCGACGAGGAGACCCCCGCCTCCACCGCCATGGGCCAGTTCTTGTTGAACGCTCTCGCTCTCGCCCCCAAGGTTGAGCCTGCTGACATTGAGCGTGACTTGTACGTTGAAACTACATTCTATTCGCTCATGTATCTGATCACTAACTTTCCACAGCAACAACCACATCCAGGACGTCCTGGTCGTTTCTTACCTCGCCAACACCGTTCGCACACAGATGGAGCTTTCCACTCGGCTAGCCACTGCCCAACTCACCCTCGGCGGCGGCGAAGGCCCCGCCACTGGCGAGGGCAACCGCCAGCGCGGTGGAAAGGGCGGCAACCAAGGCGGCCGTCAACGTCAGGAGCGCACTGAGGAGGCCCGCGCATGAGAGATTCCCCACAGCAAGAATTAGGTAACGCTTATGCATAATGTGATCAATTGCGAAAGGAACTTCCCGCCTTTAAGTGGACGATGTCGCCTCACATTTCCGTTCTATTCTACCCCATTTCCTCCTTGACGTTATTACTTCTTCCGCTTCTTTGTTTACTATCTATCCCTCTACCGCCTTCTTCCTTTCCCCGCTTTTTTCCCGGCTTCTACCTTTTCTTTTTTTGCTCGCGAGGCTTGCATGTTCTCTCCAGAGTTCACGGACCCCTGGTCACGTCCCATTAACGGCTTCGAGCTCGGTCCCTTCTAACCATACGCGGTCTACGTTACGTGGCATCTTGGAGTTGAGGCCGACTTTATATCGTGATTGATATCTCTGGTGGTTGTGGCGGTTGATGACGCTGATGATGTACCCTTCAGCGATAGAGAAAATCGGGGAGTGATAAGCCTAGACTGTTGAGAGGCGATCGCTCCCGTTTACGAAGTCGCATCTTTCTAGGCGCGGCGTTTTCAGTTATGATGAAATGGACATAAAAGTTCTAGAGCTTCCTCGTATTGCACTGTGTAATGGCAGGCTCATTCACCATTTACCCTTCAGCGGATCAAATGCTGTAGAAAGACCCAATAGGAGGCACTGTGCACTGTCATCACAACATTTAAGAGGACTGCAAAATTGCTTGGCATTGATGTTGCCGAGAATGTTTGCCTGCTTGGAGACTTCGCCCACTCCACCGGATTTAACTACGCAGTGAATGCCTCCTGGTACTCAGCAGGAACCCTCCCAGCTAGAGTCGATACGACAGTCTCGGGTGACCGCTGAAGTCTCAACGCAATTACCAATACCGACAGCCCGGTGTGGGGAATGGATCTGTGGAGATAGTGTTAGGTCCACTAGTTAGCGCCGTAGTCCTCAGTAGCACGTCCACACCAGTCGCGGCCAGTGGCCAGCCTGCGAGGATATCTGTGACCAGATCGTGATGCTATGTATAACTTGTCTCTGTGACGCGACGCGACTCGGACACTAGTTCCATCGGACTGGCCTCGAACAATCTTCCACGACACCAATCATGAATTTTTGAGGTGTCAGGTAAAAACCAGAGATTGAGGTGCCCAGAATATATGCTTCAACCCTGCGGGAGGGAGAGAGTCCGTGGTAGAAGGTGGCGGCGAATATCAAGTCTGACTGTCTGGGAGTCATAGCTCTAATCTATGAGGACTGATGAAGACATAAGAGTAGGCGTACGTGGAATTGAAATGTTGACATGTTGTGTAGAATGTAGATGTTCGTCCATGGCTGTGTGGGGAAGGGAACGGCCCCAAACCTTAATTGACTACTCTAATTTGACTATGCGCAAGCTCGCGAATATCATCCATTTGATTAACGCCTGACGGGTATTATTGTGATTTGCTAAGCCTAGCAATGAAACCCCTTGATGTTGTTGACCAACAACTCATCAGAAAAACCCATCCCAACGCCATAACCCAATTATCCATGTAGAGGACAAAAAAACAAAAATTCGTATCTCATAACCCCATCCATTGCAAACCTAACCAGTCTTGCGCTTCTTCGAAACCGATTCCTCAGTAGCATCGGATCCACGACGATTCGCCTTCTTGCCCTTGCCCTTACTCTTCTTAGTATGAGCAGCAGCGGCAGCGGCTTCCGCAGCCTCAGGATCCTCGCCAGCAGCAGCAGCAGCAGCCGCCGCAGCGGCAGCACCCTTCTTGCCAGCTTCCTTGGCAACCTGATCATCATTTTGATCGAACGCCTTACGCGCTTCCTTCAGCTCGCGCTCCATGCGCAGGAGCTCCTGGACACGGCCGAGCTTGTTCGGGTCACGGCGGAGGGCGAAGCGGAAGTCTTCGACTTTGATCTTCTGGCGGCGAGCGTGGTGCGCGACTTGGCCGGCGCCGTGACAGAGTTCCAGCACGAAGTCGGTGATGATCTCATCGAGGACGCGGACTGTCTCCGGGAGGGGTTCGGTGGGGAAGCTTGGGTGGGGGCTTGGGTCGCCGTAGGCCAGAAGGAGGAGACGAACTGTGTAGATTAGTTCTGCGCTTCGCTTGATGGAATCTCTCCTGATGAGGGTATGCGGATGGGTTGCGGGACTTACGCTCATTCTGGAAGTTCATCTGGCCCTTGTGGCGGGCCATGCGAGCACGTGGTTCAGCCATCTTGGGCTTGTTGGACTTATCCTCGTCTTCGTTGTCTTCGTCAGTCGAAGTCGAGTCCGACTTTGATATGAGAGATGGAGTGGGCGATGAAGGGCCTGGAGTAGGTGAGGAGTTCGATGGTTGAGGTTCAGGGGCTGGAGGAGGGAGGGTTTTATAGGGGACTCCAGGACGAGGATCGATTGTTTGCGTAGGATTCGAAGGCGGCGAGCAAGTCGGCGAGCAAGTCGGCGAAGCTATTTCCTCATTTGGCAGGCAAAATGACACCTGCTCGGGCGGGAGGTCCGTGCGTTCGGCGGACATGGCGGGCAGAATATGCTTGTCCTTGGCACATGCAACTGGCAACATCAACTGTCGCAATTTCGCTCTGCCTAAGAAACAGGCGCGGATTTGACGATTGATCACGATGGTAAGTTGTGGATGAGCTAGGCTTGATGCAAATGCTCACTGGTCACTGTCGCGAAACGTGCAACGCCGTATTTGCTCGGCACCGGAATGGCTTCAATGTGCTAACTATCGCGATTGTTTAGACGGCTCTTTTCAACTTCCAGTCACTGCTACTTGTGATTCTGCTCATAATCTGTACGAGCAGCTATGCACACTCAATCATGCCCGGAATCATGGATCGGAATCAGAATGGGTGGGTACTCACTTCGGAATGCGGATGCGGAGAGGGTGGAAGTGAGCCGGAACTGACACTTCGTTAGGGTCTTTGGGATCTTCTGGAAATGTGCAAGAGTTGGAGAGCGGCTCAGCCCGTATGTGAGCATATGCTGTGTCTTGATGGCTGTGAGTGTCCTTCCTGTGGGTCCGGATCTATGAACAGTGAGACTGATGCTGCGTTGCACGCAAGGTCTCGATCTTCTTTGGTGGTTAAACTACTCGCTGGAGGCGTTGGGAGCAACGAAAGCGAGGCGAAGGGAAATTACGATTGGATGCCTGGAGATCAAATAGGTTCGATACAACGTGGCCGTTCCTAATACATTCGGACACTCGGCAGTTGGACCATTGAGACAGTCAGATTATCCAACTTCACATTCGGTGACCTCGAAATAATGATGCAGGTTTCTTACTCTATGTGATGCACTTAGAGACGTTCAGACGAACAACAAGTATTTGATGATGCAATGTATAGTACATGATATGCAGATTTACAAAAGTCTGACTTCTTTAACACCAGTCGGTCAAAGATGCTTCAGGTCGCTCATCCCGCAAAGGCAATATAAAAGACAAAAGGGTATCCTGTTTTACATCTTAGGCTTCAACTTCAACTCCAGCTTCTCCAGCCCACTGTCGATCAGCTCATCACGCTCCTTCTGATCACTGTGCACGTCAGAAGTGGGCTCAGAAGCAAGAGACATGCGAGCTGCATCCGATGCAAGGCTCTCATCCATCTCCTCGATCGCTACCCAAAGACGTTCAGGATCGCGGAGATAGCGCAGACTCTTCATTGTGTAATGATCAATGGCGAAGCCTTCCTTCTCCATCATCGTAATCGCAGCAGCTGTCTCGGGAATATCCTGCGCATTCGCGAAGCCGTTGATTATAGTATTCCAGGTCACCTGGTTGTACTTCACATCATGCTTGGCCATCATGTCTCGAACCTTCTGTGCTGCGTCAGGCTGGCGACTGTAATTGAAGGCACTGAGGAGGATGGTCCAAGTGCGCGGTGTGGGCGCGATAGGCTTGATAGCTTTGCCCTCTGTAGTCTCCTTCGGGAGGGAAGATGTGTCGAGCATGTCTTCGACAAGACGTACGCTAGACCGCAGCCCACGGCTACTCTTGCGGTAGGCGATGAGGAACTCATTATAGACGTGGTCGGTTTCGACCAAAGGAGCAATGGATGGGTGCCCCTGCTGCACGAGCTCGCGGAATCTGTCGTACATGTGATGCACTTGTGAGATCCGATTCCGGCAGCGGAAGAATGTTGCGATCATGAGGAACAAGGATACCGGAGACGGAGGGGTCTTGAGTTCGGGTCCATTGTTTGGTGGGGGTGTATATTGGGGAGGGAGGAGAAGGAGCTCTTTTAGTGGTGTGATGTCGTGAAGTTTGGTGTACATGTCGAGCATGGAGTAAAAGACTCCAGCAGGATCGCTCTCCGGGTCGATATGCTTGGCGGTAAAAGTGAAATGGGCATGGAAAATCTTGCTGAAGATGTAGGGATGCCTTCGTATTTCCTCTTGCATCTCCACTTCCTGAACTAGCTCGTCCACACGACCCCGGTCACCTCTGGAAACCGCATCAGTGAGCAGAGTCACGTAGGTGTAAGAGTCAAATTCGTGGTTATGAAGTTTCATGAATTGTAGCATATCCGCTCCCAGTTGTGGATCGCCAGTCTTGTAGGCATTGGCCAACACAAGATTCATCATGTCCCGGTCAGGCTGTACGCCCATCTTGAGAAGCCGTGGAAGGATCTTGAAATTGCGTCCTTCGGCTTTATCCTCAACGGTGTCCAGAGTCAGGAGTTTGCAACAGTGTCGTACGACTCCTTCGGAATCCAGAGAGAATTCTGGGTCATTGATCTTGCGAACATATTCGAGGGCTTTGAGAGCATATTCCACGTCCTTGAAGTGCGTGAATTGATTCATGTAGCAGAGTGCTGTTTGCGCTTCCATCGTGGTCCCTCGCTCGCCCATCAGGCGGAAACTTTCGTATACACCCAAGAAGCCAGCTCGACGGATGTATAGACGTATGCCCTTCTGCGGCGGGGATATGATTGGCCAATCTTTTGGATCCAATGTCGCTGCAACAACCGAGTCGAATGTGAGGGGGCCGCTCTGCCAATCTCGGAGTTCTTCGTAATGGAACTTCTCCAAATAACTCAAGCAATCAACAATCATAGTCATATCTGGCTTTTCCTGGGGTTCAGTTGTGACGACTAGGAACTCCAGGACCGCTGCCGGGTTATGTTGCAGCAGCCAAATGGCTAGGCGCTGCCAGGCCCAGGCCCTGGAAGCCCGATTCATGGCCAGCCATGCTTCTCGGAATTTGCCTTGACAGTCATCAAGGAGAACAGCTAGCAGCTGCTCGCCGTCTTCTCTCAATTTTGGCAACGCAGAAGGGTGCAAGACCTCACGTTGCTCTTTCTTGGCATGGTAGATCGCCGAATAGGCCTCCTTCCACTGACGGAGTCCCAGTTCACGCGTATAAATCGAATTCAATCGGGTCGCAAGTGCCAAATACAGCCCTCGGTCTGTCAAGTATTTACTCTTCTTTAGAATTTCGCGGTTGACTCTCTCAGCCGCCATGGCCACAAGCTTGGGGTCGGCATGCCGCACATATGCCACCTTTTTCATTTTGTCCTTCGTTATAATAGGTGTTGATGAAGACCGCTGAAATCGGGCTCTCCGGGGATGCCCTGACGGCTGTGAATATCCATCGTGCTCGTGCGCTCCGACCTGGTCTGGTTGTTGATTTGGTGGTGGCCGTGAACTGCTGACCGTATCGCTGGCATTTCGATATGAAGAGGAGTCCAGAGCATCAGGTGCTGCGCCAGGTTCTGTGACTGCATGATGTGTTGACAGGCGCGCTCTATAACCAACGTTCACTGTCCCCGACTCGCGGTGCCATCGGCCTGGGCTCCGACATTGCGGCGAGAGCAATCCGTTAAGACGGGTCCGGACGAGTTGGTGCGGGCACGACGACATTCAGGAGTATGATATCGCATACATCTGTGGAAGAAACAACCAAGACGAAAGGAAAAGCTCTCAATATTGTTCGGGAAGAGGAAAGTCAAAGACCAATGCCGGACCGAAAGTTGAGTTCCGCCCGATTTTGCCGTGGCTAGTGTGTGGCGCACCACATTTTATCACTCCGCCATCGTCTTCAACTTTAAAGTAGCGGAGGAGCTTGGGATTTACTTCGACCACTCCAGTCCAATCTTTTTCTGGCATTTCTGTTCAAAGATCCTCTCGGCCAACCCCCCAACTTCCACTTGGAATCATGTCGTCAAACCACGCCAGCCTTGATGCGGCATCCACCGACCGCAAAGCCCGCCTCGCCAAGCTCGCAGCTCTGAAGCGAAAGCAACCCGAACCAGAAACGACCGAAGCTAGCGCAGAAGACAAGGAGCTGCCCGATGCCGATGCCCAGCCAGATGTGACAGCCAAGTATCTCTCTGGCCGCAACTACGACCCCGAGGCCCGCGGGCCAAAACTGGGCTTCGAGCAAGGTCCACATGAAGGCCAGGTGACTCTGGAATCCAAAGCAGCGGAAATTGCGCAAGCCACAGCAGAACAAGCGAAGAAAGATGCAGACGCTGGTGAGCCACTTAATCTGCTCAAACTACAACCGAAGAAACCCAACTGGGATTTGAAGCGGGACCTGGATGAGAAGCTCAAGATCCTCGATGTACGGACGGACAACGCAATCGCCCGACTCATTCGGCAGCGAGTAGAGGAGGCACAGCGTGCTTCAAAGGTGCGTGGGGCAACGTCTACAGGAGATGAGCAAGGAGAGGAATTAGGCATGGAGGGCAAGGCGCTCGTTGAAGGCATCCATATGCGCGAACGAGAGGAAGAGAAGAGCGACGAAGAAACGATTTGAACGTGATACCCTTGTTGCAGAAATGTGTGTGCTGTCTGTTCCTTCTACCTTTTCCTGTTACTATCTGCATCTGTCTTTGTGATTTGATCTTCTTTTTTTTTGGTCTTGGTTGAGGCGTCCAATCCAAGCCCAGGGCATACTGCACACAAAACTGAGGCGTTAGGAGGTTTTCAATTAGATATCTTCATTGGTCATCCATGCTTTTCATGCTTCATAGAAAGAAATTATCCACCGGGGTTTGATTATTTGGTACGCTGCCGAGGTAGGCGAATAGTCTTTCACTCCCGTCATGGAAATGCTAATAATACACTGGTTCGTATGTCATTGGAATAAGAGAAAGCGCCGTATCCCCAAGATTTTGCAAGGCAAACATGCCCTCATATGGTACAGCAATTCCTCGATTCCATTTACCGTCCGTGGTTCATAGCCTCGGTCAATCGAAGGCGCTTAGAGAAAGGACTCAGGCTTCGCTCGCGAGGAGGTTCTTGTTTCTGCGCTTGAGAATCAGGTCTGGATCGTCCAGACTGAAATTGGCGTGGTGGACTTGCTCGATCCCGGTATGAACGATCACGGGGGACATCCGGAGTCATAGAGCGCATATCTTTTATTCGCTCCTTGTCCAAGCTCCTGCTTCGGCGGCGTCTTCTCTCGCTGTGTCTCCCTGACCCACGATGCCGACCTCGTTCTTCAGGGCTAGACTCTCGACGTCGTCGCCGTGTGTTTCGGTCGTCAGCTGGCTCCCCAGACGGTGAGCGGGTCTTTCGCCCCGGTTGGGGTGAGCCTGTATGATCCTCACTAGAATCACTGTAGCGTCTCTTTCGAGTTTTCTCGGGTGATCTTGAATCGTCTCGACGATCAGTTTCGTTTGCGCCGTGTTTGCCGCGGTGGGGAGACGAGTCATAGGATCGATTTGTGGATATCGTTGCCACTGATAGAGACCTGTCCCGTTTCGGCGAGTGAGAATAGCGATCTGACAAATCCCCTAAGTCTTCCTTCCGGCCACGCTCCTCCTCTCGGCGGGCAAGCAATTCATCCGCTAAACCCTCTCTATGCGAAAGTCAGCGCAATTTCTTATTCGAATGAACGCATAGCATAACCATTCATAATACGTACTTCCGCAGAAGCTCATTTGGGTTGTCACTGGAGAGCTTGGGTACCAAGTCAGGGTTCAGTAGCTGCTGAGTCCGTGAAGGCCGCGGGATGTATGGGCGCTCTTGTGGAGGTGCCTTGCACTCGTAACTGTAGTGCCGTAAAACAAAGTCAGTGGACGACCTAAAGAGCATGCGAAGGAAGGCACATATCTCGTTTGAGGCATTTTTGGCACAGCGTGGTCGCGGTGGCTTTGTCAGGGCCTCGGAGCGTCGGGGCGTTGCGATATCGATTCATTGTAGTCTGTGGTATCTTATGTTCATGCAAGGTTTGGATGCCGGTAATGATTAGGGCTAGTATCAGGGTCTCGGCACTATTTCAACCAGGAGAAGAAGAGGACTGCAATGTAAATGGGATTGGCGCAAAGTTGGCGGCTGTCACTTATCTGAAGCCCAAAGGAAACTGTAGGCGCGCGATAGAGGCGGTCGGGCGCGGCATAATACACCCACTAATCTTCAGGCAATCAAGAATCAGACTTCGGATTTCCAACGCTCCTTCTCGGTCTTGAGGTTCATTACCAACATTCACATCATCTATCTCGGATGATCTGAAGTTGATCGGATACCCCAACGCTTATCGGATCTGAAGTTCTCCGCCGAAACTCAGTAGGAGACCTTCGTCTCCCATGAGCCAGCTTTGATAGTAAGTCACCGTGATCCGACTATCGAAAGTCTTCACTTATTCCACTCTGAATTGTCTCTCACTTGAATGGTTTTGCTGGTCTCCTTCACCGCACGTGATGCTAACTATACAATCTCCATAGCTTTCTCCATGGCGATCGCCCTCTCCCAGAGATATGTCTTTCGTTTTGGGCTTGTGTGAAACGAAATTACGCAGCGACCTACCTTGCACTGAAACTACTTTCGACATATTTCACATCTGCGCACTTTTGGCACGCTGAGTGTGGCTGCATCTCAGTTTGCCCTCGGTTTTCATTTTTCCCGCCAATTTGAACAATTTCGGCGACCTTCCCGTGGAGCATTGTCATGGCATCAAAAAGTCCCCCAGGTGGAGATGGTCCCCTCTCCTTTGCAAAGGTAGGCCGATCCTTCGATATTCCATGCTTCGTCGCTTACTTAGTCACTAGATTGCCGCTATGCCCGCACCTCTCAACACACAATCTCCTTCGATATCTGACGAGAATGAAATATGCCAGCCAGCAGAACAGCCACCTTGCTCGGCAACAGGTGGCCACGGAGCAGCTTTGTCCAGCCATAACATAGACAAAACGCCGGAAGTCAGTTCCATTGATCTAGCCGTTCATGGCTTAGAGAGAGGTGTGCAAGACATTGACCTCAACATGAAGAAAGACAGCGATGGCTCCGGCTCTTTCACAAATGGTCAAGACAACGGGTCGCTCAAGCGTGAGAATTCTTTTGAAGATGATCGCACCCATCTTTCTACTTCATCCACAAAGATGACCAGCTTTGATTCCAAGAGCCTTGCCTCGGTGACCACTTTTGCAATGGATGAGAAAGACTCTGTACGTCCTGATGACAGTGCCAGTGTCCAAGCCATCGATGAAGATGAGTCTCTTTCCGGGCATGTATCTGGAACTGCGAACTCGATGGCTGGCTCTGAGTCTGGCAGTCGCGTGTTTCGGGATCAGTATCGTGATGACATTCCTAAAGGCTCACGTGGGATTTTGGCTGTGCCTTCTCTCTTCAACGGTGCTCAACCGGCGAATGGCAAAATTCCTGTAGATTCGGTAGCCAACAATTTTGTGGTTGCAGCCAACCCCGACGGCATTGAAGATGGTCAGACCCTGCACGGGTTTCCTCTAGAGCCGGATGAGAAGCTTTTGGAGGCAATGAAGTCTCCGAAAGATCGGCTTTTGATCCTTCAGCTGGAGGAAAAGATTCGCTATTTCATCAAGGACTCTGAAGAGCAATCCTTGGAGTTACCTCCGTCGAATGCATTTGGGCGACTTCTCGGCCACAAGCTGGGGGATTACTACCATTTGACACATTTTGTTGACCATAATGTGGCATCAGTCAGGCTCCATCGAACGCCATTCTGTCGGCTACCCCCTCCCTTGTCTGATGTACATGCTGCTTGCAGTATCACCCCGCCCACAGCTGTCCCGGCAATGAAAATCATGCGCCGTAACGATGGGGGACAGTCCGAAGACAGTATCGGAGGTTCCTCCAACCCTTCAAAGGCGAACTCAGAGGCTGGCGACAGTGGAACAGATGGACGGTACGGGTCCTCATCTGGCAATACGCCTGCTAAGGACCGAATGGCCTTGACAAGAGAAGAGCGTGAAGCGAAATACCATGAAGTGCGTGAACGAATCTTCCGCGACTTTACTGATTCGGCCAAGTCGGACCCGGCCATTGGGGATTCGAATCCCAACATGTCGCGCTCCAGCTCCACAACCGGCCGCAAGAAAAACCAAAGGCAACGGACTCCTCATGATGACAGTTTTGAGGTTCGCTCGCAGTTCAATGCCTATTATCCAGGAATGCAATACGGCAGCAATGGTCCCATGCCGTACAATGCTCCTGTACATGAAACTTCCTACCAAAATCAGGTACCTTACTTGGTCGGACCTGGCGTGCCGCCGCCCTCTGGTGGTTATATGCCATCCAGTCAGAACGGTTCTTTCCACGCGGGACAGATGAATATGAACATGGCCGGGGCCGGGGCCCCCCAGTATCCAGTGACAATGTCACCCCAGATGGCCACCAATGGCCCGTGGCAAGGAAATGTGCCGCAACAATCTCCATATTCTGGGTACGCTGCTATGAACCAGCAAGCGGCAATGAATCAGCCGCCTTCCAACCAATCATCGCCGGCAATGAACAACTATGCCTTGCCCAATGCCATGCCTAATGCCATGCCTTATCAACAACCAAATTCCAATTGGAACTCGCCCCCCTTTTCTGCAAACTTCCAGCAGTCTCCGCAACAGCGGAATGGCCCGCCTGTCCAATGGCCCAACTATTCTCAGCAGTCAATGGCTCCTAACATGCCACCCAACATGAACCCTAACATGGGGCCCGGCACGGGTCACAACATGGGCTCCAACATGCAATCCAACGTGGGCGCATATCCTTACGCTCAATACCCGGGGCACCACATGAATCCCGCTATCCAGAATTCCAATGGATTCTATGCGACCATGCATTACTCGAGGTCACATTTCAACCCGCAGACACGATCATTCATCCCCGGCGGTGCTCCTCTCGGCCGCCACTCAAACAAAGGGCAGCACACAATGCAGTCTTATAGCAATATGCAACCCGGTGTTCAACAACATTGGAATGGCCACGCCGATGCCCCCAGTCGTCCCATGGACTCCAACCCGGCCGGAATGCCCAACCGAGCCCACATAGGTACTCGAGACTCCATTGCTAAATGGGGCACGCCATCCCATCTCCCCGCAAAACCTCCGCCATCTGAAGTGCCCTCTGATTTTGATCTTAAAACAAGATCCGTTCCGGCTTCAGTCCCTGCGCCATCATACGGTGCCGGTGCCAATGGAGTTCCTACTATGAACAATGGACCATTCGTGGTTTCGGGGGGCACAAGTGTGCCGAAACCAGTCTAAAGCAGCCCAGAAATGGTTTGGTCGCATCACTCTTCGACTTGGGCATGTGCTTGAGGTGGTCATCGGGCCTCTGAGGAATGTATGATCTGACCGGTGGTTCACTGTTTATGTGCGACAGCTTTATCCCAGATTTGCATGCACTATCAATGTAACGCATGGCGATCTGTTTTATCGGCGGTGTATCTGGCTTTAACTAGACAGCAAGGATATGCATATTCAAATGGTCTGTTCCAGTGACTTTTCCTATTCGTATGTCCTCGATCCTCAACATGAATCATTTGAGCAGACGAGACAATGGCCTATGTAGACTCCTGGTAGACTCGTAGATAAAAGAACAACAAGGAGCTCAGCATAACACTGTAGCCCAGTCGCTTCCAAGGTATACACACTGAAGTGATCTACACGGGCCCCTGTCTATCCATTACAGTCCAAAGATCAAGGCCTTGGCTAGTAGGTAGCCCTAATCAGTAACCTCTATCTATATCATCGTCGGTATGCTATGAAATCACAGCCCAAGAAACAAACTCGTCCAATACCCTTTGACTTCATATGTTCCTGATGTGAGCTATTGACGAAACAATATCTACCTCTTCCACATTACATACCCATTCCTGAGTCCTCGACGCTCTCCACATCCCTCAAGTTTCAACCCAACAGCAACCCCCATCTCAAGAGATATACGGATTCCGAGGCGGCCTATACTGAGGCCTAGACTGCCTAGTCCCAAAGATAGCAGACGGCACAATAACAACAACAAGAACAACAATAGTCCCCAGCACCGACCCAAAGATAATCCATTCCCGCCGATGAGACCTATGCCTCTTCACCGTCCCCGTCATAGACTCGATCTCCGGATCCTGCTCGTGTTTCGCCTCTATCGCCGACAGTCTCCCATCTGCTTGGCCTCCATTTCCAGCTGCAGCGACAGCTGCAATTCCGGACTCCGCTCGCTTGTCGTCGGGATATTGGCTCAGTGCCAGGTTGCAGTCCCGGTCACTGAATTCTAGCGTGCAGTCCTGGTCATTGACTTGCAGGGTGCAGTCGTCGTTGAGACTGTGTTCGATTGTTGGACGGGGTGGGTAGGGTGCGGCGACTTCTTTGTATGTATCGGCGTCTGGGATTGGAGGGGCATTTTGGGGGTTATGTTCGAGGGACATTTCTTTGGTCTGGAGGACTCAGAGGAGTGTCGGTTTGTGTATTTCTCTGTTTCTAGTGTGTCAGTGAGTAAACTGTGTATAGTCGGTGTAGCCGGCGCATACTCTGGAGTCTGCATAAGCCAATGGGGGTAAAATGGGTAGCAACCCGTCTTGAAAGACTGGATAACAGAGAGACAGTATATATGGTTAACAGGGCATATTAGAAGATTGCAAAGAGGAAGGGCTTCAAGCTCAGGAGTCAGGACTGAGCCAGGTGCCCCTTGGGTAGACTGGCTTGGTCAGTGATAATATGCATTTGGATCATATGCTAGAGACTTGACTATCGATGACTCTGCATACAATATAGAATCCCTTGATTACAATTGTCGTGTGTGGCAGCTTGTGCATCGAGGCCGCAGTTGACAGGTCAGATCACGCCTACCACCCCGGAAAAGAGTACTGAGCATCTCCAGTACTTCTTGGTGGTCTCTGGAAGACGCTGGCTCTATGCCTTGCTTTCACATTAATCTAGAGCCGTATATAGATGCATATTGTATGGAGAAACGAGGAAGGAGGGTATCCTACTCTTTCTACCACGACAGTAAGCTTGAAACCCAGGCAAATAACTCCGGGATAGGTTTGTCAATTACAGCTTCTTAGTATGGTCGTCGTCATGCATTTAGTCCGAAGCTACCAAACCCAAGGGAGAAATGCCAAAAGAAGGTATCAAAATCTTTTATACAGAGGCTATGTCACATGCGAGGCAAACGAAGACCAGATGCCATAATAAACAGGAAGAAGACAGAACTCCAGGTAAGAAAACAACATTACAACAGAGTCGACCGTGGGATCAAGTGGGATGGCGCTGAAAAGCATTCATAGAGCCCAAGAGGGGATCCGCCTCTCCCAAACGAATTTCACAGATAACCCCCAAGATAAGAGTCAACACTCCTTCTAAACCGTCACCTCCTCCTTATCAGCCTTCGTAGCCTCCTTCTTGTCTCCCTCCTTCTTAGCAAGAGTAAGCTTAGCAATAGCCTCCTCCAAGACCTCAACACCGTCCTTCCTGAACTGTGTGACCTTCTTCACGTTCAACCTCGTGAGCTGATGCACCAAATCCCGACCCTGCTCGCGCTCGCGTGCCACCGTACGTGCTGTCATGGCAAACCGCATGTCCTTGGGTCCATCAACCAGCTCGAGGATGGCGGTGGGAGCCTTGACCTGGGGTTTGCGCTCGGGGACGGCGTTTTTGTCGCCCTTCTTGACGGAGAAATACTCGTTCTTTTCGCGGGGTTCTATGCGCAGGACTCGTGTGTAGCCACCTGGTCGGTCTGCGTAGCGTTCCCGGAGGGGTCCGAAGAGTTTGGGGAGCATATCGTGAGGTGTCTGAGAATTGTTAATGGTTATTCTTTGTTCTTTCCACTTTTTGGATAGGAAGAGAATGGCATGGGAAGTTTGCCGACTGATCTAGACCCAGGCAACTCATGGTTCTCATGACTCGACTGAATCCCGTCCTCTCCAATGTAATTGGCATGGGCGTGTTTTGGGGGGCGAACGTACGTAGAAAATCTCCAATGCTCGTCGCCGACTCGCTTCAGTATTCTTCTTGCCCAGGGTAATCAATTTCTCAGCCAGGCGCTGAGCCTCCTTGGCCTTGGCCCATGTCGTTGTAATTGACTCATGCTGGAAGAGGGAGGTGACCAGATTTCGGAGCAGGGCCTGTCGATGCGCGGAGTTGCGGCTCAGATGACGGTATTTACCTCCACCGCCAGCCATGGTGATAAATATGGAGTGAAAGAAAGAAAAGGTACTGGATAGAGTAAAGAGATCGTGAGGTCAATGGCCAATCTCCGGTGTTTCGAGTTGTTGAACGTGAAGGAGAACGATGTCCGGCCCAGAAGAATTGTCCCCGGCCTCGTGGCCAATCGGAGCGCTTCCACCGCCCGTCCGACTTCAGATTTCCGCGTTGCTGCAACTTGGTCGAGAACTTTCAACTTCACGAATAACTTCAAACTGACCTGTTCATTTGCTGGGGAATTGCTGGGAAAGATAGATCTGTGACCGGGGACTATCTGTGTGCATTTATCGCTGTTTCCATCCGCTTCCACGAACAGCCAGACAACTCGGCGCTAAACACCACATTAAACATGGGCTTCTTCACGGGCTTTGTACGGTCTACCCCAGAATGTATACCAGATACCACTACTAACATCATCTGAAACAGCTTGGTGGCTTTGCCTTCACATCCTCCGTCCTCTATGTCACCATTCAAGTTCATCGCTCAACCCGCATATCGCAACGCAAAGCCATCCGCGACGAGGTCGCGCAGATCGACTGGCTGAATTCCTCTGCTGGTGCTTATGACCGACGCTTCCTACCTGAAGATATACCCCGGCGCCGGCGCGAAGAGTTGGAAGAACAGAAACGCGCTGAGCCGACTATGAAGGAGATCCTCAAGCATAAGTGGAATAAGGAAGTCGAGATCTTGAGCAAAAAGGCTCATGAAACGAAATGGGAGGATGTACGAAATACTGCTGCAAATGGTTGGAAAGCTGTTGCACAAGCAGTGAAACGGGAATGAAGGATCTGTCACAAAGACACTCTGGACGCATCATCATATTTGTTTTGTACTTGGATTTGGTTCGAGCAGCGGAGTTTGGATACCCCTAGTTTAGTTATGTCATAATGTACATGTTTTATCATTAGTTATTATCTTCTGTCCGGATGTATAAATGCGCTCAGCGCATTCCCCCATGACGGAGAACCTAAGAAGTACGGAACAACAAGGCACATTGAGGTGCACCCCGGGTTTCTGAGGAAGCTGACGTTCTCGGTACCTTTGACGAACGACAATGCCAAGTTCTTCTTGGCGATTTGGTCGCGAATCCAGTGCCAGCGCACCTCGATGTGCCTTGTTATTCCGGACTTCCTTGGGTTCTCCGTCATGGGGATCGCTGATTAATGAGACAAATGTATCAACGTGGCACGGCAAGACTCGGCGATGACCCGATCAACGGATGTCGCACTAGCCCAACTGAAAATGACAGAAGCTTATGCAAAGGAGCAAAGGCGGACCTGCAGAAGAGTCGGCTGAAGGGCTCGGAGCTCAATTCGAATTAGTCGTTGACGGCGCCGTCGTGGCGACACTCTCCGTGTCACTCCAAATATCCTTGCTCTCCCGCTCAACGGTGCGCATAGCCTGAGCAACCTCCTCCAGCTTAGCAACGACATCCAAAACGCCCTGGTTGACCCTTGCAAAGTACCGGTCATTAGCCTCGCGGCGCTTGCGCGCAAGACGAATATCCTTCTCGGTTTCCTCGTCCAGCGTGTGATGTAAACCCGACCCGCGGCGTACGCTATGTTCAGTGGCTGAATCTGAGGAAGTCACATCTGCAGCGCCTCGCCGTCCAGAGCCGACCATCCCACTGGCTCCATCTGCGCCGCTTTGAGTGGGATCCACGACTTCATCGCCTGCCTCACTGCGCGCCCAGGCCTGTGCAAGCTTCAACTGCTTCATACGCAGATCTTCCAAGGCTTCGGAATGCTTTGCACCAAAGACGTTTTCGCTTGTTACAGCGCTGAGTTCCACTTCTGATAGGGCGCTCTGCATCTCCTGCCAGATGGCGTCGGATCCATCTACGTCATTTTTGGAGGGGCGACGTGATACAAAAGGTGATAACAAGCTTGATTTCTCGGCATTCCCGCCCTCCGCTAGAGGCGACCGGCTCCGATTCAAGGGGGGCGGTTGGCTGCCAGAGGGAGTTGCTAAGCCTGGTGCTGTGGGCGGTACTAACGAGATATTCGAAGCATTGTGAGATGGCGGACCTTGAAAAAGGGCTGGTGGAGGTAGACGTTGAGAAGGATTCGTCGGTTTCCTTGACAACTCCATTCTCCGAAAATGCAGGGAACAAGAGACAATGAACTATCCAGAGTTCGAAAGGGGTTGTTGTTGAGGGGTTGATGCAACCGATAACGTTATCGCTATCGGCCCGCTGACATAACCCGGGGTGGGGGCTACGGGTATCCCGTGACTCGCTTAGGGCTAAGCGCACAAAGTCACCTGAGATACAGCCAAAGCGTGTGGTCCAAGGGAAATCCGGAACTCTTCGACTTTTCGACAATCGACCTTCAGCCCCTTTGGCCGACAACACCCCTCCCAGTCGGTACGTATTCGATCTCCTGCTCTCTTTGCTGCATTGTTTGTGCATTTCGGAAATATTGGATTCGTGCCACTGCGAAATTCTTCGGTCGCATCTATTCCGCACGCACAAAAGTCGACTTTCCCAATCTTGAACAACCCTCGAAATACCCACAATCAACACAACCAACTCTTCAATTCACACGAGGCTAACAGTCTTTTTTTCTCTCGCTCAGTTGACCGTCGAACACATAAATCGCCAACATGGGTAAAGGACAACCCCGTGGTTTGAACGCCGCCCGCAAGCTCCAGTCGCACCGCAAGGATCAGCGCTGGGCTGATGACCACTTCAAGAAGCGTCTCCTCGGTACCGCCTACAAGTCCTCCCCCTTCGGTGGTGCTTCCCACGCCAAGGGTATCGTCCTCGAGAAGGTCGGTGTTGAGGCCAAGCAGCCCAACTCCGCCATTCGCAAGTGTGTCAAGGTCCAGCTCATCAAGAACGGCAAGAAGGTCGCTGCTTTCGGTGGGTAACCCTTTTCTCTCTATTCTATCGCGGATTATTGTGTTGGGGACGGTCCTTGAGTCGGAGTTGCGACAGAATGGAAACCGCCATACAACTTGTTATGCATACATGCTAACCTGCCATTTCAGTTCCCAATGACGGTTGCTTGAACTTCATCGACGAGAACGACGAGGTCCTGCTCGCCGGTTTCGGTCGCAAGGGTAAGGCCAAGGGTGATATTCCCGGTGTCCGTTTCAAGGTCGTCAAGGTCTCCGGTGTCGGTCTCGCCGCTCTGTGGAAGGAGAAGAAGGAGAAGCCCCGCTCTTAAACAACTCGACGCGTTCTGTTCGAATACAAAAATGCAGCGACCGGGAGCCTAGGAGTGTGGGAACGGTGCCGGACGGAAAGCCCGCCTCATCAGCGCCTTGATTTCATGAGATATTTTCTTTTTGGGAGTCCCCGGCGGGCTTACGTCCGGAACGTGGTGGATACGCTTTGCGAATTAAACACGATTGATACAACCTCCAAAAAGATTATGGCGCCATGACTTTCATTCTCTTCCGGGTTTCGCCCTCGTATACTTTGCAGAGTAGAGCGTAGGGTATGGAATCTTGAGGACATAGCTATACGGAGTACATGGACAAGATATGATCTACCGGGGATTCCCCAGTGTGGAGTTGCTTTCATGTGTACCCGACAGACTTGAGATAATGTACATGTTGCTCTAGGGCCAAGCTTTCAAGTCTTTCCCCGTGGAGCGATAGATTCATATGTACCCATAAGGGTTCTTCAAGAAGCATACCTAGCCCTGGAGTAGATCTCATAGTTTGGTATGTAATTCGCATGAGGGTTCATCCCTGAGATGCCCAAAACATTGCTAGATATCGAAGCCACGACATCCTATAGGTAGTCGTGACAAGTCCCTCCCTCCTAGTCCTCGTTCGATGTGCTCTCGTCACGTACTGCAACTACCAGAAAATCCGATACATATGGAATAATAAAATTGTTCATTCATGGCTCTTTGGCATAATCATGACTTATCATGTCCTCGGGTATCCTTCATGCAACATAGCCCCTTTTAAAGTATCATGGTTGATTCTATCGCGTTTCCTCGACCTGCTTAAAAGCTGATATCTTCTTTGCGATAATGATCTGATACGATACGGTAGAGGTATGATGGAGCGTGACCACCGCTGAAGAGAGAAAGGTTAGTCCATGAATCCAATGAGTGAGCGGAGTGTGTCGAACTTACAGGTTAGTGATGTAGAGATCGACGAGTTCTGCCGGAACGTAGTCATAGATGGGGTTCTGGACATCGATCTGTTCGATAAGAGCACCATCTTCGTAAGGGAGGACCTTGCTTGGGTCACCGTATTCAATGAGCGAGTCGAAATCGAATGGGTAAACAGGACTGAGCTTGTAGACACCGCTCACGACCACAACCGGGGTCTGGTGAACCTTGGCGGCACGGGCGATGATACGGGTACCAGCTGCAGCGACAAGGCCGCCGTTAGCAAGTACAGAGTGTGTGCCGAGAATGACCTTGTTTACTCGAGACATAATAGCGAAGACGGCAGAGTCTGGGATGAGGATGACAGTGATGCCGTGTTCAATCAGCGGTTTCTGGAAAGCCTCCACGCTGAGGCTGTCGTCCTCTCTGACGGCGCGGCCGCTGACGGTGGCATGTGTATCCTCGTGGTTGTTTGGGTACGACTCGGCATGGATGACGGTAAACTTGCGCTTGGTTGCGGCTTTGAGGAGGAATTTTTGAACGGTTGTCGAGGATGTGTGGGTGAGGATGATTTCGTTGGAGTGGATGTGATCCAAGGCGTAGGCGGCGATCTGATCGTCCACCTGGCCCAGCTCATCGATGATCTCGCCGATACCCTCCAGCACTTCAGCCCGTACATCTTTGACGGGGGCGGGCTGTCCGCCTGGGGTGGAGGATCCTGAAGTGCTAGAAAATGAGTTCTCGGGCTCGGGGAAGGAGAGAAGGCTGAACATAGAGGTCAGAGGAGGCCGGGGGGCTCTGTCATCGGGACGGAGACCGAGCGAGTCGCGATCCAAAGGTACTGAAGCATCTAAGAATGTGTGAGTCACAGCTGTATAGATTGTGGGACAGGGCAGATAGAACACACCATCGTTAGCTCGAGGTGTTTGAGGCTGACTCTCAGCTCCGATATCACCGAGTGCGAATTCGGCATCGTGATCATCCTCCGCCTCGTCGCGAATAAGACCTAGGACTCGGCGCACAATATTGCCCACGACCATTTCGCGCGGTTGCGCAGCCATCAGTCGCCTTCCTACACTCTGCACTCGCTCAATGAGCTTTGCTGGATCCGCTGTGCGACATGCTGAGATCACACCCCGTAGCAGATAGGCAGTTGCTGTGGCACATGAGCGCGAATGGCGGATTTGGCGTCGCTTGAGCAATCTAATCACGCCATGTTAGCGGAGTGATCGAAGTGGGGTAGACGGCCATGACTGGCGAGATACGCACGAAATCAGAGTCTCAATGGAAGTGTCAATCGGATTTGTCTTGAGGCATATGAGGAATGACCCCAGGCCCGGCGTGAGGGCCAACGAAGTAGACGGCATGAGGATGTGGGATGGATGAAACCTGCAGGGTATCAGCGGGGGTCGAGGGACAAGAATGTGGGATGTATGTGGGATCCCGAGTCGACATACTGTTTTTATTCGAAGAGCACAAGCAGTTTGCGAGAGGGAAGTTCCAGTGCTCGAGAGAGATTCTTAAGAAGATCAATAAGTGGGAGAGTCAAAGAATTGATTTTCTGCCGTTTGTTGCTTGTCCGCTTCCCCACACTCTATTGTCGTGTCTATTGTTTGAACTTCGATTGTTCTTATTGACGTATTCATTCTCAGTCGCTCACTTGTTCCTATTGATTCATCTCTGAATACGGATCTTCCATTCTATACGCCGTTGTCCTTGCGGGAAACATCGGACTTTGGAGTTGCGGAGCTAGTTCCGAGGCAACGGGTGACCGGCGCATTGAGGTTAGAACGACAGCTTACGCCTCCTTGCGATCCCCCTCTTTCCCACACAACCGTCACTCTTTATACACTATTCCATGGACCGCTCCAAGTGGGTTGGATGATTCGCTCACAATCCTTTTGTTCACAGATCTGCCCCTGTCTCCCGTGGCGTCTTAAGGGAAGATGAACTCGCTGAACATCCTGTCCTCGCGAGTCATTGGCCAGTCTTCCAGCTCTTCACGCCGTCGATCGCAGTCCCAAGAAGATAATAAGCGTACACCTCTGCCGGCAGACTTCTCGAAACTTCGGTCTTATAGCGAGAATAACTTTCGGTCACTCGGGTCCGAGAAGAGCTACGATGGTGGATCATCAGTTGCGGACGAAGGTGGAGAGGAGGATGCGGCATATGGCTTAGACGAGAAGACACCGCTATTGCGTGAAGGTCACGAAAGTGGCACGCTTACTGCTCGAAGTACTTGGCGACTGATTACCCACCGGTTCCTCGATGCTGTCACGGAAACCATCAAATTCATTCTCTCTACGCTCGCTGCACCGGGCGTGTACTTGGCGCGCTTTTTCCAAGCCGACGACGGTCGTTATTCGCTTTTTGCGCCTGTCAGAAGATTCCGCGAGTCTTCTGCCGACGTCAAGATCCGGTCGGAGAAATCAGGCATCCGCGTAGATGGTCGGCATCGCAGTGGCTCTACTCGGAAGGTCCGACCCTCAATATCCAACGAATCCATTGTATCAACAACCTCAGAGTCGGAAACAGATCGACGGAACAGCAAGAATCACAGCACCAAGAATCGGCCAAGCAGGACAAGGAATCACGACCCAGATCCGATCCCAGAAACCGAGGAACACGAACATACGCCTCGTCGATCTATACGAATCAAGCTTCACAATGAGGAGGCTCTCAAACGTCAGAGGCAGCGAAGGTCCCAGAGTGCAGACTTGGGGCCACCAATGCCTGAGGGTGTCTCTCGAGTCCATGGTGCTGTCCACCTGGATAGCTTGAAGTCCCCTACATCTCCCAATGTCCACCGCATCACAAAGTACCCACACTCTCCAACTCCACCACGCCCACTCCTTCCTCCACGAGTGCCTTCATATACCGCGGCTCCCCGCAATGCCAGACCCCCGCAAAAGACCCTGGTGCTGGATCTCGATGAAACCCTGATCCATTCGCTCGCCAAGGGTGGCCGAATGTCCAGTGGCCACATGGTTGAAGTCAAGCTTTCCATCCCCACGACAACTTCAGTGTCTCCTGGCGGACCGCAGGCGACCCTGGGACCCCAGCACCCCATTCTGTATTATGTCCATAAACGACCACATTGCGATGAGTTCTTGCGCAAAGTCAGCAAGTGGTACAAACTGGTCATTTTCACAGCCAGTGTTCAGGAGTATGCTGATCCTGTTATCGACTGGCTCGAGCAGGAACGGAAATATTTCCAACAGCGGATCTACCGGCAGGGTTGCACGTTCCGCAACGGCGCGTATATCAAAGATCTCAGTAGCGTGGAGCCAGACCTGAGCAAGGTCATGATTTTGGACAATAGCCCGATGAGCTATATCTTCCATGAAGGTAATATTTCCAGTCACTTAATCTGGTGCTGAACTAATTGGAACTGGCAGACAACGCGATTCCCATCGAAGGTTGGATCAATGACCCAACAGACAATGGATTGCTCCACTTGATTCCTATGTTCGAGGCCTTACAGTATGTCACCGATGTCCGGGCTTTCCTAGCGCTTCGCCGCGGTGAAATCGAGTCATGATCTCTGTTCTCCACATTGGCGTCTGGAAATGCGCATGCAGGTGTATGTGGAGTTTGTGTGTTACAACCAAGAAATTGAAAAAAAAAGATATCACGGCCCGATGGAGGAGTTTAGAGACCGACAGGCGCGATCATGCAAGCGCAATTATTCATAATAGCTTTTGGTGTCTTGCTTTGCTTTTAGCAATGGAATGGAATTCGTACATATGGCTTGTCTTTTAAGGTCTTTCGTTTTGATCCTCAGATTCTCTCCAATTCATCACTAGGTGTCTACTGATATGCGGGCTAGCAAAGAGTAGAACTGGCTGGAAGGTAGGCTCATGTCCTGCAGAAAGAAGTGAATTGAGTTGACCTGGTGAGAGTCATGGAGCTCTTGGCCATGGTCTGATCATTGCACGCTGTGGCACTCGTGTCCTCGGCTGTTTGGAGTACTCGTATGGAGTAATGAACGAGCAGTCCATAGTATTTGTGCAGCTTGAGAAGATTGATTTCGTATGGAGTCATGTTGGCCTCATCGTGTCAGACTAGACGTGACTTGAGAGATATCTCGAACGTCTCGAGTCTCAGCGTGACATGGGCTGAATGGATCCAGAAAGTATTTAGCGAATATGGGCTGCTATGTGATGCGTAGGTACGGAGGCAGTGTTATTTTACACGTTCAGGTTGAATATGGCTCATTGTTGATAGTTACAGAGTGACAGGCCTTATCTAGGTAACTAATGGAGGTTGCTCATTAGTTACACTGAAGGAGACGTAAACAAAAGGGGGAGCATGAAGCGCCAGTCAGTTTTAGCAGGTATGGACTATGGAACATGGCATTTGTGAGCTATCTACATACAATTTACGTTTTTCTCCTCTTAAAGGGGTCGTTTTTGCTGTGAGACGCAGCAATGTTTATTCCTTAGTTTTCATAAGGCCATGCTGAGCTGATTGCCATAAATCACGACCCCTTTAAGGGGAAAGAAACGTAAAACGTATGTAGATAGCCCACAAATTCACAACTATTCCATGTCGACTTGGAAATGTGTGGTGTTAGTTAGATGAGCTACAAAATTCCTCTTCTCCAATCTCGTGCCGCTGGCTCGAAGATTGATGAAAAGAAAAATCCACAGAGTGGATGAGGGGTGCCAAAAAATACGCCTGTCAATGACCCGGAGGCCATTGAACAGCCTGTTCCGCCGCGATGTGCAATGCAGGGACCAAACTGTGGTGAACCGCCTTCTTGATCGCGGACACCCAAACAAGGTAAGTATGAAGAAGAAAAGAAAAGAAGAGGAAGAGACGGCGGAGGAGGAGATACTTATACCCGGGAGGACAGGGCGAATTCCAGAACAGAATTCCCGAAAGGGAAAGAACCAGCCACCACCTGCCACTTTGGGGCATCCCTGGCTTCCTTCCTTACATTCATTGTTCAAGGCCTCCAGGCTTTCTTAAATTCTTGGAGCTTGGCTTATGCAAATCTTCTATGTATTCATAGTCGAAGACTCCGATAAAAAGTAAATAAAAAACAATGGTCATTCGGACGCCAGTACGCCACCTTGTATAGCATTGATTTCATTCTCATTCGAGAAAAGTCCCCTTGTCTCTTCAGAGAAAAGATCAGAAAAGAAGAGAAAATAGAAATGGCATAGATGATAGCCTTGGATGTTGTACATAGAGCGCTTGAGCTACACACCAGCTTGATCTCCGCATCCCTACCGGCGATCACCCACCGCACGTGGCTTCCAAGAGCTCTCGAGTCTCAACGGACCAATCATCCACAGCCTCAGAACTCTGTGGGAGATTTTCGATATCTGACCACGAAATAAAGTTTTATGCAAGCCATATGATAGACAAAACTGCGGCACTGCCGACGCCAAATACGCAGTACTAGTGTCCTCGAGGTGTGCGCAACATTGGAGGCTTCATATCCTTCATATCGACAATGCCTACTAACCGGACTTCTGAGATCCGGATGTGGCGTACCTCAAGTATCAACCGACCGAGTCCCGAAGAACTGTAGAATATCGATCGCTTGAAAGTGTACGTCGCGGAGCTTACGCTCAATCCTCAAGCTGTGGCAGCGGCGCGACTCTGAAAAATTCTCGTAGGGATGACCCTGAAGATAGACACATTTGTAACAGGTCTCCTGTAATACACGCAGAACTTTCATGGCAGGGCGCAGGCTCAGCCACCACGTCCTTGTTGGCACTGTGCGATTTCAAAGCAAAAGATCTTATACAGCATGCCCAGCATGCCGAGCAGGCTGCTGCCGCCCAGGTGCAAGGGCCAGATCGATAAAGAGTGGGTCCCAAGATCCAGGATTTCAACTGGTCACTCGCAATTTCAGCCAATAGCGGGACGCTAATATTTCAGATCGGACCCATTCTGCAAGCCACATGGAGCCTGGAGGTAAAAGTAACCTCTCTCCACGACGTACAAGAAGCAAAGAAGCATCTTGTAAGTTGTAACTATGATGCTATTTATCTAGTAGGTTAACGGATGTTGGCGTTGCTCATTACTCAGTACACTAAGGAGACGTAAACGTAAACAAAAGGGGAGCATGAAGCGCTAGTCAGATTTAGCAGGTATGGGAGATGGCATTTGTGAGCTATCTACAAACAACACGGTTTTCTCCTCCAAAGGGAGTCGTTTTTGTTGTGAGACGCAGCAATGTTTATTCCGTGGTTTTCATGAGGCCATGCTGGGCTGATTGCCATAAATCACGACCCCTTTAGGAGAAAAACGTGAATTGCGTCACGCAGTAGATAGCTCACAAATTCATAAGTACTATTCCATGTCGACTTAAAAATGTGTAGTGTTAAATGAGGTACAAAATTCCTCTTCTCCAATCTCGTGCCGCTGGCTCGAAGAGTGATGAAAAGAAAAGTCCACGAAAGTGGGTGGGGGGTGCCAAAGAATACGCCTGTCAATGACCCGAAGGCCATTGAACAGCCTGTTCCGCCGCGATGTGCAATGCAGGGACCAAACTGTGGTGAACCGCCTTCTTGATCGCGGTCACCCAAACAAGGTAAGTATGAAGAAGAAAAGAAAAGAAGAGGAAGAGTGGACGGAGGAGGAGATACTTATACCCGGGAGGACAGGGCGGTGGCAGAATTCCAATTCCAGAAAGGGAAAGAACCCAGCCACACCTGCCACTTTGTGACATCCCTGGCTTCCTCCTTACATTCACTGTTCAATACTAGCTCCAGGCCCTCTTCACTCTTGGCTCAGGCTTACACAAATATCCTATTCATAGTCGAAGACTCTGATAAAAAATAATAAAAAAATGCCGCCATTCGGACGCCACATTGTATAGCATTGAACTTGTTCTGTTCGAGAAAGGTCTCCTTATCTCTATAGAGAAATGGCATACCCTTGCTTGGCTGTTGTACATAGAGCACAGTAGCACTTGAGCTACACATCAGCTCGATCTCTACCCCGGTCGGGGGTGATCATCCCCCCGCACGTGGCTGCCAAGAGCTCTCGACTTCTCGAATCCCAACGGACCAATCATCCCACAGACCACTGTGAGAAAGTTTTGATACCTGAGCATAACGTAAAGTTCTATGTAATGCAACAGGCGCAACTTTACCCGATCCAGGCCCCTGGCCCGGAGAACATCCACCGCTTAAAAGTGCATGTCGCGGAGCTTACGGGCAATCCTCAAGCTGTGGCAGCGGCGCGACTCTGAAAAATTCCCGTAGGGATGACCCCGATGATACGCACATTTGTGACAGGTCTCTTGTAATACACGCAGAACTTCCATGGGAGGCTCAGCCACCACCTCCTTGTTGGCACTGTGCGATTTCAAAGCAAAAGAACTTATATACATACAGCATGCCCAGGATGCCGAGCAGGCTGCAGCTCATGTGCAAGGGCCAGATCGATAATGAGTGGGTCCCAAGATTCAGGATTTCTATTGGTTACTCGTAATTTCCGCCAATAGTGGGACGCTAATATTTCAGATCGGACCCATTCTGCAAGCCACATGGAGGTAAAAGTAACCTCTCTCCATGACGTACAAGAAGCATCTTGTATGATGCTATGAAGGTTCATTGATGTTCATAAATATCTGACTTCTCATTCTTGGCCCTCTAGGCGTTAAATGCCCAGGGTACCCAGGCTTCACATATCTCACTTAGCAAGACCAGAATGGATATTGTCGAGGTTATGAAGGTATGGAGTAGCCGAGTAGATAGCGAATGAAACCAGTTAATTGGATTGCCCAGTCAATTGTACACTCGGAGGTACCGTGTATACACCTGATGTCTAGATGATGGAACCCGCGGGATTCCGGACCTCTCCTCAAGGGACCTTGGCCCTTGGCGGTGCCGTTTCTGTAATGTTACATCTCACCCCCAAGACTGACTATTCCTGCAGTTGGCAGTCTCGATTAGATATTTCAATCAGGTGAAGATTGACACAGATGCTGGTAGGGTAGGCTAAAGGCCTGTCGACTATTCCCTTTACCCCCGCTGCATCTTCAATCATCATATACGATATAGTGTGAAGCACACTTATACAACAATGCCCGCTCGCCGATCTTGGAAGCCATATAAAAAAAGCACAGAAGAACAGAAATTGCGATTTGACAAGGATAACAGATTCCAAATCACAGTTTTTGGCGATCTGCATTTTGCTGAAGGTACCATGACATGCCCAAAGCGTTAGATCAATTTACTAAGCATCTTCGTAGATGATAAAGCAGACAAAAAGACAACGGGGGTAATGAAGAATGTTCTTTCTTCAGAGAAAACGGACCTAGTTGTTCTAAACGGAGATTTGATCTCTGGCGATGTAACAAAAAGGTCGAACTCTACCCGCTACATTGATCAGATCGTTGCACCACTAGTTGATCATGGCTTACCATGGGCATCGGCTTATGGGAATCATGACAGCGAGATACATCTGGACTCGGAGGAGTTGCTTCGTGAGGAGAAGAAACATCCCGGTTGTTTAACGCAGAGATCTGTTTCTGGTTCTACCGCTGGCGTCACCAACTATTACCTGCCAGTATTTCCACACGAGACTTCAAATCTCAATCAAAGCATTCCAGAGCTCATATTGTGGTTTTTTGATAGCCAAGGTGGCCACTTTCCCATGGCGGAAGATGATCATGGCGAATCTGTTCCAAGACAGAACTGGGTTGATCGCACAGTGAGTTCAAGGTGGTGACCTCGTCGGATATTTCTGGATCCAACTTAGGTCTGAACTTCTAATGCACATGCTGATTTGATCCAGGTCGTTGAATGGTTCACAAAAGCCAACGACAATTTGACGACTGCTTACGGCAAAACGATACCATCGCTCGCATTTACCCATATCCCCGTCCAGGCAATGCGCGCATTCCAGAACTCCGGCGTCAATCCAACGCACCAGCCAGGGATCGATGCCGAGAAAGTCCACCACCAAGGTGGTGACCTTCCCTCCGGCTACCGTTCACAAGATTTCCCATTCATGCAAGCATTGCTCAATACTTCGGGACTGGCAGCGGTTTTCAGCGGCCATGATCATGGCAATGACTGGTACGAACCCGATCATGCTGGATATCTAGTCCGAATTCTGAGCATAACAAGTTCCAAAGCTAACTTTGCTTCGTGTATAGGTGCTTCAGATGGGATGATAGGCTGGCTGGCATGAATCTCACCGGAAGTGGTGTGAATTTGTGCTACGGCCGACGCACGGGATATGGAGGGTACGGCGAATGGGCGCGTGGTGCCAGGCAGATTTTGGTGGATGAGAACTCGCTCCGCGGCGATATTCGGACTTGGATCCGTTTGGAAGATGGGTCTAAATCTGGTGATGTTCATCTCAATTCGACGTATGGCAGTGACCAGTATGCTATAAGAGGGCAAGGCTCGGCCTTTTCCTCTCAATATCTGGGGTTTGTTTACTTGTGGATGGTTGTCATTCTTGGACTCTCGTCTGGTTTTGGTGATTGATGAATTTTGGTTGGATCAGTCGCTTTCAGACTTTTGCTGGCGGCGGACATCTGCTTTGCTGAGAGTCCTCATAGCAGGTCGAGGACAGCTCGAGGTCTGCAGGAGAAGGCAATTGGCATGGTAACTCGGCAGTCGGTTTTCAGACACGCGTTGGCCCTGGCTCATGTAAGATAGGTCATTATCCATGTATCCTCACGGCAATCAAGCATCATCCCTCTCTCGTCCATAAATAAGGACTAACAGATGACGGGTTATTTCATCTCCCCTGGGATTCTTCCATAATTCTCAATGAGCAGTGTGCTGTGTTACTGTGTAATTAAAGAAGAGCGAAACCCCTGGGTTATCAGTGGGGGTGAACACAGCCCTTCAACTGATCGTCCAAAGAGCGAACTGGCTCTCCCGCCTCTGACGTCAGAGACCCCTGGAAGGCCCCACTTTTCCGCCTCAGATCCGCGGTTGAGATGTTCCCAATGCGGGTATCGACTGAAGACGAAGTTGACATAATCAGTTTTGAAGAGTTGAGATATTCAGCTCACTATCATCGGTATGGAAGAAAGATCGAAGGACGGAAAAAGGATTATTCTTGCGACAATTTCACTCAGCACAACATGTAGGACTCATAATGTGAAACACTCCATTGTGATTCATCGGATCTAAGCAATAGGTCCGAGTTCCTTGGTCGGGATCCACCTAATAGCTTGTCTGGTGGCGCTTACACGCGTTATAGTGGGTCCTCATCCCCAGTGAGCCCTAACCCATCCGAAAACGACTATCTTCATCATTCGCAAACATCATCTGGCGCTTTCAATCGTTCAGCAATTGAGTATGATGACTTGACATGCGGACACTCAGCCAACCATAAAATGTCAAATCCATACACCAGCCTTCTGGCACACCTGGTGGCGAGTGACATGGAGAGATCTACATCGATGTTAATGGTTGATCGTCGGCCGAATCAACCAGCAAAAGCTTGCCATTTTCTCTGATCCCCACAGGGAAGTGGGTAGAGCCCTGAAACTATTTTTAATCTGCAACTTTGGCCGGGGTTCTTCGCCTAGACAACGTACATCATCGCTGTCGCATCCTCAACCCCCCGAACTCCTCTGACAGCCAAGATCTCGCCCAACTCCCACCTCCAATCCCATCTTTTTTGCCGTCAAATCAGATCGATACTATCGATGATCGATCTTAGCCGATATGCACTTGTCCGGCACATGGTCTATCCTTAATGGCCTCATCGCAGCACTTCTCTTCTCGACTTTAACGCCTGCGATAGAATTAGACATCAACGATGAACGTACGTCGCACATCATTTACTTGGATTTGCGCTCCGACAGACGACAAGGGACTGACTTCGCGATTGAGCAGAATCAATCAAAGATGCCGCAAGTACGACCACTTACGGCATGATGAAATGGTATGCGGGCAACGAGACTGGACAGATTCCTGGCTCCTTTCCTGAAAAATGGTGGGAAGGCTCTGCTCTTTTCCTCGCACTGCTGCAATACTGGCATTTTACGGGCGACGATACCTACAACCCCCAGCTGAGCCAAGGATTGGAGTGGCAATCGGGTGACAAGGGCGACTACATGCCCAGCAACTACAGTAGTTACTTGGTGAGACTTATCAGATCTAAAAGATTCCTCGATCGCTTACTGACATTTTCAAATCTATAGGGTAATGACGACCAAATGTTCTGGGGCCTCGCAGCTATGATGGCCGCCGAGCTCAAGTTCCCTGATACAGGGAAGTTCTCGTGGCTTTCACTCGCACAGGGTGTGTTCAACACCCAAACTGCCAGATGGGATACAACAGCATGTGGTGGTGGTCTGCGTTGGCAGATCTTCCCCTACCAGGATGGGTACACTCTGAAGAACTCGGTCTCGAACGGCGGACTCTTCCAATTATCTGCGCGCCTCGCCCGCTACACGAATGACGACAAATACACAAAATGGGCCGAGAAAATCTGGGACTGGTCTACTTCATCCGTGCTGGTGAACAACAAGACGTGGAATGTTGCCGACTCTACAGAGATGAGCAACAACTGTGCCGATGCTGGTAACTACCAATGGTCCTACAACTACGGCGCATACCTGATGGGCGCCGCGTACATGTACAACTTTGTAAGCCTTCCTCCATTTTGCAAACTCGGCAATTCCCCAGTCGGTGACAAATGCTAATAATTCATTCTCTATAGACAAACGGTGACGAAAAGTGGAAAACACCCGTCGACGGCCTCCTACAAAAAACCCTGAAAACATTCTTCCCCAAGGGCATTTTCGAAGACATAACCTGCGAACCAACCAAAAAGTGCAACTTTAACGAGATCCTCTTCAAAGGCCTCACCTCCTCCTGGCTCGCATTCACCACCCTCCTAGTCCCCGAAACAGCAGCATTGATCAAACCCAAACTCGCCAGCTCCGCCGAAGCCGCCGCAAAGTCCTGCACTGGAAACGGCAACAGCTCCTGCGGCATCACATGGTACCAGAACAAGTGGGACGGGACAACGGGCATGGAGCAAGAGATTAGTGCGACGAACGTCTTCCTTGCGAATATGATCAACTTTGACACCGGCACGTTTGCACCGGTTACGGCCAAGACTGGTGGAAATAGTACCAGTGATCCTAATGCGGGCAGTGGGAATGGAAAGGATGGTGATGATGCCAGGGAGAAGCCTATTACGACTGGTGACAAGGCTGGTGCTGGGATTTTGACCTTGTTATTTGTTGCTGGTTGGGCGGCGGCTATGGCTTGGATGGTGATTGGTGCTTGATTTGTGTATATTATTTTTATTCCTCTTGGTTGGGCATGGGGGGATTGGCGTTTATAGGTGATTCATTGGATAATTGTCCCATTTGTATATAGTGTCTCCAAGTCAGGTTTACTACCGAATAAGCTCCAGTGTTGGTCTGACAACCTTGGAATACGGGATTTAGACCGGTATATTGAACTACTCAAATGGGCAGTAAGCACTGCGCCCCCACAGCCGCTAAGCGATTGGTAATTGGGATATGCCGATCTTATGCCCCGGTTACATTTATACAGATGCTCCCGCTCCAATCAAAGGGGTGGCGGCTTAACTAGATGTGATAAGAAGACATACCCCGGTCCCGACTGTGGCTGTTAGCAGGCGTAGGTAGTGGGCCAAGAGGCACTAGAAAACTAGCATTGTAACCTCAAACCCGGGACGCGCAGAGGATTGTGACCAAATTAGTCCTTTTGCTTCAGCCTTCATGTAGTTGTTGTAGGTACAGGATAATGTCAACAGAAGCTGAGAAGAGAGAACGTGTACGTTCTCATTCGCCTGACTTGGTTGTGATGGAAGCATGTGATATGACCCACTCGCCAGTTGACTACATACCAAGTAGCTTCCTCACCTTTCTTTGTCTCTCCCGGGCCCCGGCGGGTTTCAGTGAGTTTTCACCATCTCACTCGAAATGGAAACATTCAACCACATAAACCTCCGCATCAGGAAGGTCAAAAACGAGGATCTTCTGAAAGCCATACGAGGCGAAAAGATCCCCCGAGCCCTCGCAGACAAGCACACAAGACAATGCGTCATTCGTGGTATTCGATACCACTATGGCTTTGGGACCGAGCTCCGTGGCCTTCTTCCAGAGTTCAATCGCGCCCTCAATGCACGATGTATCATGAGCAATGAGATACCTGATATGAACCCAGATTGCCCTGAGGACTTTCCTTACTGCATCTGGCATCCTGAGACCGCGTCGGAAGCTACTTACCGTGAGCTGGCACGGCGGTATCCTAATATGAAATACTTGGTTGGTCGTGCATGCGCTGTTGCAGGTTACACAGATCTCTTCCTTGAGCTGGATCTGCTACCCGAATGTCACATTGCTGAAGAGGCACGCGAGAGCGGTCACCTTCAAATCTATGATGCGATCATGAAATCAGCTGTTAAGTACAACGCCATGAACGATTATACTTTGGAGATCTTTGCTCCCGTTCCTGGAAATTTGAACGGTGATACCTGTATCCGGGCCTGGCTCGATATCTGATATGGGATCGCCAAGGGTCCAAAGAGAGTCTTCCTTGGTATCCATTGGGCGATGAAGTATAGTTGTTGTATCACGGAGGATAGACGCCTGAACGAGTATGACACACACCCCGATTATCTTGACACACCATTCCAGATCGACGAGGAGGAGGTCCTATCACTGCTTTACAATCCGCTCCCACATGACCTCCCAACTGTCCATAAGGATCTCTTGATTCTGCTTGCAGCATTCTATGACGACATCGATCGATATGCCCGGCTTCGACGGCCTTGCCAAGTCCGATCAGAGATCCAGTGTTTGGTGCGAGGCATCTATAACAACACCATGTTTGCGAAGTGGTGCTCATTGCAAACAGACAACGATAGGTTTCCGAAATCCGCCATCAACGCACGGTTCATTATGAACGGTGATCTGTCACGCATTACCCCAGAAACACCCAACGGTGAGCTACCATACTGTATTTGGTATCCAACTATCCCACGAGAATCTGTGCTCAGAGAACTACACCGTCGTCGGCCGGACATGAAACCTGCTATAGCCAGGGCCTGCATTCTTGCCAACTACGAAGATACATACGATCTTCTTGATGTAGATCCGGAGACCAATATCATGCAAGATGCTCGTGACAGTGCAAATCCCCATTATTTACAGGACTTGCAAGCTAAGATCCCTCACCGGGGATGCAAGGCTTTCTCGCCCGGGACGGTGCACGAAGTGGCCCGGAGATCTGAGATGTTCGAACACCCATCATGCTGGCTGCCAAGTAGATTTGCAGATGAAGATGCACAGGGCGATAGTGATGGTATAATCTACAATGGATGGATTGCAAACATTAGCGGGCTTCAACTGGGAGTTTCAGTTCCTGACACATTCAGAAAACATGCCATGGAAGATGGAAAAGGGGTTGACATGGACAGATATTATGAATCCTTTGCGGGGTGAGGGACGCTCCTCGAACCTACCTTCATGTGGCGTCAGAACAGAAGCCCGTGGGCAGCCATTTCATTATCAACTTCTCATATGCTATACTCCCATATCTATAACAATCTTCCTCCCTATTGCATGTGAGAATTTGCCGTCCAGCAGATACAGAAGGTTCTCGATGCGGCGGATGAGATCGCGGCCGAACAGAATAAATCGATGATGGTCAACTTTGCCGCGGCTTTGCTGATGTTGGTCCCTGCGGCCCCGCCGTGGGCGAAACCATTGGGGTTCTGGCTATGGCTACCACCTATCGGTCTGTGGAAGAGCCCGCGAGTGCGGTATTTGCGATTATCATATGTCGATCTTATGCCCCAATTGACTATATACGAGTACGCCCGCTCCGATCAAAGGAGTGACGGCTTAACGAGATGTGATGAGAAGACATACCCCCGGTCTGTGACTCAATGACTCTAGAGGGCGGAGTGGGCTAAGAGGCACTAGAAACTAGCAATGTAACCTCAAACCCAACCTAGACTCGCAGGGGGTATACTTAGTACAGGATAATGTCAACAGAAAAGAGAAAGTGTACTCCGTACACTCCTTCGCCTGACTTGGTTGTGATTGGAGCATGTTACAGGACCCACTCGCCAGTTGACCACATACCAAGTAGCTTCCTCGCCTTCTTTGACTCTTCCTTTGAGCTGTATCGCTCAAATATCTCATGATTTGACATTTCATCGTCTCGCTCAAAATGGAAACATTCAACCACATAAACCTCCGCATCAGGAAGGTCAAAAACGAGGATCTTCTGAAAGCCATACGAGGCGAAAAGATCCCCCGAGCCCTCGCAGACAAGCACACAAGACAATGCGTCATTCGTGGTATTCGATACCACTATGGCTTTGGGACCGAGCTCCGTGGCCTTCTTCCCGAGTTCAATCGCGCCCTCAATGCACGATGTATCATGAGCAATGAGATCCCTGATATGAACCCAGATTTCCCCGAGGACTTTCCTTACTGCATCTGGCACCCCGAGACCGCGTCAGAGGCAACCTATCGTGAGCTGGCACAGCGGTATCCTCATATGAAATACTTAGTTGGTCGTGCATGTGCTGTTGCGGGTTACGCAGATCTCTTCCTTGAGCTGGACCTGCTACCCGAATGTCACATTGCTGAAGAGGCACGCGAGAGTGGCAGCCTTCAGATATATGATGCGATCATGAAATCAGCTGTCAAGTACAACGCCATGAACGATTATACTTTGGAGATCTTTGCTCCCGTTCCTGGAAATTTGAACGGTGATACTTGTATTCGGGCATGGCTCGATATCCGATATGGGATTGCCAAAGGTCCGACGACAAACTACCTTGGTATCCATTGGGCGATGGACGAGCGTGATTGCTGTATCACGGAGGATAGACGCCTGAACGAGTATGACACACATCCCGGTTTCCTTGACACACCTTTCGAGATCAATGGAGAGGAGGTCTTGTCACTGCTTTACAATCCGCTCCCAAACGATCTCCCAACTCTCCATAAGGATCTCTTGATTCTAGTTGCGGCGTTCTATGGCGATATCGACCGATATGTCCGGCTTCGGAGACCGTGCATAGTTTCAACAGAGTACGTACGCTTGGTGCGAGGCATCTATAACAACACCATGTTTGCGAAATGGTTGCCACTGCAAACGGATAAAAGGTACAATAGCTCTCTTCTGAAAGCTGCCATCACCGCGCGGTTCATCATGAACGGTGACCTGTCGCGCATTACCCCGGAAACACCCATCGATGAGCTACCATACTGTATTTGGTATCCAACTATCCCACGAGAGTCTGTGCTCAAGGAACTACACCGTCGTCGGCCGGACATGAGACCTGCTATAGCCAGAGCCTGCATTCTTGCCAACTACAAAGATACATACGATCTTCTTGATGTAGACCCGGATACCATTATCATGCAAGATGCTCGTGACAGTCCAAATCCCCATTATTTACAGGACATGGAAGCTAAGATCCCCCAGCGGGGTTGCAAGTCTCGCAAAGACGATGTACCACGGAGATTTGAGATGTTCGAACATCCGGCAGACTCGCTATCATGTAAATTTGGAGATGAATGTGTACAGAGTGACGAGGATGGAATAGTTTACAATGGAGTGGTTGCGAATTTTGGCAGGCTTCAACTGGGACTCTCAGTTCCCGACACATTCACGGAAATGAGATCAACGTGGACAGGTACTACGAATCCTTTGCCGGGTGAGGCACAGCCCCTCAAATCTACCTTCATGCGACTTGGGGAGAGAAGCCTGTGGGCAGCAATACTGTGTACATTTCATTATGCCGAATGACCCTAGTCTTCAGTTCAATTTCCGCGCATAGATATCGGTGTCTACTGGACATACATGTAGACCCCAATAGACCTACGAACCAGCAGCATGAGCATTGAGAGATTACTGGAGCTAGCGTGGCAAGCTCAATAACAAAGGCTGGTCAAGGTTGTACTTCTCATTCAGCACTAATTAAATCCCCTGGAGTACAATCAAATGCCCGAGAGTGTACACCACGAAGCCACTTGGATATATTTGTAAACCCAAGAGAACAGTAGCTTTAGGTGAAAGCCTATCTTGGCCACGGCCTTCCTTGTGGTCAAACCCCGTCAGGATCTGCGCAGCAGGGATGGCACAAGAATAAATTTATTACACTCAGCCGATGCGGGGATAGACACCAGGCGGCCATATTGATCCAATATCAAAGTCCACCATGGAGGCCTAGTCCCCAGACTCCTATGCACCGACTCGTTAACAATTGATTCTGATTCTTTCCGAGCCGACTGAGAGCAGCCAGCTTTCTCAAGCCTTCCTCAGTGGACGTTGGCGAAGTCCAAGACGATCAGGCCGAACTGACGCACACAACCAATCATCCTCCGTGCCTGAGGCATATGATCCGGGGATTGTCAAAATTGGAGAATGCCAGACTGATACAGCGGGATTCCCCTCACTTCCTTTGGTCTCCAGTGCTAGGGAAATAGGCTGGGCTGGAAATGTGGTTGGGCTCCGCAAATAAGTGATGCAGTGATGCCACGTGAGCCCAAACTCCGCCGTTCTCGCATGAATTGTATTTGCTGGTCCACTCCCTGCATTTGAAGCCAGGGAGTGTATTGCCTTGTGTTTTGTGCTGTGAGCAAGGCCTGTCCCATTCCTTTGCGACGTCTTGGACGGTCTTAGAGAGACGGATGGTGGCAAAGGTCTTTCCCGTACCTGCCCGGCCATCCAGATGAAGCAGATCCGAGAAAGCTCACGGCGTTCAATGCCTTCTTGAACTCCTCGTTCGTTGGAGACGAATACCTGCATCTATCGAGCATGATTAGAATGCTTTCTTTGCAAAGTAAGTCAAATAACCACACAGAACTTACCGCGGTTCATCTGCTGCAAAGCAGGAGAAATCTGTTGACCGAGGTTCATCTGCTGCAAGGCGGGAGAAATATGAGTAGTGGAGGTCTTGAAATTCTCGGCAGCTTGCTCCATTGAGTTTGAAGCCACAGTGTTGGCACTCGAGGAGGAGCGAGCAGAGCTGCTCAGAGGGCTGGACGAGTTGGAGTTGGTTGCGGCAGTAAAGTCCAGATTGTTGATTGGATTCACAAACTGAGGAGTTTTGACAGGCTCCTCGTCGACAGAGCCGGCGGCAGCAGGTCCTGTTATCCGGGAGTCGAGATGTAAGATCTTCCAGGCTCCGGGTTTGCATATCAAAGGTCTTTATGACATCCGACTTGAAGCCTGTCCATGGTTGTAAGAAGCTCGATAGTGGTCGGCCAGTATATCTGAAAGAGAGGGCAATTAGCCCGGAGCATAGGGTTATTGTGATAACTCCAGGGGCCTTCCGACAAGCTCACATGTTTCCTGCATAACGATCTCTGCGTAGCTCGTATGCCGATCCCTCCTCTTGACTTCTGGAATGGCAGAAACGTGATCTGGCGTCTCCGGGACTGAGGTTCTCCGACTGTGAATGTTTTGTACCATCCTAGGGCAAACTGCGGATAGAACAGTAACCTGCTAAGGACGCAACCAAGCGGGGAGGGTGTCAGGTGCGAAACCGCTCGTAAAAAGGTGACTGATGCTGCGATGACCACCATCTCGTCTTCGGCTTCAGGTTGTCGGCGGGTTTGTCAGTGTCAATAGGCCATCATGGCCAGGCACGTCACCGACGTTGCTGTCTGTTGTTGGAGAACGTGGCCTCATGCAGTAGATCCTGTGTGGAATTGCTGATACCAAGCTTGCCAGCCCCCTTCTCCCAATAGAGTTTCCCTCTCATATGAAGATGAGGAGATAGTGCAGGAAGAGATGGAGCAGGGAGAGATGAGGATTGAGGATGGAAAGAGAAAGAAAGAGCAGAGAGCTCAAAGAGATGAGGGGTTGACGAGAAGAGATAGGAGATGAGGATGAGGACAGGAGGAAATAAGGAGAAGAGAGTATGGAGGACAAGAAGAGATGGTGAAGGGGAGCAGGCAATGAGTGGAGAGTCAGATCAAGATATAAATGGAGAGATGAGGATGGAATAAGAAGAGGGGAGGAGATAAGTGAGAGAGAAGTAGGCAACAGTCTTATATAGATCCTAATGCATCTTTACCAACGTCCTTGAATGCAAAAATGAGTCTGCCTTTGTATTCACATGACGATATGGGGAAAACCCTGGAGTTCAAGGCCAAAAACCCAGATCAAGGCAGTCATAAAGTACAAATTTGATCTCTCAGTTGATTATTCCTCCAGAGAACAGCCCATATTCGCCCGATTCTTTCGTCTTGCAATTCTGTCCTAGTTAGGCAATGCTTTGAGGAAAGGTGCCAGGGATTTAGGGCATACCATATCCTTCATTTCCCAATGAGTTTGCCCAACTAAGAGATTGATATTAGCATTGGATCACTCGTTCATCTTTTCATCTTGATGCTGAATCAACTCACAAATTTGCGGATTCCACCCTTCTTCTTACTCTTATTCTCCTCGACGTGTATCTCTGCGTCATTAATCTCACCTACCAACTATCCGTGGAGCCGCTGTTAGTATGAACCGAGAAATATGCGAGGTAAGATCCAATTGGGGTTTCTCTGCTCACAATCTAAACAAGTCTATTAGTTTGCACCCTCGGCTTGGAGATGAAGATACTCACTCCCTGTATGTTTGATATGTGTAAGTATTGATCAACAGTAGTCGTAGGATCTTAGAATCAACAACTCACAACCTGTAAGGTTAGTTTATAAGAAGACTGAGGACTGAGGATTCTGTCATCCAACTTACTTGCTGATTTTCACGTCAGTTCTGTACACTCAGGGTGCTTGATGTAGACGTATAATAATAACTCACATCCTGACAAAAAGATCCCAGTCAGTACTATGTTTGTCCACATTCGAAAGGAAATAACTCACCTCCTATCAATCAAAAAGTTATAAGCATCTCGTCAACGAATCGAGGCAGATTGTCCAAAGTGCGAAGCACGTACCAACTATAGATTCAGCCTCTGTTAGTGCAGGTTCAAGGTTGTGCGTGCAAATATGGCAACTTACTTGCTGTTTTCGACAATTATCAGCTTAATTCATCAAGCAGTTGGGGCACAAATGCTCGATAACATGACTCACTCGCTGGATTTGACATGATGGTAAGCAGAAGTTCGATGAAGTCTTGTTACCATAACCACTTACCAACTGTTTGACCGATCTCGTCAGTAACATTATCCATTGTTCACAGATGATGTCGAGAAGAACTCACAATCTAGATTTACCAACTGGTCAGTCTTGCATACAACACCAATAGTACAGGGGCTGTACTCACACTCTTTTTGTTGTTGGCATCTTCCGTCGTCGGCGTCGGTTGCCCTTTCATTCCATCTGAAGCCTTTTGGATCATAACATCCTTCAGTATATTAGCAACGGATTCAGGATTGGCCATGCAATTGATTCAGTAAGACTCACTAACTGTATATGAGGAATTGTGCCCATTAGCCTTGGATTCCAACATGAGAACAGGCTTCAACTCACAGCCTAACAGTCATAAGCGATGTCAGTCTATGGCGCATCAGATACACCAGGGTGTCAGGCGACTTACAGGCTTTTCAATGGAGTCAGTCTCCTGTCGATATTAAACCAAGTCCGTCTGTAAATGAGCTGTCACTCACAATCTAGATTGCCCATGTTAGTGGAATCCGTGTCAGCAATGCAACAGCCATAACACTCACAAGCTAGTCAAATAGTCAGAAAACAAGATCACTCATTATCCAATACAGCAGGGGGATTAGGTCTCACAGGTTGTCCATCAGATTCTTCCATCGAATCCTGTGAAGTCGTCATAATCGGAACTGCGAGGGTGAAGCTGAAAAGCAGCATAATCAAAAATGCGAGCGGATGCATGGCTGCGGATAGTCGGTAACCTGTGTAGTGTTAGTAGTAGAGAGAAAGAGAAGAACAAGTTGTAAAGTGTCGATAGATTGTAATTCTCTTCAGTTTAGGTACGAGCTCATGCCATCTTTAAATACATTCATGTTTTGTACGTTGCTATACAACAAACACAATATGGTTCATCCCTTAATGTGGCACATTTTCATATTTGAAGGACGAATGGAATTGCGAGAGTGTCTGTTGTTAGGTTTTGGCTTACACATATTTGGAAACATCTAATACTGTGGCCTTGAAGGACCTAGAACGTGCTTTCTATTTATTATAGGGAAATTGGAGAGACGTAGGGGCCATTTAGGGCGGTACTACTTAGACCCGTGTACACGCCCTTGAAGCATTCCTCACTATCTATGAACATTCCGCTAGAAGCTTCGTCTGGATATCTGGGGATACGCATTCCACACAAACCTGTCATGCTTGAGCATATATTTGGGCAAAAAGAAGCGATGGGCTAGATGCTGACATCTAGCTCTGTCAACATGGAACCTGGCTGGTAGAAACAACACTCGGAAACCCCTAAACTCACGCTCGTACTTTCTTTAAGCCTGGCTAATGGAGCTTAAATAACGCACTTCCCAATATTGCTTGGACTGAAGAAGGCATAGGGCGAATCAAATCACATGAGACTTGGCCAGACATTCTTTCCCTGCAATCCATTCGGTCATTTTGTCCTTGGCTAGTCAATACAATCATTTACACCGCGCCCATTGCCATATCAGATGATGATGAGTTTCGTATGAAGTGGAACAAGGATATGTCAAGGAAGCTGTCTACCCAGTCTCCCTGAGGTCGTAAATTAATCCACCATCATTTGGAAACACGTCTGATGTACCCGCTATAGAAGTCACGTTTCAATTGCGGCATCTACAGAAATGCACGGAGAATGAGTGTCACGGAGGTCTACGAAAGTAAAACAAGGCAAGACGAAGGGTGTATTCAAGAAAGGATATTGAAGCCAGGAGAAAATGGAGAGAAGAGGAAAAGTAGACTATGCTTGAAATAAATCCCCACTCATCAAATGATCTATAGCCGAGTGGAAGTGGTTGTGGTAGGACAAGTATGTGTGATGGTGAAGATGATACATTGTGAACCTACTCTGCTCAGTGCTGCCTACATTATCCAACAGGCGCCCGTCCCCGACAAGTCCTCGTCCCGAGGGCTGTAAAATGGGTAAGTAGTAAGCATGCAAATTATTCTTGGGACCAGTGAGAGACTGAAAAGAGGAGAGAGAATTGTATTCTGTGGGGAGCGAACTCCCAAACTATCTACCGTTACTTCTTCAATTCATTCTGGGCCTTGTGAAGGTCCTTCAAAGTCTTGTTGAACTTTTCGGCCAGCATCAAATACTCCTTCTTCTGCCTCTGGATCATTCCCTCCAACTGCCAGATTCGACACTCGGTTGCCGCCTGAACCTGCTGCGCGCTTGTCTTTCCCTTCTTTGGACCACGGGACGCAGCGGGAGTCAGCTGGTAAAGTTGGGGGCGCTTCTGCGCTAGTTTGTTAATGCAATTGCGGGCCACCTTGACCATTGGCGTCTTGGAGGATCCATTGCGGGATGCCACAACCGGAGACACATAGTTGGCATAGTCGGCGTTGTCAATTGCGCGAACACGGCGCATGCTCTGCCCGTTGAATTGGTATCCCTGTCCGGGAGTCACAAACTGAGGAGTGTTGACGGGCATGCTCTGGCCGTTGAATCGGTATCCCTGGCCGGGAGTCACAGATTGAGGAGGGGTCATAGGCATGCTCTGTCCGTTGAGCTGATCTCCCTGTCCGGGAGTCACAGGCTGATGAGTGTTGACAGGCATGCTCTGCCCATTGAGCTGATCTCCCTGTCCGGAAGTCATAGGCTGAGGAGTGTTGACAGGCATGCTCTGTCCGTTGAGCTGATCTCCCTGTCCGGGAGTCACGGGTTGAGGAGTGTTCACAGGCATGCTCTGTCCATTGAGCTGATGGCTCTGGCCATTGAGCTGATGATCCTGTTCATTGACTTGATGTCCATTGCCTTCGTGACCCGTGACTTGGTGGTCAGAGGTTGTCATACCAGGGCTTGTCTGATTGACACCAGCGACAGCGCCACCCAAGTATTGGGTATTGTTGGCGTCACCATCGAGAGAGGCAGACGGAACGTTCATGTCGGGGCCAGTAGAAACAGGCGCCTGAGCCTCATTGAAAGGACGTGCATTTTGAGTCGGCTCCATGACGCCGTCAGCAGGCATTTGATGGTTGGAAGCCATGTGGGCCTGGATCAGAGCCACGAGCTCGGAATCATTAAATGCATTGGAATTGTTGGAAGGCATGGCCATGCTCGGCTCGTTGGTTCCATTCAGATCGAAGCTCATCAGCGAGGCGTTTGGGTCATACATGTCATTCACAAATTGATTGAGACCAAAAGGGTCGTTGGGATAAGTTGGAGAAGCCATGTTGGACAATAACAAGGATCAAAGATGGAAGAAAGCAAAGACAATGAGATGAAAGAAGAAAGGTGGGAAGGGAAGAAGAGGAAGAAGAAAGGATTGAAGCAAGAAGCTCGAGGTCAATAAATGTTCCTCAAGGATTAGGGCTCATAGATGGGAGCAAGCAAGCATACGAACGAGAACAAAAAATACAGCACAGAGATCAAAGAACTCACATTGCTATTGTGTGGCTGGAAACAAAACGATACACAGTCCGATGAGCGACTGTCGAGCTGAGACACTTGCCCACGAGGAGCTTAAGGTTTATTGTCCGAACAACGAGAACAAAGAAACGAGAACAAATAAGGCACAGGGAACAAAGAACTCATATTGCAATTGCGTGGCTGGGAACAAACCATATACAGTCTGATGAGCGACTGTCGAGCTGAGTGACACATGCCCACGAGGAGCTTAAGGTTTATTGTCCGAACAAGCAAACAAACGAGAACAAAGAAACGATAACTATAAGGCACAGAGAACAAAGAACTCATATTGCAATTGCGTGGCTGGGAACAAACCATATACAGTCTGATGAGCGACTGTCGAGCGGAGTGGCACTTGCCCACGAGGAGCTTAAGGTTTCTTGATCTAACAAGCAAACGGAGATGAACAAAGAAAGATACATCGAGCTTGTGACTCCGGGCTCGCACAGTCAATAGAACTAATTGATCTATAGAGGTGATCAACAGAGACTGTATACTTCGGTCCCATAGTTCTAGCATGTTGTTTTTTCTGCCGGCCCATCACTTTTTCGCCAATGAAATGATCCATTTCTGCCACCCGTCTCATACGTCATATCGATCATGTGACATACCCCAGAAAGTATCTCCCGGCTTCAATTTCGCTTATCCTCACTCAGGTACGGATACGTATGTTTACCATAGCTATTGGGCTTTGCTTCTGAAGCCGTTCCTTCGTTATTATTGGCGTTTCTATGGTGATATGGTTGAAGAAAGTCCGGAAGTTGATAAATCCAAGTAATCTCAGATGCGCTAAGGAGGAAAAAGAAGGAAACTAGCTATCAGAGGGCTATAGCCACAGTACGCAGTATGATAATTGTGTGACCTCCTGACAGTCACCTGACCACTACTCTCCTACTATAGTCTACAGATACTATCAATACAATAGGCCCAATAGCTGACACTTTCTACGGAGAGGATCGCAGTCGAGTCTGTCTGACCGCCCCTGCTATCGCCAGAGTCGATCTAATCTGATGGTACTGACCGCCTACTGCTCTTGTTCATCACTTTCATCTTCTGACCGCCTCACGTGCTGAGGCCATCACGTGTAGCCATGGCAGAAAGTGAGTCTGAATCCAAGACCCGAGGCCGCGCGCCTGGCTCTACCAGCTCGTTTACCGCCTCTGGGGGTAATGTTTCCAAACCCGTGGATATCGACGAGATAACAGTTTGTGAATTACCTCTCCCCGCGCTGTGGAGAGACAAGATGAGCGTCATTCTGTGCACTGGTACGTTAGCTATCATGAGGAGCTCCCCGCATTCTTTGGAGGCATTGAGCTAATCCCTTTCGTCCCATATTCTAGCGGGTTACGACCATACCATTCGGTGAGTTGAAGCTCAGTCCACCACGCTGTATACTTCTGGCATACAGAGTGCTATCTTTTTAAGGCTCGTGCTCACCTTGTCTCTAGGTTTTGGGAAGCGCTCTCGGGTATTTGTTCACGTACCATTCAGCACCCAGACTCACAGGTCAATCGCCTTTGCATCACTCCGGATAAGAGATTCCTCGCTGCTGCTGGTCACAATAACGTCAAGCTCTTTGACATCAAATCTACCAATCCCAATCCTGTGATCACTTTTGAAGGTCACACGAACAACATCACCGGAGTCGCATTTCATTGCGAAGGAAAATGGATGGTCACTAGCTCCGAGGATGGAACGGTGAAAGTCTGGGACACCCGCACTGGTAGCCTGCAACGCAATTACGTCCACCGGGCTCCGGTCAACGATGTGGTCATTCATCCCAACCAGGGTGAACTCATCAGTGGTGATCATGCCGGCATGGTCCGCGTCTGGGACTTGGGTGAGAGTGTTTGTACTCATCAACTGATCCCAGAGGAGGATACTGCTGTTCTCAGTGTCAGTGTTGCCAGTGATGGGTCATTGCTCTGCGCTGGAAATAAGAAGGTGTGTGGTCCTGGCTTTGCATGAAATCCACTCGTATTGGATCTTTACTAATCTCTCGATAGGGAAATGTCTATCTATGGCGCATGGTCCAAACTGATGATACTACCCGCATCATTCCAGTCTGTACATTCCAAGCTCACAAAGACTACCTCACTCGTGTCCTCCTTTCTCCCGATGTCAAACATCTTGCAACCTGCTCCGCGGATCATACCGCCAAGGTTTGGAACCTCGACGCCGAGTTCCCGCCTGCCAAGGCAGCATTGAAGCAATGGAAGGAGCAGGAAGCATTGAACCCTCCGGCTGAAGCCCCTGTTGAAGCTCCGGTGACTCCCGTCGAGGCTCCTCCGCAATCCCGGGACCTGCTCCGTATTTTCGATACACCTGCCCAAGACCGTGATCTCCTGCGCATCACTGATAATCCTCCTCGCCAGGAGACACCGCAGCAGACGTTCACGTCATCCCCCGACGGGCCTCCCATGGATCCGGTCAACCATACTCTGTTTTTACAGACCACTCTCGCCAACCACCAGCGCTGGGTCTGGGACTGCGCTTTCTCCGCTGACTCTGCGTACCTTGTGACTGTGTCTAGTGATCACTATGCCCGTCTGTGGGAGCTCAGCACCGGCAACATCATTCGCCAGTACAGCGGCCACCACCGCGGTGCAGTGTGCGTTGCTTTGAACGATTACTCCGAACCTCGCTAGGCTGAGAGACACCAATCGGCTTTCTTGACTAGTATTGGCCCATGGGTTCTTATGGTGCTATTGGCGTTGGTCTCATTCTTCTACGCATGGCATGGCGCAAGTGATGGGCGTATTGATCTTCATTTCGGCAACAAGGCGTGCACTGGGACAATACGGAATCTTTCTATGAACTTGATTCTATGGCTTCTTTATGGTTACTGTCGATAGCAATCGCAATAGCAAGCTCAAAAATACCATGATCGTTCTCAAACATTGGGTCCAATTCTTCTCGTACATCACATGCTGATCGTGGTTCACTCTACAGGGCCATTGATTCTCGATCATTTGAGGCAAATTTCAAAATGTAAAACACAACACCGCGCCCGGTTTGAACCCGAAAAATCATAACATAGAGAGAAAGATGCTGGAACACAGCTAAGGTACCCACAGAATCCAAATATGGCGAAGTACATAGTGAAAAACACGAAGCCTGAAACACACATCCGAGGCAGACTCGAACAAGCCCCTGGAATAGGCGTCCACCTCCGCCTATGGATATTTTATCCCATCCATGGATATATAGAATACGACAAACAATAGTCAGATCCATTCTTTATACAACAGCAAACCACGTGACGCAAACAACAACATCCAATCCCCGCTCCTCAGCCCCAGTGTACTTATAAGTCCACATGCCATCCCGGTTAACATCCCAAAAAGCCCCGGAGGCAGAGTGCATACCGCGCTTGCCGGCATTGCTAAGTGCACCGCCCGCGGCAACAGACTCGTCAATAACGCCCTGCTGCACGATCGTGCTGTTGACCGTGAAACGGTAGGGAGGGGGCTTGGAGGCTTCGGTAGGTGCGGTAGCGGTAATCAGGGCCTTGAGGATGGTATTCTGCGGAAGACCGTTAGTACCGTCATTGTTATTTGCGCAGCCGGAGCGTAGTGACGCTTACGATGATATTGGAGTTCCAGGCGCCGACGCTCTCGTGGTCATAGCCTTTGCTGTCCTTCAAGGCATCGTTGCAGGCCTGGGGGTAGGATGTTAGCGTGGGATTGGTTTCACGGGGGGTGGTCTGGGTTAGTTGGCGTACCTCGGTGGTGATCTTTGTGAGCTGCTCGATGGGGATGGGCTGGGAAGTCGTCAGTATTTGCGATTGAGCTTCGACTAATTGTGCTGGATACGCGTGTCGCGCGCATGTGCATCGACTGGGACTGCCGTGGGGTTCGCTGGCGATCAACATACCGATGCAGAGGCACTTTCGGCGGTCATTGTGGATGATTGGAATATGCTGGGTTTGGAAAGGTGTTTGCAGGGACTATATGGAGGATCTCGTTAGTTCTGCTAGTGAAATGTCTCCGACCTTAACGCAAGCAGACTCCATTGGGCTGACATCATGTCAGAGATACCACCCGCGTACGGGGTATGCGCGCACGAACTCGGGGCAGTGCGGGGAGATAGGGGGTGCATTTGTTGGCGGGTTCGGAGTCGAACGCGCGCCATGCAATTGAGAGGGGTGCATTGGCGTACATTGATTGGAATTAGGTTGCAGGGAACCTTAGGCAGTGTTCGGTAGGAATGCGGGATATTTGGAGGATTGCGCTTCCAATGGAGGTGGACTGTTTGGATGTTTGGCATCATGGGTACGCTTGGCCGAAAGGGGTTTGGCGCAACTTTGATTCTGCCATGGCGGTGGAAGAGTATAGACTTCAGATCGGGCTGCTTTCGATGATGACTTCAAATCGGGTGAAGCTAAGACCGCTACATAGAGCTATCTATGTTACTCTATCATCTATGTATTGAAATATCTGAGACATTAACTTGATAGAATGTACTGGCAAACGCATCCATGCAAAAGAGTCAAGACCGCTCGGGCATACTAACTGATTATTAGTACATTCAGCCAGTCATCTATCGCTTTAGGCGCTTACTTTTCAAGGTTGTATGTGACCTACCCGGGCATCGACCTCTCGTTCCAATCAATGTGCATATCCAATTATGTGGGCGCTAAGGGCCCGTGTGCCTCCAGCTAGAATACATACCTTTCCCAGTATTCTTGTTTTTATCTTGTTATCCTATGCCAGACAACTTTAAGATATTGAGATGCTATATTTCGAACCTGCTGTGGTGGTACTTAAGATGGAAGGTTTCAAGACTTCAGGATCGTTGTCTTTCTGACTGTTTGAATGGTCTCTTTGGATCTCCTTTTCCCTTCTTGGGCTCCAGCATAGGTGTGACACGTCACAATTCTGCTTTACAACAAAGAATGTTTGCCATCCCAGGTTGATTCGTGGCTCTTTCCCCTGACTTGCTACGTCTTCGGCCTTCTGCCCTGTTAGAAGTTTAGGAGCATCCTCTGGGATATTACCATTAAGTAGGCGTCTGATTAGGCAGTGGTATGGACGGACGGCAGATTATGCCAAAATCCAGGATAGTAAATCCCTCTAGGAGCTCGTCTCTTTTGAATCAACGGCTTTCTCTCTCATCTATGGCCTTCCGTCTGGTAGACTCAACAACGGATGAATCGCCAAATGACAAGAGACAAGGGGGTCCTCGTATCCCAAATTCATCATTATGTACCTATGACTTGGTTTATCTTAGAGAGGGCCAAGGCTGACCTCTGCCCTCCACCTCCACGAGGATTTATTATGCTTCATTCTTTTCTCACCCACACACTCTTACACTCTCTCAGTTAAGATCTCAATTCGATCTATCGTTTTTCTCTCGGCTTTACCTTACCCACACCGTTAAGCCTTAGTCACGTCATTTATTATCCTTGACTCTAACCTACACCACAAAGGCACATCAAGTGAGAAAGAGCGCTCGGGTCACTCTACCACCCCAGAGCTAGCCGCCGCAATACCACGGAAAGCTTTCAACATGCCTGCACTCCTGCCTTCCCAGTTGGAACTCGCCGTTGCAACAATTGCTCAATGCCTGGACTTATTGCAAGTTGACTATGGTCTCATGGGAGGTGCGGCTGCATGTCTCATGGCACCAGACCCCAGCCGGCGAACAGAAGACGTTGATTTGGTGATTCACGTCGATGAGCAATCCATCACCGCTGATCTCCTCACGCAAAAACTGTTGGATACTTTCCCATCTGATATTGGCCCCGTAAGCCAGTTCGGACACATAATCCCCGCATACAGACTACGTTTACCTGGAGATGCCATCCAACTCGTGGAGGTCGAGATATTCGATTACAGGAGCTGGCCGAACCGACCTCAGTACAACCTTCAAACGGCTACACGGGTGACAAAGACGGTCACCGGATATCCCGTCAAAATGTTCAGCGCTGAATGGCTTACACGGGAGAAGATACTGTCACAATATCAGCGTCGGGGTGTCAAGCATTTGACAGATATCGAAGACGTGGCCCGCTTGATGCGATATTGTACGCCCGACAAGCCGGAGCTCAACTTCGACCAATAAGACCAGCAGCTGCAACTTGCCTTGTCAAGCCTTCTCGAGGAAAGACCCCGGCTTCGAAACGGTCTCCGCCGAATCATCAAATGCAAAGAAATCTTCGGTAACTAGTAAGGCGTATCCTGTCTTACTTTCATAATAGCTTCGGAATTAATTCAATTCGTTTTTATCAGATGATGTGCCACGCGTCCTCCCCGATTTCAAGCCTCGCTCGAGCGGTATTACTAGGCGTGATGGTGTTGAGGTTGCGCTTGGGTTTTTTCTTTGCGTCGGATATAGGCACTTCTTGCATGATTTTCTGGCTGTTCGCATCATAGGGGCTAATAAATACTCCAACACAATATGGTCATTCTCCTTAATTGTGTGGACTTTCGCTAAGATGTAGATGATTTTCGTTCCCACACCCCATATCGTACAGTAATGGCCCGGCCCATAGGGCCTGCTAACCTTAATTAGACAACGGGTTTCCCCTCATGTCCACCGGCATTTCTCTTCCAGAACCCAGTCGTTTTGAGACGCGTCTATCCAAGGGGCCGAACTTTTCCTCGTGTATTCGACCGTAGGTCACACTAAACCATTCCACTGCTCGCTCATCTGAGCAACTATCGAGAATATCGTTATTGACCTCAAGGTATGCACACATCGTAGCCACCCAGGTGCTCAGTCTGTCTCCCCACCCTGAAAACTCGGCATTCTCATCATTTTGATCGTCAATAACACACTTCACGAAGCTTTCGACTAACGCCTCTTCAAGCGGATGACATATATTCCCGTATATATCAAAGCCCTTGGTCGAGTCGTTATTCTGTTTTATATCGACAATCACATCCGGTATGGGGATATTTGCGAAGGAGTTTGGGGCCAAGGTCAGCTGTAGACTCCCAGCGAGGTGGTGTTTGATTGGATATTCGAACGTCCTAGTTGATCTATCCAAGCGACGATACTCCCTCCCAACCTCTTCAATCGCCTGTTCCGGATCTGGGAGTGTGGCTAATATCTCGGGGGAAATTGTGCGGTCGGGGGTTATTTCATGAAATCCCGAGTCCTTTAACTTCTGGCATGCTAGCTCATAGTCCTCATCATGGACGGCCACCATAGCAACCTGAAAATGTTCATTAGCAGGCGCTTGAACATGAATGCAATAACCCAACGTACACCTACTACAATAGGAACACCCAAGTAGTTCATTGCAAGGGGTCCCCATGGGAAGATAACCAGTGGCGCAAGGAACTGGCCTATTTCCGAGGTCATCCGGTCAAGCCGGGTCTCACGTGGGCGTCGAATCATGTTCACTTTGTGCGACAGGAAAGAATCGGTTTTGTGGTCGGGTTTTGGTGATGCGAAAAAAACGGCGCGAAGGTACGCAGTGGCGTGTGGGGTTGGATCTTCGCGCACGTGATTCGGGCCGTTGCCGCACAAGTGGGGCTTGGGTGTGGGGACAAGGCTCTGAGTCTGGGGCTCTGGAGTCTGGACTATGTAGTACTAGATTCCCGTGGTAGATACTAGTAGTGATAGTCAGCAAGGCCGTGGGCGGGATAAACTTTACAGGAAATGGGCTTTGAGCATTTGGCCAGAATCGCCACCATAGCTACTCTGCTACTGCGTAACTAGTGCGTACAGTTACTGCGTATACTGCGTACGTAAATTTCACTTCCTAACCCGCCCATTTAGCATCATTCATAAGACACACAAAGTATGATACTGTAGATCTCTTTGTATATTCAGATTTAGTCTAGTAGTCTTTAGGAGTTTAGGTAGACATCTCTGTCCTTGACAAGGCTGATTGGTTCTGTAAACGGTGGACCTGTGAATTACTGCATGCGGTTAGTTTTGCCTTTTCTGGTTTAGCGCCCCAATACGCCGTCACGTAACCTACCTTCAATGCCACCGACATAAAAGACCCATCTTCGCTGCTCCTCCTCCCTTTCTCTCACTTTTCCATTATTCTGCCTCTCTATCTTGCACTCATCGCCGCCCCCTTTCTTTTACTCTGGCCCCCCACCGACTACTGCACATTTGCTTTCAGCACGACGCACTGCCCCTTTCATTTTTACCGGAGATGCCGCTCGATCCGACTCCCTGGTCGTTCTGACCTGCGTAGGCTGCAATGCTATCCAGTCGCTCAGGAGCAGAAACACTGGGGTGATCCAGCCATCCACTGCATCGCATGATTGTGTCAATACTCCATTTTCCAAAGAAGTCTACAATCCTATCTAGATCGCTTGCTTTCTGCTGGTGAGGCCTTTCCGTTGAGTGTCTGTTATTCCGCTGAACCCCCCTTGTTGCCGAGTCTCCTCGTTGCTGCATGCTCCGCTTCATTCGCCCCATTTCAGGCTCCCACCTGAGGTTACATTGCACAGCCCTTGGCGTCGCAGATCTACTCTCGGCCGCTTGCTCGCAAGTGCCTCGACCTCCCATCTGTCGTCATCGTCGGCCTCCCCGGTCTCTCCGCACCCAATCGGTGAACCTCGAAAGCATACCACGGTAATGCGAGCCAATAGCGAAAATACCGCACACTCACCTGACCTCGGTCGATGGCTGTATCATGCAGCCAATGCTGCACTGCAACCGCGAGAACCATGCCACGATCGTACCGTCACCTACCGAATGGAGAACGGGCTGACGACTAGTGTGGGCATACGCCGCAAAGGTCATCAGCGAGGGTAGTGGTAATTGTTGCCGGTGAACTGCAACCCGTGGTTGTGAAACTGGTGTGGTCCTGCGGCTTGGATGAAGTGTCCTGGATTGCAGGAGCTGGTCGGGATCTTCTGCGCTGGGCAGAGGGCAGATTCCGCCTCACGGGCGACCGTCGTCTATAAAGAGACTACAATTCCACCCAAATGGCAAACTTGTGATTCAGAACCCCTGAATTCTCCTCTCCTCTCCCCTGCACCCTGTCCCCCATCTCCCATCCCCAGTTCTCTGTACTCTGCCAGTCTCCCTATTTTATGAGTACCCACAAACACCACATCTCGAAGACTTTCTCGGCTGTCTCTGCCACACAATATGTCAAACGCTAATTCTCGCCTGGAATCCTTTCGGCCATGGAATCCTTTCCAGGACAAAGCCCAGTCTCTGCGAGATTCTTTCGATATTTGCCGCACCCAGGTCCTGTCTCGATGACTCCCACCCCGCCTCCCTCCAATCCTATCGACTTCGTCTCTAAGAATCAAAATGTCATTCTCACAAACCTGGCCGGCATTCCCTTCCTGCCCGCCCGCCGTTGGAAGTTTGCTTGGATGACGGCCTACATTCGGATGCTTAAACCACTCGACACGAGCCGGAGGATTTGGGCCGTACTACCTTCACCAGTCCTCACGCTCAGACTTTCGACTCTGAAGACCTTTTGCAATTGCAAGACCTACGGAGCACCAAATATATCGATTGTGCTACAATACCCGGTGTTTGTCTGGGTGCTGAGCATCCGGTTTTGGATCATGCGACTTAGACCCTGCCATTATTGCTGGTCAGCACCCTCAAGCTGTCGGTTCTGGAAATAACATTAGGACTGAAGACCTCCCAGGCAATGAAGCTATCGATCCCGCAATCCTGAGCGATCATGACTGCCATGATTCTGAGTATATCCAAGCAACGGAGAATATCATCGGTATCGCAACACATCTGGACGAATGTCCCTCGAATTGCTTTCGCTTCCCGGATCAAGACCTGTCTTTCCAGCGCAGACGACATAATCTAAAGAAGACGGTATATCATGATCGCCAGTCCAAAGTAAAGAAATGTTCACGTACAGGGAAGAGACATACAAACAATGGTTCCTGTTGGTCCACTAGAGGGCCTGGTCATGGAAAGAGTATTTCATCTCCTGCCGTTCCCAATTCTCGGCCGTTTCAATTGAAGACCGGCTACAGTTCGTATACACCAGATTTTAGGCCGCCCGAACATGGCTTTCCATTTCCGCTTTAGTGCTCACCCGTAGCCGCTTTTTGCTCACTGAGTAAAACTGAGCACGTCCCTGAGTATTACATAATCATTAAACTTGCTCACTGAGCATCGTGGGAATTGATAGTTAGGGACACTAGTTATCAATTCCCGAGCATCGCCCGGTCATTACATAAGCCGGATGAACCCGCTCACTGAGCGTGACCTGAGCGCTCTGATTTGCTCACTGAGCAGCCTGATCCCCCTCACTGAGCGTGACCTGAGCACTCTGACTTGCTCACTGAGCATCGCCTGATCATTACGTAAGCCGGATGAACTCGCTCACTGAGCGTGACCTGAGCACTCTGATTTGTTCACTGAGCATCGCCTGATCATTACAAAGCCGGATGAAGTCGCTCACTGAGCGTCGCCTGAGCAAAGTTGGAGCAGCTAAGTCAGCAGCTCACCTCAATAAAATGCACCACGCTAGCCCCATCCCAATGCAGTCGTTCACCCAGCACTCTTGACCGTTGTCCCCTTAACGAAAGGCTAGCGTCATATTGAGGAATATCTCAGAAAAGTCCAGTCAAATGGTTTTTAAATCCAATTTAGTGATTTATTGTGATTCTTTTTTCCTCTTGATTCCTAACGGACTATCGCTCTTGCTGCCGCCACTTGCTCCTAGGAACAAAGGAGTACGAATTCAGCTCTAGCGACCTGGACATTCGCAAAAATATTCTAGACCAGTCGTGCTACTGGATAATCTACCTGCCCATAACGGACTTTGCAGCCCCTCATTACCTGGTATTCTAACTAGCACTTAGAAAATCCCTCATCATAACTAAATGAAGCCTAATAGGTCTTCCTAGGAGCTCCCAGACCCTCCGTGCCACGACAATATGATTGGTGAGATGAGTATAGATCCTAGGAGCTCAAGTGCTGGTGCCCATTGGAATTTGCGGGGACTGGCCGATAATGCTGAGAGTCAAAGTATATAAAAGAAACACTGATCCCTCCTAGAGTGAACATATCCAAGCTTCAAGCATTTCTCCTCAAGACTGCTCATAAGCTCAAGCGATCAGCCAGAGCAAAAACCTAACTATTGTGCAGATTTTCTGATGCTGCAAAGGAAACCGCCGACCTGGTAGATATCCAATTATTCCATCCGATTAGAGTTGCAAGACCATTTCTTGCATATTATTGAGCTCTGAATCTGTTATATATGGCCAAGACCTATGGGAAGACGTAAGTGACTCTCATTATTCTACCAGGGGGAGCGCGAGAATTTGCAGGGGCCTATGGCTGACTGAATTTAGTAGCGTAAAATCCATTGAGATTTGAGAGAGAACAGATCCTAGCTTGATTTTTCGGTCTGATTACACGTACTAAAGCCCACAGTACTTGCACATGCTCTTTTTGTCATTTACCCAGACGCGAATGGTGTGCTTCCCCCGATTGAGCTGAACCAACGATAGTCCCTTCCACGCAAGTGAGTTTGATCCGCGACGCCCGTTCTTCTCCATCAAATGCCAGGCATCAACAGAGACCAATGTCTGTGAGATATCTGAGCCTTTCACGAACTTGATACCGAGCTATCTGTGGGCAGCGCACCATGGCGTACGAGATCTGTAGAGAAGCCCTTTCGAGGTTGCACGAGTAGCTTCAAAGTATCCTGTCTACCCCTGGACCAGGATGTGATGGTGAAAGGGTGCGTCTGAGTCCATGACCACAAACTTACTGATGGCATCCAGACGTTGATGTATTGACCAGGCTCAACATGCACTGGTCGAGGTAAAATGATTTGAATATTTGCAGCTGTCATTCTGGGGAGGCTTTCCCCTGGTATTTTTTTACTTGAGAATGATACAAGGGCTCGAGGAGCACCACGGCCGGAAAAGATCCCGTTGCGGTATAAATGGATCGCCAACTCCAGAAACGTTGTTAGCTCCAGGATGCTCAGTGTCACATAGACGTACAGTCTCGCCGAGCTGGTGTGGGTGGGAAAATGCTGCCAGGTGCCATAGACAAAAAGTCCGGCAAGTATCTGATGGCTTCTGCGAAAGATTTCATAAGACCAACGACGAAAGTATGGAATGGAAAACAGAGCTAGGATACCGAGTGCAGAAACACCCTACGTCTGTCAGCAAGGCCAAATCCACAATGTATTAAGAGAGGTGCATACGATCACAGTGAGCAGATTTTGTGTCTCAGTGAGAGGAAAACTAAATGTTTTGCCTTGAAGTTCGGCGATAATGTGGAATGACAGCAGAGCAACGGCTGTCCAACCGGTTGCTCGATGGATCTTACGGCAAATTAGACATCACCCTGCTCCGAAATACAATTGCCACGTCTTTGTAGACCCATCGGCCAGCCCCAACAGAGAAGCATTCATAGGCCTCTACGAGAAGTAACTAAAGTCCCATTAACTCGAGCAGTCGCTCCAAACTTGAGCCTTTTTTTTGAGGGCAAAAGACACGTTGCCTGTGACAGAGAAATCATGCGGGCCAAGAAACATCCAACTAAGGCTACCTCGCGACTAATCATCTCCAGCTCATAACTGCTGACGTAAGGAACCTCACGTGAAAATCAAGGGAGTGGACAGGGCCCAGAGGGGAAGCATGCCTGGAGAGGGAGGTTACACCTCCCCCCTACAATATTACATACCTTGTACTCATTCTGATACTTGCCCCGACTCCCGAGCTTGTCTTAAACTGAGTATAGGCTTGATCTGTGTTGCTCTTGAACTTGATAGGAGGCTTGGTCACTATTCATCATGCCTCTTTCTGAAAGGGTCTTTATAATATGTGCCTTATCTGCGTATAGTACAGGGGTGTGATAAAATAAAATGTATTCAATGAGATATAAAGCATAACACAGAAAGCTCGATATGTGACGGCCCCACTTTCATCCCCTAGAGCACAGTCTGTCCCTCCAGGCCAGAAACCCTTCAATAAATGAGTGACCCCTTGGAGGGTAGATTATCGCAAGCACTATGACACTTCTTTTCGTCGCATTTTCTGTTGTGGAAGGTAAGTAAGCATTCATTCAGAACTACCAACTACTAGTTTTCAATTTGTGCCCATTCAGCCTTAAAGCGAGCCCTTCAAGCATCAAATGTTAATCTCCTTTTAATGGCTAACCTAGTCGGGATTTTAGCTACCCTCGGTTTGACCACGCGACGCCTATCGAGGGTATACCCAGTAACAGGATCTGACGGATCTCGGAGCGACCCTATCACACACACGGTGAAATTAACCCTGATTGCCTCGTTCCCGATGGGTCACCTTCGAGTCCCTCAATCAACTCAATCAACTATTCACTCATTATTTTGTTTGGTTCCCTTGGATCCTCTGGATTCCATCACATGTGCATTTCTGCCGTGGCTCTACTTCCACAGCTGGTAATTAATTCCCCGCCATATTGTAATCCTCGTTTATTCTCCCCCCAAAATCTAGAGACCATGCACAAAGCACGCTAGGATTTGACCGGAGTTTTCATTTTCAACGTTTTGCTGGCGGCACAAATGTGACTGTGTATTTGCCAGCAGACACAGCTCACGTTCATCCGTTCCTCTCGCACTTGCCAACATGTTGTCCTAGGGGCGATACCACTGAGCACGAACGGTCCGACATAACCCAACGCACTCACAAATTTAACCGTGTGGAACAGGTCATCAAATGTGCTCGCTCTCCTAGCGAGTACATAATAAAAGATAATACGAGAAGGGCCCTCGTTTCTCTCTTCTCCTGGTGAGCTATTTCACCCACTGATATCTGGACTCCAAGGTCCACAGACCACGTAAATGGCGCACACGTTGAGCCGTGTCAAGCAAGAGCAACTCCGGAAGCGGCGAAACAACCTCCTTCGGCGCCACAATGATTTTTGGCGCTTATACTCAATTCAGAGTTGGCTCATAATGGAAATGCCCAATAAGCGTATCTATACATACAGCTCTCATCCCGAACTACCCGCCCCAACTAGGGCGGAAATAGTAAGATTTGCGTTGGCAGGAAAACTTAATGGCCGAGAGTTAATACTGCTTTTAGGAAAAGCGTCCTCAACCTGCAGTTCACAGGACTCCCGCCTACTATCTTCCCGGTTCTTCGGCTGAGTTGATCTTTCCCAAGCCCCCGGTTTTTAATATCCCAGAACGTCGGAATATTTGGGAGAATCTCATCAGTTAAAGAATTTTGCGCCCACCAAATGATTATGACCCGGCTCTTTTGGATAGCAAAGAGTTTTTCCTTCAGATATGAGGTCTTTGGTAGAAGAGCGCTAGCGAAACATAAAAAGCTGAGGCTTGAAGGAAAGCACACTCACTTCTATCTCGTTTGAGGTCTGCTTTGCTACATCACAGCACTACAGCTTTGCATGTACATCGCCAGAATTGGTGGCCAATCCAAAAGACTACTTCCTTTCACTACTGCTTCACCTACTCCGGTAGAGTTTATGAACGTTATGTCAATTTGTTGTACTGTACCTACTCCAAGAGCATTAACGCAATCGACTAACACCGCTTCCAACCCCCCTTGGAGTTTAGAGGGCGATGATCAACTATGGTGGGGTTTGTCTTGCGGCCTATGGATCTCTGGTGATACTCATGGCTGTGGCACCTTTTTCGCTATTTCTGTCTTTGGTCATCAGGGGAGAAGCGTTTAAGGGAGACACGTTCGGCCGAACGAAGCAACACGGCAAACAGAGCACAATTAGTGAGGTGGATACGAAAGGCGGTCCTTTCTGGTCTAGTGTTCTCTCAAGGAAGGCGGCAAGATACAATAAAAAGCTGTCTGGAGTGATATACAGCCTTTGGCTTTCCTGGAAGCAACATTTGAGATGACGAGAAATATGTGCTGGATGACCGAAGCGCCGGGGAAATGGAATATTTAAACGCCTGTAAAACGGAAGGGCTCAACGATCGTAGCGTGGCGAGACACTTCACTTGTTAGATGGATGGAATGCACTAGGTATTTGGGTTTTATGTAGATCATGTTTGAAAATCACAAACGGCCATTGATGTCGGTTATATACTCAGGGTGAAGTAGGTATGATTTATATTGTCGAAAATGGCTTAGGTTGGATCCATAGCCTTTACTTGTTATTCTCCAAACAAACTGGTCTCTCCTACAAAAGATATATTGCCTCTCGAATCACAATTCTATGGACCCTAACGGTTGCTCTCGCTCGTACACCTCTTTAGAACCCTTCTTCGGGCACAATATGACAATGCTACTTTCCGAGCAGTCCAAAATTACTTTCATTCGCACCTTAGGCGATCCGCGACTTCGTCCGCAGTGCATCTGGGTCAGCGAAGCTGGGCAAGCCTGCCGCAATGATGTTGCGATGGACAGTCGCGACCTTGCTAGCAGCGAGCTGTTTGCCTTGAGAGCCAATATATCTCGACCTGCCCGGAGGACGGATTGTGCAATTTCTCCTGTGTGAGGCTTGCAGGGTTTACGAAACCCGATGTCCGGGAATTGTTCGACGGCTCGGTGAAACGTCGCAATTGTCATGCCTATCCGTACCTCGTGGCAATCAACTATACCTCAATCTGGGAAGCGGTCGAGCTCCCAGTCGATCACGACATGCCACACCCAACAGAGTACCATTTTCCCGCTCATCCAACTAGGCCTACATCCAGATTTTGTACCCCCGAACGAGCAGTCGACAAGAGTCGGAAAGAACAAGGAGACCCCAAAATGGGAGAGCATGTGAAAAGCTTTACAGTGTGCATTGGATCAAACGTCATCATGTTTTATTCCGGCCAGATCATTGCTAACGGTCTGGGGGGTATGACCTCTACGGGTTTCGAGTACAGTAGAAGAAAACGATTATGCCATGTGTTACGAAGACGCACGGGTCTTCAGGAACCTGTATGAGTCCAAGTTCAAGAGAACCCTTGATGCTTCCTGTTGCCATAGCTTCGGTGAAATGCGCAGGCCATAAAGCGCACGGTTAAGCTTCCAACACATTCCTGGCTGTTCAAATCCTTCAGGTATCTTTGTATAGGTCTCTGTGGGCAGTTTGCTGTTTAGAAACGCGGTGACTGCTGTTATTCCGACAAAAGGAGTGGACAGAGGAAGCATGACTGTCGGGGGGGTGACAGGTCACACCTCCCCACCGCAATATATGTATTCCAGATACTGTAACATATGTGTATCTTCATTTGTAGAATAACTATTTTTCAAGAAAACTTTAAAGACGTAGTCCAAAACCCCTCAGTTTTACATCATTGGAGTGTTATATCTTCTTCTGATCACCTTGTCTGTCACGAGTGACATGGTTTGCATTATCATTGCTTGGATCAGATAGGAAGAGTTCCCTCAAGGTGGATCTGAGGGATGTGGTTGGATCACATGACGTGAGAGGACTATATCATTCCTCATCTCTCACTTGCTCCCTTTCCTTCTTCTTCTTCTTATTCTTCAGCGCATATTATCGAAGCCAGTGCACTAACGATTGTTACGGATTTACCTAAAAGCCACCAGCTTCTATGATCGTGATACTTGCTCCTGGGACCCCGCGACTGCTAGGAGGCGAGATCAGAATGAAGCTTCCCAATCGGGTTAGCGTGGCATAATTTCATAAATTCGGCAGAATCATAAGCCGTGGTCTGAGGAAAGTGAGACAACCCTAACTTATCATCCTAGCCTGTACGGTAATAGCGTGGAGCGCAAAACCAGTCAACCACTTTGAAATGGCAGCCTGTCTCGTTCCTCAATTATTTCCGGTCCCAACTCCCAACCTGGGGCCAACCAACCGGTCCAACCCAGGCCTTCCTGTCAAAACCACGGTGAAAATACGAACATGTCACTAACAATGAGACCTGTAGGTCATCAATCTTGACCAATGACCATTTCAGGACTTCTGCTAATTTTTCTAGATTCATCCAGAGCCAACCGGCTTGACCAGCTGCCCAGCAGATATCCTATACTCGATATTTGAGTTACTCTCACCCGCTGAGTTTCATGCACTATGCCTTGTTCACAAGAGCGTTTGCGGAATGGCCGCGAGGCTTCTCTACCAGAATATCCAAATGGTTTGGGAGCGTGAGAACCCTTTTGATCCTCCACCAGTCACTAAACTGTTGCGAACTTTGGTGTCCAGTCCTGATTTGGCTGCTCACGTCAGGACTTTTCATCTCGGCGGCAAACTCGCCAGTCACGCCTCACTCGTGAGAACCATACGTGCAGTTCCCATCTTTCCTACCGAACTGAACGCGTCTATATCATTCATTCAAACGACTGGAGTCCCGTATAGCGACCTTTGGATACACGATTTACAGCAAGGCAAACTTGACGCTGTTGTCGCGCTGCTCCTGGCACAGCTGCCAAATCTTAAATCTCTGCACCTGGGGCCTGCTTTCACCCAACGAAGTGAGATCATAGGCATGGTTCTTCGTTCAGCCATCTTTGAGACTGTAGACTACGGGCTACCTGACTTTCGGCATCTCCGAGACGTGACATACCTCCTCAAAGAAGGCCATGACGAGGCGCGTGATAAAAACGTCAAAAACACTGCTGATGTGTTGCCCTTTTTCTATCTATCAAATATCGAACGCATTTCGGTCTTCCTCGAGAGCCCGCTCGCGATAACGTGGCCTCAACCAAAATTGCCTGTCGTCCCATCAAGCCTTACATCGCTGGTTTTGAATTCCGTCCGTGAGAATTATCTCATGAATCTGCTTTCAATCACGCCATATTTGAAGTCGCTGCGGTGGACATGGTTTTACGATTACGGTCTCCTCGACGCAGTCAATTTGCCAATCATTGATCTTGATCAGATCGGTGATGCCATATCTTGTCTCAAAAACACTTTGACCGACCTCACAATCATAGGCGAGGTTCAACTGGGAGGCAACGATATCAATCTCCCTGGCGTAAAAACAGACGGATCATTGAGTGCAATGGTCACTATGGACAATCTCAAGACACTTCAAGTCCCATGGGCATTCCTCGTGGGATTTGCACTAGACACAACGAAACGCCTGCAGGATGTGCTTCCAAGGAATCTTGAACACCTGACCATTACCTACGACCTATGTATACAGAATGAGGAGCATATGGAACCAGATTGGCCTGAATTCGAGTGGGACGATCACGCAATGTTAGACGTGCTGAAACCATGGCTCGAGGATCGAACATTCACGCCGAATCTTTGCGGGGTTTCACTGGGACTAGTCAGATACGAAACTGACGAATATGACTGGGAGCCTGAAATGAGGCACCAGCTCGCAGAGCTGGGTGCTCAAGCTGGAGTTGTATTCGACATAATCTTCACAGATGAGATGTAACCTACAAACATGCATTTATTGTCGCAATTCCCGCGGTCACATTCAAGTTATCAGAGGCCGAACCAAGATAGGTATCTCACACTACCTATGTGCCCGCCTTGGAGCCCGGCCGCGCTAGCCTTTGGGGTCACTCCGACTCACGCTAGCCTCAGGGGGAATGGGGATTAAGGCATCAATATTCGACAGAAAATGATTCAATGAATTTTGGCAGCTGTGTCATAGTGACAGTGTGAGCCTGTGAGCCTGTGCCTACTGCCTGGATATATGTACTGTGTAGACGATGGATACAGGGTGCCCGACTACTCCGTAGATGATGGCCTGATGCCGACCATGCCGTGTTCATGTTGGCACGTGACCATGTCACGTGCTCTTTTCAATGTCTCTGTCATTCTGAACCCGATCCTGTTGTACTTAGCTCTTCGAGCTAGTTACGTCTTGTATAGTCCTAATCTATACGAATACGCTGATACCGTCTACCTCCATATATACCTGCCTGAGGCGCTGAGCTTGCACCCTGGCAAGCTGGCGCCTATGCGTCTTCGTTGGGGGGCTTATAATCCGCAGCGCATAACGGGATCTGGTCAATGACCGGTTTCCCTATTTTCTCCACCAAATCAAAAGGCTTTGCTTGCACAAGTTTGTCCACCACTTTCACACCCAGCTCTTTGACAAAAAGATTGCATCCCCATGTTTGCTTGCGAAGACGTTAGTACTTTCACGAAATACCGCAGATTTGGGGATATTCACTATTACTCACCAGGCTGTCACACGGATTTGTGTTAGCAGGAACATCTTCCTTATTCCGAACGACTGTGCAAACTCGTGCCTCCCGGTCTTGTAAGGGAGTGTCTTTGTTTTTCTCTGTGGTGTAGTACAGTTGAGCAGTCATCACCTCGCCACAGCTTGCTTGATTTTTATGCCCTGTTGTACTTGTGCCCCCATTCTTGTGGAAAGTCGCTTGGCATTGTTCAAGGACGTGGACACCTTTGTCTTCGGATAGGCAAATGCAAAATTGGATCCACCCCTCATTGAAGATGCCAAAAAGATCTCCTTCCCGACAGCGAGAACAGTCATGGCTCGGGGTGTGCTCTTTGGACCGGTCACCTTGTACAACGCCCTGTTGATTTCCATCTCCGCATATGCATCATATGCGATTTGCCAGAGGTCACTAGGTTCAAGCGCGCTGACATCCTTTTCAAATGTGAGATGGCTGCTCCACATGAAAGTTCGGGGAATTTGCTTCCCCTTCTTGGCCAATGGGGTCGGCCAAGTACGCGCTAGGTGGTAATCGAGTCTCACACCCAGCTCGCCTGTAGGCGGATGTTCCTTGTCCAGATCCCACGCAGTGCACACAGTGCACACAGTGCCCAATGTGCACAAGATCACAAATATGAGTCGAGCAAATACCACAGCTATCATTGTATAAGATGCTCTGCTGTGTCACTACCATAGATGAGAGTCATCAGTCAATCAACGGCGACGAATCTTTGTTCCCCAAATGTAGCTACATACCAATTTGGAGATAGAAAAGGAAATTTGGATGGGCACCTTGTGTCACTGATACCCGTGAATCTGGCAACCGGCGCCATTTAATAGCGTCGTCGCTGTAGGCTCTTAGATACCTGTCAGTCTCTTACCTCGATGTGGAAAGGTCCATGCACTATAAGATACGAGCAAAATTGCACTAGGCTTACGCCGATATGCTTGACGATGTGACCAAAAGCGCAGATGTCTCAAGAGTTTAATTTGATTTTGGAGTACTTAGCCTACAAAGGCTTTTCTATTCGTTATAGCCCTGATTCAGGCTGATTGAAGCTAACATGCGAGCTAGTGCTGGTCTTTGGCCCCATCTCCTTGCTACTCTGGTAAAGGGGCTCTGGTGGTACGTGAATCAAACCAATTTCACCACACGATGTCGTGCCACTCTGAGCAGCACTACGGACATTTGAAATCTGAGGCGATAGTTGTGAGTCGTGGAAGAAATTGGACTACACTGGATATCCCTAGTATAGACAGCCTTGACATAATACAGAGATGAAGAAGCATACTAGTGAGGCGATAGCCGATAGGGCCTAACTAGCTGGCGATTCATACTAGTTAACTACTAATTAGTATCTGCTCGGAGATTCGCGATATCCGCCACTGTCTCCATTCTATGCCAAGAAGTTGCCAAAGGAGTGCCAAGGCCCAAGAATGATTCTATTTCTCCGTAGCGTAGTGCTAGCGACCACGAGTTTTGACTGTTTATGGCGTAGGGTGATGGCACGGCCTATCTAGCACAAGACTTACAGTTCGGTTAGAGATTTCTACGCACTAGCTTCCAAGCTTGTGGGATTCGCCTCCAGTAGGTAGTGTCATAAGGGCGGTATGAAACATTGCTAATTTAGCCCCTAACTAACGTATTTCACAAGCGAGTGGCCCACGCAAGCGAGTGGCCCACCTTCCCCAAAACGCGTCCGTAGATTAGCAACTTAGTTCTTCAACCACCCACCATGCCACCAATTCGCTCCCGCAGCTCTAGAAATTCAACAGAGAAAGAGGGTAGGATCTCATTAGCTCTCAAGGCTATCAAAAATAACGAAATTGCCACTATACGTGAAGTAGCGCGTCACTTCGATGTGCCCAGATCCACTCTGCGCCGCCGCCTTCGCGGCGTCAAAGACCGCGCGACTTCTCGCGCAAATTCACACAAATTGACGGAAACTGAGGAGGAAACGCTTGAGAAATGGATCTTCTCTATGGATTCTCGCGGTGGAGCCCCCCGGCATTCTACAGTCCGAGAAATGGCGGATGCTCTTCTCTTCGCTTTGTGCTTTAGAGTTCTACCGGGGGGTTCATTGGATTGGCTCGGACTTTGACTTGTATTTTTTCATTACTCGCGCGGTCCTGATACACGTTTCAGACATTGTCAAGAAGTTGTATAAGGACCCAATTCTCCGCGAAGCATTCGGGCTGAAAGGGTCCATACAATTCGAGAATCATGTCGACACGCTCTGTCCAGAGCAGGAATTTGAGGTCGCAGAGCAGGTGATTGAGGAAGAAGAGCAGGAAATTGAAGATAGTCTTCTCCACCTGGATCTCAACCCACGACCAACAGCCCTGCGACGCTCCCAGCGTCTAGCCGATAGGGAACAAAGTGAATCGCGCGTCACGGCAACCCTGCCACCCATGACTCCACTCCTGAGCGCTATCAGCCGGCCCGATGCTTATCAGTTCTGTGTTTACAACGCTCCTAATGAAGTATCAGAGACAAGTCGGCGGGTTGCTGCCTACATCCAAGAGCTCAAGTGTCCCAATGAAGTCACACTGGGCCACATCTATGGAGGACTGGAGGATATGGACGTTGACCAAGTGGTTAGACGGAAAGCAAAAGAGACCAAAGAGGATCTTCTCCATCGCTTGATTGCAGGGATTCTTACACAGACTTTTGACTATATGGTTCGTGCGGGTACAAAGCGTGCGGTGTTTAGCACTGGCGAAGCAGATATCTATCTGCGGATCGATGAGGATCCTTCGACACTGTACTATCACTTGTCTATCCCCAAGGGAGACGTTGGAGACACAACGGGCTGGGATTCCTCCTCTGACAGTTCGAACCGCCTACACTTAACTGCTGTCGGGCAAGCTCTTGCCTTTACACTCCAGGCACTTAAGTTGCGACCTCAATCTCAGGCATGGAGGGAGCGAGCAGCGATTTCATTACCGAAGTGGAAATACTCGGTGGCAGATATTCTGAGAACTATCTCGGAGGATGACATACCGTCGTCGGAGTATCGCCCTTCACGACCCAATTTTACTCAGATGTCTCCGATTCGTCTCCGCCAGATACCACCTGAAAAAGCCATCAGTTCATGCCAATCATCGCAGATGCTCGCCAGCTCCGACGAGGACGATTCTGTCTCCCCGAATACCCACAGCCAAAGCCCACCGGGTGCTGAGAAAAATCGCGAAGCTACAACAACCCACATAAGGTCTACATCCGGCGGTGCGGCCGGAACGAGCTCTTCTTCTCAGGAGAAGGAGAATAATCGCTCTTACTGCACGCTGGCATGCCTGCGTGGCTTGATCAGCCGAGACAAGTTGGACAAGACATGCCCAAATGTTGCATAACACGGAACAACGAATCACCGCATCAATTTAGTCGAATTTCTTGATCTCCTTCGTCGCCAATTGGATCAAACTGTGAATGCCGACTGCGAAAGCTTAGGAATCCACGGCGCTCGTGGTGCTCTTCTCAAGGTATCCCTTTCGTCCCACGGCTACACCGCCCCTGCGAAATGCACAACTGCGCAGTTCGCCAAGTATTTGAAACATGAAGCGCTCGTTTACAAGAGGCTTCTTCCACTCCAAGGCATCAACGTTCCGCTTTGTCTCGGAATCATCGACCTTGCACATCCGTATAGCTACGAGGGCATCTGTTACCTTGAACATATGCTGATACTAGGGCCTGGGGGTCAGTCTCTTCGTAGGGTTCTCACTCCTGAAAACGAAGCATCTATGTCAACGAAGACGGAAGAATCGCTTTCGGCTGTGCATCGTTTGGGGGTTCTGCATCGGGATGCAGAAATTCGCAACCTCTTATACAACTCGGAAACTGACAATGTCGTCATATTGGACTTTGAGAGGGCTGAGATCCTCGAGCGACATCCTGCTATTGGCTTCATACCGCCCATGCAGGAATGCAGACGCCGCTTCAATTTGCGAAAGAGTAAGGAAGCATTGGAGAATGCCTTCGCTGGGGAAATGAGGGTTGCGCTACGGGACGTACGGTGTCCGAAGCGTCGATAGGTTCTAGGTTTGACTAAACCTCCCGCAACTAATGGGACTCTGGTATCACTGAGCCGGCCTGGGTATATTCAACCCAGATCTGCTCTCGTCCATACGTTCTTTCTATCTATCCGGGTCATATTGAGATATTCAATGTCCGTTTATGATTCACTTATCTTGGGCTGTGTCTCACACGAATTTGGGAAAGAAGGGATGGCGCTCCGACAAGTCGCGGAGAATATCTTGATAGGGAGTCGTGGGACAGATAAGTGGAGGAAGAGAGAAGCGAACAGAGGAGTGGGGAGGAGAGAGAGGCCCATAATGTAAGAGAACGTTATTAAGGTACATTCTGCGAGAATCCACAGTACGAAAACGCGATTGAGTTGGTACACGTTGCTCGAATAACATTTCTCTTCGGTGCCACTGGTTAGGGCTGAGAGGGGTCACCGGACTCGTCCTAGGTGGATAATGCCTCCCCGTCACTGCTAGCATACACCAACCTAGTGCAAGGGCGATCATGGAACTGATAGGCCGGGGATTCGTGCTGCCTCTCCGCGTGTTGGAATACGTGACCTAGAAAGACAAATATATTCCACTGGATTGAGGTGGGATGCCACGCAACGGAGTTTGCACATAGTACGCCCGGTTGCCGATATATATACTGACCATGCAATAGTTTACCAAGGAACCTTCGAGGTTCTCCATCGAGCGGACACGCAGTCAGCACCTTGACGGACATGCCATATTGATTACCTTCAGGTGTGATTGTGATGTGCCCAATTCAACGCAGTGAGTCAACATTCAGCGTGTTGCTGCGTTGCATGCCATTCGAGGTTTGGAGCTTCGCGAACCAACCCGACCAACCATTCTTGCTCCTGTAACACTATTCCGCAGACTCAACCAATCACCTGGGCTTGTGGTTTAGTGGTATAATACTCCCTTAGCATGGGAGTGGTCCGGGGTTCGATTCCCCGCGAGTCCAGATCTTTTTGTTTTTTTTTTTTGGTGGAACTCACCGTGGAAGTATCTTTGAAGTTCCTGTTGGTGGAGCACCCTGACTGGCCAATCAAAATGGAACAGAGGATGAATCTGGGACACTCATTGACAGGCAGCCTACAAATGCCACAACAGTGCCTAGAATGATGCTCATAACCATTAACCATCACCAGATCAAAATTGGCTGAACCATTACTCTATATATACAGATCTCTCAAACACTCCCAGGTGTAGTCCGCGTATAATCGCTCGACCGATCCTCAACAGTCACAGCGACACCATAATTAACCATGATATTCCCCTTCCCACACGAATGCGTCAATTTCTCCTGACTGCTCGCCGGGCTAGTCGACCGGTACGCACTCGTCGACTGATACGCCTCGACCTTCCCCGAGAAGCTATGCAGCGCAATATCCTGTTCTCCAAACCGACCAGACCGGTGCGACGGCATGCCGGTGCCACGACCGCGCTGATTGTACGAGCCATATTGATAGGATGTCTTGGAAGGGAGGGTGGATTTGAGGACGCGGTAGAGGCCGGGGCAGCAGCCGATTATGACGGCTACAAAATCAAGGTGGTCAGTCTGCATGCTTGGTATGAAGTGGGTAGGAAGAGATATGAACGTACCGATTGCTGCCTCGATCGTTCCCCATAGCGCTAGCCAAGACGGGGCTGGAGTGCCGTTTTCGGTATCGCCGAGTTGGACGACGCGGATGGTGGAGATGATGATGCAGATCCAGCCGAAGCAGAAGAGACCGCCGATGCTGAGCTTTTGGCGCAGTCGCATCTGCAGGTTCCAGATCAGGCGGATGGGGAGGATCATGACTGTGTCTGATGTTAGGTTCAGGCTATCCTGGAGAGTGAACGGAGATGTACTTACTTGCTAGATCGGTGACGATGTCCGCTGCGTATGCAAAGTACAGACTAACGACGGCGGCGTGTTTATCCCGCGGGGTGCTGCATTCGCCTGCGGTGAACCAGGCGTGGAAACTCGAGCATGAGAACCAGGACGAGAGAATGCAGCCGATGATGAACTGGAAACACTAGTCAGATCGGCCTCTGGCAAAAAAGACGAGACAGCCCTTACCAGAGTGCAGGCGCCTGTGATAATCCACCATGCGAGGAGGTACTGCTTCCCAACCAACAACCGCTTATACATCGCCAAAAGCGAGAACTTGGTCATCCACAGAGTAAGCCATAGCGAGGATGTGGTGACAAAGAAGGTAATCTGCAATTTCTCCGCATCTTCCATAAACGTCGCATAGGGAGGAATCGACCCGGACCCAACGGCAGCCAGCCGGAAGATAACAGGAGCAATATAGATGTAAAGAATGCTCAACGTCAAGAAGAACAAATAAGCCACGAAGAGCAAATAATCCTCAGCCCTGAGATCCTTGAGACTCCGAATAGACCCAATAAACCGTATCCCAATGACGACTGAAGTAAGCACAATCAAGGCAATGCCTGTTCTCTTCACAGTGCCGGGCCCGAAGGTGCCCTTACCGGACTCTCCCATCACTCAATGCAGCACGATTCGGAAGGAAATCATGGCATCGACAGCAACGCGTGGAATCCCCGCTGACAATATAATGGCGTTTTGCACGAAATCCTTCAACTGCCACATGGCAAGCCATTATGGCGATTAAGATTTCACATCTGCGACAAGCAGCAGCCATGCAGCCACAAAATCCTTCTTCTGGGTCTTGGTCTTTCTACGCAGGGATTGTAAAACCTCGCCCAGACGAGGGTCGGTATTCTCACGTTCGAATGCAACACTCTGCAATGTTCGATGCCAGGCTCCACTTGCTTGGGCCAGTCACGTATGAGGAAATACCCCGGTGGAGTTCTTGGCCCCCCACACCCTTGGCCCTGGGTCCGGAGGTCCGTGCCAGACGGGTCACGGAAGCCGAGACGGCCCGGGGCGCACAGGACCAGAGATGGGCAGTTTCAGCCTTTCCGGTCCAGGCTTTCGATCCAGCGTGATGATCGGGGTAAATGATCCCCACTGAATCACTGATGTGACGAGGTACGATCTTCTGGGGGAGTTGGTGAAAGTATGTTTTTTTCAGGCTGGACTTGGTGTATGCAGTATGCTTTGAAGATCCTCAATTAAGTTCGGGTTCGTTTTTGTTTCAAAGTAATTGTTGTCAGCACACCCCTGCTCCCGTGTGGCATAATGCTCGCTTAGGGCCTGTACCCAGTACATTGGCCGGATATGTTCCCCTTTTGGTCCGTAACAAGGGGTGTTCTTTTGGTTTGTGTTGATGCATAAAAGTTACATTCAAATCATTATTCAAGTCCAGCTCATGATCACATACTAGTTACTGTGTAAAGATTGAGATAATCCTCGCGCCTCATTTTTTCGTATCAGCCACCTTTCACATGCTATCGGATACACCCCACAAAATATTATCAAGAGAACAAGAATCAGTCCATAGCGAGCAGACTCACTTGAATTGGTGAAATTCGAAAGAAATTCCAGGGTACAGCTAGTGCCATGAACCCTGCGAAGCAAAGAAAGAGATGTACTGCATAAAAGGCTCACCGAGGAGCCAACCCAACGAACACAAGACCATTGTAAAGAAATTTCAGGTCAGGCCAAAAAATCGGGTTGGACCGCTTCCCGCTTCGCTTAGAATTTAGAGTGAAAATTGTCTTAGATGTTTCCCATCGCAAGCGAACGGACCAATGCCCTCAATAGTACTCCGGATTCAAGAACACATTCCAGTACCCCTTAATCAGGCCTAACGGCTCCCGGTGCCTCCACGGCCCACCTAAATCTCCCCGGAACCTCGCCGGACTAGAAGTCTAGAACCCACGGCCAGATCATCTCGAAGGTAGATAAAAGAGGCACATCGCCTCCGCTTGGAGCTACCGTTTTCCGTTTCTCTTCAGGTGTCTTCCTACATTTGGTGTGGTGGATAAAATTCGTTGGGAGTACAAAAGGTTTTGACCATGCGTGTTTCCACTCTGATTAGCGGGTTATCCTCGATTAGCGGATTGGCCTTGGCCCAGACTACCATTGAACCCGAAGACTTCAGCGTCGTCGATGCATTGGCGGATTTGGGCGTTGATGTGACAGAGATCCCCGCTCTGGAGACGTTCTCCGGGATCGAGACTCGCTCAACCGACAAAGCTTGTGCAGCAGCCGTAAGTGCGAACAGTTCGCATCAGTCCGGAGCTAGCTAGTTCGTGCGCGACAGCTAACTCGAACACAACTATAGTGCGAAAGCTTGAGTTTCCTATTCGGCTCCAAAATCTCCAACCCCTCAAGCACAGGGTACAGCAATTTCACCGACTCATTCTGGTCTGTGCAGCAAGAAGAGGTCCAGCCCCGCTGCGTGTTCCGTCCCAGCAAGAATACGGATGTCAGCACAGCCGTTCTGCTGTCTCGTTTCACAGGCTGCCATTTTGCCGCGAGAAGTGGTGGTCATGCTGCCTTTAGCGGTGCCTCTAGCGCCCCTGGCGGAATCAGCATTTGGTTCAAGGATATGGACGCTGTCACTTTGAAGGAGGACAAGTCGGTCGCGTCTATCGGTCCCGGAAATAACTGGTTGACTGCATACTCCGCCCTTGAGCCGTACGGACTGGCAGTTATTGGAGGTCGTGCGGCGAGCATCGGTGTTGGTGGTTTCCTTCTCGGTGGCGGTATTTCCTACCATTCCAACCTGTACGGCTGGGCATGCGACAATGTGGAGAGCTTCGAGGTGAGTCACCCCCGAGCCATATCAGAGATAAAGCACCAGCTCACGAGTCCAGGTCGTAACCGCTAGCGGTCTGATCGTAACCGCAAGCGAGAAGTCTTTCCCAGACCTGTACTGGGCGCTCCGCGGCGGCGGCAACAACTTCGGTCTCGTAACAAAGTACAATCTGTACACGATCCCCGCGCCTACCCTCTACGGCGGCGCCAGAATCTTCATGGAGACCGAGTTCGGCGATGTCGTAAATGCCTGGGTCAACGTCGCCAACAATGCTAGCGTCGACCCCCACGCCCAGCAATACGTCGCATTCCTCTCAAACAGTGGCATGAACCTCGCCACTGCAGAGCTGACATACACGAAGAATGTTTCGAATGCCGAAATCTTCAACCAATACCGCAGCATCCCCGCCATCTCTGATACCGCCAGCCCCAAGACCCTCGTCGAGTACGTCGAGTACCTCGAGACCGAGAACCCTTCCGGTCTGCGCGAAATTTACTGGCCCATCAGCGCTGCGCTGGACGAGGACTATGCCCTCTGGGTAGTCGAGACATTCATGTCAATGCTCCCCGAGATGGCTGGTGTTTCTGGTGCTCAGCCTGTTATCATTTTCCAGGCTATCACCGAGCCGATGCTGCAAAATATGAAGAACTTCGGTGGTAATGCGCTCGGACTTGAGGATAAGACGGTGCCCGTGCATATTGTGCACGTTTCTTGCTGGTGGGACAATGCGTCGGACGACGAGACTGTCTATGCTTTCGTTCACAAGTTCATTGACAAAGTTACCGAGCAGGCGAAGACGCTTGGTTTGTTCGATGAATATGTCTATATGAACTATGCTAGCATGTTCCAGGATCCGATTGCTGGATATGGCGATGCTAACAAGGCTCGTCTTCAGAGTGTTGCGAAGAAGTATGATCCCCGCGAGGTCTTCCAGACTCTTCAGCCTGGATATTTCAAGTTGAATGGTGCGCCTGTGACACGGACGTGGTAGATATGGGTAGTGGCTGAGCATCAGCATGTTCCCCGGTATATTTGAAAAATTCTAGATTAGAGCAGTGTAACAGTGTTTCCAATCATAGTGTAATTTTTGCGAATTGTACCCTTTGCATACCTGGAATGACATCCAAATGGGCGGTAGCCTGATTCTGGCGTTGGTTCTGGCTTGGAGATTATGCCCTCTGTTCATATAATACTGTGCCATATTCCCAAAGACTGATCGGAGCTTAAGCTAATGAGCGTTCGCTATTACGAGGATATTGAATACGGAGAAGAAGGGGATAGTAAGAGACAGGGTGTACGGGGTGATATCCATGCAAACCGAGCAAACTCCTAAACGCTCCGGTCGAAGCGCATGGGTAAACTGTCTCCTTACGGAGTCCGACACACCTGCCAGTGTATCTTCACTGGCAACCGCGGCAAACAAAAATTGACCAGCTAAAACCTACTTTACGAGCGCACATGCTATTGGACGTTTCCCGCAACTCCGGCCATAAACTTCATGCACAACAGGAATGTCCAATTGCATTTCGGAAACTGACGTACCTGTGCGCTGAACAAGACCTCCCAATGGAGCAAAGAGTATCACCAGGACAAGGGTGGTCACCCTACAGCTAATTGACGCCACGGAGAGTCGACCCACCCCCAGCACTGGGCCTTGGAATACGCCATAGATGTGGCTAAGATGCCACTACGCCTATCCCGGAGATAGATCGGCACTTTAGAAGCCTCCCCGCAGTGGGGTCTCCACGTCAATCTAATCTTGATTGATGGAGTGAACGTCTTGGAGACGGGAATGCATTAATGGGACCTGGTGATTCGCTAGACACGATTTCCTTGGCGTGGATTCACTGGCGGGGAAGTGTGTTCCAGAGCAGAAAAGGTCCGTGAGAATTCTCTTCGACATTGGCGCAATAAGCGAATACAGGCCGAAGCGGAGCCTCAACCTGCCTCAAGGAGACATCGCGGCTTTGACAATGTCATTGCGCAAAAGCCCGAGACTCCGATGGAAAGAACGTCTTCCACTATGTTTTGAAAACCAAGCTGTCTCTTTCATGGATGTATAGAGGGGTACATGCTTAGCGCAGGTACATGCGAGCCCAGACTGCAACTATGTTCCACCGACATCATCGATCGACGAAACCTCACTCGATGGGGCCCAACCTCGTCGATAACCCCGCATCACGCCATTTCGGTATACTTTCCAAGCAGCGGACGATCGATCGGATATGACATGCAGCCGGGAAATCATATAAGAAGGGGTCTCAGTCCTCGGCCTACTGCTACATCCCAACTCTAACATCCCAGATACAACTCCGACGAAACAAAACCCCTTCACAACAAAACACACAGACCTACAACCTTCACAATGATAGCCCCCACTCCCGTCCAAGTCCAAGCCTCCAACTCCTCCAATGAACTCTACCTCCGCAAAGCCCGCGCCGTAGCCACCACAGAAGACTGCCGAGCGCTATACGAAAAATGGGCCGCAACCTACGAACAAGAAGTCGGCGACAGCGCCCAGGAATACGTCGCCCCAGTCCTAGTTGCCCAAGCAGCCATTGAACATCTCTCGAACCCAAGCAAGAGCGTCATCCTCGACGCCGGCTGCGGCACAGGTCTAGTCGGTGTGGCGCTAGGCATGGCCCGCCCGAAAGCCATCGATGGCGTGGACCTGTCACCTGCGATGCTGGCCATTGCACGGAAAACAGGACTGTACCGGGACCTAACGGTTGCGGACATGAATGCGCCGATAGAGAAGGCGGACAAGACGTATGATCTTGTTTCGTGTGTTGGAACCTTCACGCTTGGACATGTGGGACCGGATCCGGCTTTGCGGGAGTTGGTGCGGGTGACGAAGAATGGGGGGTTCGTGGTTTCGACTATTTTGAGCCAGATTTGGGTGCCGGGTGGGTTTAAGGCTGAGGTTGAGAAGTTGGTTGAACAGGGGTTGGTTAGGGTTGTTACGGATGAACTTATAGATTATGTTAAGGGTCATGGTGATAAGGCTGTTTTGCTTATTTTAGAGAAGATCGATCGCGACTGAACGGGAAGAGAGACGATGGCATTGAATCCCGATGCCGATTGCCCTGAGCGACATTTTCGGTTACCCATTGCCCCTTGCAACAAGAATTGGGTCTTCAACTTCCTCCAATGCGACTGCCGGTCATTCCGGGTTTCAACAATCCCGGTTTCTCCCTCCAATGCGACACAATGCGAGCTTCCTGATGCGCCGGGCTTTGAATAGATGGCCAGTTGAACATATTCAGATTAGTAGATCTAACATGCTGGGGTAGCCCCATATTCAAGCCACATAGGGGTTTCCCTCTGTTGAAGGTTACTTGGTAGTATTAAGCAGTCACCGAAAAGCACCTGTGCTGTTATTCAGTGAGGACGCTAAGCGTCCTGGTCCTACAAAGCGGCCACAATTGGGCAAGTCATGGCCGTAGCCTGACATCCGGTACATACAGCATGGATAAAAAGAAGGGACCAATATGGGGGATAAAGATTGCGCCGTACATGAAAGCCAAGTATCCACGACCTAAAGAGGTCATCGGGGGTATCACGCAAAATTCATAAGAGTCTTGAGCTTATGAAGGGAGAGGGGTTTGAGGAGATAATTGTCAATGCCAGCCGCGTAGGCCTGTTGCTGGAAGCCATCGGAAGAAACTCCAGTTACGGCCATGATGCAAGAAGGAGAAATGCCCTTTTCGCGTTCATACTCGCGGATCTTGCTCGTCGAAACGAGGCCGTCCATCACTGGCATTGAGATATCCATCAGGACGAAGTCGTAGTGAGATTTGGAGGATTTGTATTTCTCCAGTGCGACGAGGCCGTTGTGTGCGGTGTCGTAGGTGCAGTTTATTTTGCGCATGAAGGTGGCCATAATCTGGGGTTTGAGGTCAGCGGTGTTTTTGTCCAGGCTTGGAAGATAGAGTATTACCTTGAGATTGATTTCGTTATCGTCCACTATCAGCACATGGGCGAGCCCTTGCTTGGTAGATGGTTGCGATGACTCGGGAATGGGAGGATCTGATCTTCCCGGTGAGGTGATGTTTTCTTTTGAATGTCCCGACTCCTCCACTGTAACTGCAGTTACGGTTGAGACTGACTCGGTGCTACTTGCTGCTTCTGCTTGTCGTGCAATAAGAGATAAATCGGCATCAGGACCAGTATCAGGGGAGGGCGGTGCAATGTGAAGCTCGCGCCACTTCATTATCCTTTCAACAGCGTCGTATATCTTCTGTGGTCCAAATCTGCATGGCGATTAGCATCAATATCAGAGCAAGCGGCTAGATAGAACTTACGGCTGGGAAATGCGGATAATGCTGACAGAAAGTCCATCGAGAATGATTGGGACATTACCGCTGAGTACAACAAAGAAATCAATGCCATTCTTAGCGGCGATTTCAGCGACAGGCTGACCATTGTCATGCATCGCCTGCTTGAGTACTTCTTCCTCGATGACAACCACCTTTCCACGGGCCACCTCGATAGAGTCAGCTAGAGAGATAGTCCATTTCATCTTTGACACGAAGATACTGGCAAGTGCGCTTTGTATAGAGAGCTTTCGCTTGCCCTCTACAGTGAGTATCCCAGTTGGCGCCTCTGTGAGATCGGGGTATCCATTGAAGCCCACCAGACAGGCATGCATTGGTGGGGTCCCTGGCGGTGCGGTAGTTGGACCCAAGCTAGCCTCCGGACTAGAGTTGGCCGGTAGATATTGCACAGGGAGGTAGACGTCAGCTTGGGTCCCAACGCCGACTTCACTCCGGACGTTCACATGGCCTCCAAGCGACATAACCAATTGCTGTACCGTGCTCAGCCCTAGCCCAACTCCCTCTGAGAGTGGGTCCTCTTGAGCGAATGGGGCAAATAACTTGTGTTTGATGAAGTCGGCAGCGATACCACGGCCGGTATCAGCTATGGACAGGTGGACAAGGGGGGACTGAGAGTTGGATCGATCCTTGACCTTGGATAACGCTATCTCAATGAAGCCAGCCGTGGTCCAATTCATCGCGTTACCCAGAAGGTTCATAACAATTCTTCTCCAGGCACCAGCCATCGACCGAATCATCCAGGTGTCGGATTGATCGACGCGGATGACAACCGAGATCTGGTTTTTTGCACGGACTTCCGTGTCGCCAAAGTCGGTGGCTTCCGCGTTAGAAGAAATTCTGCTGGCAAGCTGGCTCACCTGCTGAGGGGCCCGCTGACCGACGTATAATATGTTTGCAACCTCCTCTATTAATTGACTCACGTCAAAATAGGAAACAAGGTTGGCTGTGTCGTTTTCTGGGATCATTTCGTTCATGTTCTTCGTATGCTTCAAGTTGTTGACTTTGCAGAACTCCAACCTAGAGGATGTTAGGGTTATTTTGGAGATAGAAATCTCTATTCAGGGGAACCCACATGTTATTCGTTGTATCCAACAACGTCAAGCCGGATTTTTCGATCATCGTCACCATCTCTGTTTGTGCAGGAGCGAGAGGGGTAGCATTCAATAATTCGGCACTTGCCAATATCCCATGCAGGGGAGAGCGAAGCTCGTGGCTGACGGAGGTTATGAAGTCGAATTTTGATCTCTCAGTACTTGCCCAATGTTGACGGGAGAGTTCTGAGATCACAGAATCGCCGAACACTTTGAAATAGTGTAATTCCTCTGGTCCGAGCGATCGGAAGGTATTCGCAGTCCATACGAGCACCCCAGAAAGCCAGCGAGACTTATTCCAATCCCACAGAGGGAGGAAAAGAGCTGATTTGGCACTGGGTATGCACCGCGCAAGGTGTTTTGAACAAGTCCGGGGTTTAGGTTCGATCTCACGGCCAGGAGCGCCGATATACTCATTTGACATGTAATCATCCTCATCAACAATCTCGCTAAGATTCAAAATTTGTCCCCGGGGAAAGGCTCGGAGCATTTGATGAAGCAATCCTTGTGGTATACTAGGACGCTTGCCTGAGCTTCCATCGTCGTTGCCTGTCTTCAGGCTCGGTTTCAGCGCGCAGCTTAAAGTATCGCATGGATGGTCAAACTCCTGGGGCACAGCCCGAGGTAGGCCTAGAGGGCTGGGCAGCGGCGCAGTCGGGAACCCGAGGTCTGCACCTGGCGGCAAAGGCTCCCAAATATCCGATTCCTCCGGAACGCTAGATAAGGTGTTAGGGCAATAACTCCATGGCAAGAGCGGTCTACTTACAATGCAAAATTAGTTGGACAAGCATCAAGGAACATGACCCCATCCAAGTCCATGGAGTCACGCAGCAATGTACTTGCACGAGCATAGATAGACGCGATGCGTTCAGAGAAAGGCTTGGTTTCTGCTAATGACAACAGTGAAAGCTGTTGATCGATATTCTGGTGAGCACTTGTGTCTCCAGATCTCATGGCCTCTCCCTGCGATTTTTCCTCGCCGGGAGTCATCGCCATCGGTCGGTCTGAGAGACCAGAATCGAGAGAGGACGGGTCTGTCGAAGACCGTTGATCTGGCATGTAAGACACGGATTCTTCCCCCGTCACAGTTGACGAAGGCGATCGTCCAGATCGGAACGTAGCACCTTGAGAAGAGTTGGCCAATGGCGCAGGTGCCAGAGTCGCATCGAGGTCAACACTCGTGGTGGCGGCAGCAATTTCCTGGGGTGAAAGATTCGCAGCCGAGAAACTAGACTGAAGTCGACCATCATTAGATACTTCTGTAGGATCGAAGCCTGCATGGTCTTTGACAAAAGTCGTCAAGCCCTTGACCAATTTTTCAGTTCGGATGTGGGCCTCCCTCATTCGGACATTCTCCAGGTGCAGACCAATGGCATCTGCGACTTCCTGGAGGTCATTGACCTGCTGATCACCGAACTCCGTCCATGGCTTGTCGTCGACGATGCAGTAAGAGCCCAGGACATATCCAGATGCGCTGAACAAAGGGACCTCTGCGTAAAAGCGCATATGCGGCCAATCTCGAACATATGGTCGGTCCCTGAAGCAATCCTCCTTGGTAAAATCTCGAATAATATAGCGCGTACGATTGGCGGTCACATTATCGGTGTTGATGTTGTCTGTGGAACGGCCTGTGAATAACCGGACGGTGTGGGGGCAGACGCCCCAGATCAGATCTAGGGACCGTGCTCCCAGGTAGATGCCATCGCCTGGTAGGTGATGCTCCTTATCTCGCAAAGAAACAGAGCCGGTGGTTTCGGCAATGATATGTTGCGTGTCGCCATCAATGATAGACACGAAGCATCTATTGGCTTTGAAGCGAAGTACTCCGAGCTGTGCGAGTGCATTTAGGGTAATGTCCTCAGCTAGCTCGCAGCCTGCAGGCTGTTCATTTCCAGTCGGCGCTGCGCTGGCCTCGTCTGAATTCGGTCCATTGGGTGGTGGGAATGTACAATAGTACCTAACAGTTTGAAGGATTAGAGACGATCAGTAGGACAGGAACTTGAAATAATGCCACAAACCTCGATAGATCACGGATGCGCTCGCGCTCCTGATGTTCCTCTAGGGTTATTGAGTGAAAGGCGCGTACGCCAGCAGAATTCATATTCTCAGGGTCATCGCCAACTGACAGTTGTGACTTGGAAAAACAGTAGAGGCCTAGAGGCTAGAGGGGCTTTAACTTCGAGATCCAAACTCCGCAGGCCGCACGTGAAGCGCTAAAACCGGCTTTGCATGCGAAATCTCCACAATTCTGGTACACAGTAAATCATCTTTGGCCCCGGGGCGACTTGGCTGTTGTACTTCAGCCGATCACTTTTTCTACGCAGTACTGTACTCCGTCGCTAGACCAATTGTTTGAGCTTGACGCGAGGGACATCTTCGGCCGAAACGGCTATTGGCCAGGGTCGCAGGCCGGACATCACCTGACATCACGTGATCCAGAAATGCTACAGTATTCCTGTTTTGGACGGTGCCTAACCCGATTTGAGTTGGCGAATCAGACCAGGCACCATTGGCATATCTAATTGGTCGAGCTATCTCGTGCATACAAGCCTTCAAGCATTCAAGCGTGGAACGTTTCGCCTCTTTCTCTTTCTCATTTCCGCCTCATGGTCATAATACCCGAGCTCCGTAGGTTGCAACTGCACACATACACTACTGTGTCTGTACAAGGGCTAGATACGGCTAGGAGGCAGTTGGAACCGCCACTCTGACTGTCTTGTAGCTCGGTGAGGTGTGATCATATTAGAATACATTAAAAACCAAAAGAACTTGATGGTACACCTGTAGACAATATGGTACAAATATAAGACCTGAACCTTGGTTAGGCTGCCCTTAACATAATGCACCAGACAGAGTGATGACCATTGACCAGGAATAAAGTTGAGAGACAAGGAAAGACCAGGAGCTGGCAACATCTCGCACATCAATGGACGATTGAACAACAGACGTGAAAGTATGAAGGATGAAAAGTGTCCTGTGACTAGCAAGATCATTGCCGTGAAAGTATGATTTTGTTCAGTTTGAAGCGAGCCCAAAAGATGAGGAGCGCGCCCACGACGAGAGATGCTCCAGCATACATCGACAAAGCAAGATATCCGTAAGATCCAACTAGCTGGCCACTAATTGGGGTACCGAAAAGGGCCCTGTGATGAATGCACTTAGTGATGAGCGTATACCAAAAATGGATATAGTGACCTACGTTAACGCAACTGATCCCATGAGGAATCCGACTGCCGTTCCATGGAGCTCATGTGGTGCGAGTTGAGCTGCACATGCTGACTGCAAACTCATGATAGCCTGAGGAGATACGTTTAGCAGAATTCGATATTTGGGTAGGAAGTGATACGCACACCTGAGCTTAGCCCATATGATAGAGCCCATATAACAAGCCCAGCTATGCTTGTGGCTGATGTCCAGCAAAGAGCAATGATTCCAGATAGCATGGCCGCTAGGCCACATAAGTTGAAATGGCCATAATGATCTGCCAGAACACCCGGCAGAACTCTGCCGAAGAGGGATGCAGCATTGATAATGGATACCAGGTAAAATGCAAAACTTTTGGAATGGCCAAGACTCTCGGCGTATGAGGTGGCATAAAAGAAAGGGCTGAACATGCCCAAATAAGAAATGGCTAGGCCCGCACAAAGCAAAAGGAACGTAGTGTTTTTTAGAAGAGAAATGATATCTTTTTTCTGTATATCTTTCTCATGTGTTTGTTGGGTTCCTTCCCCAGGCACCACTTCCTCAAGATGATTGGTTTTTGGAGGCGGGATGACGGTCAAGACAGCGAGTACCAGTAGTGGAAGCATAATGAACCCGATTATGCGAATGGTCCAGCCAAAGCTGACCCCATGTTTATTGAGGAGTTCATTCAACACAATGGGCCAAATCACACCACCAGCTGAGGACCCTCCTACTGTAACGCCCATGGCCAATCCCACGTTTTTGTGAAAATAACGAGAGACGGTCGCAATGGCCGGACAGAAGAGAAGAGACATGCTACTGCCAAGTAGAACGGCTTGCGCGAGGAAAAATTGATAATATTGTGAGCAGAGCGAAGTCATGAAAATGGCCATAAGCATTGCTAGGCTGCCGGCTATGAGAAGCATCTAGCGTCTCATTCAGTTATCTTTTCAATTGGGGGATGTGTGGCGGGTGTACATACTGTCGGTCCAACGCGATCAACCAATAGACCAGTGAGCGGAGCACCAGAAAAGAGAGCGAAAGTTTCAAAAGAGCCAATCCATGAGATGTCGAAATCAGAGCTGTCACTAAGCTGGTGTGCTCGGTAGTACTCCTGAAACACACCAAAGGCATTGATGAATCCAACACTGCAAAAGAAAGTCGAAAAGGCCCCCAGTACTGTTAACCATGCTCGGAAACTGTCTCTCTGTTAGACTCCTGGTGATTTTATGGAAACAAAGCTAGAACGATGTGTGCTAACCTGTGTTCATTCTTCGTGGAACCGCTTGAAGCGGCAGAAGCGCGGGTTTGGTCCATATTTTCGGGATGAGTGATACCTTTGTTCTCCGCCAGCAACGGGGAAATGAGGCTTAAGTCATTTTCAATTCCTCTCACGGTGTTTGAGCACATCTTCTGGACAGGGATGTGCTCAGTCAGGTCCGCGGAGGGTCCGCGGAGGATCCGTGGAGCACTGGAGCAGGCATGGAAAGTCCGGGGACCTTGTTACAATCTTTATACCCAATGGGTCCATGGAGTTTCCGAAAGAACCCCTTGGTCTCCAATTAGAAAGACTTTTCCGACATAATAAGCACTGAGTAGTGTTGAGGCTACGAAATCAGTGGCATGGGACGAAGAGAGAAGAAGAAACTGATCTCATGAACTATGGAAAAGGCTGTATTCAAGCCTGCTAAAGCAAAGAGGACAAACAATGGACGAGAGGCCTCAGGCTGTAAACACAGAGGCACATGAGATCCTATGTATGTCAACAAGTAGTAATGTATTCTAGTTAGAACTTAGGATACAGCTCGCTTTTCTTTTTAGCTGGTAACATTGCCATAAAACTAGACCGAATGGATGTCACACCATGATGTGGCTGGCCTGTTTTCGAGCATCTTTCCATGGACATGGCCTCCGTTAACTTCTGTTATCTGTCCTCTCCGTATTTTCTTCGATCTACTGTGAGACCATTTCTCAGATGATTTCTTAGCCATAAAAGATAGCGCCTCCAACATCTGACATTTGATAGGAATCAAAATCGTCGAAAAGATTGTTCCAAGTAGGGCCATCGATGTTTTGTCCTAGATCGATGTACTGCTGCATCATGTGATCGAATTCCCAATCATCGGCATATGATTGTCCTGCTGCGGCTCGCTGGCCACCAGGATTTGCTGACGTATCTTGGCCAATATCAGACAGAGGCTCATGGAGAACCCTTAGTGGGTCACGGAGACTCTGGCTGATTCTGCTGTCAGTGGGTACTCTGGCGGATACGGCAGACTGGTGGTGAAGCCTGTCTTTGTGTTTCTGCAAGATTTCCATTAGGGGGTTAAGAAATCTGGCTGCCATAGTGGAATCATTTTTCAAGTCGTCAAGCATTCTGCATGCTTGTGTGACTTCGGCTTGCCTTTGTTCTTCGAAGCCTTCAACCTTGGTGGAGCAGAGATCCACCACGAGAGCAACAGTGGCCATGAATAAATGATGCACGACAGTGGCAAGTCTGGCAGGGATGGAGGCCAAGGAGTTCTTCTCCTCTTCCAACGTGCGACATATCTCCAAGACAGTGCGGGAGGAATTTAGACAAGCATCTCTGGAAAAGGCATATTTTGGGTCGGTAAATCCGCGTACCAGGAAAGACTGATGCAGTCTGCTGCGTCTGGTATGGATCCCAAGATGGATGAGATAGCGCTGGATGGCGAGGTGAGGTGCTGTATGATAAAGGTCGCTCCCATCGTCCAGTCGGAAAAAAGCCGGCAATTTTTCGATCAGCTCTTCAAATTTACCATCGAGGGAGATAATCTGCCTATAGTCCACGTTTTCAACATCCTCGAATTGTGGCAAGGAGTCAACCACGGCGCGGCATATCTCAGATAGCCGAACGCGTTGGAGGAAGTATGATGTCGACAACAGTGCCAGGTTTCCATCATTATGATCGCGGTCTTCCTCATCCTGCGGGTGGTTAACACGCATATGTGATGGCTGGATAGAATAAGTCCCTTCCAGTGGCCCAGGGGTGAATGCAAGTAACCTTACTTGCTTTAGCACCGTCCAAAAACATGATCGAAATGATAACACTTACCAGTCTGTGGAGGCAATGTGCCACCATATTCTTCTCTTGACTTCGGCCTCGATCCGACTTGGCTGCGAATCCGTCTGTCCCTTCATTTGGGGGCTATCGGTCTTGTGTAAAGAAAGCTCCCAAGCCATCGTAATCATGTTGCTATGAAGTGAGCGAAACATGGGGGAGAAACCTTGGGAGTTGTAGATGACATAGGAGATGATGATTGTGGCTTGTAGATGCTCAACTGAAGCAAAAGTTGTTCGCCTAGAGTATTCCAGAAGATCAAGAGCGGCAATACCCCAGATAGAGGACATTGAAGCAGCTTCCTGTGTAGACTGAAATATCAAGACCTTGCTTCTATGTGGTCTCCAGAGATGGCTGGCACTAGCGAATATGCTGAGCAGCAACGCGATATCTGCCGGTTTGTTGCGAAGGTGTGAAAAGTGGTTCATATACACAGTGTCTATCGTACTCTCAACAGACTGGGGTTGAAGCACTGGATGAAGATATTGGACATTGTCCAGGAAATATTGAAACAAGTTTGTGGCCTCGACTTTTGTGGGCAGCTGAGCACAGCAGGACAAATGAGCTGCACCATTTCGCGCCGCTGATGGATCTGTTAGTAGCTGACTTATAGGTTCGGCTCTCAATTTGATCCCATTTGAGTGTCCTGGGAACTGACAGTCGACGATGGGTTAGCACAAAGGGTACTGATTGCGCACATGTTAAAAGGGACTTACTATCGAGTTCTCAAGAGTCCCGATGCCTTCTAGCCATTTAGATGCCACTTCATGTTCTTCGTTGAATGTAAAGATTGGCATCATAGGAGGAGTCGATGGCTGAGGGGGTGATGATAAAATTGTAGTAGAGGCGGAGGGTCTACTATCATGCTTGCCAAAAACTGCATCCTCAAGCTTTGCCAGGCGAGCCAGAAGCGCTGCCTTTTCTTCCTGTGGGAATCCCTGCCCGCTGTCTGTAGTCTGTTGAGTAGGCTTTTCCGTGGCAAACTGACAGCCGATGCCACGTGCAGAGCAGTTGGAGCACGGTTGTTGGCGGTTACACCTGAGCTTCTTCTGCCGGCACAACTGACATGACACGGGGTTCTGGCGCGGACGGCGAGCCTGGCCATTTAACTGGGTTCGATTCATCGGCGACGGCGCTTTCGTGCAAGGGGTACCAATTTGGCAAGCGACGGTAGATTCTGGCGGGGGAGTCGTGTTTCCAATCAAGCCAAAGTAGCACTCGCGTGCAGGGGCCCCAAAGGAGTCGGGCGGCTCGGGCCGATGGGTGCACGCACGCCAATTCAGCCCCCAACCTTGGGAAACTTTTTGGAAGAGGGCGGTGAGCACAGACAATTACAATTTCATTTGGTTGAAGGACAAGTTCACATGCTGCTTAGTATATCTTCTAGTGTTACTACATTCAGGAGATAGGATTTTCAAGTTGGTTTTCATTACTCTGTACTAGCTGGATCCTTGGGCAGCCTAGCCTGTAATACTCGAACCTGGATATCCATCGCGCCGGCGATCAGCAAATCCAACTTGTCGTACAAAGTTGAATCTTCCCCAGCCACAAGTTGCACATGTACACTTTGCGCCGTCAAGATAGTCCAGTGTCCACTCAGTCAAGGTCCGGACACCGAAGGAGACAAGTCGCCGTGTGTAAGCAATCAAGGCCATGGAACCTTGGAGAAAACACCAGAGAGCGATACACAGCAGGGGAACGAAGAGACCTTGCCCAGGTTCTGATCTAAGCTGGTGGATGTCGACAACTTCCTCGGGAAGAGAAGATGTCACTCCGACGCTACACCAGGCCAAACCGGGATGGGTACCTTGAAACCAGTTGGAAACAAGGACAGCATGGTATCGGCCCGGGTAAGCGGGACCTTGGGGAAAACATCAGAGAACGAGACACAGCATGGAGACGGACCAGTTGCTGCACCCCCACGGAGACTTTTCGCGTTCCGGCCGGAGGAGTTCGTGCGATTCTGCTGCGGCACGATCTCGTGAGAGATGCTCTGGCATTGCTCGGTGAAGTCATCGAAGCTGACCTGGGACTGGTTCACCGCGCGCATCATGTGTGTTTGCAGTAGGTTGGGCAGCTTCAAGTAAAGGTCCCTCTTGGACCCGGCCATTCCCAAGAATCTCGTACTCCATATTACCGCGCTCAGAGCCTGACACAAGGGCCGGGCAAGGCACTTGCGACAGCTCATAGTTGCCCCAGGGCCACGTAATCCTGCGTTCTGTTGCTGCTGGGGCATATCACCTGTAAACGCAACCGCAAATGCATAAACGTGCATTGGTTGACCATCATCCCATATAACATCAATACCCTCTTCAAGCTGACGTAGCTTGCTTAGCAGCCTCAACGATGTGCAGCTCAACCATCGACAGCTTCTTCTGTTTGGCGCCCGAGATGTCTGGGTTAGATAAAGTTTGCAGGGCACAGTTGACTCCGTTGACCACTGTGAGGAATGAGGCGTGCGGTCTCTCAAGGTGCTCTAGGATGTCTTCTGCATCTTTGTACGGACGGGAGGAGGAAGCGCTAATGGAGTGATCCCTCGCCATGAGGTATCCGTCAAAAGACAGAATCTATTCATCTCCCGTTCCGTCTTGTGAGATTGTTCTTGTAGTCGAAATGGTGTATCGCTGGCACTTTATCACCCGCAGTCGGCCGTCATTGGGATCCTGGGCTTTCCATCCAGGCGGCCCTTATTGGAATAGGTGTCGGGGGCCTGTTGAAATTTATAAGCTTCTCGCAACTATTGCTTCACTCTTGCTTTTCAGACTCACGTGGACACCTCTCGTCATCGGTCTGTCCCCATGCTGTGCTCGAGAGCGATGACCAGGTCAAGTTGGTCATGATATGAGAGGGATGGGAAAGCAAAGACGTCTGCTTCCTCATAGAATAAATGGACCTTGAGCGACAGACTCCTCTGATCGGGGATCATCAATCAAGAGAAGAGGTCTAGAGGGAGTGGGTGGAGAGAAGAAAGAACGAGGAACAGCGGGGATGGCAGCTATATCAGGCAGGAGGGTCTCGAGGGGATTGAGACAGGGGGTTGCAAGAGGGAAGAGGGAAGAAGAGGCACAGTCAGGGATGGCAGATATTTATAGTTAAAGAACTTGTGGCTAAGCTCTGAACAAACAGCAAACAAATGCAGTGACGAGCTGATTATAGGTTTATGACAGTCACATGATAATGATCCTTTCATGTCGGTACATTCCTATATCACGGACGTAGGACATTCATTATAGACATAGAGCTTCGATTCCTCCCGGTAAGACCATAACATATATACACACGGCCCTTGGTATCATAACAGAAAAACAAAACAAACAAACAGAACAAAAAATCAAGGCAAAAGTAAGGCAAAGACATCTGCAGAATGATCCAACAGTGTCGTCAAGTGACCAATATGTCCAAGGTCACTCATGCAAGCGCATTGTGTCAATATCAACACTTCCAAATCAGGAACTATAACTATATCATGCGGAGATACGATCCACCAGCTCCTCTACCGAACGATTCTTGCATTTCTGCAGTGACTGGAAACAACTCTCACAGATCCTCAGGCAACAGAACACGCAGCGGTGCCGGATCTCAATGTCGAACTTATGGCAGGTCATGCATGGCATCGGACACCACATGTTCTGTGCCACGGGCATCACACGGTGCTGCTGGTAGCACGCAAGGTGTACCTTGTTCAAGGCCGGCGCCACAGGTTCAACGTCCGGGGGGACAAATGGCGAGGGGGCCAGCTCCTCGCGTGCCATTTCCGGAACTGCAAGTGGCGGCTCCGTGCTGTCTGGGGTCGGGATGAAATCTTCCGGTTGTGGGGAGTGAGCGTCGTTGACCAGAGCTGGGACTTGTGCTGGGGCCGGGACTGGAGGTGCCGGGGAGAGGGTCACTGGGGGTGGTTGCTGGTGGGTCCCGTTAAGATCCGGGTGCGATTGCTTGTTGCGCATTCCTGTTGGCCGGGGAGATGCAGATTGTCCTGAGATTGGGACGCGTTCGATTGGGCGCCGTGCTGGGATCCCATTTCGGGATGAGGGGACCGAAGGGAAGTATGGGTTGTCGGATGGGGTCTGCGACGGCGCTGGAATTTCTTCTTTCGGGGGAGATGGGAGCTCCTTGTTTGGCGGGGGTGCCGGCTTGGGTAGTGGCGTCGTGAGGAATGCTGCCGGCTGCGAAGTGAACATTGCCTCGTCGGACGGAACGGATTCGGTCGACTTCTTGTTGTGGAACGAGAATTGCGATTTCGCCATTGCTGAGGACTTCATCGCGGCGAGCGAGGGAACTCGCAGGCCTCGAGGGCGCTTTTCTGTGTCGAAGATTGCCATGTTCGAATATGACGTGTAAAGCGATGCGGATGCGATGCGGATGCGGAATGCTAAGTATAGTGGTACGAGAACCAATCAAGATAGGGCGCGAGGGCTGGGGTCTAGGGAAGAGATGAAGATAGAGAAAAGTGCTGTTAGTTAGTTATATGGGAAGAACTAGTTTATAGGGGAAAAGAAAAATAAATAAAAAAGTTGAAAATGCAAGTTTTGGTAAATCCACTCGTTTCCAAGAAAATCCCAAACTTGGCTCTGTTGAAAACGGAGGACCGAAACCAATCACCCCCTCACATTCCCAATACCCGACGATCCAGAAGACATTAAGAACATGTCAAGGGTAATTGAGGATGGATAATCAATCTCTATGGACAGAGCTCGTTTCATCAGGCCCCTCTGGAGTGGGGACCGATTGGATCACAGCCAAGAGCGCTAGAGGAGTTAATCTACTCCGTACTCCGTAAGTAGAACGATACAAGTCAATATGATAACCCCTAAACATGTACTGTGTTACCACAGTAGGCTACGTAGGCATTCCAATAAGCTGATATCATCGATCTACCACCAATATTGAAAGTATGCACTATGATGATCTACACCTTCTATATGGTGACACAGTAGATCTCGGTATTCCCAATGTCATCATCTAGATCAGTGATCCTGTATGTTCAACACGAGTTATGGAATTGTCTAGGGGGTATACACCAGTTCCAAGAACTCCTTCAAACGACGACCATATGAGTCGCCATATTCTGAGCACTGCTCAACTGTTCGATGTATCACGGAAAGGCGGTCGACAAGGACAAGATGGTGAGTGCGCTTGTAGCCAGCAACTGAGCCGTCCAGTTACTTCGCCAAGACCTGGCGTCGACAGTTGGGAATGGGCGTGGACATTCCCGACATCCGATGTATCATCCACATCGGACACACCAGGACCTTGCTCGACTATGCGCAGGAGAGCGGCCGTGCTGGTCGAGACGGCCAGCCCAGTGAGGCCATCATCATCCAGCCCGAGGGGACGACAGTGCCTAAGTTCGCCTTGAAGCACACATCGGAGGATGACGTGGAACGGGTTCATGGGTACATGCAGGTCCAGCCTCCCAACTGTCGACGCCAGGTCTTGGAGAAGTATCTGGACGGCTCAGTTGCTGGCTACAAGGCGCACTCATTGCGGCGATGCTGGCCAAACGGAGGAGCACTGTGATGGTTGTGATCCCAACTGGAACGCCGGCGAGCCAGAAGACGAGGAGATGGAAGGTGATGAGGTCACCATGGTCCCAGACACTCCTCTGCAGTCCCAGCACACCAGTGCCACGCACCCCTTTACCACCGACCTTGTGCCGCTGCCCCAGTCCCCGCGTGGCAGTCCCAGCCCGGCCCTCACGGATGATGAACTGCCCTCCTGTGAGTCCCAGGTTCGCAGTTCGGCGCAGATCATGCAGGTCCCCGCCACCAGCGACTCGGTTAGGAGCTCCCCCAGCCGGGAATCAGACTCTGGGTTTCACAGCTTAACGGTATAACCTACCCACGGCAGTCTTCGCCGCCGTCATCGCCCACGGCCAGGACTCAGGCACGCCCACAGGGTGTCGTGGAGCGCAAACACCACCAGTCCTTTGCTGGGCCAGTTCGGTCGACACCCACGGCCAGGACTCAGCCACCCACACAGGGTGTTAATCCAGCGCGAACACCACCAGTGAGGACGCTCCTCAGGCGGTTCAACCGCAGCTCGCTTAGTGGTCCTGGCCGTGGGTGTCGAGCGAACTGGCCCAGCAAAGGATTGGTGGCGTTTGCGCTCCACGACACCCTGTGGGCGTGCCTGAGTCCTGGCCGTGGGCGATGACGGCGGCCCGGACTGCCGTGGGTTATACACCGCTAAGCTGTGGAACCCAGAGTCTGATTCCCGGCTGGGGGAGGTCTCAAACTTCGGCTCGAACAGTTTTTCCTGGAAGCCCTCGAGAAGCTGCCACTCCTGCTCAGTTACGGCGGGATCGGAGCCGCCATGATTCGCAGTGGAGTTACGTAGCGGAATTGAAGGAAGGATCGAACCCTGTACACAGTAAAGTTTGACTGGGGGTAGTGGCTGGAAGAATTAGGTGGGGGATGATCGGTAGGGTCTGAAGTACTGTGTGGGCGGTGAAGCATGACGTTTTTTTACACCACAGCTGTCCAATCAAAAGTTATGAATTCTGCCGACAATCATCTCTCGGCATTGCCAAGCCATAGATAGTCACCTGATGCTCTCAGCAAATCGCGGACGCACGTGCGACAGAGATCCTTTCCGCTAGTCCCAGGGCGGTAACAACCCGGAAGACATCAAGAATCAAGCGTTCAGCTTCTGGAACTGACTCAAATCTCCCTCTCTCAATTCTCTGGCCTGCATTGGATTCGGATCTTTCTTTTGACACCCCAATTCCTCTTATTTCCCGAAGATCCGCACCGAATCCCGCAACCCCGAGCCCCCAACGTCATCTCCCTCCGATTCACTATGTCCAGCCAACCTCTCCTCCAAACCGCTCCTGGTAAGCCAACAATTCCTCAGACGCAACAATCCGCAATGGCAAATGAGCACAACAATAGAAATATCTTCCAAACCCAACCCACCACAACTAATTCTCAATAACTCCAATAGCAATCCAGAAAGCTAATAACCCCCACCAGGCAAACGAATCGCCCTCCCCACCCGTGTCGAGCCGAAAGTCTTCTTCGCAAACGAGCGCACCTTTCTCTCATGGCTCAACTTCACGGTCATCCTCGGCGGCCTAGCCGTCGGCCTCCTCAACTTCGGCGACCGTATCGGCCGCATCTCCGCCGCGCTCTTCACCGTCATCGCCATGGGCGCCATGATCTATGCTCTGGTGACGTTCCACTGGCGCGCACAGAGCATCCGGCGCCGCGGGCAGGGTGGTATCGATGATCGGTTTGGGCCGACGATTCTTGCTATTGCGCTGCTGGCAGCGGTGATTGTGAATTTCATTCTGCGGATCAAGGATGGGCAGACGAATTAGAGTGGGATTTCTTTGTTCTTATATTTCTTGGGTGTGATGCCGATCCGGCTGTTTTGCTACTCGAAGAGAAGTGGGATGTTTCATCTTTGTCTATTTCATTAGCAGTGGGTTACGTGGTTTCTTGTATCTATTACGGCGTCTGTTGCTCTGGTTTATGCTTATGAGACCGAAAAGTCATGTATTCACACGGTCGAGTTGAGCGTTTGTTACTTTCTGGTCTTTGTGTTAGCTTGTTCGATAAGTGAGAAAGGAGTTGAACTCGGATTTAAGGAAGTTCATATCGCTTAAAGCATTGACATATGCGGATATTATGTCCGGTGACCCGCTGGTTGTCATTCGATAACGCAAGGGGACGTAAGGGACCAGGAACTTAGCGAAGTTTCCAATATCTACAACGTTTGAAGATAAAACGTGGGGGTCTCGAAAGTCTATGGTAGTAGTACGTATATAACCTCTGTTCGGAGTACGCTCTCTGGTTACATCATGAACAGAATCTGACATTCAGGGCTTGGGAACAGCTGCAGTGAGCTCATCTCGAAAACTGCTGCTGTCACAATTGTGCAGTCTAGGCAGAAGCACAGATCCAGCTATATTCTACGACACTCATAATAAACATTGCAGTCAGGGGTTAATAGCTATATAGTGGGATGTCGTCAATAGCGGAGAAAGGAGTTAGAGGAGATCTAGTGGAGATAGGAAACATGGGGGATTTATTAGGGTTCCTGTGATCATCTGCGATCTACAGAATTGTTCCAGATCGGCGGACCCGAGGGAGTGTTTTCATAAGTTCGATAATTATCCGAGGTAGAATAATCAAGCATTGACTTTACGCTACCAAGACTCATGGGAAATACTGTACGGAGTACGTAGTGTCATACCAGATACGCGGTACTGCGTATATTGATAGCGGCTACAAAGAGAGGCTGTACATAATCCGGGGAAAAGCGCGGAATTGGCCTATCTCCTGATTCCGTCAATGTTCTTGAATGTTCCACCACCTTCCATTTTTTTCCCAGCCACATTGGACCTATCTGTTAATGTCGGTTAGCTTGTTGGTTGTTGGTGTTGGCGTTGGTGTTGGTGTTGAATCCTTGATGGCAAATACGCAGTGTACTTGGTACTTTTGTGACTTGAATTGAGGCGCAGTCAGAACCTGTTTGTACCCGCCCCCCTCCGTCAGCCCGTCAGAGAGGATAGCAATGTTAGCCCTGATTTGCCGGGGAACTACCAGATCGCCGATACAACTAGTGTAGGCACCCAATCCCAGGGCCCAGACCGTGATTGGGCTTGGCCATGGGCGCATGGATGATGAGTCTTGTCTTGAGTGTAGGCAGTAGGGAAGTGATGTCTAACAATATCTATGAAATCTAGCACTTTGTTGTGTACAAGCTTATGAATCGATTGATAATTGATACGATAATCTAGAGTAATAACAATGTGCCTTGTTTTACAACCATGGTTCAAGTGAATTTTATTTACAATCGAAATTATCCAAATGTATGACGTGTCGTCGTTTGTTTGAGACTGATCCAATTATGCCTGGAGAAAGGGGTACATCATATCCCCATACATTTCATACCATAACAACATGTATCATTTTTCCCAACTCCACCCAGGCTCTTCCTCTGCTCTTTCTTGTTCTTCTTTTTGTTTCTCATGGTCCCCCTTTCTTCCCCTTTCTTCCTTCCCCCCCCATTGACAAGATTTCTATTTCACTTTTCTATTTTCTCTTTCTATTTTCCCCTTCTTATTGTTCCCCATCATTCACCCATTCACCCATTTTCCTCTTTTCCCTTCTTGTACTCTGCTGCCTTATTAATAGATTTCTGCCTTCCGTAATCAACTCCGGTCGCGCAAGTCGACGTCCATTCATTTCCCGTAATAAAACCGTGGACGCATGGACCATCTGTCTAATACTTCAACTCTATGCACTCTCATGGCATGTTTCGCTTGCTTCCTTGGCCCTCAGCAATAGGAGGGAACAAGGTGATCGAGGAGGTCAAAATGTTGGGCTCCAACTGTGCCGGAATCAATACCCTGCCGCTGCCCCAGCTCAAGCGCAAACGTTCCGACTCTGACGCGCCCGACGCGCCGGCTCCAACCAAAGTTCGCGCGGATCTGCCTTCGGAGCGCGAACAGAAGGAGTCGACTGAACCAGTCACCCAAGTCACCGCCTCTACTCCATCCTCGACAGATCCCCCGGTCGCATCGGCGCGTTCGTTGGCGCAGGACGCCGTCGCCGCCAGACCTAACCCCAATATCGACCGACTGCGGGAGACCATCACCGCCCAAATCAGTTTGGAAGTGCTGCTCAAGCATAATGAACTTCGCCTTATTGAACAAGAACTCGCCAAGTGTCAGGTTGCTCTGGAGCAGTTGCGACGCTGTGCCGAAATTCCGTATCCCGGATCCTACGTGACCGGTATCTCACCGGAGGTCAGTTCTGGCACGGGCGCATCACTGCTGCCACCTGGAAATGGTCCGGCACCGGTGTCGCCTGCGCCGTGGGGGGTCACAGACGGGCCCTACACGCGCCACTATGCCCAGTGGTTGCTGCATGACCCGCGCTTTGACGGGGGAGAGCCCGAGCGAAGAGTGTCAGCTCATGCGCCCGAGGGTCGATCGACGCGTGGCAGGCCCAGCGATGCAGGCATCGTGGAAGGCAATTCGCGCCCAAAGCGAGGCTCCAAGGCGGCCAAGCACACCTCGTTGTCGAGTGGCCACGCTCCGGTTAAGGAGAAGCCAGGGCCGATGATCATGTGGCGCAAATCGGATAAAGTCTTTGTTAAACTGGTCTGTCTGGACTGCAGACGCGATAACTTCTCCAGCGCGCAGGGGTTCATTAATCACTGTCGGATTGCTCACAATCGCAACTTTCGTACCCACGACGAGGCTGCTCTCCACTGCGGTCGGGCTGTTTTGTTTGACCCCGCTGGCAACATCATCGCTACTTCTTTCGAGCCTACTCCTACGCCGGCCACTGATGGATCTGTGCATCCTCTGAATAGGCCTCATACCGCTATTACCCCTTGGAAGCGTCTCAGCAAACTTCGCAAGGAGGGTGCTAAGGACACTGCTGAAGGCGTCCAGGCCACTGCTGAAGGCGTCCAGGCCACTGCTGAAGGCGTCCAGGCCACTGCTGAAGACGTCCAGGACACTGCCGAAGACGTCCAGGACACTGCTGAAGACGTCCAGGACACCGTCAACACGGTCAACACGGTCAATGATATTGATACTGCCAAGGAAACTGTCACACCTTACAAATCTGCCGCATTTGCAGGTCCGACTCCCCCTGCCACTACTCAACCTTCTGTTCGACGGCCCTCTGCACCTTGCCCTCCACCTCTCTCTCTGCCGCCGAACCCACAGTTCTTGCCTTCTCCGGCTACTCCTCACCTGTCCGCTCTGATGCAATCCCGTGGCGCTGATCTGGACATGGAAAGGCTGGTCCACGAATCTCGACAGTCTATCGATCTCAACTTTCTCCTCAGCGACGAGTCTGAATCGGAATCTACTCAGGACTCCTCGGTGGAAACCACATTCCAGGGCTTCGGTGCTCGCGCTGGTCGCCAGCCCATGCGTATGCCCGTCAGTCAATCCGCTGCGGAGCCAGAGAACCGCGAGGATCTAGGCCGAGCAGACAGCCCACACGCTGAGGAGCCGACCCCATCGCGCCCTCGGCCCTACCTGAGCCTTTCCCTTGACGACCAGTCCGAGTCATTTGCGTCTCGGGACGAGGGGCTGGAACATCAACTCAGCCCTCACGCTCAGTCCAACCAAGCTCCTAGTCTGGTTAGTGATGACGACGACGATTATGAGGCGGCTTCCGACTCTTCCTCTTCCGAGGTGGATGAAGAGGAGCAGGAGTTCCGACACATTCAGGTTGAGGACGATGAGCGCTCTGCCGCTCCGTCGGCTGCCGCCGACACCAAGTCTGGTTCTTCTCTTCCCAGTCCTGCTCCGCAGTCTGCTCAGCCTCTACCACCTTTGAAACGCAAGCGCTCGAAGGAGGTTTCTATGGCCGAGGAAGACGTCAAGCGCGCTAAGCCGAATCCATCCGAACATTAATATCGCACATCTTCCGATATTTCAATCAATTATCAGCGAACAATCTCGCACACCCAAAAACACATCCTAAACCCACCTCAACTACACCTTCGTCTTGACAAGATCTGTACTGCGATGCTTACACGTCGCTGCATCTCTTGTTTCAACTTCTCTCGCGCATCTCCCTTCAACGGCAGATACTGCGCTCTCTATCAGTTATGTATCGCCACCTCGCCTCATCCTCCAAATTCCCCCCGATTCTTGCGCTTTTCTTTTGTCCGTCATGCCGCAACAAAACTCCTGACCCACCGGTCGTCTTGATGACGATCGTGATGCATGGATTGCATGATGACTTGATGACTTTCCTCTGTCTCTCCCCTCTCCCTCATTCTTAAAACACCCATTCTATTCTTTCGCGATGCATGCGTCTCCGACTGTATCCTGGTATCTGCTTTTAATCAAGACTTACGGCCATCAATTTGTACATAGTGATGAGTTAACAATGCGACTGGTTTGCATAGACTTGGTTATTTCTAGTGGTTGTACATAGCTGGTATACGTAGGTCTGCTTGCCTACATCGTAAACACATAGTCGGTTGCACCTACAACCATTCCAGTTGTACCTCAGCCATGTTAGTACTTCTACCAAACAGCTTGGTAACAACTACCGCTTCACCCTCTTACTCCGCCTCTCACCAACCTCACTCTTCTCCACCACCTCATCCTCAACAGGAAACCAATCATACCCAGAAACCCCAATATTGCGCAGCACATAAGCAACCCTCTCAACATCAACCAGCGAAATCCCTCCACCCTTAGCCAAATTCAACCGATCCCGCAACACCCGCGTCGCACCCCACAACTCCCGATACTCCTTCAAATCATACTTAGCAATCAACTCCCCACTATCCTTCTTATATTTCACTTTCCCCCTTTCTTCATCCCAGGGTAATCCATGCAACAAACCCAAAGATAAACATCATCACTGTAAAACGGGACTTCTTGTCCATCGCCCCGCGGAATCGAAGCAACAGACAAAACCAGCGACGCAGTCGCAGGTCCAACGCCTCGAAGCGGGGTCGTAAGAGCATCGAGACTGGATTTGGGGAATTCTTCTGTCACAGGGAGTGTAGCGAATGCCGTCGCTGTAGATTTTTCAATCGTTGAGTCTGTGTTTGACTTGATCATTCCCATGAGCATTGGGCGGGAGACGCCGTGTTTTCTAGTCTTGTTAGAATTGCAGGTAGATCGGAGATCTGGTGTATTACTGGACTGGTATATACTTACAGCTTCCAGTCCATGAGATTGACTAATTCCTCTTTTAGTAGGTATGGTCCTTTTTCCTCGGCTCGCTTTGCGAGGATATCTGGGAGAGTCTCGTAGCGCCATTTGTCTAGTTCGATGTATTTGTTTGTTTCTTCGGTGATGTGGTCGAGATTCGTGTTTGTGTTTGTGTTTGTGTTTGTGTCTGTGTCTGTCTTGCGCTTTGTTGACTTGGACTTTGATCGTTTTTGTCTTATTTTGTGGCTGTAGGCTTGCTCTACTGTTTTCGGGTAGAGGGATAGGAGGGTGTCAAAGGTTTGGGGGGTTATATGGTCAGGATGGAATGTGAATTCATCTTGGTTTATGGATGTCGAGTCTGGTTTAGCCATTTTGCTGTGTCGATTGCCAATGAATGGAGGAGGTTGGAGATGAAGTTCAAAGTTGGAGATGAGGATAGTGTAAGAGTGGTGTTATTGTTTGTATTTGCAATACTTAAAGAGGTAACTTACCGTACTGTATTACACATCTACAACATGGGATAATTCAACAGCTTCCTTGGAAGTTCCAAGGCGAAAGAGCAGCTAAGAAGTAGACCGATGAATAGATCAACACTCTCTTCTACTGTGAGTATACCCCCCAACCAAAGCCATAAAATGAAACCCACTCCCAATTACCGCACAAACATGCCAAATCTGATGCGAATGCCCCCAAACATCAAACCACCCAGGATACACCCTCTCAGGAAACCTCCCTACAAAAACACAAACCCCAATCAACAAGGCAATCCCCTCAGCAAGATACCAACCCGCCCCAATCTCTTTCGCACGCATCCAACCTCTTTCAAACACACAATGCAAAACAGGCATCATGGCCGAAACAGCAAGTAAAGAAAAAAACCGCTCCCCGCAGCGTCCGCATCTTATTCCCTCCACCACCAGTATCGAATAGCGTGATCCCAGCCCCGATCGCAGAGAATAGATTCAGAGCCCAGTACATAAGCCGTAGCAATGGCCGACAGTAGAATGCGTAGTATGTCATTGAAGACCCGGCTCCGAAGGCTAAGAAGCAGATTCCCAGGATATCCATCTTCCCCCAGAGGTGGTGGGTTGTGTATGAGTGGCTGCGGAGAGTGTGGAAGCCTGCGCTGAGTATGTAGCAGATTGTTGTTGAGAGTAGAAAGGTGGTGAATGCATATATGTCGCCGGGGGTGGTTTGGTGATTGGGGACATTGACCAATGTGATTGATACTGCGATGAAGGCCAGTGAGGCGAGGAGGTGTGCCCAGATGTTCATTGTTTCCATGTGTAGACAGCGCCATAAACGTAGGGATTTGAGGTAGGAATATGTGGGCATTGGGTGGCTGTTTAGTATGTAATCGTTGTCGCGTAGCCAGCTTGGAATCTGGTCTTTGTTTCCTATTGTTGGCCAGTCTGACTCTGAGATATCATCTGGCTTGGATATGGCTGGGGAGGTCTCAGCTGGAGGTACCTTGGAGTGAATTGATATTGCACGTCGTGTCATCCTGACAGATCTCCCTGTATTATCTGTATAGTTCGAGGATGGCGGAAACATTAGTTATTCTTGAGATAAGACAATGAATGATGGCTTGGATCTGTATGTTGACTCTCTGAGGCTAAGCGCCTAGCTTCGTGCCCAGGGCGCTTAAAATGCTATAATACCAGGATACTAGCTCATCACTTCTTATATTGATAGTAACAACATACACAAGTAATATCTATCAATGATCATATTTCCAGAGTAAACATCCTATATACATTCTAGGTAACTCTACAGACCCTTAGCCTGCTTGGCCTCGGCAAGCGCCTCCTTAAGCGCCACCAGGGCCTTCTCAATGTCACCCCGCTTCGACTCAGTTACACTAACACCCATGTGACCGAATCGAATATACTTGGTGGCAATCTCCTTGTGCAGACCAGCTGCAAAGATAACCCCACGCTTAAGCAGACCAGGCAGCACATCCGGCGGGGACAGACCCTCAGGCAGGTAGAGAGCAGTCATACCGTGAGCCTGGGCCTCCGGACGGGAAGCGAGCTGCTTAAGCCCGAGCTCGGCAGCAGCAGCCTTGACCTTATTTGAGACCTCGGCGTGAACCGCGAAGCGAGCGGCAACGTTTCCGGTGATCTGGGTAAGAGTGGTGTGCAGGGCGTGGACGAGCTGGGTGGGAGGGGTAGCGAAGTACGAGGGCTTGTTGTTCTCGTAGTTGCGCATAATGGGCAGCCAGTTGGCGATGGAAGCGTAGTAAGCGCCGGCGGGAGTCTTGCGCGACTCGAAAGCCTTGATAGCACGGGCGGAGGTCATGACGATGCTCAGACCGGGAGGGCAACCGATGGCCTTCTGCGAGGCTGTGAGGACGACATCGAGATCCCATTCATCGAAGGCAATCTCCTCCGAGCCGACGCTGCAGACGCCGTCCACGATGACGAGGGTGTCGGGGCTGACGCGGCGGACCAATTGCGTGATGCCCTTGATGTCGGCGAGGACACCGGTCGAGGTGTCGACGTGTGTGAGGGTGATGAGCTTGTACTGCTTCTGCTTCAGGGCCTGCTCGACTTCCTCTGGCGAGTGGCGCTCGCCGATGGCTGACTTGAGTTGTGTGACGTTGGCGCCGTAGGTCTCGAGACACTGGCCGAATGAGTCACCGAAGTAGCCGGTGTTGAGGACGAGGGCATTCTCGCCACGCTCGATCAGGTTGGCGGAAACGATATCCCAGCCGAGGGTGCCGCTGCCGGCGATGATGAAGGGTTGTGCGGCGGGGTCGGTGGACTGGAAGAGCTTGCGGACGAGAGTCAGGGTTTCACCAAAGACCTTGACGAATCCGGGGGCAACGTGGCTCTCACTGGGGTATTGTTAATAAGGTTGTGATAAATAAGGTTGGTGTAACACTCACGCATAATGGGACATGGACTGGAGAACGGCATCATCGAATTCGATGGGACCCGGGATCAGGAGAGTGTTGTGCGGGGCTTGAGCAGACATGATGGGAGTTGGTTCGGGTAGAGGGGTAAGGGGAAGAGAGAGATCAATGGGTTTATATTCGATGTCGTCAGGGAGTACGGAGGCTCTCTCGGTCGAGAAGGGAGTATTCAGGTCAGGCAACGGAAGGCTCTGGTCCAGGTGTCTGGAAATCAGGCTCAGACGTTGCGTAGTCGTTTTGGACGCCAGCTTTCCGATTGCGGCGAGACCGCGGGGGATTTTCGTTTTCGCGTGAAAGGCTCAACTTGCCCGAGGGTAATTCAGGGTAAGGATCGGAGATCGCCGCCGAGATCGCCGGGTGAAGTCCGATTTGTTTTGTTGATTCGGATTAGTATTCGAATTATAAGACCAAAAGAGGGTGTTTATGGAGAGGAAGTGACAGATATTTATCAATTTGACTCTCCCTTTCATCCCCGGTGAGAGATTTTGCGTCGGCGTTTCGAGAGTACGCCGGGCGGATCCCACCGGTGAGAACAGTATGCGACTTACGCTGTAGCTCAGGGATTGGGGTTGTTGGGGTATCAATGGATGAGGAGGAGACCAGGAAGACTATTTGGGCTCTTTCTATTCCATTTCTTATGGTTGTCTGAGCAGTTGAAGAGGTCCTGACGCGACTATCGTGCTACACCGCTATCTAGAAGGTGTCCGAGTAGGTTGTAAACTGGCAATAGTTATATGCCAAATGCCTACTTCCCAGTCACTCAGCTTCATCTGTCAGTTTAAGCCTCAATGTCTTCCCCGCAATTGTCCCTATCAAGTTCTGATCTCATTCAATACACCGTTCTACGCGGTATGTCCCGTTCTGATCCCCTCACGGAGAACTCCACAAAAAACTAGGAAACCTTCGAGATAACCCGGGAAAATGATGGATTGGACTCGTCAATCCGAGAGGCATTTTAACAGCAAGCTCGGTCTGACGAGCCAATGCGAAAACAAACAAAGATGGAGATGGCCCCGAATTTCATAGACTAGAAAGCGCTAGCCGCATTTGGCCATAACCTAGGGCTCAGGGCATTGCTTAGTTGCTCTTCCCGCGAAACTTCGAAGCTCCATTAGGCTGAAGCCAACAGCTCCGTTTCTATCTGGCTTATTTGATATCCAATCCCGGTGGATGGACGATTGACCTCCATTTACCCCACACACACCACCCAGAATGACCGCCCGCTTGGTCTTGGTCATTGGTGACTTGTTCATCCCTGACCGAGCTCCGGTAAGCTGTCCTCCGCTCAGGCTTCTTATCTCCGCTAACATATCGACTAGGATCTCCCCGTCAAGGTTCGTCTCCTTTGACACTCTCCTCCGACACGCTCTGACATTCCGTCGATACTAGTTCCGCAAACTCCTCACACCCGGCAAGATCGGCCAGACGCTATGCCTGGGAAACCTGACCGACCGTGAAACCTATGACTTCCTCCGCAATGTAGCCCCAGACCTGCAGATGGTCAAGGGCGACTTTGATGTGGACTCTCCCAACCTCCCTCTTTCCAAGATTGTGAACCATGGCAGTCTCCGAATCGGCTTCACCCACGGCCATACCATCGTACCGCCCGCCGATGCCGATGCATTGCTTATCGCGGCCCGCCAGATGGATGTCGATGTCCTCTTGTGGGGTGGAACACACCGCTTTGAAGCGTTCGAAATGGAGGGCCGATTCTTTATCAACCCGGGCAGTGCAACGGGGGCCATGAGCTCGGGCTTCTGGCCAGATGGAGAGGAGCCTACGCCAAGTTTCTGTCTGATGGATGTGAGTTGCTTGGTGGATCTGAAGATGAGTACATGCTGACCCTATGCTAGATTCAAGGGGATGTGCTTGTGTTGTATGTGTATCAGCTGAAGACCGATGCCAACGGGGTAGAGAACGTGGCCGTTGAGAAGGTCTCCTTCCGCAAGAATCATCCCCCGGGGGCGTGATACTGCTATATCTCCAGGCCTCTCCCCTTTCCGCTGTATATTCCCTTGTTTACCTGATCATATCTGCTATTTGTCTTGCAGATTCCATGCTTTATCAAGTTAATACATGATACCTTGAATCGAGTCCTTTCTGCCAATGCTTATATGTCGTCGCATATGTGGACCAACCTATGAATGTATCTCATGTGAGCCTTTAATCTGGCTTTTCCAAACATCCCTTAGAACTGATGGCTTTGAATGTCATGTCACTTAATCTAGACTATCTAGTTATGTTGCTCTGAGCCTCTGACTAGTTAGGGATGACCTTTGAATTTGTGCACACTTTCACTAGCGCCGAATTTAGATATTACCAACAGAATTTGTTAGCAACAAACATATATACCTCCATGTTATATGCAGATAAGCCGCGTTGATGATGGCTTCTCAGTTCTGAACGTTCGATGTATTGCGTTACTGCGTACACTGCTGCTCGGATACACCGCCCGGCAATATCCCTTTGATCGCAGTCGGAAAAGGCGCTATTCCCAAAATAGAAACCACCCTCATTGACAAATTCCAGAACTTCATTTCTCTTTTGCATAGAGATCAGGATCAGAGGATTGGTCAACAGCTTTGCCGATATACAAACCACCCGTCAACGCCTCAATCGCCAGCGCCTCCTATATTTACCTCCGCCGTCGCCATATTTCGTGCGCGCAGATTACATCGTCCCTCGGGAGAGCTCTGATCGCTCCTCTCATCTATCCCCGTGACCCCACGACTCTCTACAACCTACAACACTTTATTTCTATCCACAAAATGGCGGCTGAAGGCCAGGAGATCCCAGAGGAGCTTAAGACGGAGCAGGCCGCCCCTGCTCCTGCTCAGTCAGATGGCGCGGATGAAGAGGTACGTGAGACCCGGGGTGGTCCCGCATTGAAGCAGTGCCGTCCTTTGTCTGAAATCTGTTCCCGATTTCTTTCACACATACCATACTATATATAAGACCAACCCTGCTAACATGAACGATTCTCCAGGAAGAGATTGAAGCCATGAAGCGTCGAGTGGCCGAGATGGAATCAGAGGCTGCTAAATTGCGCGAGATGCAGGCCGAGATCGATCAACAAACCGAGAGCCTTCAGGAGAACAAAGAAGATATTGATGCACGTAGTATCTTCGTCGGCAACGTCGATTACGGTGCTTCGCCGGAGGAGATCCAGGCTCACTTCCAGAGCTGTGGATCTATCAACCGGGTGACCATCTTGCTGGACAAGTTCACTGGCCAACCCAAAGGGTGAGTTGGAATATATTCTTGCGAGATATAAATATTGAGTCGCGCTAATACCGGGGTACAGTTATGCCTATGTGGAGTTTGCCGAGCCCAGCCTAGTTGCTCAGGCTCTGGTTCTGAACGAGAGTGTCTTCCGCGGTCGCAACCTGAAGGTCAGTTCCAGCTCGTCTAATTATTCCCCCTGCAACTGCTGACGTTCAACAGGTCGTTCCCAAGCGCACTAACCTGCCTGGTATGCACCGGGGCCGCGGCCGGGGTGGCTACCGCGGTCGTGGTCGTGGTGGCTTCCCTCCCCGTGGTAGCTATCGCGGTGGTGCTGGTTACCGGGGCCGCGGACGTGGTTACTCGCCTTACTAGTGTTCTGAAGCGTTGAAGGGTTGAAAGTTTCTGGCAATCAATACTAGGCCAATCTAACTGATTCGTTCCCCAATGTGTGTGGCTTTTATGTGTGTCTTTGGAGTTGTGGGATGTTGCTGTACAATATTTCTGACACTGAGCAGAGAATTAGCAAAACAATAAGAGAAAGGACTTGGCTCTGGGGTTTCTTAGGGGCGTATGATGTTGCACTGGCGCTGCATTCGGACACTAGGTACATCGTATACAAATTTGCAATTCTCCAATTCTACATGATCCATGATGATCGAGAGTAGATTCACATATGAACTTCCCCGTAAATAGAAACAACATACTGTGTAGTTGATAATATGTGACTATATGGCTGCCTAGACCAGATATAATCAATCGATTGCCACTCTTCCCGCCCGCACCCGCAGATGAACTGAGATCTCCTATTACGTATGCCCAGAAGGCCCTGAAGAGAGTGAGAGAGAGAAAAGACAATACTGAGAAGTTCAAAATACTGTAAATTGAGAATTTGTGTATTAATAATTGAGAAACTGCTCTGCCCCGTGGCTCAGCCCCAGGGTACCTCGTAATAGGTGAAATACGTAGTCCGAGTACCTGCGCCATACAAACCCGGGGCTAAACGCCCTAACCCTTCCTTTCTCTTCCTCCCCTCTCACCTCCCCCCTCCCCCAACTTTGCGAATCATCTTCATTTATCCACTCATTCCCAGGCTTTGACTCTGGGCGAACTCGGTTTGGCCCTTCTCCCCTTCGTGAATGTGCGCCCCCGCGCTATTCTTCGGGCGTGATTGATCGCTTGTAAAGCATCATGGCTTCAAATCTCCCAGCGTAAGTCGGACTCTGTGCCACCTCCTGGCGTTCGATCGGGGGTCTCCAGAACATCGCTAATTACTGGAATTGTAGCCAGCCAAATCTCCGGGTCACGAGTAAGATTCTCTTTGGCATTCCGTCGAATTGTCGAATTGTCGAATTGTCGAATCGTCGATATGAGACTCTGCGGGGTTCCGCGTCGGGACAAGTGACTAACAATTTTTCGCTCTTAGTTATTGCGGCCGACGGTCTGTACAAACGCGATGTCTTCAGTATGTGTCTTTGTGCCTTTTGAAACCTGTCGATCGGCCACCGCGGGGTGGAACTGAGCTGACTTCTTTCAGGATTCCCCGATCCATTCGCCGTGGCCACCGTTGGAGGAGAGCAAACGCATACAACCTCTGTGATCAAGAAGACTCTGAATCCATATTGGAATGAACCATTCGATTTGTACGTTATGTGCCCGTCTGAGATTGGAAGGCGAAAATGCTAATTACAGGTCATCGCTACAGGAGAGTCAACGAGGACAGCATTCTCGCGATCCAGATTTTCGACCAGAAGAAATTCAAGAAGAAGGATCAAGGTTTCCTTGGAGTCATCAATGTTCGCATCGGCGATGTCATTGATCTATCGATGGGTGGTGACGGTACGTTCGAGGCACGCCGATTGCGAGTCATAGGAACGTGAACTAACCTGACCCCTCAGAAATGCTCACCCGGGATCTCAAAAAATCAAACGACAACCTCGTGGTTCACGGAAAATTGATCATCAACTTATCAACAAACCTCAGCGCCCCGCATCCCAATCAAAATGGCCTCCAGCGCCATCAGGCCCAGACGTCGACCTCCAGCGGCCTAGTCCCTCAGGTTGCCACACTAACTCCGCAGTCACAGGCAGGTCCCAGCAATAGCGATACAATGACTGCCGCAGCTTCCAATCTCTCGTTGAGCCAGCGTACCCCGACGACTGCTCCGCCGACCGGCGCCCCTCCCGCGCTGAACGGCGCTCCTACCAACCCTCCTGGGGCCAATGTGCCCTCTCGTACCAACCTCAGCTCTTTCGAGGATAGCCAGGGTCGACTCCCGGCTGGTTACGAACGACGCGAAGACAACCTGGGACGGACATATTATGTGGATCATAATACGCGCACCACGACCTGGTCACGACCAGCGGCCAACTACAACGAGCAGACCCAGCGTACGCAGCGCGAAGCCAACATGCAGCTCGAACGTCGGGCGCACCAGAGCAGAATGCTGCCCGAAGACAGAACGGGCGCCAACTCACCGAACCTGCCAGATGCGCAGCAGATACCGACACCACCGCCCGGTCCTACGGCGGGAACTTCTCTCGGCAATGGAGCCGCGACCGGGTCCAACGCTGCTGCTGTTTCCATGATGGCGACGGGAGCCACCACTGCAGGCACAGGGGAGCTTCCACCAGGCTGGGAACGGCGGGTGACGCCCGAGGGACGGCCCTACTTTGTGGACCACAATACGCGCACGACGACGTGGGTCGATCCTCGCCGGCAGCAGTACATTCGCATGTATGGCCAGGGTCAGACCAGTGGCGGCGCGACCAACACTACGATCCAACAGCAGCCCGTCTCCCAATTAGGCCCTCTGCCGAGCGGCTGGGAGATGCGCCTCACCAACACTGCTCGAGTCTACTTTGTCGACCACAACACGAAGACAACCACGTGGGATGACCCACGGCTGCCTTCCTCTTTGGACCAGGGTGTGCCGCAGTATAAGCGTGACTTCCGGCGCAAGCTTATCTACTTCCGCTCCCAGCCGGCTCTACGCATCATGTCCGGACAGTGCCACGTCAAGGTCCGCCGTAATAACATCTTTGAAGATTCGTATGCCGAGATTATGCGGCAGAGTGCGTCCGATCTGAAGAAGCGCTTAATGATCAAGTTCGATGGCGAAGACGGTCTCGACTACGGTGGTCTCTCACGGTATGATTTTTTTCTCTCTGCGATTGTTGACGATACACTAACCTTCCTAGTGAATTCTTCTTCCTCCTCTCTCACGAAATGTTCAATCCTTTCTACTGTCTTTTCGAATATTCCGCCCACGATAATTATACCTTGCAGATTAATCCCCACTCAGGCGTGAACCCCGAGCATCTCAACTACTTCAAGTTCATCGGTCGAGTGGTTGGTCTGGCTATCTTCCACCGTCGTTTCCTGGATTCCTTCTTCATTGGAGCTTTCTACAAAATGATGTTACGGAAGAAGGTCACTCTCCAAGATATGGAGGGTGTGGATGAGGATTTGCATCGTAACCTGGCATGGACATTGTAAGTGCATCGCGGAATGCTTCTGATGGTCTCGGTTGCTGACGCCAAACAGGGATAATGACATCGAGGGAATCGTGGAACTCACATTTTCGGTGGACGATGAGAAGTTTGGCGAGCGCCGCACTATTGATTTGATACCCGGTGGCCGGGATATTCCCGTCACCAACGAGAACAAGCCCCAGTACATTGAGTGCGTGAACCCCTCTCAGCCTTCGGTCTGATCTAATGTGCTAACAACGTCTAGGCTGGTTACGGAATGGAAGATTGTAAAGCGAGTCGAGGAGCAGTTCAACGCCTTCATGTCCGGGTTCAACGAGCTGATCCCCCCGATCTTGTCAACGTCTTTGACGAGCGTGAACTCGAGTTGCTTATCGGTGGTATCGCCGACATCGACGTCGACGACTGGAAGAAGCACACCGACTACCGCGGCTACCAGGAGCAGGACGAGGTCATCCAGAACTTCTGGAAGATTGTCCGTACTTGGGATGCCGAGCAAAAGTCCCGTCTTCTCCAGTTCACCACCGGTACCTCTCGTATTCCCGTCAACGGATTCAAGGATTTGCAGGGTTCTGATGGTCCCAGACGGTTCACCATTGAGAAGTCTGGCGATCCTAATGCGCTACCAAAGTCGCATACTTGGTATGTTTCACACTTTCACACTGTCGGATTTAATATATCATGACTAACCGACTTCCAGCTTTAACCGTCTCGATCTCCCTCCGTATAAGACACACGAAGCCCTCGAGCACAAGATGTCTATTGCAGTGGAGGAAACGCTTGGCTTTGGACAGGAATAGAATGCTTGCTGTTGACCTTCTTACTGTCTTTAGTGTACCTGGGTCTTCCACCTGTATCCCCATCTTGCAGCACTGCATTATTCCCTCTTCTGTTCTGGCTTGGCCTTGTTTGTTAATTGTAACCCACTATTCAGAAGTTCGCTTTCCAGCCACTTTCAGGTTGATTCTGGATTTAGGGTAAATATACTGGAAGATTAGTAGATTGTCTTCCTTCAAACCTCCACCCCTTACATGTCGACAACGTGCCGCGTCATATAGCGTACTCGTAGCAGGGCTAGGGCTAGGAACGTGACTCTGCCAAGAATGCTTCCTTGTCCTTGATGGTCTGTCAATGGCCAAAGCGATGCTCACAGCATTCCACAATCGTAAAGAGGCTAGTCGGTGATCGCCCGAGAGGTTTGCAGATCACCATTGCTGCACATCAAATGACGTCGTGCTCAAGGCCCAAATGCGAAATGATATAAAAGTCTCCAAATCTCATTGCAGTGTTCATCCTGACTTTATTCCAGAACGCAAAGCTTCAAATATAACCAAGAATCTCGCCAATATGGGTCTACCGTATGTTCTGTCATATCCTGGCAATGGCATTTACTGAACCCTGCATAGTGTGAAAGGAACGTCGATAGGTTGGGCTGAGACGGAAAACGCAGCCCCAGAGATTCGGAGATGGGCAACTGAGGTATGTTTGCGTAACGGACTTTTTCACTGGTGGTTGCTAAGTGCTAACTCTCGCAGCAATTGCTATGCCTTTGGCGTCGACAACGGCATCGTACAGATAGCGTCGCATCGTGGGGTGATGAGGTAGGTGTGTGTCGGGTTGATACAATGGGACACGGACTGATACAATGTGCAGATTGAATACAGCTTGTTCAATCTAGACCCCAGAACCGAGCGGGCAACATTGTTGTTGGATCAGGAGAAGGTGATCCGACAGTGGCAAGAAAGTCCAGCCAGCAAGGAAGAGCCGTAAGAATATCTCCGTTACTGGAGATCTCCTCATCTAATACCGGACGCAGGGTTATTCTTCAATGGGAGTGGGCCAACTATGTCGTTGAGACAACTCCCGCCAAACCATACACTGGGAGTATCGAAGATCTCCTGAATGTGCAGAAAAATATGAAGAGAAGGTTAGTAAGGTATCAGTCTGGGAATCACCAGCTGACTAGGTGCAGACGAGAAATTGTGAACGGTTTCCTTATGCCAAACCAGCATACCCTTTCACTATCCTTCTTCCCTCGTGCCGGAGCAGATGGCCAATGGACAACTCCACATGGCCAGAACGAGACATACCACTCCGTATGCTCTCTTCCACGATATCGAATTGTACCGGAAAATATTATCGGACGGAGAGAAACATCTAAGGAGACTTGTTACCCAATCTACCAAGACACGCAGACGCCTCCGTTCTATGATATCTTACCCTCGGGTGAAGAAGTCAGAAATCACCTTTGTTTAGACGACCTCGAGATCGGAATTGGTTGCTGCAGTCTTCAAACAACCTTCCAAACATCAAACGAATCAGAAGCCCGCTGGCTCCACGACCAGCTAATACCCCTCGCCCCGATCTTCCTCGCCATGACCGCCGCCGTGCCAATATGGAAGGGATACCTAGTTGACACAGACGTCCGATGGCAACGGTTCGGCGATGTGCTCGACGACCGTCGCCCAGAAGAAATGGCAACTATCGTAGGTCTCCTCCCATTCACCAGACTCGCACGAGATCTGACTAGAGAATGTCAGCCTCCACGCTGGACCTGGAATCGCACATACATCTCAGAAGAAAAACCATCAGGTCTTGAAAGTACCTCACCACTTCAACCAATGAACCCAGCAATAAAACAACGCCTTCTAGACGGCGGCATGGACGAATCCCTAGCCACGCACTTCGCATCCATCCTCTCCCGCGACCCACTCATCCTAACACAAGACGATATGGACAATCTCAACACATCGAATACGAAGCTCTTCCAGCTTTTGCAGAGCTGCGTCTGGCATGCCGTTCGCTTCAAGCTTCCCATCACCGATGCAGGACCAGGGTGGTGTATCGAGTTCCGCACGATGGAATCCCAGCTCACGGATGAAGCGAATGCGGCATTCGCTATCTTCTCCTACTTACTATCCAGGGCGATAGTCACTATGCATCTGAACTTTTATATCCCTATTGACAAAGTGGGCGAGTCAATGGAGTTTGCGAAAGAGCGCGATGCTGTGAGGCGGGGACGGATGTGGTTCCGGCGGACTGGATGGTCTGGCTCTACTGCTATTTCCGGGTCGATGTGTAGGGAACATACGCATCGGATGAATGGTGTGGCAAAGGGGGAATATGCGTTTATGACGGCGGATGAGATTTTCAATGGCGAGTCTGGACCAGATGGGTTCCCGGGGCTGGTGGCTATTGTGCGGCTTTATTTGGAGCAGAGTAAGATGCCAGAGGCGGAGCAGGCTAAGTTGGAATCGTATCTGGAGCTGGTTAGCAAGCGAGCGAGTGGCGAGAATCCAACGCCGGCGACTTGGATGAGGGAATTTGTTCGTTCGCACGAGGATTATCGGCAGGACAGCTATGTTAGTGAGCGTGTTTGCTATGATCTGATGAGGGAGATTGTTCGAATGAATGAAGAATGAGTATCATCAAGGTCAACAATCTATATAATACCCTATTCTATTTCGCTTGATCTGCAAAATTGCTCGCAGCCCTCAGTCTTTCGCCGTATCTCCACAGAATGAATGGTATAGGACACCCAATTACCAAGGCCAAGAGTGCCAGTAGAGTATTCCCCCATCCATAGCCAAGCTTCGCATACATCTCCGGACTAAACAACGGGAATCCAAAGCCCGTAAACCCTCTTACAATATACACAGCCCCATTGGCACTAGCCGCATACACCGGAAACGTATCCAGAAGATACGAAGTGCAACACTGGAAGATGATCGTGGCCCCCATCAGTGGCAATGCAATCCCAATATCAGGCACAATCCAATGAGTTTTGTACTCTGCACTCCAGCCGTAGATTACCAACCCAATCGGAACCAACAAAGAAGCAGGCACCATGATCGGCAGTCGAAACTCGGCTCGTCCGACACCATCGTTCCTGCACACTTGGTATCTATACACTCGGTCTGTTACGAATGCACAGATCTGAGCTCCGATAGGTACCCGATACAAGGCGCGATGTAATGCAGCGTCCCAGTGCTGATTTTCATGTCATACCGTGTTGTCCAGAGATCCGAGAAGCTGGAGAGAAGAAGATATACTATCCCATAGAGATAGCCATAGTAGCAAGCCAGAGCTTGGATGATGGGCTGTGTTGCGAGAAAATACAAAGACCGCGAGATGGTACGTCGATACAGCTGGCCGACCGTCTCGTCTTTCTCAAATGGTGTTCTCCAGACACGGCCTTCAGAATTTCCCTGTCTCTTTGCTTCTGCAATGAGTTCCGCCTTCTTGCGGAGTAATAAGACAGGCGCGTATGTTTCCCGACCGACAAGGAAACACAGAATTAGAAATCCTCCTGCGGCTAGAGACGTAGACCAGAACGCCCAGCGCCAGCTGGTATAGTCTGCTATAAACCCGCCTACTATGGGACCGAGACATGAGCCTAGTACAGGACCGAGACTAACCAGCGCAACTGGGAGTCCGCGCTCTTCTTTGCGGAAGACGTCTCCGACTATACTTGCGCCGACCTGGTGAATATCAGCTTCGAACTAAGGTCTACAGTGAATAGATAGCAAGAGAGACTGAACTCACAGCTAGCGATGCACTCGCCCCTACACCACTCAACAAGCGGAAAATCAATAGCTGTGTCATGCTTGTGCAGAACCCGGCACCGAGGTCGAAGGCAAGGTAGAAGAGTGTCCCGGCTTGTAATACCGGCCATCGACCATATAGCTCGCTGAGGGGACCGAGTAGGATTGGTCCCATGGAATATGTAAGTAGGAATAATGATAGAGCCAAGGGACCGGTGATTGTAGATGTGATGTGGAACTCGGTTGCGATATCGTTGACTGCTGGTGTTGTGATCGTTGATGATAATGGCATTAGGAATAGTGGTACGGCGATGGTTGCCATGAGGATCCATTTTTGTGTTGCGGGCCAGTCTTGGGGGTGATCGCCTTGGAAATCTACCATTGTGGCCTTTTCTGGTGACGGGGACATCGTGGGTGTTGGGTTGCGGGTTGCTTGAGATTGGCTTTGATGGAGGTGGAGTGGATAACTACTTTTAGGGGAGACTGTATGTGATATAGGCCTTGTGTCCGTACACCCCTGCATTCTGGACGAGGAGGGAAGACATTGTTGATGCTGTTGATGCACTATGGATCGGCATGATCGACGAGGAAATGCATGGGTGGGTCCGGGTCCACTCCTTTTAGTTCCGCAAGGAAGCTTGGCGCCTAGAGGAACCCTAATTGGGGTCTACTGCGTAAGGATGAAGGTGTTTTCATTGTGTAGCTTCATCAGAGTGGATGTTGGTATACATACAGGTTTTTGCAATTGAAAGACGGAATAGGGATTGAGGAACAAGTCTGGATGCAGTGTAGGTGAATCTCAACTGACGTCAACTGCGAACGCCGATTGTTGTACTGGTTGACATGCATGGGATGTCTTTGTGTACAGACTGAGTGTGCAACTGAGCCTTGTTTGCAGTACTCGCTTGCCATGTTCTTTGTTAATATAGGCTTTATATAGCTACAGCCTGCTTTCCATAGTTCTACGAATAGTTTCTTCTTCCCGATCTCCCCATACCAGTTACTTCGTCGCCTCTCAACAGGTCATATCAACCCACCTCCAACTCTTGCTAACTGGCAGCCTTTTATAGTCAGCAGTGTTGGACTCTTGGGAGGCTTTGGTCAATCCACTGCAGTTTCTTCCTTGGTATCAGTGATCTGGATGTCGATATGCTTCGATTTCCAAGCACACGGTTGCCATTCTCAAAAATATGCTTACAACATGGGCACCAAGTAACTAGCTCGATGTTAGTACTAGTTTGTGAAACATGCCTTGAAAGAGGTATATCGACATCCAGCTCTTTGACACCAAGGAAGAAACTGCAGATGCATTGACAGAAGCATTGCCAAGAGTCCACCACGTCTGACTACGAAAGGGTGCTAAGGTAGTTAGCAGATAAGAGATGGAGGCGGATTGGAACTTTGGATGCTGCATTTTTCTATCATTTTCACTATGCAAACCAGATTGATTTATGCTCTTGGTGTTGATGCTCAGTCTGGGGGTGTCGCTATGTACATAAGCTTGGTCCCTCTATCATCCTATCAATGGACAGGACCCCCGGGCCAGTGAATCACATCAATGGTCTGGTAGATGATATAGACAAATAATCTAAATGGACAATGAGGATGGCAATCTGAGATGGGCGGTCAGGATGAATGATCCAGATGATGATCAAGAACAAAACAAAAGAGGATGGTACCAAATGTGATAGCTATGTCCTGATCGTAGTCATCACCTCGCCTGTTCATCCCGCTGTTTGTGGGCTGCCCGAGGCTCCGGCAGGAATCGTGCTGTAAACGAGAACCCAGAAGCCAGTATCAACATGAGGATCCAGATGGCGTAACCCCCCACCAGCTGAGTCCTTGCACCGAGAGCAAACAGAGTGGTGAAAAGCGCAGGGCAGAAGGCCCGAAGCGCACTCGAACCGGTCAAAGCCAAAGCATTCAGCGTGCCTAGCACCTTTGGCGATGGTGCTACATCGTTCAGGGCAAGCTGGATCGCCGTGAAGCTCATGCTGACTCCGCTACCGATCGCAAGCATGGTCGGTGCGAAGACCCAGAAAGCTCTGACGGATCCTTTGGTTTCCACACGCAGGAGAGCGTTACCCAGGGGCAGACAAAGGAAGAAGAACGGGTAAACGCAGGCGCAGAGGCGCATGACACCATTGGATCCTATCTTTCGCTGCAGTGGTGGGAATACAAGTAGGAGCCACGCGGCTTGAGAGGCGCCGTTCAGTCCCATCATCAGTGAAATCTGTAAGGGCGTAAAACCCCAGCCTCCCAGATGGATGGGAGTGAACCAGAAAACTGGGATGATAGCGGTGAAGCCGAAGGCAAGGATCATGATATGCCCGTACACATACAGAACCATACCGACACCCGGTGAATTGAGAAGCTGCCGGGTTGACATGTCACCGCGCGGAGCTGGAGCTCTGGAGGCTGCCTCTTCCCCGACGCCATCCGCAGCCGGCTCCTTCTTCAGTGTCTCCTCAACAAAGAGGGCGCTGGATACTGCGGCAGTGAGTCCGATCAGCGCGACCACAACGCTCGAAAGCACATAGGGATGTGTTTCCAAGAAGTGGACGTTTCCGAAGATACTCGGATATTGCCGCACTGGATCGGCAAGCGCACCTCCCAAGAGAGGACCTAGGAAGATACCCAGGTTACCACTAAAGGCAAACCAGCTAAACGCCCGAGCCTGGGTGGTGGGGGTGCTGTGCTCCGCGACCATAGTGCGGATAGTGACAATAGTTCCAGCGAAGACGCCAGCAAAACATCTAAACAGAATCATCTGTGGAATGCTCTTTGCCAGACCAAACAGACCCGTCGCTACAGTCACGCCGAACAATGAAAAGACCAGGACCGGCTTGCGGCCGAGGCGGTCGGCGGCGCGACCCCAGAATATCATGACAATTGCCTGTGTCAGAGAGAACATCGACTCGATAAGTCCGCTGTAAAAGCCGATATCCGCGTCTGCCACGTTACCGTTATCCTGCACCATCTGGCTCACATACGGGAAGATGGAGAAGAAGGCTAGGGGCTCCACCACCCGTGCATAGCAAAGCAGCAGGATCTGGAGCTTCGGTAATGGCTTTTTGTCGGTGAGATCGACACCATTGGAATCAGGTGCTGAAGAGTTGTCCACATTGTCTGATGTGTGCACGTCCACATATTTGGCCTGGTTGGCCCCTAGGAGAGCGGTCGTCTCATCTATACGGCCATTTTCCTCGCCCGTCCCGAGCATTGAGTCAGCCGGGAACACGGGAGCCTCATGACTATGTATCCGCGAGTTTGAAGTGACCATCTCTGACCGGAAGGGCGGATGGGCATTGACTTGCGGAAATTGACTCGAGGGCGCATGTCGTGAGAATTCGTTCTGATGGTCTCACACCGCTTTCGCATCGCGCTTCTCGCCGTCGCGCCGATCCGAGGTAGGACCGTAGGAATCATGAACTAGTGCTAACTCGTATACGTAAAATTGTTAGATATGCAATGGCAGAACGCCACAAGTGACAAGTGGCCACATCTGCCATACTCTGATACTCATATAAGATCTCGGGAGGAAGATATGGTTATGTGTAGAGTTGAAGCGAGGATCCGGAAATTCCTTTTCGAGTTAGCGTTGCCGTCTTGGGGTTAGCCTCCTATTTTGCCGTCACGTTACCACCCTTGACTTGGCGTGTTTTCGTCGCGTACTCCGTACTCTATTCATATTGAGTCATGGACCTTGTAACAATAGTCAAGATATTCAAGCATGTCTATGTTATCTAAATGGCTCATAGCCTCATAGGAGTCAGTATTCACTATTTTGCAATTCCAGCATCAGAGGTTGCAGTGGAAAGACTGTTCAACACTCAACAGTGGTTGTGTTTTCCACCTCAACGTCGTGGAGTACAGAGCATGCTTTCCTGGAAGAATGTGACAGCCAAACTGCCAGCGGTTTGTGACCCAATCTTGAGCAATTGATGCCTTGCCATGGAATTAAACACCAGATTAGACGCGGCATGTGTCGCTGTGGGATTATTGGAGCAATTCGGATGGATAGCTTGCCAGTTGGCGGAAGGCTGGCCATTTGGCGGAAAGCTCGCTAAACGCGTCTGGAACTCGGCACCCACGCGTGACGCGGCTCGCCAGGGTATTGGAGAGTGTACGTGCTCACTAGCCTCACCCTCGTATTAACCAACTGCTTTCCATGTACAGCATCTTTTGCAAGAAATGGCGCCCGGGGCCCCGGAGGGCGCTTATTCGGGTTTGATACCGGTACCATGTCGCCTTCGGTGCTAGCTTTGGTCGTCCACTGTGAGGATCCTGGATGAGCATAGTGTAGCATGGCGCAGTTCTCCCACTACAATTGGTACCGTTAACTATGATCCTGATACAACCCCCGAGGAAGCACAGCAACGAATTAAGGACCAGTCATCTCCTTTGCTTGCCTTCTTCGACTTCTGCGAATATAACATAACTGAATGTGGCTTCACTTACCAAGATGCGCCCTGCTTTGCGACTTGGTGTAAGAAGGACGTTGATGAGAGGTGGATACTACTGCTCACTGGACTGAGCGTTGTGCTCTACATACACAGTACACAGTATGATTGCATTATATCTATCCTCTGAGCCCGCTTGGGTTGACTATCCCTGTCAATGCTGACAATGAATAGGTTTACACGGATAGTCATCGCCAGCTTGTCTTAGCAGTGCGCATTATCCATAGTAGGGCCGCATATGGACGATTGAGACGGCTATGGGCTACAATCAACGATCAGTCTCCAGTAGCCATTGGCATGCATTCCCAATGCCAGTGGGGCCCTTGGTAGTAGCGGACAATCTCTGCAACTCGTCGACGGCATCCTCAGTGCTCTATTACACAGTATGCAATGTATCTCCGCAACTGCACATAGTCACGTCCAACATCGCTGATGGCGTTGACTTGTCATGTGACATAATGTCTAATCGATTATCTCGTCCGTTGCAGCGCCGTCGTCGGCGTCGTCGGTCACAAGCCGTTTATTTATTGTTGTCAAGATCTCTGCGCTTCTGCCATATCTCCTTTCCTTTTCATCCTCTCACTCTCGTTCGTCTTTCTTTTGATTTTATTTCTCTGTCCTTTTCTGTCCTTTTTCTCTGTCTTTTCTCATCAATTTTCCTGCTTCATACCCATCATATCCACCTGGTGATCCTGGCTAACCAGACACCATGACTCAACAGCCTCCTGCGCATTCGCAGGATGGCTCCTCAACCCAAAGCTCGCTTCATGGACAGCTTGCTGCGTTTACCCCAACTACGGCTTCACAGCCATCGAATGCGGATGCTTCTGAACAGGAACTAGTTCCTGCTGCGGGGTAAGTCACTCATCAACATTGGTGAATATCTATCTATAAAGCATGATTGTTAATGTTTCTGCAGCAGTGATTCGTTCGCCGCTTGGCTGAATAGGTACCACTCGCGGACTCATAGGCCCATGCCGCAGGAGGGAACAGCAAGCCCGACTCCTCGTGTCTACTCACCCGACTACTCTTGTTCGCCTGTGCGAATCCGGAACCAATGGCAGCTCTCGCCATATTCCCCCATTGGTGGTGATGGCCATTCCCAGACCAACCTCGCCCCAACCCAGGGAGCGACTGGCAATATCCAACACACTCCTCCGGCAGCTCTTGACTATGAAGCCTACGAAGCCAGCCTGGCTCCAGCTTTTGTTTCTAGTTTGTCCCCTAGCTACCCTACCCCCCAAGGCGTCGAGGGCTTGGCGGATCGACCGCAAGAGGCAGGCGCCGATAAACCAACTCGAGGCTTTATCGTGTCATTGGTCGATGCCAACACACCCCACGGTCACGTCCTTGAGGTACTCTTTGTAAGTTGCAGTATGAACACGATCATGGAAGGGGTTTAAGCTGACTATGCCAAGACCAAGGAGTATTACTCTCTCGAGCTTCTTTGCCTGAAGTATATCAAGGATAAAGAAATGTTTGCTCTCGCCTTTGCGGATATTCGGGAGGCCATTGATGCGAGAAACGGGTTAAAGGACAGTCATCCTGAATGGCGCATTGCATCAGCGACTGCCGAAGAGGTCGCAGGTATTACTGGAGCGTCAGACTTCATCGGGGAGTCCCCGCAAGGCGTGTTTCTTCTTTCCGTCCAAGTGCCTCCTCAACGATTGCCCGACCCAAACACTGAGGATTTCATCAAGGGCCTAATCAATCACTTTGGCCAGGTGGAGCAATTCGTGATGATTCAGAGGAGCGCCAGGCTGCTAAAGTACCGGGTGCAATACTACAGCCTCCGTCATGGAACCTGTGCCTTCACCTGTCTCGATGGATTATTGTATCATGTATGGATTCTTCCCCTGATCTCTTTGAGATAATGAGACGCTAACATTTCCATATAGGATTTCCGTTTCGAGGTCTCCCCTGAAGTGTCTCCGTCCTTAGCCCCCAGCTTAGGCCAGCAAGGTCCCATGACGCCTCACCAGGGCAACAGTGGCGAGTTTGAGTTCTCGCCGAATATGGGTGGGGGCAAGATAGATGGCAATGAGCGGATCATCAGCCTCGCTCGAATTCGAGAGGGACGGGATGTTCGCACCACGGTCAGTTAATCCCCTTCATATATTACATGACAACATCTCACATGATGCCTCACAGATCATGATTCAACATATTCCGAAATTCCTTGATTGCGTAAGTCAGATCTCATCTCTGTCAGATCTTGCGGATGCTAATACAATCCTCCACCCCATAGGACCAAGTGATCGAGGTCTTGAATCGAACTAGTCGTGGAGCATACGATTTCTTGTATTTGCGTATGGGTAAGTGAACCCTCCTTGAGCGATTCATCTGAATTGGGAACTAATCTTTAGCAGATTGGCGAACACGCACCAAGTATGTTTCGTGCTCTCAACAATCTCATGCGAATACTCACTCTTCTAGTTTTGGATACGCATTTGTCAACTTCGTGGACGTAAGTATTCTTTTGATTTGATCCCATCTCTTCCCATTTCATCCCATCTCTTCCCATTTCATCCCATCTCTCCCCATTTTATCCCATCTCTTCCGCTCCTCCGATTTCGTGTCCTTTCAATCCCAATATTGCTTTTGCTCGACTTTTCACTAACGCAATTCACAGCCATTGGATATCCTTACCGTGAGTCGTCGTCTGTCTTCTAAGTTGTGATACCTTGACATCTCGCTGACCGGTTCCCCTTAGCTCTATGCTGCGATTGCGGGCAAAAAATGGTATTTTTCTCTTGCATTAAGCAGTTACATACCCGCTTGCTAACAATTATAGGCCCGACTGTCAAACTGCGGAGGACCCAGTGAAAATCAGCTATGCCAGTACGTGCCCCCAATCATGATAATCAGGAATGGGTATCTGACAGGATTCAACAGTGGTTCAAGGAAAGGACAATTTGGTGACCAGGTTCCGCAACAGCAATGTTATGACCCGAGCTCCTAAGGAGCGACCCAAAGTACGTTCAACAAGTGCCTTTCTAGTCCCCTCAAGCGCAATACTGACTGACTGCAGCTGTTCCATACCAGCGGTCCTTTGAAAGGATTGGAGGCACCCTTTCCTCCGCCAAATGACGCCAGAAGGCTGCGTCGCTCAGTCACCAGCACCGCTCAGCAAGGTAAGAGCTCCTGCCTTTTGGCCCAAAACCGGGATCTGACCTTTTTCACAGGTGTCTATAACAATGGGTCTCGAAGCCAAACTACACGTTCGTCACAACGCAACCGGAATCGTTCGAACGTGCAGCGCACATCGAATCGTGCTACCCGTTATCCTGCGGGAGGATCATTGCCCAATGACATCCCTTCGAGTTCTCCATCAGCTCGAACAGAGCACGATCCGCGCCACTCTAGGGGACAATCATTGCAGCAGGACTTCCCTTCCGGTTCCTCCTTCACCCGGCAGGAGAATCAAACCATGCGCCAAGTCGAGTGGCGAACTCCGCCTACGCCTCAGAATAACCCTGAAACCCCTTCCTTGGTATTGCACGGCAACCAAACCATGCGCGCCTCCGTGGGACAAGACCTGCCTCAGAACAGCCCTTTGGCTTCTCCATTGGCTCGAATGGAGCGCGGCCTGCGTCACTCTAGGGGACAATCAGTGTCCCAAAACGTTGCTCCGGCTTCGCCCTCAGCGGCGGTCGTCGCGCGGTCAGTCCACCACTCCTGGGGACAACACTATCGCGCCCAACAACCGTCTTCGACCGAAAATGCTTTTCCCTTTACCTGGGAGAGTAAGTAGGCGTTTCCAATTTTTCGGTTCGTCACATTTTCAGTACACATATGACGAACACTTGAGGATAGCAATGCTCTTGCTGCCTCCATCACGTTGCTAATTGTCCAAAGGGAATCTACCGAGGGAGATTTGATCTCGTTGAGGATCACTCAGCCTCCTGTCCCTTCGTTTATTATTATGTTTCTGTCCAATTAGCAAGGATAATGAAAATGTGAAATATTCAATATTGACCATAGTACGTAGTAGTACATCCTATCTGTAGTGGTACGTGGTACTGTGGATATGCTCTCAGAGGCGTGAAGAATACAACTCATCGTTGAATATGTGGGTGAATTTCTATTGAGGAAATCATATGATGGGTGGGTTGTCCCTTCCCACTGGTGTAAGTACGTGCCTTCCTGAACAGGAAACCACCAACCTATATAAACTCCCTCCCCAACTTTCCCTCTTTTTTTTTCTTCCTCCTTCAACTCCCCATGCTTCCATATTCCATCCATCACTCCACCTTGGAACCATCCATCCATTCATCAACCATCCACCATGGAACCACCAAGGCTTCCATCATTGGTCAGCCCTCCCCCCTTAATCCACTTGGGCCTCAACACATTACCATGTCTACATACAGACATCCTCTCAGCTCTTTAACTTGAGTGGTGTCCATCCCCACTCGTTAGCGAAACTTATCCTTTGCATGCTGCCTCATGGCCCTTGACTAATCACCACTTGGTCCGCAGCCTATCTGAGGTGCCACTGACCTCAGTCACATGGATGGACTTGGTCCATGAGTGATTCTGCCTACCTTCCTGTCTTCTGTCTCTACTATGAACATGTAAGTGCCCACCTCCCAGTTCCAGTCTTCCAAGGATGGAAGCACCGGCAGGTATACATTGCGTTCCTTGTGTCCTTCCTTCCATGATCTTTAGCAGTCTATCCTCCTTCACCCATACATCCACCTATTCACCCCCCTGACTTCCAGAATACCAATCTGACTGAGCCAGCGCACAGCAACGTTTGGTCTGTCTTCCCACTTAGCAGACTTCACCGTGGCGGGCCTCATGGCTTTGGGACAATCGGGAGACTTGGTATGCTGACCGCAGTCCAACCAACCACACCTACTTCCACTCGACCATATCAATTTGTCTATTCACCAATATCTAGTCTCACCGTGGCGGGCCTCATGGCTTCAGGACAATCGGGAGACTAGGTATACCAACCGCGACCAACGAACAACAAGCACATCCACTCTACCAACTCCACTCACCTATATCCAGTCTCACCGTGGCGGGCTTTGGCTTCAGGACAATCTGGAGATTGGGTATAGCAACCACCGACCCACAGACGGCACTAGAGCCCGACGCATCGAATATCTAGCCCGCTTCCGAGGCAGCGGGTCGCGCGATGACCAGTGGATCCCCAGCACGCAAGTGGGATACGAAGGAGTAAGGACGCTTCCGCGCCTTCGACGCCAAGCAGGACGCTGGACAGTAAAGATGGTCCCAGACATTGCGTCAATTGAAGAAACGGGAGAAGTAACGGATGAGAGTCATCCTTTGTGTACAATGCCCCGGAAGCTCCCCGGGAAGAATGTACCTAATGTATCATGAGTGAATGACCCGGTAGCAATGCTATAGGCAGCTACCTTGTTACCCTATTGACTCTCCAACCAACGTAGCTCAAAAGACTTGCATTTGTAGGCTAGGATTTGAATACATCTCAAGCTCACTACCTTATACAAGGTCTTGAAGGTAACAAGCTCTCGATTGACCTTTCTTGATTGATCCTTCTCTCTGTTGAATCCCACTCGTCACTTCGGTGCGGTCAGGTCGCAGCCGGCACGCACGCTGCGTCTGATGAATCGATGATGGAAACATTGCCTAGAGAACCTACCATACAGTAAACCTAACTGGATTGTGAGGTCAAGGCAACTATGACTGGCCCCCGACTACCCCTACCATCAGTCAGCTTCACAAGGTCAAGAATGAGTGGATTGGATATGCTTTAAGGTGAGTTAGTGCGGGTGCCCCAGACTTTCACAGTTCCATCCTCGGAGCTAGTGATCATCCATTTTCATTCGCAATGGAATGCGACTCCAGTGATGTTGTTCGTGTGACCTTCAAAAGTGATCACTGTCACAGGATTGGGATTGGTCGATTTGATGGCAAGAGCTTGACGTTATTGTGGCCAGCACCCGGCCCAGCAGCAGCGAGGGATCTCTTATCCGGAGTGATGTAAAGGCGATTGACCTGTGAGTCTGGGTGCTGAATGGTACGTGAAACAAATACCCCGAGAGGGCCGAGACTCGAGAGCGCTTCCCACTCACTTTCTGCCATGGCTACACGTGATGGTCTCAGCATGTGAGGCGGTGAAAAGATGAAAGTGATGACCACGTGACATGTGGATCATTTACCCGGCATAATAACTCCCCACCGTCTGTGCGGCGTCTACTTACTTTTGTAGGTAGTTCGGGGTTGCGAGGATTCATTCAAAATTTCGAATAGGGCCTGAGAGAAGTCATAAGATGATGAGTAATTAATGTATGGTTAGTTAACTACGCGAAGCTGAGCATCGCAGTTAAATCCGAAGACCATTGGGCGCCAGGACCCCTTGTAAGGCTAGGCATTGATATGCATCATGCATCCGCCGGTCGCCCAAATGGGTCATTTATCGCGAAGCTGAAGAGCTGCATACACTTTCAGTCTTTCACTTTCAGTCTTTCACTTATCTAGCGCGTTATTTAAAGGCTTGCCTGTCAACTTTACCACTCGCAGCTCGCTTGACCATTTTTCTAGAGCTAAGAGATACACGCTAGACCTAAATGGGTCATTTACCGCGAAGCTGAAGAGCTGCATGTACTTTCACTTGTCAAGCGCGTTATTTAAAGGCTAAGTCGCATTTTCCGTTCGATGTTGCCTGTCAACTTTACCACTCGCAGCTCTCTTGACCATTTTTCTAGAGCTGAGAGATACACGCTAGACCTAAATGGGTCATTTACCGCGAAGTAGATCCACCATCATTGAGTATCCAAATGGTAAAAACTAGAACCAACAAGCCCCAGCAGTAAATATTTAAGAAGGCTGCTCGAACTGTACCTCTCAGCATTGTATTCTATCTGTCATTGCATTGTCAACCATTCTCCCGACTTCAAAGGCTTACTATGGCATTCGATTTACTATCCGGATCATCAGATCCTCCCTTCTCAACCGAGAGGCAGCACATCGCCATTGCAGAGGTTGTCATATACTCCCTCATTCACCTCGTACAGTTCAGTACAAGATATATGCAAGAGCAGCGGTACTGGCACCACAATGAGAACAAGGGTGTTGGACGCTGCACGTTCTATTCTTGGTGCAGTATGATCGGTCTTCTATCCCAAAGTAAGCAAGCGGACGACAGTCGACAAAGAGATTAACACGGCTAACCCCAGGTCCATCATAGTCCGTATAGCCGATGCTGCCCTGGTGCTTGCAACTTCGCATCCAAATAAGTCACAGCTTATTGCCGACTCTGCCTTGCGAAGCGTGGGCCTTTCGCCACTCTTGTTTGAAGTCAGTTTGGTCATGTTGCGATGGTATGATAAAAGAGTTCCCTACATTCGGAGGATTATCTGTGCCATGGGCCGAACGAATGCTGACACCATACCTCCGAGCAGTGGACAATCTGGGGAAATTGGCCCTGGAAATTCTAAGTGGACCCAGCGGACACGCTTCGCTTTGCATTCCTTCCGTTTCCCGGTTTTCATTGCCATCATCATGGCAGTGGTGGGTGGATGCATCGATATTCCCGCATTGGGTATAGCGGGATGTAGCGTCCTTCTTGTCACGTTCGTCTATGTGTGCTGTCTCGTCGGTTGGCTTGCAGTGACATCGCGAGAGATCCTTCCCGCGTCTGTTCATCGTGCTGTGTTGATCACATTATCGACGCTTCCCTTCTTCTTGGTCCGAATTATCTATCTCCTATTGGGGAAATATGGATCCGCTAAGTTCAACCCCACCACCGGGGATATCAGCACCTTCATCGGAATGGGATCACTGATGGAAATCCTCATTGTTATCCTGCTGCTGACAGCACGTGGTACTGCTGAACCAGTTCGGTTGTTTGGTGACTTCGGGCCTACAGCGTACAATGACTTGGAATCACCAGAAGATTGACGCGGTTGACCCTGGGATCCTGAAACCATCGGTGGAATGACGCAGCGAGATAGACTTGGATCGAGCCCTGGGATGTAACAAATATCAAACTATTTACAACACTGTCTTATAGTTCTCTGGACGCATTGCTGCGTAGCTTTTTGAAAGATGCTCAAGGCGGTCCAAAACCCATGCCTTTGTCACTGGATCTGCAATCTCGAATACCACACGGAGAGGGAACCCCATTCGATATGGACCCAGTAATCCCCTGGTATTGTATTCCACAGACTTGCAGATTTGATCTCTGAAATAAACCACCATAGCATCATGCTCACCGGGATAACCACAGCTTCTCAAAACCTCGTGAATGATCACCATGTAGGCGTAGTATCCACAGTAGATAGTTGCACAATTCACATCCATGTATGTGAGGACAATCGGGTATAGTTCATCACCGGTTGATGATATGGTTTCTGTTGGCGTGGGTGCGATGTGAGAAAACCGCTCATACCATGTGGCTAATTTTGTTTGCATCTCCAGAGCTTGGATTACAAGTTCTGGGACTCTTTGCGACTTTTCAGCACAGGTAACTCCGGGATTTCTCAGACTGTAAAGCTTATGCACAAGATCTGGAGCATATGTCATGTATGCGAAGAATTCTTCGATACTATAGTACAATCCTTCGGGCAGGTCTTCATTGAATCGTCTGAGCATTATGTCATGCCACTGATCTGAAGCCAAAAAGCACTCTTCACCGGAGAACATTGCGTGCATCACCTGTTCGAATATAAGCATGTTCCTGCAACTGGTATCAATGTGCTCCTTGGCACACTCAAAGAAGACAAGACGCGATGATTCAATGATTGAACTTACAATCACTCCTCGGGATGCCTTGAGAAGTGCCATATCAAGTTCAGTGTTATACCTATCTGGCCCTCGAATCCGTGCCAGCTGGCCGAGCCCCTTGGCATGCTTCATCCACGAATCAGGGCTTTCGGTATCTGTGAAAAGCTACATTTGATCAGAGGGGTGGATTGCCATCATTCAAAGCCTCCAGAAAGCACTTACCTCGTACATGCATAGTAATACAACTGCACAAAATATATGGGACGATAAGGCTTCTGCGGGGGTCTCCAGCGATCTCCGAAGCCCCCGCAAGGCCGCGCCGTAAGCTGATCGAGCATATAACACCATTTGCGTATTCTGAGTGATGCGCCCAAAATGATTTGCTGTGAAAGACCTTATAGTAGCATCCAATACACGATTTTGGCCGTAGATGGTAGGAAGGAATCGAAACCATCGACTCACGACGTGTGCTGGACTAGATACAGCAGATTGGGAAAAATCGTCGACCAAGGCGCAGAGATTCTGGATGACATTCATATCCACAGATATGAAGGAAGATACCATCCCCATTGGGTCAACTGCAGTTTCAGGACGACCTCTGACCTGTTTAGTGTCCCTTGAATTGGGTTGTTGGCGTCGATCCCGATATGGCTTCCCAGTAACAAATTTGAAGCCCCGGTCATATCCAGGACAAGGTTCCCCATATTTCTCACATTTCGCACAAGCAGGAAGTCTTTGATCACACTGTGGTGTTGTCAATATGACATGAAGTTGTCGTCCTTGCATTGTGTACGGAGCGGTCGGAGCCCACTCACCTTGACTCGACGTTTAACACAGAGTAAGCAGCCATTGCTACGAGGTACACCAACCATCTTATGATCTTGCATCAATTCTTACATCTTTCTCAAGGATCTGAGGCTGAATGGTAGGCTTCGTATTAGCAGATTCTGGCGCCGTCACGTGGTCGCGACCGGGTAAAAGTGTCATTCACGTGATGCAATTAGTCATTTCGGGGTTTCCAAAACAAGTTAGTTAGTTAGGTGGGTCGCGTAAGCGAAATATTAGTCATCTTTGTTTACGTTTCCTCTTTTCGTGCTGAACAAGAGCAGTAGGCGGTCAGTACCATCAGATTAGATCGACTCTGGCGATAGCAGGGGCGGTCAGACAGACTCGACTGCGATGCTCTCCGTACTCAGTCCGTAGAGAGTATCAGCTATTGGGCCTATTGTATTGATAGTATCTGTAGACTATAGTAGGACTCAGCCTGTAGGAGAGTAGTGGTCAGGTGACTGTCAGGTCACACGATTATCATACTGCGTACTGTGGATAGCCCTCTGATAGCTAGTTTCCTTCTTCTTTTTCCTCCTTAGCGCATCTAAGATTAGTGCTTGAATTTATCGACTTCCGGACTTTATTCAACCATATCCCCATAGAAACGCCAATAATAACTAAGGAATGGCTTCAGAAGCAAAGCCCAAGAGCTATGGTAAACATACGTATGATAACGTATCCGTACCTGAGTGAGGATAAGCGAAATTAAAGCCGGGAGATATTTTCTGGGGTATGTCACATGATCGATATGACGTATGACTTATGAGACCGGTGGCAGAAAGGGATCATTTCATTGGCAAAAAAGAGATGGGCCGGCAGAAAAAACAACGACATGCTAGAACTATAGTCTATGGGGACGAAGTATACAGTCTCTGTTGATCACCTCTATAGATCAATTAGTTCTATTGACTGCGCGAGTCCGGAGTCACAAGCTCGATGTATTTTTCTTTGTTCATCTCCGTTTGCTTGTTCAATCAATAAATCTTAAGCTCCTCGTGGGCAAGTGCCACTCAGCTCGACAGTCGCTCATCGGACTGTGTATGGTTTGTTCCCAGCCATGCACTTGCAATATGAGTTCTTTGTTCTCTGTGCGGCGTGCCTTATTTGTTCTCGTTTCTTTGTTCTCGTTGCTCAGACAATAAACCTTAAGCTCCTCGTGGGCAAGTGCCACTCAGCAGCTCAGCTAGACAGTTGCTGATCGTACTGTGTATCGTTTTGTTTCCAGCCACACAATAGCAATGTGAGTTCTTTGATCTCTGTGCTGTATTATTTGTTCTCGTTCGTTTGCTTGCTTCCTTCCCATCTATGAGCCCTAGTCCTTGGGAGAGCATTTATTTACCTCAAGCTTCTTGCTTTAATCCTTTCTTCTTCCTCTTCTTCCCTCCTCACCTTTCTTCTTTCATCTCATTGTCTTTGCTTTCTTCCATCTTTAATCCTTGCTATTATCCAACATGGCTTCTCCAACTGATCCCAACGATCCTTTTGGTTACAATCAATTTGACCCGAATGACCCTAGTCTCTCGCTCGACATGTTTGACGCAAACGCCTCGGACATGTTTGACCCAAACGCCCCGCTGATGAACTTCGATTTGAATGGAACCAACGAGCCGAGCATGTTCATGCCTTCCAACAATTCCAATGAACTTAATGATATCGATTTCACGGCTCTGCTCCAGGCCGACGACTCTTCCAACCTTCAACTGCCTGCCGACGGCCTCATGGAGCCTATTCAAAACGCACGTCCTTTCAATGAGGCTCAGGCGCCTGTTTCTAATGGCCCCGGCATGAACGTTCCGTCTGCCTCCTTCGGTGGTGACGCCAACAATACCCAATACTTGGGTGGCGCTGGCGCTGGTGTCAATCAGACAACCCTTGGTATGACAACCTCTGACCACCAAGTCACGGGCCACCAAGACAATGGACATCGAGTCAATGGACAGGATTATCAGCTCAATGGACAGAGCCTGCCTATGGGCCCTCCTCAATCTGTGACTCCCGGCCAGGGATACCAATTCAACGGCCCGAGTATGCCCGTCAATACTCCTCAATCTGTGGCTCCCGGCCAGGGATACCAATTTAACGGCCCGAGTATGCCCGTCAATACTCCTCAGTTTGTGACTCCCGGACAGGGATACCAATTCAACGGGCAGAGCATGCCTGTGAACAATCCTCAGTTTGTGACTCCCGGACAAGGATACCAACTCAACGAACCGAGCATGCCTGTCAACAATCCTCAGTTTGCGGCTCCAATCAACAATCTGGACTCTACTGCCGCAACCAACTCGGCCGGGTCCAGCCCTCTGAGCGGCTCTGCTCACTCCTCCTCGAGTGGCAAAACTGTGGCTTCAAAGTCAATGGAGCAAGCTGCCGAGAATGCCAAGGCCTCCCCTCATGTTTCTCCCAGTCCCGCCTCGCAGCAGACGAACCTGGGTCAACAGATTTCTGCCGCTTCTCAGCGTATGAACCGCGGTCAGCAGCCTGTAAGTTCTGTGTGGTTATTTGACTTACTTTGCAAAGAAAGCATTCTAATCATGCTCGATAGATGCGCCGTGTTCGCGCAATTGACAACGCCGACTATGCCAACTATGAATCTCCCGTTGTGGCATCCCGCAATGGACTCTCCCTGCCGCCAATGGTCCAGGTGGCCCGCGATTGCATTGAGAACCTGGCGCAGAGGCGCCCCCAACCTGACCAGCTGACTCCCGCTGCGTCCCGTGGTCCAAAGAAGCGAAAGACCCGCCCGCAGCAGCTTCAGGGGGCAAACGAGTGTCGAATTAGGGAGTTGGAGGGAGAGTTCCAGAGGCAGAGGAGCGAGTATTTGACCCTGGCCGAAAGGTTCAACAAGGCTTTGAAGGATCTTCACAAGGCGGAGCAGGAATTGAAGAACCGCAAGAAGTAACGGATGAAACTCATCCTTATGTGTACAATGCCTCGGAAGCTCCCCGGGAAGAATGTATCTAATGAATCTTGAATAGGTAATAAATCATGAATACCTAATGAATCGGTAACTAGGTACCTTGTTACCCTATTGTCTCTCCAACCAACGTAGCTCAAATGGAAGACTTGCATTCCATCGTAGGTAGGCTAGGATTTGAATATGTCTCAAGCTCACTACCGGGCTTATACAAGGTCTTGAAGATAACAAGCTCTCAACAGAGACTCAATTGACCTTTCTTGATTGATTCTTCTCTCTGTTGAATCCCACTCGTCACTTCGGTGTGGTCAAATCGCAGCCGGCACGCTGCGTCTGATGAATCGATGATCGAAACATTGCCTAGAGAACCTAACAGGCTACCATACAGTAAACCTAACTCAATTGTGAGGTCAAGGCTACTATGACTGGCTCCCGACCACCCCTACCATCAATCAGCTTCACAAGGTCAAGAATGAGTGGATTGGATATGCTTTGAAAGTTTACGGGGAGTTCCAATTTTGCGGAGACTTCGTGGGGAAACTGTCCACGTGGTGGACCCACTTATCTCTCAGTTGTGTGGGAGACCGGCATTTAGGTTACTCCATCCGAACCCTCATGTTGTAGTTAGCGGGTTACTCTGAGTATGGTAGCTGATTGTATGCAGGGAACAGTGATGTTCTTACTTCCCAGTGAGTCAGTGTTTCATTTGTGAATTGTGGGGTTGTAGAATAGAACTGTCTGCCTTGCACACAAGGGGTCATGCCCATGGCCACTTGTCTTCGTCTGGGGGTGCTTTCTTTTCCATAGTTACGTGATGAGTGTGCTGGTCGTAACAAGTGGTGTTCTTATGGTGAGGTGCGATTTCGTTTGGCGTCGGCGTTACATGGTCTTGGGAGAATCTGGGTTAAGAGTTTCATACAGCATTGTTTGTTGATATTTTGTTGAGCTTGATGTCATTCCATTGGCAATCTGAAGCGCATAAGACCACATATGACAGCAAGTATCAGAGCATAAGATGTGAATACATTGTTGTTTTATTTGTTTCTATGTCTATCTAATGGCCGGTCACTATTATAGAGATGATGCCAAAAGTGTATAGAGAAACCAAATCAAAAGAGAACCGCAACATCTTCCACATGTCCGAGCAAGTGCGGAACCAATAGAAATGATAGTAAAGAGGGTATCGAGGCGGAGGGGTCAGGGTCAGAGGTATGTTGGCTGTCCACATGGATGTTGCTTTTGGAGAAACACTTTTGCTATCGAACATTCAACCACAAACATGGCAAAATTACTCGCCGCGCACCTTGCGGAAGAAGTCCATGACACCAGTGAAGACAACAAGCAGGATACCACCGCCAGGGCCGAGACGCAGCACCTTAGGAGTGAAACCCTTGTACAGGGCTGAGAAACCTTCCTCCTTGATGACGGTGCCAAGAGCAGGCCAGGCCCAGTTGTACTTAGGAGTCTGTCCGGCGACCTTGCTGGTGTTCTGGATGCGGGACTTGACCACGTCCATAGGGGTGTTGAGGATAGTACCGGTGATACCACCGATGGTACCAGCAATCAGGTCATTGCGCATCTGTTCGTTCTTGTTGCCGGGTGTGGCGGCAGGCAACTGTGCGCGCACCTGGAAAATACAGCCGAAGTAGCCAGCGTTCCACAAGATGTGACGCCACATGGTTGACTCCAGACCGTTGTACATGGCCAGAGGGCCCTCGGCCGCCACGATCTTCCGCACAACGTCGAGCATGCCGTTGTACTTGTGTGCCTGGGCCTTGTCTTGCAAACGAATCTTGACCAGCTCAAAGGGAACAACCACGAAGGCCTCGGTGGCTCCGGCGGTGGCACCGGTCAAAGTGGCTAGGCCTTGGGTCTGCTTCTCAACGCCGAAGAGGTTGCGGTAGAAGGCGCCCCAGCTGTCGTTGGCAGCGAACTTGGTCGCACGCTTGGGAGCCTCCATCAGGATGGGGGCGGAGATACCACGGTACAAACGTGAGGCACTGTACACATTGTCACAGGTTAGAGGGGAGCTTTAGGCTGGTTCGTCGGGGGAACGACATACCCCTCGTTCTTGACGATCTTACGGAAGCAGTCGAACATGCCATTGTAGTGATCCACACCGGCAACAGCGGGTCCTGTCTGGAGCTGACTGCAAAGAAGAAAGATCGTTAGCCCGTGTCACAAGAGGTCAAAGCTTGTTGCGACCGGCGATTGGCTTACATTCGAGTCTTGAGCACGTCCAAAGGGTACCTGCGAGGGACAGATTGTCAATTGCGTCCGATTTTCACACCACACCAAGTTCATTTCCAACAGAAGCTGGTATGCGACCAGCGGAAGAAGCGGAGAGGGCGTACATGACCAAGATCTGCTCGTGCGGGGAGAGACGCATTAGTGACCGGAGCAACTTGTGGGGGTTTCCGACACGACGAAGCGCGTCGATATGACTTTCCAAAGCGGGGAACACATACCTCTGAGACACCAGCCACCGCACCGGCGGCGAACTGGTAGACGAAGGGGAGGGGCTTGGGGGGAGCGTCGGACATGATGGCGGCTCAATAACTGCGGCAATGTCAGCGTCGGTGTCAGAATTGAGATCGCAGATTGATTAGAAAGGAGAACTCTGCAATTGAATCGCTATAGACCTACTTACAAGACCCGAGATAAACAAGTGTTGGAGAATGAAGAGGTGAGGAGAAGAGAGGAAGTCGGCCGGTGTCGGCAAGACCCGGTGAGTAGCTCCGAGTGCAGCAGCCGGTCAGCCTTCCGCCTGTTGATTTACCCCGTGAACTGCCGTCGATTACTAAACCCCGTGGGGTGGAATGCTTCTGTAAATTTCACATTCCAGGCTGAATTTGGCTTATATTTAGGCTGTTTTCGGTCTGAGACTCTTTTACTTTCATTTGTTTCGTTGCCGCTCATGTCTCATGTCCTCGTGTTTTGATTTTCACATTCACCAACACATCCCCATACTAATCCCAAACATCATCCCCAACATCATCCTGCCAACCCGCAGCATCACACCATCACTACTTGTCGTTTCTGCCTTGGCGACAGTCGTCGCAGCCGCAGTGTCAGTTGCTGTGCAGCTAGTGCCACAGGCGAATCCCACGGGACAACATCCTCCACCTACTGTGTCGGCACAGTGAAACCAGCCCCTGGCGCATTGGTTTCCGCCAGCTGGTCCCGTCGGTGTCGCGACGGGAGCGACAATCGTCACGCCATCTGATACAATGGTAGTCGAAACTGTGACTGGGCAGGAGGTTGTGTCGCAGTCTCGTCCCGTGCGACAGCAACCACCGTGGTAGACGGCGGAACAGGCGTAGAACCCAGTCGGACAGACATCGTCGCCGCGAGTAGCGCTCGTCACAGTTGAGATGCCGGTGGGACGGTCTGGCGGTGCCAAGCTGTCATTGGTAGTAGTAGACTGGCTACTGTGCGTAGTGGATGTCGAGGAAGAACTAGTGGTGGAAGCACTGTTCTCCGGCTTGGTCGAATAGGTCACTGTCGACAGCATGACCGTCGAATGAATTGTTACCGTGATGACAGTAATGTACACACCTACTCGAGTAATTAGTAAATCATTCTGCCATGGATAATACCAATGAAGGACACAAAATAATAGAAAACTCACATCCCCCTTCAACACAATCATACCCTGGAATACAACACCCACCCCCCAATTCCTGTGAACAAGCTGTATACCCATTCTCACAAGACCCGATCATCCCTGAACATTTCTTCCAGCTAGGACAGCAGCCCACAGTGCCGTGCCCTGTATCAGCGACGATCTCGCACGTCTCCCCGGACCCACAGCAGCGATCAGATCGCCCGATGGATGTGCACGCCCACGTTCCGAGCGGACACATGAAGTTCCGTGCTGCGAAAACATTTCTCGCGTACCCGCTATCCTGTCGAGGAAGTAATCCAGCGTCTGTATCTGAGTCTAAGGAATAAGACGGCCCGAACGGGTACGATTGGGCGACAAAGTGCGCCGGGGAGAACCCTTCCATGTCAGAAGCGTGCTGTTCAGATACGTTGCCTGATGACGGGGTTGTAAAATCCCAGTAGTCAAGGAAGAATTTCTCGCCTTCGTCGGCGCTCATTTTCTTGACCCCGCGGGGTGGTGCTGTTGCGAGTTTGGATGATATCTCCGCATTGCGCCGCAGGATGAGTTCCGGTTGTGGTGATGGTGTATCAGTGGCTTTGGACTGTGGATCTGCTGGAGGTATTGTAATCTCTGCATGCGCTGAGACTGGAAATTGGGGTAGCGATAGAAGTAAAGGCAGCACTTGGAAGAGCTGCATGCTGTCGCTGAGTATTGCCACCAAGATAGGTCCTGGGCTTGCTCCGGTTGAGACTAGTGGTAATAGTCGGGCACGAAGCTAGTAGTCAAGCAATGGTCCCAAAGCTGTCCCACCGAAGCTGTGGATGAGTTGGTTGGGACTGAAATTTGGAGTTGGACTGGGGGCTTCAGTCGTATGGAGATGTCAATTGATGGGCTAGGTTGAGAGGTATCAGGCCGAGAGAATGCTGGTCGAACTGTCAGAGTAATAGCTATCATCGCAAAGCGCAGTGGGGTGTTGGGTTCTATGAAACAGCCAGGTCGGAATAAAGATGGCTGGTACATGGCTGGGAGAGGCACAGACCGCTACGCGTTACATGCAGGATAGCTAGTCACAAAGCAGCTAGTGGGGATATGCTTGATTCATGTTATTGAACAAGAGTTGCAGTAGGATTCTATAGGAGTCAAGATTCACTTCCTGTATAAATGGTATAGTACAGCTTAGTGTTACTACCACATGAAGAACCTCCCAGTAGTCCAAAAAAAGCCAATAGCGTCTACAATGTAAATGGAGGACCAAATGAGATTAGCACACCACAGCATGCGGAAGGGTATCGTCGCTAAATGGCATGAGGAGATCCGAAAACAGGTTGGAAGAGAGCGCTCGCGTAGGAAAGGCGCCAAAGGTATCAAGGGAAAGAAATGACATAAAGGAAGCCCAAGGCCCGATGCGACCTTGGATGCATAAACAAGTAAAGATGGAAGATGACCACGGTGTGAACCCGACTTCCAAACACAGGCCTCAAACAGAGGACTGGTCAGGGGAGGCATCTTCCTCCTCCGGCGCACTAGGAAGTGGCTTCTCCGACTCCGCAGAAGGCGACTTGGGCCCTTCTGCCTTTTCCTCCCCATCTCCATTTTCGGGAGTCGTCTCCGATTCGTCTTCTTTCTGCCCACCGTCCTCTCCACCCTCCTGGTTTTGTTCCGCTCCCTGCGCCGCAGCGGCTTCCGCCTCCGCCTTCTCCATCTCAGCATTACGGGCCTGCTGCCGTTCCCAAACTTCCTTGCGGATGCGGTCGTCCTTCGCAGTACGAAGACGCTCCGTCTCTTCGACACCGCCGCTCTTCTTCAATTTACCTTCGCCGACAAACGCGCCCAGTTCCTTCTGGAAGAGGCCAATGCGTCTTGTCTCGAGCTCCTTCTTCCGTGCTTTCTCGGCTCGCTCGATGGCCTCAAGCCGACTTTCGTGGTTGGGCTGCAGAGCACGGACTTCGCCGAGGACGCCGTCCTTCGCCTTCATGGGATCAATGGTAGGGTCAATATCAAGGGTTCTGGACGCGGCACGGACACTGGTGCCGCCGGTTGCGTTGGTCATGACCTGCTCCTTGGTCGCTTGCTCCACCAGGGCAAAGGTCTGAGTGGCCTTCTCGAGATCGTCTTGCAAATCAGCGGCCAGGTCTTCCTGCATAGTGAGCTGATCACGTTCTTCGCAAACGAGCTGCAGCTCCTTCTCCCAGATTTTGGTCCAGATAGGCTTTTCGCGGCCCAAGAAGTCTTGCATTTTCTTGATCTCTTTCATCACACTGCTAATATCACGGCTTACACCCTCCAGTTGTCTTGGGAGAGGGCGAACGCCACGAGTGACGACGTCCTTACGAAGATCCTCAACCAAGTCTTGGAGATCATCGACGCGAGCCACCAGTCGCTCCGATTCAGCTGCAAGTTCCTTCTTGCCAGTGTTCACGCGAGCTCGGCCAGCGTCGCCTTCATAGGAAGGAGTTGCGACGTCAACAGCAGCACTTTTAACCTTGCTTGCCTTGGCACGAACGGCACTCATCGAACTAGTGATATCGGTAGTGAAGTTGGAGTATGTCTGTCGCAGTACAGCCAAGTCCCGGCGCAAACTCTGTAGTTCCGCGATTTGACTTCCGCTGCCGGACACCGATCCCTTGACAGTTCCTCCAGTGGCCGTCGGGGGAGCAGCAGCCAAGCGAGCAATCTCTTTCGCAGCCTCAAGCTGGCGATCTGACACTCGTTGGATGATATTTCCCTGCCCCGAAAGCGCGTCCTTGAGGCCTTCCACAAGGGAACGCACACTTCCAAGACTGTCATCGAAATGTTTCTTAACCTCGTCGAGGTTGTCCACATTGAGGACCAACACAGAACGATCTTTGACGTCGTTCAAGTCTTCTAGCTCATGTCGAATGCCAGAAATTGGGTCTTGGATGTAGATTTCGGGCAAATCCACGCCATTGTCGTGGGTGTTCCAAGCAAACTTCTCGATGAAAGCAAGCTGAAGTCGTCCGATGGTAAGATCTGCAATGCCTTCTGGAAGCACGTACTTCTTGATCTTGCTCTTATATTGTAGGAAGAGCGTGAGCTCTTTGCCCGGTGAGGGTTGCTCGGTAGCGAATTGGGGAATCGAGGGAGGTGTTGCGATCTGGGCGGAGGGTCCGAAGATGTCTCCCTTTGGTGTTTGAGGCGCTGGCTTTTCAGGCTCAAAAGCATCATCGAGCATGGGCTTATCTTGGGGTTGGGCAATGATGGGAGAAGGAACGATCGCAGATGCGGCGGAGTCGTCTTTCGACTCAGGAGCGTGCGGTTCGCGAGAGGCTCCGGGTTCGATACCATGCTCTTCCAGTGCAGGCGCTGCAGGTGGTGCGGTGCGTTCTTCCTCCACCACATCCGGAATAGTGGTCGGTGGATGCACCTGTGCAGTCTTGGCAGCCTCCTGTAAGCGATTGTTGGATCTCTGTCGAGTATGAGTATATGAGCCGCGCAGACGAACTGCGTTCAAGGATTCGCGGACATCACGACCGCGGTTCGGGATAGGAGAGTTCTGGGTAGGCAAGACAGGAACACCGTTGGTAGATGTGCCGAGGTGCTTCTGGATTTGATAGGCAGAGAACCGACGCGAGGCACGTCGCTCCAGCTCTCCACTTCGCTGCAAAGCCCCCAACGCATCATCCTCTTTTGGCGGAGGCGGTGGTGGAGGTGCAGGGAATCCAGTGGGTGTTGTGTATACAGAAGGTGCAGTCGTATTCGATGTGTTGGCTCGAGGTGTTGTGTCATTATCAAAAGGTTGGGACAGCATTTGCTGGGCCTCCCGCCGCGATGATTCTCTTTCCGCATGGCTTGATGTCCGCGTATCCGTCGCCGAAGGTGCCGAAGAAGTTCTAGCCACGGTCGTTTGGTCCTCCAGAGACCCGCTGCTACCATAACGTCGGTTCGATTTCCTGGGGGATTGCGCCGTTGAGGGCATGGTAGACGCTGCGGCCTCGTCATACAGCTGACCAATTGCCTGCCCACTGGCGATGCTCCCAGCACTGGCCTGCCGTCCGGGCATAGGCCGGCCATCCTCACGTTGGTGCCGGGACCTTAAGCGTGCTTGCTTTTTCTTCAGGCCGTGTAACAAGTTAATAATTATATCTCGGATTCGGGGCAGGTATCGATCGAGACTCTGGGAGGATGCATCTTGACTGAGGGTGTCTTCTAGAATGGTGCGGAGCAGGTCAGGTACAGGGCCTAAGTCTGAGGTGTCGACTCCGATGGCACTGAAAGCCCGACAAGCCAAGTTGAATTCATAACCCAATCGCACGTATACATCCGACACATCATTCTCCGTTGCTTGTTTGCGAGACCATTGTGTAAGAGTTTCGAGCAGTTGTTTTGTCGCGACTAAGAGATGTGTCACGCTCTTTTCGATCTGGGATATTTGCTTATCGGGCTGTGGGGTGGGGGAAAGAAAACCCCATTCATTAGCCACTGCCATGCAAGCAATAGAGAGGTAACCAGCGACCTACCTGATTCTTGTTCGGCTGTGATCGAGAGGAGGCAGAGGAACTGCGGCCGGACTGCTGGGAAGCCATGGGTACGTCGGCGCTCGCAGAACCCGATCGATGCTGAGGAGATGTCTGTTGGGCGGAGGGTTCAGGGTAGGGGAACTGGGTTCTTGACGATCCTGGAGACTGCATAGGTATGATAGGCTATATCACCGAGGATATGAGGCCAGAAGGTGAGAAACAAGTCAGAAGCAAGCGAGGGTGCCAAGCATGCGTGAAGATGATGCCCAGCCTCCTGTCAATTTGGGCACCTTACCGCGTCTGAACCGGTGATCCGCTGTGTTTATCGGGCCGATACCATTGATACCGTAGATTACTGTATAGGCCTGTAATGATGTACACGGGACTCTGGCCAACGCGTTCCTGTTGCAGTTGGGGGTTCGTAGTTGGTACTTGGGAAGCATTGACTATTGAAGTGAAGGTCAATGGCATAGTCTCACATGATTATTACCTGGTGAGACTAAACACATCAACACTTCTAAAGACTTCTACGCACCTTAAGAGCTTTCACCTTACCACATCCACTGATAACTACCCGTGATAGCCCTTCTCCACTTCCAATGTTGACTCCATGTTTCACTCGGAGTGACATTTCTCTTTTTTCTCTCGGTCCACAACATTGGCTTATGGCATTGTCTTGGAAGTGATAACCAGTGCTGTGTGGTGGAAAGGTAAGACCGTAAGAGAGAGTCGCTGATAAGAGAACCCCAGGCACATACACAAGCGAGCTTCAAGCTACTAACAACATGGATTGTGGGGTGCTACCCAATCTGAGGTCGAGGACACTGAACTACTGTAGGTTTCAAGTATGTAGGCTATGAAAGGTCAAATCTCATTTGAATGGTTCATGAATTGAAGCCCTAAGGCCAGTGAAGGCTATGAATGGATGACAATACAGTTGATTTCACTAGGCGATGTATCTCCATGCAGGTTCTGTTGTTTCTATTGGTAACTAGTTCAACCATTAGCTGTCTTATGCATGGAAAAGATATAGATCCAATTAGATTTAGAATTTCTTGCGTTTTCACCCTACATCGCACAATGGCAATAATGTAGTTGGTATAGCTTTAGCCAGTGTACTGTGTAAGTGGGCAGTAGGAGGAGGGGTCAGCTGGAGTCTGGACATGGAGCTACCTCAGCGTGACCCGTACTCTCGGTGGAATTGACAATTGGCCTATCGTAGGGTTCGAACCATCTGAGAATACCTCATAACGAAATAAACGAACCTGATCTTTCAATATACGGAAGAAAAATAGCGAGAAATGAAAAATACGAAGAAAAGAAATGGAAAAGCTAAATGAATCGTCGAGTAAAGACGAAGGTGTATGTAACACAAAATAGTTTACCATACGCGTGACTTCCCTTCCCTTCTTTCCTCCCATCTCCGTAAACTTGCGAACAACCAGCGTTTGTGTGTCGACCTTTCTATTTTGAGCTCCTTCTGTTCTCTGTTCTTTTCTTTAATTCCTCTTCCATCGTTCTTACCACCATTGAATATTCCGCGTGACTTCACGGCTGATCCCCTCGCCCGCTCTAGTCCGCCCACCCCCTCCTCCACTTTCCGTCCTGTTTGTGCAGGCGGTGTGTTGTGGCTTCGTGCCTCACCCTCGCGGCTTTCCGCGCTGTGAAGTTCCACGACGCAAGCTTGCCCTGACTGACACCAAAGTCAATCAATGGCTTCCGCTCTCAATTCTGTGCCGGCCAACAATGCGTCTGGCAATGCCAACGCAGCCCCAAACCCTGGCCGATCTACCCTGAGATCCAGCAACAGCACCAAGGGGTCTGACAACCGACGACAATCGGGCAGCCCTAGTGATGGCGGACAACGGTAAGTTCCACTACTTTCAGCTCCTTATAATCCACTCCCCTTTTCATCCGGATCCAAGAATCCCAAATCCCATCTGGTGTTCTGGTCGCACACCCTTCCCTTGTCTGAGCGATTGACCTCGTGCACGTCCCTTGAGCTGCTAAGCTTTGTTGCAGGCCTGCATCGGGTTGTGCGCCAACAAGGGCCAATTGAAGATGTTGGAGTTGATAACGACCATGCTTTTCCTTTCTCTGTTGGTCGATTGACTGGTCGCTAACGCAATCATGTTCTACTGCATAGGCGCACAAACTCCCACAAAGCTTGGACCCAAGGGACCAACCCCATCACTCAACGATCTTCATACTCCCCATCCAACGCCAACATGACCCACCAGAGACAGACTGGCTCCCCCAGACCTAACCAGAAGGAGTCAAACACTGCCGACAGCCATGCCCATGATCGCCTGCTATTCTTATTCGCCAGCTTCATTGTAAGCCCAATCGGCCTATTGAGCTGTCAACTGAGTTCTAATCGATTGATGTAGGGTTTGCAAACTACCATAACGACCAAGACTGGAGAGAAGTTTACTGGTATTTTCTCTTCATCGACCATGGAGCCCAACGAAGTCTCGTTCCTGCTCAAGATGGTCCAGCGGGTTCCGCAAGAGGGCCAGACTCGAGCGAACGGCGTCAGCGATGTCGCAACCCCGTATCTGGGCCCCGCGCCCGAACATATCATGTCATTCGATATCAAGGACGTTGCCGATATTTCTGTTCCAAACGTTACCACGGCGGAGGTTTCGGCCAAGGACTCAAACGGTATGGGTAGCTTTATTCTCCAAGATCCGTTTGTATACATGCTAATCCGGCCTACAGGTGCTTCCCAGGGCTTCAGAACCGACAGCGATATCTCCGGAAACCTAGCCATGCGCGAGCGCACCTTGCAGCGCTGGCAGCCTGCGGAGACTGATGTCGATATGTCATTGGAGACTAGCAACAACGCTACGGGCTGGGATCAGTTTGAGGCAAACGAGCGTCTTTTCGGCGCTAAGACCAATTACGATGAGAACATCTACACTACTCGCCTCGATCGTTCCGATCCCAACTACAAGCAAAAGCAAGCGGAAGCAGCTCGCATCGCCCGTGAGATTGAGGGCCAGGAGGTGGACAATTCACACATGCGCGAGGAACGCGGCCTTGTTGTGCCGGATACTGGAGAACTCGACGAAGAAGACAAGTACAGTGGTGTTCGGCGCGAAGAAAAGGGCTTCCCTCCCTTGGTCTCTGGCCAGCCGAATAAGTACATGCCACCTGGACGCCGCCAAGCCGCTCCCCAGCCTCCTGCGGCTGCCGCTTCTATTTCAAAACAGAACGTGCCTTCCCCTGCTCCAGGGGCTCCGATTCCCACCCCGGTTCACACTCCGACCCCAAATGTTGCGAAGGATACTCCTCCTTCGGACAAGCAACCTGACCCGGTCACATCACTACCGGTGCCGGCAAACACCGAGTCAAAGAATGTCGCCGGCCAAGGTGTCACCGCGAGTGCATCCGCTGCGAAGCGTGCTGTGCCTGAAAACGCGACCGCCAACGTGGGGGCGGAGGTGCTGGATCATTTCCGCCAGTTCGCAAACAGTGAAAAGATCAAAATACAGGAGCGCCGTCGGAATCAAGCCTCATTCGACCGGACGATGAAACTCAACGAGCTGTTGAAGTTCTCTAAGAGCTTTAAACTCTCTACCCCTGTGCCCAAAGACCTTGTTCCTATCCTAGCCAAGGACCGGGTTAAGCAGGAAGCTATCATGCAACGAGCTCTGCAGCAAGGGGACGACAAGGCCAGCCCGAAGATTGCGCATCCATCCACTGAAACCACCGAACAAAAGCCCACCGCTCGTGGCGTGGGGCCTACCGGAGCAGTACCCCCATCTGCGCCCGCTGACCGCCAGAACTACAACCGCGCTCGCCAGGGCTATCCTCCGACTGGACCGCTCGCTGGCCGATACCCCCAGCAAACTATTCCGCCGGGTCGTCCGGGCGTCGGCATGCTCAGTCACCGACTTGCTGACAATCTGCAGCAACGAAAGGGGGCCGGCATGGGACCTGTTCCCACTCCTCTGCCCATCCAAGATGCTCGCGTACCCCCGACTGGCCCTGCAAGCGACCAGCAGAGGATAACTAGCCCTGGCAAGTCGCAGGTCGCATCTTCCGCAACGGCCAAGTTCAACGTTAAAGCCATGGAATTCAAGCCGAACCCAGCGGCGAGCACTTTCACCCCTGGTGGTACCTCCGTCGCTACCCCAAGCGCACGGTCATTCTCTCGCAATCGCTCTGTGTCCCGCGCGACAACGCCGACTGCATTCTTCGGCCCGAGGAAACCCCTGCCGATCTCGGAACGACCCTCCATTGGCGATCAGTTCAACCCTATCAAGCGCATGAAGAAGGAGAGCGCCGAACAGACCGATAAGTCATTCGGGCTCATAGGAGGCATTCCCCCGCCCTACAAGACATTGCCAACCTGGGATGCTGCGGAGGGCAGCGAAGAGAAGACGTACGATCAGATGTTCAAACAGCCGCTCGGCGTGCACTCTGTATCGCCCCAAGGCCGGTCAACCTCCAACAACAGCAACGTCTCCCAGCAGCATCTGGTACCCTTCCCATTCCAGCCAGGTACCCCTGGTATGACCCCAACCTCTGGTCCCCCACCCCACATTCACTCGCAGGGCCCGCATAACCCCTCCCACGTGGATGATCACCACCGCATGCAGCTCTCCACCTCGAACTCCCAGGTTTTCCCGTCTCCACGTCTACAGCATGGATATCCGTCCCCAATGGCGCCTCACAATGGCCAGCTTGCGTTCGGGCAGCCGATGGGGCAGTTCTATGGTGGGCCACAACCCGCCCACATGAGACCTTTCCAAGGTGGTGGCCCGCAGTACGTGAATGGCGCTCCTCTCATGGTGCAGCAAGCCTCCAGCGGACCTTACATGGGAGCTCCACAAGGAATGACACCATATAACGGCCAAATGCCTATGTACTCCCCGAACCCGGGTCACGCTTATCCCCAACATGCACCGGCACCTCAGCCACATAGCGGGTACCCGAGCCCGAGCCGCGGTGCGCCAATGATGATGCATCAGAATTCCCAATCTGGTCAAGCTCAGCCCATGATGTTCATGCCCGGTCAACCAGGATATCCCCAGCAGCCACCACATAGTGAGTTTGAATGCGGACCCCGATCTAGTACCTTCAGTTTTTAACCGATATCAGTGCCACCCAACCGTGGCAGCTATCCCCAGCAGCCTCATTTTTCTTCGAGTCCCCACCAGTCACACCACTTCCCTTCCAACCAGCATCGGACACCGAGTAATGGATTCAACCAAATGCCTCAGATGCCAACTCAGATGTCTGCCAACACCCCCGCATCCACCCCTGGAGCTGCCCATCCAGGCGATGCAACGGAAGAAGGAAAATGAAATACATGGATCAGGAAGCATGTCGGCCGTTCTCTCAAATGAAGCACATCTTATCACTCCGCTGAGACTAGCGAGCAATTGCATTGTTGGCAAACGATCCACTCGAATACCACAGCTCCTCGCCCTTAACCGCATTCTCATTTGTTTTTTTGCCGTCATCGACGTGCTCTACAAAACCTCTGAATTTGCGGCTAATCCAATGTTTTCTCAGGCCTCTCCCTCAGTGCCTCTCACAGTGCGTCTTCAGCCCCGCAGAGCATCAAGACATCGACTAACCCTTCTCCTAGTTATGATGGATCGGTTTATGAGTGGTGCCTATCTCTTTTCCAGATCTCGGTCTGGAGATGTACATGGAAACCGACTATTCAGGAGCTGAAAAATCTTGATATTGGTCGGTTGATATCCAGCTTTGCTCATCGTCGTATGCCCACCTAGTGTGCAACCCCTCCATACCACGATCGAGTCGAGTTCTTGAGAATCCCTCCTGAACTGCAATGGTTCCTTTTTCGATTTTCTATTATCCTGTCTTGTCCTTGTTCTTATATGTTTCTTACTCTTGCCCTCTTCTGATGTGTTCGTCGGAGGTCTGCCGGGCCCCTCGCGGGTTCACAGAGTCTTCGCTGTGGATGAATGTGAGGTCTGCAAAATGGGGGTCGTCTTGGCAATGAGACAAATGTAGGGTGGTAAGGTGTGGGTAGATCGGTGGTGTGGGGAGGAAACGGAAATGTGGAGGTTCAATGGATTGAAGATGGATGGGCCTGACATGAAGATAGCTCTAGATCACATCGCCAACAACATAAGGGTGTTGGTATTTGTATCTCCCCTACCTCCAATGGAATTGTCACATCAATCAATCAAAGTTCTATTAGTCAGGCTGTTGGAGCCTAACTAGTATCGTAATGGTCATACAGGTGCTTTTTGCCAGATGAGGCAAGAACTCTTGTTCAGCATGTTGAAATTGAGCAAGGCCGGTATGATACTTGATATCGGCAGACAAAACGGTGCCGAAAGCCAGCCATATCGCTATACAACCCCGAAAGCTACGCCCCAGCTCAAGCCCAACAAGAATCAAATCATCGACACAACGTAGAAACCTATGGCAGATATTAGCAATGTCTTCGCGTCAACCAGACCATGAGTTAAGTGCGAAGGGAACTATCTCCTCAGGTATTTTTCAAGTGTCATCATCCAAGATCACAGACTCCAGACATCAACCAAAGCGGTGCTTTATCCCATTGCGAACCCCCTCAACCCACGCCACGGCCATAAACAAGCCCCAGCATGAACCCCAAAAACACCACCAAGCATCACAAAAATCGACCACCCCCAGTCCATACCTCAACCAATATGTCGCCCTCTGTCTCCCAACTTCCAAACCCCCATTGCAGCATCCCTCTTCACAGTGCAGATGATGAAGGAAAGAGAAGAGTGGAGAAAATAGCAGCTAGAGATATCATCCCAAGCAGTCAAAGTAGTCTCGAGACTGGAGAAGTCCGAATCCCACAAACAGCAGAACGCTGCCCACAGTATCCGAACAACCAAGACCTCGCCGATGAGCGCCATAAGAACGAAACCCCCAAACCGCCTAGTCTCGTACTCCCCCGATCCTTGGCCCTGGTACCCTTTACGCCACAGCCATTGGTCGCCGACCGTCCTCACGGAAGCGAAGCGGACAGGCAACCCCAAATAGCGGCGCCACCTCCCCTATTCCCAAGCTTTCGTGCACGTAGACTTAGCATAGCACACGCCCGCCACCTAACAGACCTCAGGGTTTAGGCCGAGGGGGACCTTAGAGAAGCTCCACCGCAATAACATGGTTATTGCAGTGATTGAGTCGCCAAGGCCTCAGTGGCGAGGATGCACCAGGTCTAGCTCCTACCGGCAAGGGACGAGGGAGGTGAAAATGTACACGACGACTCCCAGTGATCCAGTACGCAAGCTTTTTTGTTTCGGCAAGGCTTTAAGCCATAGGTCTGTGGCTAGGATCGGGCTATTGCTAGCCTTGGAAGATTGGTTGTGCTCTGTTGTGTCGAGGGGGAAATGCTGTTTTGTGGAATTGGTTGTTGAGCTTCGAAGTGTCGAAGAGAGGGGTTATAGTATTTGGTATAGACACAGCCTGCAAACATTGCGTTCGGGACTGCTCCTCGTAGACGTTGTGCGTCTAGTTGGAGAGGGATGGGTGATCTCTGCGCGCTTGGTTGTGGCCGAGATTGTCCGGAACCAATTTGTGGTGTTTTGCGTGGGTTTTGGAGGTTGCGGGAGTACCATCTTTTGGATGAGTGGTTTCTGGTGTTGTAGTCTTGCTCTGACCTTTTACCAGATGTTGCATCATTGGAGAGGGCGACTGAGTCGCTGGGAATAGGGGTATGTAGGGTGGAGGGAACTGCAAAACTTACCGTGATGATTTAGTCGATGCAGGTGGGACTGAGACTGTTGTGGTGAGTAGTCGCTGGAAAGTAACTGATGTAGTGAAAGGACCGTAAGCTTCAGAATATTCAGCGACAAAGATTAGACGCGTGGGACGGTGGCATAGGAAGGATGAAGCACAGAAGGGGAATTGTGGCTTTTATGTTATGAACATATGGCGGCCTGAGGCATTGATGATTATCGCGATAAGGCGGGGTGAAAGGAGTTCGACATCTCGAAGTGTCTGGTTCTCCAGCATACAAGAACACTGTATACAATCTGCGGTGATTCACAGTCACATATTCGGCCTGCTAGCCTCATACTGAAAACTGGCTGCTTCAAGACCCTTTCGCAAATTGGCCGCACCCACTCGCGCATCACCGAAACCCCAAACAATCCCCGACCTGCCACATCGACCATACCGCGGCCATGGATTTTCTCAAATCCGCCATCGGATCTGCCATTGCGAAGGGCGGCGGACTACCATTTTCTCTCGGAGATAGGGTCGACGTCGGTGATTCAGTCTGGGCACTGCACAACGGTACGAAACGGGTACGGTGGCTTGTTGGCTCTTACTTCCATGCGGGACGGACTTCAATTGCTGACGATCTCATGGCACATATAGGATGACGGTTCCGCTTGCAGCATTTTTGCATTTGAGATCAATGCGAACAAGTCGCGTCTCCCTCTGGCGAAAAATGCTGTCCGCAAGTCTAGGACGTTACGGCATCCCGGCGTTATCAAGGTTTTGGATACGATCGAGGTATATTTGGCTCTGACTGGTCCTCTGGTCCGACGATCAAGCTGTGGTGCAGAAGCTTACGAATACACAGACGGAGCATAATCTTTATATCGTCACGGAACGGGTCGTGCCTCTCAGTTGGCCGGTGAAGAGGAGGAGCTTGAGCGAGGAGACTGCTAAGTGGGGGTTGTATACTGTGGCGGTAGGACAATCTTCGGAGTCTGTTGCTTTGACGTTGCTGACGAGACATTCTCGGGACAGTCTACACTCAAATTTATCAACGATGATGCATCCTCGGTCCACGGAGCTGTGCGCGCATCCTCGGTGTTTACAAGTGAGAGCGGCGAATGGAAGCTAGGAGGGTTTGATATCTTGAGCTCTATGAAGGAGGACGATGCGATTATCTATGTAAGTCTCCCGGCTCTGGTGTGTTGAGAGACCGTTATGAAGTAAATTGAAGCTGACTTATGCGCAGACATACGGAAGTAGCGTGCCAGACGCTGCTCGATACACACCACCGGAGGTGGTGAAAGGAGGATGGGATACCATTAAGCGCAATCCTCTAGCTGCAGTTGATGCCTACGGGCTGGGAATCTTGATCTTCGAGGTTTTCAATGGGGGCTTCTCAGGCGGCGATCAAGCAGGCAAGACAACGAACATCCCACCCAGCATGCAGCAGAGTTATAAGCGTCTTTGTACTGCCAACCCAAAGCTTCGATTAAGCCCGGGCCATTTCGTTGAGCAAGGAAAGAAACACGGCGGTTTCTTCCAGACACCACTTATTCGGATGACTGAAGACATTGAGAGCTTGGGTCTAAAGAGTGATGCTGAGCGCGAAGAATTCATTAAGTGCGTATACTTTCGAATGCTCGCTCCGAAGTTGTCGTCTAACATATTGATTGCAGTGAGCTTGATAATCTCTCCGGAGACTTTCCAGAAGACTTCTTCAAAATGAAAGTGCTCCCTGAACTACTCAAGTCTGTTGAGTTTGGCGGTGGTGGACCAAAGGTCCTTGCAGCTACTTTGAAAATTGGAGCAAAATTGTCGGCGGACGAGTTCAACATCAAGTTAACACCTGCTATTGTGCGCCTGTTTGGCAACCCAGATCGCGCATTGCGCGTCTGCCTCTTGGATAATCTTCCATCAATGATCGACAACCTTCCGCAGAAGATTGTCAATGACAGGATCTTCCCTCAAATGGCAAGTTCCTAGATTCTCGGGCATTTGCATCGTGCTGACAAGTTCTAGACTTCTGGTTTCACCGATGTCGCCCCGGTGGTTCGAGAACAGACAGTGAAGGCTGTCCTAACGATCATCAACAAACTCAATGACAGAATTGTAAATGGAGAACTGTTGAAGTTCCTTGCCCGTACTGCTAACGATGAGCAACCTGGTATCCGAACGAATACTACAATCTGCCTTGGTCGGATCGCTAAGAACCTAGGGCAAAGTGTGAGGCGATTTCTACGTTCATGTTAGGACCAGCGGCTGACCTCTTGCAGACTCGCTCCAAGGTGCTTATTGCGGCGTTCACCAGATCCATTAGAGACCCCTTTGTACACGCCCGAAATGCAGGACTGTTGGCTCTGGCCGCGACCAGCGATGTCTTCACAGAAGAAGACTGTGCTGTTAGGATTCTACCTGCCATCTGCCCTGCACTTTTGGATAAGGAAAAGTAAGTCTTGCCAGTGCTTGTTACCAGCCTCCGGCACCATCCTAACAAGTAAACAGATTGATCCGAGACCAAGCGAACAAGACACTGGACCTGTATATTCAACGCGTACGAAAACATGCCAGCACGATGCCGGCAACCATGATACCCGCTACCGCACCCACAGAAGCCAACAAACCGGAGGCTCGTGTTGGAACCCCTAATGACAACTCCTGGGCTGGTTGGGCCATCTCATCATTCACTAACAAGATTGCCACTGCCAACGGCGAGATCGAACCCACGACCAGCAATGGCAAGGCCGCCGATGCAGAAATTGCACGCCCCGCATCAGTTCCTCGCCCCGCCAAACCAACACCCTCCACTCAACATGAACTCCTGAGCCAAACACTTCGTCCCCCAAGTCAGCCCTTGAACCGGTCAATGTCAGACCGCCCAGCGCCGGTCACCCACGACAACGGACCCGAAGAAGAGGGCGACGACGTCTTCGACGCCTGGGGTGCCATGGATGATGACTTTGAAAATGATGTAGATGGCTTCACTGCTGCTTTGGCCTCCTCTAAAACCACCTCTCCCGTTCCCTCATCGACAAAGGCCCCTGTGGTGCCCTACGATGGCGGCGGCGAACCGGATTTTGCCGGCTGGCTGGCCGCCAAATCTCAGACAAAGGCTAAAAATCCCCTGTCAAAGGCCTCCACCAAGACCGTGTCTACCAACAGCGGTGCCACACGTTCTACGGCGAGCACGGCTAAGCCTCGGACTGTGGTTGTGCCTAAGAAGATTGATACTAAACCCAAAAATGAAGAGGTCGATGATGACTGGGGAGATGCTTGGGACTAATCCTGGAATATATCTTGCTCTTATTTTGGCTCAGCGTTCCTATACCTCGTCTAATGGAAGTTTTCTGTGTCAATATTGGACTACCTTGGCACTCAAGGAATTCTAGATTCCACCTTATCCGACAGAGGTCAGATGGTGCAACGATGATACCCGTGTATTCACTCCCAACCTATATATCCATTACCCAATACGAAGATCAACCTTAATGGCACGGCAGGCACCGGTAAATCCCACATTATGGGCATCATCTCTATGGAAGCAGTCGAACACCCAGTACCCACCTAGCTGATCTTGCCGTTACCTTCGCCGCCCATCCTGAGACTCTGAACACGGAACACGAAGCAATGCCATGTCTACAGTCTCGCACTCTCGTAGTAAGCCACTACTTCAAAAATCAGGCAGAATTTTTGGATCATGTGATACATATAGTCTGAGCCTCTGAGGATATAGGTTGAGATAATGTCGCATTACCCCCGGGGGCCGGGAAACAGCTTCCTACTTCCTAACGTCCCGTGACCTGGTTCTGTGCACACTTCACGTGTTAAAAGGACGCTCACCGCAGGAAACAATTATCCTTGCTGTTAAGGGGTAGCTATACAAAGCTGATGGCTAGGTAAGAAGATAATAAGATGTGGAGTTCAGATAAGAACAAACAAACAGTATAAATCAATGACAACACAATGACGACGATGAGGGAATTCCCTCATAGAACATGATAAATCTCTCATAGACAATCTGGCGATCCTTCAAGTGACATAATGAAATCGATGGTCAATCAAAGATCAGCTGTGATAAAACAAGATAATGCGGGGTCCGAGCCCTAAGATGATGGAAGACCGATAATCATCAGGATTCAGATCCATGATAATCCGGGGTCCCGTCCAAGATCATCCGGGTCCACGTCTACGATCATACAAGGCCTGGGCGCTAAGTGATGTGAGGGTCCCAAGAGGGGAACCCCGTAACACTTGCGCCCAAAACGAGACCCAGCACGGTTGCTCTGACAACGTCAAGTGCTTCAAGAAGGGCTCGTGGAAGTGGAAGGTCCTGGTCGTCCATATTGCATACAAAGACGGTGAAAACAAAGGGTGAGGAACAGGGGTAAAGAGCAAAGGGAAAGAACAAAAGGTAAAGGGGGAGGAATCCGGTTAAATATGAATCGATAACTCTAAGTGGCACTAAATTTGAGCGAACTAAGTGTCGGAATTCCAGGCCTTGATCCACTACGAAGGTGGCCGAGTATTGAAATTTCAACCCTCAGCTTACATGCTCCAGTTGAAATTGGATATGGCACTGTATTCGCCAGTTGCCGGCCGATAACGTCATCTGGACCCACTTTTGTCGACTTCGGGGTCATCCATAGCTGACTCGACTTCTTTTGCAGGGGAAAATATGATTCCAACCTTCTAGAAACAAATTGTCTAAATTTAACAGTTCTAGATAGATCAGGCTCGGTTTACTTTGTAACCTTTTTTCTCAGCTGGCCATATTGCCAGGGGATTGTTGGAATGACAATTTACTCCTGTTGTTCCTGTAGTCAACTGGCCAACTGCCCGCCAACTGGCTGATTCCCAATATCCAGCAACTAGGTCTTCAATATCCATTTAAACGAATATATCATTCTTTATTTGGTTTTAGAGCATATGAAAATGACAGATACATATCACAATCTGCCACGATGTGCGGAAACGCCAGAAGGACACTACAAAGAAAGCGGGACCTGAGCGCTTTATGTTACGAAGATCTCAGCCTTCCGAAAAGGCCTTCAAGCTACAATGCGTAACCGCCTCACTCAGCAGCTGAATCTACCGCGAACATACCCAGAATTCCTCAAGATAGCCCAGCAACTCACGGGCTACTCCTTCACCAACCATTCGAGCGCACCAACTCCTTCGAATGGTCACAACTCCGATCGGATGGAAATCGGAGCGATACAAGCTATGCTAACCGCCGCCGAGGCCAGCGATAGCGAAAGCAACTCACGGGCTATCTTGAGGAATTCTGGGTATGTTCGCGGTAGATTCAGCTGCTGAGTGAGGCGGTTACGCATTGTAGCTTGAAGGCCTTTTCGGAAGGCTGAGATCTTTGTAACATCCGGCCAATGCTGGCCTCTGGCCTCGTAAAGGAGACGTTCAAACTTGGCAATATAAGCGGCGAGGGACTCGTCGCCGCCTTGTCGAACGGAAAGGAGGCGGTCCTCTGCCTCTTGAACTTTATTCGGATTGTCATATACTCGTGGCTGTCGTTGTCACGCGCAGTTGCGAGCTGCGGCAAAACCATTGCTTGGACCTGGCTCGAGAGATTCATGTAAACATAATAGAATTGTGCTGTCGAATCTCCAATAGCTGGTCCGTCAATGGCGAGCTTTGCGCGGATTGGCAGCATCCCACGTGTCATATTTGACTATCGCACCAGTAAACTTTTCAGGATCGGGAAGCGAGGGTTTTGGTCGCTTCGATGAGGAGGATGAGCGGTGTTGAATCTGCTCGGTTTGAATTTGAACCCGTTGAAGGTCATCTCGGAGACTTTGGATCTGAGCGCGAAGGATGTCGATAAGAGGGGTGACCTGGCGATCGACATCGCTGGTAATACTGTTCCGAAGCTCTTCGATCTGATCCATTTTGATGAGGGAGATGGATCAAGGAAGAAAAGAGATGAGAAGGGAGCAAGGTTGATGACTTGCACTTGAACCTTGCCTGAAGGTGATAACAGTTGAAGAGGAAGAGAGAAAAAAGAAAGTGGGATGATTCTGGGAAACGAAGAAGGGAAATAGCAGCCTCTCGCGCTCGGCTTACTGCTATGCCCGGAGTAACCCGATGTCTCGCAACACAGAGACTTGTGTCTAAGGCTTCACCAGGTTATCCGTTGAAGAAAAAATGATACCTAATCGATGAGAGTAACGAAACCTCCGATTATAACGGGCATACCTTAACTCAACCACCGGCTTTCGTGGAGAGGACCTTTGATAAAATGTTATGATGATGCCGATAACGTTTCAAACAAGAAGAGTATAGCATTTAAACTAGATTATCAAAGGTGGAAGAGAGACAGAAGGATGAAGACAAGTGAAAGATGATGGGCTGATGCAATCATGCTACGTCATCTGTATCCTAACACATCCCTGAGATCCGCCCTGTGGACTCTTCTCATCTGAGTTGTAAACCTATGTCACTAACTCGTGACACTTTATATCCGTATACCAAGAGATCCACGTCGATGAAGACGCTCCCGGCCACTTCGGAGAAGCCATCGAAGTCAATGCTGATTGAGTAATTGCTTGGTGTGAAGATTGCTTTGAAGTCTATTCCTGCTCTTTGCTTCCTGCCCGAGGGAGGCGGTTGATCTGGTGCTTCCATTGCGAGCACGAAAACTTCTCGAGCTATGTGAGACGACTGCATGGCAGACTCAACCGAGATTGGGGTTAAATAGATTGAAAAGAAAATGTGTGAAAAGCAGGTTAACGTAGGGATAGGATGGATGAAAATCATCAAATACTGACTCGGATGCGAGGGATGAAGAGGCGTTAGATCGAGCATCTCTCGGTCAGCTAGGTAGTCACGGACGATCTTGCTGCGGATAAATTGACCTAGGGATTATTATTTATAAGGGGTAGTAACTAGTTGGAACTAGGTATTACCGTAGGTCATCGTTGCGTTTAGAGTGGTTTGACGAATCAAATCACGGACTTCCTCTGCAATAGCTGTTGGGGTCTTTGAAAGCAAAGGCGGTGGATGTGTATGAGTACCCCAAGAAGCGAATATCACAAATGGAGTCTTTTTAGATTCTTTGGGATGTTCACAGTCACATGGTGGCTGTTGCTGCCGGAACATTGTGTCAGCCCGCTCGCTTGGAGGAGATTCTCTGCTTGCACAGGTTGGAGGCCCTAAAGAAGAATCAGGAGGAGGGCCCCGCAACTGGTACCATTCAAGTGCATGGCGAACAAAACGAGTGAGGTGGGCACAACTCCAGTACGGGCAACCAACTGGCAACCAACTGGCCAATCCGGTCAGCCAGTTGTCGAAGGACAAAGAGCGCCAACTGGCCACCACTGTACCTAATACTTTGGTACTATTGAGTTGCCCGCTATGTCTCCAATCAACCTATTTCATTCTGACCGTCAACGACAAACCGTGATAAGTGACCGCCCTGTGTCATATTGGGCGAAGGTTACTTGTGTTGATACACTGCCAACTGGCCAGCCACTGATCGAGAAGAGAGATGTCGGAGTTGGCCAGTTGCCGGAATAGGAATACTGTAGAACCATTGATCATTCCGAGGTCAAAATGGGTTTGATTCGCTGAGCTTATCTCGCATGAGCTCATTCTGTATTGTTTTCGTTTCAATGGCTGAGCTTATAGCCTTATTGTGATTCCAAGATCATGTATAACCTTGACTGCACTTTGTTGAAAACCCCCAATTAATCACCTCTCGTACTTGCGCAGGAAATGCTTTCCCTCGTATTACCAGAAGAGGCACACCCCATAGTGTGGAGAGTTGAAGGTGGTTCGGAGTTTGACCAAGGCATCAAGAAATACATGAGAACGCCAAATATGATATCAGCTCCACCGTTCCCTAAACAAAGGTATCCATAAGCTTGGAATGGCATGAAGGCGAACGACCACTGGATGATAGATCCCTCGAGCGGCCCATCGCAGTAACCCCATGGCGCTGAAAGACAAGAGCGCGCGTGATGTCTCCCTGTTGCTGCGGGGGAACCCCCTCTCCTGGCATTCGACAGTTGAACGAAACTCGGAAAACTACTGTTGCATTGCTGTAGGTCCTAATCAGCTCCACCATCTTAACCCCCGAGCGAGTTTTGGGAGATTTGTCTCCAGCAGAGATGACACGAATCAATTTCGCGCCAAAACGTCTTGAACTTCCCATCCAGGAGGGATAACTGGTCACGAATGAGCTTGCCCAAGAGAGCCTACCAGCCAGACCAGGGCACTAGAGTAAAGCGCAGATAGTACTGTGTATTCCAGGAAACACCCGTTTTGATTATGAAGATGCAAAGGGGCTCACACCTTGCTTCATTTCAATGTACAGGCTGAATCATCGGGCAGCCTGTAGTACTCGAAGTTCCAGCTGGTACCGTCCACTATTTGACAGAGTGTACAGTTCGTAGCATGGGTCGGTTGGGTCCCTCAGCAAAAGTGGCAGAGCCCGTTCTATTTCTCCGGCCAGAACTTGAGTCTGTACCCTCTATAGCTACCGGAGGGTATCCCGATTGTCTGGAAGCCTAGTAGAACATGGTTCTCGTCTTCGGGCCCGTGACCTTTGTATTATCTCCTCCATCAAAAAGCAAGTCTTTGGGACCGTCCCTGATATTTGCGAGCCATCTCACTCGAAAGCGCTTCCGTCCTATGCCAAATAGCATGAGGTCACTGGTGTAGTAAGGTCCAACCTTGACTTGGCGGGAGTTGCCATCACCATCCTTGATTGTAATCGGTCTCCCTGCAAGTTGCCTAGGAGCCTCAATAGTATGTAACTCCTCCATCCACAGTCTCCTCCAGACCTCCACATGCTTTGCGCTGGTAGGTCTGGATTTGGAAGAGATTGCAGGACACTGTTGACTCCGTTGACCACTGAGGCATGAGTCGTCGGTGGAAGCCAACGGGGGATGGAATAGTTGCAGTATGGACAGAGGGCTGCGCAGCGCTGGACAGCCTATGGTAGTAACCAGTGATGATTAGCATTGTGCTTAAGTACTTGGGTAAATTCTACTCACGATGGGACCGGTAACAGGAAACCGAATGAATCGCCGATCATCCTTGTGAAGACACACGCACATATTGGCTTTTGGCTAGTAATGGTCAGTAATAGCCATATATAAAGGGGTGGATCAGCGTTTTCACATACACGACAGTCTCTCTCAGAAGAGCAATGCTGGGTGTTCTCATCAGCCACGCGGGTGACATCGTCTTTGCCTTTGGTAAGTGCTCGATTATGACTTCTTGAAGCGATTCGAAGGTTGCATGCGAGTCATAGTGATTGCACCGCGTCGACAGGAGTCAACAAAGTCCTGCATAGTCACGTCGTCCTTGTAGACCTCTCCGGCCACTAACGTCTGCAGCCGGTACGGGAGTCTCTCGAACAGATCGTCTTTCTGCAGCTCCTCCTCGCCTTTCGATTCCAGAGTAAGACGGGAGAATTCCGCAGAGAACATATTGAAGTCATCGTTGGCCTTCATCTTCAGCTCCCCGTACTCTCGTTGGGCGATGCGACGTTGCTGGGGATCCTTGAACACAAGTTGGAGATGTTCCAGCATCTCCTTGGCTGTTTGGTACCGGTTCTTGGCATCGGGCTCTAAACGGGGCTGTAACTGTGCCTGGGCCTTCCCAGCGCAGCGGTTCATAACGTATGCCATTCTATGCCTTTCCGTAGGGTAGTAGTCCTCGTTGAGAAGCAGCTTGCTCTCGATTTCGCGTCGCCAAGCAGTGAACTTCACACTCACGCCGTCGTCCATAATCGGAGCGTCAGGCAGTTTAGTAGCAAGGGCTCCACCTCGAACACGCGAACAAGCACCACGCCCGCGGTCAATAGTCGTGGGAAGACGAACACAACCTTCGCTGAGCGACAGGCCCTGCTAAAGGAAGGGAAATACTTCAACTGCAGGAAGGAGGGCCACCTCAGCCGCCACTGTCCAGAAGGAGAAACGGAGGATAAGAACAAGACGAAGGCATGGCTGGCTTTAGTACCACTCATCGTCCGTCCGTGAAACTGTGGCTTTGGAGGACCCCATCCGGAGGCTGGCCCTTCCCTGCATGCTTCGATCGCTTGGTTTGTTGGAAGTTGACCCTGAAACGGGCAGCAGTCGAGCTGCGGCGGAAGACGTGGAACTTGCGCGGTCCTATAGGCGCTGTCAGCTGATAGGCTCCAAGTTCGTCTGTCCGCATTCTTTTACCTTGTCGCCGACTTCCTGTTTTCGGGCCATTTGGTGAGAGCCGCTTTCTTGGCCGGTAACACGACATGCTTAGGCTTCATCTTCTTGCTTGAAGCCTGAGAGAGCATGTCCTTGACGGTAAGCGTTTTTAACTTTGTGTGCATGGCAGCGTGACTGTTCACGCACGTCTCCAATAATCATCACCGCACTAGGAGCACGGCTCTTGGGGCTCCGCTCCTTGTGATTGCCCCGTCGATGATGACAGCCTTCCGCAACGCCGGGCACGGTCGGGGACAGCATGCTTCTCGGGATGCTGCACCTTCTCGCAAGTCTCGTCAATCTGGATTCTAGTGCCTTTATTTACCATGATGTATCTCAGGATGTGACGGTATCTATACTCCGTGTGTCTCATCGTCAATCTGGTGGTGGGCCTGGTGACTGCGTCCAAGGAAGAAAGTCGACAGTAGACGTCTCGCTGGTCACCGGCGTGTGATAATAAGACACTATATAGTTCAACTGGGCAGCACGGGGAGTCACGCCTGTGGTAGATAGAGGCACTCGTCGTGTGAGTATTACTCCGTGCACTAGTGGCTGAGGTCCAGAACGGGCGGTAGAGATCTAGAGTACATCGATGGTCAGTTGAGTCTCTCAGTTAATATTCCCATGGCTCATGTCTGACCTTGGGTCTTTGTGTTTGAGACGGCGTAGGCAAAACTGTCTATATAGATATAGATATAGATAGGTTCATAAGAGGAAGAAGAGGAAGAAGAGGAAGAAGAGTAAGAAGAGTAAGAAGAGGAAGAAGTTAGAAGTAGAATGATGAAACAGCAGGGTCAAACATTTCTTTATATACCCAGTTGCAGGTTCCAGAATCATATGACCATTGTGCAGCAAACTGAGACTTCTCTCAGATCTGATCGTCTCAAACCTGTTCCTTGTCTCTCTGAATCTTCCGGCATCTTCTTTAGAACCCTCGGCATCTTCCTTTTAATCGTTCACCTTCCAGCCTTTGACTAGACTTCACTTGATCGCTCGGTTCCCATACCCTCATTGCGTACTTTCAGTTCACATCTACAAGCTTACCAATTGTCATCAATAGCCCGTAATCATGGGTCGCTGGGGATCGCGTAGGTCTAGCTCGCTCTCTCCCCCTCCGTCCTCCCAGGTCCATAAACATACTGATTAACATCATAGGTCTCTTCAAATGCGACGAAGACCTAGACATGGCCTTTTCAATGGCAACAGAACTCGGCGTCTCAGACCGCTACTGGAAGCACAGCATGAGCGCAATGGTCCATCAATCCGACATCCTAGCGCCCCCAGAAGCCAAGGCTCGTTACCAAACCCCCGAATACGCTGTCGAGCTGGCAGACGTGATAATCCCCTACATTCGCGACAAGCTCGATACTGACGACCTCGGCGACCGACTCTTCGCAGCAAGCAAAGCCCAGGAAACCGACGAAGACGATCCACGCCAAGAGACCAAGTACCGCACTATCATTCTGGGCGCCTTGATAATGCGTGCTGGCGCCAAAATTAAGAATGAGGATCTGGAGCATCTGCGTGCTCTGATGCCTCAGATCAACTGCTCATTGCGTCGAAGTATGTCTGGTGATCATGGCTTTCGACCTCCGGGTCGAGCTCAGTTTCTTGCTGCGTTGGATCATTATGTGCCTGGTGTTCCGCGTAGCTTTTTGGAGCCTAGGTAGGTTAGGCATTGAAGGAATCCCCTTGGTCTGAGCGATTGGGTTGACAACTCTGCTAGCTGCTATAGTTGTGGGAGAATTGAAGCGGATATTGGCCACAGGCATTTGATTTGCATGAGGTGCAGGGTTGCAACTTACTGTGACGAGGTATGTGGAAGATCACCCGTTACTTATTCTCCTCGCTGTAATGTTGATGGTCGGACCTTATAGGAGTGCCAGCATGCGGAAGTGGAATCGCGCGAGCACCAAAAGGTCTGCATGTGTCCTGAGCGACGCTGATTTCGGAAGATTTAATTACAATCAATGGCTAGGATCTTTGCTGTCGCTGATATTGCTGCGGATGAAGTCTTTGCTTGCATACGACACATGCAGTGATCTTTACACGAAGGAAAGCATAGCTAGCCCTGAAATAGTCCTGAACATCATTCCTTGGTACGTGTTTCCATTTCCAATCAGTCCGTCATATTCCTCAGATTGAGGCGGGCATTTGCTCGCGTAAGATTATACCGGTCGAGGTTTCGATAGTGCACTAGGTGCAGGCGTTTCCCAGTGTCAAAGCAACAATGAGGCCTCTGCTCTGGACTCAGAGCAAGAAAACCATCATTTTTGAAGAATCAGAGGTTCTCATTGGCTGTAGCGTCTCGGGCCGTCCCGCAACGGACCCACTGGTCACTCCCCAGCCCGGGCAGCGGGTGGATGGGGTTAAATACACACAGGTTTCCGGGGCCGTTTCCCCTTTAAATTGTATTTTCCAATCAGTGCAATACCCTTTGCTTGCATAATGCCCATTATTGCCAAACACGAAAACCATCTATGTGCCTCATCTGGGAGGCATCTCCGCGGCGTACCAGATGCCCAAGCCATACAATAGCACGAAGCCAACATTGTTGATGGTCAACGCCTTTACCAAGGTAGCTATCGCTATTCGTCAAATTCCGGCGCAAAAATATAATGCGAGGGTATACCACCAGTGTTGGACCGGTCATAGGAAGGCATCGTGCCTTACCTGGTTGAAAGTTGAGAGGTCGTACACCTGACTATCGAATATTCTTACAATTGGATATGAGAACCAATTTCCAAAAAAAAGTGACATTAATGTGCGAAGTGGTAAATACAGTGCTATCTGCTCCTGGTAGAATTATGCTGATGCTGTGTATTCCAAGGCCATTCACTGGACGCGAAGATGGATTCACTCAGCACGATGTATAGTTGAAAATGACTACCAGTTCCTGGGAACATCTGGGAACACCTCGCCATCATTAACACATCACTTTCACTTGGGAACGCCCTCTCCAGCGTCGCAAGCACCTTGTCCGCCTCCAGTGCCGCAGTACCACATCCGGTCGTCAGTTTCATAGAAGATAGTACCGTAGTCATCCCAGAAGCCGCCCAGCTGGTTGGTTTTCTTGTAGTTCAGTTCATCGCACGTAAGGATCCCCCCAAGAGCAATAGATTCCGTTCCTTCACTGGTGGCCAAGCTCCAGGCTTCGTCTCTGGTTTCTCCCTTGCCGACTTGGCAGCTCGGCGAGGGGTAAATACCCCCAGAAACGCTGTTGTAGTAGGTCATGTCGGCGGCGGCAATCCAGAGAGCAGAGGTGCCAGTTGTGGCGAGCAGCAACAGGGAGATCTTGTCAGATAGCATCTATATCGAGTCAGTGGGGGGTGGCCAAAGGTTTCTAGTAATGATATCTCACCGCGTCGGATTGAATCGAGACAGTTGAGATATCGGAATAGGGAGTGGTAGCTCTGGTGTCGAGATGATCAAGTTTACGGGGGAGAATGCTCACTTAAGTAGGCATCGAGCCAGAAAGGTTGCGATGCAATCTGGAGCTTCAATACGGGAGAGATATTGCCAAGAAAAAGGCCAAACCATGTCAGCTGCAAATCACATCCTAGATAGATTTAGCAGCCTCCGTGAAGGATTGTCGGATATTCCAAAGGCGAGATAGGGCTATATGGTCTTGACTAACGTGTGCCCGTAAATTACCATGTAGAGATACTAGTGGCCAAAGGCACGAATGCTTTTCGCCCGATGTCATATTCAGGGCATTGCAAATGTCGGCTTATTCCGCCATATTTCTGTGGATATCCACTTCATAGCAACTCCGCAGAAGTCCGAGGAACAAAAAGATTAAAGCCGAAAGTCCGGGGCCAAAAGGGAACCGTGGGGGTCTTGCGTGCTGATCCCACTGGATCCTTCGGATCTAGGTTTGGGGGCTTACGTTTGGTCTCGAAGCCTTCCCGCACAAGTGGCCTTGAAGTGGGAATCAGCCTTGCCGCGGAGGATCTTAGGCATTGCCTAATTTGGAGAAGAGCCAAGGCGTGGCGCCCGATCATCGCCCGTAGTGTCCGTAACGTCCGTAGCGTCCGTAGCGTCCGTAGCGTCTGCGCCACTCAAGGGTTGAGCTGCTCTAGCCCCAGGCTCTGAACATAGTACAGTGCACGACGCTCGTACCCATTAAGGGGTTGAAATTTTGCTGTATGTCCATAGCAATTAGCATGCGGACAGGGCCTTCATGCAGCCCCTGCGTATGGACGTCCAAGCTATGAGGAACCCTTGAGATGCTTAGTTACCTGTAAGGCTGTAAGGCTGTAACCTAGATAAGTTGGGGGAAGTGGGGCCGGCGGCCGGCCAGATGTTAATCCGGACTCAACGGACCCCACTGGATGAGCTGAGCGGATACTACAAGCATCCATTGGATGACCACCCTAGGTCAGTTCGGGGCCATCTTCCTAGTGTTCTCACACAACATGGTAAGCCTTGATACACATACTGCACCTCAGGCCTGCGCGGCGTGCAAGAAACGCAAAGGTAGGTGTGATAGATTACTACCGTCCTGCGGCTTCTGTCAAAGGTATGATGACTCGGATCTGCCATTGTAGCTCACCTGATCACTTATTCCTGAGTTGACTACATAGCAAAGGAAAGCCCTGTTGGTATCAACAGCTGGACTTAAGCTCAGGCGCTCATTCTTCATTACCGAGTTTCCCGGCGGTATTCTTTCTCGACCATGATATGTTCCAAGCTTCCCGCATGGAGCTTCCGCCCGCCGGGACTCTGCTACCTTCGTACGTTACAACTGAACTCGGGGACTCTACGCAGTCCCGCCAGATTGCGTCCCATTTCTTCAGCACCGTTCACCATTGGATGCCCATTGTCTCAAAACGTCGATTTCTCGAATGTCACTTGAATCCACTTACAGCGTACCGTGCTGATGCAGCACTCCTCTGTCTAAGTATGAAGTTAGTCTTGTGGACCCCGGTCACCGATCGTTCTGATCCACGAACGACGACCTATCACGCCGCCAAGCGCCACCTACATGAGCTAGACCTAACTGGATGCCTGACACTTCTGACACTACAAGCTGCTATTTTGATCGCGGTTTATGAGATTGGCCATGCGATCTACCCTGCTGCCCACCTCTCGGTGACGGCATGCGCCCAGTACGCCGCAACCCTAGGGCTTGGTTGGACGCAAGTGGAAAGGGGCGGGCGCAGCGCACCTTGGGTGGAAATGGAGGAGCGCAGGCGCGTGTGGTGGGCTATCGTTATCTTGGAAAGGTATGTTCGGCTGACACTTTGCTCTTGCCATGATAGAATTCTTGACCGGCTTGGATTACTGATCCGCTGCATCTTGGGGTGGTGTAGGTATCTCTCGTTGGGATGGCATGAGCGCCCCATTCTTACCGACGGGCCGGCCAGCAACGAACTGCTGCCATCGGACGATGCCGCTTGGAATGCTGAGGTATGATACAGATGCATTTATTGGATTGCGTGGACGATAAGCCAATTATCCTTCTTAGATTGAGGCGCCAAATCACAGGATGACTGCGAGTCCTGCGACCACCTCAACGGATATCAACATGAGCCCCTTTGCTCGTCTCGCCCAGGCCGCCTATCTGCTGGATTGCGTGCAACGTCATATAAACGACCGCACGATGACAGCAAAACAGAGAGACGAGGAAGCTTTCCATCTGGACAAAGCCCTCCGTGCTTTGATGACATTCACAACGAGTGAAATTGCCCGCAGGCAGATGCGGCTATGCTGCCAGATGGCTCTGTGTCATAGGTACATGGTCTCTTGACTTCCGCGACGGACTGGAGCTAATAGATTGTCCTTCAGCTCAATGGCGCTTCTCCACCGCGACATTTTGGTACTATCAACTGATGTCTCTTCGTTCAGATGCGCCCTCGCGAGAGCGGCTATGGATGAAATGGCCGAGTCATTTGTTTTCGAAGCAGAAAGTATACTTAGCAGGGAAGGTTGGAATCTAGATGCTACGTCGCCCCTCGGTTTACATTGGGCATACCAAGCCTCGCTACATTTCGTTTGGTTGGCGAAGAGAGAATCCCCATCATTACGAGCTTCGGCGCTGGACACTGTACTTGAAGCATTGCGGAAAGCTAATTCTCGCTGGAGAGTCGCTGGTGCGCATTACAATCGTGGCTTGCTTTCTTATACTTTGTGGCGACAGTTGCTGACCCTTCCTAGGCTCGTACCTCGACATATTGGCGGCCCGAGAAGCCGCGAATATTACTGCGGACTAGTGCCCTTTCTAGCAATGCCACGTTCAGGGGCGTAGTTCCACTCAGTGAGCAATAAAGCGGCGAGGTCTGAGCACTAGCACAAAAAGAGGGCGCCAACCTAAAGGTGGCAGAGGATTCCGGTACATACATGTAGGTACTTATCAACATAACACCAAGACAGATCACAACTCGATCTCACCCTTCTCTTCGCTCTTCAACGCAGCCTCAATCAGCTTCTTGTATCCAACCACTGCATCCTTAATCTGACAAATACTCAAAGCCTCATGATCACCATGAGCAACTAAGATACTGCCAGGCCCATACAAGTAGCCTTTCACAACGGACCGAATAGCCAGATTCGGCACACCAGTACTATGGTTTACAGTCGTGACATCGAGCCCATCAACATCAACATTCAAATCCTGCGGCGGGTAAGACTCATCATGCGAAGTGAAATCAACCTCAAGTCTCAACCTCCGCCCCCGCACCAGCAACCGCCTCTTCCACAGCCCACCCAATAATGTCCCGCGCTTCAGCAACGTCCCAGTCGCTGTAAGGAAACCAAATGAATTCGGGCTGTTGGCTAGTACTCTATGTACAAGAAGGGTTCGTTGCGGAAAAGGAATGGGAAGTCTAGGGGTGTTATCTTTTCGGGCAAGCGTATCCGCCTCGGGATGTCTTACCTGGCTGAGAATGAATGCTCTGTGTAAGCCACAGACTCGCTCGAGTGGATCATTCTCACGAGTGAGTGGTTGATTTAAGAAGGTACCTAGAGGAAACAACCCCCATCAGCAAATTGCTGGTAAGATGTCCGTCCTTACAGATCTCAGGCACAGCTGATCAGGAGATTGACGAACCCCTCCCTCAACCTCCTCTCTCCTGGTGCATATCCGCATCGGGAAGTCTTACCTGAATGTGAATGAATGCTCTGTGTAAGCCACAGACTAGCTCGAGTGCATCGCTCTCACGAGTGAGTGGCTGATTGAAGAAGGTACCTAGAGGAAACAATCCCCATCAGCAAACTGCTGGTAAGATGTCCGTCCTTACAGATCCCAACACGCTTGATAAGGAGATTGACGAACCCCTCCCTCAACCTCCTCTCTCTAGGTGCATATCCGCCTCGGGAAGTCTTACCTGAATGTACGTGAATGCTATGTGAGTCCCCAACTCAGCTGAACTTGGCAAGTCTCGTGGGTGAGCGGTTGAATGAAAACGGTACCTAGAGGAAACCACCCCCGTCAGCAAATTGCTGGTAAGATGTCCGTCCTCGGGTAGATAGGCATGGACAGCCAGATTGAGGAAGAATAGGGGGATCAAACGGCCTTTTCGTAGTGAATAAGGAAATTGGGTGAGGGAAGGAACCAACATCCTCTCCATTGGTGCCAGTCATCCTCGGGAAGTCTTACCTGGATGCGAATGTATGCTCTGTGTATCGGTGTAAGTCCACAGATTGGGTCGAAGGACAGCGCTCGCGAGTGAGCGGTTGAATGAAAAAGGTACCTAGAGGAAACAACCCCCATCAGCAAATTGCTGGTAAGATGTCCGTCCTTACAGATCTCAGGCACAGTTGATAAGGATATTGACGAACCCCTCCCTCAACCTCCTCTCTCTTGGTGCATATCCGCCTCGGGAAGTCTTACCTGATTGAATGAATATGCTGTGTAACGCGGTGGCGTTAATAACATTTGCGACGTTGATAGGAATAGGTGCCTAGAAATCAACCTCCATCAGCAAATTGCTGGTAAGATGTCCGTCATCGGGGAGCTCGGCATTTTGAACAACCAGATTGAGGGAGGGGGATCAATCGGCTTTCCAGTGAACAAAGACCTTGAATGAGGGGGATCAATTTCCTCTTCATGGTGGATAAAGACATTGGGGGAGGGGGACCAAGGTCCTTTTCATGGTGTGCAAAGACCTTGGGGGAGGGGGACCAAGATCCTTTTCATGGTGGATAAAGACATTGGGGGAGGGGGACCAACATCCTTTCCAAAGTGAGCAAAGAACTTGGGGGAGGGGGACCAAGATCCTTTCCATAGTGAACAAAGACATTGGGGAAGGGGAACCAACATCCTTTTCATGGGTGCCTGTCCTCCTCGGGAAGTCTTACCTGGCTATCAATGGATGTTCTGTACAAGTGCATATATCGGCTGGAGCTAACATCTCTCGTGAGTGAATGCTCGATTGGAAAAGTGCCTAGAAAACCACCCCCCGTCAGCAAAGTGCTGGTAAGATGTCCGTCCTTACGGAGCTCGACACATTGGAAGGCTTACCTTGAACGTGCACTGGCTTCGTCCCCTGTCAGACAGAGAGATACAGTGAGTTTGGTTTCCCTTGTGGTAGGTACCAGTCCGGAAAGAGGGACACCATGTTTTATGACGATCAACATATCTGAGATATCAGATGTAGTAGTGCGTACGTAGGTGACTGTCTGGCAGGCACATGTTGTCTGGTGGATGATGGGGGGTAAACGCATGTGATGACTTACATGGTTGAGGTGATGATGTTCAGGACGCATCATGTTGATGGGATGTGATGGACAGGGTAACAATGCGTAGGTATAACTTGGCCTTCATCGATGGAAGGTGATGAGACACATGATGGAATTGAGGGAGGTGCAAGGTAAACAGTGTTGATGCCACGGGCTGGGAGGGGTGAAGATGGGAAGACACAGGAATGAGTCATAGAAACAATCATAGAGCGCGCTCAGCATAGAAGGGTATTATGATCATCAGAATGGACACAGAGAAGGAGTGTATGATAGGAGATAGGGATCGTTGCTGGAGGAGGAACAAAGTGAGTGGGAAGGAGAGCTGAGAAGGTGGGAGATGGGAGGTGGAGGAGGAGAAGAAAAAAGAAGAGGAGAAGAAAGAAGTGGAGGAATAAATACTAGGAGGTGCTCAGGTGTCCGCCGACGCAAGAGGCATCGGACTAGTCACTAGACGAAAGAGGTGTCGGAAGGTGCGACTGAACTTAATTCGCCCCATTAGAACTCAATAGAATAATGAAATATCTTCATTGCAATGAGATGACGAGATCTAATACCTATTCATAAATAAAACTTATACAATAGAATCCTTTTACTGCGTACAATGTAACTTGCATTCAAAAGCTCAGCCTCTTTCTGATAAATGTGGCTTTATACTCTCGGTGATTTATGCGCCACAATTGACCCACTTATGCCGATGTACCTGCACCTTAAATCTGACGACGTCTGACGTCTTTCAGCCAATCGCCACCTTGGAAAGGACTACCAAACATGTCTTCAGCCGAGAAGAAACGTCTTAGGGACCGTCGCTCACAGCAAACACTCCGTGACAAGAAGCAGCGACATGCTGCCGAGCTCGAAGAAAAAGTCGCACACTGTGAACAGCACCACAGTGATCAAGGCGTGCAGCGACTTCTTCAAGTTATCCAAGGGCTCCGCGAACAAAATGAGACACTTCGCTGCCGTCAAAACAGCTTAAAGTCTCTTGTCAGCTCATGGGAGACAGAGCAAGAGGAGTTGCCTGTCGCAGCTGACTCGAACCATGACTGGTCCTCTCTGTACAAAGAAATGAGCAACCGGGAAGCCCAGTTTTCCCTGCAGACGGACCCCAATATTTCAATCCTTCATGGCCGACAGGGGATACCTTCTCTTCTGAATGACCCTCTCTCGGCTGCAGCAACACCACCACAAATCCATTCCCCGTCACTGGAACCTGTTTCGTCCGCGTCTTGGAGTCAAATTCCATCACACAGCGACGACCTGGCCACAGGAACAGAAATTTCCTGTCCGTGGTTCGCTTACCTAGACCAGATAACACCATGCCCAGACTCCCCCAGTTCCCCGCTGGATATGTTATATGGCACGAAAACAAACCCACTGGCCGATATGATCCACTCAGCTCTGCAACGTCGCCCAATCCGCGATCCAGAGCGGCTCGGGTTTGGATGGGTGATCTACCACTATTCCAGATGGATCCTTAGGCCCACCCCAGAGACCTTTGCCAGGCTGCCGGAGTTCCTCAGGCCTGTGCAGGGCCAGATGACCATTCGGCACCCTATGATATTGGACATTGTTCCGTGGCCGAGGATGAGATTGAATCTTATCCGGCGGTGGCATTTATATGCCGATGAGCGTGACGATCTCTTCGGTATGTTTGCTTGTTGTGTGAGGATTCGATGGCCTTGGGGTGAGAGGATTCTTGAACGAGATGAACGGAATGAGTTGTGTATCAAGAAAGAATTCTATGACACTTTCATGCGTTTGGGCGGTTGGGGGGCTTACACCGGAGTTCATTAAGAGATATCCTGATCTCTTGGAGGGGATTGATATCAGTAAAATTGTGTATGAGCTTCTGTAAGCATATACTATTTGATGTGCGGAAAGTAATTATATTATGTTCTATCATGACCTTTCTATATGCGTTGCTTATACGCTTGCCATTATACATTATTTTACCCGCAGAGACAGGCAGTCTGAAGGTCGAAAGAGAGGAGATGGACACGATGTGACCAGGATGATGGCCATCATGATGATATCATCTCAAATCTTCTTAGCATCAAGGTCGATAGGATACTTCAACCTGATGACCTTGCCATACTTGATGAAGAGAATCGGAATCGGGATGAACGCCAAAGCCAAGAATCCAAGCAACGAATTGCCCCAGCCGAGACCCATGTCCTCAAACATGGCCGGCCCAGCAAGCGGAAGCAAAGCTCCCACCAGGGAGCGAGTCGCAGTGAGAGTGGCATTGGCGGACGCTGCGTACTTGGGGTAACAATCAATGATGTAGGTCTGGATAGGCATGAAAACACCCATCATGCCGACTCCGAAGGGGAACATGCCGATGATAGGCACGATCCAATGTACGTGCTTCTCGGCTGTCCAGCCGTACCAGAAGAAGCTGATGGGCAGGATGAAGGCATAGATGATCATAGCCGGGAGACGCATCTCGGGCTCGAACTTGCCGCCGTTCTTGGTTGTGGCTGCCATGACCATCCGGTCGTTTGTGAAGGCCATGATTGCCAAACCGCCGAAGAAACCGAGGCCAATTCCTAGGTATGCAAGTCCAGAGAGGCCGACTGAGAATCCGTACGTTTCTGTGAAAACGCTAGGGATTGTGGTGAAGAAGAGGTAGAGCAGACCGTAGAGGAAAGACTAGAGATAATATGTCAAAATGCATACCTAGAAACTCTGGATCGGGACGGAGACTTACCATGTAGAGACACAACAGGTACACGATGGGTGACTTAATCAACAGCAGTAGCGGTCGCTTCATACTCTGTGTCAGCACCTCGCTCACAGAAGTAGGCTCCTGGTCAATGTCATAAGCACTGCGCAAATCTGTCCGACCTGTCTCCTTTGCAAGCTTCTTGGTCTTCCACCTAATCAAAACAGTGGCGTAGGTCTCCTTGTTGAATATTTCCACTCCAAGGGAGAATGCACCGCCGGCAATGAGCAGAACCCAAAAGGTCCAGCGCCAGCCAACTTCCTGTCCGAGGAAGCCACCGGCTATGGGGCCTGCTACTGGACCAATCAAGGGCCCCATGGCCCAGAGAGATGTTGCCATGCCACGCTTGGCGGGAGGGAACATATCTGCGATGACACCGGCTCCGAGGGTCAGACAGCCGGAACCACCAATTCCGGCGAATAGGCGGCAGATGATGAGTGTTTCGATGTTGGGAGCGAGTGCGCAGCCAATCTGCCAGACCACAAAGAACCAATTTGCACCGCTGAGGACAATGCGGCGGCCGTAGACCTCACTCAAAGGGGCAAGCAGGAGAGGACCAAACTAGATTCCCGTATTAGATGGACTGTTCCGTAGAGGCTGGGGTGCATTGGGGCTTACTGTATATCCAAGGAGATAGATGCTGACACTGAACGATAAGAGCGTCCTATCGGTCACCAAGAACTCTCGTGCCATGTATGAGATGGCGGGCGAGAACATACTCGAGGCAAGAGGAGAGATCAGCGTCATAGCGCTGATCAATGCGAGCAAGGTCCATTTCTTGCCCTCGGGGAAGTTCTGCGGGTTCTCGGGGTCATCTTGTCCGTCCCAGCCTACTATGCCGCGGCTGAGGTCCGTTACTGGGTAGAGTTCTGTGGCTGTTGCTTGTGTCTCGGCGGAATGGCTTGTTGATTGCTTTTCAAGGTCTGGGGTTTCGTTCCTCACGCTGTCCCCACTGTAAAGCGTTGGTTGCTTTGAATCGGACTCTTGCTGGAGAGTATCCATGATCGGCCACAGGTAGGAATTCCTATAGGTGGACTGAATGGAGGTTTTCGGCGTGAAGTATAGAAAAGAGATGGACGTGCCAAGCAGAAACAAAAGTGAAATATTCTGCTAGGAGGGACTCTATCAGATATGAAAGTTCAGAGCCAAAATTTGAGAGAAACCAATCCAGTTATGATCAACAAGGAGCTACGGATCCAAGCCTTTGTATAAAATCTCAGTTAGGGGCCCAACGGAGCGCGACAGTTGGCTCCGGTTTCAGCCTCGGCATTGACACTGTAATTCACTGCATATTGAGTCATAAATCCTGTTATGTTCATAAGGTCAGCCCATAAACGCAGCAAGTCGACAGAATCTGGCAAAACAAACGGCCAATCCGATTCCGAACCCGAATCAGGTCCACGTTTTCCCCCGAGCACTGATTCAGCGCTCCACTTCTTGTACGCAGAAGCCAATCACAATCTGGCAATATTGCCTATTTCTAGGCGCTGAATCAGTGTTTTAGAGTGCCCAGACGACGGGTGGGGCGTTAAGGCAATCCGCATATTGGCACAATTCATCACTTAAAGGGGCTTGCCTGACGCAACTCCGGGTCAACCCCTTAATTGGTGCAAGTGATCAGGCGACAGTGCCTAATGGTCTAGACATGATGTGGTCTGACATAGTGTGGCACCTGTCATATTCATCGACCCGTCAGGATGTCATCGCCTCTGAGGCGTCTCTTGGTAGAGACTAGAGTCGAAGATGCAAGAAATCAGAGCTCTCATATCATGGCTGTGATAGGGCTGAAGGGGTTCGGAACCATGGATGAATCCAGGGCGTTTCAAATTTGATCTGCATTGAAACGGCTTGACGGCGGCAGAAGAGCTGTTCTAGAAGTCATATCAGGCTCTAGAAGATTCGGCCTGGAATGCCAGTGGCGCTCTCAGAAATCGCCCGCTACGTTGGCTTGGCGCAGAACTGCAAATAGAAAAATCTCGGAGAATTGATGCATCCACATATGTCGAGAAACTTTCCCCTGAGCCAACCCCGGTGAACTCACCACTTCCAATTATTGTCATGGCAGGCGCGGCTCAAACCGGCACCAACTTCCTTGATACTCCAGATGGACGGCCAGGATGGGCAACCTACTTTATCTCGAAAGTCACACAGTCTACCTCTCAGACCAGGCCGCACGCGGTCGCTCTTTCTGGTTTCCGGACAGGGAAATATTGGGTACATTGGCTCCCCAGATTCTGTCTCTGATATTTTCACCGACGCTAGCGCACAACGACAATAAATGGCCACAGGCGAAGCTTCACACGCAATCGCCTGGCACTGGTCGCATTGGTGACTCAACTTTCGACGCTTTCTAGAGGAGCCAGATGCAGTTCCAGACCGACCGCTTCATAAGTAGATTCATATCACATCTTTCTTCCCGCTTCATGCCCCTGGTAGCATATAGCCTCAAGAATCAATGATTACAAATTATGCGCCCCGTGTCTCCTTGCGGATCACGTTCTGTGTTGTATCAACAGCCACGGAGCCCCAGAAGAACCTCTTCTCTCCAGGTCGACGGTTCAGCTCTTTCTCCCGTTGGCGGACTTTCTTGCTGTGCTGTTTACTCCGGCGCTTCCTCGCTTTCTCCTCCTTTTTCGCTTCGGAGGTTTGGGGGACTCGATGGAAAAGATCGTTTAGCCAGCCCATTATGATGGAAGGTATTGAGATTCAAAATCTGTGACTGGCGTGCTTGGAAGACGAATGGACAATCCGGTAATAAGACCTTGGCCGCGAGATGATCTGGTGACAAGCCAGAAGTGGATGATAAATCATCAATGAGATGCAGTGGTTGGGGAGAGTAGCAAGCTCCGGGGCCAACAACTCGGGGGTCTGTCAACAAGTTCGGGGTGAAGTCCGAAAAAATGCCACGTAAAGGATGAAGAGGTTGAGGTGAGGTTTCAGCTAGTTGAGTTTGAAAGAATCAGAAGGTGGGCGCGACAATATATTCCAAAACCCCTCTAGGTACTCAGATGACTCCGCATTGTCAGCAATCAGCATTAGAGCGGTGGATCATCTATGATCTTGGACTTCGGCTGAATCAACCCCACTGAAGATCGACACCGGACATTCCGTACCTGGTTGAGGTTCAGGCCCTAGTACCCTACCTACGCCCTACTCGGCCACGATTATAGGCGCCAAGCCCGCCACCCGCCCCATGCCTTGGCTAAGATTGATTTCTCATTTTACTGTATAAATCCAGGTACTCCGTACGTACTTGCGAATCAGATATGGTGTGTACGGGTAAATTCACAAAATTCTCTCAGAACAACGCCCAGGTAGTATTGGCCTATTAGGGTAAGAAGACATGGAGCCCGATCTGCCTCAAGGTCGGATTTTTGGCCTTGAGTTCTAGCAGCTTTCGTTTTTCTCTTGTATTAAGCTTCTGACGGAGCTTGCGAGTACTCAGATCACCCAGATTATTGAGCGGTGACTGTGATCTTGGCTTGGCTCGAGTGAGCGAGACACAGGCTTGATTATCAGAAAGGGTTTTGTCGTCGGATTCTGCCTGCATATGATGGTACTCCTCACACCTAAGCTTCGGCCTTTGATTGCTGGGGGAGATGAGAGAATCTGGTCGTAAAGCCTTGCCTGGCCTTTCATTTGCTTCTTTGCCAGCACAATCTTTGCTAGATCGTTTAGACAGCTTTTGGCAAGTGTAGGGTTCGTTCTTTGCCGCCAGCTCGTCCATAGAGAGATCGGGCGGGTCCAGCTGAACAGTTGCTTGGTTGTAAGGCTCGCAATCATCTCCCATGCCAAGTTCAATTGGCTTGAGGATCCGAGGGTCAATGACTTCAAGACCGGGAGTTGTTGGCGGGAAGCTGAGTGAAGAATCTGCTGCAGGAAAGTATGATGCAGCTGCGCTACTTCTACTGCTTTCACTTGGAGTATCACTGAGTTCCGAACAGTAATATCGTTCGGGATGTAAAGAGATGCAGAAATGGGCACAAATATCTGGTCTGGCTGCTGTTCGTGACGCGGAGGCGGATGAGGGTAAAAGCGCAACCTTTTGGGTCGCTCCTCCTCTAGCTCTGTCGAAGATCTTTGTGTTGTCATGGACGGTCAGGCGCAGGTAGCGGCTGGAGTAGCCCAGGGGTGCGATCTCTCCACGCTTTCGTTTGTTTGCAGGCGTGGCAGTTGTCGATGTATCGTTGCACGTCCTTGAGCCAGCCTGGCCAGTAGTAGCGGGCAGAGAGTAACTTCGCGGTCTTATCGACGCCTGGGTGGGCAGTAGGGGGCTGACGATGCACTTCATCAAGGAGTCTTGCTCGTAGGTCTCCTTCATCCGGGACTACTAATTTTCCTCTGTGTAGTAGTAGTCCTTCCCGTAGCGACCATGGTTCAGTTTCCTCCGCTAGTGCCTTTTCCCGAAACTCATCCAGACTCTCATGTGCCAGGTTCGCTTCTTTGATTCGCCGAATAAGCTCATCTTCTGGATGTTCTGTTTGTTCTACTGACTGCTCCGTTGGCTGCTCCGTTGTTCGAACTTGCTGTCTCGTGGTAACAGGTGCTAGGTAGGCCCACCGCTTCTCAGACAGGAGTACCTGGTCCGTCGAGTCTGTCCGATCCGATAAGTCTTTCCTTGATAGTGCGTCCGCTAGCCATTTGATGGAAAAGAACGGGCGCCGCGGATCAAACTCACTTGCGTGGAAGGGGCTATCGTTGGTTCAGCTCAATCGGGGGAAGCACACCATTCGCGTCTGGGTAAATGACAACAAGAGCATTTGCATGTACTGTGGGCTTTAGTACGTGTAATCAGACCGAAAGATCAAGCTAGGATCTGTTCTCTCTCAAATCTCAATGGATTGTACGCTACCAAATTCAGTCAGCCACGGGCCCCCTGCAAATTCTCGCGCTCCCCCTGGTAGAATAGTGAGAGTCACTTACGTCTTCCCATTAGGCCTTGACCATATATAACAGATTCAGAGCTCAGTAATATGCAAGAAATGGTCTTGCAACTCTGATCAGATGGAATAATTGGATATCTACCAGGTTGGCGGTTTTCTTTGCAGCATCAGAAAATCTGCACAATAGTTAGGTTTTTGCTCTGGCTGAGGGGCTGGAAAGAGACAGGCCCCGGAATGCCGACGGTCGCTTGAACTTATGAGCAGTTTTGAGGAGAAATGCTTGAGACTTGGATATGTTCACTCTAGGAGGGATCAGTGTTTCTTTTATATACTTTGACTCTCGGCATTAGCGGCCACAGTCCCCGCAAATTCCAATGGGCACCAGCACTTGAGCTCCTAGGATCTATACTCATCTCACCAATCATATTGTCGTGGCACGGAGGGTCTGGGAGCTCCTAGGAAGACCTATTAGGCTTCATTTAGTTATGATGAGGGATTTTCTAAGTGCTAGTTAGAATACCAGGTAATGAGGGGCTGCAAAGTCCGTTATGGGCAGGTAGATTATCCAGTAGCACGACTGGTCTAGAATATTTTTGCGAATGTCCAGGTCGCTAGAGCTGAATTCGTACTCCTTTGTTCCTAGGAGCAAGTGGCGGCAGCAAGAGCGATAGTCCGTTAGGAATCAAGAGGAAAAAAGAATCACAATAAATCACTAAATTGGATTTAAAAAACCATTTGACTGGACTTTTCTGAGATATTCCTCAATATGACGCTAGCCTTTCGTTAAGGGGACAACGGTCAAGAGTGCTGGGTGAACGACTGCATTGGGATGGGGCTAGCGTGGTGCATTTTATTGAGGTGAGCTGCTGACTTAGCTGCTCCAACTTTGCTCAGGCGACGCTCAGTGAGCGACTTCATCCGGCTTATGTAATGATCAGGCGATGCTCAGTGAGCAAGTCAGAGTACTCAGGTCACACTCAGGGAGGGGGATCAGGCTCCTCAGTGAGCAAATCAGAGTGCTCAGGCCACGCTCAGTGAGCAAGTTCATCCGGTTTATGTAATGATCAGGCGATGCTCAGTGAGCAAGTTTAATGATTATGTAATACTCAGGGTCGTGCTCAGTTTTACTCAGTGAGCAAAAAGTGGCTAGGGGTGAGCACTAAAGCGGAAATGGAAAGCCATGTCGGGCGGCCTAAAATCTGGTGTGTATGTTTGAGCGTCTTCTAACCTTTCCATTCTAGTATTCGCAACCTATCACAGAGAAATATACCTTCTTCGGGGTTATCCACCACAGGTCATCAACTAAGCAGACGTGCCTAGATATGGAGCTGGTTTGCTGGGTTCTTGAAAGTAGTTTCACTGATGCCCAACAGTGAATCATAATACCCTTTAATGCCTTTTATTTATTCAACATCCATGACAGCCTGAATGATTCGTAAAGAATTATCAGATCGAGGCCTATATATCGGGGCCCGGGCCGGTCGCCGGGGCCGAGATGGCTTATCTTACCCAATCGGTGTGAGGTCACTTTCTTCACTTCTCCACCTTCTACCCTCTCTGCCCATTTATCGGGGTCCCTAGAGTAGACCTGTCTGCTCACGGATATCACTGGAGTAATCTTCAGGTCAGATACACAGCCTCTGGAAGACAATGTGCCAAGTATTGTATGCTGACCGTCCTTCGATTCACAGTAATCCTGCTGCCTTCCCCCTCTCTTCGAGGCCTCGCAATCTTATCGCAACATGAGGATCTAGGTCTGACAAAACAGTTGCAGTCCTTCCTAGGCCACTACATTATTTCCGTTGTCTTTGACCGTTTCGCCTTCTCTCAAAATGGACCGGGAGGAGGCTCCACCCCCATACTCGCCCGTTGACCCATTACTTGCACCGGCGAACAGCCGGAATGGCGTATCTCCCGCAATCCCTCTTGGGGGAAATGTGTCCCCCTCGCAGGCGCAGGGCGCCAGTTCCTCTCGCATTCCCGCACAGCCGACGGTCGTACCGACGCAGTTCACATCCGCTGCCGCGTACTTTGAGGAACGGGTCCCCTCGATTTTGGATGAGAGCCGGGAGCTCCTGCAACATCATATGACTATTTACCCCCGAAGCCAAGCGAAGGATTTCCCGCGCCGACCGCGATGCTGGGCCGCGCGGTTCAATGAGATCGCCCAGCAGGACTGGGATATGTTCTTGAAGTATCTCTTTCCGCCTCATCTAGGTCTCGCCGCATCATCGCAGCATCTACCACGTCAATTACGAGCGGAAATTAGACGGGACCGAAAAGATCGCCCGCAGGAGAACGATGAGCAGCGCAGAGCTCGTATTGCTGCTGTTGTGGCGGAGTGGAACGAATGCTTTTTCGGTTTTCGCGGTGCTCAGATCGTCTTCGTCTACGTAGGGGAACCTGATTCTGCCCCGTCGTCTGCTTTATGTCCCCGATGCTATCCAGCAGCAACGGGATCAATGGAAGGTCTACCGGCTCGACAGATGAATGCCCCTTTGCCTGGTCCTGGGCAGCACGTTCCTTCGCAAACCCCTTGGCAGATGCCTGGCCCTCATTTCCACAATCCGCTTGTGCCTGTGCACCCTCCGTATGGAGCATACGGTGTTCCTACATACCCGCCCTCGGTGTCCCCCAACCAGCCGCCTCAGTACTACCCCCATCCACAGCCACAAGGGGTCTGGCAATACAACCACTGGACATATCCGCAGCAACAGCCACAGTATAACAACAACACTTCTAAGGGTGGGTCTCTAGGATGGATTTCACAACTCGCATCACAAGCGCAGAAGTATGGGGAGCGCTTCAGCGAACAGGCCTTACACTACGGCGATCAGATCAGCGCACAGGCACAGCACTATGGACGACAGGTCGAGGAGCAGGCTCTCGCCCATGCCCGGTGGCTTGAAGAGCAAGCACGGCTTCACGGCCGGAAAGCGCCAATGGTCGGTGCACAGTATGCAGGTTATTATGGTCAACCAACCTGGGATAACTCGCCTCGACCGATGACGCATCCCATGCCCATCCAGACTCCGAGTCCAGTGGCAAGTCCAAACACGACGACTGGGGTTGAAATAAGCAATCAGACCATGGACAGCGACAAGCTTAAGGCCTTAACTGAACCGCAAAAGCCGGAGCCTCCTGCGGCAGAACACACTCGAAGAGCCTCAGTGAGCTCCATATCGTCCGAGTCTTCATTCAGCTCCATCGACTCAATCTCTACAACGTCCGACCTGGGCATTTCAGATCTTGCCACAGTGCGCACTCAATTAGAACTACTGGACGATCGTCATGATCGAATATTATACGAAGCCGCCGTCGAGCTCCGCCGACAACTCTCCATCCTACGGGAATCCCGGCGAGAAGCCAAGTTCTCTGGTAAGAACTGGCGAGCCGGTTTCAACCAGAGCCAAAATAACTCATCCGACGACACCGACTGGGGCCGCTGGGATTCACCCGAGCAGCAAGAACGTAACTCAGTCGACAGACGCGCCATGAAAGAGGAATTGCGCGCCACCAAGAAAGCGTTCCGGGAGACGCTCCGTCGCGCGCGCGAAGAACAGCGTGACCGTCGACGCACTCGACGTCGGCAGGTCCGGAAATACCGCGACAATGATGGCGAGGCAAAGGCAAACGAGCCACTGGAGCAACAGGTTGGGACACTGCGCTTGGAGGATCCTAGTCAGCCTGTGTCGTCTCCAGTCGACGTACAAGCGGTCAATCCACTTCCTGTTTCTAACTCGAGTGTCGGCTTTGGTTTTGCTTCCCACGCACATACTGTCTCGCAGGAGAGTACGCAGGAATCGGGGGGCTCTGCTGGCTCCGGGAAGAAAGAGAAGCCCGGTGATACATCGAGTCGGTTGAAGGGTATATTCTTACCGCGCAAGGCGAGAAGGCAGCAATCGAAGGAGGAGGATGAGGAAGGTAAATAGTGAGACGGTTTAGTTTCTCTACCGCTCCTCGGCCTGAACCTAGTTCAATACATAGCAACGATAGATATGCGCAGGAACTCACATAGTGTATATAAACCCAGCACCTCAATACAAATGCGTAAAACTTTTGCAACTCTATAGATACACATGCAAACACATCTACTGAGCCTGCGCCTCATTCTTCTCAACCAAATCACCAACCCCCAAACCCCTCCCAACCTTAACGCGAATCATCTTCTCGGCATCCTTCTTCCCCAGATCGCCCACCTCCTCCCCCTCATCCTCATTGCCACCCTCCTTATCCTCTTCCTTATTATTCTCCCGATCCTTCTTCTCAATAGCCTTCCAATCCAGCCACATCTTCTCCAGATTCAATTTCATCGCATACGCATCTTCCCCGTCAGCGTAGTATCCAGCCTCGACCTTCTCGACCTCGAAACCGAGCGTATCGCGGTACAGACGCAAAGCGGCAACGTTGGACATGCGCACGTGTAGAGAGACGTAGTGTGCGCGGTGGGATTCGGCCATTGCGCGTTCTGTAAGTATTAGCATTTACTTCCTCTTTTTTAAAAATCAAAGGGAAAAGAAGGTAAAAAGAAGGTAAAAAGAAGGTAAAAAGAAGGGAAATGGAAAAAAGAAACTCACGACTCATCCTCATCAACCTCTCCGCAATCCCCAGCCGTCTATGCGTCCGCATAACACTCAAACTAGTAATATGTCCATGTGGCTTTCCATCCGCCGGTTCCTCCTCCATCTTCGCAAGCACGTACCCGACTACCTTCGGATACTGTCCGGAGACATCGCCAGCCAGCCCCGGGCCAGAGGAATTAGTCTTGTAGCCTGTGCGGGGCCGCACGACGGCGACGAAGCTCAGCTGCGGCCATGTCAGGGCGTGGTAGAGGTAGTATTTCAGGAAGTAATTTTCGGGGAGGTTGGTTATGTTGCAGGTTTGGATTGAGGGGAGGAGGTCGATGTAGGAGGGGTAGCTGCTTAGGGGGACGATGTCGACCATTTTGGCGTTGTCGGGGTTCAATTGGTGTGGGTGGTGTTTGCTGTGATGAGGGGTTTGGTTTTGGTCGGAGGTGGGTTTGGTCATGTGATTTTCATGGGGTGGACTGTAGGGCTCGGGGGATTTTAGATTGGAGATATTTGTAGGTATATTAGTTTGAATGGGTTAAGGGTTTATTACTTCAGTCTTCAGCTTCTTTAATTGTGTAAATAGATCAGGAACTACAATTTGTACAATACAAAGACGTAGACAAGATGAACTATGAATTATGTGCCCAAAATGACAAAGCCTAGCGCCGACGACCAATCTGGTCATGCAAGTATGTATCAGGATATCAAAACACGGACATCAGCATCTGTACTCCCACTACCACCAGCAGCACCATCGACATGCCGACAGAAGCCTCACGCAGTGCGCCAGATTCCATGCCACAGCATTTACGGTTGTATGTGACATTGTTCATCTTGGCAGCGACCTCGAAGACGGTGCCATTGGGCCTACCATAGTTGTAGTAATCGACAAGGAGGAAGTTGGGTGGACGTTGCCATTCCCCTGTCTCATGTTAGCAATGCAAAATCCACATTACGTGACAGAGATGAAGTAGGAACCTACCAGTGCAGTTCTCCGCCATCGCACCCAAACTACCACTGCCGTTCACTCCATTGGTCACAGATAGCTGGGCCATGTTGGGAATCAATATGTTCAGCGGGCCCAGATTCAATTCCAGATTCAGGTTGTGGTTAGCCATGTACATGCGCTTCTTGGCATCTTTCTTGGACAGACCCGGTGGCCGTTGTTGTGTGCAAGGGAAGGTGAGATCGGTGGGCGAGAAGGGTGTCTCCCAAACCTGTGAGAACTCGTCCATGAGCCACGGGTGTGAGGTCTGGTTGGCCTCGTAGTCCATGAAGAAGACGGCGCGCTTGTGCTTGAGGATCATCTCGGAGAGCGTAGGCCAGTCGTCCAGAGCCATGGGAGCCTTGGGCGGGCTGTAGATCAAGTCCTTCAGACCGGAGTTCATGATCGGGATCGTGAAGTTCTCGGGCTTGACAAAGTCGAAATTGCCGATGATAAAGCTCACCACGTCATAGGGGTTCTTGCGCATCCATTTGTTGACGTCGGACAGGTATGCTTCGAGGGTGCCGGCGTTCAGCAAATCGCAGGTCGTGTGGCACAGGTATATGGTGCCGTTCACGTAGTGGGTTTGGAATTGCACTATTCGAGTCAGTAAGGTTATGGTCCGCGGTACCGCAAAGGTACTCACACATGCGAACTCCGTCATTCAGCTGTTGCGTCACGTCCAGCGCTTGATTGGCGCCGAGGTTGTTCGGACGCACGAACGGGCTGTTGTGCGCGGCGATCATGGTGATATTGGAGTACTTTCTCCCACAGAACTCGGGATAGTTATTGCAGGGTTGCGTGTTGACTATGGGCGTCTTGGTCGCGGTACTAGTCGCCGTCGCCGTCGCATTCATCGTGCCGTTCCCGATCACCGAGGTTCTGCCGCCGCCGACGAGGAATGTCAAGGAGTCGGACGTCGTGGTGAATGTGGTCTGGTTGGAGGCCGGCATCGTGCCATTGTGTTCGGTCGGCGCGGCCACGACGGATGTTTCACCATCTCCCAAAGTAATTGTTGTGCTGACCTCTAGGTAGGTACCTGAGGGCGGGGCGACGGGCGTCGTCACTGACTTGACCGTGGTTGACTCGGTGGTGCTCGACTCGGTGGTGCTCGACTCGGTGGTGCTCGACTCGGTGGTTGTGGTTGTGTCCTGGGCCACGGCCACGGCCGCGAGGAGAGCAAACGTCGACCACCTCATGCCTGGATTTGAGATACTGTGTATGGAAAGGGAACAATGTTATGGACAGGAGAGATCGGATTTCAGATCCTCCTTACTAAGCGATCAGGGTCAGGGTCAGTAGATGACGTTGACCAAGAAAGAATAAGTGGGCCTATTAGGTACTGTAGCCTGACTGTAGGTATTTTTAAAGAGGCGAAGTGAGAAGGTGGAGATGGGGGATTCGAGGAAAGATGCTGCCTTGCTCTTGGGCGCTTGAGGGTTTCATTACACGACAGCATAGCCACTGTCTCCTATGTATTCTGGTAATATTGTATCTTTTCCTCGACCGTTAACCAGCATATAATCTCCTCTTCCTTTCAAATCCGCCTACTCCATACTGCAGATAAGTTTAAATGATCGTCAAGATAGGCTAGGAGACACGCCACTAGTGTCAAGCCACTGACGATCACTACAAGAGACACGACGATCAGGTGAAATCAGTCTGATTTTCCCATTAAAACAGAAAAAGAGGTTTTGGGCTCGATCTTGAAGAGAAGAAAGTCAACGACGGAGATTTGAAGGTCTAACGTCATCTCCCTAAGACTCCGGCCATTCTTTAACCCTAATTCCTACTCACTCACTCACTACTCAGCCTCTTCCCTTCTCTTCCTCGGGGAATTTTCATTCCTTTGCATTATCTCTTAAACACATATCATGGATGGGACGGACGGCACTGGCAAGCGAAAGCTCCCCCTTTTCAGTTCCAACATTCCAATTGACCGCCGTCGCCAATCCACCGTCCGCTGGCATCGTCTATTCCGTTCACTACTGTACCTGATCGCATGGATCTTTCTGCTACTGGTAGTCATTGGCAATATAGCAGACAAGCCAGTCCTACGCAGTACATATTTTCTTTACCTTGATCTCTCCAGTATCATCCCAGTCTCGGTCCCCAATGCCGTCCTCATCAACTCCATCGCCCAGACCATCGGGCTACACGACTTCTACACGGTCGGCCTATGGAACTTCTGCGAAGGATACAATACACAGGGCATTACCTTCTGCTCCAAGCCGAAGACTCTTTATGCCTTCAACCCAGTCGAGATCATCCTGAACGAGCTGTTGGCTGGTGCTACGAGTACGTTGACATCATCCCTACCTTCCACTGAAATACTGAAAAGACTAACCCAATCTTCGCAGTCGCCCTCCCCTCTGATATCGAAAGCCCATTAAAACTAGCCCGTCTCGCCTCCCACTGGATGTTCGGACTCCTCCTCAGCGCCGCAGTCCTCAACTTCGTCATGATCTTCGTCGCCCCGCTCGCGGTCTCTGCACGACACCCACGCTACATCAAAGCCTGGGCAGCAGGCTACAACGACCAACAACCGGCCAGCAATCCACCGCACCGCCGATGCACCTTCGTCTGGCTGCGTGCCCTACCCATGCTGATCCTGACCTTCTTCACCGCATTAATTACCATTGTTGGCTCCGCCGTCGCGACAGTCATGTTCGTCATCTTCGCCGACGTCTTCGCCAATGCCGACCCGAGCATCAACATTAAAGCGCACGTCGGCACCCAGATGCTCGTCTTTATGTGGATTGCCTGCGCGTTCAGTTTGTTGGCTTTCATTATCCAGTTCGGCTCGTGCTGTGCCGCCTGCTGTCGCGGACGTAGTGCGCGTAAGCAGCTCAAGTCGCAGGGTGTCAATTGGCGCGAGAAGGGTTCGGCGCATACCAGTGCGACTGATATTCCGAAGGAGCAGCGTGATGTTTCGGAGCGCCGTGTTAGCTCTGGTGAATCTGGACAGGCACAGCCGAATGGGAACTTCTCGTCTAATCCGCATTACTCCTACTCTTCGACTGAACCCCATGCCATTTTGGGTTGATCTCGTTCTTTGCATTTTGATAGCCGCCACTGTCTCCTTCATTCCTATACTTCATACTCTTGACATAACTTCTTTGGACATTTATCCACATCTTCCTTGTCACTTTGACCAGATACGATTTTACGACGGATTTACTTGGCATGTAAAGGAAATAGACTTGCATTTTGTTCAACGTCAACCCTGTTTCCTCCGAATTGAAAGATCAGAACCTGATTGAAATACGTAACTTCGATTCTCGCACTATTAACAGGTCTCGTGGCTTCGATTATCCCCACATTGAACACGTCACGGCCTTGCAGCTCTTGTCTTGGCCACTGGATATGACAAGGATCTTCTCTCAGACTGTGATTCGTCAATTCCGAGTGCTCTTGCGAAATAAGTACTGCGTAGCAGCGTAACTATCACAAGAATACTTCGGCATCCCCACTTAATTAAAGATAGCTCCACTGTAGCTCCCGAGCTCCCGGTCCTACCCCGGTCCTACCCCGGTCCATCCTATCCCGGTTCCATCCCATGGATTGGTCACTGTACTGTGCCCTTCCGACCCCGAACTTGGGGGAACATGCTTGGAACTTGGAAGCTTAAGAGGGACCGGGTCGGTAACATTGGCTATCTCTGCTAGAATACTTCCAAGGTTACATGCAGGTGAATCGGGTAGCTTCTTAGAATAATTCGAGTAATCATTACTCGGTTCTTAGGTAGACATTTGTGTATGAGGTTGCTAGATCATATAGAGCTCGTAGATTGATTGATAGCAGTCTGCACGAGAAGTAAAGGGGGAATTAGAGGAAGATGCATCCGCGTTCATAATGCGAGGCGCAGCATCAACAATCAATACATAGAGTGCTGGGATCATAAACTGAGATGTCAAGGATGAAAGCCCATGTCCTCAATCGAGTTCAGAGTCTGGACATCACAAGTAAACGAGACATGCACAATTATGATCGGCCACTCGAACGGAATAAATAGAGCAAGAGCAGCAAGGAAAAATGAACAGGAAAAACAGGGTATCGATATGGAATGGAAAAAGAATAAACCGAAATAAGAAGATAAGCCCAGAAAATAACAGTGAAGTCGAGAAATAGAAGAGAAACGGAAACTCGCAGACATGCATGCAGCAATGACAATAGTAAATAAGGGAAAATCATAAGCCGTCTGTCACTCCTGATACGCCACTGGTCGGTACCCGTATTCTGACGCCGTGTATGCAAAGGTCACAAATGCGGATGAAGGAGCAAAGACAAGCCATCTACATCTCCATGCCATACTCATCCTCCTCCTTGAAGCTCATAGCAGCATGGCCAGCACTGTTCCAGTACTGCGGCTGACTTGTGCCGTTGGCACTGCTGCCACCGCTGTGGAATGAAGGGCTCAAGCTCGGAGGGGTCAGGCCGGACATATCGCCGCCCTGCACCGCATCGCCGGCGATATTCGTGTGCTTGGGGACGCGTAGACCGCTGCCAGGGCCGCGGGTGTAGCTGAAGGAGCTGGGATCGTTCTTCTCCAGGGCGTCGAGGATCTCGCTGCGCATGCGCTTCTCTTCTTCGGTTTGCTCAAACGGCCACGTACCACCCAGGCGGGCGATCAGCTCCGCGAGCTCAGCCTCCTGTTGATACTTCACATGCAGGGCCCACATCAGATCGCGCGTCCAGCTGACGGCACCGTTGAGGATGTCGCCCTTGTTGGGTCCCTTCTCTTTCTCTTCAATGGGGAGACCCATGGTGATATTACCGGGTGTCGCGCGGCGGCCGTTGCCCCCCGCCAGAAGAGACGTGGCGGCATTGCCGCCCCCACCGGCCATGGACAATGCGCTGTTATTCACAAGTTGCTTCCGGACCTTGTCATCCTCCAGTCGGTGCTGAGGGACGAGGTGGGAGAGATCCTGGATCCGTTCGTTGATGTTGTCGCGTCGGCGGCGTTCGACCAGGTTATGTGAGGCACGGCGACGGCGGCGCTTGGCTTCCTGGGACTCGAGGTCTCCGCCAGGGAGATGGGTGTCAACCTTAGCGGGCAGCGAAGCATGCTTGCCGGACTTGAGGATCTCGGAAATACCGTTGTGGTGCTGGAGGGGAGGGGATGAGATGGGAGAGGACTCGACGTATGACTGTGCACTACCCGGCGTTCCATCCCACTGATTGGAGAGGCTCTTCTGGTGGCGAGCCTGTAGTCCCGTTCGAATGGGTTGAGAGGGGAAGCTGCCGGACTCAGGGGTGCCCAGGGTCAAGGATCCCAAAGCGGGGGTCTTGGGGGTCATTGGGCTGCGCCCATCTGACGAGGTACGGTCCATACCGTGCAAGCTCTGGCGCTTGGTGCCGAGGTAGGTCTGGTCGAAGGGGCTGGCACTCTGCATGTGCGAATTTTGCTGGTTCATGCGATACTGCTCGTAGTTGAAGCTGTTCTGGACAAACGGGCTGGCCATCGGCGCGTTGTCGGGGGTATTTGAGTACATGTGTGACATCTGACTCTGGTGACTCATGGCGATGCCACCGGCAGACTGATCCTGGAGATAGTTGACGTTATCCCGCTGATGACCGTTGGGACCGCTGATTTCGAGATCCAACAGCTCGTCCGTGTCGATACCGGAGTTTCCAAAGTTGAAGCTGGATGACATGTTCTGTTGCGAACCAAAGGAGTAGGGCATGAAGCCATTCTGCTGCTGCATGGTCAAGTCGGATGGGTCGACTGCGTCGTTGAAGTGGTTACCCATCGAGTAGCCGGAGTGTGACATGATGAAGGGGGTGTGGTCGTCGGATTCGTGTTTGATGAAGAGACTCGCCTCAGCCATAGCCTGGTGGAACAATGTTGGGTTGAAAGTCGAGGCGAAGATCGGCGAGGGGTCAAGGGAGGAGTCGTAGTGCCGATCCTTCTGACTCTCCGTGGTATGTGTCAGAAGTTTGGCAGACAGAGCCGCCTAATATTGGAGAATTCGAGAAGTGGTGGATATGAAAGTGTCACGATCTAAGTATTGAAAGATGTTAGTAAATCACTCGACCCCGCCCGACCATCTGAAGATATGACCTCCGTGCGCAAGGCAGACCAGGCAACTCCATAGAATGCAAATCAAAACAAGTCCGAAGGACGAACTAGAAAGGGATGCTAAGACTTACCCTTGAGAGCGAGGAATGAAGTCCGGGGGAGATTGCGAGGAGTGAAAAAAGCCGGGGAAAATTCCTCGGATTAATAGCCGGGATGAGTCGACTCCGGAGATAACTGTCCGTGATCGGAACAGATAGTCTCAGTATAAAAGGCGCAGGGAGTTAGGTGCAAGGCGATAGCACTGTTCTAAGGAACTGTGTGAGCGACAAAACACGGTCGGATATGATTAAAGAAAGATGAAGTGGCGGATCGGCGTGCATGTGAGAGAATGTGAGAGAGGAGAAAGAGACGTGAGATCCGGGGATAAGTCGTTGGCACCGAACAGAAGACCAGGGAGGATCAGAGACAAGGTCCGTAGAATTAAGACCGAGTCAGGCACTCAATCCCAAATGAATACCACAAAGATGCTGCGTACAAGGGAGAGAGAACGAGGGGAAAGCAAGAGGCGGTGGAAGGGCGGTGAAGCTGTGGCGTCGAGATGTTCGAGAAGTTTTGCCTCTTCTTTTGTTTGTTTGTTTGTTTGGTCGAGTTCAACTTCTTTTTCAGTTGATCTCGAAGTTGTATTTCGTCCCTCAGCGGTGAATTGCCCCCTCCGTTGCGTTTTGACCCCGGGGCATTGCTCGGCGTTTGATGCCCCTCACGCTCGGATTGCAATCGGAATACGAGTTGACGCAAGCGCTTACCTTTCTCACGACTCACAGCCAGGTAGCACGATGTTGGGTTGGATGGGAATAGGTGCTGGAGGCAATGAAATGTTCGAGACCTACCAAGGATGAAGACGGATATAGTGAAGTCGATATAAGTCGATATAAGTCGGTATAAGTCGGTATAAGTCGGTTTAAGACTGATCTGGCAGTATATAGATGCCAGTCTGTATCGAAGTCAGCACCGAATCAACCAAGGCTATACCCCAAACGACATCTCAATAAGCATCAGGGCATGCATGACGGGGCAATATGCCATGATATAAGACATATCATAAGCAGAGCCTCATTCACACGTGAGGAACTGGGCCACACAGCAGGCAGCAGCCATAGATCCAGTCATATACCACAGACGCAGGAACAAAGGATGATATGTGATGTATGAAGGCCCGGTCCGATAACACACCCTTGGATGTGTGTAGAGGTGGACAGTTAAGCACGTACCTGAATGTGTATGGAGCCAAAAACTAAGCTTGAGCTCACGAGGTAAAGTTCGATGGATCTCGAAAGTCTTTGCGAATCAGAAGTCTGAATAGAGCATGCAGTGACAACTCATCAACACGCGAAGAGGAAAAGCACTTGCAGGTTTCGCAGAGGGGATGGAGACTTTATGAACTCAAGCTCTCTCCTGCATCTCTCATTTGATATATTACAACATCGGTCATGCAGCCCGTCGATCGGTGGGAATCGATTGAGATTCACCTACGCCATCGTTATTTTTATGATTTATGATTATCTTTATTTTTTGGAATTAAGCACTAGGTTGACTACTACCATCTGGATCATATGGAAAATGAGAGGGGGGGTGAGTGGGTTATTGATGAAGGAGGGGTGGCGACGGTAAACCCCCGAGCCTCTCTCTCCATTTCTTCTTTTGGGTGAATGTACTATACATAGATAGAGACAATAGAGAAATATTCAAAGGAAAAGGGCAATAAGAAAGGAAAATCATATTCAGAACCCAAAATAAAAAACACACTTGGACAAAGGGGGGAAGGGTGATACAGCCGGATTGAGTAAAAACGGCCATCCCATGATACCTATTGGGATGTTTGTCACCTGTTACGACACGGTCATGACTCACGGGTGTCTTGGACTAGAGCAAGAATGTATCAGATGAGGCCTTGAGGGTTACAAGCATACCGAAACTCCATGAGCAAAACCCTAATCTATTATTCGGAGTGGACTCTGCGGTCAACATATTCACGATCTTCGAATGAGACCATGTGGGACATGAACGGTTGATGTGCCTGGAGTATGCAGAAGTATGTGAGGTAATGATACCTGGAGAAGATGACGCCGGAGATGGCAGAGATCGACATCAGGAAGAGCTGAAGAATCGCAAATATCATCCGGAGAACATAACATGGACCATATCTATACCTTGGCAATACCAGAGGTGCAACGGCAGTGGCTAACGTCCTTGATATAGGTGCGTATAAGCAAAACGGAAAAGAGCAATAGCACCAATCCCACAGTAGATCCACCCACAGACCCCATCCACCGTAAGCCCTATCAACTCTACAAGAGGATCAGTGCGGTCTGTTCTTCATGTGCGATGTCGTGCAGAGGACACTGGGGGATGACGATCATACTAGGATCGTCAAGGGAGCTTGGACCTTTCATATTGCTCCGCTCCCGACTTCCCGCCGTCTTGGGTTCTCTTTCTAGTTTTTATTCGACGTAGGGGACTCGTGGACCGTAGTTATTCGAGGTTACAGCGGCAAAGGAGAAAATCTGACGGGTTTCCAAGAATTTGGGAAATCTAACCTTTCAGTTGGAGAATGTTTCAAGGAAGTCGGCAGTTCAGACTTCGGACTTATTGGTTTTGGCCCGAAGCAAAGAGTAGAATGTGGCCGAGAGAGATCATTGGAGGGGTTGGAATGTGTCTTTTCTAAGACATCCAATGGTGATTAAATGCCATACACCTCACGTTGACCATGACCCTACTGAGCCACATCGCTAAACTTTCCCCTCTTCACTTAGCCACTTTTTGTATGAATATTGGAATCCTTCAAGAATCGACGGATGGGGAGTGATCTCCGGCGGGGGGGGGGGAATTGAGGGGAAAAATTGGATCGGACGTCCCGTCCCGTCAAGGTTAATGTGCACACGAGGACCCATGGTTGATGCAAGGGAGAGGTTTCTATTCCAAGTTCATTCAATGCGTATGGATATTAGTCTCAACAGTGAAGATACTACCCTCCAAGATGTTGACCGATCTCTATATTTACTGTGCACAGGACCCTGAGATGACGACATGCTGCATGGTTAAGGTCGCACTCCATTCCGGTGGTCACGGATAGATTGACATGTGTGTACCGAATATTCTACGGAGTATGTAACTCTTGATCATATCACGACGCAACGCAGATGCCTAAGAGAACAGGGAAAGTCATAGAAAGCAAAAGTTGAAGCTGAATGAGAAACAATCAGGCTAATATTAATGTGGATGTTACCCAGAACAGTCCAGTCCGAAGTGCAGCTCGGGGGGGGGGGCGTTTTGGCTATTCGGATAATTCCCCAAGGTAGTACACGGGTAGCTACATGAATAAATCAATCGGAGGCCATAAATCTGTAACATCGTCTTTCCTGGAGTTCTTCCGATACGGCTGGCGGCAATCAGATCCGTTGTAGCCGTTACTTCCGACAAATGCCTAGGGCTGTCCAATACAAGGGCTTTGCAATATCGCATCTCGACCGTTACAGTTACGGCGATCGCCACAGGGTGCGCACCAGCCATGGGGGATCGGCAGTGGGACGGCAACTAAAAACTAGAAGATGCAGAACGAGAGGGTGGCGACTACCTACTCAATGTAAAATGATAACTAGTCATGAGTCAGATTCAATAGCAAAGAATCGATGGTTAGTTACTATATTTGAGACAGATATTAGAAATACCTATTCATTCAGTGACTCCACTTCTACCATATTGAGCTGAACTGATCTGAGCTCATATTCGTGAATGGGAAAATGATCATCGATTTCAAACTTAGACGAAAGAGTACATGGGAATTTGTATGCCTTGAAGGTTTTGTTGACAAATTCCAGCGGGTACTGCGCGAAGCGAAGGAAGAGAGGCGATGCTGGTGCATGAGAGTATTATTCCTGCTCTTATAACGTAGCAGAAGCCGAGGATCCTTGATCAAATTATTCAAACTAGTAAACGAGCTGATACTCATACTGATGATAACAATAAGATAGTACTGCGTAGTTACTGTGTACACAGTAGGAATAGTGGAAGCGGCAGTATGGATCTATCTGGGACACGCTAAACCCCATTAGGTACTAGCTCCCTTTCCCCAACTTCGAGGCAGAAACGGGGGAGCTGCCACTATCACTTCCCCTCAGGATACCCCAATATCATTACGCCTTACAACGGCAACGTTTCATCTTCTTGGTAAGTGCATCGGCCTCAGCCATTTCCTCAGCGATTATCCTATGCCAGGATAACCCTGGGCTCCCCCACAGGGCTCGGTCCGAGAGATGGGTACCCCAACACTGGAAACATCATCTGACAGCTTCAGGACTTAACGCCGATCGGGTTGGTCGCATCGGTAGCTTTGCGCCATCTCGTCATTTGCCTTGGCTTTTCTAGTCCGCTCCCCTCCTTTATCGATAGCCCAGCGCTTCCTGGTCCAATCAACACTTGTCGACTTCCTGCGCCGTGTCCGTTTTCCCCCCTTCTCGGATCGTGCCCGCAAGGTTCAACGTCGCCCACTATCTCTCCGCTCCGGTGGTCTCACTGGCCGGGCCCTTGCACATCGTACCTTCGATTACGATTCATCTGGGCCGCTCCATCGACTCACAAGCCCCCGGTAGTCGTCGCCGATTCCGTACATAGCTGCAGATCCCGTTAGGTTGACGCCTGTTGCAGTGCAATAGGCAGCCCTTTTCTTTTTGTCGGGGAGATTACGCATAAGCTTTACCATCGGCTTGTCCTAGTCAAAACTTGATATTCCGATCCTGCTGTTCCAGTCGGAAGACTTTCCCCAACAGTGGTCCTCGTTCGACACGAGTCACGGCGTGTCCCAGTTCATCGGAAGCCGGATCCGTATTCGGCGCAGTAGTCATCTGCTCTTCTACTGGCTTGACTAGGACCCAAATCCAGCCAATCCTCGAGGATCACCCTCCACTGGCGCAGATCATCTGCACTCCATCTCGCATAGTCCCTGCAGAGGATACTCCCGGTCTTGACTCTTCAGAACACGGGCCTTCTCTGCCGACGCAGCACTACACGCCTCTTCCCCACTCCTCTCAATTGGGATTTGCAATCTTATACTTGACTAAACTCGTCTCTCAAATATGGCGAATAACTCGTTTCGGGATTCCGTCAACTCGCTAGGGTGGTCGCGCAGAGATCCGGATCTTCCCGTGCACACCGGCGGATCGAATCCCACTTTCTTATCTCGTCTACAATCCTACAACCCTTTCGGCGAAGGTGGTTATGTCCAACTGCCGACTCACAATGAAGGCCCTGGTGCCCCATTACCGGCACCCAATCGACGGGAAGAAGAAGAGGGCTTCTTCGCTTGTAAGTTTCTCTCCTCGGCCTTGTGACCCTCCGATCTTCAGGTCTACTCCACCGTTTGTCATGTTCCGGTGACGAGAGTGCAGTTCCTGCGCCGGATGCATTCATCATCACTATGCTTGTTTATGTGGTTGCAACCCGACAGGAGAAGAGTAGAAACATACTAACACAGATTGCGTATAGTGAGTCGGTGGGACCGCATGCTCATCTTTGGCGCATGTAACCTGGGTGCCGCCGTTTGTTTCATGATCTGCTTCTTCTTGTTCCCTGTTTTGTCATTGAAACCGCGCAAATTCGCGATCTTGTAAGTGCCTCTGCGATGGTCCGCATTCTCCTGGCCGTCCACCCCCCCCTTTCTCTTCATTCATCAGCTCTTATGCTCTCGGACGACTGTTCCAAATCCCGAGCTTAGGTAACCTGGGTCATCGGTGGATTGTGGCTGGGGCCATGTGCGCGTTCACACTGCAACAAGGCGATTTGATTCGTCCTGCCCTGGCCTTATATCTGCGCCTCTTGCCAAGAGCTTTATTCTTTATTGTTTTGGGTATCTTTTGCTAACAGTTTCCCTAGATGGTCTGTCGGTTCAATCCTGTTTTTGCTATCATGGGCTGTTCTCATGGGACCGTGGACATACGCTAAGCATCTGATCTCGGGATCACGACTGCCCTTCACAGCGGCTTATTTCGGATCGATCGTGCTGACACTTTACTTCGCTATCGGGGTAAGTCAAGTAAATTTCTTTATCTTTTCGTCTGGTTTGCGATTTGTCTTTCCCTTTACGGTTTATCTCGTTCCCCGCGGGCGATCACTTTTGGCCTCATGATACTTCCCTTTGCATATTCCTTGATTGTCGCACACTCCTTCAAGGCTTCGCCCGCACTCTCCCACATTATTGGAAGTATGGTTGTACTGCACCGGGAAAAGGGGATCTTGCAGCCTTCCCATCCATCGCGCAGTACAACCAGCCGAGCACGGCCAGGGATCTAGCTCCGTCGACCCATCCCACCCTGTACTAGACCGGGCGCTCTACACTCGCTGAATCTTGCATCTGTACCACGTCTCACCGCAGCCCGGGGCTTCGACGAGCCTTCCCTTACTTTACCTTGTCCAACGCCTCCCGGTGTCACAAAGCGCGGAGTCCAGAGCCGTCGAGACAATCTATGTCTCACCGTCCCTGGCTGCTTGGTCACTGCTCAGTTTGTTCACTGCATATCACTGCACACCCAGTTGCCGCATCCAGTATCATCTCTCTCTAGAAACCCTTTGCTGACTTGTTTACTTTTTCGCTCTAGCTTCAATCCCTCTTCCTCACCCTCATCTCCTCCATCTTCCAGCTCGCCGCCCTTCTCTGGTACCTCGTCAGTTACTTCCCCATGGGCAGCACTGGCTTGCAGTACGTGGGTCGCTTTGGAGCCTCGCGTGTCACCGCTTGGATGTCAGGTTGAATTATTCAGTGGCATGTGTTGCTATCACCCGCACTCTCGAGTCTCTCGGAACTTGCATAAAGGTGGCCACTTGCGATATTAGAGCGGTCCGCTCTTTTCAGTGTATACTTAACTGGAGACTACTCTCTGGTGTTGATGCTTGCGTTTTGCATGTGGACTAGATGGGTAGTAGAATATTGATATCCTTGAGAGGGGACCTGTCACTACGAGTACATACTATCCATGCCTAGCATGAATTTGAACAGTTGGCTCCGAAGGATAAATTGTGTTTCATAAGCAGACACAAGGTAGGTGTGTAGCCATGCAATAAGATATCGTGTATGCATACATAACCAGGTAAGAGCAAAATTGCTGAGCAAGATTGCAATCGTAGATGTATAGCCATAGCCACAACCAATAGCGACAATCACCAGGCTATAATATAAGCTCAATACTTCCCCCGACTCATAACCAACCCAACAACCCCATCAACAACCTTAACACCCTTAACATCGACCTCAAAGATGCCCGTATCACCACCAGACCCAACCTCCACCCACCTCTTCAGCAAATCATTACTCTCCTTCGGCTTGACATCCGGCGAAGCAGTGCCCACCGTAATATGCGGTATCGGATTCGCACAAGGCCATTCTGCGCCCGTCTCCGTCTCCGTCTCCGATTCCGATTTCTCAGGTAGGATGCGCGCGACGAAGGTCATGATACGCGCGTCCCAGATGAGTCTTTCGAGACGAACACGTGCAGAGCCGAGGGTGGGTGGGTTCTGGACGGGATTCGGGACTGGGGAGGTGTTTTGTGCGGTGATGTACTGGTTTACCATCCTGTCCCAGATTTCTGGGCAGTCTTTCTTGGAGGCGCGGTGGATGAGAGTGACGTGGAAGGAGGACTGGAGGCGGCGGGAGTTGACGAGTTGGTTGTAGAGGCGGGCGGTTTCGGGGGGTGTTGAGGAGGGGAAGAGGGAGTGGAGGGTTGAGGTTATTTCGTTGGTTGGGAGGGAGATGTTGAAGTATTCGATCTTTTTGGAGAGGGCTTCGGGGGAGAAGGCGGTTTTCCCTGCTGGTTCGCGGAGGGTGATGCCGTTGTCCGGGGAGTTGGGTTTGTTCTTGTTCTTGGGGGGTTTGCCGTAGCTGTAGCTGAGATCTGTGTCGACGTGGTAGTCGTTTAGGGAGGCGGAGATAGCGGCGTCGAGATCTTCGGATGAGGGCATCTGGGGCACCAGTCGAGGGTATGCGCCGTGCAGGGCTTTGACGACTGTTTCGAGGTTCTCTCGAGATGAGGCGCATACGTCTAGGTCGATGACCTGGTCGAAATTCTCGTCTGGCCTGCGGCTGGTGTCAAGGCCTTCGAATCGGTTGAGGAAGCCCTCCATGATTCCAATGGTCTCTTCCTGGGCGTTGGTGCCTGCTCGGATGGATTGGTGGTTGTCACCACGTTCTAGCACGCGCTTCCGGGTGACCTCTCGAATAGCAGAAAGACGTTCCGACTTGGGCTCGTGGACGTAATGTAGAGCGATGAACCGCGCATCAGGAAGCACAGGGTAGATGTCCTCCATGAGCTGCGAGCGTTCGCGCCGTTGGTGGTTGTTGCGATCGGCTATGACAGCGCTGTGCTCGCCTAGAGCATGGCTGACCTCGAAAGCGAACCTCTTCGGCTTGTTCTTCTGTTTGGGCAGGTTGTCGTTCTGAACATGTCCCCATTTGAAGAGCTTCACGAGAGCCAAAGCGACTGTTGTCTTTCCACACCCGAGGGAAGCAATCGGGACAAGGATGACATTCTGATTGATCTCCTTCGATTCACTCTGCTTCTTGATCTCCTGCGCGATGATATCGGATCCGGTCGTTCCGCGTTCCTTGAGGAACTCCTCCCGCAAAGCAATGATACCGTGGTTATGCATATACTCATCCGCCATCTTGGAGTTTTTCATCAACTTCCGTCGAGCAAACTGCAGGTACGCCTCAGTGATTTCCTGGTGTTTCCGGATCTTGGGGTGTTTGCCGGAGATGACGGCTTTGGTGCATTCACGCCACTGACGGTACATCAAGTACGGTTCTTCGAACTTGTACTTGAAGAACCAATGCCGGTAGGGCTCAGATCCGTTGTCACTGAGATGGCATCGAATAACAAAGCCCTCGGTTTCACGTCCATCCCAGGTTCCGGTCTCCGCGCAATTCTCGAGGAAGCTCTGCACACGGAAGATATCATCAAAGACCTCGAATTTGGCCTTCTTAAAGCCCCATTCGTCCGCAAACTTGTGCACCTCCTCGGACGGCATTGTTTGGAAGTCAGGCTGATTATAGTTAAGACCGTGTAGGTAAATGCCAGAAGATGCTTCGTCGTAGGCCAAGACATGCTCTTCGAACGAGTCATCACATAGCTCTCCAACAGCTGTGACATTCATCCGGCGTAGAGTTCGCGCCAGGTCCTTGACAGAACGACCCACGGCAGAGACATGACGTTCCACCCAATGTTCTCCTGCCAGGGCATGGCTCACGTTTGAATCTTCGCGAGCTCCAGTCGAGTGCTTGCTGCATACCAACAGTTTGTCGTTTTCCAAGGCGGAAATGAAAATAATGCATCCGTTCTCTTTCACGCTGAGCTCATAGGGCCCCTTCGTGTTCTTCTCGACGTTGCGCCATTCCGTAGCCTTCGTCTCACCCACATTGAAGAACTTATCATATCCGCGCGTCGCAATCTCAGGGGTCCCATCTTTCCTCCTGGTAGTGAAAAGACCACGGGCATATGTCGGTAGCCCAGCACGCTTGTAGTCCCAATCCTGGAACTTCCAGGAGTCTACGGTCACATTGTTGGTGCCGCTGACGGTGAATGTATTCTTTTTGCAGGTGAATTTGGCCTCGCCCTTCTTGGCCTTGCGAAGCTCCTCCAGATCCCTGACCAGCTTTGCAACCACTTGTGGGTCTTGAGTCGCCATCTCTGTGTTGGGGATCAAGATGAGCTAGATCTGCGGGGACTGAGAGGACGAGGAGGGGTAGGCGAAGTGGGGGTCGAGGTAGAGAAGCGAACATAAACTTGTAATTTTCAGTTGACGGTTATTGTCTAAGGTATTTGTAGGTTCCCGGCTCAGATCAAAATGATGTAATTCAAGGCGAAGAGAGAGATGGGAAGGAGTCAGAGAAGGTAAATTTGCCATTGGCGGGGAGCCAAAGAGGGAAAGCGGGAAGCTTGGGACATTTTTTTATTTTTCTCGACTTCTCTTTGACTCACTTCTGACTTCTAACATAACCCAACTGACTCATAATGGCCCAAAATCCCTTTCTATTGGCTTGCGACAACCCCCAGGCACTGTTGGATGTGCTGCGCCCCAACCCCTCGATCGCATCCAGTCAAGATGAGTCCGGTTACTCATTGCTGCACGCCGCAGCCTCCTACGGCCATGTTGATCTCCTACGCGCTCTAGTGAAAGAATTCAACGTCGATGTGAATCTCCTCGATGAAGATGGCGAGACATGTCTATTTGTGGCCGAACAAACCAATGTCGCACGCTGTTTAGTGGAGGAGCTGGGCGTGGACGTCAATAAGAAGAATGCTGAGGAACTTACAGCCGTGGAAAAGATGGAGACCGAGGAGGAGTTCCCAGAGGTTGCTGCCTACCTCCGTGAAGTGGTTGGGGGCGCTTCTGCGCAAGCGGTCACCCCGGCAGACGTTTTGAACTCCCCTGGTCCTATCCCTGGCAGCGATTTGAGGGTCAGGGTTGGCACAATGACGGAGGAAGAAGCTACCGGGGGTATGAGTGAACCGGATCCGGAGTTCAGGAGGCGCATTGAGGAACTGGCGACTCGTGAAGATTATTACAGCGAGGAGGTGCAGAATGAGGTGCGCGAGCTGGTCAAGGATGCCATGGCCGGGTCGAATATTGAGGCTATGGAGCGGGATCTTCGGAGGAGAAATGAATAAATGGTCGCGACCGTCTTAGATCTCACTGCCACTTTGGGCTCTTGTCTAAGAGCCCGCCATCGCACGGGAGTTGCACACCACGGGACACCCAGTCTCTCTGAGCTTCTCCAGACAGACCTTCGCTCTTGGTGATCGTACCGAGCAAAAGCAGAGTTGCGCCTTTGCTCTAGTCATTTCCTACATATCACTTGGAATTCGCCGTTCGAGTCCTGGTGAGACTCATCCAGGGTGGTCCGGTCACCCGGTGCTCGGTGCTCAGAGGCTCGAAGGAAGCTTCTTCACGATCTTGTAACTAGAATCGAATCACGAAATACTCATGACATTCCCATCGAAACAATCTGCCAATCCTATATCTCCCATATGTCATCGAAAATTAAAATGGTGATCGTGTACGATGTAATCTCGTAGATCCCCAGTCCGCTCCCCGCCAAGCTCCAGCTCCATTCCCATCTCCAACATTCCAACTTCAACACTCCAACCACCCCTCATGTCTCAACCACCGTCTCCCTTCCCCCCACAATCACCATTCTACACATCTCAAACAATGAACCCCGACACACCCCCTCCACCACCCCCAAAACCCAGCAGTCATGAAGCTAGCCGAGGCGGCACCCCGCAAACCACCGCAGACATCCACCACCCGCCAAACACACAGCAGGCATACCCAACCCAATACTTCGCCGACCCCCCGACAATCGAAGAAGGCTGGCTCCCAGACCTAATAACCGACAAATCGTAAGCCACCAAAGATAAAATCCGAAGGGACCACCAACTAACCCAACCCCAGAACAACCGACCTCCAAACAATCCTCCAAGACCCAACCCTCCTCTCCGCACTCTCAAGCCAACACCCCTCCTACCAAACCCGTCAACAATCCCTCGAATCCCTAATACAAACAAACAAAGACCTAGCAGCCCGCCTCTTAGACCTGCAATCCCACCTCGCTGAAACCCGCGCCGCAACAGAGACTCTCCTCATAACGCACCAGTCCCTCGAGGTCACATGGCGCAAGAAGCAGGCCGAGATGGATGCTGCGCTGGCGCCGTGGTCGCCTAAGGCGCTGTATCAGCGGTTTAGTGCGGCGATCGCGGAGCAGGAGGCTGTTTGTCGTGCGGTTGAGGAGAGTTTCCTTGATGAGGATCATCATGGGAGGGCTACGGAGAAGGAGATTGCGGATTGGGTTAGGCGGGTGAGGGGTGAGGCTGCGAGGTTGGCCGCGAGGAAGGAGGCTAAGGCGCGGTGGGATGAGGGGCGGGTTGGGGGGTGGCGGTGATATGGATTGAATGTTGGATGGGCAATCTGGTTGGCTCTGTGTTTACGATGTGATGCTGTCTCCGATTCATGATATTTCATTATGCAAACAAGAAGTATCTATACAATACTTGGAGCTTTTTGTTCAAATGTTCCAACACCCAGAAGGAACCAGACCAATCACACCTGAAGTCTACCTTGTCGACCATCACTGCTCTCCGGCTTAACATGTTCCCCTCCATACGGCCCATGCATCGCCGCATTCTCAAGATCAAAACCGCGCCGCGTATCGAACGCCCAGCTATCCGTCCCCAGCGAACTGGGGAATCCAACACCGCGGAGGAACGCGCGTCTAGGACTGCGCGCACCCCAAGCCCAGCCTGCGCCGCGCCGGATCGGGAGGTGGTACATGTTGAAACCGATATAAGCGAAGAAGATCCCCATCGCCGAGCCGAAGAGGATGTCGAAGCCGTGGTGTCGGAAGTCGAACCAGCGTGACGCGGCGATGAAGCATGCCGTCGCAGTCGGCACGAACACGATCAGCATCAGGTACACCGGCGGGGCGGCGCCCCGACTCCGCACGGAGGAGCGGTCGTCTGTGTGGGTCTGGTCTTCGACTGGGTAGGGTGGTAAATATGGAAATGCGACGGAGAATTTGGAGCAGAGCCAGAGCGTTAGGTAGATCAGGCCGGCGAAGGAGACTGGTAGACAGAATGTTAGCTATTACTTTCATCTTTCCTGGTTCTACATCCCAGGGCGGGAAACGCGGGTAGAAGCAGATAACGATAGACTGTAACTCACAAGAAGCATGGCCACTAGGGAAACTAGCAAACCCATCTCTGCTCAATGACTTCGACGTCGTACGACAGATCTCCCACGAAACCAATGTCGCACCACCACGCACTCTATCCCCAAGGCCGCCGACCGTGAACTCTGCAATTCGCGCAAGATCCGGGTCACACCGCGCCAGCAGATCAGGCCGCGGTTTTCCAACCAACACCTTCAGGCCCTGTGTGGCAGCCCAGGAACCGGCCAGCGCCAGCCCAAGCCCCATCCAGCCGGCGTTCCATTCCCAGAATTTGCGGCGAATGTATTTCGCTGCAGGGGGTTTGGGAACAGTAGATGGCGATTGAGTGGATGCGGTGGCTGTTGCGGGGATAAGCAGCCATGCGCCGAGGAAGATCAGGACTGCTGGGGCGAAGAGGCAGACGAGGAGGAGGGTTTTGGTTGTCACTGTCTCTTGGGTGTGTGGGTAGCTGATTGTCGGGTCTGTTAGGCTGAAGGGGTGGTGATTTGTTGGTTGTTTGAAGAAACCATAGCCGATTAGGGCGATGCCGCTGGTTTGCGGTTAGTTTATGTGACCGGGGCGGTGGGGATCGGCGCACATTATGAAGATCCAGTCGATGATGTAGGACAGGACTAGGAGTTTGGAGATGGAGATGAGGTGTGTCGCTGTCTCTTTGATTGCAAAGGCCATGGTGGATTTGGTATTGAATTGGAGTGATAGCGATAGAAGAATGGAGTATAAGGATGACCCGAGCTCGGTGCCCTTGGGCCTTGTTCAATGGGTAATGATATAATGGGCGAGCTTCCCCGGAGCAGACACTGTACAAAAACTGCTCGGCAATTTACCGACAGGAGAAGAAAATCAGCCCGGGTGGTTCTGGTGATAAGTAACATTCGGATCATGACGCCATCCATGTCCGGCAGGCGGCAGCTTCAACCAAGTGTGGCGGTGCAAGAAGCTCAACCTTATTTTGGAGTGAACTCGATCTATACTGACCCAATTGTATGCAAGATACCCCTGTCAGGCTGTCATGTTGGATTTAGGTAGATTTCGCTAAGTAAATGGCGCGCCGGTTCGCTACAACCCAGGTAACGCAGGCTTAGTACCGAATGTGGACATAGATAATATCAGCCAGAGGCACTAGCCTCGTCAAAATTCCATTGAGGTGATTAAAACATAGCAAGCAGCCTGAGCTGAGAGAGAAACTGGAAGATAAGATCCCAAGTTGAAAAGTGAAATAAAGCATAGACCCATGTTATCCAATGCGCCGATGCGCCATTCCTTGAGCCCGACCAAATAATTTCATGCAAGCAGCCGGCGGCTTCAAAAGCCACGAAAGTTCAACCCCCAATTAGAAGCCGGTGATCATTCTGTTGCCCAAGATAGCATCGTTGATTCGCTTATGGACCTGCTGAACACCCTCGAACCGGATAAATCCGCAGGACTCGCTCTCCAGGTGACTGAACAAACTAGCGAGAGAGTGGAACTCCTTGGGACAGCCTCGTTTGAGACAATGATAAACTTTTTCCTTGTGCACGGGCGAGTTCAAGTGTGCTTCCAGGCCCCTCGATGTAGTGAAGCACTTCTTGCAGATGTAACACACCCAGGAGGTACCGTTGAATGCACGCGGGGTGACCGAGTAGGTTACGGATGGTTGCTCGTCGTGCCAGCCAATCTGCTTCTTGCAGATAGCGCCGTTTGGGTCGAGGCTCCGAATGATCCGGTGGATTCTGTCGCGGTTCAGCGAGGCAGCATTGGGACACGATCCACTCTCCAGGTGGTGGGAGACACCGCTCGCAGTGACGAAGCTTGTCTTGCAGCACGGGCAGGAGACAGTAGTGCCACGATGGGTTTTGGAGTTCAGATGCTAGTAGACAGACAAAGTGAGTGGAACAGGTTCCAAGATGCTCTTCCAAGTTAGGTTAGCTCGCCTACCTGGCGCAGGCAATTGTCGTTCATGAAGCGACGATTGCAGTCTCGGCAATAGTTTTTGTAGTGTCCCATAGAAGCCATGTGGCTGTCCGCGGCAGTCTGGGTGCGGAACTTCATCGTGCACATCTCACATGGAATGGTGGGTTTCCAGTGGTTCAGGGCGTTCATGTGTTGATTGGCAGCCGACTGAGAAGAGAACTCGCGGGTGCAAGTTTCGCATTCGAAAGTCGGTGCGTAGTGGTTCATGGAGTTCATATGCTGATAGCAAGAATTCCAGGTGCGGAAGATTCGATTGCAGGTCTCGCACTCGATCCAATGACCGTATCGAAGAGCTGGGAGAGTCGGAGGGCATTCATCCAAGCACCATGGCAGACGCCGCCAAGGGTGATCATCGAGGATAGAGAAACCGCAGTCAACCACCATAACCAGACACTCGCGATTCCAGACAAGAGACCTCTCATCATGTACACTGACGGGAGCGGAATTGATGGGAAGATTGGAGCGGCGGCGGTCGTGGATCTCGAAGACCGACATGCCCACAGCCAAATGGGGGATGATGATACGTCGACTGTATATGCCGCGGAACTCCGAGCCATTGAGATGGCACTCACAATGGCCCAGGAAAGCACAGAACCATGGGCTGAGCAGGCGAAGAATGGAATTGTCATCTTCGCAGACAGCCAGGCAGCGCTGAGGGCGCTGCAACGACCACGTATGCCATCAGGACAGGTTTATCTGTCAGGATGTCTCGACCTGATCCAGCAGTTCGCAGACAAAGGGGTCTGGACAGAACTGAGATGGATCCCGGCGCACCAAGGGGTCATTGGCAATGAGATCGCGGATCAACATGCCAAGGACGCAGCGCAGGGCCCGGAAGGACCGCAAAACTCTCTCAACAGAGGGATACGCCTTGCGGCCGCGGCAAAAAGGCGCATACGCAGTGAAGCAAAGTTGGAGTGGGAGAAGTTGTGGGCAAAGGAAACGACCAGTCGACCGACGAAACGCCTGATCGAGATACCGACAAAGAAAACGCTCGAGTACTGGTCAGGGTTACGCAAAGCCACGTCGTCGATTCTGATACAACTCAGAACTGGTCGAATTGGCCTAGGCGCCTACCTACACCGCATCAACCGAAGAGATTCTTCGCGGTGCGATTGCGACCTTGGCAATCAAACGATTGCTCACGTCCTGCTGGAATGTCCCCTGCACCGGGACGAGCGGGACTGGATGAGACGCACTCTCTCCGACAAAGGAATAACTCTCCATCGGGATGAGCTCTTGACGAGGCCGGAGGCCCGCACGACTGTGGCCGAATTTATGGTCAAGACTGGTCTACTGGGCCAGTTCGAGACAGTCGATCCCGCGGCGCTGGGTGAGGAAGAAGGGGATGACGGGGGGGAACTAAAACTAAGACACCTTAGTGCGGTGCGATTGGAGAAGAAGAAGAAGGATGGCGCAGTTTAGGAGTGCAGTGCCAGGTCCACTGTACTCCCTTGATCCAAGCGAGCACACGAGCGGCAGCCGACAAGGATGGGCGGCTGGAACGAAGGGGATACGGGGATGTTACGTGGTGATATGTGGTTCTGGTCCCTACGGCCAGGAGTGCGACACTCATTTTTTTTTTCTGTTTTTTGTCTTTCCTTTGTTATGGTTTACATTTTTCTATTCTGGGGGCGACTGGTCGGAAATGTGCAAAGCGAGTTTCCAACAGTCGTCCAGTGGGCTGGCGCCCACACTTTCCAGCTGTCGGCAGGCCTGATAGCAACCCCGCATAGCAGCTTATACTTAGAGCAAGCTACATCGGGCCAATGAATTTCTCTCTCTCTCTCTCTCATCCAATGACCGTAGTCATGCATGTGCTCATCGCAGTCATCCTGGTAGAGGAACCACCTATCACACGTGAGGCATTCAGGCATTTTGGGCGGACATGCGAGGATGTAAAGTGGAAAGAGAGTTAGAGGAGAAGGGAAAGGAAAGAGGGGGATGTCAAATGGATCGTCAAACAAATCGGTAAGGGGGGCGATTGTAATTCCAAGATCCCGTAATGCGGATGTATCACATCTTATCTTAGATAAGAGATGATCTTCCACCTGCAGGACTGTGCCTTCCTACTCCGTACTTATCTATCTATTGGCTTTTAATTGTTCCACCCCGCCTTTCTCTCAGTCCACACTCCACGCCCTACCTGAAATTCCAAGTTGACCTTCATACCGGACACCGCCTTTCCTGTGTAGGTACTAGACAAATTCGTCTCCCGTCCTCACCGCCTTCGAAAGTGACCTATCGTCTGCCCCACTCCTCCTAAATGTCAACCCAGATTTTTCAGGCATAAAGGTGGGACGATTTGATTGGTCGAGGCAGAGATATGCCTGAAGGTTATGCCGAGGAAAGAGAGAGAGAGAGAGAGAAATTCATTGGCCCGATGTAGCTTGCTCTAAGTATAAGCTGCTATGCGGGGTTGCTATCAGGCCCTGCCGACAGCTGGAAAGTGTGGGGAGGTAACTAGAAAATGTGAAAATGTGGCAGAAAATTAATGGAAAGGCAGAATAATTGGCATGAACTCGGGGGGCTGACACAGGTTCATATTCACCTTTCCTAAGGTTGCTATGTGTCCCCCGACTCCCCCGGTCAAGATGCCTTGACGGCTAAGAGTCGCCGCTAAGAGCCAGAAAGTTTTAGCTATCGACAAGATGAGCTCGTCTACGGTGTGTGTTGAATGTCGGGTCATGGCTTGTGAATATTGGTGAATAGGTGGCCCTCCTTCGAAGGTATGACCTCCGAGGAGTGCAGAATCAAACATTTATCTATATCTATTGTCTAATTGTTCTTGTCGTTGATTTATCCTGCACGATGGAAGCCAGCACAGTTGCGCTGTTCGAAGCCATCCATTATAAGAATATGGTCCTGACAGATACATCCTAAAGCTCAAATGGAATATTTAGCTCTCAGCCTCAGCAGCCTCGCGCTTCTGGGCCTTTTGGCGCTTTCCAAGGATAACAGTGCTCAGATTGCCAACTGGCAGTGAGATCGGGAAATCGACCGCATCCAGGACCTGCGCAATAAAGATATGCCAGATTGGAAAGCAGAGTGCCAAATTGAATGCACCGGCCGCCTGTGCATATACAATTAGTACCTAGACAGTGTACAAGGGAGCAAGAGACGTTCGCAACATACCTTTTGTAGCCTGGCTGCCAGGGCCAAGTTACCCAGCGCAGTCTGGAAAAACGTGCCGGCGAACAATGCGAATGTGATAGTGAGCAGTAAGAGTGCACTGAAGAGGCAGATGTTTGTGCGGAGAGAGCAGATCATGTATACAAATGTGAGGAGTGAAAGGGTGACATAGTAAAAGGCTGGGTGTTATCATGTCAGTATGGCTTGTACGAGATATGATCTAGTGGGATGGATGAAGCTTACCGAGAGTGGAGTTGTACTCAGCCGTTTTTATCCCTTCCAGTGTATTGCCATCAGGCGAGTACATTGCGCCCACGGCGAAGAATGGAATGAGGGAGGTACCTTGGACCAGCCAGAAGGTGCCTATACCCGGATATGATTAGCGAAGACGTTCCGATTCAGACAGTTGTACATACCGTAGGTGAAGAATAGAGCGCTAGAGAATGTATTTCCGAGAATCCATTCACCGATACCTCCGAGGATCTGTAACATTGCGCCGAAGAAGATGTAGACCGGTCTAAAAGACGCTCTATTAGTACGATTTGCTTTCCGAAAATCTCCCCTCTCGCCTCTCGCTCTTACAGAATTGCACCGCCATTTCCGCCAGATCCTCTCCAGCCCATCGTTATCATGCCTGTCGGGAACGCAGACAACAGGAAACCCATCAATGCGATCGGCGTGGGATTACCAAATGTGAAGCGCAGCTTTGATGCATTCGGTGTCTTCGGACTCAGGTACAGCTTCTCGAAAACATCTCGCGGGATGGGCAGCAGGACGCTCTCGGCTGTTTGATAACGACGGAGTCTCTCTGCCATGGCAGTATCTTGCTTCTCACTGTCGTTGTCGGACATTCTGAGATTGAAGGGGCGAAGGTTGACCCAACAAGATACGTGAATCAAAGATTAATGTCGGCTCAAATGTGTGCTTCGACGAGCAAGAAAAGTTGAGAAAAGAGACACTACGAAAAAAAAACCCCTCCCAAAGAACTGCATCCACAGTCCCCTTTATACCCCGGATTTCTTCCCCGGCTACCCCATTGAATCCACCTTCTTATTTGGACCAGACTCCAAGATCCTGAACCTTCTGGACCCATTTCGTCTGCAGACTTCGGATATTCCCCGATGGCTCGCAGTCACCTGCCCAAACCTGATATCAACACTACCGCCAAGACCCAAAACAGCCTGAAGTAGAAAAAGGAATTGGGCGAAATGATTCGCTGGACGATCCGTATCAAATCCCGAAAAGACTTGGAGCGGCCACCACCCCAGGTTTCCACTGGCCCATGTACCCCGCATACCCCGCACATGTGGGGTGCCTTTCGCTCTCGTTTCAGCGCCCCCAAACTTAGGTTGGGACGCGGCCAAATCGAGAACCCGACGCCCGAAGCTTAGCCATACACAAGACTTGCCAAGATGGCTTGATTCAAGCAAGCTTTTGCCAAATACGAACGTATACTTTCTGCGAAAGCCACGGTTTGCCAATGAAAGTAGGTAGCATGAAAGTCTATCTCCAGAGTGAGACGTAACCCTTTGATCCTCTGGAGGCATATAGGCGACTCGGCAGCGAGCAGCCGAGGTTGCGACGCGGCTAGTATTCAACTCCAGAGATGGACTTGTGGGGAAACAATGGAACCTAAGAGGCAGCGGGTCCAGAAATTTACAGAAGAAGACAACCTCCGCTAGATTTTCCGCTTGCCAAGCTTGGATAGATGGACAGGGGAATGTCCTGGTGTAGTTAGGGGCTGGGATATGACGCGGCGATCCGGGGATCATCACTGCCAACACTGCCACCGCTCTAATTTTATCCCACCTGCATTACACAGCATGGAGTACTATGTAGCAATTCTCCGACCGGGGTTATTCCGGCTAGTACCTACTGTATCTCGGGGAAATAGATCATCTAAGCCAAGCAATCCACACACAAGTGGTGTGCATGTATGTTTTGTCACAGATAAGATGTTAAGAGGACAGTCGAATGACGAGGTTCAACAATTGTTACGCATTGGTAGAAGAGGAGACGCGCAAAGAGCAGACGCAATAGTTATGAGGTGAGACCGTGGGAGAGGGAAAAGGGTAAAAGGCTTAGCCGGCGGAGGACCCACTTTATACCCCAGATCCACGTGATGGAGACTCGGTTCCTTTAGGGGAAGATGTTTGTTCCTCTTCCTTCTACTTGGTCCCTGAACACATACAGTATTACTCCAGGGCAATCTTGAGGCTTGCAGTTGCAGCCTCAATGTTCCAACAAACGCCCCCATCCGGCGGCGTTCGTTGGCCCTCCAATGTTGACGCCATTCTACGTGAACACCAAATTTGTGAAGGATAAGACGGAGGACTTGGAGTTGACGGGGCGCAGCTGAGGCCCTGTCGGGATCCCCAGCTTTGAGCTTTGGGGTTCGGATCAATGTGTCATGACTCATGACTCATGAGATCTTGTGACAGATCCCCGTGGGGCCCCGCAAGTTGCCTCCATGTTATGGAACCATGGAACTTCTGATTGATATAGCAGCATGTATGTAAAGCGAGATACTAAATCGGGATAATGAATTCATCATCATCATGATCATCATTATGTGTCCTCCCATTCTACCTCTGATGCGAGCGTTGGGGATGAAGACCCTAGACTTGTGGGATAGCTCTGAATATCGTCAAGATTCAGTCACTGCCCGTATGGTCCGATAGACATAGGTATGACAACGTATATTACCTAACTAGGTTGTATAGGTATCTTCAATCGTCCTTTTGCCTGACCGGCTCACTTCACTCACGTGGAAACTGCCTGCCTCCTAACAAAATCCCTCATCCTTTTCGTAGAAAGATATGAACATAGAATTCGTCCAGAAATAAGTACACCGACTCTAGAATCGCTAATGCTCACATAACAAGGTCATGAACGTAACCAACATATACAGAGAACCGTCGCAATCACCACTCCAATCGATCATCGCAAATAAGATCGACATCGAACCTCTCCTCCCCCCTCCAAACCTTCCCACCAGAATTGCAAGACGCAACAATATCCCTCAGATCACTAACCATCCCACCAGGCCCACTGGCAAACACACTCGTCGGTCCGCGCACTGTCTCAGCCAAGAAATCACCAACCAGCGTCGGCAGATCAGGATGCCGATTGATATCGTTTTCACCACCACCAAGCCGCTCAACAGCAGCAGGTTTGTCACAGCCACAGCACGCAGTATCGGACCCAGAGGAAGGTGCGACCTGCAGGGCCTTCTCGTCAATCTTGGGAATCTCGAGATTACAGTTCTCTGCCTCTGAGCTCTCAATCGAGGGAGTTTTGCTTCTTGCATCGCGAGTGGCAAAGATTCGGATTCCGAGATTTAATGTCTTCCGCGCTTTCTGTAGGGGATCTAGCTCCGCTGCCACCCACTCCATGTTCACCGTGTGGCGGACTGCCCAGATGAGCTCGAGTTTGCGGTCTGGGGAGGGTGTTTGGCGGGCGAGTTCGAGGAGGACGGGGAGGACGTAGGTGATGCCGGTCCCGCCGGCGATGCAGAGGATGTTTGTGCTTGGGGTTAGTTGTCTGGTTATGGGCTCGCCGTATGCGCCGGTTAGGATGACGGGCGTGGTGGAGATGCCGGTGGCGGCTAAGTCGGCGATTTTCTTTGTTTCGCCGCTTTTCGCGCGGAGGATATAGGAATGTTGTACTGTGCCCTTTGAGACGCAGGGGACATTGAGGGGTGTGAAGGGGTGGGATTGCCAGATGCTGCACTTGGCAAAAGTCAGGTAGTAGTGTTGGCCGATGGTCCAGGCGTCCTGGGTATTGTGGAGATCGAGGCGGATGACGTCGCCGTGTTCTGAGTCTGGGAAGCGGGTGATGGTGGCCTCAGAGGATTTGAAGCTGAACCCGATGGCGTTGGAGTGATCGGGGTGATAATGTAACAGGGCAGTGCGTACTAGGCGAGCACCACGATCGAGGAACCAGAAGATCAGCGAGGGCCACATAAAGCACTTGAGTTGCTTCCAGTGGGCCCAGCAGGCGCCGATGTAGACCATGGCGAGGATGTAGTGCAGTTTTCGGAAGGTCTCGTAGCCGGTTAGTCTGATGCCCCACGGTGTACTCAGCACAAATAGTAGAAACAACAGAATCATGGCGACGACACCCCAGATCATGTATGTCTCGGTGATCCACTCGATTCCGACGGTGGGTTGCGGCTGGTACAGTCTCAGCTCTACCACACACCATCCGATGGTGTGGAGTGAGCTTTGTACGAATATAATGTAGCCCAGCCAGCGGTGAAGAAAATTGAAGCTCTGGTATGGCAGGCCAGTGATAATAGAGAGGAAGGACTCTCGGCTGCTCAGCAGCACAGAGAGCGGGGTGAGGGCGTAGGCGAGGGTGCCGACACGGTCAGCCCAGGGACCAATGCTGTTGCGGGTGTTATATACCCCAGGCATTTTCGACACTGGGGTGACCCATGTGTTGTAGACGATCCCAACAAAGCTGAAAATGAGGAGATAGCCAGACAGCAGGGCGAGAGTGAGGACTTGGAACCGCGTTGTGCGGCCGAAGATCACCCGAGCCACATCGGGTAGGAGATACCTTCGGGCAAAAGCTGCCATCGAACGGCGGACCTTGTACAGCCCGGCGAGCTTTGGTGCTGCTAGCCTCGGTGATATCGTCGGCGCATTGGATTGATTCAGGACAACCCAGAGAAGCAGGATTGCGCCAATGATGCACCACATGATGCCTGAATATAACATCCCTAGGTCGTGAGATTCGTAGACAACGTCGAGGTATTCGCACGATCCTGGATCGTTGGTACATGGCAGAGCGCGATCGTAGTAACCCCAATGTGGTTCCAATGCTGTTGCAGCGCTCATGTTCTGAATGTGACGTGCGCCTAATCTTGAGAACGCCATGATGTCGTGAACTGCGCCGTGCAGTGGCCCGGATCTGGAGATCGAGTGTGACCCTCAGCCTACTTCCGAGATCAACGCGATGGTTTAACTGCGACCAGAACCAGCCTCAATCACAATCATATATACAGTCGGGGTATGGCGAAGCGTAGAGGAGATATCAGTGGAAAAGGCCGCGAGATTTTAATATGTCATGACACAAGGTCAATTACCCCGGCCATTTCACATTTGAGACGATTTGAGCACATTTCTCTCACGCCATCTATGGTTTTCTCCACTTTGCCTTAGCATAGGTGGGACATGCGATCAGTGTCTTGTTATAAGACCCTCGGTCTGTCTATCGAGACCCCTCCAGCTTTCTACAGACGCTCATTTTCTCACAACTTCCCCACGTCAAGAGTCAAGATGGAGGGCATGGAGATGGATCATGGCGAGGCCAGCTGCAAGATCTCGGTAAGTGCCAAGACCGGAGAATTCCCATCCGGAGATTTTCCAGAAAGCTTCGACTGACGCAGATCAGATGCTGTTCAACTTCAACACCATCGATGCTTGCTTTTTATCCACAGGATGGCAGATCAAAAACAATGGCATGTTTGCTGCCACCTGCATTGGCACCGTTTTACTCGTCGTGCTGGTCGAGTTCTGTCGACGGATTGGTCGAGAATATGACAATTTCCTGACCCGCCAATTCCAGCGCCAAGCTGCGCACGGGGCTTTTGCCAAGAACTGGGAATCCGCCAGGACAGCGGTGACTTTTCGTGCCACACCGCTGCAGCAATTGGCCAGATCTATTATCCATGCGGTGACCTTCGCAGGAGCTTATATCACTATGTTGCTGGCCATGTACTTCAACGTCTATGTGATCATCTGCATCTTCATCGGCGCGGGGTTGGGCAAGTTCTTATGTGATTGGATGGTTGTCACGGTGGGAATCGATGACGTGCAACAAGAGACGCGGAAGTTGGAGGAGACAACGATATGTTGTGACTGATGTTGATGTTTATTGTTTTGCTATAGCTTCTATACCCCTTTGAATTTACAGCGTCAATTGGCAAATGATTCATACGGTCCGGTTTTACTCACGAATTGAGCGAAAGAATACCCCTGTTACCCATGATTCATGAAGACTACTGTGTACCCGCACACTACAGTACATCTGTCAGGTTGAGAGTCATGACTCAGGTGATGTTATTGACATGGTGTTATCGTGTTGTATCATGATTCATGCGACTAAGAACCCTTGTGCAGGGAGGTCATGTGAGATAGGGGTGTTCCCCCGTTCTCTCTCTCTCCTTTGCTTTCTTCTATTCCTGGCAGGCACCCGGCAGGATCGATTCATTTTCATTTTCATCCATCAGATCCATCATCTGCTGTGTCATTTCATCAAGTCTCATCAGAAAGTAGCGTGGAGCGCACGCTCTCTGGCACATTCTGACATCACCTGATAGGCCAGGCTTCCAAGTGCCTGCCGTCAGTTCCCTACAACTTATCGGTATCTTCTTGAAGCGAGCATTGAATAACTCAATTGAGTCACAAAGAACAATGTCTCGACACACAATCTGCGGTGTATGAAGATATGAGTGATATCGGAAGCGATCAAAGCACTAGGCGGGGAAGGGCCCAAATGGGCAAACTTCTCGACGATCCCTCGTATTGACCACTCAGGTTCTAATCTCGGCAATCTCAACCTCATACACCTCATACGAAGCTATTGGCCATCGTCGATAACTAGCCTAAGCAATGCCCCTACTAGCCTCTACTCCGCAACGGGCGTGTCAAGGCCGTCGCGCCGAACCGCCTAAGACTTATCCTGTCCAGGTGTTCCTGCATCTTAACTGATAAGAGAAACGTCCAAGATTGGCAATCATCAGAACGTTCGGCCTGATTGATCTGAATAGGCAGGTAACTTGCATTGACTTCCCCAGATTCAATTTCTAATGTCCGATATTCCCGACCCCGGGTTGGATACCCCCAGTCCAGATTCTCAAGATAACGTCGTCTCAAAGCGTCGGACATCAATCCGCTCTGATAAGAGCACAATCAAGATCAGGAACCGATATCTGACATCTGTCAACAATCTTTGGGGCTTGGAGCTAGTCTCTAGACGGGAGTTCGGAACGTTGAGATGCTTGCCCTAGACTACATCTTGTCATTTTGGGGCTTTACGTAACTGCGATGGGAGGGTTGATTCGCTGGGAATCTCTTCAAGCCCTAGTGCTCGTATACGATAACTATCGCATCTTCGGGATATCATCTCCAGCTTCAATATTATCGCGAAACAGATACGCGGAAAGATAAGGATCTTGCGATCGATTATCGTCTGGGTCAATGAGCTTGATAGCTCCAGCTATCGGGTTAGCTACTTCGAGACTGGGTGCAAGAGAAACAGGACATATAAAAGGAGTATCCCGCGTGTACATGAATGAGACATCAACAAGTACTCAATACTCATATCCATTCCTACATCTTTACTGCCCGTTACGATGAAGATACCTGTACAACATACCCTACTAGGGTTGGGTCTATCCGGCCTGAGCTTAGCTGGTATCGCAGGACGAGACTTCGAGGTCATACGGTTCCACAGCCTCGCGGGTGTCACAGCCGACTCTTTGCACAACATTCATGTCGAGTTCCTGGACAAGCAATTCGAGGGTCACCTGCAGCTCGTCTACGGGGAATGCGGAATCCAAGATCCGACACAGAGTCACCATGAGATCGGGAGTGCGTTTGTGAAACGCGAAGCACTGCCAGAGCGATTCGTATGGGTCACACCATCTGACGCACCCCATTCAAACTGTCTGCATGCCTTCTCCGGATCAAGACTCGTGGGCCGGTCTGCGCCCATCACAGTCTCGTCGCCAATCAAGAAGCGTGAGAGTATCGCCGATGTGGCAGATGCCATGGGACCGTGGTTTGATGGTGTCTCGTACATGAAGTCAAAGAAGAACTCCAAGGCATTTGTGTCCAAAGCGAAGAAAACGTCTGTTGCTATTCTTGGCGGCGGAATGTCCGGCTTGATGACGAGTTTGCTGCTCGACTCTGTCGGTATCCATGACTGGCACATCTACGAATCCTCCGGCCGCATCGGAGGTCGCATTCGTACCAAGTACCTCAACAACACAGCTCCCGATCAATACCAGTATCAGGAGATGGGGCCGATGCGATTCCCCGTGAGCATCACCTATGCCGACACCAACGAGACTCTCGAGATCCAAGATCACCGCATGGTCTTCCAACTGGCCAATACTCTCAACACGATGAATGCCCACCGACCTGACCTCGCGGTCAACTTCATCCCTTTCATCCAGAACAGCCCCAATGTCCCAGCATCCTCTGGCGGCAACCGTCTCCCCAACGGCTTGATCCCGAGTGCCGCCCAGATCGCAGCCAACTCCTCCCTGGCCTACAAGCCCGGCTCGCCCAATGACACAGCTGTTGCTGAAGCAAAATCCGCATACAACAATTTCACCGAACTCGACAACCGCGACACAATCCGCAAACTAGCCACCAACATGTACCAAGCCCACAAGCAAGCGGTCGAGGACGGCATGTTCGACTGGTCCGAAGCCGGATATCTGAGATCACTGGGCTACAACGCCAACGTCGCCGACTATGTAGCCGGCACCGGCGACTCCCCAATCTGGGGCGACCTCTATGACGACGTCTACTTCGCCGCCACAAAATGGCGCACCATCGACAAGGGCCTCGAATCACTCCCCCGAGCCTTCTACCCGCACGTCGCAAAGAAGACAACCCTCAACCGCACTGTTGACGGACTCGTGTACAACGAGGCTTCCGGCAAAGTTGCCGTTACCTGGCGCAAGGATCCTTTCCAGTTGACCCCTGAGACAACAAGGAATATGACTACGCTGTCGTCGCCGCGCCCTTCAGCAAGGTGCGTCTGTGGGATATGCCGCGGTACTCATCGCTCCTCAGCCGAGCTATCTCCACTCTGAACTACGAGCCTTCCTGCAAGATCTCCCTGCTCTATAAGACCCGCTTCTGGGAGCATCAGGAGGAGCCGATCTTTGGCGGATGCGGGTCTGTCGATGTGCCGGGTGTCGGAAGCGTCTGCTACCCGTCTTATAATCTGAACGGTACGGGACCTGGTGTCGTTCTCGCGTCGTATGTTTCTGGCACTCTGGCTCGGTCGACGGCTGCTCTGAGCGAGGATGAGCACGTGGCGTTGATTCAGCGCACTATGGTCGAGATCCATGGAGATATTGCTGCGGAGCAGTTCACTGGTATCTACAACCGCCAGTGCTGGGAGTTTGATCAGCACCAGGCGGGGGCGTGGGCCGATCCGACTGTTGGGCAGCAGGAGCTGTATCTGCCTGCTTACTATCAGACGGAGTTCAAGACTATCTTTATTGGGGAGCACACCAGTTATACTCATGCTTGGATCTTCTCGGCCTTGGATTCGGCTGTTCGGGGGACTACGCAGTTGCTGCTTGATCTTGGGCTTGTCGATGAGGCGAAGGAGATTGTTGAGACTTGGATGGGTAGATGGATTAAGCTGTGATGTGGTGTCTTCTGATGATGACACAGTATATAGGGGATGTTACCCTGACTTGCATAGTTTCGCAGTATATTCTATAGAATGAATTGATAATGACATTCATGATCAATTACCATTCGCCTATAGGTACCGTCTCTCCCAAGGTATACCCTCGAATGTACTTCCATATGGTGGCACTGTCTGGAGTGGGTAAACCGGAGGTGTTCAGACGGAGTGATATACCCAATCCTTCTTTGCAAGGTAATATGCAACTCGGAACAGGCCTCAAATTGGCCACTACACCATAGAGCCTTTGCTTTCTTTGTCACTATAGCCCCATTGTTAGTGAGACACTGACCGTCTATCTCAAAGGAGATAGATGTCCTCTCATCTATATAAACTACGAGCATACCATCCGATCTCCAATTCCAGCCCTCTCCCGTCTGACAAAGAGTACCCCAGCCGGGCCTGAGGTTACCCCAGCAGGATGGTACAAGAAGGTATATTCATGTCCAATGGGATCTACATCGACGAAACCTGCGCCATCTGCGGACCAATAGTATGGGTAAACGTATTCCTCGCAACACCAGAGCACCGCACCAAATCCGACGCAGATTTCATGGATCTAGTCGCCGACGTCATTTGCGCACGAATCTCACAGCGAAAACCCTTTCTGGCTGCTATATCCATCACCCCAGAGCCCATGCACCACCGCGTCATGGGATGTCTGTCGCTGCCGGCTCGGGGTAATTACTGGGCTTTTGTTAGGTACCGTGACTTGTATGTTGATGGGTTTCTTAGGGATGCGTTGGAGTTGGCGCTGTTTTATCAGGCGGAGTGTGCGGCTGGGCGGGTGAGAATTGATCGGGAGAGGCTTTTTCGATTCTTGCATTTGCGGGTTGATGCTTTTTAGGTGAGTCAAGGATGTGGATATATTGAAGGTGTTTAGTTTGGGTGAAAGAGGAGGATATTGGGTTCTTTGTTTTTTGGTGTAGATACTCCCGTCTTTCTGCGCTGGTTATCGGGAGCCATTTGCTGAAGGATTGGAGTTAGCAGAATATTCGCAATAATGACTCAAGATGCCGATAGATCTGTTAATCTAATTCATCATTCCAGTCAGATATACGAAGTAAAGATCTGCAGTCGAAATGGGGGCTGAAGCAGTTTGGATTTCTAATCAACCTTGGAATGCTAGGGCACACTCGTCAGCTTACATCTCGACTTGCTGTCAAAGTACTTTTCTAGAAACCCATGATCTTACACTGATCAAGTTCCTTGTTGCATGAAACCATTGAAAATCTACAACAAAAATGCCTGAAAGAAAAATCAAAGCTGTCTTCTTCGACTTCATGGGCACATGTCTGGACTGGCACAGCAGCGTAGTCCAGGCTCTCCCGCCCGCAATCCCCAGACCCGCAGCTTCAAAGCTAGCTCTAGACTGGCGCAAAGAGTACTTCCACGAGAACAGCAAGCGCGTGAGCCAAAACCTCCACGTTGAAGACTTCGACATCACTCTAGCCCGCACGCTGGATGTAATCCTCGACCAATGGCCCGATTACAGGTCGCATTTCGACGCGCAAATCAAGCAGCAGGTCATACAAGCATGGCACTCGCAGCGCGCATGGCCAGAAGTTTCTGCGGCAATCAAGAGTCTACGCCAAGACCACGGTCTGGAGGTCTTTGTTCATGCGAATGGTACGACGCGTTTGCAGTTGGACTTGGTCCGGTCTTCGGGGCTGGAGTTCAATATGCTATTCTCAAGTCAGTTGTTAGGCGCTTATAAGCCTCGACAGGAGGCGTATGAGAAGGGGTTGGAATTGGTTAAGCTGAAGCCGGAGGAGGTCGTGCTTGTTGCGGCACATGCGTATGATCTGCGGGGGGCGAGCAAGTGTGGGCTGAGGACTATCTATATTCATCGGTGGACGGATGATGTTGATGAGGATATGGAGACGATTAGGAATGAGTTTGATGTGTTTTTGGAGAGTATGGATGGGCTTGGGAGTGCTGTTGTGGGATTGTGATTATTCTAGATTCTGTCTTCTATTGCGAAGGTATTTCTTTGGCAAAGAGCATATGATAACATTGTTTAAACTATTGGTTATCTAAGTTAAGCATTGCCTTGATTTAAGTTTATGTAGCTCGGCCGCCCAACCCCCATCCATCCTCCATAGGCGCAAATGTCCAGGCATCGTGAAGAAGCTGTTCGATGGAAGCCTTCCAACAAGATCCACACTTCCCTGGGGCCAAGTTCTATCACCAACGGTGCCTCTATGCGTCAGTGGTTGTAACATGTCACCGGTGCTGATAGTGAGGCGCCTGGGCTGTCTTTCCTCCCAGGGAGTATTGCAGCCCAAAATACATCAGACGCATTCCTTGGTCTGAAGACACCAGGCTTCATATCTCCAACAGGAGACCCTACAGTCTTGTACATTGTGCACTCCTCTCGACCGCCCATAGTCTTCGTATTCAAAGACGGTCCCTCCAATCTGGCGCAGGTCTCGCCAGCTGACGCGTGTCAAGGTGTCAAGCTCGGGGTATCATAATCGCTTCACCAAACAGAAGCCCGTTGGCGCAGTTTATTGATGTCTCCTTTGAAGAATAGATAGTCAGCTTAGAACTTTTCTCTCACTGTGAGCTGGGTGGCAGGGCTTGAGCCTCAACTGAGGGGATCTGGTCCATACATGAAGCGGAAGCCGAAAGACTCCACCAAGGGTGGTTCGTCGACGACTTTGGCAACAGGTCGAGGATAAGACACAGGAAGCCGTAATAAATGCTTGCGAGCTTCTCAAAAGGACGAGAACAGTAGAACACAGCTCATGTGGGTCCGGTCTGGACTGGGTGTTATGGATTGACTAGTAGCTGGGGCTGTCTGTGTCGTCTCTTACCGGATATTACGCCTGTTATACAATGTACATAGTTGGACATGAGATTCATCAAGCCATATGACATGTTCAACTGAGGGAAAAGTAGCTGTATCTGAAGGTGAAGGACCTGGTTCGTGGCCATGCCCATGAGCCCTCTGTGGCAGTGGGAAAGGACTCATCATGTGGACAAATACCTCGCTCTTGCCTTTTCAGGAAGGGGGCAAGTGAAACCACAAGCAAACAATGAGAGCAGCGTTTGCTATTGTTCTGAGTTGCTGCCTTTTGGTCCCTTCCCTTTTGGAAGACCCAGATGTCTATATAATCCCCATCCTTTTCCATCTTCCTCCTCTTCTCTTCTTCTTCTTCTCTCTCCCCAAGTAACCACTTTGATTTCACTCACAGCACGACCCGCTGTGACTTGATTCCTTTTCTCGCTCAATCCACTTCTCCGGCCTCACCGGCTTCCATCAATTTTCTATTCAAAGTATGTCCCTCAACTTCCCCTACCTCACCTGGCCCTACCTCACCTGGCCCTACCTCACCTGGCCCTACCTCACCTGGCCCTACCTCACCTGGCCCTACCTCACCTGGCCCTACCTCACCTGGCCCTACCTCACCTGGCCCTACCTCACCTTGCCCTCACCTGCCCTCACCTACCCTCACTTATGTTGAGATGTGATGACACCTATGACACCTTAACCTGACTCTATCTTCGTTTGAGATGTATGAAGTATATACTAATGTCTTGACCTTCCCTCCCTAGAAACAAAAAAAAATACAAAAAAAATGTTGTTGATCCCGTTCCTAGGGATCTGCTTGGGCATGACTCTCTGGAGTCAGTGGCTCCCCATTCCGGGGGTCACTGTTCCAGAGATGTCGTTCAGGGAGCGTCTGTCTGGTGCTGTCCAGCTGACTTTGGGGTCTTGGATCGTCTATGACACTGTGGACACTCTGATGTCCCAGCGTCCTCACTCCGGTGATACTGCCGTTGTGAGTGCCGTTGTGAATGCCGTTGTGAGTGCCGTTGTGAATGCCGTTGTGAGTGTCGTAGACGGTCATGGGTATGCCAACACGACCGACTTCTTGGTAATCAGTCCTGTAACGGATGTTATGGTCCCGCTTACGCGGGCCGATACCATGCCGTCCTGGTTTCCAACTGGTGTCAAGGTACCCATCCCGGGTCTGGCCTGGTGTAGCGTCGGAGTGACAACTTCTCTTCCCGAAGAAGTTGTCGACATCCACCCGCTCAAATCAGGCCCTGGGCAAGGTCTCTTCGTCCCCCTGCTGTGTGTCGTTGTCTGGTGTTTTGTCCAAGGTCCCATGGCCTTGATTGCTTACACACGGCGATTTGTTTCCTTTGTTGTCCGGACCTTGGCTGAGCGGATACTGGGCGATCTTGAGGGCCAACCGCAAATTGCCCGTGTGCAACTTGTGGCCGAGGAAGATTCAACTTTGTACGACAAGTTGGATTTTCTGATCGCCGGCTTGATGGATCTCCAGGATGAAACTCTTGCTTGGGTCTTGGCCGTGGACAGTCGTCCCGACTCGGTGTCTCACGTGTCTGTTCTCTCTCACGCTGGGGGTATCTGGGTTCACCGGATCCGCTCGGAGGGTGAGCAGGCACGGGACCGGAAGTCGGCCCGCGATACCACCACCAATGGCACAGGCAGCGGCTGTCAGCTTCCCGGGAACCCACCTGGGATGGATGCATTTAAGCAGGACGATGCCTCGGCTTCGGCTGAGGTTCTGAATGCGAAGGGTGCGGATATCGAAGGTGATGGGTCCCCCCAGAAGAGGAAGAGGAAGAACCGTCCGTCGCAAGCAAAGAGACGTCGCTTTAAGCGGAGGTTACTCGAGGCGAGCGAGAAGGAACTGGAACAGGCGTATCCCAAGCCTACTGTTCCAGCCTCTTCCGCTCAAGGTACACCTCGCGCGGCGTGCCTTTATCGGCTTTGGCTCCGGTCTTCGTTCCCACTCATCTGGCGGAGCAGGAGCGGCAGAGTGGTCCTCTTTCTTCGGCTCCCGTGTCTATGCAAATAGGCATTGATCCTCCTGACGACTGTGGTACGGGTGCGCATGATAATGGTGTCCCTCCACAGCGGTCCTTCCGCCGCCGTCGTCATCGAAAGCGTAAAGCCTAGATGCGTCGATGGTGTGTTGGACCTGTATCAGCGAACCGGATGGCTGGTTGGGACAATCTAGAAGGAACACCTCTCTCTTCGGAGGGTTGATTGGTCCTTCTGGGGCGTCTTAGGCCATCTCGGGTTGCTGATACAAGCTGTGTAGGTAGAGGCCGTGTCATGCGTCCTCAGAAGCTTTCTGATGGTGGTTGAGTTCGGAGATTGAGGGACAGCACCCACAAGTACGCTGCACTGGAGGCCCAAGACAACAACAAAAAAAAAGAAAAGAAAAGAAAAGAAACCCCCAAAACCCCTAAATCCAAAAAAAAACACCAAAAATCCAAAAACCAAAACAACAACTACAACAACTACAACCAACCTCTTCGAGGCCGGATACCGGATGTGAGCGACAACGGCTGACTGGGACAACCGTCAACCTACAAGTCCAACGGCCGTCTTTGCTGAGTAGAAGCCTCATGCTTCTACAAAATGCGTCGAAATCTTTATTGGGATACTGGCGATGTAAGTCTATTCAATGTTCCCCTTGAGACAACAGCACTGACGAGTCCACAGGCCGGGCTCCCATTTCCCTTTCAAGAAAACAAAAAAAAAAAAAAAAAAAAGAAAATCGAAGAAAACAGAAAAGAACAGAGAAAGAAAAAAAAAAAAAAAAAAAAAAAAAAAACTCGAAGAAGACAAGAAAAAGACAAAGAACAAGCTCTTTTAGGGCACGGCGATTCCACCTTGGAAACAATCTCTTGTGGACGACACTCCGCTGGTTTGAGCACACCTTACAAGTTACAGCTCCTTGCCCTTATGGTCATCCTCACCAGCTCCTCTCTCTCCTCTGACTCTCTCTCTCTCTCCTCTTCTCTCTTCTCTCTTCTCTCTTCTCTCTCTCTCCTCCGGCCGACCATCAAAGATGCCCGGGTCGCCCATCCATCCTCCTTATCGATGGGCCCTTACTCATTCCTCGCTTGCTCACAGTGATGAGCCCCAGAGGTACATGAGTCGACAGAAAGCTGGTCATCTCCACAGCTCTGCACTCAAACCGGCCGATTCCAAAACATCACGGCCATGGGTCCCTTCCTCCTTTTAAACTCCGACTCCGCGTTCATGATCCTCGTCTGTTCCCAAGCTTAATGGGAGAGGGTCGTACTGGAAAGTGGCCGTTCACTATGGATGATCCATTCGACATTGGGTCTACCTTCAAGCCTTCAGACCGCTGTACAACATTCTTAGCGGTCTGCGTCGAACAATCACGGCTTCTGGGCTTTCGCCCTCATTCACAATCGTCCCATGACAAACCACCTTGGTAGGACATATCCATCCCCGGTTTGAGCTTCTTTTGCTAACTGTCGGGGTTTTTACAGGGCTGGTGGCATCTTCTGGATCGATTTGTCCACCTTTACTTTCTCCTTCCCCACGCCAACGATTTCGGGGGCTACAACATGTACAGGGCTGGTGGCATCTTCTGGATCGATTTGTCCACCTTTACTTTCTCCTACCCCACGCCAACCATTTCGGGGGCTACAACATGATGGGATCTACGAGAAAGATGGCTTTACCCATGTTGGACTAATGGAGGCACGTTCAGATGAATCACCACTTGTGGATGCAGATGAGTCGAACCATACATTTGTTTGCACATCTCCAGCATGTGGAGTTGGATGCATTTTGTAATTTACTTTGATGATACCCCTGTGGCCTACGAGGCTCTTTTGTTTTACCCTGCTATCAGTCTTTCCAGGCTGTGTGAAGTTCGTCTCTTCCAGCCAATACATGTACAAACATCTCAATACAAAACATGTGCTTCCATCACGGTTCATTTATTTAGCGAGTAGCCGGTATGGAAGATGGAGATGACACAGGTTAATGGCCGCGCGAACCATGGATTCTACTAGTCATATATGGCAGTCCCAATATGAGAGACTAAAGGACTTAGTAGTAGCCAAAGACAGGGCAAATTGTAGAAGTCTGTATGCTCGGGTCTACGGGGTTCTTGATACTAGCACCTGTGCTAACATGTCACCGAGACGATGACCTATTCGCTGCTTTGGCCGTACGAAGCATACCGTTAAGATGTCCAATAAGTCAATTTAGCAGGACATTCGCCCTACGTACTAACATAATCCACCATCCATTCGCCAGATATCTGTGCCAGTAGAGAGGCGGAAGCCGTCCGCAACATCGACAAATGCCGCTACGCGGGGGCCCCTTTGGCAGTGGTGCTGAATTTGCCGGTCTTTGGAGAAAGCAGCTAGACATCGCCAAATTCATTCATGACTACAACCATTACATGGGTGGTGTCGATATCGAATCAGTACCTGTCTTCGTACGCGATCCATCTGCGGTCTATGCGTACTTAGTTCCCGCTCCTTCTCTTCTTACTTGACAAGCCTTTTACCCTCGCTTCGCTCGGGAGGCTTGAAGGCGAAGTCCGTAGTCAGTAAGCTAATCGCAGGAGGTTGATAGTTAGGACATTTTCATTTGGGCATCGCGAGAGTAGGCTAAACAGAAGGCGGGCATGCAGTTTTACACAGGTCCAATGATAACGCGAGAAGAAAAGGGCAACCCCACATCTAACTAACTTGTACAGCTGACTCCGTTGTATGGAAGCGCTGTACGACCTCTGGAAATAGTACATATTCTGTTGCATGCGAGGCCTCTACGTGTAGGATCGATAGTTTGGTCACTCCACACCCACCTTTTTAACGACTGTCCCTAGCTCTTATTAATTGTCATAGCGAAACAGAGACGGATCGGAAACTGTACACGACGGAGAGTGAAGGATAGCTGTCCCTCGGTCGTCTCCAATGGCACACGCGGGATCGTGTACTCCGCCGCTTTATAGTCGCCGGCGATGATACGGGCGGTGATATTCCAATCATACAGACCCGTGATGATGAGACGGGTGCCGTTGCAGAGGCCGCCCTCTTGACGTAGGTTCCAGATCAGCATAATCGGGGCGCCGACCTTCAAGGCCAGCTCCGACGGCGGCAGGCTGGGGATATTGATGGAATGTAGATACTCCGGAGGGTGGTCTGTCAGCGTGGATTGATCCCTGGCAGAGCCATCCCGGGCACGATCCGCAGACCAATACATCCTCGAACGGCGGGGCATATGGCCAATCAACCGGTCCTTGAACACTGTCGCCGCGTCGTTACGGATGGTGATAATCGACCGCTCGGCAAAAGTATATAGGACTCCGGCGACTGCCGACAGCGCCGTGGCGGGGTAGACGGCATCACAGAGCTCTTCCACGGTATCAGACCTGGGGATATACTGAGGTAGAGGATCAGCACTTGTAAAAAGCGAGTGTAGATAAGGAGGCGGGGGTGAATTGCCGGCAGGCGTGCTCCATACGGCCAAGATCATGTCTCTGCACGGTGCCAGGGCGGTACTGGGAGCGAAATGCAATGGGCGTCGCCACGGCGGGTGGGCAACGGGGGCATAACTTAAACGGCTGGCGGCGGCGCGCCAGGTCGATAAATTGGGGTATAGGAAGCTGATCACACAATGAAGCAGGGCTGCATACCGGTAAGGGCTGGCGGGGGGACGCTGCGGTCTGCATGTAGCACAGTTAGTGAAGGGCTCGGGGCGCCGTGAATAGTCGACGAAAGTCAATAGCGGGTGAATGCCGCCGCAGCAAGTGCACTGGCGAGTCTGGGCCTTGCGGCATGATTTTCAGCAGTATCAATAGTATTGGCACGTACGGGGCCTCGCTCTCGACCTGTGTTGACTGGGGATGACGGCATCTGTGGCAGGATTTAAGCCGACATTTCTGTCGTGGAGGACCGCAGTCAGGGGTCGTTTGTTACGGCACCGGCTACAGCGCTTGGTAGACAGGCGGGCGTTTTCGGCGGCGGACGCTCACGCAGTGGTGTTGGGGAGATAGGATTGGACATGGCGAAAGGCTGTAGTATGAACAGGTAAGAGGCTGTAGGATTGAGATGGAAGACGCGTGAACAGGTAAACAAAGCCAGGAGATGTCATAGGCTAAACCCAAAGGGGGTAAGTGCTTAGGGAACAGGCCAATGATGAGGCGAGAAAAAGAGAGCAACGAATGGAAAGGCAGGCAGTGGGGACACTAAAGCGGAATCGGCAAAGATCCGCATCTGCAGAAGCGCTGCAGTTTTCAAAGTGGATCCGAGGCAACATTCTCTTATATTATAGAATATTATAGAATGCTGCTATTTAGAATTGACACCAAGCACAAGCAGATCACCTACCCTAGGCTAATCCGCTGGCGGAATCTAGCCTCGGTCTGCTGGATTGGCCGTTGCCGTGCTGCCTGGCTTGCAAATTGCAAGAGCTCTTTGTGGAGCTTCTTGCGGGACTCTAATTGGCTAGGCTTAGCCTGTCCCTGCTGCTCTTTGGCGATATATCGAATGCGGTATGCAATAACAGTAGCAGCATCAAGAAAGAAGGATAACAGTGGGAACGAAGTAGGAGCAGATGAATCTCATAAGACCAGTACTGATTCGCTATATCGACATTACCCATGTAATGGTAGTCATGAATAACCTCAGGGATGTTAAGCTGTTCTTCCTGGCATCAGTAGATTCAGCAGCACCACTGCCCAACTGGGCATGCGCGCAGCGGCATTTGTCGACGATTCCGATGGCTTCCGCCTCTCTGCTGGCACATGGAGATATGGTGATTGGTGAATGGATAGTAGACAGTACTAATAGCACATTATGATCCTGTCACGCGAAATAGAGGAACCTCACGAGCCTTAGAGGCGTATGATGTACCCCAGGGGATGGATTTGATAGACTCTTTTTCGGGCGATGTGTCACGTGTGAGTGTGTGTAGCTGGCTGGGTGGTCAGAAGGTGATTCAGAGATGGTTAGACAGTGTGTAGCTGGCTGGGTTGGCAGTAGGAGATAGAACGGTGTGGAGAGCAGTGCTGTGGAATTCAGGTTTCAGGCACCAAGAGAGGGTTTGGACTTTGAATCCTGAGCGCTATGATAGGCTATTCCCTTTGCTGGTAAGACGCTAGTTCCGTTAGCATCCTTTCTCTGCCCCTTGCTTCCCTACAGAGTACAGTAATACAACGCACCGGGCTAAGATGAGACGCGTATGAATATGTGTAAATAAAGCGCGTTCTTGTTTAAGTGGAACGTCACGGTGCGTGGGAATTCAGGGATATGAGACTATGTACTAATCTGTAAGAAAACGGTGGAGCTAGCTAACCAATGAAAATATCCTGTCCAAAATGGCGCTAATGAGACATGTCAAAGGGGATGGGACTTCGTAGGGGCGGATGCAAAAGATGCGAAATACTGTACTGTACTCCGTAGGGCAGCCTGGGCATGGGCGGTCAATAAGTCAATGGGCGGCTAGATGTCCAAAGTTATTCCGTACGGGTCCAAAGGCAGCCGTTTCTGGCCTCAAAAGCAGTCATTTTCGGCGTCAAGCCCACAGGTCCTCATATACTACTCTGGTGATTCTCGCATGGGATCATCCTGGATAGTGGATGGAAGAACCCAATGTCAGACATGTCTTGCTTTCTAAACCTCTCTAGCTCATCGGCATCCCCTCTCTAGAATGCCCAATGCCTATGGTCGGACCCTGAAGGCGACTGCCGAGGGATCTCCAGACTCCCCGTAGTCCAGGAAATGGATGCTGAAGTAACTTGCTCGTGGATCCTACAAAAGTGCAATTACGATGCCTCAGAGGCTCAGAGGCTCAGATGAAGATTGACCTCTCCCACGTGGGGCGTCCAAGGTTCGCCCTGCATACCCAAAGCAGTTAAGCGTCCTCGGACAGTTCCCCGGATATTCCACGCATGTGATTTTGACATCTTCTGCTCTTCCGGGGTATGCCCTGTTGGACAGTGAACGTATTACAGAGTCTCGAAGTCTTCTCAGTTCGCTTGGCGTTTCACTCCCTTTTATCATCGCAGTAGCGTCTCAGCCTCTCAGGCATAAACAGGTGGAATTGATTGTGATTTTGTGGGGAAGATTGATCTGCAGTGGGGATTGAACTACCGAGCTGGTGACAGACATTTCTGGAGGCAGGGGAAATGCCTACGCCACCGCTTCATGACGCAATTTTACATGTTGATGCGAATATATGAACCAATCTGATCCCTGCAAGCGACGATTATCTCCGCATTACGGGGGATCGTCGCTTTTGCACCCTCCCCCTCGAACGTCCATTCAGACCCGTCCAGAACCATGGATCATGGCTGTTTCAGGGTCCCAACAAGAATAGGTCCCAGCGTCAATATGCTTCGAAGATGGACTAAATCGTTATCACCGAGGTATTTTTGATTCGCCCGTGAATCTAGAGGTCGGCCGAGGCAGCTGCTCCATTCATGTGGCGCCGTCAATATTCCATTGGGTAAGATTCCCCACCAGCGGATCTGGGGCTAAATACGCGGGGAGTTCCTCACATCAAGTCTGCATCGCATTCGAACTTCACACACACACAATGGCACCCGCTATCGACTTAAACTCTGGTCACCTCGGCCATCTCACTCCCGTTCAAAACAAGAAGTTGCTGGAACTTTGGACTGTCCTTTTGACCTCTGCTGCAAATATTCTGTCATCGGTATATGACGTCCCAATTCCGGAGGGCACCCCAAGCAAGCTTTTCGAGACTTTGAACAATATAAATGAACCCACAGTCGAGGCCATCATCGGCGCATTGAAGGGTGAAGCCACCAATGGACAGACATCAAATGGAACTGCACCAACCCAATCCAATGGCCATACCAACGGAGAGACAACCACCGAAGGCGGCGCCGAGAACCCGGAGCAAAAGTCACTCGACAAGGTTGACTCGCTCATGAACAAAGACGCCAAGCAAACGATAATCTCAGAAATCGCCAACAGAAAGGTCACCGCGGGGCATTTCTCTTCGCTTTTCGCCCAGCTCCGCAAGTTGGGCGTCCAGGAAGAGGAGATCAAGTCCATGGAGAAGATTTTGTCTGGCATGACGCCTCAGGATATGGTCTTTATAATGTTGAAGATGATCAAGCAGGAGCACCCAGACAGCTTGTTGCTCCGGTTTTTGCGCGCTCGGAAATGGGATGTCGGCAAAGCATTTGCGATGATGGCGTCAAACATCCTTTGGAGGAAAGAGTCTGGAGTCGATGAAGAAGTCCTGCCCCGGGGCGAGGAGTTCGCTTTGAAGCAATCACTAAGTGCCACCGCAACCCCGAAGGATAGGAAGGACGGTGCCGACTTTATCAACCAGCTCAAGTCGGGCAAGAGCTATCTCCATGGCTTTGACAGGGATGGCCGGCCTGTCAACTATGTCAGAGTTAAGATTCACAAGCCAGGTGCTCAAAGCGAGGAAGCTCTTGAGCGGTATATCATTCATGTCATTGAGTCAACACGGCTTACTGTGGCTCACCCTATCGAGACGGGGGTATGTTTAGTCGATGCGTGGCAACTCATTGACTCTGACTGACATCTACACAGACAATTGTCTTCGATTTGACCGGATTCAGTCTATCTAACATGGTAAGACCAGCAGCAGCGCAATCAGATTACGAACAACTGGGCTTGTGCTAATGCCTCCCAACAGGACTTCCCACCAGTTAAATTCATTCTCAAGTGCTTCGAGGCAAACTATCCAGAGTCTCTGGGGCAATTGCTCATCCACAACGCACCTTGGATTTTCTCCGGTAAGTGACACATTCTCGCATCCCCGCTTCTTCCTGGTAGCATACTCACCAGCCCACCTTGCGTGAATCAGGTATCTGGAAACTCATCCACGGCTGGATGGACCCGGTTGTCGCATCCAAAGTACACTTCACCCGTTCAATCGCCGACCTAGACAAGTTCATTCCCCGAAATCAGATCCCCAAAGAATTCGGAGGCGACGAAAACTGGACTTACGAATACGTCGAGCCCGCCGAAAACGAAAATGCCGTAATGGATGATACCGAGACGCGCGACGCGATCATGTATGACCGCGTGATGATTGGCATCCGCGTGCTCGCTGCCACGGCAGCCTGGGTCTCTGCCAGCTCGGCTTCTAATGGGAAGGAAGAGGGTTCAAAGGTGGAGGAGCTGGCGTCGCGCCGCGAGGCTGTTATTGATGAATTCAAGGACAACTACTGGAAACTTGACCCCTATATCCGGGCCCGGGCGCTTATTGACCGGACCGGAATGCTTGCTCCTGGTGGTGTGCTTAAGCGCGATGCTGTCGCTGCTTCTTAGGTGAAGTGGGGTGTTTCCCTAGAACTTGGAGCTGGTGACTCAGGTGTATCGTCGAGCGGTCTTCTTTCATGTCCTTTTTAGTGTCTGTCTCTCGTTTTTTGAATGGTTTTTTTGCCATCCTTATACCTAGATATCATTCTGAATGTCTCTTTTTGCGAGAAAGGCTCGTCTTACTCTCTCTGGAACTGCTTTACCTCACTCGGGCTCGTTTGGAAGTGAAAAGCAGTTAAAAATTCTTAACCTTCCCATCGCCCGTACTGGCCACCGAATCATTCGCCCAGTACCGCCCACTAATCCCGCCGATATCCCCAACTGCCAGACGCAGTGGAATTCTTGCTCCTTCTTCTGGAAAACAGTAAGTGATACGTCCGCGGGTACAGAGAGAGCCGCGCTTACCAACAGACTTGGGCGGCTGGCCAGCCTGCATACCCAGCGAGGTGCCCACCCACCCAGGGCAACAGCAATTGATCAGCAGGTGAGGGTTTTCGCGGGCCAGGATGCGCGTTGCGGCGTTCAAAGCCGCCTTACTGGTAAAGTAGGCCAAAGGGGGCCAGCCTTCTGACATCGCAGTATTCTGATCCGCAGAATCCTATAGTTGGGCGGTTAGTTTCCGCACAAAGGGTGGCAAAACAGTCAAGGTAACGTACGCTGTACTCATTTACCAGAGCGTCTAGCTCGGAAAGAGTGAGATTGGGATCCGAGAATTGCGCCTGCAAGCGAGGATGGAAGTATTTGAGTTCGCCGCTTTGGGAGGAGACGTTGACGATGCGGCCGTTCTTTTGCATAATTGGTAAGAAGGCTTGACAGACCTGGTGATTGTTAGTTAGAACTTAGGGATGAACTGGAGTAGAACATTTAGTGATCTACCTTGAGAGTTCCGCGGTAGTTCACATCGAGAGTTTCCTGGCGTTGGGCAGCAGGGATTTTCTCCTGGAAATAGTAGATTCCGGCATTGTTGATGAGAATATCGCAGCCCCTCTGTTCGTTGCTGATCCTCTTGCTGAGGGCAGTGATACTGTCCTGGTCGGTGAGTGACAGTTGAGCAGGGTAGATTTTGGCGGTTGGGGGAACAGTCAAGTCTGTCAGGTCAAAGGAGGACCCGGCACGAGAGACTGTATATAGAATCAAGGGGCGTGAGGTCTGTTTTAGCAGCGCAGCACAGATGGCACGCCCAATGCCACGGTTCTGTGATCATGGTCAGAAACGGCTTGGGATAGAGGAAGGAGACTTACGGAGCCAGTAACTACGGCTACTATAGGAGTCTCCATGGCTAGATAGAGATATCTCGAAGATGATGGGATATGGAGAACAAGGTGGAAGGAGATAAGTGAAGTTGCCTGGGCCCTCTAAGGCTAGGTAGGGGGGGAAGGGCCACAGGGGCCAACCCGGGCCTGCGGCTCGGCGAGACAAATCACCCAGGTGACACGTCAAGCATGTACCTGTAAGTTTTAACTATTGTAGTGGGAGAACTGCGACATCGTGGTGAAATCATGAAATGAGCGGTGTAGGATTACTCAGCATTTGTGATATAAAAGGCTTCATTGCATGGATAGGAGATAGGACAATCAGACGCACTTCTCCCCTTCTAGACAACCCCTGTGTTCTCCTCTCCCGTAGTCCCACTACTGACTACTCCCAGTGGCGTACCTGGTTCGCAGACAGGTTCGCGTTGCTCGCTCTTCATTAACTATATACACAGTACAAAGTGAACAGGACATCTGTACAGTGGAGTACCTTTCTAAATAGAATATCAACAAAATCTTCTGTCCAGTGAGCGAGCTCCCCGCCAACTGGTAGTGGAAGCATCCCGCCAACTGGCAAACCTTCCGCCAACTGGCAAGGCTATATCCCTACGAATTGCCCCAATAATCCGACTGCGACACGTGCCGCGTCTGATCTGGTGTTTCATTTTATGGCAGGGTATCGATTTCTTCAGGGTTGATTCACAAACTGCTCAATCTCTCAGAATCAAAGCATAAGGTTAAACAATAGTTCCCAAGGTTCCTTGATAACTAGCTCCCGGCCTGCCGTCATGTTCCATAATCAACGCTAGAACGTTTTGGAAGGTTCTCGGAACCGGACTCGGGAACCTCGGGAAGCCATCGGGCTCTTGTTCAACCGGGTGGAGATAGTTCGGTGACTTTTTTTTCCTCTGCGCCCCTGTGCTTCGCCCCTGCCGGCCTGCCCTGACAAATTGATCCATGGACCATGCGCCAAAACGGGGTGGATCTAGCGCGGTATTCAATTGCCGTGGATCGCTTGTCATTTCAGCGCCTCTAGAACCAGATGGTGATCATCAAGCAATGTTCAAATTTTCAGATGATGAATCAGCGCTCAATAGTTATCCCCACAGTAGATCGTGTATAAATCCAGAGTCTTCTCCCGACAGGATACATTCCATCAAGCTGATAATAATAATACCTGAGCACTATCAAAATGACCTGGCCTGACGTCTCCGCCAAGCCCGCCGAGGGCATCTCATACTACACTCCTGCCCAGAGCCCTCCGGCAGGCACAGCTCGCGATCCTCAAACGAGCGGAAAGCCCATTCCCAAGCTGTTCAAGCCTCTCACCATCAGAGGAGTGACTTTCCAAAATCGATTGGGCGTATGTGATTCCCCACAAGACCCTGTCCAAATGCATAGCTAACAATATGACCCCCAGCTGGCGCCCATGTGCCAATACAGTGCCGAAGATGGCCATATGACCCCCTGGCACTTAGCGCACTACGGTGCCATCGCCCAGCGCGGTCCAGGAAGCCTCATCATCGAAGCAACCGGAGTCGTCCCTGAGGGCCGCATCACCCCGCATTGCGTGGGTCTCTGGAAAGACTCGCAGATCGCGCCGCTCAAGCAGGTCGTCGAGTTTGCACACAGCCAGGGCCAGAAGATCGGTATCCAGCTCGCCCACGCCGGCCGCAAGGCATCGACCGTTGCGCCTTGGCTCGGTGGCGTTGTCGCTAACAACTCCGTCGGCGGATGGACTGATAACGTCAAGGCTCCCAGCGCCATCCCCTTCGCTGAGGGCGATCCCATGCCCATCGCCATGACACTGCAGGATATCGCTGAGCTCAAAACCGCCTGGGTTGCGTCTGTTAAGCGTGCTATGGCTGCGGGCTGTGACTTCATTGAGATTCACAATGCTCACGGTTACCTTCTCTCGTCTTTCCTGAACCCCTCGTCCAACCAGCGCACAGATGAATACGGTGGCAGCTTTGAAAACCGGATCAGACTGCCGCTGGAAATTGCTCAGTTGACCCGTGACGCTGTTGGCGAGAATGTGCCTGTCTTCCTGCGTATCTCAGCCACCGACTGGCTCGAGGAGAGCATGCCCTCTGAGAAGGGATGGAAGCTTGAGGATACGATTGAGTTCGCTCGTGCGCTTGCTTCTCAAGGTGCTGTCGATCTGATCGATATCAGTACTGGTGGTTTGCACCCTGCTCAGAAGATTACCTCCAGAGCTGGTTTCCAGGTTCCTTTTGCTGCTGCTGTCAAAAAGGCTGTCGGTGATAAGATGCTTGTTGCTGCTGTTGGTATGATTAATAATGGAAACTTCGCGGAGAAGATCCTGAATGAGGATGATCTTGATGTTATCCTTGTTGGTCGTGCTTTCCAGCGTGATACTGGTCTTGCGTGGCAGTTTGCCAAGGACTTGGATGTTGAGATTGCCATGGCTGGTCAGATTCGTTGGGGGTTCACCAGCTTCCGCAACGCGTCGGAGTATATCCAGCCTAACTCGATGAAGGCTTGCATTTTTGATTAGACTTAGACACCTACCGTTGTTTTTTTAGCATGGGAAGCTGCATTGCATCATATAGAGCATTTCTTTGAATTGAACCACATACTATTTGCTTGAGACATGCGATTGAAGTAAGAATACGGAGTAAGTCTGGACTCTGGGTGACGACGGAAAGGACACAGTTGTGTGTGGCTTTTGCGCAGAAACTGTGGCCTTTCCACGCTGTGTATCGCCGCTATACTGTGTAGTCGCGAGGTAGCTTTAGTTGATAATTACTTGTGCGCAAGCGCCCAATCTCTTTAGTCTTTGCTACCTCTGGTCTGATGTCTATGCTAGGTGGTATCTGCTGAATCGACCCGTGGGCGTGTGCCTCAGAGCACACAGCCAGCAGCCTTGAGCGTTCCCCTCTTCAAGACTTCAATAGGTATTTATTCCTTATCATTCGGTATTCCGGGGGTTGTCCTGAGCCCGGGTTACTCTCAGTCTCATCTATCCGCGGGAATTCCGCCAAGAACTGGAACCTGTTACCTTTGGTCCCCAGGCAACTACTGTGGCATCTCTCCGTCGCGGCGTCGCCACTCGCCAGGACGATACTTGAGCTGCGCAATGGCACCTTAGCGTGATTCACCTTCCGGCGCTTCTTGGGACTGGAGCCCGTGCCGTGAGTCCGTGACCTACTAGGCTACTACTCCCCGAGTTGTGCCGGCAAAGAAAGACACCGCCGGGAAAGGTGCCGGCCCGAGCCGCGGCGCCGCCCCTCAAAGTACAGTGACGCAGCAAATAATCTAACACCCCCTTTAGCCCCATCTACATGCTCACAAGAACGGTGCTACGCATACGAAGTTAGCTGCCCCTGAAGTCCTGCCCCCTCCATTCTCGTCGACTGACACTGAGTCAAGTCACTGTGACTCCGAGACCGAAATATCGGACTCCGAAGTCTCTGACTCCAGTCCCTCTGACTCTGAAGAAACCGAGTCTGAATCCGAAACGGCCAGATCAGCTGAATCTGACAGCACATCTTCCTTGATGCCACGATCGAAAATGCAGTTAGGGGAAAGAAACTTCTCAGTGATACTGAGGAATGCGTCCCTCTGAGCCCCGACGCTCAACTTATTGAACTCGAAACTCGTAGGCGTCAACTTGACTCCTCGAAGTACGATCGGATCAACGAGTATATAAATGAGTTCCGCGATATCCGCTTGCAAACCAAGCGACTCGGGATTGACAACCCAGAGGCACAGTGGGTAACACTTTTCATGGCTGGCCTGGACTCTAAGTGGAACCTTTTCAAGACCATCCAGAGAGCCGGCCGCACTGTCATGAGAATCGGCTCTGACACGACCACTCCGCTCATGAAGGTCGATGACCTCATCCGAGCCATTCTGACCGAGGAGTCCGACAACCGTGGAGAACAACCGTCCTTCGAATTGTCTCTCGCTCTCGTGAGAGTGGCCTTCGTGGCCCGAAGTCCGACAAGATGACCTTAATCAGCAGCTCAGGTGAAGACATCACCGTGAAGATTCCTTTCTGCTCCCACTGCGGCACCGTGTGGCACAAGAAGTCCGAGTGCTACCAGCTCTACCCACACCTGAATCCAAAGACAGACAAGAAGGAGCAGAAACGGCGTCGCGCTGACACAGCTGGTAATGCACAACCTACCGAGTCGGTCATGATGGCCCTTGACTCTTCCGCGATCGCCAACTAGATGAAGGGTCACTGCTTTCTTGATTCCGGTGCCTCGTCCCACACCTTTGCGAACCCTTCCTTCTCCGATCTTCAGAAGGTGGATGGCCCCACGCTCGCTAGTATTGGCAATGCGGAATGCCAGACCATCGGCCTTGGAACAGTCAAACTTCAATGCCGTGTCGCTGGCCGCGATGTCACACTTTCTCTCACGAATGCCCGCTATTCGCCTGGCGTCGGGGTCAACCTCATCTGTCTCCCAGCTTGTGAAAAAGGGAGCTACGGTCACTCACTGAAAAGGGCGCGGAAATCAAACGCGGTACCGGGCGACTTATCTGCTCCATGACTGAGAATATATTTCTCCTGGACCTCCGCTCCCCGTCCCGTCCCTTCGCCCTGGCCGCCTACTCCCTCTCTGTCCCGTGAACCCGCGCCTGGCATGAACGCCCGGGGCATCTCGGTGAAGCCGGTGTTGTTGTTGTTGCATTTTTTTTAACGTCCGGTGGCAGCCGGGTTCTGAAAGTGGGTTCAGAGCCGAATTTTCAAGTGTGTGATTGGTCAGGCTTGAAACCAATGCCAGGCCTCGAATGGAGTCATGTTGTCGAGCACAGAGGACGGGGAGCGGTCTCGAAGGTACGACGCGGTGCTAAGTGCTTCCTTCCAGTATTTCGAGCTCACCTAAGTTGGTGACGTGGAGTGAGGGTCAAGCTTTGTTGAGAAGTATCCGGTGAAGGGCCTCAGCCTTTCCATTTGACTGGTGTTGGGCGGTGCCGGTGTACTCAAGTTCGATACCGCAAAGCAGCTGTGCGGGTTGCAAAAGGTTACTACACAAAATACTAAACGAAAATTCGGTTGTGCCCTAAATGATGATTTCCATATCAACTTTAATTTTAGGTAATAGCATAGAGCAATGGTGGTGGTATAGTATGAAAGTGATACATGTATTTGAGGTGTATACCCCAAAATTGTGGAGTGGGTAAAGACATATGATAGGTGATGAGTATCAAGCTCTTGAGAGCAGGAGTCCCGAATCCAAAGCGTGCCATTCTGGGCGGCCAAGACATCGTGGATAGGAGATTGCAAGTACACATGCGGCGTGTTCAAGAAGTTTGCGGTGACATTGGTGGCAGTAGGAGAGAGCACGGAAGGCTAAGAGGATTTAGAGCTCAATTGAGTGTAACAAGACAAGCCAGGACTACATTGAAGGAGAATGTTTGCAAGGTGATTAGATCAAATTCTTGACTATCAAATAGGCCGCCTCAGCCTGGAAGTCGAACAGGCGATTGAAAGCACAAGATTGCTTCTGTTGCAGCAGGAAACATGAACATATGACATCCTTTTACAACTCAGGGCACAACCATGACAAGGCTGTCTTCTGACTCGATACGACTTGAGAACATTCGGCTGTAGCTCTATGACCCCTTCAGCGTACATCGAAGACCACTCAGTGATCCTCAACGGACGCTGAAGACGCCATAAAACTGCAGATAAACGTCTCCCAGGTCGTCCCAGAGGTTAGATGGAACAAGGTTCACCATTCAGAAAGCAGCCATGGTCTCAACAGGTGCCCAAGGGGGACAGCATGGGAGAAAGCTGGAGAAAAGAAAAAGAAAGAAAAAGCTGGAGAAGGGTTGAGGAATTTAAGTGTGCGTGGGTTCACGTGAGGTCACGTGATATCGCGTGAATGGTCAATGGATAGTTCATTTTCCCCACCAACGCGTCCATCTTTGTGGCTCCTAGTTAAGGGGTCATTTTGGTCTGCAGTTCTGTGGCCTCTTCAGTGTCCGCTGAGATGCGTCCTTGTATATTTCGGTGTACACTGAAGGGACCATACAATCGCAGCTCCGGGATCGACCCAACAACTCGGGAGGAAAGACAATGAGGTTTGAAACAAGCTCATGGCAGAACCTCCTCTCCTTTCCAATCCCAACACCTCCCTCGCCCTCCTTTGGCATCCGGAGCCAGGCCCATCAAAACCTCCAACAGTTTTCCAGCTGCCTCGGCCGGCTCCAACATTCCCCTGCCACCCCAAAACTCCTTCGTGAAATCCGTGCGCACGGTCCCAGGGTGCAACGCAACAGCCATTGCCCTCTGTCCACTCTTCGTGTGCAGATATAAATCGAACGATTTAGCCAATTGAAACACAGCGGCCTTACTTGCCCGATATGAATACCATCCGCCCGATGCATTGTCGGATATCGAGCCGACACGAGCGGCCATCATGGCATAGATGGCATGCGAGGGTAGCTGTAGTGGTTGGCGGGAGTTATTTGCAGATATAGATGCTGATTTGGAGAATGCTGGAGCGGATTTCAATGGGATGAACTGGGAGAGATGTTTCATGAACAGCATAGGGCCAACAGAGTTGATCTTGAAGCTGTCCAGTGCATTGGTATAGTCAATTTCACTCGGAGATTTTTCAACGTGTAGAATTCCTGGGATGGTCAGTCCCAGCCTGAGAGGGGTATCCGGATATTCCTCCCGGATTGTCTCTGCCATCGCGGATATCGTGGACTCGTCTGCGAAGTTGGTTATCCTTGTGCTGTCAAGAAAGTGCGGTTCCCGATTCTGTGTCATTACCTGTGACATCGACTTGAAGAATGCGAAGTCTCTGCTCCGCATCTTCGGCTACGCCATCGCTCGACAATAGTCTCTCTTGAAGTTCGCCGCAGTTCTTCCGTGCTGTTGCGATCACGGGAAGCTGGGTCCGTGCCAAGAGTTGCTGTGCAAAGGCGAACCCCAACCCTCGCGAGGCCGGGGTTACTAAAACAAAACCATGAGATGGCGACATGACTGGGATGTTGAAACTGTCATTCAGTGAAAGAATATCAAACTGCCCATGCTCGACCTGTGGATGACGTCACAGAGCATGGTCATCGATGTGAGGCTCGATCCGACGTCCAGACTCCACATTTCAAGTGCATCAGCGCAGTTTATGCTAGGTACATTACACATTACAACTGTGTACAAGACTACAAGTACATGAACTTGTTTTAGGAATGGATTTTGCTTTTATTTTAAACGAACGCAACAAATATGCCACTACTTTCCTTCCAGATCAACAAAGAAATCCCTGCCAAACTCGCCACTGCTGTCATTGAAACGGATCTTCCTGTTAATTTGCGCGATCTTCGCCATGTCTTCCGGGCTGAGTTTGAAGTCTCCGTCCAAGTTGGACCTGATTCTTGCAGGTGTTTTGGACTTTGGCAGCACTGAGTGACCCTGCGAAACCCCCCAAGCTGCCACACACCGCGGTTAGCATCCTGAAACGCAGCATGGACAGATCCAACTCACCAAGGGCAACCTGAGCAGCCGTTCTCTCATACTGCCTGCCTATCTCGATCAACACGGGCTCCTCGACGAGCTTCTCAGTTCCACCTTTGCCTTTCGCACTGTAAATGGTGTTCAGGTTTCCAAACGGCGAGTAGTGTGTCACATGTATACCATGCTTTCGATGCCATTCTGTGAAGTCATGCTGCTGCAGCCATGGGTGACATTCAATCTGGTGCACAGCAGGAACGATGGTGCACTCATTGACTAGGCGCATCATCTCAGACTGGTCGCAATTCGAGACTCCAATCGCCTTGGCTTTGCCGGTCTTCAGCAGCTTTTCCATTGCTTTATACGTCTGGGCTTTTGTCAGCACTCTTGGCATCATAACACGGGATCTAAGATGGCACCATACGTCGACGATGTCAATGGACTCCATGGCCGGCTTCCCATTTTCCTTTGGAAAGAGATCCTCGCCTCGCTTCCAAGCTACAGGCCAGTGCATCAGATACAGATCAACGTAGTCCATTTTGAGATCATTCAGGGACTGCTGCAGAGCTGACTCCACATCGTCAGGGTGATGCTTGTTGTTCCAGAGCTTTGTGGTGATGAAGATATCATTTCGTGGAATGCCGCTTTTTTTGACGCCATTACCGACGGCTTCCTCGGTGCCGTAACTAATCCGTAGTCAGCATCGAAGATTGATTGTACTGCCCATTCCGGCCAAGAAGAAAGGTCTAAGTACTTACACGCGTGCAGTGTCAATGTGGCGGTATCCCGCCTTGATAGCCTCCGCTACAGCAGCTTCTTGCTCTGACTGATCCTGCCAGGTGCCAAATCCAATGGCTGGGATCTCTGCACCTGTATTCAATTTCCATCTGGTGGGCATTTTGACTTCGTTTGTGTCAACAATACTCCAATACTAGGTAGCCTTGTCGTCCTAAGAGCGCAGGTTCGAGTCCAAATAGGTCAGAATGGTAGGTTGATAAATCATCACATTTACGTCAATTTTACTCAGATATATGATTCAGCAGGCTGATGACGAATGAATGAGCTCTTTAGGACGTCAGGTGGCTAGCTGGGATTCTCCAGATATCTACGATGCTTGACCGCACAAACTGGACTAATTCCGTGATCAATGATGGGCTTCCTGACGTGGCTGCACTTGTACCTTCACCCACATGAGCCCTATATCTATGATTTCATAGTCGACCTGAGCACAGAGTGAAGGGGAGTCTCGGTGCATTGTTGACTCTCATTCACCTTTCATCCTCGGAGCACTACTTCATTCATCCGAGAACTCGAAACGTGCCATTTCGCTAGAAGAAGCTCCTCGCCTTTCTGATCAGTGACAAGGAGCCTCATTAGACTCAAAATCCAGGCTAGCTCTTTCAACTTTGTCCCAGGAAGCTACTCCTTTTGCCCCCACCGAGAGATCAGCACCCACACACGCCACTGTTCTCTTTTTGCCGTCCACCAAGGGTCTTCAAGCAGCCCTCGAGAGTATTCAGTATTAAAGAGAAACTTAGAGAAGCGCGCCACATATAATATGCCTGTCTTCTGTTCTTGACGTCCCGACACCGACCAGGATAACCAGATCTTGTCCAAGACTGAGGCACTCGGTAAACCAGCACTCGGCCGGAGGACACGGGATATGTGCAACAAAGCGCCTGACAGGTTCTGACGAGTTCTCGGTGACTGCGCGTTAACACGCAGATAACCCGCGCAATATGTGCCGATGTAAGCCAGAATCAGGTCTGTTTCTTGCTGTCACCGTAGTTATTCGGCGAAGTCAACCTAACTAGTACGCTCCACTCGGCCCTACTGTTTCGCCGGTGTTTGATGCCAAGACAAACAACGCCCTAGGTCGCACGCGTCTGCCGTAGCCGACCGCCTTAGTTTATATAGCGAGCTCCACTTGTAAAATTTTTCCTTCCTTCTGCATCGCTTGGGATTCTCAAGCTCTCGATTCTCTTTTTTTCTTCTTCTTTTTCCAGTCTGGACTGGGTCTAATGTCTGGACTGGGTCTAATGATGGCACAAACTCCAGCTGGACTCAATGCCTGAGGTCACCCTCTGCGCTGCGAGCAGTTCTAGCAATATTTTCAAAAGGTAAGAAAAGACTCCCGCTCTCGCCCCAACCCCGGGGATGATTATATTATAGACATGCAAAGGCATTCCTCAAGCAGAAGATCCATGTTGAATCTGTCATACTTTTAAGTTTCAGCCTTGTCTGACCCGACATCATCATTATCATTTTTACAAACCATTGATTGAGTGATCTTCGACTAACAATCTATCGCTCAGGTAAATCACACTTGGATTCATCCCTCACCTCCATTGCGGCTGTTGCCTAGCATGAAGAAATCTTGAACGAACGGGCGGACATAACGTACCCATCTCCCATTCGCCCTAACAAAAACGGAGCGTACAAACTCTGTGGGTGTCTGGGAAGTGGATTACTTGTTGAGAATTCGTCACCTGAACCAATGCCCTTGTCATGAAAATCTTTACGTCAAATTGACAAGTTGAGACCCATTCTAACAGAATCTCTAGGTAATTTATCACTCATCTCCTTATCCCCTGCCTCAACATGGTCATACCTATCATGATGAATGTGTTATTCACACTGTTGGACTTGGACTTCGGTCCGGGAATGAACATTTATACAAAAATCTGATTTAATGAGGTATGTGACTCTTTTCGATGGAGGGTACTCGTGTTTCATGCTGACTGACTTGAAGCCTGACTTAGTTGCCATGTCTTGATTATGCTTTTGACTCACACGTCTTGCTTGAATGCCACCGCTGACTCGACATAAGTGAACAAATAGGAATACCGCCAGGTTGGCCGTTTAGCTCGTTGACCGTGAGTTTACACTGCATCCATTCCTCCCTCTCTACATGATGAACCCTTAATATTCGCTGTGTTCTTACCGAATCACCGTGTCGATACAATATTATTTCACCTTGGAGAACTGATACTTGCATTGATGCCTATCATGTCACTGGTCTCGCGATATGATCGTCTGCTAACATGCATCTTAGGAGCCGAAGGTCATCCAGTACGAGTTTAATACCAATACAATTTCTTTAATCTCTTGCCTTCTTTCAATTTCGTAACACCGTATGACTGTATTCCCGCCTGGTCTCACAGCGGGCTTGCGAAGACATTTCTTAAACCCAGCGGCATCACACAGCACTCTGCTTGTTGCAACGGGACCGCTTCGCTCATGCTCACAGTAACCGTGTTACTCGACAAAGAGTCCATGTCGCTTGTGCCATTGTTCGATGCTGTCCTCACCATACAACTCATGTACACTCTTTTTGCCCTCCGGCAACCGTGCCCAAGCCGGCTTCGATCCCACCATTACGCATACCATTTCATCCGGCACCGGCAGCTCTGTATCGATTGCGGATGCGAATGGGTGAATTAACTCGGGCCACTGACGGTCCCAAAGCCATAGCATGGTACTGCAATTCGAACAAAAGTTCCGCTCAGATGAGCAAACCTCTTCATCTGCTGTGCCGCGGTTTTTGATGGCGGAGTATTTTCTGCTCACAAAGTCAGTACTTGGTATAGACATGGATGTTCCAGAATTCCTGGTGAGATGTATGGAACCACAGGCTCTTGTCGGGGCTAGCGGTGGTAAATGTACAGAATGGGTGGGGTCGTACTTGATCATGTCTTTGCCTTTGGTGATATGCAAGCTCTCTGCAATGCCGCCGAGGTTCACGGCGCCGATGTATCCGCCTAATTTGCGGCAGATGCTACAGGTACACAGCTGATAGGGGACAGGTGTGTGTGATTGGAGGGTAAATTCAACGCTGCCGCATTGGCAGCTTCCTTCGAGTTTCCTAGGTGTCAAGCGGTTAGACTTGCTGTGTTGACTGTGTTGAGATGCTGAATGGAATTATGGGGAGGTTCACTCACATAGGCATGACTGGGGGGTCTTCTTGCAGTTCACTAATCGAATTGGATATGGTATTGAAGGGGTGGAAATTGAAACTGAATTCGTCGTAAGGACTAGGTTGAGTTCACTCAGACGTCAGGCCCCCCCGCGGGTAGCTTCAGATATATACTTCCCGTAACCTTGGAACTCCAATGGAATGTAACAAAACAAGCAAAGCAAGCAAACTACATGAGATATGACATTTCCAATGGAGTTGGATAAATCTGGCCTGATTTTATGCAAGTAATCCAATGAAAAAGCTGCGTCTGAATGTCCAGGTCCTGTTTCCCCTCATGCAGGACGATATTGCGCATCATCGACCGCAGTTCACGATTGTGATTGGCTGAAGGGACGTTTGTCTGTTTTGCTCTGTTTGTTCCTCGGAGGATCGGAGTCGCTCTCGCCGATGCTTCACCTCGCTGTGTAACTTTCTCGACAGGATCAAAGCAGAGACTCAACTTATTCCTTTTGTGCATTCAGAGCGAAATTACGCTCGAGGTATCTACTGAAATGAGTTTTGGAGCCCCCGGCGGCGGCTCGGTGAATTACAAACCAACACCGTGAGTTGAATTGCACCAACCGTCCAATCATTCATCTTTGCGCCTGCGGCCTAGAAGGAACATGACAACCCAGATCTCCCATATTACAGAATGGCTGACATGATGCATGCTTCTACAGGCCCGAGCGCGGTAGCTTTCCCCTTGACCACGAAGGTACGCACTTTGCACCACACCCGAATACACCCAAAGAACTTGACAACGCCAACAAGCGAGGACAATAGGGCTAATCACAGTCTGAGCATACAGGCGAATGCAAGCACATTATCTCGGGATATCTGAAGTGTATCAAGCTCAACAAAGGCACCAATGATGAGGCCTGTCGCAAATTGGCCAAAGAATACCTCGCATGCCGAATGGACAAGTACGTTAAACCCGCAGACCGAAGCATTGGATGCTGCCTTTGCAAACGAGATTGTATATGTGATAAATGATGGAATAGAATGCTGACAGAGTCAACTTGCCTTGCTTGCTTAGGAACCTTATGGCGCCAGATAACTTTGAGAACCTCGGCCTGATATTCAAGGACGGCGAGGGGAAAGACCAGACTCCTGATTCAACAGATGCAAAGACCTCAGACTCGCAATCGAAAAACTGATAGGAGACGTCGTGACGCGGGACGATACTGTACGATATGGACGGGTGGCGCGAGGCTGTGATGATATCCGGACAGTGCCGGGATCATTGAAGGTGTTGCGCATACGGAAAAAATATAATTGATACCCACAAGACACACAAATCAAGTAAATGCATACTGTAGAATTGTGTATCACCGAATGCACATGAATCGTATTGACATGAACTGTCGCGACTATTAGCTCCCGCCCTGTGCAGTTCCCCGCATGGGAAACTGGTTCCGCCCTGCGCACTTCTCCCAATCTCCAACTCCACACGGAGTCCCCCAGACAGCAAATGTCGTCAATCGCCCGGCCACCAGACCCATGCCTCGTGGCAATTATCCTCATAGTGCGCTCACGTACCGGTCCGCGTCTAGTCTTCCACTACCCTCCGAACCCCCTCAACGAGAACCGCATCAAAAGCACCACCAAGGGTGGCCGGCGCATCTCGCGCTCCACCCGCGCGAGACAGGGATCCAAGAATACCGATTCGAGCTCAAGTGATGAAAGCGGTCTAAGCTCCGACGAAGATGAAGAAGAAAGAGATACCCAAAGCCATGCCGGTGGGAGTTCAGTGTTGGCGAGTCGCCGCGCGAGCAATTTCGGCCTCGACGATCATCTCTCCATAGTCGGGTCGCCTGCTGCCGGTGGCTCTGAGCGCCCTGGGTCACTAGGCTCTGGTCGGGGCTCCTCGTTTCGGAAACGTGGCGGAGGCTCCGAGCCAGAGCCTGATGAGGATGCGGGGACGGCCTCTGACCGACCTGATGACGGCCCTGGGAGTTCCAGGCCGCCCTGGGAGTCGCTTCTGGGCGTGCCTGGGAGCGTTTGGGAAAAGCTGCTTAGTCCGTCTCGGTCGTGGCACAAGCGGCGCTTCGAGGTTGGGATCAATGATCTGGCGCTTATTGGGTGGCCGGTCTTTGTGCGCGAGGACGGTGCTTGGCGCAAGCAGCGCCGCAAGAAGAAGAAAAAGTCCGGCCCCGAATGGGACGGTGGAGAGTTGGGCCACAATGAGAGTGCGGAGGAGAGCCAGAAGGAGGAGTCATCGGTGACTTCGCCTGACCTCGGTGCTAGTGTCGCTTCTATCGCCGAGTCGTTGACTTCCCCGGCGACTAGCAAGCGTGGTTCGACTAGCGGGAGGCCTGGGAAATCGGATGAGCCCCTGGATCCGCAGGATAAAGACCACATGACGATGTTCAATGTGGTGTTCGTCGTGGATCCTCCTTTGTTGGAGTATTCCATGCGGGTCAAGGAAATCTATGAGAATATCATCAAGAAATTCGCCAAGGCTCTTAAATGGGAACAGGCTCGGACCGACTATGTTTGGAGAGAGTCTCAACATATCTTGCAGATGAGAAGGAAGGCACGAGAGACAAGTGCGTTACCGTTATCACATACTGACCGTGCTGGAGCTCACAAGGAGACTACACAGAAACTTCGACCAATAATCTCTACTCGGAATTGATATCTCAGTCCTCTCTAGCTCGGGCTATATACACAGTCTACAGCAGTATCTCGGCATCCAAAATCGCATCCGTCTCGCTCAGCCCGGACGTTTCCATCTCGCTTCAGATTCCACCCTTGACCTCAACACCATATCTCACTGGACCTATGGATAAAGCATATCCGGGTCTGTGGCTCACAACGGCAGACAGTGCAACCCCAGTCGATGACCCCGGTACCGATGACAGCAGTACGCCGCACCAGGTCCTTGCAAAGCACTTTGCTCTGCTGCTACTAGACAGCGAAGCGGCCATCATCAAGGACGTCGAAGCGTCTGGCGGAGCGCTTGCTCCCGCACTTGCACACTACATCCGATGCTCTAAGCCGACCAAGTCCTTTGCACAGATTTCAGTATCCTCGGGGATTCCGTTATCCCATATCCAGATGCTGTCGAGCCATCTTGTGTACTGGCGGCGCGCTCGCGCCATCCCTCCCATCCACCAACGAGACACCTACATCGTTTCCCCGAATTGTGACCTGAGCAAGCTGGAGGTGGCCACAGTCGCTTACCAAACAGCATTCCCGACATACCCCAGTCTTCCCAAGATGCTCTCTACACTCAGTGGCACCCCTCGCCCTTACAGTAATTTCATCCCCAGCAAGGACCACAAGGAGATTTACTTCACCATTCTGGCCTGGCTCCTGCGCGGCGGCTGGGTCACGCAGCTCCGTACCTTTGCGCGCATCAAGGTCTCACCCGAAATCAAGATGGCCGTGGAGATGGCCTTGCGCAAGGAGGAGGTTGAACGATACCTCGCCAAGGGCAACTCAAACTCCATTCCAGTCGAGGAGGACACCGAATCGGGCGATGTTAATGATGACGCCAACTCCTCCTCGTCTTCTTCCCTTCAAAGCCACGGCAGTGGAGACGAAACGCCTATGCCCGGTCGACTCGACCCACACGCTCAACTGCGCTCTTCCCACAAGCTCCTCGATCAATCCACCGCTCTCCGACTGTCGTCTTTCATCCTCTCTCCGCACCGTGCCTCTCCTCTTGAATCACGGTGGCTGGATGAGATCGTCTCCCGATTTCCCGATAATCCCAGACCCCAGCAGGTTGGGGAGACCGTCAGCCCGGATATCACGCCCAAGGATATCCAGACCCTGCACAAGAAGTATTGGCCGGTCTTCCTGAAGTATTTCAATGGCTATGACGCCCTGGAGAAAATCTCCGTGCGTGAGAATCTCAAGCGTAAGCTCGTCTGGCAGGTCCTCCAGCGTCTAGGGTTGGTGGCTGGACCTCTGGGCTCGGGTGATGTCGGTCAACGTGAGCAGGTGTTGGTCAGCGTTCGGCATTGGTAGTGTTTCTTGGTGTTGTTAGGGATATGAGAAAGGGATTTATTCTTATATTTGATTTTGGTAGAACAATGATAATACCCGACATGAGTTGACCTACTTAGATGTGTGCAATACTTGGACTTGATAAGGTAGTAGTAGATGACTGACACCTGAGGCATGAATTGGTATCCGGGGCAGAATAAATTCCCGCGTATTATCGTTACAATACGCACTCGCCCCTTCCGATGGTTTCCGCGTGCCCTCAGCCCTAATCACTGCCGAAAGCACAATCGAGTGTGTGTCTATTGTGTACGGAGATGTATGTATTGGATATAGGTGAGATTGGGGGCTTCGAAGGTCAACATTGTGGGGTGAATTGTTTACATAGATCCACCACTAGAGGAAGACAGCGTGTAGCCGTTCATCTTATTCTGGTGAAAGAATACAATATATCACATTCTTTCGCACAGAAGTAGCAATTTGATAGAAAAGTTATCGCAGTAAGAATAGAATACACGGGCAGACTGTATTACCTTTACGCCGAGGGATATCATCACCGGTTTGTATCCGAACAGTTAACGGTCCAACGGGCAGATAATCCTGACTGGGATTGGGCCTGTGATAGTTTACGACGGTATGCCTGACGAGGAGACTCAGAGAGAGTCTGAAATATCGATGCTATGCTACCCAAATAGACTGAGGATCCCAAGTTGTCATGCAATCTCCACGTCAGTCAGCATATTTTTCTATTGTGCGCCAATGGCCGGAGATTCTCCGGTGGACCGCGATATGCAGAAGTACATCGGTTTACATCGGTATTGAATGTTCCTGTCGAGGCCGAGTTAGTACAGACATGTTGTCATTGAGGCTAGAACTCGTAGAATATTCTTAGAAAGGAAAAAGAGAAAGATCTTGGAAGCTAAGTTCAGGAGAAAGCAAGCATATTGTAATCCAATTGGCTGGACATTGTCTTCAAAGACCTCACCCTGGAGTCTCTAGTTACCACTTAGACAGCTATTTTGAATCCTCGGTCACTTGAATTGGTTGTTATTGGATCAAGGTCTGTTACAGAAGGTGGAGGCTCAACTTATTTACCATTTATTTTGTAGCAGTGCCTATCTCAAAGAGTACTCTTGTACTTGGACTGCCGAGATGGTCAACCTCGGCAAACACATTACACTCAAAAGATACATATACACCGTAGGGTATCGCAGCGCAGGTCTGAAGCTTTCTCTCATATCCGGTTATAAAACAAATGTAAGAATGTACTTATGCTGCCTTCCAGGCTACCTTTAGGTACTGGGAGAATATGACTCAAATGACATGGTAATGGAATGGTAAAGTGTGGGAGTATCAGCTACCTAAATATCCTCCACAGACCAATTCCCCTAAAAGAGAAGGAAAGACCATATAAAACATGTAAAAGGGGAAAGAGCAATTCCATTTATGCGAAATTCCACAATAAAAATGTCGTACAAAAACAACATTAATTACGTGTAAAGAAAAAAAAAACCCCGCTACCAGTTCTGCCCTGAACCAAATAATTTTGTGCTTCTCTTTTCTTCCTCTCTTATTATCTTCGGGCCTCGCTTCTTCCTTCCTCTGTCCCCCGTGACTTTGTCTCTTCTTCAAATTCATCTTCCTCCCGGTATCTCACTTCCCGAGAGAACCGATCCCTACTGTCTCGAAACCCACGTGCGAATCGCGTCCGGTCCTCATTTTTCAAAGGGATCGACACGCCTCGCCAGGAACCTTCTGATCTTGTGTCTCCTTCACCTCTCTCGTGAGATCCAATACACAGTCTTCCTGTGCATCCGACTCGCATCACTTCAGCCCGGTTGACTTTTTTTTTTACTACACCTTCAGTCTCGCGACGTCGACAAGGCAGTGCCTTTGCAGCGTCCCCGGTGGGAAAGAATTCCTGACACCAACACACTGTCCTCCGTCTTTCCACCTGCGTTCTCGCAAGCTACCATTGTTGAGATCATCTCACGCACCGAAAAAGTCGACGACCGGTTGATCAATGCGATCTGTGATCTAAAGGAATTCCCTCAGCTACAACTCTTTCGAACACACTTTGCGACCTGATACCCCCGTGGTCCTTTGCCTGGCTCACGCACAAATCGTCCATTTTGACTCACAACTGAAAGCCTCTCTGAGAGACGGGAAGCTACAGATTATCGTGGTTACGAGAAGACGGAATTCTTTTCCTCTCTTGACTCCCACTACCGCAGGAGCTATCTCGCGCCCAGCAGGTGCAGATTGACATATCCCGAGTCACCCGACTCCAATTCTATTTCCTTTTTTTCACTTTCTCACGCAGAGCTACAAAAAGCTCCCACTTCGACATGTCTACGTTTTCGTACGCACAAGCCGCCAAGGGCGCTTCCGGGACACCGACTCCATCCAAAACACCTTCAGTATCAGAGAAAGCCGAGTCCAAATCGGAGGAGCAGACCGCCGTCGAGACCACAACAGATGAGGCACCAGCTCCCGCCGAGCCTGAGACCGCCCAAAAATCCGAGACAGTCGCCGAAGAGTCCAAGGACGATGACTTCACCACTGTCACCAGCAAGCACGCCACCAAGTCAAAGGCTGTGACCCCTCGAACATCAAGCCCGAGCGTTCGCACAGGCTCAAAGGCACGCAAATCCAAGGAGGACGAGTCAAATACCTCCAATGCCAACGCAGATGCCACCACTGAGAAGCAGGCTCCCAGTGAGACACAAACTGAGAAGGGCGAGGCCAAAGAGAAGTCAACGGAGAAGCCTGAGGATTCCGAGAAGACCGCAGCACCGCCCAAGGAGCTAAAGGCTGCTCCTCTTCCCTCGGTCAACATTTGGCAACAGCGACTAGAGGCCCAGGTCAAGGCGGCCCCGAAGTCCACTTCCACCAGCAAGGTCGCCTCTACCAAGGCCGACGAGACACAAGATTCCAAGGCCGGCTCTAAGAAGAAGGGTGCCGACGGAGCACAGGAAGGTGCCAAGGATCGCAAGAAGACCGACGGTGGAAAGGGTCGCGATGTCGGTAAGATAATTACTCTCCGCGTCAGCCGTCCATTTGTCGTTCCCACCGAGTTCGCTGGGTCGGACGTCAATGATGGCGCATCCCCGTGACCGAGACTTTGGAAGCTAACAACGAGAAGCAGTTCCCCCAGTAGAGGATGCTACCGCGTGGCCCACTCCTCAAGTCGCGATCGGCGAAGAGAAGAAGAAGGCCCATGATAAGACCGACAAGAGCCCTGTCATCAGACCCCACGGAAAGGAGAAGTGGACTCCGGTTCCTTATGTCCCAACTGCTGTTTTCAACACTCCGCTTCCGTCCGCCGGTGGCCGTGGAGGCCGACGGGCCACTCGTGGTGGCAGAGACAGCGGCCGCGGAGCCCACGGTACTGGTGCCGCTGCTGCCGACAAGGCTGCCTCTGGACAGGCCGCCCAAGGTGCAAAGCAGGCGACTGGAGAGCGAGGACGTCACGAGTCTGGCACTGGACGTGCTGCCTCTTCCCGCCCAGGCGCGCCGCTCGACGAGTACTGACGCCGGTGCTGCGACTGATGCACGCAAGGCTTCTCAGGCCCCTGAGCGCACTCGTGGAGCTCGCAACGGAGATGAGGCCACTTCCAGCAAGCAGGTGAACGGCGGAGAGAACGTCCCCCGCTCTCAACGCGAGGGCAAGCCCTTTGGAAGAAACCAAGATGCCCGCAAGAACCTGGCCGTTGACCCGCAGGCTGCCGCCCGCAGCACCGACCGTCGCTTCGAGGCCGGATCGAAGTCTGCTGACGCTAGTGGTTTCACCGACTTCAGCCGGGAACGCGGCGAGTTCCGCCCTGAGCGTGGAGGTCGTGGATCCAACCGTGGCCGTGGTGGCCCGTACTCCAACTTCGGCGGCCAGAACGCCCAGTTCAATGCGTCCATGTCCAACAACGGGTTTGCCACACCCAAGGCATTTTACAACGACCGTCAGCGCTCGCAGCAGCATGGCATGCCCAATGGCTCTCAACAAAACCGTATGCCCCTCCGTTCGCCCTCTTTGACCACCCCTGGAAACGCGTATGGTGGTGTTTATCCTATTCCAGTTGATATCAACACGATGTATGGCTACCCGGCCGTCAACCCGACACCGATGAGCGCCATGCCCTACCCGTCGTACCCGGAACCCTTGTCGCTCATGGGCATGCTATCCATGCAATTGGAGTACTACTTCTCGGTCGACAACATGTGCAAGGACATGTTCCTGCGCAAACAGATGGACTCTGAGGGCTTCGTGCCTCTCAGTGTGCTCGCCAGCTTCAAGCGTGTGAAGTTGCTCACCGAGGACTTCGAACTTCTTCGTCACGTGGCTCGCCAGCTCCGCACTGTTGAGTTCCAGACCAGCGAGGACGGTGTCGACCGCCTGCGTCCCCGAGAGAAGTGGCAGCAATGGGTCCTCCCCGTGGATCAACGTGAACCTGCCGCTCAGCATAACGGCGCTGCCCCTGCTGGAAAGACTGACGAAAACACCCCGACTAACAGCCACCGCGAGTCTGCCATCAATGGAGCCGCCCGCCAGTTTGTTCCCAACGGTGTTTCCAGTGGACCTAAGACCTCACTTTCGTCTACCGCCCCGGAATTCATGCCCTCATTGCCACCCACCGCAGTGAGCGAGATTGCCAATGTAGGACACTCCCCGGATTATCCCATTTCCCCTACCTCGACAATGTCGTTTTTTTCGTCGTCTTCATCGTTTCCCAAGGACAGCCCAGTTATTAACACATTTCATTCAGCGTGCGGACTAGATTTGCAGTCTGAACCGTCCTTTCTCTCCGATTTGGAACCCGTGGCCCCGAAGAGGTATGCTTGACCCCCTCTCCCACATGACCTTACATTCTTTGAAGCACCAGCTGAGTTTCCGAGTAGCACCCACGCAGAATATTTCCCAGGCCAACCCGGCGGTGCTGATTGGCTGATGAATGAGTCTCTTGCGAAAACGCAGCATCCACTGCCGCCCAAACCGAAAAGAAGGGATCGTTCGTCCAACTATTTCCCAAAAACTTTCCATACATCTCGCAACGGAACTTGGAACGGCCAAGGCCGCTCAATGGCCAGAGGGTATAACTCTGGAATCATCATGCCTTACCATGACTGGTCATTGCACTTGACCACAAGTTTGACCAACAATTTCAATTTTCACCTGTACAATGAATTTAGGCGTTCGGCCCTTGATGACCTTCTTACACGAAGCGATGATCAAGGTTTCCACGAGCTCATGCGATTTTATCGGGTCTGTCTTCTTCACCGTCACTCCATTCCTTCCCCGGTGATATGCGACATGGTTCGGCTTTCACAACAGCCAACGGTGCCATACCACACTCTTGCCTTCAACATGATCCATGAAACACTTGCCAGTGGAGCGATGAAATCGCACAATCAGCGAAAAGTCAGCAGTTACTTCAATACCCAGCGCGGCTAGACGCCCGAAGAAAAGTTATCATGAGCCATTTCGCATCTTTTTTGAATTTTTGCTTCTTTCGCGACCCATCTCCTTCCGCTGCTTGTCCATCATGACCAGCATTTCTCTTCTCTTCAGTTAACAAGGTTATCTTTTTTTGTCTCGCATGCATAGTCGCCAAACTTTTCTAGAGTTCCAAGTGAACCTTCCATTACAATAACGCGGTCTGACTTTTTTGTTCACTTGAAGCTTCGGAGTCTTTTTCTGTTCTTTTTCCCTCATCAACATCTTCGTTGCTCTTGATCTCCATTGCTTTTCTCGAGTCATGGGAGTCAAAAAAAACCTTTCGGCGTCCGGGCATGGTTTTATTGGCAGTATCTCTCTTTCGATGCCTGCCGCTACGGTGTGCTTCGCCAAAACAATTGTTTTCAGCTCTTCGCAAAGAGATTTGCACTTTTCCTCCTTATTTCCTTCCGAATTCAGCCAATTGAGCTAGGCGCTTCGACAGCCCTGGATCTCAACAAGTATCGGCATCACGACGAATCAGAGCATCCGTTGTGTCGAAAGTTTGGTCTGCCATTCTTCCTATGTTCCAGTTATGGTGCCAATCGAACAAGAGGGAATCCAGCATGGTTACGTTTGCTCCCTACCTGGGTGACCATTTGGTTATCCCATTGTCCTTGGGGCATATCTTCTTGAGGTGGCTTGGTCCATCACACTGCTCTGTTGCTCCCCTTTCAAGTTTCTTTGGACGGCAGAGTCAGTTGCGCTTCGTGTACTTTGTTAGCATAAATTGGGCTGTTCGGTCCTTTGTGGAGTAATACGATTGCTATGCACACTTTGAGCTTATGGACTGTATGATATTGAGCTCCATGGCCAGGGAATTGTAGACTCAAAGCCATTAGACCAGCCTGTAAGCTATACGTTCATTTAACCATACTCATCTCAAGAACAGGTGATGTGAGGTCTGACTTCCGGGGAAGGTTGAAAGTTTCTGCCTCAGGCTACAAAACCTTACATCCAATCGGAGAAGGCATCCATCATGTCAATCTGGAACTGACCTCAACAGCTCTCCTTCTTCCCCATCTAGCTTGCTTCTGCACCTCCAACCGCGCTTCTTTTTCCTCATATTCCCCGATACTCCCAACTCACTTTCAAGATGGAGGGTGCATCCCGCCAAACGTCAAGGCTCCTCCGGCCTCGTGGTCAAAAGCTCCTTCCTCAACGTCTTCCACGAAGCTCCGCAGTGAGCGCTACACCCTTCACCCAGATCCAACGACGAACTCTGTCAAATTCCCCTCAAACTTCCGCCCCCGATTCCATTTTCAACGGCTTCAAATCTGGCGGCGCGTACAATGATGGGCCCACCAGCTATTTCTCCAACAGACAACCCCTCCCCGCGAACACCGTCGTGCGATTCGTACCACAACAGACAGCATGGATTGTCGAGCGCATGGGAAAATTTGATCGGATCTTGGAACCAGGTTTGGCGATTCTCGTGCCGTTTTTGGACCGCATTGCCTATGTGAAGAGCTTGAAAGAGGCAGCTATTGAGATGCCCAGTCAGAACGCCATCACGGCAGATAATGTCACACTCGAGCTGGACGGTGTACTCTATACACGGGTGTTTGATGCGTACAAGGCAAGGTGAGTGACTTTTTTTGGCAGCTCGGGTCTTTTGGTCGTCGTGTGGTGGAGAAGTACCGAAACAAGTGCAAGTACTGACATATCGCCAATTGTAGCTACGGAGTTGAGGACGCGGATTACGCTATTTCGCAACTCGCGCAGACAACTATGCGTTCGGAGATCGGCCAACTGACCCTCGACCACGTTCTTAAGGAACGCGCCAATCTCAATGTCAACATTACTAAGGCGATTAACGAGGCAGCTCAGGAATGGGGTGTTGTCTGCCTGCGATATGAGATCAGGGATATTCATGCGCCGGAGAAGGTCGTTGCTGCTATGCACCGTCAGGTCACTGCTGAGCGCTCCAAGCGCGCCGAGATCCTCGAGTCTGAAGGTCAGCGCCAGAGTGCGATCAACATTGCCGAGGGTCGCAAGCAGTCTGTCATCCTGGCGTCTGAGGCTTTGCGCGCTGAGAAGGTGAATCACGCCTCTGGTGAGGCTGATGCTATCTTGCTCAAGGCCCAGGCTACTGCGCGTGGCATTGACGCCGTTGCTCGGGCCATCCAGGAGGGCGGCGAGAATGCACGCAATGCGGTCAGTCTCAGTGTCGCCGAGAAGTATGTCGCGGCTTGGTCAAACCTTGCACGCGAGGGCACAGCTGTCGTTGTTCCAGGGAACGTCGGAGATATGGGTGGCATGATTGCCAACGCTATGGCTGTCTATGGCAAAGTGAGCGAGACACAGGCGCGGAGTCTGGCGAAGAAGTCTCTCGGTGTTGAGGATTCGAAGTCATCGGATACCCCGCAGACTAGCCAACCATCAACAGAAAGCCATGTCCCGACCTATTTCGAGGGACAGGCGCAGCAGAAAGCACAGTCGAACGTCGCACCCGAACCTGCGATGGAGGGGTTCGAGGTTGCCGGCAATGAACACAAGCAATAAGCGTCTAGACGTGGCCCAATCGACATGAAACGACGACTCCTCTCTTGTATTGCTTTAATTCCTCCACCTTGTTCCTGTGGTTCTGATATTTTTCAGCTCCGGTATTCTCTGACGTCTCGCTGCTCTTTTATCTTTTCGAACTCTGTATCTTAACCTATCCTTCTCATTCTCTCCTTCTCTCCTTGCCTCCGCTCTTGTATTCTGTTCCCCTCATTTTCTTGCAGCATTTCTTAAGGAGTCTCCCAAAGAGCATGAGCTTCTACACATGTGGTATTATACGTGCGAACTCGGCATGTTACTTATGTACATAAGGGGACTGTTGCCGGTCAGAAATCCGTAAGGAAGAGTACTACATTATCTCCATGTACAAGTTGTGTATCAGTATCTTCCGTTTACTTTGTCAGTTACAGTGGATGTGGAGTTTGAGATCAAACGAGTGCATTATTGATACAAACCAGAAAGAATCCAGTCGCGCAAGCCCTAGTCAGCTGAACCAAAATCGAACGACAAGGACAAAGACAAAGGCAATACGTACCTAAAAACGGAACAGCTCAAACAGCAGCCGCAGGCGCAGCAATCGGCTCAATGTCAAACCGAATCTGAAGCGAAAAAGCGATATCCCAAGTCACAACCCTCGCAATATAATGCGTCCCACGGGGAAAATCTCCAAAATCAAATTAACAGCGCATTTCCCAATGCGCGTCCCCAAAAGCCCATGATACTGCGGTGTATTATAATGCCAAACCTCCTGAGTATCCGTAGCAGACGGCCAGAGGAGCCCATTCCGCGGCGTATACAGCATCGTCTCGAGAAAATCCTGTGTATCAGGGTTAATAATAGTAGTAAAATACAAGTGTCGCAGACTCTGCGGATCCGCTACCTCCCGCATCATAGCGACAGCAACCTGCGAGAAGTGCGGTCCATCTTTCCGGAAGATGGCCTCGGCAATCAGCACCCCGTGGCCGACAATAAGGTCGAAGACGTTCGGGGCTTTATCCGCTGTGTTAGTACTATCCTTCTGCGCTAGGATTCGTGTCATATCAGTACCGGGGTAGTGGCCTAGATTCGCCGCGTCATCCATGATAACAGATGGAACGCTGCTGGGGTCAGTCTGCACGAACCAGCCCATCCTGCGGAGGTCGGCTAGGGTTAGTGGGGCTGGCTGGAATGGGCAGGTGGTGTCTGTGGCGTCCTCGATCCAGCGCTGCCGGATGGCTCCGGTGACTTGCCATTCGCCGTGATCATTTCGTGATGTGGACGCGGGGGGTGCTGCTGGATGGCGATGGGCTCTGTCCCAGGCGGGGTTCATGGTGATTGGGGGGGGGGGGTATAGTATAGTATTGATCGCTGGGCAATTGGGTCAGTCTTGGGATGTAGAAGGGCTTACTTACTGTGGCTTGGTGAGTCTTCTATACTGTTGTTGGACCTTGGAATGGCCCGGAGTGAGCTGGATGGAGATGGAAGTACGGGGTGGTGATGGGTTTATATGGTCTTGACGGTATGAACTGAGGGAGATATTGCATCTATATGAAGAACAAAGTCTGACAAAGACACAAAGATGACAATGGATTCTGAGAGACAAGGTCATTTGAACGATATTCTGGGACAAGGCGTCCGAGTCTCTCGCAGCCTTGACAAAGAAAGACATCTCTTTCAAGGTCTTTGTGAGCTGACGGCCTGTTTGTGGAAGTCAGTCTTGGTTGAAGAGATCAATGCCGACCCAGGGGGATAAGTAGTCTGGGAATACCAGCATCTCGAGTTCTGCTCATCGGTCTGGCACTTTCTTGTTGAGCTCACACTTTATCACAAGCAACCAGGGTCAACTTTTGACCGACTCTCACTCGCAACAATGTCCTGCACAATGATATCCCCCCAACAATGTCTCTGACCATGACAAAACCTGATGACTTAAGCCACGAAATGTATTTCCACCAAGAATGCGATCTTTTCCAAAGAGCCCTAGAGAGAGAAGCGCTCTCTCTTCATCTGTTGGAGGATCGCCGGGAAGACACCTGTCAAACCCTTTGCGATCTGATTGTCGAGTTGGAGATCATTAAGCACCTTGCTGTAATCATGGCGAAGAAGTCGCCAAAGTGTGCAACTGTCCTGATCAGTCCCCCGGGATTCTTCCTAGGTGAATTTCAAGAATACTGTCACACTAAGATTTTGCCGATTCTCGTAGCGGCGTTGACCTGTCTTCGCGAGTGTGAGTACCTCTATTCTGGTGTTAATTTCACTATCGCTGCTTGGTTGGAGTCGATTCATGAGGATTTGTCCTTTGTTCTGGATAGTCGGGAATAGCTGAGCAGCCTGAGCTATCTTGGCGAGGTTCCAATTGAGCTGTGATGGTGTGAAGTATTTGGATGCGACAACAATATTCAAATGTTGGTGTTCTAGATTCCGTTATTCCATGGATCTCTTAGAAGTGTGCTTCGTATAGAAACGAAGTCCACTTCCCCCCACATATGAAACCTTCCTCCTGCTCGGAGCTGTCCCTTTCTCTCTTCCATTTCACCTTTCCAAACCACTTTATCAAGACCAACTCATCACCAAATCTGAAATCATCCATCATGCCCTCCGGAAAAGGATACACTGTTACCGGCTCTGGTACCAACTCCCAGGTATGCTATCTCCATCTCCTGTACAAATGAAGAATCAAAACCCAAGCTTATCACTACCCAGGGCAACCACTACTGCAACCGTGACTACGGTAGCAGCGCTTCCAACCAGAACAGCTACCACTACTCCAACACGTGAGTTGCTGCTCTGAACACAGCTGACATGCGTATAGTATAGTATGTGTCCACTGACTTATGGCCCTAGGAATGGCTCTTACTACTACTCCAATCCTAATGGAAGCACCTACTACTCGAGTCCGTCGGGGCAGGGGACCTACACTCCCCCCCTCGGGATCTGGATCTGGATCATCCTCGAAGTAAATCGGAGTGTGTGATACCTTCGATTGAATGAAAGTGCTTCATCGATTGATCAATGAGCTTGATGTGTTTACCTATGCTTAATGTGAACACGAAATGTTTTCAGGATGAACTGTGTGATTGTAATCTGTCGTAGTGGTCGTAATGAGCATATCAAATACCTACAAGCTATACTCGGTGTAGATTTTACTTTGGGACGTCGACTGTGAACTGGGATGTTCAACAGATGCTAGCCTACCCGTGCCGGGGCCGTGACATTGCGTGGATTCGTGGAAGTCTTGTTCTACACCCAATGCCTAGTTGCATTGTAGAATTCCCACATATAGACCGTCATATCAGGAAGTAGGAATTCATACTCTAAAGTGCCCATTGGGCTCACTAAAGGGCCCGTGACTGCCCGTGACATATCGGACATCAACGCGGGAGCTCGGACCAGGTCTGGAGATCGCGACTTTTTGATTGCGCGTTAATTTCCGACCTCATCCCTCTTTCTCCCTCGAATCGGACTGGAACTTCGATTTTTGTACCTCGAAAGAGAGGCATCCGCTTTCTTTGACCCCAGATCTGCCATGTTACAGGCCATCCAATAGTCCGTAGATCAGCATTCGACACGCCTGGCGCTCCCTCCTTACCACGCTCACTCCGTCGATACGTGTCGCACAATTTGATCCCAAGGACCAACCATCTAGACAGCTGGAAAACAATCGGGCAAGGCTGAATTCATCTCCGGAACCGGCGCGATGCATATCATCAAGCCGGTCTGGCTCACCCATGGAGGTACGGAGCTTGATTGTTGGGATATTCTTCTCTCGTGAGGCGCAGCCACGCTTCACAGCGGAGCGGAACTGGATCAGTCGACGGAGGGACCACATTTGCTAATGGCAATCCTCTGATACAGGTGAACGCAAAGACTTCGAAGTTTACAGCTGCGATGTCTCGCCAGATGGAAAGCGACTAGTCACAGCTGCTGGAGGTGAGCTCAATCCCTCCTCGTTTGCGCCGGAAGGCCTCCAGAAAATGCCTGCGCTGTTTAGGGGAAACGTCACTGACACCATGAATTTTGATACCCAGATGGATATGTGCGAATCTGGTCAACGGAGGCCATTTACGGCACCGGAACTGCTGAACTCGAGGGCAAGCCAAAGCAACTGGCCTCCATGAGCAACCATTCGGGCACGATCCACACCGTTCGATTCTCACCCAACGGGAAATACCTTGCGTCGGGCGCAGATGACAAGATTGTCTGCGTGTATACCCTCGATGCTAATCCTCCAACACACTCGTCAACATTCGGTACGCTTTGACTATAGCGAGAACTGAGGAACGGCAGATGCTGACAGCTGTGGAAATCATTTAGGCACGGACGAAGCACCGCCTGTCGAGAATTGGCGTACGATTCGGCGGTTGATCGGTCACGATAATGATGTCCAGGATCTCGGATGGTCGTTCGACTCGTCGATACTGGTATCGGTTGGGCTGGATTCCAAGGTCGTGGTGTGGTCTGGCCACTCGTTCGAAAAGCTGAAGACGATAGCGATCCACCAAAGTCACGTTAAAGGAATCACCTTCGATCCAGCGAACAAATATTTCGCGACGGCCAGCGATGATCGGACAGTCCGCATCTTTCGATTCACCTCTCCTGCCCCCAACCACTCGGCCCACGATCAGATGAACAATTTCGTCCTTGAACAAACAATCACAGCCCCATTTGCCAACTCGCCGCTGACGGCCTATTTCCGTCGCTGCTCTTGGTCGCCGGATGGGATGCACATTGCAGCTGCAAATGCTGTGAACGGTCCTGTCAGCTCTGTCGCCATCATCAATCGTGGATCGTGGGATGGTGATATCAATCTGATCGGACACGAGGCACCAGTAGAAGTCTGCTCGTTCTCTCCACGCCTGTACGCAACCGAGCCTCCCAATAAGAAGCAAGCTGATGGGCAGCCTGTACCCCAACACCACATTACGGTCATTGCCTGCGCCGGTGGGGACAAATCCTTGAGTATCTGGATCACGAGTAATGCTCGACCGATCGTGGTTGCGCAGGAGATGGCTGCCAAGGCTATCTCAGATTTGGCGTGGACTCCTGACGGGAAGTGTCTATTTGCCACTGCTCTGGATGGCACAATCCTGGCAGTCCGGTTTGAAGACGGGGAACTAGGATGGGCCACAGAGATGGAGGAGAACGAGAAGTCACTCACAAAATTCGGCACTAATCGAAGGGGTGCCGGCATCACGGAAACAACGGACAGCTTGCTGCTGGAGGAAAAGAGCAAGGCTGGTGAGATCAAGCACGTAGAAGGAAGAATGGGTGCACTGATGGGCGACGGCGCCGAGCCCAAGGCGAACGGAGAGAAGGCACCACAGCCATCAAATGGGGCAACACCTGCTCGAGTTTCTCCACCAGCTCCTGACACACCCAAAACACAAGCAAACGGAACTCCTACCACGCCTGCCATCCCAGAAGCCGAGAAACCCGATCCTTACAAAGCCAAGCTGGAAAGACTGAAGCAGCGCCCCACGTACACAAAGGAGGGGAAAAAGCGTATCGCACCACTGCTTGTTTCCGGAGCTGGAGCTGGAGAGTCCTCTCTCCCACAATCCCGCCTGATGCAGTCCATCAGCAGCCAGGTCAAGGCTGACGCTCCCACCACCATCCTTGATTTGTCAAAACCATTCGATGGCCTGCCGAAGGGTGGCTTGACTGCTCTTCTTCTTGGAAATAAACGCAAGCTGGCCCAGATCGAGGGTGACGAAGACGGCAGCGTTGAAAGACGTGTGGCACTTGCCAGCCAGAACGGTGCCACCCCCATCATGGCCAACACCCCCGACGGCCTCCTGCCAGCCCAAGTTCAACCCGCCACGGTTGGCCAACTGCCGACTCCGGAGTTCATTCGTCCTGCGGTGATAAATCCTTGCATGAGCATCAGCCCACTCCGTCTAGCAGTCCCCAAAATCCGCACCCACATCGTTCGCGCGTTGGACGCAGCTGGCAAGCCGACTGAACTACCTGCCCCTGGCGCCGACTCAACCTCTCCGAAAAGTCGCGTGGACGTCATTTTCGAAGCTCGAAACCCTTCAGCAGCAAGCTTGACTGGTCGCGCTGGGGACCGGGAGCCGGTACGTCTGACTTTGTTCCGCGGAGACCAGCCTTTGTGGCAGGATTTCTTGCCGCGGAATGTTCTTCTTGTGACTGGTAATCAATGCATCTGGGCAGCTGCCTGCGAGGATGGATCAATCTACCTTTGGACCCCGGCCGGCCGTCGTCTCGTCAGTGCGCTTGTTCTCGAGGCACAGCCTGTTATCTTGGAGTGCAACGGACCGTGGCTCCTGTGCATCAACTCTGTGGGCATGTGCTATGTCTGGAATGTGAAGCACTTGTCTTCTCCCACCCACCCATCTCTCTCAGCCGGCCCTGGATGCTGCTGTCCATGCACTCGGTGGGAGCCTCACCACCGCTCCTGCAGTGACCGAGGCACGCATCAACTCAGAGGGCAGAATCGTCGTTTCGCTGTCCAACGGCGAAGGATACTCCTACTCCCCCTGCTATGTTCACGTGGCAGCGTGTTTCGGAATCCTGGTGGGCTGTCGGTAGCCAGTACTGGAATACCACAGATGCCCCAGTGAGCAACTTGCAAGCCAAGGATGCCCAACAGGATAACAAGGATGCCAAAGCGGCCGTCGCAGCCGGCATCATTCCATGGTTGGAACGAAACACCACAAATGAGTTCCTCCTTCGTGGCAGAGCATACTTCCTCCAGCGTCTTATCAAGGTTCTGTTATCACGCGAAGGATATGAGACGTTCGAGTCCACTGTTTCTATCGCTCATCTCGAGAACCGTCTTGCCGCTGCTTTGTCTCTGGGCGCCAAGGAAGAGTTCCGGTTGTACCTAAACATGTACGCCAAGCGCATCGGTGCCGAGGGCTTGAAGCTCAAGGTTGAGGAGCTGTTGAAGAGTCTAATTGGCGGTCTGTTCGAGGACGAGGATGATGTCAGCGAGGCAGTCTCGAAATTGCAGGCCAACGAGCGCGAGGGTCGTAATTGGCGTGAAGGATCCGATGATCTGTGTGGCTGGCCACGGGAGACCTTGCTGAAGGAGGTTATCCTTGCACTTGGTATGTTACTTGCTTTTGCTCCTGCTTGAGCCAATAGCTAACGAAATCACCTCTAGGTAAACATCGGGACCTGCAACGGGTGACCGTGCCTTATGCCAAGCTGTTGGACATGGTCGACGCTGTCTCCGAACAGGGCGACGCAATGGACCTCTAATGACTTTCTTCTTACTAAGGCTATGTGTGCAGGTTCTTCGTGTGTTATGGCGTTCGATGGGAATGGGTCACGCAAAAGGGTTTTGCATTGTCTATCTGCTGAGGCGGGATTGGGTTGATATTTGTATCATAGGTTCTCTCTAGGGTTGCTTTGCATCAGGTCAACCTGTTTCAATCTTGCTATGGGCTGCTCATACATCTGGATAGACAGTAAACCTAAGAACAATACCTCAGGACTGCCCAAATAGGTTGATTACGTACCAGTCCGTCATGACGTCGTTCAGGGCTTGACTTTCACGTGAGCGGTGATAGCTCTGCAGGCAGAAAATTCGACAACATTTGGCGCGAACCTCATCAACATTGCTTCTCGATAGCTGAATACGCATTCATTTAACTCTCTCCTTACTTGTACTTATTCTTGCCCACAATCGCTGTGGGCAACCGCCATCACGTCTTCCACATCCATCCTCTTCCTTCGTATCGTCGATCGATCCGCAGCTGGTCCTGCATTTGGCGCGCTCCCCTGTTCCCGCTTCCGCCTTTCGACTTCCCCCCCACCTCCCACCTCCCTTCTGTCGCTTCTACTCAAGCAAGAAGAAAAAATCCAATAAAATGCCTCCCAAGAAGCAGCAAGTTCAGGAAAAGATCCATTTGGGTCGTCCAGGAAACAACCTGAAGAGTGGTATCGTATGTGAGCAAGGACCCCACCTTTTTTTTTCCCTTCCTTTTCTTCCCACACAGCACAGTCCACTTTTTAATTCCACAAAAAACTATTTAAATCCCCCCCTTGCCCCCTTTCCTTACAACTTTTTTTTCTTTCTTTTCTCAACCATGTGATCCTAACAATGGCTTCAGGTTGGTCTTGCCAATGTCGGCAAGTCGACACTCTTCCAGTCCATCACCAAGTCCTCCTTGGGTAACCCGGCCAACTTCCCCTATGCCACCATTGACCCCGAGGAGGCCCGCGTTATCGTCCCTGATGAGCGGTTCGACTGGCTCTGCGAGCACTACAAGCCCAAGTCCCAGGTTCCCGCCAACTTGACCGTGTACGATATTGCCGGTCTCACCCGCGGTGCCTCGACTGGTGCTGGTCTCGGTAACTCCTTCCTGTCGCACATTCGCGCTGTCGATGCCATCTTCCAAGTGGTTCGCTGCTTCGATGATGCCGAGATTATCCACGTCGAGGGAGATGTCAACCCTACCCGTGATCTGACCATCATCAGCGAGGAGCTGCGCATCAAGGATATCGAGTTCGTCGAGAAGGCCCTTGAGGCCCTCGGCAAGCAGACTCGCCGTGGTGGACAATCTCTTGAGATGAAGAAGCTTAAGGAGGAGGAAGCCACCACTGCCAAGATTCTGCAGTTCTTGAAGGATGGTAATGACATCCGCAAGGGTGACTGGAGCCCCAAGGAGGTACGTTTTGACATATTCCTATCTTTCCTTCCCTGCACCGCATCTGCCTGTTTCCACCTCCCCCAACTCCTACAGTGATGAATAAGAGCACTGCTCGAAATTAACCCAGCTCGTTGAGTGCCCTCATTAAAAGGATACTCACAATCCGAGGGCACCTTGAGAAAAAAAAGTTATATGCTGAAATTTGGAGTCCACTTTACATGATTGCATCACTCAAATTGTTTGAGACAACTCATGCTAACCTACTTGGTTCTAGGTCGAAGTCATCAACCCCCTGTTCCTCCTCACTGCCAAGCCCGTTGTGTACCTTGTCAACCTGAGCGAAAGAGATTACATCCGCCAGAAGAACAAGTACCTTCCCCAGGTCTTCGAGTGGATCAAGACCAACTCCACTGGCGACCCAATCCTGCCCGTTTCTGCTCAGTTTGAGGAGCGTCTCACTCTGATGCACGATGATGCTGCCGCTGAGGCAGAGTGCAAGACCTTGGGCACCAAGTCTGGTCTGCCCAAGATCATCACCACCATGCGTCAGGCCTTGAGCTTGGCCTCCTTCTTCACCACTGGTGAGGACGAGGTCCGCCAATGGACCATCCGCAAGGGTATCAAGGCTCCCGCTGCCGCTGGTGTCATTCACACCGACTTTGAGAAGACGTTCATCCAGGCGATTGTGTACAACTACAGTGTGCTGCGCGAGCTTGGTGACGAAGGTGCCGTCAAGGCCGCCGGTAAAATCATGACCAAGGGCAAGGATTACGTCGTCGAGGATGGCGATATCATGCTCATCAAGGCCGGTGCTGCCAAGCACTAGGTGCATATAGACAAATAGTTTGAATGATACACCAGTGTTGATGATACTCATACCACAGTCCTTATTCTGTTGTCACCCTGTCAACTTTGGTTCTTGTGAACAACCTCTGTTGGATGTAGACGTAGTTGTAAACATGACCTTGCAGCATCCTGTTCTGTTCAACACGATACCTCTGCCGATATGAGAATTGGTGGTTTGCTATCCAGCTCAGACCATTTGGGAGATCCCAACCCTCTAGGCCAAGTACTCCGGGTGGTAGAAAGGGAAGAAAAAGCAGAGCACTCTATCAGGCACGTGACCTGGTCCCCCGCGCATCCCACTTGCGTTATCGAGAGCTTTGCCGTCATAGCATTCATACACCCACCAGCATCATGTTCAAGAAAGAGTGAGTGAAACCCCTCCATCAATCCTCCGAGAGGCCTCCATACGCATAGCGGCTTGACCTGAGCTTCCTGCTTGCCAAATAGGTGCACGCATCTTCCTCCACCTGAAGACGACGTGAAGAGCGCAGAAGCTGCCAAAAAATCCCCAATCAAGGAATAGACAGCTTCCATGGGACTTGAATCACGCTGTGATTATCAGTCAAATAGACAGATAGACAGACAGGCTAACCCAATTGCTTCATCTAGTATCCCCCTAAGCAACCGGTCGAAGGTCAAATCCTCCGTGCAGCGCGGCCTGCGCCAGAAGCTGCTGGAGACATATCCCGGCTTTGAGCCATTCATTGAAGATATTATGCCCAAGAAGGCTTCATTGGAAGCCGTGAAACTGCACGATACAACTCCCCTGGATTTCTCCAGCATCGGCATCTCCGCTCTCACCACTGCCTACACCCAAGACCGCAAGCTAACCAAAACAACTCCAGTCCCGACCGCGTGACCCTCTACACAATAGACTCCACCCCGCTCTTCTTCCAACCCATCGACGGACCGCCCGTCCTCACCTCCCGCCTCATCCACGCCTACCCCTCCGCCATCCCGACAATCCAGATCGACCGCGGTGCCATCCGCTTTGTGCTCTCCGGCGCAACCCTCATGGCCCCCGGTCTTACCTCGCCCGGAGGCCGGCTGCCTGATGCCGAGCATGCGCTTGAGGCGGGACAGATTGTCGGCGTTAAGGCTGAGGGTAAGGAGGAGATTTGCCTGGTTGGTATGCTGAAGGTTGGCACCGAGGAGATCAAGAGTAAAGGGAAAGGTGTTGTTATGGATGAGGGACATTATCTTGGTGATGGGCTTTGGAGATTGCATTTGGATTAGTGCGAATTGGATGGCATATACACAGTTATTAGGTCGTTTGTTTAGGCTTGGAACTATAGGCATGTATGGTGATTATGTGTTGGATGAATTGAATGAAATATTCCCCTGCATGAGTGTCCAGAATCCAGATATCGGTGAAGTCAACCGTCGAGTTCTACCCTTACCTCTACCTGAAGTCAGTTTTGTCGTTGTGAAGCAATCCTTCTTAGAAAATGATCTCTTCCTAACTACTGGCTACGACATCCTGAAACTGGGCGGTACTACTACTGGTAGAACCCAGGAGAAACTACATGTGAAGCAGAAGATAGCCGAGTGCAGCGAGCCCAGTCAAAAGACGCGAGAGGAACCATATCGCTGTAGCCTGTACGCAGTACGGAGCACGGAGTACTGCGATGATACGCCCTCTAGGTGCTTGAGTGAGACAGCAAATCGAACAAGACTAACAAGTACGAATTCGTTCTGTCGTGTTAAGCTACAAAGCGTAACGTCCGTCTGCACGGAGCTGTCAGCCTGCACACGACCTGGGTGGGGTATTATGGCTCGATGGCATACAGTAGAAGCTACAGGTGTTATTGATACTGTCAGGCAAGGTAGGACTAGGCAATTGAAACGAATCAATAAAACAGCGCAGGATGCGCACATTAATCTGGCGATGTAGTGTCGTCTACAGCCATAAACGAGACCTCGAAAGGCCAATTATCCTCTTTGCGAACCAAAAGGTGCACTTCTCATCACGTTTTGCATAACGAAAACATTTCAAGCCTGGGTTCTCACCATCCACAGTCTGATATTTGATTTGTACCTACTACACTGAAGTTTGGCATCACAGCAATCGGCAGGTAACCCGTCAGTACCAGCTTAGAGGTTGAAGCCGAGAACACCAGCCAGAAGACCAGCGACAACGCCGGGAGCAGCAAGAGCCATCGCACTACCCCTGGAGTGAGTTGGAAGGGCAACTGTAGTGGTCGTGCTACCAGCAGAGTCGGTAGCGTAAGAGGTGCTAGTTGCCAGATCGGAGTCGCTCCGAAGTCTTGACAGTGTTGGTGGTAATTCTGGTAGTGGTGATAAGTTCAGTGGCTGTAGTCGAGGAAACAATGGTGTTGTTTCCGCCAGTGGTATGAGTGCCAATGGTCGACTCTCCCGTGGAAACCGCGGGGTGGTGGGAACACTGAACGTCAAGGTACCGGTGATGGTGAGCTCAGTCTTGGTGGAAACATCAGTCTGAGAAGTAGCAGTGGCTGAGGTACCAGTCGAGGTAGCTGAAATGATCGAAACGGTCAATGTAGAAAGTCCATCGGCGGTGGAAGCTTCGTTGGTGGTAGAGGCACCCTCGGTGGTAGAAGCGTTCGACAGGCCCTTAGCGGGAGGGACAACCTCGAACTGCGGAGACTGTGCCAGGATGCCGGTGTTCGGGACTGTGTTGGACACCAGGTTAACTTGGTAACCGATACTGGTGCAAGTCAGATATTAGGTTTCCTTGAACATGTCCAAATCCGATAGACGGGGGACGGGTGGTTGATTCTTACCCATGGTCGATGTCCTTCAGACCAGGGACTGTGTAGGGAGCCCTTGGTCGTGTCAATACCGGAGGCGACCCTCTCTTCAACCCTGGGATGGGCATTGTTGTTGACAATCACGATATCGAAGGTCTTGGGATCGGTCCTGATTCTTGTCAGTTTCACGTAAGCTGGGAAACAACATATGGTATACACATTCGACGGAGGACCACTTCACGGTGAAGGGGACGGATACATCAATCGCGTTGCCATTCTCAGGTTCGGTGATCATGAGACCTTGACTGATGTTAGAAAGAGCCTCAGTCTACACGGGCGATCAACTTACCACCAACCGAGATAGCCAGAGGCAGAAGAATCAAAGTGACTGAGAGACGCATCTTGAGTCAATCGAAGTGTCGATGGACGATGAAACAATGTGATGAGGAGGGAAGATGCGTGAGAGAGACGTTACCAGTCGAGCAAACACGCAATATAAGAGTGTCACCAGGTGACTTCCCCTCATGTGATTCTTCAACCGCTGACGCGCCTTTTGACCCAGTTGCCTCCTGAGCCAGTCCAGCCTGATGACATCTTGATATTCCGATAACCGGGACGGCTCTGTTGTAGAAAGTGGAGCAAAATGTCTATTGCAGATCGGCAGACTCGAAAATCCAGGATGAACTGTCGATTTTGTCTGCCCTGCGTCTACGTCGGTAGGTAGTGGATGGTCGAAGTAAGATAATATCTACGTATCTAGTCGGAAGCGAGTGTACCTAGTTCTTCGTACACGTGCCCTATCTCTCTCAAGAAGTGCACAACATAGCCTTGGTGGCGGTAGTGCTGTCTACGTATCTGGCGCACCTCGATAAAGACATGGATGGCCGCGACGCGCGATATCAGAATGTCCTCGAGCTGCGTGAGCTCAGGCAGGTGTGAGGGTACCCGATCCGGCTGTATCCCATTCAATTGACCATACAGCCATACTGGTTGGTCCTTGTCTGCCTTTCGGCAGCGCTGACACCGGGACACGCCCATCCTCAAGCTTCATGTCAAGCCACCACTCCAGGCAATGTGAGCAGGTCTTCATTTTGTAGTCTTGCTGCCGGGCCTGGAAGGGCAAAATCAAGTGGCAATCCTGACTGCTAACATCTTGTTTGTCTGAGTACGTGGGATCTGCGAGTACTGTTGGAGGTGCTGATGAAGGCGAAGGCCTTGATCTCGACTGGCTGACATTCTCATGGCATTGCAGGCATTGCATCGTCACTGTATCCACGCGCCTCGAGCAAAAGTGGTCGATGGAAGCCTTCGATTGGAACGGCCTATCCCGTGACACCCAAGGGAAAATCGCTGCGCAGGTTGCTGAAATGATCCAAGAGATGCACTCTATTGAGCTTTTGCAGCCTGGCCCCACTGGTGGAGGACCATGTCGGGGTCGGTTCTTCACAGATTACAGCGCTGGGCCGTTTATGGACACTGCTGAAATGGAAGCTTGGTTTAACCACAAGCTCGATATCTGCAAGAGCGTCCATCAAGCCCCCAAATGACATCCCTCCATTCCATTTGACCAAGTTTGTTCTTACACACCACGACATCAGTCCTCAAAACCTGATCTTAGATCAAGATGAACAAGTGTGGTTGGTTGATTGGGCATATTCTGGTGCATATCCTCCTGTCTTTGAAAGCGCGGCATTGGCAAATCCAGCCATTTTTCACTGATTTCAATAAAGCGGTGTTATCCCTTATTCCACGCTACCCTGAGGAGGAAAGGCAACTTGATTCAATTGCATATGGATTTAACCACCGCGGCATTGGCCTAGGAGGCTTAAATGGAAGCGGACGACACCCGTCGCGGCGTACCATATCTCCCACCAGGTCAGAAATAGCTGGTTGAAGGAAATTCCGTTGGACAACAATGAGATTAAAACATTTCACAATGCTAAAATTCCTCTTGTTCGTTCGCTTCCACTTGTTCATGCTCTATACCTTCTGCTTGTCTCCAAAGGGGAGGAGAAATTACCCTCAACATGAAGCACATAGGGAAACGAATGTCCACCCAACCTAACGTGGATCCTCGTTGTTCGGGCACCCCGGATATTCGGGTAGGAACTTCAAAACATCAACTTTCCTACTTTTTTTAAACGCCAATTAATCAACCAGAAACCCATAAATTTTACTAAACTAAGTTTTGGGGCATTTGTTAAGAGAATGCCCTTTTTATGACACCCAGAACAGGCGATTTGCCGACGCATAGGGGGTAAAACATGGAGTGTAGGTTCAACATAGGGTTCTAGAGCGGATGTAGGACGAGATATATATCTCACACTTGCACCTTCCTCACCACCAACATTGGTAGTAGGACCATAAAGCTCGGTTAAACCGCCTCTACTGGGTATTTGCTTCATTAGTTTGTCCATCTTTCTTGTCTGCTTTCTGTTCCATTCCCATAAATGCTCAATTTCATCCCGCATCAAGATACGCTCATCAACTAACTTGACCGACAATATTCACCCATTTGCGACTGCCATCCTGCAAAACACCCCTCCGACCGGTACAGAATGACTGTGTAATGTCATTTGTCACTGCAGTAACTCCCATTGCAAACCCTGGTTCGTCAAAGTTGTTGATATCATCCGAAGTGATACCATATTGAGCACTCGTTTTTCCAACAGGCTTGAACCTCTCAATAATGGTATTTGGATCTTCCAGCAAGTCGCGTTTATAGCTATAACCACGAGAGAATTGACTAGAAAGCTCGGGATGTCGTTTGATGTATCGTGTTGGCCAATTATTGCCAACGGTCTGGAGGGTATCCCCTCTGCGGGTTTCGAGTTGTATATTGGCTATATCTCTCGACATGGCGATCGTAAGAGCAGCACCTCTAGTAACCATAGAGATTAACCTATCCTGGATTGATCCTCTTAGTGATGGGTGAATTTATGGCTTGTAGCCCTCCATGACAGACCAAATAGTAACCACCTGAGTCCCGCGTAGACCGCGGGAATTTGAAAGAGCGAGCAGCAGCAGCAATGGAGGTAACCCAGCCATTTTTAATAACCCTACTTACAAGCAGAATTCTGTCTACCTGCTCAACTAATTTCTAAGATTTTTGACCACGGATTGGTGGCATGGTAGGCATTTGAAAATTGGAGGTTTGGTGAGGAGAGGAAAATTGAGGTGCCTGCCCGAATATCCGGGTGCCCGAACAACGAGGATCCACGTTACCACGACCACTGAAATCCCAACAAAATCGTGACGCGCTCCGGCACTTGCAGATGCAAAAGGAAAGACTTTGGCATTTCTTTTAGAATACGCCACAATGGCAGCGCGAGTGCGATAATTTTTCACGCTTTTTCAAGATTGTTCTCAGCCGATTGCCAATACAGCCGGGCAATACTTCGAGCCAAGCGTCACGAGCAAACTTGAAGAGAAACGCTAACCGCTTCTGGCTCGTATGAAGCCTGAGGCTGCAGCCTCAATTCAAAACGGGTACTTACGTAGACTGCAGGTGTTCACTCATTAATCCTAGACGCAGATCTTCCGGTAAAGCCCCACCCTCTGCGCTATGTAGAGGGCTGGTGGATCACGATCGTCGACTCCGAACCTTCTATGTAAGCACTAGCAGAGGCCCCTGTTCGTATAACAACTAAGTTCTGACCACACTGACAGATAGGTAGTGGAAGCCACAGAAATACAAACTCTTCGGTCTAACGGCTTGAAAACTTTCTCTGTTCCTGCCCAGGATTCATACAGTTAAGCGGAAGCGGTGCGCAGCAGAGATGAAGAGCAGACCAAAGAAGGGTGAATCTAACATGACAATCTATTAACCCTCGATGAAAAGATAAAGACGGCTGTAGGCCATGGCCCACCCAGTCACAACAAGTATATAGAAGTCTTCTCAAAGTCTATCGAGGTACCTGCAAAGCTCGTTTCCTGCAGGCCCGATCACCCGTGGTAGGCACAGGCTTTGCGAGTCGCAAGCACCAACAAAACGCATACTCGAGCGGAAGTAACAAGATAAGAATCCTATTGCAGTAGAAGGACAGGGTCACCGTAAAGATGGCCACCACAGCATCGAGCCAGTAGTGATTGGCGGTGGCGACAATGACGCTGAGGACCAAGATTGGATAGCAGATAGCGAGTGCCAAAAAGCCAAATTGGGTCAGAGATGACGTCTGCGTTGACTGTCCCCGGAGTCTCTGCAGTACTCCAGAGTAGTGCAGAAAGGTGCAGCCGATCACAAAGGCATAGGTGAAGTGAAGACTCGGCATGGCTGCAAATTGATTCACGGACTTTCCACCGACCCAGATGCTTTCCGCGTTGCCTTGTCGGACGGTGTCGTAGAATCCGTACGAGTCCGGGAGCAATCGTGGCGGCATGCATGGGTAGAAGCAGAATACCAAGATGGCCGCAAGATTCCCCAGAGTCATGGTCCGGCGGGCCAGGGCAAAGATGCATGGTCCTTGGCAACATAGTAATACCAGGAGAGGAATCTATCAGGTCAGTCGATGTGTCGGTGCATTGCAGGCAGGTGGGCGTGGGATTCAATACTCACAACACTGTTCCGGGAATATGAATTAATGAATAAATCCGGTTGAACATGGTCAGAATGGAGGGATGATTTTGAATGAAAAGGACTGGAAATCCGATTCCTGGATAGGGAAGACCCAGGACGCGGTGTTATGTTCAAAATTGAGGATGTCAATGGCGTGGTCTCGCGCCACTTGGACGACTCCTATCTGGGCCGGGGAGAGCCACTGTGCTACTCCTTTGGTCACGGAATAGAACAGATAATTCATGATCCAGTAGAACATCTCGACCAAAAAGGGCAGTTTCTGCAAGATTCTGCTGTGATAATAGTGCGCCCAGCGTGACGAGTCTGGCGTCTTGATGCGGAGCCCGAATACAGTCTCCGATTTGGCATGAAGCTCGCTGGGCGAGGTTGAGCATCGCCCTCTTCCAAGAGAGCGTAGTCTCCAAACCGGGCTTGCTCTTCATTGGCACTTTTACTGGAGTCTCGGCGGCGATTCACAATCAACGATCCCACCATAATCCCCACCACCACCTGCACACAGAATTAATATCAAAGGCTCTCGATAGGCCCGGGGAGGAGGGGGGGGACATACAATCGGCTCCAGCCATGCGTGGAGACGCTAATTGGGGTTTACCCAGGTCGGGTGTCTCGCGAGTAAAATTGGTCGCCATATTTATATATATAAAGATGGTCAAATGGCCTTGTCCCCCCGAAGCCAAATCGTGACCAATGGTGAAAGAGATTCCTCCTACAGGCTTGGAAATCCAAGCAAAAATGAGGAAAACACAGAGGAAGGGGGACGCGAGATGCGAAGGCTGACCGGATGAACATGTCCGAGGCTGCATAACGAGAATACTCAAAGGTGGAGATTGACCTCTCTCATGATTGGTGCGCGTATTCGTGTTAGCTTTCGCTTTTCGCTTCTTCTTTCCTTGCTTCGAGCTCACTAGCTTCATTCAAGCTGGTTGTATTTCTCTATTTCATGTTGAATTGTCAATATATCCTTTGTCTCGGGCAAAGTATCCTCTGTGTTGTGACTGTTGTCCTTGTTTCACAACTCTCTAAAGGGGAGATCAATTCCTTGACCTGGCTGTAACAAAAAAAATAATATTTAAGCAGAAAGTTTATAAGCCACGCTAGTCCAGATCGGGTCCAATCATGCAGTTGCTCCTTGGCACCAAAGTGGGGAATTCCAGCCAATCAGAAACAGGTGATTTGCCACCAAATCGAGTCGTCCCGTGACTGACCAGACCGACGACTCAGAGATTTGCATTCCAAAATTTACCAAATGTCCTACGAAATGGAGCTTACAATTACTACTCCCATCATAACATCATATGAACAGATATACCTAGTGATATACAGTATTATATTTGTATACTATCAACCAACATGTATGAGAGAAAGCAGCTCCCAGTTACCAGATGAGAATGCTGGATGATTTTCGGACTCTGGATCCGAGCGAATGAAAGAGTTGGAAAGGAACAAAACCATGGCAACCTCTCTCCGCAATACAATGACTAGGGGACAAGGCAAAGGTAGCCCCTACTTCGGGCGCATTGGAGCAGCACCTGGGTAGGGCTTGAGGCTCCCCTCGAGACTGCGAAGCCCTGGAGCTGGGCATGCTTGTTGATCGCTTCAACAGCCTGCTCAATTGAGCGATACAAGGGCTTGCCAAATTCAAGAGATAGACGAGGGAGGGAGGGCGTTGAAAATGATAGACATGATGAATGCAGAGGCTGGATACGGGGGATTGACGGCGTGACGCGGGCGGGAATATGGAAATTGGCAATGAATCAGCGAAGAAACAGGATACGGATACATCTGACGTACATGGATAGAGGAACATCTGAGAAGCATGTGATGGCCTAGTATAGGTCATGGCAACGGCTTTTGTCCCAGTTTGAACCTTGATGGAATGATATACCTATCTCATCACCATTTCCCCATCATGCAAGCCCTCATTAGTACACGGAAGTTAACACAACCACGGGGTTTTACAACCTAGAACATCGCCGGGCGTCACTTCGACACACCAAGAGCGAGCTGGAGGCGAAATTAACTTGCAGTTTTGTTCACAGTATTGCCGTATTGGGAACACGACCTCGAGCTCTTGTTGGATTATTCTCGTGTTGGTCCCTACCGGCATACCGAACTGTCTGTGTTTGGTGTTGACAAGAAAGGCTACAAAAGGTATAGTGAGTACAGAAGGTTCATTGGGTAATAAGTCTAATCAAACAAAATGCTGTGGTCCATCCATGGATAAACAGATATGGTCATAAGCCATCCAATGGAGGTCATTGCCTCTCACCACTAGGGATCCATTTGTAGAGAGCTCCATGCCGGTTGGGTTGGTCGGGGGTGCATTAGACGCAACATCACCTGGAAAAGTGCTCCAAGATCAACCTAATCCCATTCGAATCCATCGCGCCGCCTTCCAAATATTTTCCATCCCCTCCCCGTTTCACTTCAGATCCCTCATCTTCCTGCTCTTCGGGCTTGCCGAAAAGGATCAGAGGCCTAAATGGGGTGGAACAATTTTTCGCTTTGGTCCCTTTGGCCTTTCCACCTTAGCCTTCGCCCTCCGAATCGCTGTAGACGCAAATTTCTTCGCAAACGTCTCTAGTCCAGGCTTGACAACATCGTAGTGAGCGTCCGTGCGCCATTTCGTCCCAGAACTCCAGGGATCCCCACCCAGTCTCCCCCTTGCGAACCTGTAGTTTCCGGTTTGACAGATGTCCCAGTGCAGTCTGAGTTGGACAGCTAAATTACTCCAGATATCTATAGAAAGTGAGATGTTAGAACAGAGGGTTTGTACATCAGCGATAATCGAAAAGTAGAAAAGTCTAAGAACATACCTTTGATGAAATTCTTTCCAAGCGGAATGTCTTATCCCAATCCAAGAGCCGTTGAATCCAGTAGAACACGTCGGCGAAATCCCGGGGTTGAAATTATGACGAAAGTACGAATGTAGAGCCCCTGGGTCCGTCATGTTCTTGAGGACAATGTCCTCGGTAACAACGTCCTCAATGTACGCCTGGTTACAACCTCATTAACCTCTGCAAAAACGAGAGAACTCGATAGTAAAAAAAACTTACCTTGAAGCGTTTCATCGTGGTGCTCTTCCAACCACGAGTCCAATTGCCAACGTCTTTGTACAACTGATTGTACTGTAAGTGTTACTGTCCAGGTTGGGAGAGATCGTCCGAATCAACTTGTCCGTGTCCTCATATGTGTGAAGTAGCGAAGGTAATGCCACCGTACGACTTCATTGAGACGTTCTCGGTCACCCACTCCCTCTTCCTGGGTAGACACTGTGTTGGGAGGTGGGTTCCGACGACTGTAGGTTCTCCTCTTCGGGGACGGGGGGATCACCGGAGAAATACGTAACAAAATTGCTTGACGAGGGACTGTTGCTTCCATCACTGGTGGATACCGGGGTCTCACACTGTGTATGCTTCATTAGTATCAGTACTGATTATAAAAAGGATGAATATTCAAGACAACGATAATAACATACCTCCCGGTTACGCTTTCCTAGCTGGCTTTTGAACCTAACGGGGGATCTTCTGTAAATAGAGCATGGTCATGACCGCGCATGGATGCCGGAAGTGGCGGGGATGAAGGTGGGTGTTCGATTTCGGGTATTGTTGTGAGTAGCCATCATGGATGGAGAGATCCCTCGTATGATGGTGTCAAGTAGGATGGTTTAAGGAAGATCGAGGGAGTAAAGATGAGGAGGAAGTGGATGGGGGTGAAATAGGTACGCGGATGTGGCTCCATCGCGCTGATCGCGCTGAGTGACACGTTTCGCGAGCGCGTTTCTGTCCCATTAGATGGATATTTTTCAGGTTAGAAGGTTTTAAGTGGTGACTAATATAATAATCTATGCGTTAGCACTTCGGAAGATCGTAATTGCTCAATGGAATATCATTGTAGGCCGAATGAAGATAATTATTTAGATCGACTGGAATGCAGATATGAAAGTGTGGGGAAACCGTATTCTCACTATCAAGATAAGATACCGTATCTGATAAGATACCGTATCTCAGGGTCTACCGTATTTTCGTTGCATACTGTACAGTGTCATTGGTTGTTCATCTTCCCTTTCGTACCTGAGCGTAACATTAAACTAAGCATCCTACCTCAAAAGACCTGCGCGGTAGAACAATGCCCGTCGGTCTGGTACTTGAGTGAACTTGGTAAACGAGAGTCGCGCACGCAATGGATGCGACTGTTACGGAAAGGGAAGACAGCAGAAGCCATGAGACTGGACATTTACTAGTTGATGAGTTCAGTATTAAGTTAGCTAAAGATAGTGGTGCAGTCCATCACCCTGGCCTAACTTCCCACAGCGACCATGACAACCGTTCTCCTATGCCCATGGTTTATTCCCGGTGCCAGAGCCTTGCTTCCCCCGGGGACGTTGTCACGTTGCTTTTCTGCAGAGTTTGGGTCACCGGGCGTCTCAGGTTGACTTTCTTTCACCTTAGTAGCGAGAGGCTGCTGACCGGCAAGAAGGTCCTCGAGGTTGGTGCCTCCATCGGGCGCAAGCCCACCACAGTCGCCGAAATCTCTCAGAATCTTGTCGATGATCTCCCCCTGGCCACTCATATGTAGGAAGTTGCCAATACACGCGTGGATTTGGAGAAATCGGGGTCTGGAAGTTCCCAAGCTTCCTCTTGGGACCTTGAAAGCGACGAGCGAGTTCTCGGGCAACTCAGGTAGTACACTTGTTGGGACCGCCCCTGGAAAGGCCTTGATCCGGTACTGGTGAGGCACGCCGGCTGCTTCCAAAAACGATGTTGAATTGACCGAATTCTTTGTGAAACCGCTGGTCTAGCATCATCATGTTCTTCTCCGAATCGGAGTCCGTTCTGAGGTGAAGGACATCTCACGAAGAACTGGAAAATATCGCTTCAGATTGACCCAGATACTCGCATGTCTATTAAATACCTCGCTGTCACTGGCCCGAATCGATCCAAGAGCAAATGGAATGATGTGAGCAGCTTCAAGACGGGTCGTTAGTGCGTTGGGTGGATGGTCGTGGTCGAAAACTGTAATACCCCGTTGCAAGGCATTTATTCCCGGTCTATCTCTGGGCAGTGGCGCCGGAGTTGCAACTGGGGGGTTTCTGGTGATGGGCTCGATATTGAGGCCCTTGAGAGTCTCGGTTGAATCTTCAACCCCAGAACGCGGAGACGGAGTGGCTTCGGTAGGTGTCTTTGCCGCCATGCGCTCGCATGGGTACTACTAAACCAGTCCTGATACTTTCGACCAGTTGTCGAAGCTCTTCCTCGGTTTCGCCACGCTAAAATATCTTCCACCAAATTGTTGCTAACGTCAATAGTTAGTACCTTGCAGAAGTCACGTAAGAAGTCAGTGGTATTGTCCACCGTTCCAGATGGAATATAAGCTCTCAGCCTTGGGCTCAGCTTTCGCTCCATTTTCTAGCTTGATTATGAGAACACCGAGAAGACTTGAAGGCATAGAAGGACTCACCGTCTTGGATGAGGACGACATCTTGACTGATCACCCAGCTTGGGGTCAGTCTGGAGGGTAATTAGTTCTGGTTAAAGTAAGGCGGCCGATTCAACTTGTCAGTCGAGGACATTCGAAGGTTTTGTTTTTGTGATGCACTGATGGATATTGATGACTGGGTACGATCGATTGGTTCAAGGCTTGGCTAAAAGGCCCGATGACGAAGAGTGGATTGGTTGGTGGGGAGCTATGCAACGGCGCAACTCAAAGCCACTTAAGCTGCACTAAGCCATCATCTGGCAGGAAAATGGGAGTGTGAGATCACTTTGAATTTAATGTCTTAGATCCTAACCCATTCTAAGCTTATTGGATGATCAAGATGGATCTCTGCAGAATATGGGGTTTTCATCTGATAGATCACCATCTCGCCCGCTGGGAAGAGGGGACAGGGACGAGGATCGGAAAGAGATGACCACGATGGCGACCTGACTGCTAGAGTTCAACCCCAGGCCATGGATTCCGCAGATCCAAACCGAGTGACCGCGCCAGAGGGTGCGCCCTTGGTGGCAGGCCGTGAGTCGGATCGTAGACCAACTCGGGCAATCGCGCGCTTGGAGCATATCCCCAGAAGCATCCAGTGCAATGAGGAAGCGGGCCAGCTCAGCACACAACTCCCAGTCGCCCTTTTTGGAGGCGAGAGCAATTAAACGAACGACGTATTCTTCGAATGCGGCCGTCATTCCTTGTTCCTCATCGTCCTCAAAAGCTGCAGGCACAAGCAGGTAACCAACGGCGGTTTTGAGGGCATCAAGTTTCAAGGCCTGTTCGAACAGGTCTTTGGGTGGAGGCAGGTAGGTGAAAAGCGTTCGCCATGACCGAGCTCGGTTTTCCGGTGCATTGCACAACAATCCTTGGCGTACTCCCTGACCGGCAGAGACGCCTGAAGAAAAGCGATGACAGGGAAGAAGCGGTTCCGCGCGTTCTTGTGGTTTCAAACCTTATTGGCTCGGCTGATATTGTCCACTTCGTCATCCAGTACGTGATGAAGCGTGATCTCCAGTCCATGGGCAAAATAAGACAGATGAGAGAAGTGACGACAAAGAGCAAGGATAGCAGCTGTGCCAACATTGATAAGGCCATATTGGAGGATATATGGGAGGAAGAGGTGTCTAAGGCCCACAAGTCAGCAGAGAAGAAGTTTCAGAGGAGAAGGTCACCTACCTGGTGGCAAACTCTGAACAGTAATGTCACGTCGCGTCGTTGATCATTTCTGTGATTCATCGTCGAGCACGATGCCCTTGTTCAGCAAGACAGACAGGGGATAAAAGTCCAGAGGTTTACTGAGTGAAGCCGGCACCGTCTCCTCCCGCAAAATATTCCCAACATCATTCCAAGCTAACAAATCTTGGCCACGGAATATCCATAGCGAGTCCCTATGACAGTGACTGTTGTGAGTGGCCCAGTGCCATGTCAACTGAAGGACTGCAGGCAGCGGTTCATCCATCTGGGGTGAGAAATTGAAGGATAACTGGTCACGCATCAAGATGTAATACTCAACATCATGGGATATTACGCGCATGTCAATGATCGCCGGCATCCGACACAGTGGGCTGCAACAGGACCAAATTTCCGTCAACGAGTAGAAGAACGGATGACGACTTCTCACGTCTTGCGATGGCTCACCATTTCGTGCGTTCCCGTCAGTACTATGCTTCAAAGTCAACCAAGAGAAGAGTATCGATCACTCACGCTTTGCTCCTCGGGTAAGACCCAGTTGATTGATCGACGCGAGTTGGTGCGGCGGACAATGCCATTGAACGCGATCTGCCCAACTGGGACGAGGGTTATTTGGGGGTTGTGTTGAGTTGATGATATAATGGCATAGAATGTTATCGTAGGTATAGACCAAAAGAGAATCTTCCAGAGAGGCGCCAATGAACACAACCGGAGATGGTAACGATCGGCGAACATGATCGAATTGTTACCGAGAGAAGCCTCGCGTGAATACAGGCGGATCTTTCAAGCCAAGTCAGGGTTAGTCAAAACATAATGCAGGTTGGACAAGTACGGTACCTCGTATGACCCGTCGCTCTCGGGACTGCTGCTGTGATCAGTATGTGACGTACCAACATGCCTCCCCGCACCGCGAACGAATGCTCGGCCTGTGAATCTTCAAATACTTTCCATCGTCCACTGTTGACGCTACAGTGTGCGAGACCTCAATTGACTTGCGATTGCAAACATATCGTCCATCTTGGGACACGACGCAAGATCGAATCGGCCACTGTGAATGGAGATATGCGGGAGGGCACTGGGCATGATGCCAATGAATCCTTTCCTGAGATCGTCATGAGATCTCTAAGATCATGCCCTCGGTAGAGGATGAACTCAGTCCCCGTTTGCAGCAAGCCTCGAGCCACCCCAGACGAAAAGCAACCAGTCAAGGCACTGCGGGTTGTCTCCAGCGCCCACAGGCTCGGTCGTTCCGTCCAGACAAAATGATATCTGACCCACCGCCAATCCAACATCCGTCCGCAACTCCAGTCAACCAATCCTCCCCATTGGTCTTTGCCAACTTCGAGTCTAATCGAAAGCTATTCCCCCCCCGGCCTTTCCAAAGACACCATATTGCCCAGCCATTTTCAAACCCAGCAAAGAGACAATATCCATCTGGGGAATAGCTCATGAAAGTTAGAGCGCCGGTGGTAGCAGGCGTTGCTGGCAGATGGAGCTTCTGGTGAAAGTGAGGATGTTGCCCATGTAACTCTTCGCAGTGTAGACTAGGGACCTCACCGTTGGAGCAGCTCAGTTAAAAGGGAGAACCGGGCATCTACAGTCACCTTGAGCGCCTTTCTCCGTCATCTTTGATCGTAAAAGCAATGTCCATGAAACAGACTTTTTACTTCATGGTCTTGCTGTGTCCCCAAATCGCGTTGCACAGCATATGCTTGACCATTGCTGGTAATCCAGATCAGAAGATTCATTGCAATGATCATAAACCATAACCACGATAGAGACCTCTAGTTTTCAGAATGCGACTCAATAACTCTGAGGTGGTTTGGGTTGTTCCCGCCTCAGGCGTCCAGCGAACGCATTGTATGGCTGGT